CGTTTCTCCAATGGAAATAGGGACATCCTGTTCCATAATGATAATTTTATTATTTATACCCCACACATCTTACTGGGTTGCCCCAACCACTCTGGGCAGCTTCCAACATATATAAAAACACAATAAAACATTAAACATTAAAACAAAAACTTCCCTATACAGGATTGCCTTCAGACAGCTCAGGGGTTGCATAACTCCATACCCTCCAACTTTCTCATATGAAAATAGGGACATCCTAAGGAAAGGTGGGACATTCTGGGATCAAATTAGAAACTGGGACAGCTTCTCTAAATCAGGGACACCCCTGGAAAATAGGGACACTTGGAGGGTCTGCCCTAGTAGATGCAAAGGGGGAACACTGGTAAAGATTATTGAAATGGGGCCTACATCTCCCATCTGGCCTGGGCCTATTACAAGGTTTGCACGGTCTTGAGTATAAAGAACCTACTTACCTGTTCTGAGTAGTCCAGTAGTCAACATGAATGGCATTTACAGATATGCCAAATAAGAGTCCATAACAATTTATTTGCACATGTATCCATTTGACAAAAAGCTGAAGCACGGATAGGATTTTGCAGTCACAAATCCTAAAGAATGGAGTATGACGTGTCTATGTACTCAGTCTAATTCCGACCCACCCATATCTTGTTCCATGTCTCCCAAAACCTCCACTCACTTATCCTGCCTCCTTTATCTCCTCACAGTATCTACAAAAGCCATTTTAAAACTATCTGGCTGCGAGATACTTCCTACATTCCTCAGCTTCTTTACAAATGAAGCCTCTCCTTCAACAATATTTATGTATTTAATAAAATGTATATACCGCTTGGCTGCAAGAACCTCTAAGTGGTTTATTAAAATGGCCTGTTTTAGGAGCCTGTGTAACCAAATGGTGGAAGCTACCACACTTTCTCATTTCACTGATCAGTGCTAAGAGTCAAAATACTCCTGGCCATAATCCTCTGTCCCACCCACCCCGAAATAATAACAGGACTGGCTTGCTAAAAAATGCATAACCACAGCTACAATTCAGGTGGAAATCAAACAGCTAAAACATATCACCACACTTGCTATCCCAAGAGAAGCTTCACATGGATTTCAGCCTGTTATACAGATGTCACAGAACATTTAGCCACAAAATGGTGGCAGCTCTTGGTATTAAAATCCACTCCTTCTCCATCCTGCAAACAGCTCTGGAAATAAGTTGCATACACTGAACAGAGCAGTCCAGTTTCTCAGGACAAACCTAGCTTATTTACCAAAAAGTGTGGCTGTGGTCAATGCCTTTGAAGACATTTTCCAGAGCAACTTAGTCGTCGGTGGTAAAAATGAGTGAAATTGGCAACAACAGGAAACAAAATTTTGGACTAATCCTTAAGAGGAGAGAGTCTCCCAAAGCTACCCATTTATTTTAGAAGGCACTATGGTAAAGACACTGCACTTTGTGGGCTTTGACTTCTAAAATATTTCAGAAATCAGAGTCTATGGCCCTGGCTTGGTTCCAGGTTTGCTCCTCAGCTTTGAACATCCTGACACCTTTCTAAAAAGCAACCTTAAAGTATTTCTGTCCTTACCTTCCTACTCTTTTTCCTCAAGTCCTGGAAGAGCAGCTCCTGTTTGCCCCACACGGTCTCCTTTAACAACTATCTGAGAAGCAGTGGCAGCTTCATCTTGTCACTCAACCTCAAACAGATACAAACAGGTTGTATCTGTTAAATAATCAAGACCTGTGGGCCCAGAGGAAACTGAGACTAGGGTATTTCCCCCTCTCCCTCTTCAGGCTCTCTAGTTCCCAATCCTCCCCCCATGTCTTTTATTTAAAATCTGCAACTTTCTTTTTTTTGGGGGGTGTCCCTAAGTCATTTAGAAAATTTATTTTTTAAAAATACAGTAAATAAATGCTATAATGCTTCACAAACAGGCTAGGCCGTAGTCTGAGGCAGATGGGATAGTACCAAACTCCTTAATCTGCAGCCTGAGGTAACTGATGCTGCAGCAGCCATAGTTGACTGTTTTCTAGGCATATTACCAATAAGATACACAATGCTGTTTAGGTCCCTTCCCCCACTCCAACTCGTGTCTCAGATTACAATAGCACCCATAAGGGGCTGGGGAGGGCTGCTTTGCAGTGTGAGAAATGCCAACAACCTATCAGGCCGTCTGCCATAGGAGGGAGGACACCACTTAGATGGGTGAAGAGTCATGCTGAAACCACAAATAACTTGTGACTGCTTCTTGATTTGTTCAAGGGCAAGCCAAGATAAGGAGTGACAGAAGTACATCGGGTTTATCTTTCAACTTTATTTTTAAACCAAAAGCAGCATGGGGGAAGCCTGAGCTTGAACAGAGAAATGGGGGTGGAAGGAGAGAAGAGACTCCTTAACCCTTTTATCTTGAGCCATTTTTTTCTGGCCAAAATAATCCTTTAGTTTGTTTTTTCTCCCGTGAAGGAAAAAATATATATATAGGCACACGTGTGTGTGTGTGTGTGTGTGTGTGTGTGTGTGTGTGTACACACACACACACACACTCTGCAGGCAGAAAAGCAGTTGAGAAGAGTGAGAGGGATCTTAAATGGAAAGAATGAGGGACAGGATTAAGCAGCCATCTCTCTCTCTGTTCCCTTCCTCTGTTCAGGCTCACAGCTTCCAGAGGCTGTTTTGGTTTAAAAATAGAGGCGTATGACTGCATGTCCCATTAAGTTCGGCTCTCTGTCTTCACACCTCTGCATCCCTTTTTTGGGGCCACTAAGGTACTGCAAGCCCAAAGAAACAGAAACATCTGGTTTGCAGGAAATGACTTACTTTTCCTTATAACCTTCCAGAAAATATATATTTCAATGTCCAACATTTGAACTGCTTGTTAAAAATCAAAATAAAGCTCTTGTGTAACAGGTGATGCCAAACACAGAAGCAGAAACTTTTACTTTTGTAAAGAGACTTTGGTATAAGAGGCAAATCAGACCTCATTCATAGTCTCACATTCTCCTCTTGACCTTAATAAGCTGATTTGTATTTTCACTTCAGAGACTCCAACAGGCCATCATGCAAACTGGCTTAACTGCCAAGTCGAGCAGTTTGGCAACATGGACAGAAAAAAGTAACGCCCAACTTTTCCATCGCAGCTGGAGTCATGAGGGAAATCCTACTCATGCTTAGGCTATGACTCATCAGCTAATTTTTGGCATGTGAGGGCCATCTATTTAATGAAGAGAAATGATGTTGGGGGGAAACAAAGATAATGAATGGTGGAACTGAGTTTTTAAAACTGCAAACTGGATTTCTCTGACAGAAGTGCTCATGTAACAAACTAAGGGAATTTCCGCCAGATATGGAAATAGTTTGCTGGGAACTGACAAAACCTAATTATACTAACTGTCCTCTTTGAACTTTGGAAGTTAACATTTAAAAAAAAATATTACAGTACTAGAAACACAAATTTTCCTTGGGAGGGGAAAGTTTAACCTTTGGTAATTCGAACACAAAGTATTCTGCTGGGAATCCTATTCTCAAATACTGACACTCAAAAGATTGATCTATGGCCCAGTGGCCAATCACTACTTTTGGACATCACTGGGGCAAAGCATGGGGTGCCATAAATTTATGGTATCACCTGAGAATAGAGTATGATCTGTAGTATATGCAGATTTTTCTAGTGGAGTGATGGCAGAATAGCACCATAATTGTCTTCAGATTAATCTTTGTAATGGTTACACCACAGAGCACTTCCTAGGACTCAAAAGGATGGTGAACTCTGGTTTTGAAGTACAATACTCCTTTTACCTGTCAGTTGACTAGTTATAATCCACAGATCACTAGACCAGAATGATGGGACCCCACACACATTCCTCTTGTTGCATCTCTCTCAAAATATGAAGAAAGTAAATCCAGGGTTTTAAATTGCAAGTCTAAGTGATAATAAGACTGAGCTTGGTTTGCACATCTACATTTTTACCACATACCTGCTGATCTTAACCACTTTGCTCCTTCCCACTAGTTGCAGAAAGTAATCCCTGGCTTAGCACTATGTCTGATCCAAAGCCATGGTTTGTTTGCTCCCCCAAAATCCACAATCTCTGGTTCAGACATAATACTAAATCAGGGGTTGCTGTTTCTTTTGTGCGGAAGAGCAAGAGAGCCCAGACTGGTGTACTCATGGTAAACCAGTGTGTGTAAACTGGGATAGAGTTGTTAGGCTTGGACTATGAAGAACCAGTTTCACATCTCTGCTCAGCTATAAAATTCACCAGGGCAAATCACACTCTCTCAGCTTTGCCTATGGAATAGGATTCTTGTGAGAATAAGGTGGGTAGAAATCCTTGAGGGAAAGATGGTAAATGTAAGAACAAAAATAAAATGGCTGACACAACTGTTATCTAAGAGGAATCCTATGAGATAAGAGATTGATATATAAGGCTTTTAGGTTAGCCACATGATATCCTCATTACATACAGTTAATGGGGGTGCAAGGTACCTGCTAGAAAGCACTGTTTAGGGAAGCTTTTAATGTTTAATAGACTATTGTATTTTAATATTCTGTTGGAAGCTGCCCAGAGTGGCTGTGGAAACCCAGCCAGATGGGCGGGGTATAAATAATAAATTGTTGTTGTTGTTGTTGTTGTTGTTACAAAGGGTGCCTTGAGTCCTCCTTTCTCCATGCATCTCTTCTACCCAATGACATGAAGACATTACATACTTCAACAATATGAATCAATGGGTGCTTACAAAATGACATTTGGAGTTTTGTCTTTTCATTATTGTTGTTAAGTGGCTTTTACCATAGCCAATTTGGTCAGGTAAAGTATGGGGTTGCATAGGTGTAATCACCTACATTTCCTTAACCACACAAATCCATGCTGAATACACGACAGCATAAAAATCAATCTGTGGTCATCTTTGCATTACTCTTGCAAAAAGCTGTTTCTGACAAGATGGAATAAATCCTTAATTATTATAACCTGCACTCATCACAGGGGTGTAAGAAAGACACTAAAGCAAGGATGCGTTTCATATACATATTTATATATATTTCATGTACAAAGTTACATTCTGAACCCCCAAGGATTCAATAATAAATACTGAAATAACTTCACTGCTATATGAGCTTTCTGGCTCACAGAAAGAAGCCTCAAGTTTTAAACAGACAGCAATTTTAATGCTGCAGTATCCATCTCAAGGTTACAGAGGCAATTAAAATTCAGCATAAAGTGTCTAGACAACATTTTCAGAAAAATTAAAGACCATAAAATGTGTTAAAACATGTTTAAAAGATTGAGAAATGTGCAGCAAAGAAATTGTTAGAGGGAAGGAAAAATATTTAGTGGATAGAACAAAGTTTTGAGGTGCAACATAGGTTGTTACAATATGGCATAACCCTGTTAGGAAAATAAAGTTAGCATCCACAAAGAAATGTGTTTTTTCCCACTCTGTGTCATTTTTACAAATTTAGGATCTTTATAAGATCCTTTATGCACAGGGTCAACTGCAAGAGTGCCAAGTCAGTTTCAGTCCTTTGGTAACTTTCATAATACTCACATGGAAATAAATATTCAGTTACACATTATCTTCAAGACACCATGTTCATTAGAACAGTTAGCATATTAGAAGATTATAAAAACATTTTGTAGTTACTAAGGCAGCCTATGATAAAGTGTCTACACTCTGCCAGTTCTAACTGATCCAACGCAGGAAGACCTTACAAAGAAATGAACAGTATGGCAGGATATATAAATTTCATTTTACCTTTTACCATGCAAGACACATCTATTCAGACAAATCATGTGCTGCATATTTTTGTGCTTGAAATGCTCTCTCAAACTATTAACAAACTGTTAACTATCAAGAGATTCATTCCAACTCCTGATTTTGGAACTATGAGTACGTGATACATAAGACATTCTCAAAACAGATTATTTATTCTTTTAGGGAATCATTTGATGCATGAAATTTAGCGAGCTTTACCACCTATCATTTAAAAAGTGCGCTGGAACATGGAGTGTTTAAATCTTTGTGAATGGTGGTGACGCCCACCATCTAAACCTGCTATTCTTTACGACAAGGGATACATTTAAAATTGAACAAGGGAAAGGGAACATGTGCCAATCTCTCACTTGCACTGAAAAATAGTGCTGAAGTCTCTGCTGGACCGTTGACTCCTCTGCTGTGAATAGCACTTGACTCAATGAGAACAGAATGGCTCAGTTTACTCACTACAACTGGCAAGCTATTAAAAATGCTACCCAGGTGCATCTATTGTCTGACAGCAGTGAAGCACTTCGGAGAAATAGCTCATTAATTTTTTTTCAAAAAATTTTTTTAAGGAAAGCACCACACTAAAATGGAAAATAAGTATGTTTTTCCAAGAATGTGAATGTAGCGATTCAGCAACCCATAAAAGATCTGGAGAATACTTTCCAAGAAATCATACCATGAAAGGATTAGAGGTGCCCACAAGAGTGCAGGATTTAAAGTTGATGGGCTCATGAAACTGTGAAGAATTAGTGAGCATTTTCATTTGGACACACAATATTACATGGTGTACATACAGCTAGGAGTGGGTAGTATAAAAGCCAAAATGTGTGTCTTGATACAGTTCTCTGCGCCAAGTTAGGCACATGCAGCAAAAGGCCTTTCCCCCCTCTGAACATCCTCTCCAAATTGAATTGTATTCTCTCCAGTGTTGGATAAGTGCTTGGATTTGCAACACAAATGAGTGTGGTGTATTTATGCATGTGAGAGCATTCTGGAAAACAAAGAAGAGAAAAAGCTACATGCTTTTCTGGATCTTCCATAAGGTTTTTAGATCAGGGTTCTTTTTCTCAAATTTTCTAAACACAGTTTAGCCATTTGAAAATGTTGAGTAAATTGTGATCACTTATCGCTTTTGGCATATTGGAGGAAAAAATTCTATTACCAAAGTTATTAGACATTCAATAAATTTTAACCACACATTTCATGGTCTAAATACATACTTACCAGAACCTATCTGTTGTGTACAAAATATGGTGCTTAAAAAGTATTTATACATATAAATCTATAACCAATAGACCTGAATGTTGTTTTACTAATTTTTTTTATCAGGTAAGACGTTCATTTCTTTTTTTAAAAAGCTGCCTAAATAAATATTTACACAATAGATCTCAGCTTAACATGATTTTAAAAAAATTAATGTGTGTGTGTGTATATATATTATATATAAATACATGTTTCCTTGACAGATCACAAACTGCTCCTATTGCATAAAAATGTTTAGGCAGTTTTTCAAGACTGTTCCTTTTTTTTTTTTTGAAACGCTTTTGAAATTCTTCCATTCTGTCACTAAAATCTGCTCCCATCTAATGGGAATAGCCACAGTCTCTTGGCAGGTACCAGATGAACATTAATATTTTAATTCATACTTTCCAAGAAATGAAATATTAGGAAGCTGCTACACCTTTTAATGAATTAAAAGGATAGCATTCAATTGGGGAAATCTGTAGCAAAGGAGATCACGCTTTCCAAAGCTTGTAGTAAAACAGAATGAGATGGATGGAGTTATTTTTGTTTCCTCGGACTCGGGGGTAGACTCCCAGACCATTTACAGTGATTCTGTCCCATTAATGTAAGTGACCACACCATTGCAAGTGATCGGCAACTCTCTGCATACAATTTCACATACATAGTTAAATGGATTATGAACAACAATGCATCTGGAACCAATTTAGGGGTGATTTTTCACTTGAGTAGTTAAAAGCTCTCAGCTAATTTGCTCCCTGTTTGAGTCTGTTTACGTCACGTATCATGAACCTGACCAGCTGGGATCCAAGATGATAGGTGTGCAAAGGTGACCTATCCTCTGCCCAAGGAACATACAATCAGGCTGCAAATAATTCTAAGAATGTCCTTTGAGATTAATCAAGATGGGAACAGCTTGATTACGTCCCAAGTACACAGGGAAACTAGGAAAGGATTCTCCCCATAAAATACCACAATTCTCATTATTAAGGGCAGTACTTTTCATCTTTAGTGCTACTGGCAATTAAACAAGAAACTTTATGTTATCAGCCCATGGATCTTGATATGAGCAAAGCACATTCAATACATCAGGGCAAACAAGCTTGGGAGGATTTAGAAGTGAAAAAATAAAGAACTTACATCTTGTTTTAATCCTCACCGAATGCACAGAATGACACTTGGATATAATTCATCTGATATTTTTGAAACAGTACACCGGAAATAACTTTGCTGTTTTACTCAAATGTGCAGATGAATTCAAGATGCTTCGACTAAATTTGTTGTAAAAGTGACACCATAAAATAAACTGAATTCTATTGCAGTGGGGCATTTGGGAGACCTAATTACTGTACAGCATTTGTCTGGGGAAACCAATTTGTTCTCGCTACGTAACACTGATGCAGTAAAACAGCACAAGCAAATTTCTTGTATTGTTAAGGTTTGAGAGGTATGTGATATAAAGTCAAATGGCAAAGAAACGCTCAAATGTAGTGAAACAGGTTCCACAGAAACAAAATGAAAACAAAAGACGTGCAAAAGCTTTTGCAGTCTCAAGCCGCTTTCCGAGGGAGGGGCTTATTCACTGCCGCACATAACCTGCCACACTATCAGGTGGCTCCTCTCAGCTTTGGCTACAGAAGGCTCTAGTTGTAGTGCCTCTCCAAGGATTTCTGATTCACCAACTTCATCACCTGGGAAGGAAGGCAGAACATTTTATGTGAACAGGTGATTCCAGGGGATACAAAGAAAGGCTGCAGTAGCCCACTAGAAATTTGAGTCCAAAGGAAAAACAGCTGTCGCCTGAACTCAATGAAAACAGAAATATTACTAAAATACACCATGTTGCAGGTTATGTATGTATGCACATAATAGCACACATATAACCCATTGCCATCTGCTGCCCGCCATGTCTGCAATGGTACTGCTAAAGTTTAAGAACCAGAGAGCTCTTAAAGAATACAACAGTAGCCTGCCCCTAACACAAATGGGTTTCTCTTCTCATTATTATTTGCACTTCAAGACCCCCAAGCCACCCCCAGGAGAATAAAGACACAAGGACACAGAATTTAGGTTAGTCTTAATGGGCAAAATTTAGGCCACAACTTTATTGGTTACAGAATGTGAGCGGTATTGACTTGGGCATTGCATCTACAGACTATATCTAACTCCTGCCCACCTTGCAGGAAGTCTGGAAGGGTAAATCACCAGTAGGGAGAGCCCCGCCGATGTGGGTCAACTCGAGCCCCCCTGGGTTCCTGCTGGGGTCATGGCATGGCCCTAGCCCCTCCCCGGGCTTCAGGCAAGATCCACACCCCTGGATTCCTTTAACGGAATACCCTTACACATGATTCCAGAGTCGCGCCGTGGTTTAAATTGGCCCCGGCCATGCCCCCACAGCGTCCTGATTGGTCGCCTGGCAAATAGCGTGGCTGGGACACCCTCAGTGTGACGTGGGATGCTACCCTGCACCGTGCTGAGGCGGGGGTGGGACCTGGTAGCCCAAGCGCAACCCGGTCTCACTTGGAAGCAAAACCGATTTATTAAACTTGCTAGACACATTTGAGAAGCAACTCAAAGCGGCTCCCAAAAATAAACAAATAACACATATGTGAAAACCAGCATAAAACAGTGACAGAGAAAAATCTAAACTCATTTGTAGTCTCCTGGCAGTAATCTGTAACAAGGGCTTCTGGAAGAAGCAGCATACCAGAATTAGGTAAAAGTAAAGGTAAAGGTAAAGGGACCCCTGACCATTAGGTCCATCGTGGCCGACTCTGGGGTTGCGGCGCTCGTCTCACTCTCTTGGCCGAGGGAGCTGGCGTACAGCTTCTGGGTCATGTGGCCAGCATGACTAAGCCGCTTCTGGCGAACCAGAGCAACACACGGAAATGCCGTTTGCCTTCCTGCCAGAGTGGTACCTATTTATCTACTTACACTTTAACATGCTTTCGAACTGCTAGGTTGGCAGGAGCAGGGACCGAGCAACGGGAGCTCACCCCGTCAAAGGGATTCGAACCTCCGACCTTCTGATCGGCAAGTCCTAGACTCTGTGGTTTAACCCACAGTACCACCCGCGTCCCTATGCCAGAATTACTAGGAACAAAATTGGAATAATTTGTATAATTCAGTACAATCTGTTTTATGAAAGAGGGAGGGGGAAATCAAATGTTCTGATAATCACAGGCTTGAATAAATGGGATTTTTTTAAAAAAGGGTTTACTAGCTATAAACTATGGAAAGGTGCATCAGGTTCATACCTTCATCGCCGCATTGCTATCAAAACTAGGAACCCAGAGTGGGATTAAGTGGAAAACAGGGGAGGCACAGTGATGGGAATAGTTATCAATGGCTTCCATGGAGTTTTATGGGACACTGTGAACTGGTTGCAATTTGAGACACAGCCAGAGATGAGGTGAGTAGTACCTGCCGCTTGTTGAGGATATTTGACAGCCCATCAGGCCGGAAGATTTTTCATTTCCAATCCATTGCTATGGATAATCCAGCCTGTCTAAATTGTCACTGATACAAGTTCATCAACAATATAGAAATATTGTTTAGGGAGTTTTGGGAAACCTTCTGAAATCAAACCATCCTCAAATCTACTTATAGTTCAGGGGGGATGGGTGGAAAGAAGTGATCGTATCTTCTAGCATTTTACTGAATTGTTCTAAGTTAATGAAAGGGTCTTACCCATCCTGAAGTCAATGTACCCTTCTCCTCCACTTATCACCAACATGGATTTTAAGGGAGCCTGGCTGTTGGATTCTTGCGCGGATACGGCAGATTTATCACTGGGTGGCTCTGGGCCTCCTCCTGTCTGTGGACAAATAACCTGACCTAATGTTGGGGGGGAAAGCATCAACAACATTATGATTTATGGAGTACTGTAGTTTGACAAACAAGTTTCCTGAAGTCATTAAGCAGATGCTGACAAACAGTCGTCCGTCCCCATCCCCCCACAAACAAAAAGAAAAACCCTTCTCGTTGTATTACAAAAAAACCTTAATGACTGTCACTCCCTGCTTCACTACTAAGTGTGTCTGACCTTCTTGCCTAGATAATCTTAAACATCTTTGCTAAACTATTGTCATCTCTCACGACGCATGAAAAGAAATTGTAAACATTGGGACAGCAAAAATTAAGGTAGCATTCAGTTTTATGACGACTTTTAATTGTTTTACTCTCTGTATGGTTTATTTTTATGCGCTCCGCTTAGATATGCTACTTATTAAGTGCCTTTCATAAATAAATATTTATGAGTAGGGACACATTGCTTAACGCTCACACTGTATAGGTAACCTGCTTAAAATTAAAACTATGGCATTCTTGTGAAAACTGAGAGATGCAGCAAAGTTGGTATCTCTTTCCCTGAATATTAACAACACTTGAGGGTAGTATTGGTGGCTGGGATTCAACGAGGCCTTTGAATTGCACCTTGCTGGTACAATTGCTTCAGCAGTCTGGCTCTTTTGTTGAAGCAACTAACTATACTTTTTCCTCCTGCATGAGATGATGGAACTGAAAAGCTTGCCAACAAAGCTCTAGTCAGTTCTTGTCGAGACTCTGGTAATCATCTCCTTGCTGGTCTTTCCATCCATTCACCAGCCCGTTTGCACAACAGACTTTCATTGTCCGCAATGAGACTTCCCCTTCCTTTCTACCCCCCCCCATGCCAAAACCTGCTCCAGATGTTTGGAAGTTCCTCTGGAACAGATTAAGAGTGTCATGGGGAGCTGCAAGAGGGAGGAGCAGAAGGGAGAGCTACGTTTTATCTGCTAGCACCATGTGGAATATCATCCATGACTGTCACACTCAGCACGTTAACTGTAAAAAAACAACAACGTGAAAACTGAATTGTAATGGGTTTAGGGGTTGCTCGTGCGTAAGTTGCCGCCACTCCTGGCTAGGTTACCTGGTTAACCCTTTCTGACTGAACAGCCTCCAGCATCGTGACTGTCTCAGTCGCTGGCAGAATCCGTCAGTGGGAGTTTCTTAAACCTTTTCCAGCATAAAAGTTGTTTGACGCCAAGTCTCCTCCTACTCTCCCTGCGCGGAAGTCTTCTGCGCAGGGAGGTGTGGGCAGCGGAGTAACCGTACTATCTCCGCAGGTCTCCAGCGAAGAGTCTCGGAGCCTCCTCCCGATTCCCCACCTGCCCCCCTTCTCCACTGGTGTTACGCTGATTTCCTTCCCCAGCAGATGGGCTGCCTCTCTCCCTACTGGGACCCTCTCCTGCATCCCTTTGGAGCCTTCCCTCCGCCTCTAGCTCCGATGGCAGTTCCCTGACATGAATGGAGGAGTCCCACACAAAACTTACCAGGTACTGCAACGAAGAATTTAACAGCATCACGATGCCCATGGAAACAAAGCTGTGCGTGCGCCATTGAGCAATAAGGTATAAAGGTCCCAGGTGTCACTTTATCACTGTTTTCATCGCCATATACACGTATTACGCTGCCTGGACGGTTGCCAGAACCTGCTGCTGCTTTGTTAGCTAGGGAGAGAGAAAGGAAATGTTTCCCACTTGAAAGGGACAGCTGCAAATATGGCAAAGTTTGGTTTCATCACGAAACCGCACGGTTACCAGTCTAGAAGCTAAAGCCAACTTAGATAAATGAAACAAAAGGGTAAGAAGATGCCGTTTCAAGACAGAGCTGGAAAGGAATAAGACAGCATGCTTAGTTATTTGAAATACCTCAGGGAAGAAAGGGAGTAGTTTGCTAGTCTAGCATAAATTGTACGTTTTTTGCAAAACAAAACCTATATTCACAAAAGGTATGCATGTCAGATTTTTCCACAGGGGATCCACGGACTGGGCTTATCAGTGAAATATAGACTTCTAACATAGGTAAATGACGCTCAAGAAGGGAATTCCAGAGGATAGTCTTGTTAGTCTGCTGTAACCAACACCCCAAAGTTCTTTGGCACCTTAAAAACAAACACATTTATTGTGACATTGGCTTCAATGGACATGTCCACAAAGGCTTTTGCCCCAATAAATTTAGCCTGCCTTTAAACTGCCACAGAACTCTCCTTTTAAAGAAAATATTTCTTGGCAACCATGATTCTTAGATCTCTTAAAGCCAAGAGTTGGGAAGGAGAGAGAGGCAACGAATGGGGGCGTATTTTAAGTCCTTAGTTTCAATTCCACAAAGTGATTTTGCATGCTAGACACACAAAACTATCTCCACTCGTAACAGTATCAGAAGAGGGAAAGAAATGTGATTTGTAAGAAGAGAAATATGATGTGGATTAATGACACTTATAAGGTTATGATATTACAAATGGTGCTGGAAGAAAAACAAGAAGCCGGCTTGAAAAGTTCAGCTGCAACAAAAGATGAAGACACTAAACTGCTCAGCGGGTTTGGTGGTCATTTAGCAAACATAAAAAACTGCAATGCAGGTAACCTCAAGTGGAAAAACGGTTTAGGAACATACAAAGGGGGGGGGGTAAATTTTAGAGAAATGGGAAACAGCCTCAGAGTGGCTATTAGAGAAGCCTGAGAAAACAGAACTGTTTTTTGTTTGGGATCAGCACTTACCCCTCAGCCCCAGTAAACGTCCCTGGTGGAGGATTACAGCTAAAGTAAGAAAGGAGGAAAGGGGAAAATGGATAGGTGTGACAGCAGAGGAGAAGGATTAATGAGAACCCACCACTTGCGTTCTGGTATTTGATAAGAGCTTTATATATTAAGCTCCTAACTACAAGAAGGTACAATCAGAAGAAGATAAATGAACATCTTTCTTTCAGCTTCAGTGGCGAAAGGAAGTAGCGGCAACTTTAATATTCTGACATATTGGCAAATTGCGTTTCCCCTTTCTCTCTTTTCTTCAAGAACAGACACCATCAAATTTGACAGGAATAAGACTGCCATCTCCTCCTCCAGGAAAGGGGGGAAGAAAAAAAGATCCACCAGCTCTGTTTCTCACATTTTAGTTTGTGTGCCAACAAAGCAGTGGACATTTTCTTAGGTAAGGGGTGGGTAGCTGTCACCCGACATTTTTTTTCCTCCACCACCCCCATACTTACCTATTCCTCTGAAGCTCCACTGATGTGTCTAGGTGGTAAGGATAATGTCACAAACATTATCGTCACAATCGTTAGAACACCTTATAGGGAGCACCTGTTGCTAAAACAACTGGTGGTGGTAAGGATATCTGTCCAGCTCAGGAATCTCTACATATTCTTGCCTATTTAGTCCTAGAAGCATATATATAAAAAAACACCAATTCCTCTTTTCTATCCTCTAAAAAAAGTTAACTGAATTTTATAACAAAATTGCCTAAGGTGAATGTAGCTGATTTTCGGGAGCATTTTCACTATTTAAAAAACTGTTACAATTCAAAGTAGTTGTTTTTAATTGAATGCACATAATTGCAATGCAAAACCGGACATTTAATGGATGATCAATGTAATGGTACAGCATGGAAAACAATGCATGTGGTGTTCAAAGCAACTGATATGAAAGAATTCATCATTAGCAAAATATACTGTGACAACCCACAACAGTCCACCCCAGCATTACACCCATATTATACTAGAAAAGTGTGCATTTTCAGCATAGTGAGAGAAAAATCTGTAGTTATTTAAACATGATTAAATAAGTATTCAAAAATGGAAGCCCCAAGCAGAGAGGTTTGGGGCAAGGATTTATGGAATGAAGTGGGCTGGGTATTAAACAAAATAGTATTTTATAACAGTTTCCTTAATCGCGTGTACATTTTAGGCAGATCCAGAAAATAGTTAGAAATTGAATCTAGTTGTCCCTAGCATTTACAAGCTCGGAACAGAAGCAGCTCCCTCTCTATGTCTGTTTTTCTAGCTAGGGGCTGGGATTGTGGCAGCCAGAGAAGAGAAAGTCATCACCTGCAGAATCTATCAGGAATTCCAAAGCAAACAGGGCAGAAGGATGAAAGCAGCAGCATTACAGTTGGGTGGGGTCTATTGAAGAGGGAGAAGTGGCTGACGCAGTGGGAAGATGACGAGGCACAAAGTTGTTAGATAAGCCCCTCATTTGCTATTAAATTAGAAAACTGATGTGTTTTCCAAGGACTTACTTAGCATTACATCTAGTGTGCCCACCTCCATCTGCTTGCATTTGTAAATACAGAGGAGTACCATCAAATCTCTGAGAAGGTTTGCTGTTGTTTTAGTATATGAAGCTGCCAGTCCCTGAGAATCCCTGTGAAAACTACAGAATCGGACCAGACTGAAATCAGAAAATTTACCAGAGTTGCTGGAGAACACCAAACACGGGCCAGCACAAGAGTTTATCTGGTCTGAAATAGTGGCATTCTTGTTTAATCTACTTTTCTTATCGCACTTACTTTCTGTTAATGGAATGGAGATAATGACGCCGTTGCCTGTCCCAACCCACAACCGATTGCAGGACACCATGAGAGCTGTGATTCTCACAAATGAAAATCCCAGTTTTCCAGTACCTGAAACAAACACAGCAGCACTCATTAGAAACCAAAAGATACATATCTGCAGGAAATGTCCCATTTTAAACCTAACTTTACTCCATGTTTTATAAACAAACAAAAAGAGAAGTTCTGGAAACTCTTTGTTCTTTGAATGACTGGGGTTCTTTAAATCTCCAAACAGTTCCTTAGCTCCATGGCCGTCCCCATGTAATTTGATGGCAGATACAATGCTCTGCATGCAAAATATCTCAGGTTCAATCCCCACATCTCCAAGTGGTGATGGGAAAAGAACTTCACTGAAAAACTGGAGAGCTGCAGCCAGCGTCAACAATACTGAGCTAGCTGGAGCTTTTAAAGATTGAAATAAAGATATGAAGAGCAAAACTCCCAAAGTTGAAAGTACAGTGGTACCTCTGGTTACATACGCTTCAGGTTACATACGCTTCAGGTTACAGACTCCGCTAACCCAGAAATATTACCTCGGATTAAGAACTTTGCTTCAGGATGAGAACAGAAATTGTGCTCCGGTGGCATGGCGGCAGCGGGAAGCCCCATTAGCTAAAGTGGTGCTTCAGGTTAAGAACAGTTTCAAGTTAAGAACAGACCTCCGGAACGAATTAAATAATTAACCCGAGGTACCACTGTATAGTAAAGTTCAACTTATTTTGCCCCATGAAAAATTGCGCCTAACATTTCCTATTCTTCTCTTTTCCCAAGGAGACTGTTTTCTCATTTCGAAGGACAAAATAAGGGACCTTAAACTCTGTTGACACTGTAGTCAATGGTCTTCTTAGTGCCTCCCCGTTATGCCCTTGAAGGCCTCACACCTCACGTTTTCCTTAGAGGAAATTACACACAAGACCTTACTACTATTTGTAGTGCAACTAGAACTACATGCCATCACTATGCAGTAATTTGTAGGGTGTTCAGGCAGCAACATTATTCATCCATGTCTTTTCATTTGTACAAGAAGGTGACTTGTCCAATTCAGGCCAATGACTTACCTAGCATTTTGCTTACATAGGGTTCGATGTCAACATCTTGTAGATGCTGGTAAGTGTGAGCATGATAAAGGCGGAGTGTGGAATCTAAACGGATTGATACCCACACTCCATCTCCCACCCAGGCCAGCTGTCTCACTTGGCTCTCCTTCCTTGGGTGTGCATCAAACGATTTCTGAAATGAATTATAGTTTAATTAAGGAATGCATAATAAAATAATTCTCCAATGCCTCCAGTTTACACATTACTAAGATAAAATAAGATCACATCTTTCCCCCCCTCTCTCAGTAACACTGTTAAGAGAGGATCAGCAATGGCTCTTTTGTTTAGTATGCATCAGTGCTCTAAAATCTGCTTTTTTTAAAAAAAATTGATCCTGTGAGCCCCCTGTGATTTCCTCCAATGGATCAAAGGTAAATCTACTGAATTAGCAATATTTACTAATGGCTATTTTCTGACAGTGATTTTTCACATATTTATGGTCATGTATAACTTATGATCCTGCTTGCTTGGCCTTCATAGATGTTCTCTTTATGCCATATAATCTCATTTCCTACTTAACCTCCTTTCTTCTAAATGAGTTCTCCCTGATTATTCACCAATTTTAAATGGCTGCTTTAACTTGCCTCTATTTTCATGGCTTTTGGCTGAACCACATAAATTTTGTTTCTGTAGCCGCACCAGACTTTATCGTGTACCACAGTCATACACCGGATTGAATGGTGAGGTCGGCCCAAATCTAGAAGGTGATAGTTTGTCAAGTCCCATTGCCCATCTGAAGAAGAAGAAGAAGAAGAGGAAGAAGAAATTATTAAGGGGATGAGCAAACCTTGTCTGCAAATGTTAATTTGTGTACATGACTAAAATATGTATACTACTACATTTCTATTCACTTATTTTCCATTATTCAAATCCATAACTTTATAGGGAACAGATAAAATCCATAATGGCATAAAGAAGCCTCTGTCAACCTGCCCTTAAGATGTTTCAGGTCACAACTTCCTTCAATTCTGACCGCTAGCCATGCTGACTGTGGCAGATAGAAGTTGTAGCGCAAAAACATCTGGGTAGCACCAAACGCAGGAAGGGTGACAAAGAATAAATGCCCAGACACCCATGCCTTACATTCAAGGAATACTCATTTAAGTTATGTGGCGTATTCTTTATAGGCATTCAAGTGCTCTGATAGGCAAAATAAACCCAAAACAGCAATACCACCCACAGAAAGTGGATGTTTAGAAATCATGACACACTGACTTGTACATAAGGCAATAGTTCAGATCTATTTGAACACAAACAAGCAAAAGAGATACCTTCACATTTAGGTATCCTCAACATGCTCTACGGCGCATCAGTTCCTAAAAGGATGCTACACACAGGCAAATGAGCCTCTACCCATCCATTGCTCATGCACAGGACAGCAGTGAAAACAGCACCAGGCTACCCAAAGGACTGCAAGTAAGAAGCCCGCAATGAAGCCGCATATTTTAAGGGGAACAGAGATGAATGGGAAGAAGAAGAAGAGGAGTTTGGATTTGATATCCCGCCTTTCACTCCCCTTCAGGAGTCTCAAAGCGGCTAACATTCTCCTTTCCCTTCCTCCCCCACAACAAACACTCTGTGAGGTGAGTGGGGCTGAGAGACTTCAAAGAAGTGTGACTGGTCCAAGGTCACCCAGCAGCTGCATGTGGAGCAGCGGAGACGCAAACCCGGTTCCCCAGATTACGAGTCCACCGCTCTTAACCACTACACCACACTGGCTCTCCAGGGAAGAGAGAGGGAAGTCAACATTCTTGATGACTCTTTATACTACTTGGAGATGGAATAAAGCTACATTGAGTCCCATCAGAGAAAAGGGTGGGGTAGAAATAAATAAATTGATGGTGATGATGATGATGATGGTGGTGGTAATAGTAATACAGTGGTGCCCCGCAAGACGAATGCCTCGCAAGACGGAAAACTCGCTAGACGAAAGAGTTTTCCGTTTTGGAGGTGCCTCGCAAAACGAATCTGCAATGGGCTTGCTTCGCAAGACGAAAATGTCTTGCGAGTTCCTGGGCTATATTTTTTCCTTTCCCCCCTCCTTTTTCTAAGTCGCTAAGCCGCTTATCTGCTTATCTGATAAGCTGATAAGCTGCTAAAAGCCGCTAAAGCCGCTAAAGCCGCTAATAGCGCTAATAGCGCTAATCCGCTAATCCCGTCAATGGGCTTGCTTCGCAAGACGAAAAAACCGCTAGGCGAAGAGACTCCCAGAATGGATTCTTTTCGTCTTGCGAGGCACCACTGTAGTAGTAGTAGTAATAGTAGTAATAATAATGGAGGACTTCATTTTTTGGTCAATATTATCCCAAGAATTACAAGATTTCCCACTGAGCAGATGATCTGTAAAGGTCTGCAATGTATCCACATTTTAGAAGCAGACCAGACATATAAATATGTGACAGTTCTAGGGTGTATAAATAGAAAGCTTACCTACTCCTCTGTGAAATATTGCTAAAGTTCCATCTGCTAGTGCAACTAATACTATTCCTTTTACGTGTCTAGAAAAGAAAGAAAGGCAAAATGTATATTATGAGGAAACTCTGACCATAGTAATTGATTGTTGTGCTCATTAAAAGCCCTGTCAACACTACACACAAAAGCAAACACATCCTATGTTGGCACCCTCTCCCACCCCTAACAGGCGATCAGTGCATGCCATCTGTCTAAACTTCACATATAAATGAGACTCAACTGAAATTGTTATCATAATTAGCATACAAAGACATGGTAATAATACTGTATCAAATTTATTCATGGTCTTTTAAGCAATTGTTTTATCTCTTAACCAAGCCCCAAAGAACCTCAGTAAACTATTTCAGAGCAGGAGAAGATTTACTGAGTTTCCTATTTTATAAGACAATACGCTTGGCCACTACAAAAGCACCTTCCTCCCCAAGCTTACACTATGGTACAAACCACTGAAGGAGATCAACAAACAAACAAAAACCAAACCACATGCTCATGCAATGTAGGATCACACAGGACATACCCTGGAACAGGTATCAGTAATTTTTTTTTGGGGGGGGGGACTCCCACAGCAACATTTCATGCTTGTGATGTGGGAAGATAGATTTTTGTGAATCTATGTCTGCTCATAGACTGTCCTGCTAAACCAGCAATATTACTTAAAGACTGTGGGAAAATTTGCTTGCACACTTTTCCCTCCTAGCTTTCAGTGGGTGTGACATCCCAGCTACAAACATTCCTTGAAGGATCATCAATGACAGCTTTATGATTGCCAACAAATACATCACTTTCTATTTTCTTGCTGACAATTCCCAACGTGCCATTCTCTTCTTCAAACCCCCCTCCAAAAAAACCCAAAACTTTTCTGAACTAGCATTTCACAGAAGCTATTTTTAGTGTAATTATTTTCTACTCGGCTAACTCCATTTTAAACTACAGAAATGTGAATATCATTATGGGGGGAAAATTAATTTTATAGAAACTTACACTATACTGAGTATAGAATCTTTAAGTTTAATTGCATGAACACATTTTCTCCACTGAGCCACTGAAGAATGAACATATAAGCTGCAACGATAAAGTCAGATTAATTAAAAATCCAATATTCCAAAATCCATATTAGCATTTAAAAATGGCAGTATTGTTTATAGCTGTTAGCTTAAAAGTAAATAAATCACAAGTTGGCTTAAACAATATTGCTTTGCCCAGCCTGAATTAGGTTATTTCAGTAGCTTAATTCTGTTCAGCTTTGCTGGTGCCCTTTTCAGGAATCTAAACTTGCTGTCAGTAGCTAATGGATCATTTAATTCAAAATGCTAGTGCTTACCTTTAAAGACCTTTACTGAGGCCACAAACCCTTTTGACATAGCGGGCACATTTGGGAACTTGATAAATTGTTGTGGGCACCACATGCGCATTAGCCCCTGCCATCAGCAATTAGGGCTGGACAAAAATGCTTTAGCTTTTTTCATGCCTAACAGGATGGAAGTGGTGCGATCTTCCTGAAAGATCTCTCTCTCCAACCCTCCCTCCCTCTTACATTCATTCCCTCTCACACTACAATTAGACTTGAACAAAGCCTTTAATTGGAATCAATTTCCGAATCTAACTGCAGCAGGGAATGGGACAAAGTGCCAAGAAGAAGGTTTATTTCAAGTCTACTTGTGGCAGGGACATTTTCAACAGGGGGTGGCGGCAGGGGTGTGTATCACAGCTAGCTAGGGGAGAGCTAACCTCCAAAACCATCCTATCCCTGTTGCAATTAGGCTTGCAGCAAAGCCTTCTTTCCTGGGCTTTTGGAGGGAGGCAGGGATGAGACAGGCAACAGTAAATATCCACCATGCTTTAAGACTGTTGCCGGGGGCCCTTCTCCGAGTGCTTCCTGTCAAAAGTTATGCAGGTAGCAACCCAAGAAAATCGCCTTTCTGACAGTGGTGCTCTAATTTACTGAATGCTCTCCTTAGGCAGGTTCACTGGACTCCTTTGGGGGGAATGGTGGGACAGAAATGTAAATCATAGAGTGGAGGACTGTTTTTTAAGTTCCCCCTGCCTTCTTTTACCAGAAATTGGTTTTAGCTGCTGCTCTGCTTTTAAATCTTCTGTATAACTACAGTGGTACCTCTGGTGCGAACAGGATCCATTCCAGAGGCCCATTCTCAACATGAGCAGAATGCAACCTACATCTACGTGTGTCGTGAATCGCCACTTCTGTGCGTGCGCATGACGTTATTTTGTGCGTCTGTGCATGCGCGAGCGGCGAAACCCGGAAGTAACCCTTTCCGGTACTTCTGGGTCGCCGCAGGATGCAACCTGAAAACGTTCAACCTGAAGCAAATGTAACATGAGGTATGACTGTATTGTTTTTTATTATTATTATTGTTAGCTGACCCAACAGTACTCTTGCTTAAGGGTGGGCTATAAAACTTTACTTATTAAAACAAAGGTGCAATACTGTAACAGCAGAACCTCTTATCTAACCTCCCACTTTCAAGTGTCAGCTTTAAGTTACTTGGCTGGGTCTCACATCACTGACTGAATATGCAGATGACTGGGTGACAAGATTAATTGGGGCTTAGTCAATCATCGGTGTTAATTGTTTAAAAATCTCACCTGAATCTGTAATTCAGAGCAAATTTCAAGGTTGAGGTTTCATTTTTTTTTTAAAAAAAAAGAGAGATTATTTACCAGTCTCAGAAAAGGAAAAAACTGAACTGATCACTAGACACATTTCTATTAGTGAAATAGTTTGGAATTGAGGTTCTTGGTTTACCATCCATTCTGGGCTCCAAGCCACATTGTTGGCAAAAGGCTGCTCATTTTCTGTGCTTCTTCTCTCACGAGATCCTGCTCATTTGGCAATACAGCAACATCCTTATACAAATCTGACTCGTTGCTGAGAGGAAGGGGAAAGTCAAATGGTTAAAATATGAAAAGGTTGTTCAAAGTACACTAGGCTTGTTTCAATACTCTTTTACTTAGTCTGCACATTCTAGCAATTCCAATTTAAATTTGGGAGCTCAGTACCACAAGATGTTAACACATTTGTCATTAGAAATGCAGTATAATCTCTTTCTGCCTTTACTACTCCTTTTCTGTTCGTGCAAAGGGGGGCATACCTAGGCTGAAATGCTGGAGAACCCTCTACGGTATCCTGAACTCCCAAAGGATCTGTGAAGACATGTTCTGTGTAGACTCCAGTTTGTGCAATATCTGCAGCTTCTTCTCCTGAGTCAGCATTGACTTCTGTCGCCTCGGTCGCTTCCTCTGCCGTCTGAATGTTCTCGTCCACTGCATCATTCTCAGCTGAAACGTCTAAGGTACATTTTTCAGTTATAGGTCACTCAGTTCCTTACTACAAGAAAGCATGCATGAAAATGTGTGCCCTAATGAGTCACTCCTTTGATTCTTTCTACGTTCCTTTTTGTTTTTTTATGCAGGAGAGACATATCTAAACTGAGAAGATAAGGTGATGTACAGTGACATCTGGCTGGTTGATAGGGGATCTAATACTTATTTCACTCATCATAATGCAGATCAATCTCTGACGTTTTGGGTTTCTGGGGCTTTTTTGTTGTTATTCTGTCTCTCACAGCTACAATAAACCTACCATTAAAATTATGGACTGGTCATTTCTTCATCAGAGGGCAAATGGGCAAACTTAGCAGGGGATCAAATACTTTCCCCCCTCACTGTATATAGAACGGTCAAGAGGCAGAATTAGTCTGTGTCAAGTCTGTTTGCTAAGCGGCATCATTGTATTATGTATACTCCATCCCTGCTACAAAGAACACACTTTCTTCTGTAACAAATCAGCATGTTGCATTAATAAACTCAAATGGACTACAAGCATGTTGTCTGCTACTAATTATATACTTTTACATCCCCTGGATGGATGGATAGATGGAGGTGTGAAGAAGCTCAATTATAATTAACCCTGTGATTATCACTTAGAAGAAGTGCAAGGCTTCTCCTTCGGACAAACAGGCCATGTTTGGATGCAACACTAAACTATACGATAAAAGCATTATGTGAAAGAGCTTCACGCTTGGTCACTCTCCCTCTGGTAAACCATCTTTCCTCCCTGCAAGGAGATCTGAAAGTTTTTGCTCCCATTTTAAAATGCGATAACTCAACAATTTTCCATGCTGCAACAAACTACATTTTGAATAAAAATTGTGAATGTTTTCATACCTGGCTGTTTATTTGTCTCGGGGGAGGCACCATTGGCACTGTGGGCAGCAGAAGGGCCTGTAATACCCTCTGCTGTACAACCAACTACTGTGATTCCTCCTAAAAGACTGTCTGTTTCTGCTGAGCTGTTGCTATTCATACTGCCAGACAAGGATGATTTGTCCACCAGACCAGAGTCCAGTTCTTGTGACCCTTCTTCTCCTGTAGGATAGTCAGTTTCGCGGGCTCCTGAAACAAAAATGTAAGGTTTCATTCAGTACCTTGGATAGTTAACTTTTCAGTACCCTTTGCGGGTTGGTGATTTTCATAAAATATGTGCAATTTGCTATCGTGTGTATCATAACACAAAATCTATCAAAGCTAATGCATGCCATCACATAGCTTACCCACCAGATTTCAGTGAAATATAAGAACGAGTCAGAAGTAGATTTGAAAACAGGCATTAAGAAGAGGGAATTGTTATATGTATGGTTGCTATGATGTAAAAGGTACAAACAAAGCAATTAATTCTTAGTGTTCAGAAATAAAAGGGAGAGTTCCTAAAACATACTTGTTGAACTTGTCTAGTTACTAGGATTCTACTTGTTTTGAACAGCCAAAACAAAGAAGCATTTCTGACAGCAAAGGTTTTAATTGTTGGTGCAGCGATGACATGACTAAAACCTTTTCATATAAGCTTCTTAGGAAGAATTTACAGCACTGCTTTAATGGAGTTAGGGCTTCAGACACAGGTACAGATAAAAGACTCTGTATATAACACAATGTAATAGCTCTAAACTAAATAATGTAAATTAAGTATATATTTGTCTACCCTATAGCAGCAATTATTAGCTTCTTTTAAAAATACAGGGCAAGATTGATTGATTATTTTTATGCATATTGTATTATTTATATGATGTTAGCTGCTCGGAGCCCAGCTGGGGAGGGTGGGGTACAATTATTATTATTATTATTATTATTATTATTAAGCTATGCTATAAGGATTTCCACTTACGCAACCAGACGTCCCCCCTCCTCCCCCACACCCTCTCCAAATCTGCTCCTGAGGGTTGGGTGAAGCCTAAAACTGGTTTAGGGGGATAGGGGAGAATGCTCCATTGCACAAGCAGAAATTCTGGTGCTGACAGAACACAGGACTTAGCACTATGTTATAGTCTACCCTCAGACATTAAACGGAGGGCTTTCACACTTTACATAGCAAGTTACTCCTTGGTTGTGCTTGCAGGTAATGCACATTTGTTTAACTATAGTTGGTTAAAGAAACCAGGCTTAACCTTACAGATTATTGCGAAGTCGTTGCAGTTTGTTTTGTCTGATGTACAAAAAAAGTGGGTATGGATGTACAAAAAAAGTTGGAAGTGAAACAAATCATGGCTTAGCCACATTTTGAACAAATCAGGTTGTTCAGTAACAATCCATAGCAAAAGCTGAATTGACTTGAAGATTACTGGCCAATTTACACACATTATGACTACCTGAAAAAGGCTTACTGCCCAGCTGAATTTTAACAGCAGTTCCAAAACAGACAGAAGCAAACCCACGTTAACTCAAGTAATTGCCCCCCTCACCTGAGTCTCTTACCTGGTACGCTAGCTATACAAAGCACATGAGAATTACAAACAATGAAACTGTCGAGGATGTTTCCTGGCTGGTTAGCATCTACAATGATGACTTTTGTAGCAGAGTGGGTGCTAGTACAGATCCACACAAGGCTTGACAATTCTTCCTGGTTTCTCAGCTCTTTCTGCTGGTCCTGTGTAGGCAGAAACCAGTACCAACCAATGTAAACATTACACAATATGCAGGCCTAGTTTGCATATAACACTCACCTAAACCATGTATTAGTGTGAATGAGCAAAGGTGTGGGATTCCCAGAAAGAAGATTAAGACTACTGAACTCTTCCCCTGGTTCTACTGCGCTAGCCAGAGCTATGCCATGATCCTGCCAAGGTTATGTCCAAACCCAGGCTGACAACTGCTTTCCATCAAACAAACTGCCCACAACCAAGAACAAGCCTCGGTTACAGTTTGTAGTTTGTCTGAAGTGAGACAACTAGCCTTGCAATGATCAAAACAATCCCAGTGTGGTGTAGTGGTTAAGAGCGGTAGTCTCGTAATCTGGGGAACCGGGTTTGCGTCTCCGCTCCTCCACATGCAGCTGCTGGGTGACCTTGGGCCAGTCACACTTCTCTGAAGTCTCTCAGCCTCACTCACCTCACAGAGTGTTTGTTGTGGGGAAGGAAGGGAAAGGAGAATGTTAGCCGCTTTGAGACTCCTTTGGGTAGTGATAAAGCAGGATATCAAATCCAAACTCCTCCTCCTCCTCCCTGGTTTAGCCCTGGGAAGCAAGGCACCAGCAGGATGGTGGGAGGAGCACTACAGCCACAATATTCTCTGCTAGGAAACCCTCATGTTTGCCTGATCGTCTGAAGCCATCAGTGGGCTTAGCCAACTGGGTCACAGTGTCATTTTAGAGTTTACTAGTTCAACCTCATTTTTATTTGGTGGGGGGTGGGAGAGAATCACATTATGAATTCCTACGTGCATTTTCTACAAATGCAGACGAATAAGCAACCAGAATTACTAAATACCAGTGTTGCAGGTAGTTTTACACACAAACTCCCCCACATTATTTTCATAGCTATGCAAAATACACTTTCATGAACTAAACCAAACAGGCAAGTTTTCTGTCACGCCATAAACATGTTGGTCTTGTGGAACTAGATTTTTTTGTCTTCTCCAAATGCTCCACCTGGCCTCTATAAAAACTTTGGAACCAAGAAGCAACTAGTGGAACCTAGACCTAGATGGATGGATACAATACAAAATGCAAATGTAAAAGCAAATGAATTATTTTCCATGGAAATCTGGGGTCTAATGAAGATTAGTGAACTAGCAAGCAAACACTGGTTCTTGTTCATGAGCAGGCACCAAAATGTTTTTGAACCAATCATGCCGTAATTATTGAATTATGAACACAATATTGAAGTTTTCTATTTTCTTGAAATGTTAATAGATTTGCAAAGAGTTTCACATTTTGATAATACCTCTGACCTTACCTTGAGTTCTTGATCTAATCTATCCAAGCTACTCTGTGATGCGCTCCTCTGTTTGTTGCTCTCTGCATCTAGAGTCGTCACATCATTGTAGAACACACTGGCACCAACCACTGAACCGCCATCTCTTGTCTTCCCTCCTGATAAATTAACTCCTACAGCACACCAAAGCTACAAAACAACAAGTGAACTTTATAAAAACCCACTGGGAAAACCTGGTTATCATTTCTTTTTATAAGACGTAAAAAGACAGCAAACATTTGTTGCACCCTATCATACATTATGCTTTTAGGGAAATAACAATATGACAATATTTAAAAACCAGAGTTTCTCAAAAGGATTTATTAAGCACCTAGAATTTAAATTAAACTAGGCGTTGCTCAGAACCTAACAAGCATATAACTTGCTCGTGCAGAATTAGGCCTCATCTGAAAATCACTACTGGTGCATTCTTTATTTGAAAAGAGGGAACTGGAGAAAAAGGAAGACAGGTGTACCTTCATGGATGTATCCTTTTCATCGAGTGGCCTTAGGTAAACAGGCACAGGTAAGTTCTTCATTTTGTTATCACCCTGGCCACCACCATTTACAACCTAAAAAGTGAGAAAGAAATATTTACTTTGCTTCAAAACGTTTCTGGCATCTTACAGACCAGCTTGTCACAAGCCCATATCAGAATTTGATAGGTTTGGCAAGATGACCAGAATATTAGACTGTCTGGGAAGAACAATCATAGATCCACTCATTTTAAAGTCATACACTAGTGAGATCAAAGCCAGAGGGGGGCAGTATTGTAATTTTAAAAGTCTATCTTGCCAGATTAGCTAAGAGGCACTTCTCAGCAGCTAATATAAAAAGGGGGGGGGAGGAGTGTAAAATAAACAAAGCCTTATGCACAAAGAATGGGATGGGGTTAAAGCTATACTTATCTATGCAGATCATAGTTTAAGACAGGGGTCAGCAAACTTTTTCAGCAGGGGGCCAGTCCACTGCCCCTCAGACCTTGTGGGGGTGGACTATATTTTTTTGGGGGGGGGAATGAACTAATTCTTATGCCCCACAAATAACCCAGAGATGCATTTTAAATAAAGCACACATTCTACTCATGTAAAAACACCAGGCAGGCCCCACAAATAACCCAGAGATGCATTTTAAATAAAAGGTCACATTCTACTCATATAAAAACATGCTGATTCCTGGACCGTCCGCAGGCCGGATTTAGAAGGTGATTGGGCCGGATCCGGCCCCCAGGCCTTAGTTTGCCTACCCATGGTTTAAGACCTTGAAACATTTCCCATAAAAATATGCAAGGTAGCACACATGTTCTCAAACTTCAGAAAAATGTGCAGTAACAACATTCCATTACAAAGAGGTTTGAACACAAAGCCACCCCACTCTTCCCACAGCTCAGTGACCTTTTATTGCTAGTTGTTCTTTCTGAACAGCAGCATTTGTGTTTAAATGGGAAAATTCTGCCTTTTAATAAGAAGGATTAAGAAAGTTTCATGTTTTACATGTTTTACAAGTAAACATGATAGCTCCACAGATCACCAACGCTTTGTGATTACCACAAAGGAATTGCCTTCAACTATTAACCAGAAATCCTTTGTGCAACATGCAGGTTCCTGAGTTCAGATGGGACCCTGCTTAGAGTTCCCTTGTTTTAGGTCTCCTTTCAGCAGCAGCCCTGTAATTTCAAAATGCAGAGCTAAACTGCTTTGCTCAGTCCCATACCTGCACTATGTTAATCCTGCCTTCATTTTGCTAGGCTTTTAAAATCCTTTCTAAACCTTTCAAGGATGCTTTAGTTTTCTGTGAAGCTGTAAGGTGGCTTTATATAATACTTGGTTTTAAAGGAAGACTGCAATGTGAAACTGATGAGAGGTTCAACGCTATCAACTTGTGGAGATAAATGATTTTTATCACTCTACATTTGTTACTTGGTTTACCAATACCAGGATGCCTGTGTTTTTATCATCTTTTTAATTTTTATGAATGACCACTCTTAACATTGTTGTCACCCGCAAAAGCTTGTGCCACAATAAAGTTGCTAGTCTTTAAAGTGCCCCAAATTTGCTGTTTTTAATTGTCAATTGTGATTTAGCTTTGTCAGGGTATTATTCTTGTGTGGTGCCTTCATTACATGTATTTAGGCATCAGGCAAAAACATTCCTCTTCTCCCAGGCCTTGGCTAATTAAACAATCTATGGCCTTTAAAACTGGTGTGTGTGTGTTTGTGTGTATTGTTTTTCTTCCTTTCTATAGTATGCATTTTTGCGTTTTTATACTGTAAACTGTCCTGTGATCCTCAAATGAAGTATGGCATAGAAATTTAATTAATAATAATAATTCCATATGGCAATTTGTAGGCATTATAATCTCTGCACAGGTATTTAAATAGCTCCATGTTTTGGCTGAGGTTGATGGAATCTGGAGGGTTACAGGTTTCCCACCTTGCTGAAAATGAAAATGCCTTTGGTGACCTGCCACCACAATATCCCCAAACTAAAACACATGAACAGGGATGAACAGTTGATAACACAATACCTGTTTATATTTCTGAGGAAGGCTCCAACCAAAAGCTTGCACTCTACCGTCTTCCTTCTGAACATGGGCTTTCACTTGGCGGTACTGTTCTCTCTTCTGCTCTCTACGTGAGGCAAGACTGGCCTCAGACCTTGGCAAAAGGGAAGGACACTTTTTTTTTTAATTCCAAGTTCCTCTATACCTTCCAATCCCCATTAGCCCAAATAAAACCTTTCAAAGTTATGTAGGGGGTGGCAGAAGAGGTTCTTCAAAGTTAATACGCAAGTGAAATCTGTATTGCTCCCCGGACACCCTACTTCCTTCAAGGTACTTGCTTTTTTCTCTCAGTGAGAAACTGTCAGCACAATGCTTCTAAGGTTTTTAGGGCAGCATGGCTCTCTGACACGACCTGCTGCTGAAGTCTGCATCTGGTAACATATTTGGATGAAGAGGGGGAAGCAACGTCTAACGCTGCGACCAAACTGGTATGGTGGAAAGCTGTAATTTGAAGGTCTTTTTAAATTACCCATATTCTGCATTCCACCCAAGGGGGGTTCTCTAATGTAACAATCAGGCCATATGACCTGAGGATTTGGGAATTCTAATCATGGAGAGGATTTTCCATTCCACCCCTTCATCTCTCACATTAACAGCCTTAAGAGGCTTCTGGTTACACCTGGAAACCCAGGATGCCTTCCACCAATCTCTGAAGAGAGGACAGCAACACTTTTATTTGATGAGGACTTGGCAATGCTGATTCAGACTTCTGTTATCTAAAGGATAGACTACTATAATGTTTTCTACATGAAGGTGCCTCCCAAAACTGTATGGAGGCTTCAGTTAGTATAGAACTGGCTGGTATTTTTCGGTGTAGTTTTATGATGGGAGAGGAAAACAGCCCTTTCCTGCCCCCCAGTTCACCCCACAACCACATCCTTTTGCTTGCGGAAATATTTGTTGAAACTAAGCTGGGCTACTTTTTTGCGGTTTCAAAAGTTGTTAGGAGGTTGTGCATATCCTGGCAAACTTTTCAAATGTCCCAGTTCAGTTCTCTCTTGGCTCATTTGGTCTAATAAGATCATGGGGTTCCTAATGGGGTACCATGGGAGGAAACTGTCCCTGAACTACTCTGGTCCTAAACCATTTAGAGCTGCATAGATTATAGCACCTTTCACTGTGCCAGGAGGAGCCAGCCACAGATACATCAGAGCACCGGTGACATGCGTTTCTGGGCCTACGTCCTCTGATTCATGCTAACTTTGCAAACACAGTTAACAAAAGCTCTACCTGGGCAAAACATTCAAACTGAGCACTGTGAATGGAAACACTGTTGAGGAAATGAAAGTCGGTGCTGAAAGGCACTGAGGGATTTTAAGCACATGTTAAATTAGTTCAAGTAAGGCAGTAAAGGGCATTATACTTAAGGTATACCCATCCCCAAAGGCAACATGCCACATTAGTGTGTGCTGTATGGATATCATGGGTTATTTTACACAGAAGTATCATAAAGGGACAAGGGTATTGGACCAGATAACTAGATAAATATAGGCGAGGTTATTTCTGAGAACAAGCAAGATTCTGGCATGGCAGGCTAACTAGTTATGCAGCCCCCAAGCATAATAATATAATAAGTTGAATAAATTGTTGTAATTGTTATGCAACAGAGGCTACCACATTTATGCACACAGTCTTCTTTTTGTCCATAAAAATCCAACAGCTGCCACCTGTTATTCCAATACTTCAAGGTTTGCTCAACCTAAACCCTGGGTTTTGATATTTCTACTACAATACATGCTGGCATTGCTGATAAATTCAAATAATTCTATACTGCTGACATACTTTTAGTCTGTATAAGCAAAGCAAGTCTTACTCTTCACTGAGGAAATCGAAGGCTTTTGATTTGTCACTGGGTAACTGGGATAAAGTGCTGCTTCTTTTCTTGACTGATGGAGTAATGTGGGAGGTTGGAGCATTGTACTTAACATTAACTGGTGGTTCTGGTTTCTTAGCAGTATTGCCTGATGAGCTGAATAGTCTGCTAAAACTGGAGACCACAAAAAAAAAAAGTAGAAGCATGTGAGTACACAGACACACCCAAAAGCCAAACTGGCTTCAAATGTACAGCAATGAGTAAGGAAACGTAGTAAGAAAGGAATGGGCCCAAACACAGCAGCCATTAACTGTCCCACACAGCTCACACCATCAGAACAGCAGCATTACGCTTGCAACACTCATAATAACTATTCCATGCACATCCAAGCCAAGAATGAAGATAAAGACTTGGTATTTACCCAGGGGCTAGAAAATGCTCTGGTGTCTGAAAATGTGGTGTTAAAAACAGCTTTCTATATACATACAGGGCTGGTGCAAAAAAAAAAGTAATGCTGGCTTCTATTTTTATTTTCACGTATTTACTTTTATTTCCATCTTTTTATTGCCTGCCCTTCATCCTGAGGTCCCAGGGTGGGTTGGACTCCTGCACCTGAAAATCTGAAATGCTTCTCTATCTGTATAGCAAATTTCTAGACCCGAGATAGTTAAGGCCACCATAGGCAACACCACTCAGTAATTCAGGCTCTGAAGCATTGATAAACTGCACAGTTTCCCCAAAACTTACAGGCACACAAGCAGTTTGATCATTATCTGAGTTGATGTGCCATAGTGATTAAAAGCATGAGCTTTGCTCTGTAAGTCACACAACTCATCACGGAGCTTGGTAAATGTTCCTTAGGCAGGATGCTGCCTCCATCTCACCATTATTTATAACAGGGAGATAAATCTGGCATAGCCTACAAGATTGCTGTAAGGATTGCAGGTGGTTTGCCCAAAGCATTTCCTATAACCTAAATATCTTTGTGTATATCATGCGTATGCCACAGAGTACAAGTTTACTAGACTACCAGACTATGAGTCCAGATCTAGAGGATCCATAACTTCAATGTACTATTCTGTTTCCCCACAGCAAAAGGCAGGGATGGACAAGATTGGTTTCAGTTCAGAATATGAACTACAATAAAGGTAAAAGAAACACAATCCCACAAGAATCCAGCACCCTCACAGCCAAGTCCTGCAGATTCACTACTATTTAGACAGGAGCCCAAAGATTTCTATTAAATCTTAAACCGCAAAAAAGTATTAAATAAAATAACTTCTGGGATCCACAAGATTTTAATATTTAATCACACAATAATTAATCTCTCACAATTTTAGTACTCTCTCACATTTGGCTTCAGTAATTATGTTTAGAACAAGGAACATAAATTAGCACTTCACAAATTCTCACACCAAGTTCTGGGGTACTTGAAATTATATGCAAACCACACCAAAAGCTACCCAAACTTCAGTTTACTTTCATATTCATAGAACAGCTGCTAACAAAACTCTGCACTCTTGTGTCAGAATTCTGGTTTCTTTTTTTTAATGCCACAATTAGATTAAGGCAGTTATGTTTCTTGGCCAAGTGCATAACCAACATTGCAAGATGCATCTTACAATCTGTCTTTAAGGTCAGTCTTACCCAGTTGGCATTCTAGATGGCAAAGAGAAAATAGGTTTGTTGTTATTGGTTCCTTGCACAGTAAAGAAACAAAAAAGGCTTTTGTGCATAATACCAGCATCTGATTGCGTTTCAGTACTTACAACTGCCAAAGGCTTGATCTCTTCTTCTCTTGCATGGCTGGATTTTCTCGTGATGCCCTGAAGAAAAAAATCAAAAGCTAATTAGCTGAGCAATAGGATGACCTAGAATGTTCTGCACGACACATCAAAGTAGCAAATGGCTCTTGTCTGGTTGCAAGATACAATACTATTAAATTGATGAGGTGGGTAGGGAGGGATTGCTGAATAAACAGGGTGCAATTTAACATAGTGCTAAGTGGGGCATGTGTTTGCAGAACAAGGCCTGTTTGAGCAAAAAGACATTTCCATTCTTCACTTCTTCCTATCTGCCACATGCCCTCTAAACCTGTTCTGGGTTTAGTTGTACATGAAGTTAGATTACTGTTCAACAAAATTAGTATCTGGATATTCTAAAAATTCAAGTTACTATTTTGACCGCTCATCCCCTAAAAACACACAAACATATATCTGGTGAAGGGTATAACACACACACATATATCTGATGAAGTCTATCTGGTGAAGGGTAAACAGTGTAAGGGCATCAAGCGCTTTTCAATCTGCTTTTTTGTTCACTGCCGATTTTACAGAAGGTTAAGTTCCTGACAAGATCATCCACTGCTCGATGACGGTTTTGTCCACCTCATGCATGCATTAGGAAAGCAGTTCCAAACAGCCAAGTGTACAAAATAATTTCATCAGAGGAAGTACCAAGCATTATGGCTGCAAAAGCTGCATGTGCAAGGAATACGGGGACTGCTCCAAGGTAGAATGTGGCTCATGCAAAACAAGTCAACTTAGTCACAAAGAGGTCTAAATATCTTTCTGTAGTAAAACTAAACTGCAGCAATCACATCCAGCCATTAGGTGGCAGCCAAATGAGATGTTAAAAGTACAGGAGTGCCTAGGGAAGAAGTTCAAAGTGAGAGGTGCACTACGCCCCTCCTACTGCTGCAGATCATCTCCTTGGAGTCTGTCTGCCAAGCACCATCTCTTTATTCAGAGATATGATACTAAATGTGTGCCCAGCTTTGGAATGCCAAGAGCTAAGCAATGGGTGGGGAAGGTAGGAAGCTGCCTGGTCCATCTAGCTCAGTGTTTCTCAAACTTGGGTCCCCAGCTGTTACCAGACTACAACTGCCATCATCTCTAGCTAACAGGACCAGAAGTCAGGGATGATACGAGTTGTAGTCCAATAACAGCTGGAAACACAAGCTTGAGAAACACTGGCTCATTATTTTCTGCCCTGACTGGCAGCAACTCTCTAGGGCAGCCTTTCTCAACCTGTGGGTCCCCAGATGTTGTTGAACTGCAACACCCATCACCCCTAGCTAGCAAGGCCAGAGCTCAGGGATGGTGGGAGTTGTAGTCCAACAACATCTGGGGACCCACAGGTTGAGAACCGCTGCTCTAGGCTTTCAGGCAGGACTCTCTCTCAGCCCTACTTGGGAAGTTAACCTGGGATGTTCTACATGCGAAGTATGTAGAAGGGCTACAGCCCTTCCCCTTTGATGGTCCTGCCCCCTTTTACTGTTTAAAAATAATCTACTCTCCACAATGCAATACAATAATAGCAGCAGTTTCACAGAATCACAGATTGGTACAGTTGGAAGGGACCAAAGGATTATTTAGTCCAACCAACTGCAATTATATGAGAGAGAGAGAGAGAGAGAGAGAGAGAGAGAGAGCTATCCAGCATTGCAACCATAACCGTAAAATACTATGAACAAGCATAAGAAAACTGCACTTGCCGTATCATCTCAGTCCATCGCACTGCTTCTTGGAGCTCCATTAGCCGCTCTTTATACTGATTTCTTTCCATGAGGACACGGGCCATTTCAACCCGAGTGAATCGCTTTCTCTGAGCAGTAGGAATGTCACTCTGCGCATGGGGGGGGGGGAGAGAACCAAGAATGCTTAACGTAGCAAATTATGTACAGTTTAAGGAGGAGTTACTTTCTCTTCCATCACCAATGAACTGCACTAAGGGCCTAAGACAGTCGTTTCGAAATAATTTACAGGTGTTTATGGCTATATATAAAGTGCAGTAACGGGTGGGAAGAAACAGCGCCAACAATGGAAGCGGCCCCTCACAGCCCCTTGGTGTCCAAAGGAGGGGTGGGGTGGAGGAAGCAGACTAATTCAGCATCCCCCAGATGTCATAGTCCACTCTACAACTGAAGGAGTTGCAGCAGATAAAGAAAGGACAAGTGCACACTTCTTCTCAAAAGCTCTTTCAAAAGGTCAGGGTATTTTAAGAGCAATGTTACACAAATAAGAAACAGGATTAGATAAAAAGCTGCCAATGCAATTACATACATCATCCTCTTCCTTTGCTTTTTGCCTTGCTTCTTCTGCTTCCGCACGGGCTCTAAACAAGATGCAAGAGTTATCAGTGAAGTTAGTTGCAGAATCCCTGGTAAGATCTTCTCTGCTGTACATGAAACATGCGTATTACACTCACTTTCTAAGTTCTTCTTCCAATTCCTTGTTCTTCTCTTCAAGCTTTTGTTTGGCCAGTTTTACAGCTTCCAGCTCTCCTTTCAGTACATCCTTCTCGCAGGTGAGCTCATCTACTTTTGCTATTAAGTCATTCTTCACCACATTCAAGGCATTTCTGAAGACAACAAAGATAGCTGTAATTAGGTCATTTCTACCAGTATCACATGAGGGACGCGGGTGGCACTGTGGGTTAAACGACAGAGCCTAGGACTTGCTGATCAGAAGGTCGGCGGTTCGAATCTCCGCGATGGGGTGAGCTCCCGTTGCTCAGTCCCTGCTCCTGCCAACCTAGCAGTTCGAAAGCACGTCAAAGTGCAAGTAGATAAATAGGTACCACTCCGGCGGGAAGGTAAACAGTGTTTCCGTGTGCTGCTCTGGTTCGCCAGAAGCGGCTTCGTCATGCTGGCCACATGACCCGTAAGCTGTACACCGGCTCCCTCGGCCAATAAAGCGAGATGAGCGCCGCAACCCCAGAGTCGGTCACGACTGGACTTAATGATCAGAGGTCCCTTTACCTTTACCAGTATCACAGAAATTGATCTATTTATTTTTACTACCGTTATTTCAATCCTATCATAGGAATTCAAGCGACAAAGAGTTATACCCCTCCTCCCACTTACAAAAATAGCTTTGGGCAGTATTAAACTAATGAGTCCCACTAGCGGAAGCCTGCACTACAACTTCCACCAGGAGAATCCCCAGAGCAGTATGGGGAGGGTGCATCACCACATCTGGCCAACTGAAATGTTTGCACTGATGGAACAATTGCCGCAGCATTAAGTTGGCACTGGCTGCCCCAGATTCATATTTTGTGTCCCGTTTCTATTCACAGCGGCAGTTTCAACAGCTTGCACAAAACTTAGTTTGCAACATTTGTTTTTATTCGGCAAATAGTATAATATGCCATATTGGACTAGCTCAGGGTTGTCTAACCCTCAGTTTGGGGGGTGTCTAATATTGCCCCCCAGGACCCCTCTAAATTTGACAGCAGCAAAAATGATTACCGTATTTTTTTTGCTCTATAAGACTCACTTTTTCCCTCCTAAAAAGTAAGGGGAAATGTGTGTGCGTCTTATGGAGCGAATGCAGGCTGTGCAGCTATCCCAGAAGCCAAAACAGCAAGAGGGATCGCTGCTTTCGCTGCAGCGATCCCTCTTGTTGTTCTGGCTTCTGAGATTCAGAATTTTTTCCCCCTTGTTTTCCTCCCCCAAAAACTAGTTGCGTCTTATGGTTTGGTGCGTCTTATAGGGTGAAAATTATGGGTAAGTGAACACAGTGGTTGGCAATAACCCACCTCCTTATCTGATCTGTACACCTGGGGGGGCAGTATGCCTGTGGGTGTCTGCGCACATGTGAGAGTGTTGAGTGGCCACGCCCTCTTTTGGCCATATCCACAACTGTGTGTGGCCCCAGAGGGTTGGTGAACCCTGCGCCCCAAAAGCGTCAGCCTCACCTAAACTAGTCTAGCTCTGCGACATCTAAGCAGATCCTCTTGGACAGTGCTTTTTTCTGGGGGTACTCATACCCCTAAACATTTTGTGAATCTAAGTTTGGCCTCACTGAGGGGCAGTATTTCAAGTAGGAAAATGAGAGTACCCCTAAACATTTTTAAAGAAAAAAAAAGCACTGCTCTTGGGAACAAACAAATTAGTGAATGAGGGAGAGTTGTTTCTGATTGTCCTGAAGCTATTGATGGTCAGCTACACTTAAGAAACCCAAGCTCTAATGTTCTGAGATTCCCTGTGCTTTTTGTAATTTTGTACCTTTCATGAACTAAAGGAATATGTAAGGTAAAAGGTAAAAGACCTCTGGATGGTTAAGTCCAGCCAAAGAAGACTATGGGGCTGCGGCAGTCATCTCACTTCAGGCCGAGGGAGCTGGCGATTGTCCACAGACAGCTTTCTGGGTCATGTGGCCAGCATGACTAGACAGCCTATTATATTAATTATATTAACCATTAGAGATCAAAATAGTGCAAACACCTAAAGCATCAACTAACCTACATCTGTCACCTAGATATATGGAACAAGGGCCTTGGGAATAATTGATTATATCCTTTATGAACCAACAACCAGTCTCATGATCAATTTTAAAACAAGTTTAGCAGAAGCAATTCTATGTTCAACAGCTGAAAAAGTTACTCACTTGGTTTCTAGCAGTTGTGTATTTTCTAAGATAAGGTTTTCAACTTCACGACCCATTCCTTTCAAAGACAGAACAGAGTAAACAGCTTAAAAACATTGAAATTACTAGTGCAAGTGCCAGTTCTCAAACTTATGTACCCTGATACAGAGTTTAGTGTATGCTGCTCCGAGGTTCATGTGGGGCTACTATGTAAGTGGGACTCCATATTAATTTCAATGGAAGGTACTGCCCTGCTTGCACGCAGATTAGCTTCCTCCACTGAAATGTATTCAGTCATTTATTTAATAGAATTGCATACTGCTTCTCAATGAACATTTCCAAAATGGTTTACAAGCCACCTGTCAAACATTCAATAAAATATAAAAATGGAAGAACAACCTATGCAGGTAGGATTGTTCTTGGAGTTTATCGAAGCACCTGATTACTTAATAGCTGAAACGACAGTTTTCAAAACTAAATCTTGCTGCTGGACTTTTAAAGTGTAGGCTCTCTGAAGCCCAGAAGAACAATGCAAAATATTTTCAGTCCAAGAATCCAATGTTTAACTGCTCTTGCAGAAAATAAATTGAATTAAAACAACAAGTATTGAAAATCAATTAAAGTTTACACTACAAATTTAAATTACCTATATTTGATGCTGAAAGCCGTGTCACAACACAGAGAAGAGATGCAGAACATGAAAAAGCTCAAAGACAATGCAACGCCCTTGCAAATGTTCCCCAAATGAGATGATACCTTACCAAAGAAATTATGGTCTTTAAAGCCCATGAATCCCATGAAGAGCAAGAAGAAGAAGAAATATTTTATGTAAGGAGAGGAGTATGAGTGGGGCACAGCACAATACTAGAGATATGAGTGATTTCAAAGCAAAGCCAGCAGTAAACGCCTGAAGCCAAATTATGTTCTGATTTAAAAATGACTCGTATAGTAAGACAAAAACAGTTAAAAGAGAGTAGTGTCAAAAAGTATGGTTAAGATCTAGGAGAAGCCTCAGTGGACCAAGCATTGCTCTAGTCTGGCATCCTGTCTCTAACACTGGACCCTCCAAGAAACCCATATAGAGGCTATGAGGCCTTTTTTCTTTAGTTTGTCCCCAGGAATCTAAATCCCAAAAGGTAACACTGCTGAAACAAGGGGTTCCATTTAGCCAGGGAGGTTGTAGAAAGACCTACACCCTTCAAGACTGACTAATCCCCACCTCCTGCCACTGCCTCTTGAAGCCACCTGCCCATGGCCATCACCACATTTTAAAATAGGGAATTTAATCAGTTAATTATGGGTTGCATGTCAGCCACGCACTTCTTTCTTTGGTTCGTTTTGAATTCCTTTCCTTGGTTCTTTTTGATGAAGGGGTGTGTGTGTGTGTGTGAGAGAGAGAGAGAGAGAGAGAGAGCGCGCACACACACACACACACACACACACACACGAAAATAAGGTAGTGCCCAAATTTACTGAATGTCCCCAAGGCAAAGCCAAAAGGACACACACACCCATCTAGTCTTTCCAAGCCACACATAATTTACTTGTCCCACATCACCCCTTTTTCTTTTCCTAAAGTTCCACAAGGCAGAAAATGTTCTTGACCATTTTAGCTGCCTTATTCTGCACTTTCCCCATCTCTGCAGTATCTTTTTGGGGAAGGGACGGTGGAGGCCATACATGGTTGGTTGGTATAAATGGTATTACAAACACTGGCAGCTGTTATTTTATTAAAGTGTGTGTTTGGGGGGGGGGAGTTGATCTTTACAGATTATCATATACCAACAGCTACACATTTCAGACCTCTGAAAGGTATCTAAAGTTATAACGTTCCAATAATATTTTGGGGAAGCGGCAATGTCATAGCTACATTCTTGATGGCTCACCATTAAAAAAAACCCAATGGGTGTTTAAACTGGGCTTCCCTTCTTACATCGATCTTAGAACACAGGCCGATAAAAGGTTACAGGTTTCTGGGAAAATCTAGGAAAATTAAGACCCTGCTAAAATGTGTATAGCGTTGGAACGTATTTGCTATTTACACATGTATTTGCAAAACTGAGCAAATGAGACCAACTCCTCAAACAGAATAAGCACGTAGTAATTTAGTGCTTCTCCACAGCAAATGGGCTGCCCTGCTCACCTGGCGGGAGGCAGGGAGGGCAGGTCCATATATTTACACCACAAGCTGCCCACTCTATTGAAATGAATAGGTAAGTACCTGCACAAGGAGGGGAGCTCTGTGCACCCACTGGAGTAGTGGACGAAGTCACTGGAACAAGGCCAATATCTTGCTCCTCGATTCCTTAAGCATACTGAATGTACTCTTTTGAGAAATAAGGATCATATTCTCTAAAACGCATGGAAAGCTGACTGATGCCAGAGAAACAAGGTATCTTGCTTTTATGTGGCTGCTCTCACAGTGCTGACAGAGATGCACAGATCAAAACCCACCTGCCTGAAGTCTCCCTGTTGGAGAGGGGCTGCAGCTCAATGGCAGAGCATTTATTTTGCACGCAGAAGGTCTCAAGAAGGTTCAATCTCCAGGTAGGGATGGGAGAGAACTCTGCCTGAAACCCCGAGGAGCTGCTGCCAATGCTGAGCTAGGTGGACCTGTGATCTGAATCAGTATAAGGCAGCTTCCTATGTACTGCACTTGCTGCACAGGAGAAAGGAACCCTGCCCTCATTCTGCCAGGATAGCAGCATCACAATGCATTCTTCATGCCCTCCAACTAGCCAGCTCTTCAATTTACATCCTACAATGCGTTTGACATGTGCTTGTGCTTTAAATACATAAGAAGAGGGCCCTGTACTCAGTGATCAGCAAACAGTCATGATGGTTTCAGAAGGTTTGTTGGTTTGTTTATACTGCCCTTCATCCCAAGACCCCAGGGAGGATGCAAAATGAGAATACAAAATACTTCAAACCCTGTTCTTATTTCCAACTGCTTCTCCATGTTTGGGTGGTTTTACAAGACAGAATTTGGGCCAGTATCTGCCTATAGCTGTAGAAAATAATGGGTCTTATCTTCAAAAGTGGCTGAAGTTTGAGTTTTTAGAGGATTTCAAAAAGTGCTGTTCGTAGAGATAAACTTGAGTTATTTGCACTACACTTTTAACTGCTGGTGTCCCTAACAGAGAAACGATTATCAAACAAAAAGGTTGGGGGGGGGGAGAGATACCAAGCAGGATAAAAACCAAAATAACAACATATATTATGATAGCAGCAGCCAAGAATATTGAATTTCAAAACAATCACTTTCGAAAATATAAAAAGCATACACACCAGAATATTCCCCTGGGTATGCAGCCCAAGAGAAAGAAAATTGGAGAATCCCATGTAAACTAACATTGTGGAACCATGCTCCATAAGTCAAACAGCAGATATATTGCATATCACGCTACAAAACAATGCATTTCATACAAAATGCACACTTATTTCAAATTGGGTCCCACTGAACTCAGTAGGACTTCTGTATAAACACATTAGGATTATTCTGCCGCATTTAGTCGTTTCCCTTCAAATCCTAGAAGATCCAGGCTAAAGTCTGGGATCCTCCTACCCTTCAAATGTTGGATTCTATTCCCATCCAGCCACGATGGCCAAAGGTCAGGAGTGATGGAAACTGTGCTCCACCAACATCAAGAGGGTAGCAGGTTCCTCATCCCTAATCCGGGCTATGCGAGTTGTGTTTGCAACCCTCTCTTAAAACAGACATCAAGAGCTTTAAAAGCAACTCATTAATAAACCCATTACTGATGTCCTTTTAATGTCAAGACTCTCCATTTCACTAGTTAATGCTGTCCATCGTATATTCATTCAAATCAGCCAACTTAATTTCAGAGGACAATGAATGGAGAAGACTGATGCTATTCACCAAGCTACATATGTGACTCCCCCTTATTCGAAAGCCAAATACTTGTAATGCTTTTTTAATTTTTAAATAAAGTCAAATCATAAATGCTGTTTGAAATAGATGAACGAAATTTATATTGCCCACCACAAAGAGAATAAAATGTACTTGAGTATCTGCAGCACATCTGTTGAAACGCATAATTCTAGCCAAGGCTGCATGCAGAGTTTTGTAACTAGGGTAACTACCTTCCAATAAAAAAAAATAAAAAAATCCTGGCACCTGGGCTATGCCAGGGCATGTTTCCTGCTCAACTCCAGAAAGAGCAGAACTACTACTGAAACCTTTATTTTCATTCCTGTGACTGCAGCAGTGCCTGGCGTATACCGTGCTGTGCTGACATTATAGCATAAAAATGAAGGTGCGCCATAGGGGAGCAGACAAAACAGCAATCCCACTAGCCGCAGTTGCCAAGTGATATTGGCCTACCTCAATTGCTCAACAGAACCTGGAGTGTGTGGTATGGAGAAGGCACCCATATGTGCTCTATCAGGGCGAGCACGGCAGTTGAGCTCGACCCACCTGGCCCTTTAATGCTTGTGCTTGGGTTACACAGTTCAGGCATGTACACTAAAAGGAAGTGAGGATTCTGGCTAACCTGAACAATTCTGACATTTTCACACAAAGTCATGGCAACCATCCCAGAGATGCGACACAACTGGGTAGTTGTCTATTTTTCTTCTTGATCAGCTGGAAACACTCCCTTGTCAACATTGTTTCCTTCTGTGAGTACTTCTAGACTACTACTATTCCATTTGCTGAATTTAAATCTGCATTCGAGGTCTCGCTTGTAGCTCTGCAAATATGACATTTTGCAAACTTGGCCTACAGCTGATTTTGGGCGATTCCCTCTTCCCACTGCAGCCCATCACTCCTCATCGCATGCTCTTCAGAAGGGGCCACTGACCCTCTAGAGACTTTTCTGGAAGCACAGGAGGGAGAGGGGCAGGCGAATCCCATTCAGCTTGAGTTTTTCCACTCAGTAACCAAACCTTCATCTTCTATTGTGCCCATGGCTAGCTAGAATCTTAGGCTCACTATCCAAAATAATATTTAGCAATTACAAACATTTGCCTTTTTCTGATCCTTTTAAATGGGCCTCTTTGGTCTTCTTCGTGACCCAAAATAGAAAATCTGCTTGGGGAAATAGTGTACATTACAAAATGTGCCCCTCTTACAGCGGAGTATAGGGCTGCTATAGAGGCATCTGGCTTACTGATTCCATATGATGCCAATGTTTGACACTACAAAAGACATCTGCTGACAGCCTGCAAGAACCAACCCACCAAACTGCTATTGGGCCTTGATTTGCATCAAATTGGAATCTACGAAGTTTGAGCAGTGCTAGGTTTATTTATTACGTAGGTTTAGCAATCCTCCTAATGGGGATAGTCTTACATTCTTTAACAGAACTGACTGTGGAACTGGGCTCATCTCCTTTAACTATAGCTGGTGGAAAAGTTCCGATCTGAAAAATCATCTAGGCTGTAATGGATCTGGATGGGGGTCATTGGAAAGGGTATCGAGAGGGACCTCTGCATATCAAAGAATGGAGGATGACCGTATTTCAGAAATGAGGCCCCTCCTGCTCTTGTATGCTGATGACTGATAGAGACAGGAGCAGCCAATGAGGGCTCTATTTTCAGCTTGCCATTTACCAAATTAAACTGGTTATTTCACCAGTCCTTAAAAACTCAGAGCAAATGCTAGATTCACTTCATATTTGGGTAGTCTTGTGCCTCTGCATATTATTGTACAGGCTGATGGTTCTGGGGGCTGTTTCAGATATCCTCCCCATGTCACATGACTTCCTTCTCACCTGGTGAGTAGCTGCTACACCTGCTCTGAAACCTTACCCAAACCTATCAGGGACTCAATGGAACTTACTTCTGAGTGCAACCTAGGACTGCACTAAAGCAGAGATCTGAATAAATAGTCGAAAGACTCCCTTTGGTAAAAACCTCATGTAGGAGACTGAATGTTTTCAACTTCACCATTTTTAATTAGTAAGCATTTTATATATAGAAGAAACTTACTTAAAACGAAGTACTGAACATGAATACTTTTCTCAACAACTTCATTCCTCAACTCTCACAGAACAATTACCTTCACAGTTCTTAAGCTGAAGAAATGGATGGAAATCAACAGGATTTTTTTAGAATACCCACTTACCCAGTAGGTCTGCTCCTTCATCCACATCCCCTATCAGACCAGTGCCAGCAGAAGATAGTTCTTCGAACAGTGATTCTGTATTACGATCAAATGCTTTGTTCTCTATGCCTTTGGTAGGTGTGCTGCACAACAGAATTGGAATTTAAAAGTCAGGAGAATAAAAGTTTTAAAAATATGTAAATGTACGCACACAAATTAGTGTCAATGTGTGTGGGCACATGGTCTTCTAAATCACTTCATGCGTCTGACAATGTGGGTTCCAGCCCATAAAAGCTAACACAGCAATAAGCAGCGGTAGCCAACGTGGTGCCCTCCAGATTTTGTTGGACTACAACATCCATAAACCCTCAGCTAGCATGGCCAACAACTGAGGATGATGGGAGTAGTAGTCCAACAACATCTGGAGGGTGTCACATTGGCAACCGCCAATATAAGTCAGGCATTACAGTCAGGTGTGTCTCTAGAATTATGTGCTAGAAACCTACCAGTGGGTGCGCTTAACTGTCAAGGGGCAGAGACATGTGTCAAGGTAATGCTTCCTCCCCACTTACCCCAAATGCACAGCTCGTGACCTGGGTTACTCTTCCTTTCATCCACTTGACTGGCTTTCACTCTTTTCCCCTGGCCCACCTCCCCACAGCACCAGTGGGAGGTCAGCCCTCCTTAACTTCTCACCCCAAGAGCCCTCTGCCCTTGCATTCTGGAGCACTTAAGCAGATCAGAAGCAGCACAAGACTCTCTTGCACTGGCGGAGGAACGGGGTGCGGAGGGCGCGGACCACCCTTGGCACCACTATTCCAATAGGGTGACATCGCGGCGGCCTCCCCGGACACGCGCTGCACACCCACCCACGTGCCGGGCGCCACGCCCCCATAGGTGGCACACCATGCCCCCAGAACGCAAGCCACGCCCTCACAGGCGGCATGCCACACCCCCACGGACAGCATGCCACACCCTCCGGGATGCCAGCCATGCCCCTCAGCCTGCTCTCCGCCCCCGGTAGCAGAGCATGCAGCTTCACCACTGCTCTCTCACACACTGTCTTTAGCTCTCCTGGAAGACCCTGAGTAAAAGGACAATGACTGCTGCTTCTCAGCAGATCAGGACCCTTTGCACTGGGCGGGCGGGCAGGCAAAAGCAGAGCAGCAGCACAGTGGACAACTGTATTGCTTCAGACATTCCCAAGCGTCCTATGCAACGTGGGCCATGTATGGGTCTTCGGGGTCCTGGAATTTGCCCAACAAGACTGTTGGATCTTATACGTGGAATTCAACATAGCATTAAGTGGGGTATGCATGCAGGGAACAAAGCTCTGCTGCGCAATGGGACTTTCTCCCACCCCCGCCTTCACTTAAACCTGTTCTGGAGGGTTTCCCCAGTCATATGGGGCAGGCCTAGGGGGTATGGGGGTGCACAGGAGGAGGGGGGAAAGGCCCATTGCATGAATGGATCTCTTCCATGCAACAACTTAGCTGAACCCTGCCCTTTACATTCCCCCACCCCAAGTTCTTTACTGATGAGAAGTGTTCAGCAAAATACCTTGACCCTTTATATCCACTAAGGTCTTTATCCATATCCAGCTCTGGAGTGGATTCAATGATTGCCTGAACTTCAGATTTGTCTTCATTTTCATTAGAACCTGGGGAACAGAGCAGAAGTAACTATTTATTCCCATTTCTTTTTCATCCTATCCCAAGAGCTTAAGGGAACTACTAGGTATCTTATTTTAATTTCACAGCAACCCAATGAAGCAATCGCTAAATTATGAGATTAAAAACTGCCAAAGACCAGAGGGATTCACAGCTGAACAGACATCTGAACTATAAAATTACACTGGCAACAAGTTAAATGGCCACTCCATTGCCCCTTAAATGTTACAGTAATTTTTTACTGCAAGGGTGACTTCACAAAGAAGACACTTTCTGCACAAAACACATTTCCATATAAGAAATAGCTTTTTTCCAGTTTATAGATCTTTAACATTTTATTAATTCGTTCTAAGTACATTTTATTAATTTAAGTACATAAAGGAGGTATGAATATTTATATTTCATAGACCATACAATGGATTTGGAAGCCATGGGGACAATTTTGTCCCCAACCCCCGTGTGATAACCACACCCAAACATACTTGCACCTTATTACACAAGAACACCATGTTTCCTAAATATTAATCAAGAACATCACCCGTTCCTCTAAATATTAATCAATAACTATTCTTCTGGAACTTAGTACGCACACATATTTACACATAAGACAGGAAAAAAATTCAGTTTTAAAGTGCGCATAGTATTGGCTCTAGCCACACAATCTATTCTAGGAACTTACCAATAGACACATTTCTTGTTTCTTGGGCTACTTGCACTTCAATGTTCTTGTTCCCTATATCGGAGTCCTTCTCAAGCCCTTCCTTGTGTTCTTTCGAGGGAGATTCAGCAGGCGCAAGGACATCTGAAGCAGCAGTTAAGACTGGCGTAGTACATTTGGAACCTGCTTGGCTAACATCAGAAAGTTCATCCTAAAGTGTAGAGAAATTCAAAGTAATTACAGAATTTATATGATAACATTCCCAGTCACCGGATGGATACTAGACTTGTTGGAGCCAGTTCTCCTCCTAGACATGTCTGCATAACACCATCTTAGTTATCTTTTAGGAGCGAGGAAAAATCTGTCCTATACTCCCATGGTTGTAATAGTATTCAACATCTCTGTTTATACTGTTTATACTGGCTCTGCTGTTTCTATACGTGTGATTTAAATGCTTTTTGACAGTGCATTTTTGTCTGATTTATTTGTTTTTATTATTGTTCCAAGGTGCTTTGAAATCATTTACAGTGAAAGGAGGGAGGAGAGAGAGAGATTCTATATGTTAGGTAAACAAATAATGGTCAACACAGAAATTGTACTGCTTCTTCTTAGTATTCAGTTGAGCAAACTGTGCCATGGAAAGTTCCAAGATCATTCTCAATGGCTCAGAAAACGTACTTTTTCCAGGAACTAATGTAAGAACTAAGTGTATTACAAGCAGAAAACATAGCTGAATTTAAGAGACATTTTGCCTACACAAGTCCTTGTGATCCTCTTTCATACTGCAAAATAACGGGTTACGACCATATTGTTGAAACAGATTGAAACTACAAATGCAACACTGGGCAATCCAGCGTTAAATTTCAAAGCTTTACAGAACACTTGCTTAGCATTTGCATAAAGAAGTACATCAGAGTGGTATTTCAACAGATCCATTTATAGTGGCATATGACAAAAAGAGAAAATCTCAATTTCAATGTTATGTCAAGAATCCTCTCACGACACTTCTCCAAGGTCAGATACGTGAAAGGTGAAGGGTCAAGCAACTCCTTGCCTATGCCCCTTTTGAGATTTAAATTGTATCCCCTGCTTTACATATGAATGGGACAGACTCTTGCTTAAAACACTAGTTTTCTGTATCATTATTTATAGTATGGCCCCAACTGCAGACAATGAAATACTTAGCAAATAATTCTGATCCAAGCTTGGGCGTCTGCCAATAAACTGGTAAGAGGGAAGAACATCAGCGGTAGCACATTCCTCTGTGACATAGATACTACATATGGCAGATGCAAATATCAGTGCCTCACCTTGAATAAAAATCCTGTACACTGAAGCACTTTGGCCAGCAGCAATCTTGCTGCATCAGGGCAATTCTGGGACCTGGTGAACAATTCTACCATCGCTTTTTGGCCTTGCCCAGAAGTACCAGATTCACCAACACCTAACCTAGGTCCCATCCAAGCATTCTGCTTCACTCTTCCATCATTGCAACCACCATCACAGGTTGTTCTCTGAATCACACCTGTGTTTCCCCTTGCTCCTGCCAGCCTTACTCACTCCAAACCACCCCACCCCCATTTCCTTGGCACTTGACCTGCCCTCTTAACACTTCTTTCAGCTTCCAGATTTGGGCCATGTGAATTCCGTCCCTTTAGCAAATCCGCTCCACTTCCCAGTGGGGAGGAATTGCAGTGGACCACATGGCCGCCCACCACCCTTTGGGGGCGGGGGACGAAGTCCCATGTCACTTGGAGGTTCCCAGCCACGTCATTTGCCAGCCAGACAATCCACTGGCTGGGGAGGTGTGGCCGGGCCCCATTTAAACTGAGGCGCGAGCTGGAGAGCTCCCTCTTGGCTCGCTTCCTCGATCTTAACACTTCTTTCAGCTTCCAGATTTGGGCCATGTGAATTCCGTCCCTTTAGCAAAGTGTTTTTGCCCACAGTATAACTATCCTTCCAGCTTAAGCTTGACAATTTGGAGACTGCAGACATATTTGGGTTTATATCCTTCTAGTTTTGTCATAAAGTATCTTCCCTGGTCCAGCCTGTAATAAACCCACTTAAGGAGAAGCTTGTAGTTTCATGCCTTTGTGGAATAAGGCAACATTTCTTCCAAAACTGCTTACGAGGAAACAAAATTGAGGGTTGAAAGTACAGTGGTACCTCGGGTTACATACACTTCAGGTTACAGACTCCGCTAACCCAGAAATATTACCTCGGGTTAAGAACTTTGCTTCAGGATTAGAACAGAAATCGTGCGGCAGCGGCACGACAGCAGCAGGATGCCCCATTAGCTAAAGTGGTGCTTTAGCTAACAGAACAGTTTCAGGTTAAGAACGGACCTCCGGAACGAATTAAGTACTTAACCCGAGGTACCACTGTACAACCTTGTGTGTACTCAGAAGTCAATCCCGCTATGTTAAATTGAGCTTACCCTCTAGTAAGTGCATTTTGGTAGTAAGTACATCGGTATGAAGCAGAGATACTTAAAGACCACTTTAATCATTAAACATTAAATTACTGGATTCTGGTCTAGGACTGCAACCACTCAGCCCTGGGCCAGTGTTCCTCACTCTCTCCTGCAGATCAGATAACTCCATGCTGGAAACTGATGACCATCTCCATCATGTTGTGCCTCCCAGTCCAGGGCATATTAAATGATAATGGTCAAGCCTAGTAACATGCTTTCACAGCCTGCCCCAGCCAGAAACTCGTAGAACATTTTAAAAGTACTGTACACTATTTAAGACAACTGCCCTTCTCCTCTCCCAATTTCTCGGATCTCACCCACTCTTCCAAAAAAAGCCACACAGTTCCGACACTCCTCAATAATTTAGCCTAATCACTCATGGAGAGGAAACTGCAGTCGTAACCAAGTGCATCCACAGAGCTCCGCACTCAAGAGGAAGAAGAACTTGACTTTTGTTTAAACGTTTCCCAACGTCTGTATTCCAGCTGCATCCAGGAAAGAATGCAGCACACAGACCACTCACTGACCTTAGCAGACAAAACGCTCACAACAAACGGCCCAACTGCCAACAGAAGGGGGCCAAGGAAAACCTCAGAGCTTAGTTTGAATAGTTTAACCGAGAAACAGATTAGCCCAGTTTCATAATTAGAATTCTACTGATCTACTGCAACTGCTGCATTTCTGGTCCTGCACTTGAATTATCCAACTGTCTGGGCAAACATTAGCTAATGCTTCATCCAAAACTGACTGCGGGTATTAATTTATTTTTCCTTACTTTCTCATTACGATTTTAAGTGTTGTGACATCTATTCTGGCCTCAAAAATCCTGCATTCTCCTCCTGCCCTTCCTCTATTCATCTGGGGCAGGAGGCACAGTCATAGGCAAACAGCGGGTATGTCGGCAAATAGGGGCTGACATTCAACCAAGATTTACTTAGGCTCATTGATATTAATTAATATGGCTAAGCTAGGTTCATTAATATCAGTTGGTCTACCCAGAGTATACCTTGACTACCACCAAGAATATCAAACTTAGAATAGTGAAAAGCCTGGGTTCAAATCCCCACTTGGTAGTGAAGCTCACTGGACTAGCCAAGGGACTTGAGCACATAACGCAAAACCATTGCCTATTTAGCCAAAGTGTGAACCCGGCCCAGCAGACTAACCATTTTTGTTTTCTGGCAACAAGCCAGAATACGATGCTATAGTTTGCTGTTTGCTTACAAACTGTGGTTCATTTTAATTACAGTTTGGTGTTATGTCTGAACCTGGCATTCTTGCTTAACCATGGTTTATCTGGCCACCCCAGGCATATGTCCAGCTATAAAGGTATGAGGCAAGAGCAGAGGGGAAAACAAATCAAGCTTGGGAGAAACAAGCTGCAATTTATATGTTTCTATGATTCATGGTATATTCAACAAACCATGGTTAGAATTAACTATAACTTGGCATTATGTGTTAACACCGTTATCATTTTTCACCCTAACTAATCTCACAGGGTGACTGTTTGGATAAAACAGGTAGGGCAAGAACTAGGAAGACCACCCTGATGTCTTTCATGAAAGAGCAGGGCAAAAAAACCCCAACAACACAGAATGGAGTATTGTGTAGAATAGACACATAACTTAGCAAATTTTGCTCTTCCCAAGAAATGGTTTTGCTAATCGGTTAGGAGGGAGTCTCCCCAAGCATGCAATTTAGCCTGAAGGGTTTACAAAGCGGGTTACAAGAGTTGTATCTTTTTACTGTCCCCTTCCGTAATCCAATTGTATAGCCTGTACATTCTTGACAACTTCCTTTAACTATCTATCCCACCTTAAATGTGCAATATTCTTTGCGGGTAGCGCTGTGGTCTAAACCACTGAGTCTCTTTGGCTTGCTGATCAGAAGGTTGGTGGTTTGAATCCCTGCAATGGGGTGAGCTCCTGTTGCTAGCTCCTGCCAACCTAGCAATTTGAAAGCACACCAGTGCAAGTAGATGAATAGGTACCACTGTGGCGGGAAGGTGAACAGCGTTTCCATGAGCTTTGGTTTCCGTCATGGTGTTCCACAGTGCCAGAAATGGTTTAGTCATGCCAACCACATGACCCTGAAAACTGTCTGTGGACAAACGCCGGCTCCCTCGGCCTGAAAGCAAGATGAGCGCTACAACCCCACAGTCACCATTGACAGGACTTAACCGTCCAGGGGTCCTTTACCTTTACCTATTCTTTGCCTTCTTTACTTTCCACACTCATGTGTACAATCTACTTTACAACTGTAAAGGGACAGGGAGACACTCTATATGGATGCAACTCACCTAAGGCCTCCTATGGGCTACATACATAGGATCTAAGAGAGATGTGGGGGCACAGAATGTACTGGCACAAATTGTGGAGCAACTAGGGGCTTTAGAGCTGTGTCAAATGGCACACATGATGAAAGAATAAGCATCAGGCACAAGTTCAGAGACATTGTTTTTCTCAGTTTACTTTACAGTACTTTAGTTTCTGCATTTCAGAATACAATTTCACAGTGTCCCAAGAGTGCAAAAGATGTCCCTTAACCAGACAATTTGACTTGCACATAATCCACCTAGCTGTACACAGACATGGAAGAATGATCAAGGAACATCACCTTTTGGTTGTTGGATAATCAACCACAAGCTGTAACAACTGATTAAAGATTTCGATATTGAACTGCCTAAAGAATTTTAAGAAATTTAAATGGAAATGACTTCCGACTTGTACTCAGTGGATTTTAGTAAACCACTTCAGAGCTTAACAAATGCCTGCTAGGTGGATACTGTACAATCTAGGATACCTTAAATACTTCTAAAGGTTACAGACATTATGCAACAGTTATCTGAGCAGTATAGTGTAGTTGAAAAAACCTAACACATAACCCCAACCCATCTAAAAGAAAACTGTAGCTTGAAATATTAGTTAATTCAGAGAGACAAGAAATGGAGAAGTTAGAAAAGGCACTCTACCCACCTAGAAAACTGGTGAAAAGGGGTGTGGTGTATCTGGAAAACCAGAATTGAGATCCTGGTCTTCCCCCATAGTCCAGTGCAACCTGAGACCCATTCATCAAAACATATAACAGAAAAAAGACTCACCTTCAACTCACCTGGAAAGACTCTCATTTTAAGAAGATTAAGAACTAAAGAAAGATAGTTTGGGGTTTAGGTTTCAACTAGGCACAATGCATCATAGGAAACATATTATTAAAACCTCACCAGATGGGAAAAATAAAAGCACTAGGTCACCTTTAAACTGGTGCGGGAGCGTGGCTGACTTAGTTCACGGAACTTCCAATTATCTGACCCAGGAGTTTCCACTGTTCCTCTGTGATTATCAGGCGTGAGAAGTGCATCTCCTGGAGGTAGTGGGAAGATGCCCAATGATATGGGAGGTTCCTTTCTGCGGGGAAGGAAAAACCAAGTTATTTGCTTTCGTTTCTTACACTGAACAGACCTTCGAATCTCAGGAGAAGTAGTAAAAGCTGATATTTAGTTCCTGTAACCAGGCCTTCACAATATTAATTTCTCTTTTTAACCAACTGCTATCTGTTTTATTGACTTTTTAATTATGCTGTATGGATATTTATGGAGTGGTTTTATTATATTTTTTATGTTGTAAGCCACTTCGATACTTTATGAAACTGAAGATTAGAAATAAAAGAGTTAAGAATAATTAGCAATTTCAAAGTACATTTCAGATAACTGTTCTCTCACGAGTTTCTACATGTAAGTATTAGATTACAGCCACTCGTTTCTCAGGGGTGCTGTTTGTAATGATTTTTACTATAATTAAATTGACTGTCAGTAGCTATGACAACAAAGCCTTAGCTTACACCAGTGCTGTGGAGGTGGGGCTTAAAATTTGCAAGCATCCGCAAAACAATGTGGGCAAAGACATACTTCAAATGTATGGCAGCATGTAGAAGACCTATACATTGGATTTGAAAACAGCAGATTTTGAAAGATAATAGAATAAAAGCATTCGGGTCTGATTAACAAAACAATGCAAAATACCTGGGTCTCAAACAGATTCAGCTTAGACTGTATATGAACTGGGGACAGAAAACTACCAGAAGGAAAACAAAAGTGTAACTGAGCAAGTGATTAAATATTAGCCATGGACACTATCATGCATATACAATCAGCAAGAGTGTGAGTTTCTATCCAATGCTGTTTCGTTAGGAGAGTGTTAAAACTTCTAAAAAGTCTCTAGTTAGGCAGAGAAATCCAAGAAGAAGAAAAATATGGTCTTTCAACCAATGGAGGAACAATTAAGGGCTCTTTTTGGACATAAATTTCTAAAAGCGGAAATCCCCAGTGCTAAACTGAGGCAACGTTCCTTATTTCAATACTGGTTTGTGCATATGATCCAAGAGTTTACTTTGACAGTACAAACATCTTCCAGTCGTATAATACAAGGGGTCTCTTCATATTCCTCCCTGGTGGAGAACTCTATCCCTAGCATGATGCAGTTGACCCTCCTCTATAAAACTCACACAGAATTGGTGCTATGCAGAAGCAATACCTATTTAGCATCATTACTAAGCTTGGCAATGAAGAAATGATAAAACACATCTTGGTTAACTGGCCAATGGAATCTTTTATTTAAACTTTAATTTACTGGAACAGAAACAAAGGAGAGATAATTAGGCAAATTCTTGTTTATGTGACTTTACTGTCTGCCAATCTGTCTAATTTTGTAACTGTGCAAGCAATGATAATAAGAGGGTTTTGGTTGAGTGACGGGTTAATTTTTCTACTATGTATGGATGAATTACTGAAGCAAGTATCAAATCACCACAGCAGTAAAGGTCGCTGCACTGCAAAGCTTGTCAATGTAACTATTCTGTAGGAATTGCGGCACAACTGACCAGACTTTTTGCTATGAGTGTTAGAAATCATTCAAGTAGCTTATTTAGTATTCTTACATTTGTAAAAAGCATATGAGTGAGGGGAAGAAGCTCCACTTAAGACTGTGTTATTGATGCCTTCTTCAAATTACTTTGATAAAGTTTCACTATGCTACATTTTAGGGTCAAAAACAGGCGACTGGAGAATCCTGAATGAGGAGGTGAGAATTCTCTCTCCTTCTGGGTTCAAAATGAAGTCAACTCGTTTACACACAGGGCGTGTTAGAACGCCAATTTCTGCAATGTATTTTTTACCTTTTTAAAAATTTATTTAAAGATAAGGGACCAGGACACATACATTTGAGATTATTGAACATGCTAACCAATGATCTTCTTACTGTGCATGTCAATTTTTTTTTTTTTTAAATTAAAGAAAGCTCTGAGGTCAGGGAACTTTTCATCTACTTTTAATATTAATTTTTATGTTTGTCAAAGAGAGAAGAGATTCAAGATGCACAGACTAGCATCTGCTAAATGTAGAAACCAGAATGACCTTGGAAAGACTTGCCTGTTGTACCCTGCTACAAAACTACTTCCCAAAACTAATTACTCTTGATGTTTTCTACTGCTGTATAAATATTATTTTATAAATATTTGAATTCTACAAACAAAACATTGTAATAAAAATACTCAATATAAGCAAGTACTGTATACTAAGGACTTCTTAAATGCTATCTCCCACACAGCATTTTCCTATATACACATGCCATGCCATGAAAGAACATTAAGAGCTCTTTTTATTCTGTAAATGCCATTATCTAAAAACATACCATTGATTCAATACAAAGTCACACATTCATTGTTAATCCACTAAACCAAGTAAAGGTTAGCGGTCAGCTACTGAAAATTACAGCTATGAGGGATTGCAGCCAAATTCTCTATAGTTCTAGGCAAACGTACATGATCTGAATTTTCTATTTACTACAAAACCTTTAAAAAGTACTTGCAGATAAGCCATATTCAACAACAGGCAAAATACTGAAAACACCAACACACATGGCTGGTTTGGATGTAATGCTAAACCATAGTTTAGAATTACAAAAATGAGCCTAACCTTTCCCTGGGTTTGTAAGCTCCTTCTTTCCCCTCCTCCTACAGTGAGGAGTCTAGAAACTTTTGCATCTTTTTAATTATCTGTAGCTTGCCATGTTGTCTGAATCTGAACAAATTGTGGTTAATCTTAGCTATGTTTAGCAGAAGCAAACCAACAATTCTACGATTCTATGACCATCACACCACAGTTAATGAAGTTGGTTTAATTCTAGTACGAGCAGAAAATATTAACTACACGTTAGGGTTTGAATGATATTCCACACTCCATATTCTAAAAACCTGGTTTAGCATTATGTCTAAACATATGCATTCGAAGTATTAAAAGCTTACTAGAAGATAACACACCAAGGGAACCACACAGATCCTTGTGAATAAAACTTTACATTTTCTTTTACTGCTAATGTGAAATTAACTCTAATGAGATCGGATTCTTGCATTCCCTTGGTGGTGTTCCACCTCATCATTCCTTCCTGCACTTAGAATCACAGAACTGTTGAGCTGGAAGGGACCACAAGGGTCACCTAGTCCAACCCCTGCAATTCTGGGGTAACATAAAATATTTGGGAATCCTCCCCCAGCAGAATCTAAGAATCAGAGGTAAAGCAATGTCTATTTGGTCAACAATGCTGTTTTAAAGACATGGATGAAGCTCACTTTACATAACAACATTTTTTTTACGTAACAACAAAGGTAAAATTATTCACAATGGGTAGTATGGATGCTACTAATTATATTAGCCATAATAAAGTTAGAAACAGTGTTTGCTATATTGTAAAAAGTTGCACTTTGATTTTTTACTTTTGCTTACTAAGCACAATCAAATTCTGCCCTGATGCATCAAAGTACTGGATTACATACTTTTAAATACATAACAGAAGTTTTCAGAAAGCCATATTACTGGTGAAATTACAATGTCCTATGAAAAGAGTTTTGCCATTGCTCTTATAATTCAAGATATTTAAACCCTATTTCTTCACTCTACAGTCTACACCTTAGCTTGTCAGCATTCGATTTACAAAAAGATGCAAAGGTGCTATTATAATAGTTTCACAGACTATCCGCTAGCAGATTCTGCAGAATTCTCTGGAGTAAAGCACAGACCAAATAAATGAAAGGCCTAAACGACCACAGAAGCAAGGCTGCCCAGCATTAGTCAAGCACCTGACAATACAGTGAATACAAGCTTTGTCCACAATGTATTCACATAGCACTTTTATGCCGTTTACAGGATTCAGCAATAAAAAGAGAAAAGCTAATAGCCTTCAAGAACGACTTTGTAGTCTCAAAGAAAGCACAATGAAGCCAATTTTTACATTTTAAAACAGGCATTTTATGATTTTTGCACAGCCTATAGACACCGAGACTAGATTCTGCCTGAAACAGACACTTAAGAGATTAGCATCGTCCCACCCTCTCCTTCCTGCCTCCCCTCCCAAGAGAAGAGAAATAATGGGAAGCAGAGAACAAAGAATACAGCAAAAATGACAGAAGGCTCCATAGTTCAGGGTACCTGAGAATCCTTGGTAAGTTCTGCGTCAGAGCTGGCACGCCAGTGGATATAGAAAAGTGCACAAGCAGCAAAACAGAGAGAGAGACTAAAATAGCTGAATTAATGACCACCGCCCCGCCAACGAAGCCAAACACCAATAGCAGCATGCATCCAGGACTCATGGCGCTGCGCTGGCATGGTGAATTGCAAGAACCAAGGCTACGCAGGGGACAAGGGAGTATCTTTGTAGTGAGTGTCTGTCATTCACTTGCTGCCACAAAAACAATGCCATCAGCAGCGGCTTTCCACTCTCTTCCGCAGCAGCCGCTCCAAAGCAAAATGACATCACCTCACTCTCCTCCCCCACCTAACCGGGAGAAAAAACCACCATGGAGCTGCTTCTCTTCTCCCCAGCATCTATGCAGCAACCTAAAGATACAAGCAAGCTTGCTCGCCTCTTTCTCCTCCCCACTACTTCAAACCTTGGCTGCTCAGCTCCAGTTCATTGGATGGGAGGCTCCAACATCTACATAATGTAGTCACAAAGCTTCCGCCAGAGACGCCCTCTCACAGACATGTGCCCGAAGGTACACATCAGACAACCGCGATTCAATTATTTCAAAACCTTTAATTGCTAATCTTTTCGCTGCTGCTTTTTTTGAAAATGAAAAGGAGGGACAGCTTGTCATACCAGATATATGTGTACAAGCTTAAAGTTAAAATATTAGCAGATAGCCAATCCAGGCCTTGAAGTGTCCCAACAGCAAAAACATAACCCGCCCCTTCCGATAACCCCTCATATACTGCAATTATGAATAATTCCACCCCATCGTTCAGCCTAATGTTTGAAGACAAAGAACCAAGTCTTTAAGATAAAATATAATAGATTATCTTCAGCCAAAGATCAGTAAAGCTTACCTAGTTCTACTGTGCACGATGGGTTCTAGCTGGTCACCCCCAGTCAGTTGATGAAGTTTGGCTCTTTCCAAGTGCTCCATGTAATTATGAATCATCTGTTATTAAGAAGGAGGGGGGGATTACTTTAGAAAACTATTCATATCTGTTTAAGCAGAATGGAAATACAATATATGCCTCCACCACCTGCCCCAAAGAGTAAACCTTCTCTTAAGGTACTATGAGTATTTTGTTTTCGGATCATAAACTTAATTCCGTTTATGAAGTAACCCAAGTATCAAGACATTTTACCATTAAATATCTTTTTTACAGCAATGTTATTTTCCCCTCCCAGTATGCACAGAAATTTCACCTTGACAACACACCTTGAGAAGGCTATTCGTTGATCTTTTACACTGACTGTCTTGATTATTCCAAGGTCCCCATTCCAGCATATGCAAACAGCAATCTGAGCAGCTGTTTACAAATACAAATACAAATACAAATACACACCAATAGTTTTTCACCCGGGTGCAAATTGACAGAATAGACAGGAGGCCCAGTGAGTGGAAGAGATGCAAGAGTAAACTGAGAAAACACACAGTACACGTATCTTTCATGTATTTTGCAAAATGAACAGGTTTCTGCAGTCAGGCACGACTCCTATGCTTTCTTTCATGTACAAGGGGCAGAGCAGGGCAAATATGAGCCTGAAACCTGCTCTATACTGAAGTGGGATCCTAGGTGCATCACATCTTAAAAGCAATAAGGTAAAAGTAAAATGTCAAATAGTTTCCGATTTTATTCCCCTTGAACTTGGCATGTTATCCTCCATCACATCTCATCCCAAATCTGTTGATTTTGTGTGGCTCCATAATCAGTCACACTGGGCTGATTCCAGACCCAGTTCACCCAGTTGTACTCTCTAAAGTTTTCAGCACAAGGAAATGTACTCCAAAGGATCCTAGCAACCCCATGGACTTCTTTTTAATCTGAGAATTAAGGCACCACCATTCCACAAGGGTCTGAAATTGTGCCCTACCTGTCCAAATTCCAAGGTAAGGTAACAATTATAGAGGTTTGTTAAGCTTTTTTTAAATCTTCTCTCCGAAGATGTGTTCTAAATGTGTTGTTTCCCCTAAGTGGCTAGGAAGGAGTCAACGAGGGAAACATTGAACATTTCTGGCCATGACGGAGGACAAGAAGATGCAGAGAAAAAAGTTACATGTCCACAGGATTCAGATGCACCTTTACAAGAGGTACCTAAAATATCTCTAAGATTAAAACATATAGGGGAAAAAATCTCTCTGTCTCTTTGAAGGAACATATGACCTTAACATGAAAATACAATTTTTTCAATAGGCAACATTTTAATACAATTCCCTCCACAGCAGAACTAATAACTAGCGCAAATGAAACTATTTACAGCTGAACAAACCATCACATCAGATAATATCACACTGTGGTCACTCAATATGCAACATGATTGTTTTTTCCAGCCTTCAGGGACATTTTAGATTAAGCTCTAAGCTGCAAGCGGTTAGTTCTGCATTACTAGTGCCGAAATAATGAAGGAAGCAGAAGAAATAGTGTTTACCATTAATAACTACCAACGGAATACTTTAAAAAATGTTAACATTGTTATACTGATGATATTGTGAGGTCTTGTTTGCACCGTCAGCCAATTTGAATGTCTAAGTGATTTGTGAATACTCTGCATCTCAAACACATGTGACGCAGCTGCCACTCTTTCTTTTTAAAACACAGTGGGAAATATAACGACAATTATTTATCATTTATATTCCACCTTTAAAATACACAACTATTTCCAATATGACTTACAAACAAACGATAATTAAACCAACTTCAAAACATTAAAATACTATTTCTTTACACTAAGGACAATATCCAAACTTGTTTCCCTTCCTCTCCTTGCATGTCACCAAAATCTACACTGGAATAAAATGGCTGCACTGGATACAACATTATTTTTCCCATTAAGGACTGGCATGTGCAGTTGCTATGCAAATGATTAATTTATTCATTTTCCTCATGTTCCACTTTTCTGCTATATATGCCCACAAGATTGCTTCCGATAAAAAATAATTATACCACAATTGAAACTATGTGTACCACCTTCTTAAATATCTGATTTTAAAAATGTATTGAGTCAATTTGTTACTGAGTCTAAAAAAACTTCAGGTACTTAAAGTTCTTCAGCGTACAAATTGATTTACTCATGGCCCATAAAGCTTGTGAGAGAGTTCAACCGGATGCACAGTTAAAAGGAATTATAAATAAAATTTCAATGTATGCCATTTTATATCAGATTTTAGAAGACACAGACAACCATATCAGAATAGAGTCATATATTACGATTCGGATTTATGGAGGCATAAAGATTACCTTCATTGTTCCTCAAAAAATGCATCTCTCCCTGCCCCAACCCATGTAACCACATATGACTACAACACCCTCAAACTATTTCTTCTTTACTCCAAAATTGGTGGTGCGTGTTAACTTGTCCCTGACATTTTGGGAAGAGAAGAAGCCATAAAATTATGCACATTCGTATCACTCCAGTATATCTGTCAACACTCAAAATTCAATCATCTCAATTGTGTCTGGGAGACCGACACCTTCATAACGGATACTCAGGTGATGCTTCTCCTGGATCTTGAATGGGGTTCCCAATTCCCCGAAGGAGCTTCTGCTGAAATCCTATACAGTGACAGATTTTCTGTAGTAGGGAGAAATCATGCTTTCTACACAGCAGGGAGTTGCAAATGTTAAAGTTAGTCTTCTCAAGTTGCAGTGGCTCATGGTTGGAACCCTGCTTATTTGCTACCCCCATACTATGAACCATTAAACTCATTCAGTATTACAAATAACCATTGTCAGCTGACAAGCATTGGAAGAGTAGCAAGACTTTTTCAAGACAATAGATAAGTGACACAAGCTACATGCACTTAGCACAGCAGAGCTATGTAAGAATAGTTACAATGGCTTCCACTTGCTCTTTTTCTTCAACTGTCTTTTCAGCACCCCGAACAGCAACAGTTATGACGCTATTGTTGACTTTTGCTTTGCCAGTACTGATAATGTAATGGCTTCAATTAGAAGAGCAACAGATCCTGCATCCTTGTAGTACAAGATATTTAATGCATCTAGTTCAATATATTGGGGAGAAAGGTCTGTGTAACTTACAAATAAGCTTTTCCTACCAGGATCTGGAAGGAAATTCCATTTCAAAAATGTGTTTATCCTTTTTTTCATTAACATGGTGGTTCTGTTGAAAATCAAATTGTTTTACGCATGTTCAAAAGGTGTGATGGGACAGGAATCAAACTTAGGTTTTCCAAGAGTTGAAGCATTAACCACATTTGCTCATAAATAATCAAGTTATGTGTTTCCCTGGCTAATAAACCAGGAATAAAAATTGATTTAGCTTACTGTTCACAAAAGTCAAAATATTATCAAAAGTAGCACATAGACTGCCATGTAGTCAAAACAGCCAAACATGATCATCAACACAGAAATATTTTCGCTAGTTCTGTTTTTAGACAATCTGTTTCTCTCCCAAAGACATATATGTCAGTGTAAATTTATCACCTTCTTGACCTGAAGTAATCTATGACTCAAGCAACAAGGATGGGCGGCCACATAAAGTCAAAACACAGAGTGTTGGTCAACAGTCACGAAAAAGCAGAGATGGATCAATGTGAACCACTGGACAGTGGTACACAATTCCTCCCCCACCCAAAATATAACTGCTTCCAATCATATCTTAAAAACTAATGCTTCAATTTTACCAGCATTCATTCATGTGCTTGCAACCAATTATTCTGTTCATACTTGACTGCTCTCCAGGAGGGAAATCTATGACAAGTAGCCTAGAGATGAGTCCTTCTAATCCTTGTAATTACTCAATACAGTGGTGCCCCGCAAGACGAATGCCTCGCAAGACGGAAAACCCGCTAGACGAAAGGGTTTTCCGTTTTGGAGATAGCTCACAAAGCAATTTTCTATGTGCTTGCTTCGCAAGACGAAAATGTCTTGCGAGTTCCTGCGGGGTTTTTTTCCTTCCCCCCCTTTTTCCCAAGCCGCTAAACCGCTTATCAGCTGATGGCTAAGCCGCTTAACAGCTGATGCTAAGCCACTTATCAGCTGATCGTTAAGCCGCTTATCAGCTTATCGTTAAGCCTCTTATCAGCTGATCCTTAAGCCGCTTATCAGCTTATCGTTAAGCCGCTTATCAGCTGATCCACTAAGCCCGCTAAGCCGCTAATACTGTAGCACTAATCCGCTAATGGGCTTGCTTCGCAAGACGAAAAAACCCGCAAGACGAAGAGACTCGCGGAACGGATTCTTTTCGTCTTGCGAGGCACCACTGTATCTGTTAAAATAGCAGGTTTTGCACTGCTGCAACTGTTGAAGGAAGAGCTGAACCAAATCAGCACATGTAACCAGACATAGCAAAGAAAGAGAGCATACCTAAAAAAACAGAAGAGATGTTAGTTTCCATTATTGAGATCAAATGTGATCTTTCAATATTCTAATCGTATTCATATCTTGGAGCTGTAGAGTTGCTGCTCTGTTCTTTTTTTTATAAAGTCTTGATCATTTAAGTTTTTCAATTACACTTGCCAGGCTGGACGTACATTAATAATAGCCTTGAATGATATCCAACTAAGCCATACTTGGAATAGGCACATTGAAATCAATAAACTACTATAACTTGCCCATTGATTTCAGTGGGTCTACCCAAAGTATGACTTAGCTGGCTATCACACCTTAAGTCCTCATAAATCACAACTGGTTTAATGTCATTTTTTTTGGTTTAGAAATTTCTATTCTCTCTTTTGCTTCTAAAAGGAGCACTAAGGCAGCATCCAAATTACAGTTTTCATTGCCTGAATCAGCTGAATCAACATGGAGTACTTCTACTAGGATGTCATATGCAATACCTAATCAGTGTCAAGAAGACTACTCTTTGTTTTGCATTAATGATTTACAGAATCAGGATGAGAATTATGGAGGATACTGACACAAACTGATTTGACAAGATAACCAAGTGATCCAAGGTGGCTTTTTCATGTGTGCAGTTCTCCCCTCATTACAACCATTTCTTTCAGCCCATTCTTGGCTGGTTGTACAGAAGCTACCACAATGGTGTTCCAGTACTGTTATTGATTACAAGCTAGCAAAGATATCACTCCATACCTGAATGTTTCCTTCTTATAAAATGCAACATAGCTTAGAGCAGACAACTCTGAAAAACGGGGTACTTTCCCAAATACTTTCCAACATGTGTCCCTGGATGCCACGATGTCCCCACCAGTTGGGCCACGAAGACAGCTAATGGTCTAATTAACTCACTGGGCACTAGTGAATCCAAGAAACGATGCTCTGTCCTTGATGTGTATGAAAAGTGAAGGTAACACCTGTGACTGATTCTTACTGGGACATGCAAATACACCTCAAAGATTGAATATGGGCAGAAAGTTCTGTTCATCTATTGCTGGTGGGATTGCTTCTACCATGAAGTGATTCTTTTTGAAGAACTTGTTCTGCCACTTATGGTCCACAATAATGATAAATTCCCTATTCCAAAGGCTTCTCTTTTGCTTGTTTATGGTAAGCCATAGTTTGCTACAAACTATAACTCAGGGTCATGAGTCATATTGCATGGTGGGAGGTTAAGCTACTCAGCTTTCAAGACCCTCTAAAAAAAAAATCAGAGAAAGGCAGGATAAGAGACTTTGTGTGCGTGTGTCCTGCAAGAAGTGAGAGTAGACAGCATTCGAATCTGCCCTTTCTGCCTTGTCCTCACTAAATCACGACATAAAGAGGACTTAGCTGTGAATATATCAGTAAGGATTTTGATTTTTGTTTTAAATCACCACACAATCCTGACTCTGAACGGCTGGGTTCACCTCCTTCTCTGACAGTGTACCTATCATCTTCCCAATGAGCTGAAGCCATAGATGCTTTCTGACTTCGGTGGGGATAGAGTTTGTTGTCCACCAAGCCCTGGATCAGATTGCCTTACAGTCTCTACGTTCCTAAGTACTGTACTAAGTGTAAGTGAATGAGACATATCAAGTGTCAGGGTGGGAGTCATAGACACAAATCAGCGTGAAAGACGCAGGGCTCTGTTGTCAGTGAAGTTAACTCTTTATTCCAGGAAATGGCATACAACTCAGCAACACTTCCCAGTAGGTCCTGCCCCTATGGAGCAGTTGCCAGGACAGAGGTCCCGGCCTTCCGCCCTTACTAAGGCTCCTCCTTTCCTGGATGTTTCCCTCTGGTCTCTGTTCTGCCCTCCTCATTATCCATTATCCAGCAGGAGAGAGAGACTCTCTGGGTTCTTCAGAAGTCTCTTGACCTTCTGCTCTGCTGCAGCTTTGGAGTCTGAACTGCTCCCTGTCACAGGCTCTTCCCGCTCACTAAACCCTCATTTTCATTTATGTTCAAGCGCCAGCTACCAGCACTGTATAGAATTATTAACATATCCCAGAGTGACTCACAACTGATGTCTGAAAAAATGGATTAAAAATAAATATGGTCCTACACAATATTCCTAGAGAAGCCAAATGTGCATTGCTATCTTAATCACATGAAGTTAAAAACCTACAGATCTTCATCCTTGTTTATCAAGCTGAATATTTGTCTTCTACTACTGTATACTTTTCTCTATGTCCACTCACATAATGTCAAGATCTGTCAACGGGCGACTCAACATATCAGTTACATAAGTAGTTGTGTGGAAGGAAAAGGTTTTGCTGGTTGCAATCAACACCAACAGTACATGCATTTTCCTTTCACAGCCCTTTTCATCGCCAAGGGTTTTTCTAACAACCAGGACCTAGGCTGCAGCATTGGCAACAATACTATTTTGTAAGACTGCGTTCGCTCTTTAAAGCAAAAAATATAAAGCTGTTGTACCCTGCATTTTTTCTACTTGTTACAAAGTTCAAGCTGACAACATCAGGCACACAAAACATCTAGAGTTGGCTTGAGGAATTCAATCAATCTCCATTCAAACGTACATACTGGAACATGGTCAGCCTTCGAGTTTTTATTTTAAATAAATAAATAAATCACTTCCCTTTATGCAAGGATCACAGGGTGGTTTACAATATCTTGGCATACCTCAAGAAATTTGACTGCTAATCATCAGGTCTTTCTCTAGGTCACGTGAAACATAATGGGTGACATGACTATCTAAGGTGACAGACTACCTTTTCAAGCAAAGAAAGAGTTGAAACAAACTAAGCGGGAACTCTGGTTTCCCGCTAGGCTAATAAGCTAATAAGTCTGCATCCCACCCCTGCCCCTCAATTCAGTCATCTCAGCAAACATCAGGTTAGGATCATGCATGCTGCCAATATCAATCTGGCTCTGTCCTACAATTTAATATAAAGGATTTCAATGAACACACGGAAAACCTTCCAAAAGCTCACAGCAAAAGCTTTAGAGAGCCCTCGGCAAACACGGGTGCAGTAGAAGCTCCCTTGATGCCCTTCCCACCAAGTCCCTGCCCTCTCAAAGCACAGCTCCAAGGAATATCTCATTACCTACCTCTGTATGTCTTGAATGAAGAGCATTGTATTCTTTCTTCAGTTCTGCTTCCCTCTCTTCCAGTCTGGTAACTGAAAAAGATAATTAATTCACTCAGAAACAGACATTGACAGCCACAGTAACAGAGTCTACAGACATCATCTCCGGTTTCCACAATTCAAAGCTATTCATACAGAAACCAACTCTGCTCTGTTTTTTAGAAAATTGTGCTCCTGCTTTTCTTCCTCTTCCAAATGCTTTCTCAAGACAGCATTGAGCAGGTCAGGCTGCAGCCCAGGGCATTTGGAGGGAACACCAAACCTAGTCCCAGAGTCAGGGCCTAATCCAATCTCCACTGTTCTTGAAGAAGTTCAAGTTGCCCAACAAGAATCAAGGAACTGTGCTCACTAAAGCTCTCCAGTCAAGGGCCTGATTGACATGGAAGAAGCATCCTGCCCCTTCACCTTTAACAAGGAGGCTAGCTGCTCTTCAACAAGTGGACAGAGCTATACCAGACTATTCAACCACCAGGGTTCTTGTAATGCTAAAAGTGCACTCCCAGTACTAAAAATTATTAAGGGAGCCAAGATGTACTATAAAGGCAATCAAATCAATAGGTTACCAAGAACATACCATTGTCAGTATCAAGAGAAAGTAAGAAATTAAGAGAAACTGGGATGGAGTGAACAAGTTTGCCTGACACAACAGTACCCACCATCACCTAGTATTCCTAATTTTCAAGTGTTTCCCCACCAACTGGAGTCCTGTTTTGCCAAATCAAATGAGATACCAATTTGGATTGCATATAACTGTTATGGCATGTTTAGGAAATACAGCGGTACCTTGGTTCTCGAATGGCTTGACTCCCAAACAAATTGGCTCCCGAATGCCGCAAACCTGGAAGTAAGCATTCCGGTTTGCGAACGTTTTTCGGAAGCCAGATGTCCGACACGGCTTCCGCTTGGGTGCAGGAAGCTTCTGAAGCCAATTGGAAGCCATGCCTTGGTTTTCGAACAGTTTTGGGAGTCAAACAGACTCCCAGAACGGATTACGTTCGAGAACCAAGGTACCACTGTATTTAGATGTATTGTGCCTAGGCTCCTAGGTCCCTATGCAGGATTCAGGAAATAATTTACTAAACCCATCTCTATTATAGCAACCATTATATATGAAGATGCCACTTTTTTCTAGAAAGTGCTATTCATTCTTTTTTTAAATATACATATTAAGAACTCGTAACAGATCTATAGTTTGTATAGGACCTTAACACCACCCAGAGTACATTTACAGCTATTAATGCATGTCCATTTCAAGCCACTCTCCCCACTTGGCAGCTACAAAACACAAGAACCAAGCAGGCAGATCTTTCCCATTCATTTCATTTTAGTCCACAGCTGCAAAATGTAACCATTCCTATTTACTGAGCCATCCAACAACTATAGCTTCTGCTCCATCTAGTGGACTACTAATTTGCCAACATGTAGAGATACCTGCAGAGTAAAAGGTGTCAATGACTTGAGGATATAGTCAACAACAGATAACTTTGCCTTATAAGCAGGGCTGGTGTCTTTTAGATATCTATATAGTGTTAGTCAATTTACATCTACTTGCATAACAGGCACCAATTTTCTGAACATTAGGTGATATTTGTTGCCCACTCATATAAGCACAAGAATCACCAGTGCTGTTCAAAATCAATACTTTGTCTTCCACAGGCCCAGTTCACACATCACATAAAACAAAACCATAGTTGTTGTTGTTGTTTAAAATGGTTTATTGTGAACAAGTACCTCATGTTCAGCTCGCCATTTGTGCTTTCTTTGGACAGAAACAAAGCACAAGCCTCAGTTCAGACAACACGACAAGCCAGACCATGGCTTGTTTCATGGCAGCGTAGCAGCAAGAGGAGTGGGAAAGGAGGGAAGCACCTGCAATTTCAGCAGTGTGCACCAGCAAACTACTTGTCCACCTTAAGCCAGTTTATTTTAGCTACAGTTTAGTGTGTCATGCAAACCAAACCATAGTCAAAATTGCAAAATCAACAGCAGTACCAGCTAACAACAGATGAGGTCAGCATGAATAAATTAGGGGAGAAAATTCAAATACATGGACACAATCCCTGGAGTATGTTGCTTCATGATCCAATAGGTCTAGAGCAGAGGTCACTAACCAGTGGCCTCCCAGATTTTTTATTTTGTATTTCACATCTGTGATGAAAAGCAGGCTACACAGGCTATTAAAAAATAATAAGTAAAAATTCCATCATGATCTTTGGCCATGCTGGCTGGGGCTGATGGGAGCTGGAATACAACAACACCCAGAGAGTCACAGGTTGGCTACCTGAGGTCTTGAGTATAACACTTCCTTGCTAACAAGATAGCAACCAGAACATCTGCTGGTCCACTGAAAGCAGACACTGGGGAAGAAACAAAGCCCTGCTATTCTAAAGTCAAGTCAGAAACAGATGGGCAAGTCTAATTTAGCACCCTGCTAAATTGGCTCTGTTGCCAGGACAGATTCACCAGGTACTTCAGCCAGTTAAAGCTTTCCCTAAAATGAAACTGCTCAGAGGAACTAAAAGAAACGTGGAACAAAAATGAAACAACCTATTGCTTCCACTTTCTTCCACCTGTCTGAAGCAGAGGAACTGAGTCTTTTCACTGCTGCCTTCTAAAAAAAGATATCTGCACAAGTGAATGCAACAATGGACAGCACACAGAGTCTCTTTTTTCATGTACTCACGCAGGCGACAGGTAAAGGTAAAGGGGACCCCTGACCATTAGGTCCAGTAGTGGCCAACTCTGGGATTGCGGCGCTCATCTCGCTTTATTCGCCAGGGGAGCCGGCGTACAGCTTCCGGCTCATGTGGCCAGCATGACTAAGCCGCTTCTGGCGAACCAGAGCAGCGCACGGAAACGCCATTTACCTTCCCGCCGGAGCGGTACCTATTTATCTATTTGCACTTCGTGCTTTCGAACTGCTAGGTTGGCAGGACACACAGGCGACAACACACACTTATAAGATCCACTTAATCTAGTCCAATCCCTTCTCATCCAAACTAAGACAGGTATCCACAGCTAAAGCATCCCCCTTATCAAAAGCCTTCCATGACCCCTAAAGTTTCCATATCCCCTAAATAGTGTTTTATTAGTGGCTTAAAGTAACCACCTTCTAAATTAGCCAGTTGTCCCATTCTTAGTCAGCAGGGTAAACAACCTTTCTTCCTCCTAAGAGTCCTTAAAATATTTCACCATTGTCAGCAGGGTTCAAAATTAGCAGGATACCAGGCACATTTTGCCTAAAGATTCTCCATTTGCGAGCACTTCAAGAAGCCTGGGTGTCATTTTTTTGCCCATGGCTGACACTCAAGGATTACTACAATGTATGCGGCTTTGAAGCCTCGAAGTTTATGTTAAGGATAGACAACATGTTAAGGAGTTTAGCAATAAAGAGCAGAGTGTTTTGAAAACCAAAGTATGGTCCCAATGTTTTTATTGTAAACACCAAATTAAACATAGAATCATAGAATCATAGAATCATAGAATCATAGAGTTGGAAGAGAACTGCACAAAGCAGCTATCATCGAGTCCAACCCTGCCAAGCAGGAAAAGTCACTCCATCAGAGCATCGACATATGGTTGTCAAGCCTCTGCTTAAAGACCTCCAAAGAAGGAGATCACCACACTCCTAAGAGCAAATTCCCACTGTCGAACAGCTCTTACTGTCAGGAAGTCTCTTCCTAATGTTTAGGTGGAATCTTCTTCTGTACTCTCTGATCCATTGCTTCGTGTCCGCTTCTCTGGAGCAGCAGAAACAACCTTTCTCCTCCTAGTGGTATCCTTTATATATTTGAACATGGCTATCATATCACCCCTTAACCTCCTCTTCTCCAGGCTAAACAGGCCACGCTCTCTTAGTCGCTCCTCATAAGGCATCGTCCAGGTTTGATCATTTTGCTGTTCTGGACACTGCTCCAGTTTGTCATGTCCTTTCTTGAACTGCAGCCTAGAACTGACACAGTACTCCAGGTGAGGTCTGACCAGAGCAGAATACAGGTTGACATTTCCCTTGATTCAGATGTTATACCCTATTGATGCAGCCCAGAATATTCATAGCTGCTGCCACACACTGTTGGCTCAGCGTCAAGTTTGTGGTCAACCAAGACCTTAGATCCTTTCACATGTACTGCTCTCAAGCTTAGTGTGTCCCCATCTTGTATTTGTGCTCTCTCATTTTTGCTCAAGCATTATTTCTACATTTCTCCTGTTAAAATTCATCTTGTTTGTTTTGGCCCAGTTCTCTAATCTGTCAAGGCCTGCTGAAGTGTGATCCTGTCCTCTGGGGTGGCAGCCACCCTCCCACTTGGTGTCATCTGCAAATTTGATCTAGATGCCCTTGAGTCCATCATCTGGTCCGATAAAGATGTTGAATAAGACTGGTCAAGACAGAAACCCTGCACCCTACTAGTCACTTTCTCCAGGATGAAGAGGAACCATTGATGAGCACCCTTGGTTCAACAGTCAGCCAGTTACAAATCCACTGAGTGGTAGCATAGTCAAGACCACATTTTACCAGCTTCTTTACAAGAATATTATGAGGCACCTTGTCAAATGCCTTGCTGAAATCAAGGTAGGCTACATCCACATGTATTAACAATTTCTGCCAAAAATAAGATATTAACAATATGTCACTTATGTGAATTGCAGATTAATTCATGCTTATTAAAATAATAAATAAGAAGTGTTGCCGGCCGACTCCCCTCCCCCACCAGTGGCAACTAGACATTCTGTTTTGGCATCCACAACCCAGATCCCAGAAACCCTTTGGCTCCCAGCTTTTCCATCCCAGTTTCTAACACTGATTGTCAGCACATACAAGCAGGCATGTATGCCTCTGTATAAGAGTACAGGAAAATAAGCTGCTGTTTGGGCAAAGGTAAGTTGCACATTTTTTGAATAATCCACTGGCCAAATCATCATCATCATCCACTGGCTGTTTCAACTGCCATGACCTGAAAGCTACAGGATATATAAGATCACCTTTGTTCTTGCCCCGGTACAGGACCTTGAGCAGCTGCTCTGACTCTGCCCACCCTGGTAATCCACCAGTACAACTCCACCTTAGCCAAAAAGTGATTTGTGGGTGGTTGCTTTCAGGCAATGCTATTTGAAAGCAATGTGGGAGAAAGATGCATTTCATTTCATTTAGTAACGTTGCATCGTTTCTTTCTGAACACCCCATAAATCAGGAGATGTTCAAATGTAACTGGAAAACTGGAATGTCATTCTCTGGAGGCCTTCACAGAGAATCAAACAAAGGTAGCAAGAGAGTTAACTGAGAGCAGCAGCAGCACACAGAAATCTCCTGGGAATGTTCAGGGTAATATGAAGAGTTTCAAAGCACTCATTGAGAGCAGAAACCCCTCATTTACATTATGATGCATTATTTATTGACGAAGCATCTTGCAAATCTGAGAGAGGGAGGGTAAACATTTTCTAAATAAATTATTTAGCATGGTCTCAACAGAGGTTCCCTGTGTTTAAATACAGCAATAAAATTTAAAAGTGAGAGATCCAAATAGATGAAGGTCATGTTTACATTCACAGGGCCATTTCCAATTTCAAGTGTTCACACTCACATTTGGGAAAACAGGGATAGAGTAGGTTTAATATGTTCCCCTAAAGAGTCCTAAATGACTTGGGACCGAACTGAAAATGTGCCTTCTCCAGCATTTTCCAGCCTCAAATTTGCAATCTGTGGACAAGGCACAGCTCATCAATAGGAGAAGCACAACAAACAGGGAACTGAGGCAGGGCAGCACCCCAGCTACAGAACCCCCTTTCCAATGGAAATCAGTCTGTCTCCCACTTTATATGCATTCAGGAAATGTGTCAAAAGACTTCTGTTTATCCATGTTTTTGAACTGTAGTTTTATGAAACTTTTACATTGCTGGTACTAACTGTCTACATTACCTGAACAGTGTTGTTTAATTTTTTTTATGTAATTTTATTGTTGTGATCAGCGTGTGAAACTCCTATTGTTCTAGGCACATTTTGCGACTGGGAATTTCATTAACGCGAGCAATTTCTGAGCTCTGGGTGCGGTACTGCACCTAAGATTTCAGATTAAAACTGCCACTATTGCTGCCACTGAGGGTGTGGGAGAAGAAATTCCTGCCTGGTCGACTTCCAAGAAATCACTGCAGTGTAAGGCAAGCTGATAGGTTCTGACATTCCATTGTGGTGTCCACAACTCAGGTTTAAGGTGCCATTTAGCTCCTAGCTTTCATATCTCAGTTTCTAATACTGGTTGTTAGCTGCCCTAGGCTCCCTTTGGGGGAGGGTAGACTATAAATTTGAAATAATAAATAACAAACAGATGTCTTTAAACCACATAGCTCTGAGTAAAATCTCCAAGCAAACCCGATAGCTTTCTTTAAGAGATAGTAGAGATACATAGGATTGACTAGTCAATCAGTTCAGATCTGACACCATCAATCCACTCTGGGGTAGTGTGGAGGCAAACTCTGCTACTTCAATCCTCCAAGCAGATAAATCTATACTGTCAAAGTTAATTATTGGATCAGGGAACTAAGCATCTGATTCCCAATCCATAAACAGAAACCACAAACGTAAGAACCACACATACATGGTCCCTAAATTAGCCAAAGCACATGTGTGAGCAGGCCTACTGGCACATAAAAACTGCAGGTGTCATAAAAGGGCAAAACCTACACAGTTCCTAGAACTAATTCCACAACTGCAACAGAAGTTCTCTTAAAGCTATAGACTGTGAGGACCAAAGAAGGCAAGTTTGACTAATGTGATTGCTTTCTCAAAGTATTAATTGTCTATAAACCTAAACCAAATGGATTAACAGCATAACCAATGATGAAACTCCAGTTTTATAATAAGGTACATCCATGCAATATTCCAAAGTAAATTTCATAGCTCAAAACTAACACTGCAAACAGGCATTTAAGATCAACCGGAACAGCTAGCTGCTATGGTATCAATGTGCTATTGAGGATATTCTGCACTGTTTGTGTCCTAGACAATTTGATAAACCCGAGGCCCTCCACTGCATATAGGTCTTCATTTCCCCCTTGTGTTTACCATGTATTTGCTGTGAGATCTGAAATGCATCCAAATATTTAAGAACCTGCTGGGCAGCTTCAATGAACAGTGGACAACTTATTTACGATTTCATGACAAATATGTTTCTTTTTCCCTGTAGATGACTGTGAGAAACAGCTCTCAGCATTACAGTTTTCGGGCTATAGTTCAAAGCTCTCCAAATTTTGGAAATTCTTAAAGCATTAGTTCATCACCTTACTTATAACCTTGCAAAACAAGTAATGGAAGCCAAAAAGATATCCCAAGTGGCATTTTGAGGTAATCCAGTGCATAAATTCATAGTAAGAGTAGCTTTCAAAAAGCACAAGCCTTGGGCAATGTCTCAAAAAGAACTGTTGACTTCTCAGCATGAAGATGAAGCAGCAAGCAGTTTCACAATCCTGTGTTCCCTTCGCTATTACAGCATGACGACAAACTCTGTGGCAATCTTTAGAGAGGATTCTTCTTTATTGGTTAAAACAAGAATGAGACAAAATGCGAGAGGAGATTTAATTTTCTCTAATGGGATTGGGTGATCAAGCCACTCAAGGTACATTGCAGCAGTTGGATTGATGATTAGTGCCAGTTACAGCTGGTTCTGAAATAAGGCAGCTGTACATCAGTGGCTGCTTCCACAATCTGACTCCCTCCTGTGCCCAGTCTCATCACAACCCCATCCATGCAACCACAACACAATCATGCTGGTGGAGGGAGAAAAAGGGGGCAGAGGTGGGTTGCAATGGGCAACTAAGGGTTAAAGGCTAGTATTTCCATCCCCTTTATTCATTTTTAAAATCCATGTCAGGGACTGCACATTCTGGATTCATGTGACTGGGCCATTCTATTACAATGTTTTACACTTTACAGGCAACTTCCCATTCACCTGGGAGTTGCATTCCAGGTCACTGTTTTGGGGGCCTGCAGACTTATTTCAGCACCAACATTACCCACAGTTAGCACTAACCAGAGTTCCCTCTTATAGAAGATTTTTAAATGAGGTTTGAAGCTGATTACTGTATTTTTCGCTCCATAGGGCGCACCGGACCATAGGACGCACCTAGTTTTTAGGGGGGGGGAATAAAGAAGAAAAAAAATATTTTTCCCCCACCAGCCCCAAAGAGCAAAGAAGCCAAGGCAGCTAGCGGGATCCATCCCGCTGGCTGTCTTGGCTTCCTCTTTAGCCGCGTACAACCTCTCCAGCCGGGAGAGGCTGCGCGCGGCTTTGGCAGAAGCCAAGACAGCGAGCGGGATGGATCCCGCTAGCTGTCATGGATCCCGCTAGCTGTCATGGCTTCGTTTTTAGCCGCGGGGCTGGGGCGGGGGAAGCCCGAGCTTCCCCTGACCCCAGCCCCCAGAACAGGCCCAGGAGCGGCGGCAAGGTTGCGCACAGCGTTGCCGCCGCTCCTGGAGCTTGCAGGGCTGGGGGCGCGCTCCGAAGCACGGGGAGCGCAGCGGGAGTTGGCGCTGCGCTCCCCGGGCTTCAGGCTGCAGTCTGCAAGCCTTTGGAGCACGGGGGGAACTCCCACCACGCTCTGAAGGCTTGCGGATAGCTGCCTGAAGCCCCCGAGCGCAGCGCCAACTCCCACTGCGCAACCTTGTGGGCAATCTATGTGGGCAACCTTGCCTCCACTCCTGGAGCTTGCAGGGCTGTGGGCGGGGGAAGCCCGAGCTTCCCCCAACCCTAGCCCCCAGAACAGGTCGGGGAGCGGCGGTCCCTTCTCCCTCCTGGGGAAAAGCCCGCAAGAGCCACGCGAAGCTTGTGTGCGGCTCTTGGGGGCTTTTCCCGCCTGCCTCCCCCCTGCATTCGCTCCATAGGACGCACAGACTTTTCCCCTTAGTTTTTAAGAGGGAAAAAGTGCGTCCTATGGAGCGAAAAATACAGTAGTAATCCTAGCAAACCCTGGTTAGCATTAAAACAGCAGCCATATTTAAAGCTGCCAGGAATTCACATGGAAAAACCAGGAGAAGGATGGGATACAATCTTAGCATATGCTCCGTTGACCATAGATAAGGATGCTACATATGACTATCTCCCAGAATTAGTTTGAGGCTAATAAACCACTCCAGTGTCCTTAGAGAGCAATTATAACCTTGCCAATTGTGTAGCAGCAAAATATTCGCTACTGGTTAAATTAAAAACAAAAACATACTTGAGCTGCATCCAAGGAACTATGAAACAAGTTCCATCAGCTGACAAGACCTCAGGCTTTAGCAATAGCCTCATCCCCCATCCCCTCTTGCCACAAGGTAAACTGCTTTGAAAGGGGTTTCAAAAGTAGTTTGTGATATGATAAAGTCAGCTATACAAATAATAAATCCTACAGGGCTAGCTAGCCCAAGGCCCTTCTATCAGCTTAAGAAACTCTGAGCCATAGCTAACATTAAATGAACAAGATTCCTAGCCACTTTTGCATTCTAAGATCAGTAGAATCAAGGTTGCTTTGAAATTTCTGGACATAGAATGACAGAATCATAGAATTGTAGAGTTGGAAGGGACCACAAGATTCTGTGAACCGCCCTGAGACCTCCGAGTATAGGGCAGTACATAAAATCAATCAATAAGAACAATAATAATCTAGTCCTGCACAATGCAAGAGTCTTCTGCTCTAAACACTCCAAAGCAAATTTGTGGGGCTGCAGGAGGAAAGGGGGATATCCCATTTGCACGTGTTGAAGTCTACTGTGCAAGTGGGCCTCTATAGTGGGATATCACCCATTGTTGTTCAGGTGAGAAAAGAAGCTGAAACTACTTCAAGAAAATCTAAACAAAGTTAGTGAGAAGATGAGCTTGGACATCAGTCAACACAAAACAAAACTTAAATCACACATACATATATGAAAAGACAAACACTCCCGCTAGAGAATTATACTGGTGCAGTCATTTTATGCTCTTTTATATTAGAAGATAAGAGTGAAAATATCATGCAAACCATGCAATGGTTATAATTAGTTATAATCCACTGATAAAGTCCCACTTACTTTGATCAGCATAGTTTTTTGCTTTCAGTTCAAGCTGCCGAGTTTGCGACTCTAAAGCTTCCACTCTTATCTGCAGATCCTTTTTTTCTTGTTCTTGAGAATCTTCAAATTCAATAAATTTCTTCAAAAAGAAACAAAATATTCATGGGCATGTGCATTTTATGTGTTGCTTAAAATATTTTTAGGCCTCTTTGGGGGGGCAAATGCCCATCCAAAGCAGCTTACGTGAACAATGAAAGAAAAAATAATATATACATATATATTTTAAAAACCTAAAATCTACCCCACACACCCCAGAAAGAACATAATTCAATCAAAACATCACACAACTAATTAACATTAAGCCTGGGAGGTTAAGTGGGGTGGAGGGGGAGATCTTTGGGCCTTTCTGAAAAGCCTAGGATACAGAAGTTTAATGTAGGTCCATTGGAAAGAAAATACATAGTCAGGGGGCCACCATAGGGAAGAAACTTTCCCTTGCGGTAACCAGCCTTCAGAACATAAGAAGCATCCTGCTTTCACAGTGGCCAACCAGATGCCTATGGGAAACCTGAAAGTACAACAGCATTCTTCTCACTTGTCATTCCCAGCAATTTGTATTTAGAGGCATGTAGTGGCGCTGTGGGTTAAACCACAGAGCCTAGGGCTTGCTGATCGGAAGGTTGGCGGTTTGAATCCCTGCAATGGGGTGAGCTCCCGTTGCTCATTCCCAGATCCTGCCCACCTAGCAGTTTGAAAGCACGTCAAAGTACAAGTAGATAAATAGGTACCGCTCCAGTGGGAAGGTAAACGGCATTTCCGTGTGCTGCTCTGATTTGCCAGAAGCAGCTTAGTCATGCTGGCCACAGGACCCGGAAGCTGTACACCGGCTCCCTCGGCCAATAAAGCGAGATGAGCGCCGCAACCACAGAGTCGGCCACGACTGGACCGAATGGTCAGGGGTCCCTTTACCTTTAGTCTCTAACAATGGAGGTAGAACTTAGCCATTATGCCAAGTTGCCACTGATAGCTTCAACCTAATGTAACGTCAATCTGTCTAGTCATATTTTAAAGCCATCTAAGTTAGTGGCCAGCAATGGCTCCTGTAGAAGCAAGATCCGTAGCTTAGCTTTCCACCGTGTGAGGAAGTACTTTGTTTGGTCTGCCCAAAATCTTCCAACATTCAGCATCTGTCCCCCCAAGTTCAGGCTTCCTCAAACTCGGCCCTCCAGATGTTTTTGGCCTACAACTCCCATGATCCCTAGCTAGCAGGACCAGTGGTCAGGAATGATGGGAATTGTAGTCTCAAAACTACAAAGGGCCGAGTTTGAGGAAGCCTGCCCAAGTTCTAGTATTATGAGAGAGAGGAAGGAAAATCTATCTCTAGCCACTTGCTCCACACCATACATGATTGCATACATTTCTAGCATGTTGCCTTTTTCTCGCCTTCTCTCGAAAACTAAAAAGCCTCCAAAAGCTGTAACCTTTCCTCAAAGGGGAGTTTCTCCATCCCTTGATCAGTTCTGTTTCCTAAACCTTTTCCAGCTCTACCATAGCTTTTTTGAGGTAAGGCGGCCAGAATTGTACACATTAACCCAAGTGCAGCTGCACTGTAGATTTGCATAATGGCACTGTGACATTCCAGTCCCTTTCCAAATGATTCCTAGCATGGCATTCACCTTTTTCTCAGCTGCTGCACTCTGGGCTGACATCTTCCTTGAGCTATCCTCTATGACCCCAAAGTCTTATTTTTGCCAGCTCAGACCCCAAGAGTCCGTGAAATTTAGATTTTTAGGGGATCATTTTGCACTTGCTTATAGTAACTTGCATTTCCATTTTACTACCATTTTACTCAGTCTGGATAAATTCTTTTATAGCTCTTCACAAACCTCAACAACTTTGAACTGAACCCCCCAAAAAGGGGTAGATCACTGTCATTTATTTTTTTCCTGTGAGTAGACTGCAGTCCCTTGGGAGTTGGACATCCCTTCTCTAGATCATTCAGGTACAAGTAAAAAAGCACAAGTCCTTTATTGTTCTATGGGATTTACTATACCTTCCATGGGCACACATAGGGATGGCTACTAAGCTATTCAGGATGCCCATTTTGTCTTACAATGTTTAAGATATTGTTCTATGATTGTGTTTCTAACCTGCTTATCATGTGACATACTGAGATTCAGGATATAGATAATCCAAAAAGGAGAAAGAAAGGCTTTCACATGTTAGTCTACAATTGAGCAATTGAGACCATTTATTCAGCTATTTTAGAAGTATTTTCAGATTTGGTGCTACTTGTACAGTGGTACCTCGGGTTACAGACGCTTCAGGTTACAGATACTTCAGGTTACAGAGTCTCCTAACCCAGAAACAGTACCTCGGGTTAAGAACTTTACTTCAGGATGAGAACAGAAATCTGTATCCATGAATCACCATATGAACAATTCATACAACATAGCTGTATACATAAGACACTAAGAAGTACTCTCAGCACATGTCTGCTTGACTCATTTTGGGCTAGCGACAGAAGAATTAGTTATAAAGAACTATTTGCAAGGCAAACCAGGAAGGTAGTTCTACACTACTTGAAAGTCTTCATCGAAAGCTCTTATCACATCACCTACTTCCCTCTGACCCTGTCATTATCACACTCTATACCAATAAAAGCAATAGATCCTACACTTCCTTAGTGCTGCATAACTTCAGGTCACAATAAAATTACCTGAAGCTACAAGTAAGAACTAACATGAAAGGTACACGCTGAAACTGAATAATTGCTAACCTGAAAAAAAAAAGTTTTTATTTAGAAGTAAGGTGGACTGTTCCCCCTTAGCTATCCCTTATTCATTTTACATTGAGTCTTTAACACTGTGAACCATTCTGGCATGGGACTATCTTAATTCTTCATACATATTATTTGTACAAAGAAAAGCCATTGTTAAGGCATACAGTATTTACTTTTCTAAGAGCACTTCATTTTTGGTATTGCAGAGTAAACAACTCTCAGTTCAAGTGTTCTTCTGAAATTAAGAAATTTAACAGAATAAATGAGTTCTTGCCTCCACCTCCTTTAAATACTATTTGTATTAACATACCACTCCATTACTGACAAGCTGGTAGCCATTCAAGTCTCTCTCCTACGAAAACAGCAGAACCGTTAGGGAAACTGTCATAATTCAAGGATGTACTAGACCAATTAGGCCCCAAAAACTTGTAAAATATACACCAAATAACTATTCAGGCAACCTTGAGATAAAAAACCATCGCACAATTACTGTACCAGACAACTGTGTGTAAAAGTGGTTTATGAGGGTTGTTTGCCAACAAACCGCAGGCGGAGAAGGAGGACTTCACTTGCAATAGTTGTTCCATGCAGGCCCACGCCACTCTGAGACATCCATAACATGCTTCTGATTTATATTTCCCTGCACTGAACAACATCTCAGAGCCTCTCAAAGCACAATGTTGTGATGGCTCAATACTGAACTTGCTTAAAAATAAATAGGCACTTTCTATGGTTTGGGGCTTCAAATCAAGGATTCACGTAAAGTCCCTGCACCCCTCCCTTTCTGAAAGCAGGGGAACAAATCAGGAAGCCACAGTGAACCACAGCCTCCCATTACATTGGGACTGAAAAACTATGGTTAATCATGGAGCAAGCCAGAATATTAAGCCATGGCTTCAAAAGCTTCCTGGCCAGCTTTCCTACGCACCCAAAAGAGGAAGTGAAGCAGGTGCTTGTGGGTACAGAAGATGCATTTATATCTTGGCTTCTAAAGCCAAGATTCAATCCTCCAAATGCAAACATTGTTAATTGCCAGAAGTGGTAGAGGCTTGTCATTTCTTTGTAGTCCGCCTTCTCTCACTCCCCCTCTTTCATATGTCCAAGAAGTCCAAGAAGCAAGGAATGTGTGTGGGGGATCCTTCACAGATTGCACAAAATACGCAATTATCAGGAGATTTAAAGAGAGAAAGGAGACGAGGAGCAAGGCTAACTCTACCACACACCCCGTTCATCCCTAGAGACCCCTTAAAATAACCAAACATTTGAAGATAAACAGGAGTGTCTAATACAGGATCACTGGAAGGAACAAATGGTCAGATGATTCATAAGCAATGCAAACCACCACTCAAAGAAACCTGCAGGGCACAGGAAACACAGAAGGAGGAGCATCTAGATCTATTTTTTTTTTGTTTTGTTTTGGAACATCTTAGATATAAAGATCCCTTTTCAACTGAAGTTATTATTCAGAATGCTCATTTTGGAAAAACAACGTCATTACTTAGCAGTCACATGCAAACCTCTGGCTGGTCATTTGATTCTTCCATTTCCTGAAACTTTCTAGTATACCAAGATTATACCTGACTCTCTGAAAACTCTTATCAGTTATGAGAAATCACCACATGCATGAAAGGAACACTGAACAAAAGCAAAGACCATCATGACTGATACTTTGGCATCGCTATTTTAAAGAAAGGCACACATGTATTTCTATTTGCTCACACTTCACCACTACGTACAGACATAAAGCATTCAAAGGGGGGAAATTCAGATGCTTTAATTTATAATAATAATAATAATAATAATAATAATAATTTATTTATACCCCGCCCATCTGGCTGGGTATAAAAATATAAAAATACTGTAATACATCAAACATTTAAAGCTTCCCTAAACAGGGCTGCCTTCAGATGTCTTCTAAAAGTCTGGTAGTTGTTGTTCTCTTTGACATCTGGTGGGAGGGTGTTCCACAGGACGGGTGCCACTACTGAGAAGCCCCTCTGCCTGGTTCCCTGTAACTTGGCTTCTCGCAGCGAGGGAACCGCCAGAAGGCCCTCAGTGCTGGACCTCAGCGTCCGGGTAGAACGATGGGGGTGGAGACGCTCCTTCAGATATACTGAAGGATTAATTTGAATTCATTGCAGAAATAAAAACCCTACAGGAGTAAATGTGATGTTAAGTGATAGCAACATTCAGAGTCATCAACAAGAACATACATGAACATATGAAGCTACTTCATACCAAGGCAGTTCTTTGGACTATCTAACCTGGGTCTGCTATTCCTGCATTCATCATGACCTGGACAGTGTTAGAAACTGAGATATGAAAACTAGGAGCTACAAATGGCACCTTAAACCTAGGTTCTGGGCACAACAATGGAATGTCTAGGCACGCTTTTTTATAACAGGAATATAAAGCTGAAAATGAATGAACTGCAGCTAAAATATTACATTCATTTTTCACACCCTCCCTTCAGTTGTCAAGGAAATAAACAACTATCTGACTTTTAGAAGACATCTGAAGGCAGCCCTGTTTAGGGAAGTTTTTAATGTTTGATGTTTTAGTATGTTCTGATATATGTTGTGAGCTGCCCAGAGTGGTTGGGGAAACCCAGCTAGATGGATGGGGTATAAATTTATTATTATTATTATTATTATTATTATTATTAAGTGTATTTTTAATGGTGGCAGTCAAGTAGCGGAATGCCCTTTCCCTAAAAGGGCTTTCTTGGCACCTATGCTCTGGTCTTTTTCAGTAGCAGGTAAGCATTATATTTTTATTTTCTCAGGATTTTAATATTAATAACATATTTAATGATCTATAGAGCTGGTAAGATATAGTTTAAAATCTGAAACTTTAGATGCTGCTATGCATTTGTTTTTATTTCTGTTTCTGATTTATATCCTATATTAAAACACTTTATGATTGTGGTTTTATAATTCTATGTAATTTTTATCTCGTTAAGCTCCCCAAAGACTGTTTTTGTCATTGAGAAGGATAAAAATTTATTCATTCATAACAGTTCTAAGGTCTCAAGCAGTCATTTTTTCCAGGCCTACTATTCAACATCCATTTTACTTGAAAATGCCTGAAGTGTATCTAGGAACCTTGCCACATGCAAAACATATACTTGGACGTGTCCTATGGGTAAGCAACAAATCACCAATATTTTACAGCAAAATATTTAACTATAATCAACTAAGTCTCACAAGTTGCACAATTTTACTCAGAGGAGGCAATCCTGGGCATTTGTTTATGACATCTACAAGTATATTAACTTTCTACATTAGGACCACATTTTAAAATTTTGGCTTAACATAACTGGAAAACACAAGTTCATTTTTTCATTTGCACCTGCAGTACAGTCAGCCAAGCATGTGCAAACAAGGTATAAATAGATTTTGCTGCTTTCCAAGCCACATGAACAAGCATTGCATGCATCTACAGAAACCCATTCACTTTATGGAGAGCAATACATAATGGCCTAATAACTAACTTCTACATGATTACTAAATGGTACATACTTAATACAAAAGTAACAAAATAGTGAAAACACTACAGCAACAGCATCTATGCATAGGTGATGTTGCTACTTTGCCTCCTGGTGTACATTTGGATGTCTGACACACTAGCAGTGATGAGTAAAATCTAAGTGAGAGGATCCTTACTTAAAGCAAGTCAATAAGTAATATGCAACCAATAGCTGTCACTGAAATTTCTATTTAAATCACAATTTATGCTCCACACAGCATCTTTGTTTATGAAGCTGGTTTGTCACACACAAAAATATATCAGGCAGGGCCAGGAACTTTATTCCCATATCCTAATCCTAAAGGACTGACCACTTAGTAATAAAGATGTTACTTGCTAATTAAAAGGTAAAACCTGAGGTGTACATATACTATGTACAAAAAGCATACTAAAAATGTGTGTAGCTTACCTACCTTGATCCAGGTACATTGTAGCATATTATTGATTGCCATGGCATTCAATTTATTTTTCAATTCAAAGCCACACACTGCACTAGAAAAATATTCCTTGTCCCTAGGCACCAGTATTAAACAGAATAACCAGGCGCTTGGTACACAATTCAGAGATTTTTTTTTCTAAATTGAAAGCAACACCAGTGATAGCCAAGATTACTTCTGCTTGCAATAGTATAAACTGTTACTCTAAGTAAACAAAGCACATGCGAACAGCGTTTCAGCAGAGCAGGGTCACAGTCCTGCTCATATTTTAAACTAAGTGTTGTAGGGATTGAACCTGGCACTTATCACCTGCCAGCAATCACTACGCCAGGCTGCTGTAGGGGAGAGAGGAGAAAAGATGCAAGGCCACTATCTGTCCTGCTAAGAAGCCAGGCTCTTCCTGCCATCAATTTCTACCTAGCAACAGTATTTACATCAGGTAAATAGGATGCAGAGGATGAAAGAGAAGGGATGCATGGCTACTCCACTGGCCCAGCTGCGAAACCTGCACTTTAAGTGCTTCCTCTCCTTGGACTTTTCCATTCCTGTAGGTCATTAGACCTTTTATGTCAGAACTTGAACCTGACTTTGCTTATTTCCTCCTCCCTCCTGGTTTTCCTTTTGTGTTGTGTCTTATTAGACTGTGCATTTGAGGCCAAGGGCAGTATTTTTCATGATATGTAAAGCTATTCTGGGAGCCTTTTTTGGCTGGAGAGTAGGAGGGGAAAAAATACTTTAATAAATAAACTCCATGCATTCAAAGCATCAAAGGGCCAACCTGCACGTGATGCTCAGTTGTGTGATTCTTCCCCTTGAAGTTTGATTTTGGTTTTGTTGTTGTTTTAATGAAAAGCAGCCTTGAAGATTGTGAACAGAAGAGATGTGTGAGGTGGTCTGCTTAACCATTTCACTTCTTGCTCTATGTCCAGTCAAAATCTGCCTTCCTAGCTGCTTTCCCAACGCAGAGGAAATATACCAAGCATGGACTATATTGCTTTTATCACTGATCACACTATGCTTGTTCTCAGCTTTTCTAGAAATTGGGTAGATACCACTGTACACGCTCTTCAAAAATCAGTAATATTATGAACGGTGGTATCTACCCATTTTCTAAAAAGCGCACAATTTGATAAGTAACAAAGGCAATAACATGATACGGTAGCAATAAAGTCTAAAATGTGATATAAATAATGTGGCACTCACCACTGATGTTTAAGATGCTGACTTTTCAGTGAAGGACTATTTGGTTACACCACCTGTTGCTTTAACTGACATTTTCATCCATCAGTCCTGAAGACAATCACTGTCCAATTCCAGGGAGTACAGACTATCCACATCTTAGGCATTTATCTAGGCTTCATGTTGCATGATTAACATGTGACAGCTACCCACTAAGGAAGTTAGCATGCTGCCCCAGAGAAGGGGAGCGTTGAAAACAATACAAGGAACCTTTCAGAAGTCCAGGCATTACTACAGTGTAAGAATCACCTTGGCCAGAATTCTAGAGTTTAACAGCAGCCCAACCAATTCCGTGAGGAAGCTCCCAGGCAAGATACTAAAGCCCTGCCACATCACCCTCTGCTCCACACACAACAGCATTTATCCTCTGAGTTATGGAACACACCAGGCTCTCCTGCAGGTCCCACCCTGGCAGCTTCACACTACTGTCACTGTGTCAGCCTGCTCCCTCAGCGTTTTCCTTCCACTTATGTCCACTTCCTTCCACCCCACTTGCATTGACATATGCCACTTCCATGGGGGCTCAATGCTGCTACAGTGGTACCTCGGGTTAAGTACTTAATTCGTTCCGGAGGTCCGTTCTTAACCTGAAACTGTTCTTAACCTGAAGCACCACTTTAGCTAATGGGGCCTCCCGTTGCTGCCGCGCGATTTCTGTTCTCATCCTGAAGCAAAGTTCTTAAGCCGAGGTAATATTTCTGGGTTAGCGGAGTCTGTAACCTGAAGCGTATGTGACCTGAAGCGTATGTAACCCGAGGTACCACTGCACTTCTTTGTGTCGTCGTCCCCCAACTGCCACACCCAAACCTGCACCAGCGAAGTTGCCTCATCTCCCTCCCCAAAACTTTCATCCTCCCATCCCGCCAACACCCCCGGACGCCACTCCTCCAAAACACATACACATCCCCCTCCTCATTTCTTTTTCTTCTTCTTCTCTCTCACGTGCGGAAGCGGACCCCCTCCCCTTGGGACCCTTCCTGGCGGCCCTGCAGCAGCAGCAGCAGCAGCCCCCCCCCCCGCCCCGCTCCTTCCCACCTCCTCCTCCTCCTCACTCACCTCCTCGGCCTGCTTCCGCAGCGCCTTCTCCCGCTCGTACTGGGTGAGGAGCTGCTCGTTGTCGTCCCGCAGCAGCTCCAGCTCCACGCTGGTCTCCTGGCTGTGCGCGCAAACCGAGTCCAGGTTCTCCAGCACGGCCACCACCAGCGGCATCAGCTCGGCCACCACCTCCTCGTCGTAGCGCCCGATGAGCCGCTCGAACTCGCGGTAGATGGAGCCCGCCAGACCCGACACCCGCTCCGACATCATGGCCGGGCCGGGGCCGCCCGGGTCCTCCTGGTACACCACGCCGTCCGCCAGCTCCATGGCCTCGCAGCGCAGGGCAGCCCGGGCCGGCCGGAGAGGAGGCGAAAAGCCCCTGGCAGGAGAAAGAAGCAGCAAAGGAGGAGGAGCAGCAGCACCGCCCGCCCGCCTGCCTCCCTCTGCAGCGGGGCCTTGATTACAGCTCAGCGCGAACAGGAGGGAAGCTTGGGTGACAGGCGCGCGGCACTGACCTCACCCACGGCGCCGGAGTGGAGGGAGGGGGCGCGGGGCAGTGACGTATGTCGGTGGGCGGGGGCACCGGCGCCCCTCAGCATTCGAAGAATTGGGGCGAGGGGCGGGGCTAAGGCTGACTGACGTGTGGTGAGCGTGGGACTGGGCGGGGCCCCAGGACCCGGGCGTGGCCGTGGCGCTGTCAGTGAGTCGGGAGAGGGAAAATAGGGCAACGTGGGAGGCTAGGCCTCCTCCGACATCCTCAGGTCCAGCCGGCGGGCTTTTTTCTTCAGGCGCAAGCGCCACAGGGATTCAAGGAGGTTTGCATCCACATAAAGAGTCACAAGAGCGTTGTGGCACCGTTTAGGATGATGACACGACAGCCCAACTTCCTCAGATGCAATCCTAAGCATGCTTCTTTGCATATAATGAAAACTTATTTATACTGGCTTTTGACCCCTTGCAAGGGGATCCCAAGAAGAAAACAAGATAGGAATTTTTCAAATTGTGTATGTGTTATGTTGTTGTGTATGTTAATATATTTTTTGCAGGCGACTCAGAAAATAAGATATTCAAGTCTGAAAACATTTAGGCTTCTGCTTTCTCCAGTTGCTCCGATGGGAATTAAAGGGTGCTGCCAAAAGGAAAATACAAAGAATTGTAGAATTGGAAGAGACCCCAAGGATCATCCAGTCCAACCCTTTTTCAGTGGAGGTGGTCTGTAAGGGGATTGAACCCATGACCTTGGCGTAATCAGCACCACACTCTTAACCAACTGAGCTAAATGGAACGAGTAAATTAAAAACCATTAAAAGTCCAGCAGAATGAAAAATGTTTTTGGTGCCTGCCTAAATGTAATCAGGTAGAGGACCGGTCTCATGCCTTTGTAAATGGTATCACTGAGTTTAATTATTCCAAGGTAAATGTGGCTAGGATTGCAGTAACCCTCACAATGTGTCTTTAGCCCACGTTATTTATACATCATCATGCATATAACACACTATAGAATGATGTTTTGAAAATAAAGGTCTCAGCCCCAAGGTGCTTGCAATATACGTTTTGACACTGGGGATGAGGAAGGGAGAAAAACAAAGATAATGAGGAATGAATGTGAGCAAAATTTGGTTGGGGTTCTTTTGGCTCCTTTTGGTTGGGGTTAAAACAACAGATTCAAGAGAAAGTGGGATGATGTAAGAAACAATTAAAATCTAGTATGCTCTAAAATGTCAGAGGACAAAAGAAAAAGGTACTAAAATACAGTTTACAGGATTTTATAAAGTATAAACAGCCAAGAACAGGAATGAGCATGGCCTGTAACTTGTTAAAAACATTTACAACTGTTGTCTGTGAAGAAAATGACATGTGCTAAACGGAGTGGAGAAAAAAAGGGGGGCCTTTTGGACTTCTGGGGAAAAGAAGAACAACAAGAAGACTTATCTGTCTTTTTATTATTATTATTCAGAAGCAGCAGAGTGGTAGCAACAGAGGAAGGAAAATGATGGGTGTGTCCAAACTTAAGTCTTGTGATGTTCTGAATGCATTCCAGCCACTAGGTCAAGTCTGTCGCATGGGCGTGAAGCAGAGATTATGTATGTGGCAATTTCACACTGTAGTCGGATTCTGCTTCCTTATTGCCTCTGCTGGAAACTTTCTGTGAAAACAAAACTCAGAAGTGCCAAAGGCATTATAGCCAAAACAAATTATGGTACTGATGCTGCAGAGAATTCTTTTGGGCAACTGGCGAGCTCAAATAATTTTTTTTTGTTTGTTTTCTTGAATGTTGAAATCTCATTCTCTAACTCTCTTAAGTTTGCTTAAGTCTTTTAAACTTTAAAGTAACCAACAGACTTTTTGACAGACTTTTGATAGACTTTGTCTATATCATGGGTAGGCAAACTAAGGCCCGGGGATGGTCCAGGAATCAGCGTGTTTTTATATGAGTAAAATGTGTCCTTTTATTTAAAATGCATCTCTGGGTTATTTGTGGGGCACAGGAATTCGTTATTATTTTTTTCAAAATATAGTCCGGGCCCTCACAAGGTCTGAGGGACAGTGGACTGACCACCTGCTGAAAAATTTTGCTGACCCCTGGTCTATATTAATGCTTGTGCAAGCAACAACATTTATTATATTAACCATTCACATGTGTTGGTAATTTGAGCTCCCTCTACTGGTCCTGCCACAGCACTGGATATTCATATTTTTGCTTTTCATTCAATACAGTATGTTTCTCATCACTGAATAGTTACATTTTCAAGGGAAATATCTGTAGCGCATGAGAGAGAACCTAATAAGAGAAAATGGCAACTACCTGGCTTTCTTGAAATGCCACAAACTGACCAGAAGGATATGGGATATGGGTGGGGTAGGCAGTAAAAAAAAAAAAGTGCAGGGGACCCAATTTGATGTTACTACAGGCCCATTTATGCTTAGGCTTTAACTTATTTAAAGTAATGCATCACTTAATAAAGCTGCCCCAAGCTCTTTCAATGTATGTATAAAGTAAGCATTGCGGTTCCCCAAGAAGACATGACATTAAGAATCAAAGAGGCCAAGTGACTTTGGGTGATATCCAATATTGCCTTCACAGACCTGCCCTAACTCTCCCTGCAGCCCCAAATTATTTTTTCTAGACTGTCCCCCAACCCCCCAAAGCAGATTTGCAGGGCATGTGTGGTGCTGCAGTGGGGAGGAGAGGAAAGAGAAGTTCTTCTAGTAGACAGACATACTTGGATATCACCCTTTGCCTGCAACAACCCCAGCCAGCACACTCACCTGGAACAAAGTCCTATTGAGTTCAGTAGGGATTACTTTTGAGTAAATATGTACTGTATAGGATTGTGTTGTCAACTTTTTTACCCAGGAGTGGTTTTTTGGCTTCATTGGCACTAAGTTCATGCCAATTTTAGCATAGTTTTATTATTTAATAGTGAAGCACTTTAAAAAGCTCAGAATACATAAATGTTGCTCATGGCTTATATTCCATCTAATCAAAAAGTGTGGCTTTTCAATCATCAGCAAAGGACCCTAGTTTCACTTGCATCATGAATCAAGAGTAGAAAACAGGAAGCTCTAGGTCAGGAGGTGGAAAATGGAATCTTTCATAGGTGGAGAACTTTTAAAGTTAAATAAGGCTGCTACCCTAAACATGCCTACTCAGAAGGAAGTCCCTTTGAATTCCCAGGTAACATGAACACAGATTTCCAAACAGGTTGTATATTTTTTTCTGGGTTTTCATTTCTGATTCAGCATTAAGGGGAATTACTTATTTAACAAAATTTATACACAACTTGATTGTAAGGAGGCATCTAAGTGGTTTACAAAAATATAGAATAAAAACAATAAAATTCTTGGTAAAAAAAGTTTAAAATATATTTTAAAGCAGGCTTCCTCAACCTCGGCCCTCCAGATGTTTTGAGACTACAATTCCCAGCATCCCTGATCACTGGTCCTGCTAGCTAGGGATCGTGGGAGTTGTAGCCCAAAAACATCTGGAGGGCCAAGATTGAGGAAGCCTGTTTTAAAGCATTAAAATAATATTAAAATCCACAGTAGCTTCAAAAGCTACTTCTACATCTCTGGATAGTCTTGCCTAAACAAAAATGTTTTAAGCAGGCACTGAAATGGATACAGCGCAGCTGCCTGCCTGGTATCAGGGGTACAGTTAGACAACTGTAGCTGTAGTACTTCTTACTCTCAAGCAATGAAGCTGCTGGTTGCAAAAACTAAATATGAGTTGCAGTAGTATCAATGACCTCAAGTGCATGTTCAGCAGAGTTTTCTGCTCACAATATTGCTGCTTGACAAGACTTAAGAAATCAACAGTGAGGGAAGTGATGAATGGAGAACAACCTTGTACATATTTCTGCAGAAGCAGCAGTTGGAAAAGAGGATTGAGGAAGCATCAATGTGCTCACACAATAATCTAGGGGTACGCGTAAATTACCTTTGATTCTTGCCTTTATTTCAAGTATATAGTTATCAGTGCTGTGCTGTAAAAGCCATTATTGCATTTTCCACTAGAGAGCAGCAAAGACTTGCAATTTATTTACAGCACCATCCTATGTATGTTTACTCAGAAATAACACTTTGTTTGGTGAGCTTACTCCTAGGTAAATCGGTATAGGGTGGAAGTATTATTGATTGATTGATTGATTGATTGATTGATTGATTGCATGTAATATCACCTTTTTATCCAAACAGTTCAAGGTGGTGTGGTGCTCCCCATTCCTCATTTAATCTGCACAACAAGCCTTTGAGATAGGTTAGGCTGAGAGGCAGTGACTAGCCCAGTGTGCTTCATGGCCGAGTCAGGATTTGAATCCTTGTCTCCAACATCCTAGTCCGATACTCTAACCACGACATCACACCCAAAGGCTGACTATGTAGAAGAATCCACAGGACTCCAAATAAAAATCAACAGGTATGTGGGTATATTAAATACCACTTGGAAGAAGTACCTTGGCATAATATGTTTTGGCTGGAGCTATAATGTGGCCTTTGGATTAATCACTTTTATTTTTCTTATTCACTCTCAATAATGCATGCTGTACCTATACATAAAGACTTTCAATCCAGTATTTTTGCATGGGCAATTTGATACAGGTGACTGTAAGGCAAGAATAAAAGCTGTCATTAAAAATATAATGTTTGGAAATGGTTAAACATCACAGGTAGAGTGTATTTTCAAGCTGATGGCTAGCAAGCTGAATATTTACCATTTGACCTATGACTTTTAGATCATTCGTACACTGGCAACAGTGAAGGAATCAGATTGGGAGAGCACATTCCAGAAAATGCACCATGATCCCAGAATTAGCTAAGAGTATGACATTATCTAAAGATGCATACCATGAGGTTCAAATTATCTGGTATGTTGCATGCGCAGAGTCTCAGTGCAAGATTTAATCTTTAAGATCATAATCATGGATCAAGGTGCTTTCCTGGCAGTCATTCACAAGGAGTATTTAAGGACATCATGCTTGGGTATGTTGATCCTACAATCCCACTGTTCCAGGAGAAGGCCAGTGCATGATATTGTCCTAATCATATGCACTCCAGCAGCAAACCAGAGACCAAGATAATACTGTTAGAAGGTAGCTATCAGCCACTCCCACAGGGTCCTTGGCATTATGTCAGTAAGAGCTGTTTGACAGTGGAACGAACTCCCTCGATAGCTTGTGGACTCTCCCTCCTCGGAGGTTTTAAAGCAGAGGTTGGATAGCCATCTGTCATGGATGCTTTAGTTGAGATTTAGTTGAGATTCCTGCATTGCAGGAGGCTGGACTAGATGAGCCTTGGGGTCCCTTCCAGCTCTATGATTCTATGTCACCTCCAGTTACCCATACAGAAAAAGTACCAATCCATGCCCAATGACAGCATGGATGTCACTCCTCCCCACATACAGAGCACAAGCACAATCCCTCCCACTAACAGACAACAGTGCCTCCCTCTCCAATGCTGTGATCACCCAAAACTCAATAGGCTTGTGTGTAGAAATCAGAGGCTCCTCTGCCAGCAGCAGGAGTGACAGCTTGGCCCCGCAATTGTGAGTGCCCGGGGCCGTGCATGCCAGTGCTATGCAGTGTGCATGGCCCTGGCGCCGAAATTTGCCGGTGCCCAGCCCCTTCATGGGGAGTTTTGTGGGTGCTCGGGCACCCAGGGCCCCAGGGAGGGTTCGAAATGTGTTGGGGTGCTTCCACATATAAAGGTAAAGGGACCCCTGACCATTAGGTCCAGTCGTGACCGACTCTGGGGTTGCGGCGCTCATCTCACTTTACTGGCCGAGGGAGCCGGCATACAGCTTCCGGGTCATGTGGCCAGCATGACTAAGCCGCTTCTGGCGAACGAGAGCAGTGCACGGAAACACCGTTTACCTTCCCGCCAGAGTGGTACCTATTTATCTACTTGCACTTTGACATGCTTTCGAACTGCTAGGTTGGCAGGAGCTGGGACCGAGCATCAGGAGCTAACCCCGTCGCGGGGATTTGAACCACCGACCTTCTGATCAGCAAGTCCTAGGCTCTGTGGTTTAACCCACAGTGCCACCCACGTCCTGCTTCCACATAGATAATACTAATAACATTGCACATAGCATGTCTGCTCCAATTCAGCAGTAAAGAGCAGGTTTCATGGGGAAAGCACTGGGGCCAAAAAATAATAATTAAAAAAATGCTCAGACAGGGAGCTTTAAAGCACAGACCTGTGCCTAGAAATGTAGCATGAAAGCAAGTCTGGATGACCCTAGATCAGGGGCAGGTCATGCTCTAATCCAATAATAGGTCATGCTGCCAGAATAAGCAGCAGGTGGATTTCAGATAGGAGCTAATAGCCTTTCACTGCAGAAAAGGAAAGAGCAGAAAAAAATAAACAATGATTTCATTATGGTTGAAATGAAATGAGTGAAAACACATCTCTCTCCAAAAGTGACATGAAGGGTCTGTTCTCTCACAAGGCGGCTACCACATGGGCTGTGTACACACTATACATTTAAAGGACATTCTTTCCTTCAAATAATTCTGGGCACTGTATGTTGAGGGTTGCTGGGAATTGTAATTCTGTGAAGGGTAAACTACAGTGCCCATAATTCTTTGAGGGAAATATTGTGTTCCAAATGTGCTTTACAGGTATCATGTGTACTTCTGACTCAAACCTCTGTCACTTGGAAATAATTATAAAGGGTTGTATCCACTGTTTCCATTTCCTCTCCTCTCCCTCACCCCACCCCACAATATCTTCCAGAATATGCTCCAGAGGATCCCCAAGCCTGATTTTGGGGAGTGGGGAGCTGGAGGGTACAGGAGAGGAAGAAGATGAAGCACTGGATATGGCCCTCTTGGGTCTGAAGAGAATCAAACTGCACAGTCTGCAATGGAAGACTGAATTTTGATCTGACTAGAAAAGAGGAGGCTCCTACAAATTATTATTTATTATGTTTTTAGATATGCTGTAAACTGCCCAGAGTGGCTGGGGAAACCCAGCCAGATGGGTGAAGTATAAATAATAAAATTATTTATTATTATTATTATTATTATTATTATTATTATTATTATTATTCCTTCAAATCAACCTGAGTTGGGGGACAGCTAAGGACCTCTACTGTACCATTGGAAATCTGTGAATACCATAAGATATCAGGATTTGGTTGCGCTCTCCACATAAATCGGATTTATTTCTAAAAGGGTGCTTTATTACTTGGTGCCAATGGCAGCTTCAGTGGGGCATGGATTTCATCAGGACCACAGTGTGTAGGTGGAAATGGTTAATCCCCACCTCCAGATACAACTATGGTAAGCAAAAGCAATAAGGACTCTTTTTACAGTTCTGGGTGAAAAATACTGACAGATTATTAGAAATGGGAAGTCTGCATTTAGGAAAATCTGCCATTTTAGGTTTTTCTCTCTGTTAAAATGATAGGAAGGAAATACATACACTGGATGTAGAGAGAGAGAGAGAGAGAGAGAGAGAGAGAGAGAGAGAGAGATGGTGGTGACATTACTTTTATTAGTAGGAACAGCCACACTGAAAATGCTGGTACTCGTGTGTCTGGAATCACAGCTTGAGTGTTAAAGGGCAGAGGATAAAAGGATCAAGGGCAACCACAGGAAGGAGAAAAAAAGACCTAGGATCAATCCAATTATTGGATTAAAAGACAAATGGCAAAAGGCTGAAGTACAGTACAAATAAAGAAGCAAGCAGCGAAAGGATAAATGAGGTGAAGATACTAAAATTATATCAATACTATGCAATGTGGAAAGGTGACAACAAACAGCTTGTGAGGATGCTAAAGAGGGAATAGAATCCTGGCTGCTAGTTTTGGGTGGGATTCAAGAACATGCCAGCAAATTAAAGTTAATATGGTGCCTTTGCTCAACAAACCTGCTTCCCTCCAAAACTTTTTTTCTCTCTTTGCAATAAGGAAAGTGATGGGGAAATGCACTGAAAGTATGACATAACAGTTGCTTGACATAATGTTTTATTGTAAGTTGCTTTGGGTTGCACTGGGAAAATAAAGTAAACAACAACGTGATTAATTAATCCATTAATGGCATATAATCTCCCTGCAAATGCATCAGACTGCATGCTCAATAAATAGCTGGTGTTGTCTAGTCTCTTCACAAACTTTGTGTGTGGGGAGAAAATCAGGATGAAAATACTCCCAGTCTCTAGTAGGATTGACAAACCCTTGGGGCCAACCTGAAGTCCTGAGGTTTACCTGGTTGCTCCCCCCTCCTGGGTAACAGTGGGAAGGCTTGAAACTCCAGGTGGGTGAGAATGCCTTTAACATATCATTATTGTTATTGCTATTGTTATTCCTTCTATGTGCTGTAGAGGGAAGTGAGGGGCAGATGGGGCTGGTCAATCTGGAAAGGTGGCCCATCCAGGAAAAGGAAAACTCTGATCCTAGACCTCCACTGCCTTGCAGGATATCTTTGGGAGAAGAAAATGCTAAGGAGTAAAGCCTACACAAATCTGGAATGGAGTCCCCAAGATGGTTGGATGGTGCCTTGTACAGCTCCTGCTGCAAATCCTACAGCCAACTAGTGCCCAAGCATATTGCTGTGCTTTACTTTGGACCATATCAGCGAGGCCAGCAGGGGTGGCCTTGTCATCTGGGCAGCCCAGGACCTCCATACCCACTTTTCCGAGAACACGTTTCCGAGCACAATTCAAAGTGTTGGTGCTGACCTTTAAAGCCCTAAACGGCCTTGGTCCAGTATACCTGAAGGTGCGCCTCCACCTCCATCGTTCTGCCCGGACACTGAGGTCCAGTGCCAAGGGCCTTCTGGCAGTTCCCTCGCTGCGAGAAGCCAAGTTACAGGGAACCAGGCAGAGAGCCTTCTCGGTAGTGGCACGCGCCCTGTGGAACACCCTCCCTCCAGATGTCAAAGAGAAAAATAACTACCAAACTGTTAGAAGATATCTTAAGGCAGCCCTGTTTACGGAAGCTTTTAATGTTTAATAGTTTATTGTATTTTAGTGTTTTGTTGGAAGCCGCCCAGAGTGGCTGGGGAAACCCAGCCACATGGGCGGGGTATAAATAATAAATTATTATTATTGTTATTATTATTATTTCCAGCCTTGCGCCCTGGGGAGCTTGTTGCAGTGCTGCTAACTTCACCCCCAAGGCTCACTCAATTGTCTGTCTCAAGACAGATGGATGCCAGCAATCCAGTCTGAGAAACTTGTGGAGCAGTTTTTGAAGCCGGCAGCAGATGGCGCCCAAAGCGCCAGGAAGTTGTCCCTGCTTTGCCAATAAGCTGAAGACCTAAGGCAGCTAATGGGTATGGTGAGAAGGGAATGTACCTGAAGGAGTCCCACTGTGAGGCTGGGCTGTAGCCAGGCTGGGGGCTGTAGTAGCGACAGTGTTACCACAGCCACCAGCACGAGCGGATTCACAACGGCAGGCAGACAGGTACGGGCGCACAACTGGGTGGGAGAGATGGCTCAAGGAGACCCGGGATGCTGGGGGAAGAGACAGAGATGTCTCAGAGGTCATAAGGTGTGGCAGAAGCAGCAGTGCCGCAGAAGCTGTCAGAAAAGGGATGTGGATGACAGCGTGAGATGAAGGCAGGAGAAGATTTATGGAATTAGTGTACTTAGAGGGCAGTGTGTGGCATTTGAGGCAGGGAGGGAGGGGTGTCTAGCAAGCACATGGGCATTTGAGAAGTCTCTAGGGAAGCGAAGTTCACCTTCGAGATCACCATGCCCCATATAGGCCTGGTCAATCACTTCAGTCTACAGAACTAGCACTGTTACAGGTGACACACTTCAGAACTCTGCCCATTGACCACAGGTAGGTGCCTTAACTGGGCTCTTTTTGGCACATGCTAAAACCATAATGTTTAGGCAAGCCTATCCAGATATGTAGAATGTTGACAAGTGTTTAAATCTTGTTTTTAGCTTACTGTTGATTTTAATTTTTTTAATGCTTTAAATGTTTTCAACTGTTTTTACTGAAAATTTAATTGTCTCATTCTTTTTGGAAACTACTTCAACAGATTTTTTTATTTTTTTTACCGTCAAGCAGTACAGTGGTACCTCGGGTTAAGTACTTAATTTGTTCCAGAGGTCCGTTCTTAACCTGAAACTGTTCTTAACCTGAAGCACCACTTTAGCTAATGGGGCTTCCTGCTGCAGCCGCACTGCCGAAGCCCGATTTCTGTTCTTATCCTGAAGCAAAGTTCTTAACCTGAAGCACTATTTCTGGGTTAGCGGAGTCTGTAACCTGAAGCGTATGTAACCCGAGGTACCACTGTATCTATTTTTTGTGAAATGAGTAAATAATGCAATGCAGTACAATAATATAACTATAAGAAACTCTTGCTATTGAAGCTGTAGCAGGGATAGGGAACCTCTCATCAGACTCAGCCAACATAGTTAGTGGTCACAGGGGCTGATGGGATTTGGAGTCCACTGACCAATGAAGGGCCAAAGGTTCTGTATCCTTGATATATATAGGGACTGGAATGGCCATCTGTAAGGGAAGCTATAGTAGAGCATTTCCTGCGTACGGGGGTTGAACTAGATGACCTTTGAGGTGTATCTCTCTCTATCCTATGAAAATGTGCACTTTTCTGAAAAGCTCTTTGAAGTTTAACATAATAAATATAATTTAGTAAGTATATCAGAAACATGTAGCCTATAAATGCTTACAAGGTTGCATACTGTTTACAGTAAAATAACTATTATCAATCAATCAATCAATCAATCAATCAGTAAAATGTACAAAAACTTGATCTGTAACTACTCTGATCCTAAAAACACCAAACTGAAAATAAGGTTTCTGTTAGTTTCAGTTGGTACGAACAGTGAAATACATAATCCTCATTCAGGCATTAGGTCTTATATGCAATATGGCCCCTCTGTATTACTTGGAAAGTGAAATTGCCATGTTTCAAGTTGAACAATTGTAATTAGTATCTTGGGCCTTGTGGGGGGATAACTTTCACATTTATCTGCTCAGTGTCGTAATTTTGTTATGAGAACATATGGAAATGCCTGTAAATCCATATCTCAGTTTCTGTGTAAATTGGAGTACACCTGTAATATAACTCCTTTCTAACTGACTGTAATGTTTCTATATTCTTCAGTGCTAAACTGACTGTATATGCAGCTATTTGGCACATTTGTGGGACCACTGCTGTGCTGGTTATCCTCTGATGTAAGATGAATAGTGTGTGTACACTGCGCCTAATCCACTTAACTGATGGGTTGTCCTCAGTCTAATACGGCATAATGCTGCAACAGACTGAGACTTTTTAAACCCTCCAGACTTCTGCCATAGCAGGATTTAGATCTTGATCATATCGCTGCTTTCCTATTGCAGTAGGACAATGGCTTCAGTTGCTGAGCGGACTTTCATCGCCATCAAGCCTGACGGAGTACAGCGGGGCTTGGTGGGAGAAATTATCAAGCGATTTGAAAGGAAGGGATTCAAACTGGTAGCCATGAAATTCATGCATGTAAGTTTCTGTCGAGGTATTGCCAAGCATTGTTATTCTGTTGCAGAATTGCCATGCGTTGTTTATTGGTCTGTTGTGTCAAAGCGGACTCTGAACCGAAATAAATTTGAAGTAGTCAGTTTTGAACTGCAGCACATTGCAGCCTCCATAGCTACGACCCCAAGGAGAGTCCACAAATAGAGGTGGCTGGGTTGATGACCTGTCGATCAACCTATACATACCCCTCAGCAGTACATAGCGTAATATCCAGTTCATTGCACACAGAGTGCATTATGGTGCAATGCCTAGAGCCCTGGCCAAGGGTGGTGTAGTGGTTAGCATGTTGGAGAGACTTGGGTTCAGACCCCCGATGAGACATTTGTAGTGACTACAATCATTTGCATAGTTACCTGGGGGAAATCTCCATTGAACTCAGTGCTGCTTACTTCCGACAGCATAGGTTCAACTTGTAAAACTCATTGAACTGTAACTTTAATTAGGAATGCAAACAGTTTTGCAAATAAATGTTTCCATTGATTCTGCTAGCACGAAGTAGGCACCCCTCCAAGGAAGAAGTACCCCCCGAAAAAAAGAAAGAAGAATCTGCTTGATTCTCAGACTTCCTCTATATTAATCCTTATTCACTGACTTCCTCTACATTAATATGTCACAAACTGTAGTAAAATTCAAAAGCCTCATTATTGTCTCATTCACTTGCCAGAGGGTCTGTCAATTACCCTGGAATTTTGGCAGCTATTGTTATGATTCTTGCTCTGAAAGAAATGTTCTGGAACTGTGCTGTAGCCCCATTTCATTCCTGCTCCACTACACCACTGATCCAGTATTTTACAAAATAATATTTTGGATCCTTTCCAATATCTAGCAGAAGGTAAAGCCACGCTGAGTACTCTAATTTTAGTAAGCAGCTGTCCTTAGTCGGAAAGGTGTGTCCTTAGAGGTATATTTTAAAGTTAATGCTTCAGATTTTCTTGGAGGTGCAAATACGTTGTTCAATTAACTTGAGTGAAAATCATCTTGCTGAATGAACCAAAATAAATATTGTTTAAAATCTGTACTAGCCAGCTAAACCAATATTGTAATAAAGTACTAGGGCCAATATTTGACAAGCAAGCGTGCAATTTAAGGATTAATACTACTCTTGTAGTTAATTTTATTTGACATAAGATGCTCTTAAGTTCTTATGCTAAGCATTTTATTCCTGCAGGCCTCTGAAGATCTTCTCAGTGAACACTACAGTGACCTGAAGGATAGGCCATTCTTTGCTGGGCTAGTTAAATATATGCACTCTGGACCTGTTGTAGCCATGGTAAGTCTTCAGCAAATAACCTTGATTTCTTTAAAAAGCAAATGAACTTTATGCAGCAAGCATAGCTGTCAAGTGTCCCTTATTTGAAGGGACAGTCCCTTATTCCAGTGCCATGTCCCGCTGCTGTCCCTTATTGATGGATGTCCCTTAAATGTCCCTTAAATGATGTCCCTTAAATTTCAAAGGAAGCAGCTCCTCTCCCTCCCTCCCTGCTGGCCAGGGAGGAGAGAGGCTCCAACTGTGTTGCTTGGCTGTGTTGCTCACCCAATAAGAAGTCTAAGAAAGACTGGGGGGTGGAGCTTGCATGCCTTGTGCGTGGCTAGTTAATGCAAGCTGAGGGGTTTTTTGAATGCTGGATGCCATTTTGTTGTACGTGCTGCTGCAAACTTTGCAGTGCAAAGCCAGGCTGGGGAGCCATCTTAAGTTGAGGCTGCATAGGCCTTGTGGTGCATGTGATTCAGATTCTGTTCAGTTGAACCTCTGGTTACAAAGTTGGTTGGACAGTGTTCTCGAAGCTACCAGCATGAGTTTGACCAGACTGCAGGAGGACAGGAAGACTGGAGTGCCTGGAACAGATGAGGCTGCAGGTCCCTTATTTTGGCTGCTGGTCCCTTATTTTCAAGGCTGCTGGTCCCTTATTTTCAAATCTGTAAGTTGACAGCTATGAGCAAGCACTGAGAAAAGAGATGCAGTTTGGTTGCATCTTCAGAATATATGCCATATGTATTCTTGTGGAAGGAAACAAAACAATATGATTGTTCTAAACCTCTGAAGAAGAAGAAGAAGAAGAAGAAGAAGAAGAAGAAGAAGAAGAAGAAGAAACCTCTGATACTAATAATGGACAAGGCCACAATATCACTAAGAGCCTAACTTCTACATTTTTATGTGGAAGTGTTTCCATTCCTTAAATAAAATAAAAAGAGACTACCTTAAATAATGCCCAGATTCAAAATATGATTAACAAATGTAACACAATGTGCCTAAATAGAAAGTTCTAAGGAAAGACTGGCATTTTAATATATTTTCAAATGGAGAATTTCAGGGTTAGCAATATTAATACTACTAGTCATAATAATTAATTAAATTTATATATTGTCCTCCAGCCAAAGATCACAGGGCAGTTCACGACACAAAAATACAAAATGAGAACACAAAATGCATAATGAAAACAAAAACCAACCAACAACGCCCTCCCACAAACACATTTAAAAGGGCATGGAATGTTAATCAGCCAAAGGCCAATTAATTGATCTAATTGTAACCCCAGATCTTTGAAAGGTTGGCAAACTATGGCCCCATTTAGATAACCACTATTAGAATCTTATCGTCACATAGCAATGAAATAAAAATAAGCAGTGATCATAGCAACTACACAGGTTACATGTACAAAACTGCACTGTTGCCTTGGGATAACTCCCATCGTCCCATAGCAATTGCTCATTAAAAGTAGCAACTGTGCAGCAATATTACGAGTGTGAAAAAAACCTCCCAACGCTCTATCTTCTTCTAGATGAGCAAGGCCTGTGAGAATTACAAAAATAGCTGCCTTTCCTTCAGTGCTTTGTCCAGGCTCTGATGCGGTCGTTGTCACAGCATCTTGCTACCTGAGAGATGAAAACTGCATCTTGTGCCCAGACCATCCTAGGCTCTGCCATCTCTCAGTTCTAACAGTCTGTCCATACTTGATAATTCACAGTGGATGCAGGCATCCAAATTATGATTGTGGGTGGGCATGGTGGAGAGGTGGAGAGACTCAAGGATATAGAAATCAGACCCAGCCACAGTTTATGTGCTTATGTATAAGTCAAAGCATACACCTGGAGTTAGTGGCCTGCTTGAATTAACAGTTTTTGAATGGAAACAGGAGGCAGTACATCTGTAAATGTACTCTGCAGTGTAAGCCTCTTACAGCTACATATTCAAATTAACCCCAATCGTTTGGTTCAGATTCTACAAAACGGCACTGCCACTGTACAGTTCAATTCCTTATCCCCCCCTCCTTTGTTGTAAAAGTGGATAAGCACCCATCAGTAACAAAAACTGCTGGCAGCTTTGAGCAACATGTCTTCTTGCTAATTGTGAAACTATCTATCTGCTGAGCACTTTAAGATTATATTAGAATAAAGCAATGAGTTTGAAAGGTGTTACAAGCAATAGGGGTTGAAAACAATGTCAAACATTTCCCCCCCCCTCTTTAGCACTATACTTGCATTGGCCCATAATGTAGTATTTTGCCTGTACTAGTTTAGAGAAAATGGGTGCTTTACTGTCTGATAAGAGGAGGAACAAACTTCCTTCGGATAAAATACACAAAATGAAAGGTTCACAAGATAGCAGAGCTTTTATGACATGATGGTTTGTTTACTTTTCACACACACATTATTTAAGGGACTACATGAGCACGTTATTTATGTTTGAGTGGTAATTAGAGAAAAATCTAAACTGTGTGTCTGACTTGTTAGCCCTCCGTTGGTGCAATGGGGAAAACATTTTCTGCTTTGAGATTCTAAACTATGCCCACATTATGTTCAGAGATGCAATGGAATGCCTGTGCAGTCGTACCTTGGTTGATGAACGCCTTGGTTGACGAACTCAGACATTTTGGCTTCTCAATGCCACAAACCCAAAAGTGAGTGTTCAGGTTTGCAAACGTTCTTTGGAACCCGAACGTCCGTTTTGGCTGTCGGCATTGTTTCCGGGGCCAATCAGCCAATCGGAGGCCGTGACTTTGTTTGCGAATGTTTTGGAAGTTGAACAGACTTCCGAAATGGATTCCATCCATCAACCAAGGTACGACTGTACAGTGGTACCTCGGGTTAAGTACTTAATTCGTTCCGGAGGTCCGTTCTTAACCTGAAACTGTTCTTAACCTGAAGCACCACTTTGGCTAATGGGGCCTCCCGCTGCCGCCGCCCTGCCGCTGCGCGATTTCTGTTCTCATCCTGAAGCAAAGTTCTTAACCCGAGGTAATATTTCTGGGTTAGCGGAGTCTGTAACCTGAAGCGTATGTAACCTGAGGTACCACTGTAAATGTTCTTCAATGCATCTGTGGCCAGAGAGAGAGAAACGGAAGATGTTGTTCGCTGCGTATCATTGTAAAATTTGTCACTTACTGGTTAGTAGGGATAATATGTTACACATAAGGTATCATGTTTTCTCTAGCAGTCCAATACAGTGGTACCTCTGGTTACAGACGCTTCAGGTTACAGACTCCGCTAACCCAGAAATATTACCTCGGGTTAAGAGCTTTGCTTCAGGATGAGAACAAAAACCACGCGGCGGCAACGGGAGGCCCCATTAGCTAAAGTGGTACCTCAGGTTAAGAACAGTTTCAGCTTAAGAACAGACCTCCAGAATGAATTAAGTTCTTAACCCAAGGAACCACTGTAGATGAGATAATAAAATTATCACACAAGTTGGGGTCCAATGTGTTGGGGATCGCCTCTGTTAAAATGTATCCCTCTACCTGAAAATTTGCATTTTTGTGATGGCTATTGGTGTTTAGCAAAGAAATCTGACCGGCTGACTCACCGACATACACAGTGTGACAGCACTCAGCCACAAAAGCAGAAGGGGACCCCCCCCCCCACAGGCTACCAAATGAAATAGAATAGCTCATAGTCAGAGTAAACTGTACTGGATGGAACAGATGGACCAGTGGTCTTGCTAAGTAAGAGCCAGCTTCATGTGTTCCTGTGAGCAACACATGCATTCTGGCCATCTAAGTGCCATAAAAATCTGTGGGGCTTAAATGGGCATAATGCTATACTGTACTTGGTTCTGGTCACGGTCCATACAGGCCCAAGGAAAGCTTCAAAGCTTAATTAGTTACAACCAAATTCTATTAATTACAGCTGAGTCAAAATTTCTCATAAGACATTTTCTGATAAATCTTCTGAGTTTGTTCCTTTTTCTCACCACTTAATACCATTTCCCCAAATTTCCTCAAGCATTTTATAATGGCAGCCTTTTGTTTGTTTCACAATGTCCCAGAACTATGGATAAATAATCTAGGGAATTATGGAGATTGTAAAATGGTGACCAGGCTACTAACCCGGGGGGGGGGGAGGGAGATTTTTAAAAAGATGTAGGTTAAAATATTGAAACTGTGCTAAATTACACTGCTAGTGGGAAGCCACACCCTTAAGCAAACGTTGGAGAATTTCTCCCCCTCCCCTTGGAAGAATTTTGTGAAATGGTCCCCTGCTTTTCCCTCTGTCCACAGATGGGGTAAATTCCGAGAGGATGTTTGCACACTGCTGTCTTATCCACATGGTGGTGGAGTTGGTGAGAATCATGTGATATATTGACTTTTACTGCAACAATCGTTTTAATCTCAGTTCTTTGGTTGTTCAAGGTATGGCAAGGCCTCAATGTAGTTAAGACTGGAAGAGTAATGCTGGGAGAAACTAATCCTGCAGATTCTAAACCTGGCACAATTCGTGGTGACTTCTGTGTGCAAGTTGGCAGGTAAATTCCGAATTGTCATCTTACAAAATGGAATTGCTAACTAGTTCTAGTCTACATGCAGTTAGGATACAAATACTATATCTGTGCATCATCATCATCATCATTATTATTACTACCATACTTTTCTGTGTGCAGTGGTACCTCGGGTTACATACGCTTCAAGTTACAGACTCCACTAACCCAGAAATAGTGCTTCAGGTTAAGAACTTTGCTTCAGGATGAGAACAGAAATCATGCAGCGGCGGTGCGGCGGCAGCAGGAGGCCCCATTAGCTAAAGTGGTGCTTCAGATTAAGAACAGTTTCAGGTTAAGAATGGACCTCCGGAACGAATTAAGTACTTAACCCAAGGTACCACTGTATTAGACAAGGATTTTTTTTCAATGAAGTAATGTATAAAAATAGGGGTCGTCTTATACATGGATAGTTCAGAGGGGGACGGGGGATTGGTTGCTGCCACGATTGTCAGCAGCGGTAGTGCATGTGATAAGTGTCTGCATCAAGGGCTTTTATTGATTGAGCGGGTGATAGGAGGCCTTTGGGGGCGAGCGGTCAGACATTTGTTGGCTTCTGCGTTGCGTGCGATAGGAAGCGTTGTTTAGGCGGGTGAGTAAGCAATCCCCTCCCCTGAAAAAACAACCCTGGGTAATCTTCCCCCCAAAATGCTCAACAACTCTGTGCAAATCCCCCCATTTTAATAATTCTGAGTCCCCCAAAATTATACACGGGGCCGTGTTATACACAGAAAATTATGGTACTACTACTACAGTCATACCTTGGTTTTCAAACAGCTTAGTTCTCAAATGTTTTGGCTCCCAAACACTACAAACCCGGAAGTGACTGTTCTGGTTCGTGAACTATTTTTGGAAGCTGAACATCCGATGGGGCTTCCATGGCTTCTGATTTGCTGCAGGAGCTTCCTGCAGCCAATCAGAAGCCGCACTTGGGTTTTAGAAGTCAAACAGACTTCCGGAACGGATTCCATTCGACTTCCAAGGTACGACTGTATTTTTAAAAAGACATTTGGAGTGTAAATTAATAGTTATGACCTTAACAGCTGGTGCTTTTCATAGTAGCTCCCCAACAACATTACAGCTAGCCTGACAAGCCCCTGCTTCTTTTGCCTTTTTCATTGTCTCAGTGCCTGTATTTTCCATAGTTCCTCCTGCCACATTTCCTTATGCTACTGCATGTGATGGCCTTGGGGTAGCACAGGTTATGGAGAGTGGCTGGCCTGCTAAAAGCATCAAACACTGCTGTTGTAGCACCTCAGAGTTCTTTTACAAAGAATACATCGTGCGATATTGTTTTTCCCTTTGAGCGCCATAGCCTTGTCTAACAAGTATCATTATAAAAACTTTGGACTGTGGTTTAAATTTAAGACTTGGAAACTTTGCACACAGTTTAATATGCCCCTGTGGGAAATAAACACTTTGTCTTAGGAGGGTGCAAAGGAGTGGGAAAGAAATAGCTTGTTATAGTAGCAAACAATAACTGAAACACAAGGGTTTCACGTTACATCCAGCAAAGACACTTCTCTATTGCAGTACAGTGGTGCCACGCAAGACGAATGCCTCGCAAGACGGAAAACCCGCTAGACGAAAGGGTTTTCCGTTTTGGAGGTGCTTCGCAAAACGAATTTCCTATGTGCTTGCTTCGCAAGACGAAAATGTCTTGCGAGTTCCTGCGGGGTTTTTTTCCTTTCCCCCCCCTTTTTCCCAAGCCGCTAAACCGCTTAACAGCTGATGCTAAGCCGCTTATCAGCTGATCTTTAAGCCGCTTAACAGCTGATGCTAAGCCCCTTATCAGCTGATCGTTAAGCCGCTTATCAGCTGATCTTTAAGCCGGCTAAGCCGCTAATACTGTAGTGCTAAGCCGCTAAACCTCTAATGGGCTTGCTTCGCAAGACGAAAAAACCCGCAAGACGAAGAGACTCGCGGAACGGATTCTTTTCGTCTTGCGAGGCACCACTGTATATGCACAATTAATATGGGGGGAGGGGTTATTGTCCCTTTGTCAAACCATAATAGCCAATAAAACTATTATTTCTATGTTTTTCTGTTTGATTACCATAATGATAAAATTCTTTTCAACTTCATTGCCCTTTCAGAAATATAATTCATGGCAGTGACTCTGTAGAAAATGCTGAGATTGAAATCAACCTATGGTTCACACCAGAAGAAATTGTCGACTACACAAGCTGTGAGCACCCATGGATCTATGATTAAAAACTTGTGTATTCCTTTGTTACGTTTATCTGGAAACAGTTCCTACCTCCAGTATCCTCTAAAATTGTTTCCCCAAATGCCCTGTGTGATTTATAAATGTTAATTGTATTTGTTGTGCTGACTGAAGGTTTTATTTAACTAAACTGGAATATACTTTTATTCATTAGAAAAGTAAATGGGGTGAGGGGCTGTTGAAGAAGAGAACACACTTTTGCTCTCCTTCAGCAGTTATCAAACGCACATGCTTAATTTTATTATATTTACTGTACTCAATGGAGTCAACCATTACTTTAGGTTGTTCATATTTATGAGTTTGCAAGATGAGAAGGGCTGTTTAGGGCAGCCCTTTTTAGGGAAGCTTTTAATGTTTAACAGACTATTGTATTTTAATATTTTGTTGGAAGCCGCCCAGAGTAGCTGAGGAAACCCAGCCAGATGGGCAGGGTATAAATAGTAAAATATTATTATTATTATTATTACTACTACTACTACTATTATGAGAAGCTATTGTATACAAACCATTTGCCACTGAATACGTTACACAGGTGATAAATAACATACTCCTTGAATGGATCAGCACAGTGGCTCTTCTGTTTCACCTTAAAATGCCAGGTCATGAATGCAGCAATGCAAATCATTACACTACAGTGTAATTTAAATATGGTATAATCACAGCATATTGAATACTTATAGAATGTAATCTATTTGATTGATTGATTTCATAAAATTTATATACCTCCTGATTGTAAAAAAAAACAACCTCAAAATGGTTTACAAAAAGAATAAAGCAATGAAATTATCAGTAAAAACAATTATTTAAAACATACAAAAAATTAAAACTAGTAATAAACTAAAAACAGATTAAAACACACATCAACATTCTAGATATCTGGATAGGTGCCAAAAGTGCACAGTGAATGTGCTTGTCTGATATCAATAGGCAGGGAGTTCCAAAGTGTAGATGCTGCCACACTAAAATATTGAGCGCCAGTTCTACAGACTGAAGTGGTTGAATTGGCATATAAGGTGAACTTGCAGGTAGACTGGTCCCCAGTTGCTAAGGGCTTTATATACTAACAATGTGAACCTGGCCCGGTAGCAAACTGGCACTGAACATAGGTGTTACGTGCTGGCAAAGTCTCACTCTTATCAGTAATCCTGCAGCAGCATTCTGTACTAACTGCAACTTCTAAATCAGGTGCAAGGGAAGCCTCACAAGAGTACATTACAGTAATCCAGCCTTGAAGTAACCAATACCTGGACTACTGTGATCAAGCTTTCCTGGTCCAAGAATGGGTGTAGCTGTTGTACCAATTGCAGTTGGTAAAAGGCACTGAGGCTACCTGAACCTCAAGTGACAGAACTGGATTCAGAAGCACCCCAAAACTGTGAACCTCTTCCTTCAGGGGGAGTACAATCCATCCAGGGCAGGCAACTGACCCAATTTCTCAGACATGGGACTTACTCACCCACAGTGCCTCCATGTTGCCAGGGTCCAAGTTGAGCTTGTTTTCCCTCATCCATCTCACCACTGCATCCAAGCAACAGCCCAGACAGAGCCTGTTGGCCTCTCCTAATTCAGATGTTATAGAGAAATAGAGCTGAGTTATGTTATGGAGAAATAGACCCTGCCCTAAAACTCCCAATGACTGCTCCCAGTGGCTTCATGCAGATAGTAAATAGCACTGGAAATAAGATGACATTGTGTGGCAGCCCATAACATAGCTGCCCAGGGAGCCGAAAAGCACCTTCCCAATGCTAGTCTCTGGACTCTGTCCCAAAAGCAGGATTGGAACCACTAGAATACTGTGGTCCCAATTCCCATTCCCCAGAGCCAGTCCAGAGGGATTCCGTGGTGAATGGACAAGAGATCAAGAAGCAGAAGCAAGGTCACACTCTCCCTGTCCTGCTCTCTGCAAAGGTCATCCATCAAGGCGACCAAGGGAGACTCAGGCCCCTGACCAGCTATTTGTGACTAGTTGATAGTTGCTCTAGCCTAAGGGGTCCAGAGTCAATTTCTTTAGGAGCTGCCACACTTTAGGAGTTGCCCTTTTCAAGGCAGCAGGGGCCATCCCTCATACAATTAAGTGTTAAGTCAGCTGCCCTCTGCTAGAATTAGTAAGCCAGGAGGGACAGGGGTCAAGGGGACATGTGGTCAGATGTATTGCTGCCAGCACCTTGCCCACATCAGCAGATTGCATAAACTGACAGTATTCCCACAACACATCCTCAATAGTGGCACTGGATAAAACTTAATTGTAACAAATATTGGCAAATTTTAAATGTTGGTTTTGCTTCTAGTGGATACACATGGGTTGCGGTATCACTTTGAAAATAAAGCTTTATACAGATGGTTATTAAACTCTTTTATCCCCTCTAATTCTAACTCTGCTCATAGGCCATTAGTATAGATGCTTATGAAATGCATTATGAGAAAAGGCGATTAATACGAGGGACATTCACTAAGCTGTGCCTCCTGTCACTCATTTCTATTACTCTGTTTGTTGTTGGAAAGGAAGGCATTCTACAGTATTGCTTCTTAATTCTGTTGAGCTTCATTACATCTGCGTACATGTTTCCTTATCCTGATTACATGAGCTACAAAAACTTAATTCATGCTATGTATCACAGTTAAGAAAGCAGACAGGCTGCTCTATAGCATGATTGGCTTGTACGTTTGAAAGCTCAGATCATGAATTATAATTTCTCAACTCTGAGCATAAGAAATCGCCTTACACCAGGTCATTCCAGTAGTGTCTCCTCTGATTGGTAGTGGCTCTCCAAAGTAGTGACAGAGGTCTGCCAGCTGCTCCTTTTACATGGAAATGCTGGGTTTCAACCTGGGATCTTCAGCACATGAAATCATGAGCAGTCCTCCCCAAAACTATGTTCCTTTCCACAGTGCAAACCCCAGTTTAGCATGTTTGATGATCAAATACATATGATTGTTTATTTTCTCCACAAGACTTAAAAGTAACTGAAGATCCACCTAAACTGGACCCAGGCTACAGCACTGCAAGAAAGGGTGCTAACACTTTCGCCTGCCCAGTTTCCCCACTAGAAATTACATCCATGAAGCTGCTATTAGTATTGGTGGTGGGGGATGGGTATCCTTATTACATGTTCCTGCCTCAACTGGTGTTAACAGCATCTTTTGCAGGAGGAGGGGAAGAGATTTTCAGCAAGGAAATTGTGAAAAATAACTTCTGTCCTGAGGGCCTGATCTACTTGGGGATGTGTGGGTTCCTTTAACTATTGGTAGGTGCAGGAGAAGTAATGGATCTCCTTTGTAAATAAGTCAATTTGAGGAGTGATTGGAGGAAGTGGTTAAAGGCTGCAACATGTTAATGGGAGCAAAAATACCTCATGAAATTATTACACTGTGATACTGTGGGAAGCAGAGTGCATCCTTAGGCTTGGTGGAAAAAGCAGAGCACATCATAGCACAGTTTACATGTTCTTGGCAAAAAGGCAGAGGACTTTAAAATTGCCGTTGTTTAAAAAAAAATGGGAATCCCAGCTAGTCTGCTACAAAGTATGTTTTATCAGATTTTATCAGCTTCCCCTCTGCATCAGGCAGGCAGGCTTGTACTGATGGATTCTCCCTAGCTAGAGCAGGTAGGATCCACGGGCCAGATCTTTATCAAGATCTGCCTCAAAATGTGTGAGCCAAATCTGACAGGTGGGCAGGAGCACTCACCTGTCAAAATCCCTATCCGCTCCCATCAGCCCCCTGGCCCCATGCAGATTAAAATCCCTGGAGTAGTGCTGTTGTCACCTACGAACGTGACTGAGGCTGCAACCCCATCCCCACTTCCCTGGGAGCAAGTCTCACTGAATTCTATAGGACTTACTTCTAAGTAGCGGACACGATTAGGGGTACCCTATATAACTCGGGTCCATTCATTTCAACGAGTTCTGAGGATAAGCAATCTCCGGGTTGCTTTGTGCTGTATATTGTTCAGACTGTTTCCTCCACTGCTTGGGGAGAAAACACAGAAATGCTGCTGGCATGCTTTCCCCCTCCAACTCGGGATCCTGGGGCGAGGAGGGAACCACCATCTGCTCAGACTGCAAAAACCAAAGCGGCGGCGAGAGACCTACGCGGTGTAGGAGGAGGAGGAGGCAGCCCACGACCAAGCCCGCCTCCTTTGCTCCCCTCCCGGCTTGTCTCCGGCGCCGGCCCGGCCTTGCTCCGCCTCTTCCCCTGGAGATTTGCAGGGAGACGGCAGCTGCAGACACGCTCTCCGGGCCCGACCAGACTCCTTGCAGCTGAGGTGAGCTTTATTCCCACCCACCCTTTTCTTTGGTCTTTCTTCACTTTCTTCCTGGAGGGAGAAACCAAAACGAAACGAGGTTCTGAGGCAAAAAAAAGAGGAGGAGGAAGAAATAGCTGGAGCCGGCTAAAGAGGAAATGGCGGCTGGGGGGGGGGGTGCCTTTTGCAAAAAAAAAAAGCGCATTTTGCAGCCGCCTGGGAGGCGCAGCCACCTCTCCTCGCCTCCCCCCGGGGGCCTCTGTAACTTGAGGCGGCCGAGGCAGCGTGTCTTGCTGCCTCTTGGGAGAAGAAGAAGAAGAAGAATGCAGCCCTGCCGCCGCAGAGCACATGCCTGTGCCTGTCTACTCGGAAGTCAGTCCCGTTGGATTACGTGGGGCTTACTCCCGGGTAAATGGGTGTAGGATTGCAGCCCCAGGGCGGAGAGGCCCAAATAGACGCCGCCCGAGGAGAGGGGAACAAAGGGCTCTTCCGCGACACGTGGACGGATGGTGGAGGAAGCCTTGCCCACGTGCAGTCGAATGGTGCCTGCCCCGGTGCTTGGGGGGAGGGGTGTAGAATTGCAACTCCAGTTAGGACGGGGAGGAAGCCCCGAAGGGTGCCAAAACACGCCCCCCCATGAAATCCGACCTCCATCATATCGCATAACATAGGAGCCAACTCCTAGGGGCCGAGGTACCTTTGCTCTCGTCCCTTAAAATATTTGAGGGGGACTGCCCTCCTCCCCGCAGTTGATGGGCATTGCCGTTCAAATACGCCATGTCATGTGATCATAGACATATTTTTTAGCTGATTTTTCGCGCCCCCTCACTTGCGCCCCTAGCAGGGGCCCACCTTACCACCCCTTAGCTACGGCCCTGAGTAAGATTCCTTATTATCTATCTGGTGATGCTGCAGATATTTAAAAAATGGAACAAAGATCACACAGTCTGTTCCCTGGTTGCTTTTGTGTCCTGTTCGAATGCATTGGGTTGTTTTTTAAAGTAAGATTTTCATGCATTCCCAACTTGAAGATGAAAACTGTATATTGTTACTGAAAGGATTCTTAAGAAATCACAGGACTTGGTGTGCTCCTAAGATGGCAGATCTCAAAAGTCGTAAGAGCAGAGAAGGAATGACATTGGAGGCTGCCAACTGCCGTTGCCACTTTCTCATAGAGTTAATGGTATACCAGTTCAAGGGAGACAATTTATCACACAGCTTGTCTTTTAAAAGCTAACCTAAAATTTCTATAAGAAATGCAAAATAATAATAATTAATTAGCCCTGTTTTACTGTTGGTGAGTTGACCTCTTAATGTTGAACAGCGGTCACCTTGACAAACAGGAATTACCTTGTGCATTTTTTCACATGCCTTTCTCAACCTGATGCCCTCAGGATGTCTGGCTCAAACTTCCATCTGCCCCATTGAGCATAACCAACCGTCAGGGATGATGGGATTTGCTGTCCAACAATGACTAGATGACAATAGGTTAGAGTAACCTGTTCTAGGTTCTTCTGTGGCATTGGTCCTGCTGTAAAATCTTGCTTATCTTGATTGCACTCCTTCCCTCTATAGGTTGATCTTCTGTGGTGGTTTGTGAGGATAATTCCAATCCTACTAACTTCTCTTAGCATTTCTTTTGCAGTGAGATAATGGCTTCCAACACAGAGCGCACATTCATTGCCATCAAGCCTGATGGAGTCCAGCGGGGAATCATAGGTGAAATCATCAAGCGATTTGAACAGAAGGGATTCAAACTGGTGGCTATGAAATTTATGCATGTAAGTTTAATCTTGATAAATGGTGCAGTAAAGCAGGATTAGAGAACCTTTTTCTGTAGTGTGTGTGTCTGTGTGTGTGTGTGTGTGTGAGAGAGAGAGAGAGAGAGAGAGAGAGATCAGAGGCTGCAGGCCAGCAGTGGGTGGGGCCAGAACCAAAAAGTAGATGCATCCATCCCTCTCCCTTCTTTCCTTCCTTCCTGTCTAGCAAGCTGCTGAGGGAGGAACTTTTCAATCCTACCAACTGTCTGAACTGATTTCTTGCAGAGGGTTTGTCCTCTTTCTGCTGCTGCTCCATCCAGTTCATCTTCTCCCACCCTACCCTAATTGATAAGTTTAGTCACCTCACAGGACTGAGGTGTACAACATTAGGCAGTAGTCATTCATCAATCTGAGGGACCCATCAAGTGAGTCATGATGCAAGTTAACAGCAGAAAGCTCGTAATTGTGCTATACAGTGGTACCTCAGGTTACATACGCTTCAGGTTACAGACTCCGCTAACCCAGAAATAGTGCTTCAGGTTAAGAACTTTGCTTCAGGATAAGAACAGAAATCGGGCTCCGGCGGCGCGACAGCAACAGGAGGCCCCATTAGCTAAAGTGGTGCTTCAGGTTAAGAACAGTTTCAGGTTAAGTACGGACCTCCGGAACGAATTAAAGTACCTAACCCGAGATACCACTGTATATGAGGTGACATAATGGAACTACCAGTGAGAGCTCAAATTCGAAGGTGGAGATGGAGGTGTGAGCTTGTATTTGTGTTTTAAATTGCTTATTTCTGACATAATTTGAAATATTTCAACATTTGGATATCTTTTGCCTAAACAGTCTTTTAAGTATCAGTTCATAGAATCATGGAATTGTAGAGTTGGAAGGGGCCATGAGGTCCAACCCCCTGCAATGCAGGAATCTTTAACCCAAAGTGGGGCTTGAACCCACAACCCTAGGATTAAAATTCTCACGCTCTACTGACTGAGCTATCCAGCCTCGTGTTTTATTCAAATTTGAACCACGACATGGGTTGCAGATTGTGGATGATTTGAGCTCAAGTGCTGTTTCACTCAGAAATGTTTTATTTTGGGAGGGGGTACACTCTCGAGGATACATATTTAGTGAAGGGTTACACTGTGGCCTGCATGTGTGTTGTCTTTTGAATTTAGCTTATATAGCTGCGGGAAAGCTAAATATACCCTAGTGCCTATGTCAGGCATGTCCAAAGGGGGTTTAATCCGGCTCCTGTGGCAGTTTATCTTCTGGGGTAAAATCCTTAAAAAGTTCAATAACTTCAAAAGCTCAACAACTCTGGTCGACCTCACTTCATCAAATCTGGCCCTCTTTGAAAAAAGTTTGGGCACCCCTGGCCTATGCACACTTTTTGTAGCTTGCACAAGGCTAAGGCAGAGCAAAAGCTACTTTAGAAAGCAAGACAAAAATGTATCCTATTTTCAGTATGTGTCAAAATACAGGCTTTCAATTATACATATACAAGCCTCGTCTTCCTGCTGTTTCAGTTTGGTGGTTGTCCCTTTCCTGCTAAGTACAGTAGGTTCTATTAAAACTACCTGTGTAACCCAATACATACAAGCTGGTGTGACTTTGACTAGAAGGTTATACTGAGTAAGATAATATGCAACTTGTACAGCAGCAGCAGCAGCAGCATTGCTGGACGATCTGTTGGTACTGACTGTCCAAACTACCATTAGTTTGCTTTCTTATAGCCTAACTCTTGAGCTTAGTTAAGAGTGCTTTGCTACTTGTTTGGCAGTGTACTGTCTCAGTGTTAGATGTCCTGCTTGTGGGCCTCCTATACCATATGCATTTTTTTTAGCCACTGCGAAACAGGGTACTCACTCGACAGGTTTTGCTTTGATCCAGCAGGACTCTTCTTAAGTGACTTAGATTAAGTAGGGGTGGCTCAGAGCAGCTCCTTTCTGCAGTTAATCATAACCATCTCTTTTCTTATAGGCTTCTGAAGAGCTTCTCAAACAGCACTATATTGACTTGAAAGATCGGCCGTTCTACCCTGGTTTGGTTAAATATATGAATTCTGGGCCTGTAGTACCCATGGTAAGTGGTTTTATGTAAACTTAAACATTTCTTTTGTTCGTCTCTTTAGACCAGGGGTGGCTCATACCTGATATTCTCCAGGTGTGGTTCCAACTTCCATTAGCCCCAACCAGCATGGCCAGTGGTCATATAGTTGTAGCCCAGCTGCCACAGGTTAGTTTACCTCTCTTTTAGGCCTTTGTGGAAAAGTAAGGAAAGGCGAGATGGTGCAGGTTAACTCCACTCTGAATTTATTACTTTGTTTTTTCTTCTCTGCTAACAGTGGGTGAAACAATGAAATGATTGGCTGTTTCCAAAATAATTTCCTCTTGCAGTCTGCTAATGCTGCCGTGAATGTTGTGCAGCCAGACCCTAACTTGGTTTACTAAGAAGTGGATCCACTTGGAATTGTGGTACTTGCAAGTGGGCATGCTTTGAACTGGCCTCTTCATCTTTCAGTTAGAAAGGGTAGAGAAGGAAAAAGCCCTAAACATTCCCCACCTTATTTAAAAAGAGAAACTCCCAGGACCTGCACAGATGTACAGCAAGGGTGTAATTCAGTGTTGCGCCATCACAAATGTTCTGTCTTCACAAGCATATCAGTTGCCTGACAAAATGACGCGCGCCCCCACAACGTGGTCTTCTGAGGATCTCTCAACCTGCCAGAGCCTGTTTCATTTCATGAAGAACATACTCCATAAGAAAAGCTCTCATCACTTCCATCTGGTCAAGTACCGTGGTTAAACATATGTGCTAAACCAGTTTATTCTTGCAGGTTTGGGAAGGACTCAATGTGGTGAAGACGGGCAGAGTAATGTTGGGGGAAACTAACCCAGCAGATTCCAAGCCTGGCACTATCCGTGGCGACTTCTGCATTCAAGTGGGCAGGTTGGTACTGGGATTTATATTTATCTGTATTAAGTAAGACTTGCAAGGTGCTACTGAAGTACTACTAATTATCAAAACCTTTAAAAGAAAATGTTCAGAATACATGCCTCACTGTTTAAAAGAGAAGACTGGGTAGTGTAAGCATGCCTCCAGCAGAATAAAATGCTTTTGTGTTAACAGGATAAATTGCGCGTTCCGCTTGCTTTTGTCAAACAGCTTAACTGTTCACTTATTTAAGGTACTGATGATCAAGAGCTAGCTGATAGCCATTCATATACCCGTGAAACTACCTGTACAGTTGGCCGGTCATTTGATTAAAGGCGATGATAGGTTCATTTTGTGTTTGTGACTAAGAAATCCGTTAAGCTAAATTGACTGACTCTTGTGGATACTTATCAGCCTAGACATTTCAAATGTGTAGGCTTAGCTGTCAAGTAGTCTGTTCCAGATTCTTATTTCAGAAATGTCTCTAAATGCTACACAGGTTTTGTAAACGGAATTCCTTGGTCTTCCCTTGTAGGAACATCATTCATGGCAGTGACTCTGTGGAAAGTGCTCAGAAAGAGATCAATCTGTGGTTCAAGCCTGAAGAACTTGTGAACTACAAACCTTGTGCTCATGATTGGGTTTATGAATAGATTAGTCCTGGTGACAAGTTCTGCCTTCTTCCAACAAAGCATCTCATTCCACCCACCTGCTGTCCTGGGAGCAATTACCACGGTTACCTTTGTGATTATTGGCATTAAGAAATAAAATATGAATTATTAGTTGTTTTCATTTCTTCACTTTAGAGAAACGAAAAGGTAGCTTATGAACAGTCTGTTGTAGAATTACTAGGAGTGCCCAGCAAATTAAAAATAGCCTGGCAAATGTAACTATTGCAAATTAAAGCTTCACTGGAGCTTGTGCATTGTTTCTCAAAGTGGTTTAGGATATTAGCTCAGGTATGTGTTACAAATGGAGATGTGTGAGAGCTCTTTTGAGGACCCTGAAGGAAGTCTAAGCTAGCTTGAACAATTCATTGAAGAAACAAGCTACTGCTTTCTTTTTCAACAAGACAGAAGATGAAATATTCCTTACCACAGGACTGCTTTCAGAATCCAAGATCAAGCCCAGCAATACTATAGGAGAGCCATGTTTTAGAAGCCATAATGATGTTGGCTGAACACTGCTGATCAAATTTGTCAGACCAGGGAGGAAGCTGCTGCTAATTTAAGAAATTTCAACTCCACAAATTTTAAGTGATTAAGACTAAGTTGTGTGACTCATATTGGGGCTGCAATTGAATGTTAACAGTGTGAAATTCTAATGTTCCAGAAACTGTTGTAGGAGATCCTAGGCCATATCTGATAATGGCTGTGTTTATCAAACACTTTTATAATTATTGCAATTTCACCATGAGAACAGCAGCCTTATTGGCGTTCTGTGTGACCAGGCTCTGGTTTTCTAAGCAAATTGCTGCTGTTAAGGATTCATGTTGGCGTCACCTGAAAATGAGAGAGGAAAAGGTCCACCCACCTGGCTTTACTTTTAACATTTTTATTTTGTGTAAAAAAGGCAAATTTAGTGAATTATTTTCATCTTGTACACAAAGTTATAATTTTTAATGCTTTTTTCACATCCATGCTTGAAAATTTGCAGTCTGGTAAAAATGAAAGTAACATTAATTTCATCAAAAGCATTTTCACTGAGTTATATACATTTCATTAGAGGTTTTAAAACGCTCCCATTTGACCACACAAGTTACCAGAAAATAAAAGATTAAATTTATACAGATATTGATCTATATCAAATACATACAGAAATGATGTAAAAACCCTATTCAACTTTTTTTTTTAAACTTCTGCCCTGATTGTTTTTCCAGGGCAAAAGTTGATGCTTTTTCTTCTTTTTTTATAAATGGCTGAGACTTTACTTAAATATGAAAATTAAAAAGAAAAAAAATCAATTTAATCACAGTTTTAATCCCTTTCCAATAAAGGATTGTTACCAAATATATTAGCACCATAATACAAATATTGATGGGAGAAGGTGTTCACATCACATAAAAATGACGACGACAATAAAAACGAACAAACACTGAAACCCGTGTTAGTATCAATAGAACAAGAAACTGATAACTGCTTTTGCTTTTGTCAGATTCAGCAAGGAAGTTTAAAACAAAACAAAACAGGGTCGGCTGTAAAAAGGAGCACTTACAATGCAACTTGACCTTGTCTGTGGTGCCTTCTTGTTTATATTTAAAAAAATGTGCGCCAAATACTGAAAATAGCTGACCCTTTGCATCAGTACAGGCATCAAATCCCTGACCAACTCTTTCCCCCCCCCAAACACACCATCCCAATTTTGTGTTAATTAGTTCACAGTAAAATAAAGAGAATGTTCTTCGAGCTAAATTATACAAAAAAATGCATGCATACCAAAGCAATTAAACCCAGTACTAAGAAAGCTCACTGCCACGCAGTCATCATCTGTATTAAGAGGCCACAGACAAATGCTGCTTAGAATCAACACTGAATAAACAAAGCGAAGGAAGTAATAACCCCAGGGAACTAAGCTGGAACAAGGGAGTCATGAAGCAATTTTAATAATAGGTGTTTCTGCAAATAAGAAGTCTATCATACACACGTTATGTATTGGGATGTGGTATTCTGCCTACAGGCAGAAATTGGGGTGGATTCGATTGGCAGTGGTACCAACTTAACATGTATGCAGATCTACCTCCAGAAACCCAAAGACTAGCAACGTAGCACTAATCAAGATGATCACCCTTGTAGCATGGTTCTAGGTCTGACAAGGTCCAACAGGTCCCTGGGACTATTTCAGGTTGATGTGGTAAGGATCAAATGTGGCTATGGATGTTCCAGGAGCTGCCGTATTCAACAGAGGTAGGAGGAGGATTTCCACCTTTGATCCTGACAGACTGCATGACTAGCAGAAATCCAGCAGGTTCAGTGTTCAAAGCATTAAATGTGCAGTGATGAAGAAAGCTGTACCTTCTGAACTTCTGCCCGTTATATAGTTGTTAGATACGGAATTTCTGTCAGGTAAAAAGGGGGCAATTCCACCTAAAGGGTATGTTGTGTTGGGTGAAGCTCAAGATTGGATTTTATGACCATACAGGACTCAATTTACACACAAATCTAAGCTCTCTTTCTGGCTTTCTTCTCCTCTTGACAGAGGACACTAGTCTAGGCCTTCTCCTGTATCTTTTTTTATATATTAAGCAGTATTATGCAAGTGGTCCCTACTGAATTCAGAAGAAATACTTGTACAAGGGCTACTTTAAATCTTTCCAAGTCAGACCCTATGAAAATACAGGCTCTGAACAATCTTGACTATGCCAATCCTGCCAGAGAGAGTATACTGCCTTTATTAGGTGTGAGCAAGGCTAACAGAACTACACCTTAAAATGGGGAAAAAATTGATTCCAATTCTCTCTGGAGTCTGCCTTTTAGATCATTCTATCAACTGGCCTGATGGCATGGATCATCCTTGGTTTTGAGAGGCACTGGTTTAAGGATTAACAAAAATACAGGGAGTGAGGGAGGGAGGAGGATTTCTTAGGTCCGTTTGTACGGTGACTTTTCAAAATATTAGTTAAAATCTAGTGAACCCCTTTGTGGGTGTGTACACACAATGCAGTGTTTTGCTGCCCTCCCTCCAAAGCAGCCCTCTCTTGCCACATTAGAAGCTGCTTTACAAACTGGAGAAGTTTCAAAAACAGCTGCAATGCAGCATTTGTGGAAGCGGGCGGCCATTCTACCCAAGGAAAAGAAAATGAAGGCAGCTCAGTTAAGCCAAAATCTTTTTAGAGACAGAGAATATCTAATTATCACCTAAATTCACAAGTATTTGACACCTGATAATCAGTTTAAAAATATGTATACACGAAGCAGTCAAAAATGGCCCAGCTATAGGGGGAGGGGGGGGAAGCCTAGAAATTGTTCTCATACATTCCTATACTATACAGAAAAAATGTACTTCCAGTAGTTACAAAATTTTATACCATTATCCCCTCTTGCATAGAATGTGGTAAACCTTTGCATATCACCAATGGTATGTACCCAACAATAGAGCAAGTTAATTAAGAAAAGAATCAAAATTGCTGGTTTTCAACTTTCTATGCGTTTTTAAAAATTCAAAACATATGCCAAAAAAATCATCTCTGGGGCTTTGCAAGTTGCCAATGTAAAGCATTAGGCTTAAAGTGTGTAGAGGTTAATCTATAGGATTACTTTCTTCTAAGTCCTACCCTAGAGTCAAGAATTTGACATTTATACTGCTCTAAAGAGGACCTGCAATGACCCAGAAGCAGTTACAGAACATAAGCAGTTAATTCCTGAGAGTTTAGTTAATGAACCTTACTGGTAAAAGCAAAACTCTTGACACGCATCATCATCCTGTCACAACACCACAGTGTGGCAATGTCAGCATGTTAGTTCTGAGAATGAAGCCACCTGCGAATATCCACACAGATTCAACTCTCGGAGGAAAGATTCCAGGTTCTTCAGCATTCTTGCCACATCAGTCATTACGTGTTCTCGAAAACCTTTTGCTTGAAAATGGTGTCCGCAGCCAAGTCAAAGAAAGCATGAGGCCTAAAAGCAGGGCCATGTCATCCTTAGGCAAGCCAGTTCAATTCATAACCCAAAAGCTCTTCCAAATGGGTGGGGAAAGCAAAATGACATGTCCTCTTCTATTTGCCTCAGCTGTGTCTTCCACCGGGATGGAAAGCAGGCCTGTCACAAAGTTTCTGTAGAAAAGGGCCTTTTGCGTCTGCCTCGTTTTCCTTACACAAGAAAAAAAAAGTCACAAACTCATGTCCATTTTGTAACTTCTCCAGCCGAAACGTGCTGAAGCTTTGCTGATCATTTCCATGAATATCTCAACATTTTAAAATGTGAACAGGAAACCACAATGCAGCAGTATCCGGCCCAAACCCAATGGCCTCCAAAAAGCTTGGACCTCAGCTTCGTTCTCCAAAAATTTAAGCCCAAACTCTTGAAAATTATGTTGCCACTTCCAGGAGGAACCCTTTCCAGACTCCATTCTTCCAACCTATTTTGGTATGTCTTCACCACCCCTAAGATCAGAATCCCATGATTTCACCATGGAAAAGACAGGGTATGACTAGTGTAGTTTGAAATTCAGAATCTCCCAGCTTGTACCAGAAGGCTCACTTGTTACAAACAGTTCATTTGCTTTTTTTTTTTCCCAACTAAATACTACCACCTCATCTTCTTCAAAGGGTTTCCTGCAATCCTGCTATAATTAAGCTTTTAATTCTTACCAAAAAATTAGAATCTCATTTTTTTAACAATGCACAATAAATCTGAACTCGAAAATATTACAAAAATTCTTTTAAAAGCTTCAAATACAACACAAGTGTCAATTATTTTTTAATAAATTGAAAAATCTTTTTCACTAAAATAGTTTCCTCATCCTCCAAAAATTCTGAATTGAAATCTTATCTGCAGTTAGCAAAGTGCCCTTAGTAGAAGCCATCAAACTGTATCTTCAGAATGGGAACATCAGTCTTGAAGAAAGGCTCTTTTTGTACCATCCTGCCCTGCTCTGCCCTTAGGGTTCTTGTTTGATGTAGTGGCTGGCTGACCCATTGCTTTCCTGGTCAGATGCTCCTTGAAGAAAGTTGTATTCCTCTCCATCTAGCAACTCCTCCTTCAGCTGCAGTGAGGAGACTAAACATGAAAAAGGAGGTTTAAAAAATGAAAAGTTGGTGAACATTTGAAGACACATTTCCTTTCAGTTCAGACTCTGAAATTTTCAAGCATGCTCCAACTTGTTGTTACCTCTGTAACAAAATGCAAACCCCCACAATTTAACACTGAAAAAATTAAATTAAGTACAGACATTGAGAAATACTGAAAGCATGGGCTGTAATTGAAAATGTGACTAAGAAAAGGAGGGAGGAAAGAAAAGGTGATTGGTTATGACCTTTTAGTACTATAACTGTGGAGAGATTTGCTTCCCATTCAGCAGAATCCTCCTCTTCAAGATACAGCATTTCCACTCATCATAAGAAACTTTTGGGAGGAAAACAAGGCATTGATTGTTGAACGAATACAGCACAAAGGACTAAGCAGAAATCCCCTGTATTATTATCTCATTTTACTATTATCTATTCCATTAAAAAAAAATCAGTGTGTATTTCAACCTTTCTATTATTTGCTCTCATGTGCATGCCCTCTTCTATTAACCACTATTAGTATATTAACAGACTGGGAAACTCAGGCTGAGAGTGATTTTTCTTAAAAACACGAGTGAGATCCAGCTGAGATGGGATTTGGAACTCAGATCTTATTGGATCAAAGTCTAACACTCTGTGGGACCTCACATTGGCTTTCCTAACTAAAAGGCAAGGAAACAGGATGAGAAACAGTACTTATTGGAGGAAAATGTTTTGTCAAGCTCCTACAAGCTAAGCTATTTGTGCCGTTGCCCAACTTTTAATAAGTTGATTGACCGGATGTTTCAGTTTATTAAATGTGCACAAATCTGCTTACTAGTAAAAAAAAAAAATTCTAAAATTGTACTTTTCATTAGTGAAGGCACCATTTTTAAAAATGTGTTAACTTTTCTCACATAATCTCCCAGCTGCTAAAATGGTACCCACCCCCGCTTGAACACATACAATTGCAATAATTACAAATAAGGAATTTCTTTTCAAATAGACAGGAATTAAGTGAAATTTAAATATAGGGGACGTTAGGTACAGCAGTGTTCAGGCTGCTTGATGAAAAATGTGATGGGAATGTTGCAAAACCACACAGGCAACCCAGAATCCAGTCCCAGAATCCTGTGTTTTCACCCCAGTGATAGTTTTATATAGGATTCAAAGTAGGTCACAATCACAATTACACAGAGGTTTCAAGAAGGTTCAAATACTGTACATATTACATAAGGGTCGTGACTAAGCCAAAACGTGCATGGACCCATGATAAACAGCTGAATCATTTGTTCTGCTCAACAGCAAAAACCTCCCTAGTTTTAAGGAAGATTCCTTGCACACAGAAATCCAGCAAATTAGGGAGAAGCTAGGCTAGATTCCTTCTCCTAGTTTTCTGTATAATATATATATAGAGAGAGAGTGAGCATTCAGGTCCCCACCTATGGTCTGAAGTACTACATCTCAGCGAGAGTTTACCACCTCAGTGAGCGCTGGGCCTAAACCCAAGATACTGATCTTGGTAGATGATTGCTCAGACCCATAACGAACACTTTTCATGACATCAACAGAACAAGCAGAATCATTCACTTGACAGCAGCCATTTTGGTCATACAGTCAAATATCCTCCTACATTCTATGTTAATTACGACAGCCTTTCATATATTTAAAAAGTACAGGGTGATTCATCATGAAGTATACAGTTTCCATTTATAGTGAATGGGAACTGTAGACTTCATGATGAATCACCCTGTATTATTATGTATTTTTCTAGGAGTATTACCCACATTTTCCCTAGGTTCTACTTTTTTCAGCCATCCCTCACATTTTGATTCCTAGATCCAAGTCCTCTTAGATTTGCTTGCTCCTTTCTTAAAACAGCATCGCCAGAGCTTGAGCGTTAGTCTTCTACAAAGAGCCTCAATTTAGACTGAACAAGGCAGCAGCAATGCCTCCTTCATGTTGCACACAGTGGCTCAGACCCACAAATCGCCACACGGAACACACATGTATCTCCATAAAGAGATGGATGGTGGAGTCAGCCTGAAAAGTTGCCCTCGTCTGTTTGGCAGGTGAACACAACCACACACCCACCCCTGATTTGACATGGCTCTCCATAGGTGTAGCTCTGGGGTGTTGCATGCCAGTTTTGGGCGATGCAGTGGATGTGACCTTTGCCTTTGTATAGTAGGGTACACTCCAGCCAGCCAAAAGCACAAGGCCTTTAGGGTTGTTGCCTAGGGAGCGCCTCATTTAACCCCTAGGTCAGAGGTTCCACACTCGGTATAGTTGCATGAGGACCTTTGCTTTTCACCTAGCACAGCCCCCTTTTGCATGTAGGAGAGTGATTGGAACCGGGAGATCTGCTTCCGTCCAGATCACCCTTGCTAAATTGGGGTATGCCAGTTTTAATAGTAATATCTTTAAAAAGTAATTCAAAACAGCATTTGCTGCCTTTTTGCCATTACTTTGGATTTCATTTTAATGGCAATTTGCCATTATATGCCAATTTGCCTCTTACCAAACTGTGGTGGCCTTACTTTTTCAAAAATAAACTTTCATTTTTCATACCTCTCTGTGAAGTTGTATGATGTTCCCTACAACAATTTACTCTGCCACTTTAAATTCTAAGGTGCATCCACTGAATGTACTTTGCAAGTTTTACAACTGGAAGTAATAATGGGGAAATTAACACATTCCCTGAGGATGCAAATAAAGTGTTTTTATGAAAAAGTAGACTCACATTATTATTATTTTTGGAATATGAGATACAATTGCCTGGTTTGTAATGTAATTTGTTAATGTTTTTGTAAAAATGTATGGAATGCAAATTATTATACAAATAGGATAACATGAATTACTTAAAGGGTTATATTGCTCTTGAATTTTTGTGATTTTACCAAGTGGCATTCTTAAGTTTGCATCCAAAGAACAAGAAGTGGAACTCTGCTTGCACAATGGGGCTTTTCTGGCTACCTCCTGCAAAACAAACCCTACACTGACCGAACCACTTCTGTCTAGAAGAGTATGGAATGGTCTGTAGTGGAAGAGAGAAACTGGAAGAATTTATCAGAGCTGCCTTTTGACACAAGCCTCTCTACAAATTCAGAATAAAGGCCTGTTCAGATTATAATATCATCTCCAATGCTAGGGTTATATGTTTTAATACTCCCTCCTACACTGTTTTTTTTTAAATTGTTAAGTTTGAACTAGCATGCTAGAAATAAAGAGTATACTCTACATCTCCCCCATATAGATTAGTTCAGGAGTTCTGAAACTGTGGTCCCCAGACTATCAAGTAGTCCACAAGCTTCATGCAGGTAGTCCTTGTGTGTCTGTGAAGGAGAGCAGGAGCAGTGGCTATAAACAGCAGATGCCGGTGGAGTGATGCCAGCCCTGTGCCGCTTTGCGAGGCTGGGAGCTGATCTGAATGAATTTCCCGGTGAGTCATTCAGCTCAGATCCCAGCCTTGCAAAGTGGTGCAGGGCTGGCAGGGTGGCGTGATCAGTGCCCCCTGGAAAAATGTGCCTGGGGCCATCGCCCTGGCAGCCCCCCCCCCCACGTTACACCCCCGTAGTCAAAGTTGGTCTATGGGAGCAGGGCATATGGGATCTTGTCCACTGGCAGACCCAGTTCCAAGTTCCAAGTTCAATCCCCTACTTAACGCTTTCAAAAGATCTCAAAGGAAGTACAGTCAATTTAAGAGACTGCTGTACATATTGCCAACCATCTATGGATATCTGACGTAAATATTTTACAGTTCAATGCACTAATTGTACTGTTGCTTATTGTTTTGATACTGGCAAACCAGCAAAACATGGCCATCTGTCATGGATGCTTATTGCAGGGGGCTGAACTAGATGGCCCTTGGGTCCCTTCCAGCTCCATGATTCTATAGTATGGTGAAGGGGTGCTATATCTGACGCAAAGGAAACAAATATGGTTCAGACAAGTTTTTTTTTTAAGAGAGTCTCTTCCATTAAAAATGTGATGTAACAGTCACATAGACAGCTTCATAAAAACTGTTGACACTGACTAAAGTAGCAAACAAGACATATACAGCCTTTAATAAGAAAGACAATATCCAAAAGAGCCAAGTAACTGTTCATGAAATAACTAAAAGATTAATAAAAATAATCCAAGGCTCTGGCTGGCAAAAGGGACTGATATGGGAAAAGAATATACTATAACGGCTATTTTTTTCCTTTTATGCTTCTTCTGAAGCATCCATTACAGGCAGCTTTTGATGACAAGATGGCAAGTTCAGTTGTTGTTGTTTTTTGCTCGGATCCAATATTGCAGCTTACTTTACAAACATTGACATAAATAGTCTTTGGAAAGTGCAAAGGAGCATGTTGTAATGCAGTCTCAAAAGTACAACCTGTTGCTACTTGGAACCTTACTAAAACAGAGGTCACTTGGTTTCGCTCTTAGTATGGTTCTATCTCATCTTCCTTGCTGACTCACATTCCTCTGCTAAATAAAATTTAAAAAGTTTAAATATTAAAACATGACATTAGAATGATACACATTCTACAACATGCAAAATAAATATTTACTCAATTCATTTCTCTCCCTGCACCACCCCCCAATTCCTAGCACACTTGTTTGTCACTTTTAGTAATCACAGACTGCTGAACTCTTTTTCCACCCGTACATTTTGGCAGACTGTACAGGCGTAACCCACCTGCTGTATCTACCCCTACAAGTGGAGTGCCTTTGAAATCTCTCAAGGAGAGGGAGCTTCATGGAGGATCAAATGGGGAACAGACTGAAATTGTCTCATATTCTATTCCATAACAATCAAAGACTGAGAGCAGCTGGACTTCAGGATCACAATGACCCTGAAGAAAGGACCACATGTCCAACATGTCTACAAAGGCTTTAGGTCTCAAAAGGGCAATCACTTCCATGCCAATTGCAGAACACTTTTGAAACGCTGGGAATCTTTGGGTACAATAACTCTCTGGGCAGAATCCCTTTTAGGATTCTTTAGCTTTGGGATTCTTCAGTTACATATACCTTATGGGGGTATAAAGGAGTCCCCAAAGCTAGGCCACCTGGGAGAAACGCATCCAGGTGTCAGGGTCTCTCAAGCCACTTAAGCATGCTCAAAACTTCATGATGATTTGATACAAATTTGTAGATGGTCCAGTTATCAAACAAGTTTGTTCTGTTTTTCAGAGAGTATTATATTCATGGGTCACTATCATCAGGGGCATCAATCATTTCCCCATTACCATTATATAGCTATTTCATCTTTCTAATAAAGGCAGTAACTAGGATGGAGTTACAGAAGAGCAAGCAACCTATTTATTTTGTGCAAGAGCTCAGTAAACAAGATCATTTGCTTCAAGCTCCAGTTTTATTTCTCTTAGCTTCAAATACAAAAATACTGGTGATTTACAAAATGGCAATAGCATTGGGGGGAAAGAGATATTTTTCTTTCTATTAGTGCAGTAGCAATTGGAGTCAAGGCACCTCCTCGGGAACATGAAGAAAAAAACTCAGCTGCAGCTACAGGAGTTAATTAAAGGTAGAAAATATCATGCATGATAATGAAGTCTGGTTGCTCATTATAATGCTCTCAATTTTCATCTTACACCACAGGAAATATTTTGTTCAGTTCATTCTAGTTATTTCTATTTGGCAAGAGGACTTAAATTTAAGGTTACAAAATTCATTATGGAGCTATGCTCCAATGCTCTTAATAGCTGCACCAAAAAAAAGGGGGGGGGAGAATGCTTTTTCATCATCACATCATTATTTCATATTGAAAATGGACCTCTCACATGTAGATCCCAGTAGTGAAATTCCGCAGTTACAGTTCAAAGTAAGCTGGTATTTTGGCACTACTCTTAGTAATTGATGGAAGGAAGCATAGAGGCTAATTTCATCCCGATCATCAAATACCTGTTTTCTGATCTTTCAACATGCCTGAGACAGTGGCACAAATAAAGCATTTCATCCGAAGGATTAGAAAAGGGCATATTGCAAAAAGAAAAGCCATCTCAAAAAGCCACACAGCCGGGCCTGGCTCCTACATATACAGTATGATACAAGGAGATATATGGGACTCTGATATTTTATTGGTTAGGGTAAACATGGAGAATTCTCAGAAGGCAAGAAGGTAGCAGATATATGCAGGTTTCTTCTGAACTTTTGTAAACTCACTGAGGTCCTGTAGCATTCCCCATCACACACACACACACACATCCCAGCCCACTACCCTTGCAACCTTGGAAATTCAGTGCATTGTAGACCCTACGTCAAATCAATTAACACTGTGTGTATGTATAAAAATGGGACTCATTTGGGGACATTGCATGTTCTCCAAGAGACCAGTCTCTCAAAAATTACCTAAAGGTTTGATGTTTTCAGTGCTGAAAAAATGCAACCAGTTTTACAATTTTTAACATTTAAAATACAAACAAAGTTAGTAGTGTGAACACTCAAGGAAACAAGACCAGCTTTTAAGTAGTGAGGTGAGTTACCACTGAACAATGCATCTGTATAGAGATGTTGTAATGACCGAAAAATGATGATGTATAATGAGCTGCGCTTGGCTTTCTGCCTATTGTTTTAAATATGCCATAGGTCTTCAGTATGCTTACGGGGAAAGACACTTCATTCCTGTTTGTGAGACGTGGAACATTTTTTCTCTAACCAACAACTGTAGTAAGTATGTGCTCCAATAGTTACAACTATCCAAGAAGTAGGAATAGTTAAAGCTAGGGCTGGGTGAGGAGAAATTTGATAAATAAATCAAATACTCAATTTGTTCACCCCAGCAGAAGTAGGTAAAACTGAGCGGCTTTGCAGATTTTTGGTTCCTTGCTGTTCAGAGACCCTGTGCACACTGCAACCCGCTGCATGGTGTAAATGGGACCTTTCCTGCTGAATACCAGAACGGCTGTTTGGTGCTGGCAGGCAAAGACTGACTCATGTCAAGCTAACTGCAGCCTTTGCAGTGGCCTTTATGCACAGGAACATACCAATCATGCCATAGGTACATGACAATATGCATCTGTGGCCATGCCTGAAAATTGCAAAGCCCCTCCTGGAACAGGAAAGATCCTACAACAGATTCTGGTGGAGTACAAATTGGGTTATGTCCAGAAAAGAACCTCCCAATCTAGCCAGCTTTCTGCATTAGTTAGAATTCACAAGGAAGGAGAGCAGACCCAACTTGTTTATATTTCTAGGGTTGAAACCTAGCATATTTTATAACCTTTCCAAGTGGGCACCATTTTGTTTCAACCTAAATATGGACATTGACAAGACTTTAATGAGCCTGCCAGTATCCTTTGCGCATGCAGTGCCACCCTTTCCATTATTAAGCTCAGCAAGGTACTAGTAAGTGGAGGAGTTCTCCATAGTGGAGCTCTGAATTAGACTGACAATATAAGCTCCTGCATTTTCCTAGAGGCAGCCATCTACTTCAGACTAAATAAGCACATATTTCCACACTAAACACTGTTGAGAGTAAATTGCTTTGTACTTTCAATTCTCTTACAGCTGGAAAGAGGCATCTATGTCAACCTACAGAGTTTGTATTGATCTCAAGTGTGACTCAATCCCTTTCATTCTGCTCATTTTCTCCTGTTCGTTGTGTCAGAATGATAATCAGAATAGTAACACACGACAGGGACTTATTTTGGGAACATATAAATGAGAGTGTTTCTCATTTTGAAATCTGTTTTCAGCTTAAAGAAAAATATGGCAAGCTGTTGACAGAGGTCTATTAATTTGGGGGGGGTGATGTTTTTAAAATCTTCCAAAACTAGTCCCCCCCCCTTTTTTAGGGTGACCATTGATTATTTTTGGATATGACATCCAGGATATAAAATAATATCCAGTGATAACTGAAATCTATTGGCATTTAATTCACTTTGTTTCAATATGGAGATTGAAAGCACTTCCATTTAGTTCATTTTGAAGAGATTTGCTGAGTTCTGAAGCAGCAGGGGGGAAACAGGGACTCAACACTTGTGATTAATTCAATGAGATGGGCTTATGGGCTGATGCAAATACTGGAGGAAATGGATGTTCTTTCTATTTTTAAATGAAAAGTGAGGGCGGCAATGAGTCAGCATGTTTCATGCCTGACCACGCTTGATCCTCAATCAATTTTGCCCTCCATTAATAAGCGAATTTTTTTTTACATGACCAATTACCTGTTTTGAGGCTGGGACTGAACTCTCTGCTAGTCCTGGGAGGCTGGCAGGCCTCCGGGGCTGTCTGTGCTGGAAGGGTTCGATACTGAGGAGGAGTCAACTCTTCATCACCAGAGAAGCTCCTCCGCACCCCACCTGTCATGGGGACGCTCGACAAACTGACAGGCTTCTTCCCAACTGGTATCTTCCTCTCTAAACATCAAGTCAAACTAAAGTAAAACACTTAGATCAAAGTGTGTTAAAGCAACTCAAGACTAATCACTCACTGAGAAAGGCCTCCAGTTGGTGCTCACTGGACTTATGGACACCTCGGTGCATGCCCAGATCTTCATTAACTACAGCCAAAGGAATTATTTTGGAAAGCGATGCTGGTGACTCATGGCAGAGCCACAGAACTTTATGAAACTCTATGACAACACATTTTGAGGAATCACCTTAAATTTACCACTCTCTTTATGGAAGAAATACCCTTAAAAGCAAACATGTTAGTGAAAAAATTGGTGGTTTCATATTGCTCGTCTCACCTCTGGGTTTATTCCTCAGTAGCAGTTTAAAATTACAGGCTAAATTTTGTGTAAAACCTGCAAACTAAGGGTTTTCATAAAGTCACACCAATTAAGCACATGCTCTGCTATACAAAAAACTACCGTATTTTTCGTTCTATAGGACGCACATTTCCCCCTCCAAAAATTAAGGGGAAATGTGTGTGCGTCCTATAGAGCGAATGCAGGCTGTGCCGCTAAGCCCAAAGCCAGAACAGGAAGACGGAGCACTGTGGAGGGCTCCGTCTCGCTGCTCTAGCTTGGGGACGGCTGCGCGCAAATCTCTGCAGGGCAGTGGGGTGCCTTCACCCCGCTGTCCTGCAGAAGCTAGCAAGGCTGTTCCCAAGCCAGAACAGCGAGACGGAGGGCTCCGTCTGGCTGCTCTAGCTTGGGGACGGCTGCGCGCAAACCTCTGCAGGGCAGCGGGGTGCCTTCACCCTGCTGTCCTGCAGAAGCTAGCAAGGCTGTTCCCAAGCCAGAACAGCAAGACGGAGGGCTCCGTCTCGCTGCTCTAGCTTGGGGACGGCTGCGCGCAAACCTCTGCAGGGCAGCGGGGCGCTGCGCTCCAAAGGCTTCAGGGATCTTTGAGGCTGAAGGTGGGGGAAAACAGCGCTTCCCCCCACCGCCAGCCCCACAAGCTCTGGTGAATGTACCTTGAACGCACCTTGTTTTAGAGGGGGAGAACAAGAAAAAAAAATTTCCCCTGTTCTCCCCCTCCTATGGTCCAGTGCGTCCTATGGTCCGGTGCGTCCAATGGAGCGAAAAATACGGTACTTTCTACGATACTTCTAATCCCCTACATGACCAATCTGAAGAGATGCTCCATAAAAAATGTGGATTTGCCACTCAAGAATCATGGGGCAAATGTATTGAAACTTAAAAAAATAACCCTGAGAAGCTATGTTTACTGAAGAATTTCTGTGTAGGTGGTGGTAAGATCTTACCTGTGAATTCCTGCTTCAACAGGTAGAAGAAGCTTCACTCTACGGAAGTGACCCTCTCTGACTTGACTCAGAAGGCAGGACTCATCAGTCAATGATTCTGAGAGACAACATCTCTCAGTTCATGAATGGATATGTAAATAAAAATGTACAGCAGCTACTACAGCACACTATTATGAGAAAAACGAATAATATGGTAGCATTTGAATATTCTGTGGTGTCCTTGACTAACAAATGTTTTTATGCAAAAATGCTTGGAGAACCAAAAATGGGTGGTGTCAAAAGTACCCTCCCACCTTCTGGGAACACATATTATTTCCACCCAAAGAGTGGCAGGTGGGTATTCTATTTTCCATGTTGTATTACTAGAATGGGCTCCATTTTATAGCACTTTTAGTATTAAATTCACTGCAGTATGTTTCATGCTAATAAAACCTCTGCCAAGTTGGAAAAAAAGCTACCTTGGAGTTACTGAGGCTCTTTGTGAACTGTCATGTTCTACCTAAAGTAATTTGTATTTCAAGCTTCTGCCATGGAAGGTTAAAGACAAGAATATTACAGTAGCTACTGAACTCTGTAGATTTCTGCATTTTGTTCAAATAGATCCTTTATTTTCTCAACACACAACACCAAAATGGATGTGAGATTCTTCACGCATTCATTAAGTGCATGAATGATTAGGCTGCTATTTGCACTGAGAGGGAAACTCCCACTGATGCAGAGAAGTGAAATCCAGACCAAGACTACAATGGGGAGCTAAGCAATATAGACACCCCCATGCAGGTCATGGCCCCACAGCTCTTTTCTTATAGATTCTCCACAAGGAGCTGTCACCAGCCGTGGTCTAAGGTGTAGTGGGGCTTTAGGCATGTACTCTCTCTCGCTCATCCCAGCTTGAATAAAGATTTAAAGGATGAGGGTCTGGAAAATGTTTTGAAGCCTTAAGAGTCTGGACATTTACCTTTCACCTTAAAAAGAACTAAATTGTGATAGGGAACATAATCCTTAGCGCTATCATGACCTGGACCCATCTCCACAGGCCATCTAGTGGTTGAGAGCGATAGACTCGTAATCTGGGGAACCGGGTTCAAGTCTCTGCTCCTCCACATGCAGCTGCTGGGTGACCTTGGGCTAGTTACACTTCTCTGAAGTCTCTCAGCCCCACTCACCTCACAGAGTGTTTGTTGTGGGGAAGGAAGGGAAAGGAGAATGTTAGCCGCTTTGAGACTCCTTCAGGTAGTGATAAAGCGGGATATCAAATCCAAATCCAAACTCTTCTACCTGGGTTCCAGCTATGGAACTCTGAGCTCTCAGAACCTCCTATCTCGGAACCTTGGGAGGGGTAATCTCTGTAAACTCACTTCAGCCCCTATCTGGGCATCTCCACCTAAGTGTGAAAATACTCACTCTACCCTTGAACTGGCTTCTCCTGGAATGAACTTCTTTGGCAGGCTTAAAGTGGAAGCCGACTTGTTCTACCAGTACATATGAGTCTATGTGCAGCGCTGGCTTGCCTGAAGCACTCCTCTGGCCGACAGGTATGAATGCTGCTTTTTCCTACACAAATCCTAAAACTGGCTTCCTGTTTGAGGCTACAGTTCCCATCATCCCTGGCCACTGGTCCTGATAGCTAGGGATCATGGGAGTTGTAGGCCAAAAACATCTGGAGGGCCGAGGTTGAGGAAGCCTGCCGTAAAAGCATCACTTAACCTCCCTTCCTGGTTTTAAGCATCTGGCTTTCCAAACTGACCAAAGACATGCCGAAGTACTTGTGTGCTTATCTGATGGTAGGTGTCACAGTTTCTTGCCATGGGCACATCAATGAGCAGAGACTGGCAAGTGCTTTGCTTTCTCGCTCCCTCTGCCTGGCTTAAATTTGGGAGTTGGGCTTGGGCCGAGGGGAGAAACAGGAGAAAACGGAAAACGGTAGTAGCTGCTGCATCCTAATAATCAAAGTCAGGATCAGCTTCACAGATGCTACACGTGCCTTCTGAGCCAGGTGATGAGGGTATCCCAGAGAGTAGAATATTCTCCCAATTCCAGGAAGCTGTGCTTTGTAAAGGTGGTACTCTCACTTGGTAATGACATTCCAATACAAAATATTCTCACTGTAAGCTTGCTAGATTAGTACAATTCATTTTGTGTACTTCTCAGACATAGGTGGTATAAGCAAAAAGTCTTCATCATTACAATCTAAAACAGCTAGTGTTTTTTTTGGTCAGCATTAAAAAGTACTAAAGTTCATGAAAGTCCTAAACCCCTCACCTTGTATGTACTAATATTCCCAAGTGAACTAAGCAGCCATCGGAAGAAAGTGCAAATTCCTTTTATTTATTTATTTTTGAAAATGCTTATTGCATTATGTAGCTGTTGTACACTGCTTTGAGGCCTCTTTGGCTAAAAAGCAGCTTATAATTTTTAATATAAATATAATAAATATGACTACTAAACGCTTGTAAGAAGAAGGCACTGTCGTGAATTAATCCAGCTGCATTGGTTTACAGCTTCCTACAGTTAAAGCATGGTAAATAAATAAAGCTTTCTTCAACTTAAAATGCCAAGAGTCAGAGCAGAAAATCAATATACAGTAGGACTAATCAGACTAGTTATTTCCATCTCATAATAAACAGAGGCAGATTAATAACTTTCCTTTTAGTTCACTGTCAAATAATACACATTCAAGGAGTTAGGTCCTGCCACATAAAATGAAGCATTTTAGCTGAACTTCACCTAAGGCTCCAACACATTAGTTTTTTTTAATGGGGTCAGATCAAAGGAGAAAATCGCCATAGAGCAAAGTCAAAAACAAACAAAGAGGATGAAACAAGAGGCTTGCTCCACAATAGTCTCCATGGTTGTTAGTTCCTCCATCTCAGAAGAGTTTTTTAAATTAAGGGTTGAGCTAAGAAAGGTGCAGAAGGAGTAACAAGCTTCAACATCATTTTAGCGTCTCATTTTTAGCAAACAGGTTTTGTCCGAGCCTTATTACTTTGAAAATGTCTATAGCCTTCTGTGAATTGACAATTTGTCTAACTCTAAAGCAATGCTAAGGAGCTTCATTATTGGAATTAATGACTATGCATTAACTGTCATGAAAAAGGGGAAAGAGAGAGTTAAAATATTTGTAAGGTAAAGGGACCCCTGACCATTAGGTCCAGCCGTGGACGACTCTGGGGTTGCGGTGCTAATCTCGCTTTATTGGCCGAGGGAGCCGGCGTACAGCTTCCAGGTCATGTGGCCAGCATGACTAAGCCGCTTCTGGCAAACCAGAGCAGCGCATGGAAACGCCGTTTACCTTCCCGCCGGAGCGGTACCTATTTATCTACTTGCACTTTGATGTGCTTTTGAGTGTTTGAGCCTTTCTGGAAATCCAAAAAGAAGAAACATTCCATTTCCCAATAAAATAACAGAATTCAGTCTAAAGAATGTGCCAGTTCTACAGGGCAAGATACAGTATGTTTGCAAATGCACCAGGATTCACCTTTCTCCCCATCCCCATTCAACTCACACACGCTCCTACCTGCTCCAGATACAATGGACTGGTCATGCTCTCCGTTTGTTAATATAAGTGGGAAACTTGGGATTTCAGAAGGAATTTGGCTGAGGCTGCAATCCCAAACACACTCAGGTAAGGCTATCCACTGGTTTGTATGTTCTACTCCCAAGCTTACTAATCCAGTTTAGCAATGGGAACAAGCACTGAGATCACATGTTCCTTCCTCATCACTCATCAAACCAACATTCTCTGCAGTTTCCAAAATGGCGAACTGTGGTTTAATACTGATTTACCAACAAGGATCTTAAACCAACTTCAGAGTTTAAAATCCTTATTGGTAAAATTAACATTAAACCACAGTTTCCTGTTTTGGACGTAACTATTAACTATGGTTTTATTAAACCAGAGTGTAAGCAAGGTGGAAGGAAGATGTCAAAGGTGGGAGGGGGTGGTTCCATCACTTGTTTCCAGCTCCTAAAAATCATGGTTTAGCAAACTGTAAACCAGGTATCTGAACCAGGCCTGTGGGAATAAAAATACAAAGGAATACAATGTACAATGGATTTCATTTCAATTCTAATGATCTACACTGCCTGGGACTAAATTCAAAGTTCCATGTAGGCTGAGCCATTAAGAGAAACTTAACAGCTCGGCTGTAATGTGTGCCTGTCCAAAATAAAGTTTTCAAATTAAAATCTAATTTGGCTAAAATATAGTACAATTTCATTACACTTCCCTACACAAGGAAGTCTTTCCAGTGTCTCAGACCCTCCATAGGTCTTAACTCTATAGATCAATTTTGCCAGCTCCTGTAGCCACAAAAAGCTGTCATCTTTCAGATGAAAATACCAGCATGAAAACCAATCAAGCAAAATATAAAGAATGTCAAACTTAACCTTATAATGGTCAAGACACGCAATAAAACATTCTATGCTGAAGTTCTTTTCTAAGCTCTCACTTCAAAAAATAATTCTTCATTTCTGTTTCTACACTCACCCTCACTTTACTCTGTATACTTATTATAACCGATTACAGTATTCTCTAACTTTAGATTGAAATTAATTCTATGTCAGGCATAGGCAAACTCGGCCCTCCAGATGTTCTGGGACTACAACTCCCATCATCCCTAGCTAACAGGACCAGTGTTAGGGAGGGCCGAGTTTACCTATGCCTGTTCTATGTGAATCTAAAAAAAGCACAAATTTTTAGTTCTATGAACAACATGGCTTAATAAAATATATCATCTATCTTATCTTGGTGAAGATGACAGTACTACCCTAAACAAAAATTAATCAATCTCTTATCATTCTGGAGAGAAAAGGTTTTCTATGAAAGGACCTAAAACTGAAACCAAGATATTAAGTAGAAACTACCACAAAGTTTGCTTTAAAAAAATACATATATTTGCACTTTATTTTATTTCACGTGACAAAAAAAATACTCAATTTAAAAAGTTTTCCTTGTGCCATAATGCACTTTAAGCTTGAAAAACATTTCAACAGAAAGCATCATTCGCAACCATCATTTTTCCTGAGAGAAAAAGGCAGTTTTGTAGCAAGAAGGTAAAAGCAAATAATTTTTGTTACCCACTTTTCTTGTGTCCTTTGTATTGTTGTGACTTTGACTTTTTCTTCTGCTTTGACGAGCTTGACTGACCATCTCTTGATGCTGAAATATATGTTTTTAAAAAGAAAGTGAATTTAAACACCTTTTTGTGTGCAGGCAAAACACTGCAGGTGAGATGCTTTGTGTTTCAGAAGCCTCGTGGACAGCAGCACCTATATTCAGTATAATTTTAGCCCTGTGCCTCTTGAAACTGCAGAATATTCTTGAAATTTTAGACGGAGCCACTCATTTCTTTTAATATCACATTACTTGATCCTGCATTTGACAAAGTGATTATAACGTGATAGGAAGCAAAATGATCCAGATGTGAATTAACAACTGTGTTGCAGGGTAGTAAATGACATAGAATCATTCCCCCAAGTCAGGAATGATTAATACTTTCATGTGTAAAATCATTTTACCATACAAAATGCACACCATCTGGGCCAATCAGAACCATTCTGCCTTTTAAAATATGCTCAGTACAACTGATAACTAATAGAGTCAAGCTGCTAAGCCTGTTATATGACTCTACTATAACTGATCATTGTAAGGGCATCATTAAAAGACTGCAATGAACCAGAGAAATAAACCAAAAGTCAGAACAATAGGATAAAAATATAGTAACAATGCAAACACATACAATGTTTATCTCTTTATTGTATATTTGTGAACTACCTTGAGGGGCATGTAAGAAATTAGTTAATTAAAGTAATAAATGCAAAATTACTTGCTAATCTACATGACCATACAGTATTCCCAATAATACTGCATTAAAAGCAACTTGCTTTCTTATTTGCCTTCCAAATATCAGTGACGAACAGGGACAGAATAAGACAAACACCCTGAAGTACTACTGACTACAGAGCAAAACAGATTGAGCTCTGGAGTATTAAGCAAATGGCATTGTGTAAGTCCAAGCCGATTGCCCAGACTACACCCTTGCGCTAGCTGGTAACCTGGCAGCAAATAGATCAAAATCTAAAAATAGAAACAAAGATATGAAAAATTTTACCATAGAGAGGTCTGCTACATTTCAGCTATAGAAAGTTCAGAGAGAAATTAAGGTCAACTTACACTGTGACGCAGGAGGCTGTAGTTGGTAACCCGTTAGCTGACACCATCCTACAGGGTAGAGGTCAGGAGATTCACAATCCACCCACTGATCATATTCGTCTTCCCAGCCGTCAAAATGTATCCTCAACAGACGGTGAATAATACGAGTTACTGTAGCCACACATACTAGACGAGGTTCCATGAGGTCCACAGCCTCCAGCTTCATTGAAACATGAAACCCATGGTTTGGAACTTCCTGGAACAGAGATGTAAGACAAGTACATCATATTGCTTTGAAAAGCAAAGTTTTGTGATTAAAACACGTTCACAATCACCTCTCCCATAACAGAACCTTTCTCTCTCCTGGTACATTTCCTTAGACTTGTGAGCACTCTCATTCTACCAAGGTATGTAGTAACAGATGATCCAGCACAACACATGGGATCTCCTAGAGCTTTCTACCATCACCTTTAATTCACTTTGGCTATAAATACTGGGTTCATGAGATCCCAAGTCAAGTTACCTGGTCATGCTTTACTTTAGCTGTCAGTTGGTACTTTTAAGGTGGAATGGAAGCTTTAGTTAAATAGGCTCCAGGTATGTATTTCAGTGAACAGAAAAATCTGGTACATACTTAGGTCCACCACTCCACCACTGACAGCCATCCAGCCCCAAGGTAGTGGTAAAGCTGGAACTAACCACAGGATAGGATACCATATCAATATTGCCTAAATGATATATCTGTTGAGGGTGTGGCCCTTTCAACAGTTGTAGTTTCCTAGCACTTTGGTGCAGAAGTGAAAATGGAAAGCCCTTAATGTAACATGTTAAACATAAAGGTTTTTGATAATTGAATCTCTAATATATTCAGTTTTTGGAAAGTGAAGTGTGGGCTTCAGAATGGAACCAATTATTTAATAAGCTTTTCTTTAAAAAATTTAATTTAATTTGGTATGGTCATGCAAAACAAGACTTGTATACATGACATAAAATATCTGAGTTTTTCAGTGTTGCATATCCTCAAGGAAGAGAGGCACAGAAATGGGTGCATTCACTACATCACAGCTATGATATTCCTGTTCCAACTAAAGGTGTTCATATAGGATTCAAATGCCAATATTGCAATACTGGGATAACTCTTTTCCTTCTTCAACCACCATTGCATTTCATTAGTCTTAAATCCACAGGGTGAATCTACTGAAAGTACTTATCTGCCAGTACTCTATTCTATTTATAGTTAAGATGCTTTTCTATAACAGCTACATGTGAAGACATTTTCTAGATTCTATGGGGCTGCCGACAAAGGAATGAGCACCACAAATTGTAGGTACACTACAATTGTGAAATATTTTGGTCTTACCTTGTTAAAGAACTTCACAGGGGCTGCTACTGAACCCGTTTCCCTGAGGTAGTCAAACCATTTGAAAGGTAGTTTTGCATAACCTACAAGGGATTAACAGTTATGTAGTAGCATCACAAAAACATTTGCCCTGATCCGTACACAGACACACACACACACACACACACACACACACACACACAATCTGCCCCAAGCAGTTTGATAACCATGGAAGGACAGGGTATACATTTCTTAGAATAAACTACGAAGTTACTCCTCCCAAGTGGGATCCTCAGTCCATCTAGCCCTTGCATAGTCTACTTTGGCAAAAGCTCTCCAAGGTATCAGACAGAGGTCTCTTTTACCTTATCAGAGATCCCTTTCACTGCTGATGCTAGGGACTCAACTGAGGGCCCTCCAGATGTTGGCAGATCACAACACTAGTTGGAACACTTACTGGGGGTGAAGAACATTGGAACCCAGCCCTAGAGCCTCTGCATGCAAAACATGCCATCTCTCACTGAATCATGGCCCTTCCCTCAGCAGAAGTGCCACAGTGCAATAAAGGACCACAAATGTACAGACAGAGCTCTGAATAAGAAGCCACCCCACTAACCTTAAATGCAAAACAAAAAAGCGAAAAACCCTTGATACCCACTGACAGTTTTACCCTGCATGAATTTATCCAATTCCCTTAGCTATCTAAGATAGTAGCCTTCACATATCAGGCAGAGAATTTCACACATTGTCATGCGAAAATGTACTTCCTTTTGCCTATCCTGAATCTCCTGCCAACCAGATTCACTGGATGACCTTGAGCCCAGATTTTAGGGGGGAAATCACAGGAAGCAATCGATCAAACTAGGCAGAATATATGCTGTTACTAGGCCAGTCTGGCCTAGACAGGTGAGAAGAGTGCCACTTACTTTGAGGATATCATAACTAATGAAGAGGTGGCATTAAACCGTAATGCACCTAGCCTAGCTGCTTGTCCCATCTACACCACTTCAGCAAGCCACAGCAGTGGCAATTCTTATACTCCTTTACTCTGCACTGACTAAAAAGCAAACGGGAGAACCAAGTCAGAAAAAGAGAGTTGCAACATTCCCAGCCAGCCAAAGGATAGTTAAGCAAGCAATAATGAAACACTTGTCTGCTAAACGACGATTGGTTCGGCAACTCCAAACTAGAGTTTGGAGATGTAAAGGATATGATTTTTGCAAACAAGCTTAAGGAAAAAGAAATGAATTATTTCACACAACACGGCTTGCAAGACATGTATAGATTTATGCACAAGAAGGTATGAATACCTCGGGGTGGAGTTAGTTCAATCATGTTAATTTCACAGAAACCAACGGGGAATATAGAAGGGGAGGTGGCATGGTAACAAAACCAGTCAGACCCATCTGCTGCCTCAGAGCCATCGATCCCAATCATAAGATATCCATCTGCTAATACCTAGATAAACAAAAAACAAACAAACAGCAGTTAAGATTTAGAAGTTAAAGTAATTTAAAGATGGGGAAATACCAGGAAGTGAAGAGTAAAAGTTTTCAAAGAAATTCAGCTACTGGTTGATTTGGCAACCCTGTTTTAAGGCAAACAACAATATTGTCCATATGGTTCCTGAATTTTTTGTACAACACTATGCTGGTTACAACCAGTACCTATGTAATGCTCCTGATTCCTTAAAAACATGAGTTAAGGGAGCAGAGGCAGACCACATGATATGTTTGTTTAATATAATTCCCCGCCCCCTTGCAATAGTTTAAAATCACAAAACAACTAATTATATATTGAAGTGCAATACACAATAAAATACATAAATACACAAAATGAAAATTCACTTAAGAGCAATAGCAACGAAATTACAAGCAAAATGAAACTAATATATTTACCTTTCTAATTGTTGCCACACATATTGCAGAAAGGTTTAATGGATCTATGGCTTCCAATTTCATCCCCTCCTTGAACCATTCTCCACTTGACTCGGCTTCCTTTACCTAAAGAAACATTTTGAGGCAACAAATGGAAGCAACACAGGTCAGCATCACAGTCTATTTGCTTCTCCAGCTTCAATGCTGATGAACAATTCCTTCCATTATAAATCAAGTTCCTTGCAAAACATCATACCTTAGCAAATAAATGTGGGGGTGCATCAAAATAAGAGTCCTGTTTCTTGGCAATATCTGTGAAAAAGGGAAAAAAACGAAGTTGAAGATTTCTAATTTACTACTTCAGACATGTGACCTTTTAAAAATACAAACGCCTACCAAAACCAAATAAAGCATTTAAAAAAAATACTTTTATTCCATAAAATGTATACCACTTGATGGCTTAAAAAGCAAGCAAACCTCAAAGCATCTTCCTCTGTCCGACTCTCATATCTTGAAAGCTGATGTGAACATCAATGTGATATATTAATTTGTTTGTGGGAAACTCTGCACAAGAGGAGCTTACCAGATCTTTTGAACCGATGTCCTATACTCCGAGACCAACCAATGGGATGTATGAGTGGGCTGTACATATGGCACCAGAAGTCATCTGTTTTGTCTTCACTTTCTTCATATACCAATCTTAACCTGCCTCCAATTACGCTGTCTACAATTGCTACCCGTGTTCGGCAGAGATGAGTTTTATCAACAACTTCTACTCTCATAGAAGGCTTAAAGGGATACTGCATGCTTTCTGACACCTGAAAATATATAATTGTGCAGCGTTAACATATGTACCTCTGCAAATACCCATCTACAACAATGGCTATGTGAATCTGCTATTGCCCACAAGTATCACAGGGAGTGCTTTCCCCTGTTTTGTTCCCCTTTCCACACCCAGTTTTATGATCAGTAAACAAAGACAGGTACCATCACTTTCAGACTTTAGACTGCCAACTAGGAAAAGAGCTTTTCCTGTGATGGTCTCATAACTTAGGCTTTTTAAACTTTTGTTTCTGGTCCAACTGTTGCTGCTTTTTTGTTGTTGCTGCCAGCTTTTGCTTTCCACTCCAATTCTGATTTTCATATTGCATTTTACTGTTTAACTTTTTTATGTAACAGTTTTTAGAGTATTCATCCTCAAAAGCATTTTGTAAGTACTATAATAAATAAGTCAAAAAGGCTGACAAGGGTCTTCTTTGAAACCAGCCTCACCTTCTGAGAGAAGTCAGGAGGAAGAGTTTTGGCACCAGTGAGTCGTTTCACCAGAAAAGCTTTCCAGTTTGTGTATTTGTGTTGAATGGCTGTCAAGATTCAGAAAAACAAACAGACATTAACCACTTTTGAAAATTTGTATTGCAAGACACTGAATGAACAATGTCAAAAAGTTATTGTCTTCAGAATTTACTGGAAATCCAGATACGTTATCATAGTGAAGTACTTTTAGCTATTTTGACAACAACGTGAGTTAGACGCAAGCACATCCATTCATATGATAAATACAGAGAGAGATATACAGATGTTGTGATATCAGACTTACACTTAACATAAGAGAGTATGTAATGTAAGTTAAAGGATCAGTACAGAGAGCATAAGATAAATTCAACTAAAGGTCAGCCTGTTAAAAGTCAGATTTACGTACATCGAGGCGGCACTAGAGGCTTCCCACTTGTTGCACACCAACCAACCGGATGGATATCAAGACCACAGATGTTACACCAGAAGTCGAGACTTGAATCGCTTTCAAAGCCTTCATATCTTAGTAAAGCACTGTAACCTGAAAGAGAAGGAAATCTCATGCTGATCCATGCTACTCTTAATGAAGAAATGCACCACAATCAAACACGCACTCCCCTTCATTTGAAACAGCTTCCAGAGGAAGCGAGCTGATGTTGGAAGTGGTCTTCAGCTGCCACTGCCTATACTAGAGCTGTGAAAGAAGGGAGGCACCACAGTAGAGATTGGGGTAGGTGTGCAGGAGATTAATGTACTTTGGCAACAGGGGAAGTTCCTACATTGATGTTACAGTCGTACCTTGGTTTTCAAACAGCTTAGTTCTCAAACGTTTTGGTTCCCAAACGCCGCAAATCCAGAAGCGACTGTTCCGGTTTGTGAACTATTTTTGAAAGCTGAACATCCGATGGGGCTTCTGCGGCTTCCGCTTGGCTTGCAGGCTGCAGAAGCCGTGCTTTGGTTTCCAAACGTTTTGGAAGTCGAACAGACTTTCGGAAAGGATTACGTTCAACTTCCAAGGTACGAATGTACTATACTAGGGGTCACCAGCAGGGTCCTCGTAGGTCTCTTCATCCACAGAAATTAAGCTTGAATGAAGCAATCTATTGTAGCCAATATAATAGGTTGCCGTGAGTGCAGAGGCACCAGCTTCTCCAAAGTATTGGAGGGACATTGTGTGATGTCCTCTGAATATTGAGGGGGCCCGGCCACCTCAAAAAAAATATTTGAGGGGCCAAAATTGCTTGGGCCCCTAGGAGTTGGCGCCTATTATTGCGTACATGCAGTGCCCACAACCATTTCTCCAGTTTGTAAATGCTCACACAGGCTCAAAAAGGTTGGCGACCCCTGCACAGTATACTGTTAGAAGACATGGCCTTGAAATATATTTTTTCCCTGGATTTTAAGGCAATTTGTTTTACATGAGGCTTCTCAAACTATGTGTTGGGAGCCTGTTGGCAAATTCAGCTTGATTAATTTGCCTGACCTATGCTGGTGCTTTAACTGCTATCTCAATGCAAACATTCAAAGGTCACAGAGAAAGAAAGAGCCACAAGCCATGAGTGTATAACCTTGTTTCAAACACCTAGAGTGCTTTGCTTGGAGGACAGCAGTGTGTTGATCATAAAGGGAATTTCACATAATGAAGTCTGCAGGGAAATTATGAGTCTTAGCTCAAAATCACAAGCAAGAGACTTATCAGGAATTAGGGAAACTACTCAAAGGCAAAGTTTTTCAACCCCTAAAGTTGAAAACATATAAATTGTAGCTCTAATAAGATAAAAATTACAATTACTCCTTATCACCCTCTGAAGAATCACAACAAAGCCTACAATTAGCAGTGTCTGCAGCATTCAAGATCTGAATATGACAGTCTTTTAAATTCCACAGAATCATCCCTTATAGGCAGGGTTTCAAACAGATCTGCTTGGAAAACCACTGTTGACTTAATAGGAACTTGCCCCACTATGGCAGCCTTAAGGATCAGGCCATTCAACACAGAAGACTTATCCCTTCTGCTATGCATTTTGTTTTAAATAATATATACACCTGCTCAAATCCCTTAATTATTTATTGAGACAGTTACACTTCAAAATGCATTATTTTATGCAAAGTTAGTAACCTGCTAATTTTACAATCCCAGCAATCCAGAAGACTTTGGTAGGTAGGCTGCAGTCTGTGTTAGGGACTTCTACACGTACACCTTCTGAGATGTCACCCCAGCAAGTCCCCATAGGTGCCTGCAATGTTAGGAAAATAAGTTAGAAACCATGTAATTCATAAAAATACTTATTTTCACCTCTTAATACTAGACAAGCTCTCTGGCTTTTCTTTCCGGGGGAAGCTATCTGGTTACTGCTTGTAAAACTGGTTAATTTATGGCTTACCTTTGTTGATGACAGTGAATCCCTCCCTCTCTCACCCGCCACAACAAGTGAAGTTTTACGGTAATTTTAATTTTCAGTAACCTCATAGTTAAAAAATCTGAATTATCCTTGAAGTCCTTTGTTGCATTAATGACTCCTTGTAGCATCACTTCCTTAAAGTATTGTGTGAATAAAATGATTTGTGTAGCTTTCCCTTTTTAGCAATGGTCAATGTGTGGAAATTAGTTGCAATTCTTTTTTTTAAAAAGAGAAAATGACTTCATTTGTGGGTGAACCTGGAATATGAACTTTCTGCAGATTTTAACTACTTCAGGAACAGCAACAACAGAATGCGCAACACAGGAATGGCAAAAGATATTGGACTAAATAGGAAATGAGCAGAGTTTGCTATAATGAATTAACTTAATGAAGAACTGATGAAATACCTTTGAAGATTTGCTGATTAATATTTTAAAATGGGCTACTGCAACAATAACTTTCTTTTCTGCACATGCTAGAAAAGCATGCAGTTAATCCAGCTGTGGAAATACTCAAGTTCCATCTCAAGCATACTTGAGAAGCTACAAGAAATAAGTCAGTCTCCTTACACAGATGTGTCAGCAAGTGATTCCAGGGCAACCAACCTTACTTTTCTGGCAAGGTAAATAGTTTACACATGAGGGGAATGTTAACTGAAAACATGTCTATTTAAACTCTTAGGGAGTAAGGAGTGCTTTAGCAGAAAATATACATGCCACATTAAATATTTGTGCCGTCAACTTGGAAGCTATACATAGACGTCTGGGAGTGACAAATCTGGAGGCATTATGACCTAAAGCAGCAGCCCTCAATACTTCCTAGTAGTAAGGCCCGTTGAATTCAGTGGGACATCTGAGTAAACATGTTGAGGATTGGGTTGGAAAATCCTGACTAGTTAAAATAGTGGACTGACAATCAAATGAAAACTATACAGAAGTAGTAACATGAATGTATCTCAGCAATGTATCATCTCCAGAATGAAACTGATCTAGTTGTGAACAGGAACATTCTGATTTTGAATGAATTCTGGTCTTTACCAGATCACCTCTTAAGGAGGAGGAGGAAGAGGAGGAGGAGGAGGTTTCAGCAGCTCTTTATGGCCAGGTGCTGTCAAGGTTCAGAAAACAGATTTAGGCTGAGTATTATTGTGGGGTGGGAATGCTGATAATAGAAGCAGGGCAGTTCTTCTACAGTTAATCAAGTTCCATCATGATAAGTCTCAACAGGCTATAGCTAATAGAACTGGTGAATTTGAAATTTTGCATACACATGGTCTACCCGATGAGGTGTATGAAAGTACACCCCCCCAAAAAAAAGAACAATCCAATAAAAATTATCACAGATCCAACAAGTTTAAAAGTTTGACCTCTTTCCCATTTATAAATAAATCACATATTTCTTTCAAATTTTGGTGAAAAGTACTGATATACTTTGTTTGGCCTTTTTGTGAAGTAGACCTTTTAAGTGGTCAAGTTCTAATCCGTGATTCAAAAGTTATTGTGGTTTCCCTTCTCCATTAAGTAAAGTACTGGAAAAAATACTGCTGGGCATGACTGAAGCTAAAATGTGGCCAGGAGGGCAATGCTTGCAGAGGGAGTCACCTAGCTGACGGTATGTGTGGTGTCTATTCCTTTAGTTACGAAATATCACAGTGTGGCGCAATGGCTACAGTGAGGACTTGTCAAGCTCTTTGGAGCCATGGGCACGTGAGAGATTGTCATAAGGAACCACACGCCCCAGAGTCACAGATGCATCCATCCTTTCTCATACTGCAGCTCTGCACACAACCTGTCCCAAACTGTTACCCGCATGAACTTTGCCAGGAGGACAGCAGTGATTCTTTTCTAGTAATTAATCTAACAACAACCCTGTGAGGTAGGCCATATGGAGAGAAAGAGACTGGGGCCATACATCCCTGTGAGTCACACATGCCCGTCAAAAACTCCATTCGATTGAAACAAAATTGAATGCATCGGGTTTCAAAGTTTCGGATTGGTATAGGGGTATAGCAGAAAGTTAAACTTGTCCTTGTCTGTGAAGATCGCGGTTCTGCTAGTTCCTCCTACACCAATCCATATGGCTGTCGCTTCCAAAGAAAGCCATCATGGGTTTGGGTCTCGCGGCCTTGAAACGATGGTACACTGTGTATATCCAGCATACTGTCTTCTCTTGCGCAATACGCTTACTAGCAGAACCATAAGCATACAGATAAGAACAAGTTTACCTTTCAAACTCATGATGAAGGCATCCATCTTGGGCTCCTTCCCAATAAAAGGAAGGTCTGCCTGGGCCACCACTCTGATCCAGCGCACACTCTGGAGGAATTATCTGGGAGGGACAGCCGCCTTCCCTGCAAGGTAAGTTGCAATCAGGAAGGTCTTGATGGGCAAGGTCCAGGTTCATGTAAGTGGGCTTCCCAACCCAAAAAAAAAAGGCTGACCCTATAGCTTCTCTGCCTGGGATAGCTAAGTGTTACTACTGGCTTTTCTCAAATGCACTAAAAACACCAGGCAGAAATATTTAAGGCCTCTGGGGCTTTAGAACTATGGTGCAAGATTTTTGTTTTCCAGGTGCACCTGATATATCTGTTGCATATGCAGTGACCACAATCCAGAGTTCCCTTCATGTGGGTGCCCCCCCACATGTGCAAGCACAAGGCTCCCCCACCCAAGAGCAGGCTCTCCCACCCCACAATAAATGAGCTGCTGTTTGTTTGGTTTTTTAAAAAAACTAGCATAAATTTAAATAACTGCTTGCTTCAGACAAAGCTGCTGCATGGAATAAGACAGAAAAGGCCCCACTGCACATGCAGACCTCACACATCTCTCTGGATTGAGAATAATATCTGCATTTTAAAAAGGGGGAGGAGTGCTAGTAAGCCGATAATGCATCAGTGCCATCTAGTGAAAAGGGGGAAAATATTCCTCATGTAATTACATACAGTTTATAAATAAATTGCATCTGAAAACCAGGTTACAATGCACTAAATAAACAGTTTCTACTGAGTTCAGTGGTACTTACTCCCAGGTGTGCATAGGTTTAAGACCATCCACTATCTGAGGCAGAGAACAATGCTAGTAGCTGTCATGTTTGTCTGTTGTACTATTACCAGTACAGGGGGATAAAGAAGCTGTGTCTGGACAATGACTCCCATCATCCCTGATCGTTGGCTGTGCTAGCTTGGGGTGATGGGCGTTGGGAGCCCATTAACATCCGCAGGACCACAAGTTTCCAATCCCAGTTCTAACACATATGGCCAGGTCTGCATGGTGAGCAAAAAGTGATGAAGATTCTTGCTGGGTCTGCAGTGACCCTGATCTATTGCATTTAATGATTCCATATCCATCCAATGCACATTCCCTTTAAAAACGGGACTTGTGCAACAAAAAATATACTTTCCATAGGACACCCTCCTCTCTTCCAGAAAAGCGGTGGGGCAAAATGTTTGAGATGCAAAGCTTTTAGTAATATTACTGATGGAATTTGGTGCGTTTTGTAGAAATCATGCAACCCTATAATGAAATTAAGCCTAGGGAAAGCTCCAGATAAGACTTTACAACTTCCTTGGAACAAATCGACCATTTGTTTGCACTAGCAGCAATTAGGACATAAATAAGAGGAAGCATTTGCACTCCTTTGTGGAACATCTGAATGCTAATTACAAGGCAGCCTATTTAATGTACTATATGTTACTACGCAGAGTCATCTGCAATCCCTATACCTGTTTATATGGGCACAGTGGAATGAATTAAAAGTAACGAAGCTCATTTCCTCCTCAACATCAAGAAGAAGAAGAAAAAGAGGAGTTGGATTTGAAATCCCGCTTTATCACTACCCTGAGGAGTCTCAAAGCGGCTAACAATCTCCTTTCCCTTCCTCCCCCACAACAAACACTCTGTGAGGTGAGTGGGGTTGAGAGACTTCAGAGAAGTGTGACTAGCCCAACGTCACCCAGCAGCTGCATGTGGAGGAACGGGGACGCGAGCCCAGTTCACCGGATTACGAGTCCACTGCTCTTAACCACTACACCACACTGAACATATAGCTACTAGAGTTGGTTTTGAATGCCAATTTGCAAGTTTGCAAGTGTGCACGCTCTTGGAGGTAGATTTTAAAACAGAATATAGGCACAGATGACTTCAGGCATGGAAACTAAGATTAAAAACATGACTGTGTTGACCAGCACAATCAATAGCAGATTGTGCACGAAATGCTATCAGAACAGTTTGTTGCAATGGTCTGTGCTGCCTACATAGTTCTGTTTTAATAGGCATGTCCATTTAGGGTAGGTATGGGGAACCTCCAGCCCATAGATCTAATTACGTCTGGCAGGGGTCTCAATTTGGTCTGCAAGGCCATTTCCCCCAAACCACAGTCCCACAAATGCTGCATCAGATGAGGGGCAGGTAAAGGCATACTGCCAGTGCACAATTGGGAACCTTTAAAGGCACTCCTGATGGTGACAGGTAGGCTCCCTCGCCAGTGCACAACCAAAAGTAAACCAGCTCAAATATGCTGTGCTACCGAGTTACCACAGCTGATTCCATCCAAAAATGGAGCCTGAAGTCAGCTACTATCAGCTTACTGGGGGTAACTTCAACCCCCACTTGGCTTAGAATTTCTATGTAGCCCAGTTGCCACACTACAAAGGAAAAATGGGTCACCTGACATCATAGTGAAGTCAGATGACTGTCAGGTGGGAGGGCAACCAAAATGGCCCAAGGGCGCAACAATGCAAGATCCAGCCAACTGACTGGATCCACCTCCCTACCCCGATTTAGGAAATACCTTAAAATTAGGTTCCAAAAGCATACTTAAAGGTAAAGGGACCCCTGACCATTAGGTCCAGTCGTGGCCGACTCTGGGGTTGCGGCGCTCATCTCGCTTTATTGGCCGAGGAAGCCGGCGTACAACTTCTGGGTCATATGGCCAGCATGACTAAGCCGCTTCTGGCGAACCAGAGCAGCGCACGGAAATGCCGTTTACCTTCCCGCCGGAGCAGTACCTATTTATCTACTTGCAATTTGATGTGCTTTCGAACTGCTAGGTTGGCAGGAGCAGGGACCGAGCAACGGGAGCTCACCCCGTCGCGGGGATTCGAACCGCCAACCTTCTGATCGGCAAGTCCTAGGCTCTGTGGTTTAACCCACAGCGCCACCCGCGTCCCACAATGCATACTTACTCTTGCGTAATTTGTGAGTCATTTAGCTTCATTAGATATCTCCCATCCCCCCAAAAAACCTCCTGTACTTTTATGTTGTTGATAGTTATTGAAAGTATGAGCAGCAGAACACAATCCTCATCACTGTGTTGCTCACCATATAAGCAAGGAATTCAAGATGAAATTCTGAGACACATATTGTCATCTGCCTATGCTAGGTTGAACTGAAAGAATTAAGAGAACATACAACATCTAATTGTGGTCTCCTTCCTCATGAATCACCGTTATTTCTATAATACTACACTGTACACCAGAGCATGCTCAAATATAGAAACACAGAGGCTGCCTTATGCATGGCAGACCATTGGTCCATCTACTTCAGTACTGTTTACAATGACTGGCAGTATCCAGGATTTCAGGCAAAGGTCTCTCCCAGCTTCTTCTGGAGATGCAGAAGATTGAACCTGGGACACTCTGGATGCAGAGCAGATTGACATCCAGCCAAAGTAAAACGCTGGTGAAAAAGCAGCTACAAAAGTCTGTGACTCAGCAACGTACCTAAGTGCAAGTAGCAGGCAAGCACCAAAGAGCACTTGTCCACCCTTGCACCTTCACTGCCACAGAGCTGACCCATGTTTTCTTGGCTAGGTAAAGCTCATAATTCACTCATCTGCTGCTCTTTAAGAGGAGGGAGAAAGGACACCCCCCAAGTCCTCAGTTATCACCCAACGGAGGAGATGCAGTAGAACTATCATAAAATCAGAATTGGAGGGGGCTTGTATGCCAGAGCTACAGCAAACTCAAGAGATGGCTGTCCAGCCTCTATGTTAAGCTCTCCGGTCAGTGGCGTAGCATGGGGGTGCAGGGGGTGCCGGCCGCACCAGGCGCAACATCTGGGGGGGCGCTTGCACTCGCAGCTCTCTGCCCCTACCTGGCTCACTCACTCTCTCTCACTGCAGTGCTGGCTGTGCGAATCCGATCCGAGTCGCTGGGTCGCCGCCCACTGTGGAGGGGTGGGTGCCAGGCGTGCGGTGCGGAGAGAGAGCGAGGACTATCTGGGGAGGGACAGTGCAGCGGCCGCCCAGCGCAGCGCTGAGCGCGGGAGAGAACCAGACCAGACCAGACCAGGCAGCAGCAAGAAGAAGCTGGCAGCGGCGGCAGGTTAGGGGGCGCAAATTACTTGCCTTGCCCCGGGTTAGGGGGCGCAAATTACTTGCCTTGCACCGGGTGCTGACAACCCACGCTACGCCGCTGTCTCTGGTGACAGCTTGCCCATTCACCCACCCCAACTAAGTAACTGGTTCCATCCTCAAACTGTTCTCACTGTCAAGAGGTTTTTCACAATGCTCAGTGAAATCTACCCTCCTGTAATCTATGCTCATTAGATCTACTTCTGCCCTCTGAGGAGCACAGGACAGATCTTTGCCCTCTTCTATGTGACAGTTTTTCACATATTTGAAAAGTGCCATTGTGATTCCCTCCACTTCTTCTCTACTGGCTAAACATACCAGACTTCTTGCTGGCGGGTGTCCAACAGCAGAATGTTCTCTGCAGGGACAATCATCTGGTGCCTGCTATGTTAGAGACCAAGTGAAACTGAATTTATTTTCCAGATATTTTAATGCATACAATTTAAACCATACTTCTGCTGTTAGAGTAATTGATTGTTTCATTTATTGTTGTTTGTTGGATTTTATTGTATGTTTCAGTGATAGTTGCTTTGAAAGTTACTTTTGAACTGAAACCTGGGATACAAATATAATGTACAATCAGTGCCCCCTTAAGACATTTGAGACCTGAAGTCACTATTCCAGGCAACATCCCCCAGTGACACTTGTCCCTCCAAAATACAGGGGCAAGTATAATGTGTGTGTGTGTGGGGGGGTTAATCAAAAGGAATTCTTTCCCAAGAATATGACTGCTCACCCAAGGTATCTCACTAGCTTTTCTGTGTCTTGCATGTGATACAAATTGAGTCTGAAAATTAGTGGTTTAATAAAGACAAAGTTCTGTTCTGAAAACTCATAATCTTTATTTATATGAAACCTTCAACTTAATTCTATACTCAAAAGATATTCCCACTGTGTTTAATGGGCCTTACTCCTAATAAAGCATGTGTAGGATTGCAGCCTTAAAGACAATTCCACAATCCCCAGAATCATATATAAATTTAAATTGCTTCAACTTTTTTTTTTAAAGCAAACCAGTCTGTCAGGGATAACCAGACCATCAAGAAGGCAGCTATCCTTCCTCTCTCACATGCTGCACGGGTTTATTTGGTTGAAGGAAACAATCTCTGCTTGCTGATACAAATCATTTGTCTTTTTGCTGCAGCCACACCCTTGGTGCTTGCTGATTTTGGCCTGTTCTCTCCCGACATGTCTAAAGTCATTGACAGTGCATGACTTGCACCACCAACGAGTTAAACAAGCAGGTGGCAACAGCAAACTACTACAAGGAAAAAAAGATTCAGCACCTGCCTCATTTTGGTCATGCTTCGTTCATAAAAGGGATTGAAGGAACCCAGTCAGAATTACTGTTATCACATTTGCTTCCTCTGATCTAGCAGCTACAATGGGCTGAGAGAATGGGATAATGGAAAGGGATGAGTATGGCAGTAGAATTTGTCTTTTAAAATTATGAATGTTAAGATCAATAAAAACACAGGACAAAGTGATTTTCCTAATCCTGATGATTGCAGCCCACCATTTTAATGATTAAATTGGCCCTACATGCAGCACAAAGGAAATATTGAACTCATCACAATTGGGGCTTTAGAGAAGAGGGGCTTGGATTGAAAGTTTGACTTCCATGAACTGAAGTTATCTCTCCATTCACAGAAAACTTCCCATCCAGCAGAAGGACGGGAGAAAGGCCACAAATTTATGCCCATTTCCCCTCCAGTGCAATAGAGGGGAGAGGAATGAGCAAAAATCGGTTCTTCTTCCACTGGCAAGAGCAAACTCAGAAGCCAAACCAGCCTTGTTTTACAAGCATCACTTGAACCCATTCCTAAAACAACCTTGCTGTGGATGTGCCTGCCTATTTGCTAATAAAGCAATTTATTGATCTTGATCTCTGGTACAGTATAGAAAAAGAACAACCTTATCGTTATTATGTAGCCTTGTATACAATGCACCTTACTACTGACAGAGTGGCATATTACAACATGTTCCTTCTTGTGAAACTAACCTGAAAAACACGCTTGTTTTGAATTCCAGCTGCTTCTAAGGAGAGACAGTGCAGAGCTCTGTTTTGTTCACAGAAGATCTGCAGGCAGTTTCAAAGGACTTTGTTTGATTGGGCTGGGCTGAGGTCCCCACCCGAGCCTGACAAACCAATAGACTAACTTGGTTTCAATTAACTGGGCCGCTTCTCAAGGTCCACAAGATTTCAAGACAGTTTCTTAGTATGTAAATCGGCTCTATGCACAAAGGCAAGAACCACATCCAAAACTTGCTTTGAAACTTTGCACACAGCTTTGACAGCTAGCATTTAAACTGGATAGCATCATGCATCTTTGAAACGGAAGCTCCCAAGATTGCAGTTGTTAGATCAGTAAAATTTCATATATGCCTAAGGATTGGGGGGAAAGCCATAGGATAAAATCTAGTTGTACTAGTCTGCCAGCAACACTTTCTCACTCCCCACCAACTGCAGCCCCTCACATACCCCCAAAATTTGCTTTAATGGTGGGCTCTCAGAAGCAGATTTGGGGGAGTGAAGAGGGAGCTGTAGGAGGAAGGGGAAGTCTACTCTCACCAGGGTATTTGTAAATTCTCTGTTGCAATTATTTCATAGCTATTTACTAAAAATAATAAAATCAAAGGCAACATACTTACATGCTTAAAACAATTAACAGGAGCGGCAGTGAAACTATTGCTATTGATGTAGTTGCCCCAACTGAAGCCTTCCACTGGAACAGATGCTAGAAAGAGTTACTTTATTTAGCAATGGGTACATAATTTACTAAATATATTTTTAATACATATAAATTCATTTCCAGTCTCTTTTAGGGTGGGGGAGGAAACAGAAATGCACGGTTGTAAGCATGACCACAAGGTGAATATGGTGGATTATCCAAAGAAAATCCTCTAGAAAATTAACTTGTTTTTACAAAAGAATATAGATTAGACTGGAACTAATTAATGTAGGCCAGAAGCAAAAACAAAAAACCAATTCTAACCCATGCACTGATGCCATCAGGATTCATATGACAGTTAGTTATTATATCCAGTCAAATGGATATAGCAGTATGGGAAAGAAATCTATCTACCCCTAGAGCAGCCAATGTGTTCTGTTGAAAATGCCAATACAGCTGAAAGGGTAGAAAGCAAGGCACATGAGCCAAGCCCCTCAGAATGTTTCACAGGTTCACCCCAACAACCAATGCCCTTCAGCTTCAGATGAAAGACCCCACCCCACAATACTAGCAAACTTTATTCCTCTTATTCACTTGGAAATTGATGAATTATGTGGTTAGAAAAACCTTACAATTCTTCTCAAAATTATTCCCCAAAGCTGAAAAATTGAATGTTAACCCAATAATAATTCCTCAGAGACTTCTCCATGTTACCTGTTTTCGTCTTTGATTGGTTCTGTACCGTTGCTTGGTATTGGGCATATGCAGCTAATTTAGCAACTAAAGGTTGTTTTTGTAGCACTTTAGCCTTCTTTGTTGGAGGTTTTCCCTAAAACAACAAGAGCTGAATAAGGTTCTTTTCAAACTCACATCAAGACGTTTTAGAAGCAGGCTTTCTGGAAATCTGCTGCACAAAATGTAACACTGCAGTTTCAGAAACAGAATTCATCAGAAAGCTTTTTTTTTTAGTTTCTGGGCTGGGTAAATCCCATTCAAAAGACCGCCTAGCCTGCTGCTATTTTAACATTAATTTGAATTTTCTTTAAATACTGAATGTTACTATAACCAAGTGGCATTTGTGCACTGACAAAAATAGGAAAGGTGTAGCATGCATTCCATATGCTACAAAACTGATGTGCAATCCAAGCACAAAATGCAGACAAAAATATCTTTTGTTTCAGTGAAGGGCTGTACAAACTAACAGATGCTACCAAAACCTATCAAGGCATGATATCTTCTTTAATTTTTGATGTCTCAAAGGAAACACAAGCAAAAATGGGGGGGGGGATGTAGCTCATAAGCTTAATATATAAAAATCGTGTTTCTGATCACTGCATTCTAACATTACAAGTAACACCGAATCCTAATTATTCAAAACTCTTGAACTAGGATTTGGAGAGAGCAATGGAATTAGTCATGATCTTTCAAAATGTAACTACTATAGCCAATAAACACAACTAAGCCTTGTGGTACCTCAAACACTACAAGATTTATTGTGATATATACTTTTGTGGACTCAAGCCCATTTCAGATGCATAAAGCGAAATCTTAGTTGGCAGGTATACAGAGGATGAAAACTGTAAGGTGGGAGCTGAATGGCAATGAGATACAAAGATTACGGACTGTGATAATAAGAGCTTAAACATGTAGGCACACTTTTCTAACCGCAGATTGATAATAATTTACCCAGCTTTGCTGAGGTAATTGAATTACAACTATAATGGGGCAGAGAACCATTCATAAGAAACAATAATAGATGTCAGATATCCCTGGCAGAGGTAGGTCAATTAACACATGTAGCATAATAAAAATCCTTTGGGTGAAATCCAACTTAGTACTAAGTGCACATGGGGGGAAAAGGTCCATTTGCGCAACAATATTTCCTGCCCTTCCTCCCACACGCCTCCTAAACCTGTTATGGAGGTTCTCCCAGCTCTGCAAAGCAGATTTAGGTGGTGTGGGGTGGTGGTGGAGAGCAGCCCCAGTGTGCAAACAGACCTTGTTCTCCCATCGCAACAACTTCATTGAATCCTGCCCTCTCTGCATTTTATTTAATTCATTAATTAATTTACAAATTGCCTTCCATATGCATTTCAAGACAAACACAAACTAAAAACAGTTTTGAAAACAGTACAAAAACAACAAATGAAGACAGGTGGTTATTCTGTATTATTTTAAAACTATGGCAGAGATCGTTTCACCAAACTGAAAAAGTTTGTCCACACAAACAAGGGCAAACCTAGAACTCATGCCATCTAACTTACTGATAAATTCTAACTCAGCTGTTTCATGTGGTAAAAGGTAAAGGGACCCCTGACCATTAGGTCCAGTCGTGGCCGACTCTGGGGTTGTGGCGCTCATCTCGCTCTATAGGCTGAGGGAGCCTGCGTACAGCTTCCGGGTCATGTGGCCAGCATGACTAAGCTGCTTCTGGCGAACCAGAGCAGCACACGAAAACGCCGTTTACCTTCCCACCGGAGCGGTATCTATTTATCTACTTGCACTTTGACGTGCTTTCGAAATGCTAGGTTGGCAGGAGCAGGGACCGAGCAACAGGAGCTCACCCCGTCACGGGGATTCGAACCGCCAACCTTTTGATCGGCAAGTACTAGGCTCTGTGGTTTAACCCACAGCGCCACCCACATCCTTTAACTTCCTTCATTCCAGAATGGCCACCTTAAGGTCAGTTACAGAGTGTCCTGAAATATTAAAGCATTCCCCTACAGGTTTATGAATACTGCCATTTCTGTTAGCAGATTTGTGTCTATCTATTTCTGTTCTTTTGCACAGAGACTTAACTGGCTGTCCTATGTAGAAGGACATTATTGGCAGATAATGGAATAAATCACACTGGAAGACAAGCAGGCGAATGAGCCCCTGAAGTTGTGGATGACATTATTCTATCCTGCTACAGTGTTGCCACAGTGGACATGGGAGTTGGGCTCTAGTGTCCTTATCTCTGCTATGTGGCTTTTTGTTGATGGTTGAGTTTTAGGTTTTGGGGGCTGTCTGTGAGCAAGCACAAGCCTGCCTTCCAAGGCATCTCATTGTCATTCAACTTTCACCTTACAGTTTGGTTATTTACACAACTGCCAACTAAGATTTCACTTCATGCGTCTGACAAAGTAAGCTAGAGCCATAATGAATGTGTTAGTTTTAAGGCACCACACATTTTGTTGTTTTTCCTACAGGAGGCCAATGCTGCTATCCTTCTGGAAATTGCAATATTATGGACAAGTTAATTAATTAATAAGCAGCAAATGCCTGGATGAACAGATGAGTGTTAAGCAGGCGCTTAATGCTGTTGATAAACAAAGAAGGGCTGTTGCCTTCACACCTGCTTATGGGAAGCATCTGGTTAGCCAATGCTGGATACCAGATACTGACTTTTGGGTCCAATCCAATAGGGCTCTCATATTATATTTAACTTAAAAGCAGTTAACTTTAATAAATAAATAAATGCATTAATCTGTGTTGTAACAAATCTGTTTTAAAGCTTATCTATATAATAAAGATAATAAAACTGTGACTGTACCGTTACCTGAAGTCTGGCCAGAATGCTGGCCTTCTTAGAGTTCGATGAGTAACTTCTTGAGCAGGAAACACTGCAGAAGCGCTTGGTTTTAGAGTAAAAGGCATCTCTGACACCAACCATCCCGCACATTTCACAGGTAGCTGATAAAGGGAGAAAGATGGCCAATGTATTACATCTATACTATACTGTGCCACATTCATTGTCAAGCAGCCATGGCTCTATGCAGTCCACGTAGAAGATAGTCAACTCAAACTGTGTGTTGGCTATCAACACTTAGACACACCCCAAATATAAATATGCATTATATATTATTTTTATAATACAATCCTTCATCAATCAGATATTTAATAGCTTCTATGTAGATTCTAAACAGCTTTTTGTCTTGGACTTCTTTCTCTTCCTCTTTCCTTAATTTGACATGGGAGAGTCGTTTCTGTTGAAGAGAATGAACTACCACTTTCACTGTACAAAAAAGTTTTAATCTTCCAAAATATTTATTTATTTGCGCATAACGTGCTTTTCTCCAGATCTAACCCACAGAAGAAGGCTGGCAGAAGCTGACTTCCCTGCTCCTTCTTCTCTTCTCCCCAGCAGCCCTCCATAAAGGCTCTCAGGAGAGTCAGGGGCCTGCACTCAATGTGCAGACTGAGGGGAAAACCCTTCCAAAATTGGGTGAAGGCATCCTTCACAAGTATGCTACAAACAGTAGGGCTGGGCAATGTATTGATATATCATCCAAAATTGGTTTGCGGTCTGCATCGTGATAATGGTTTCATAATATCTGACATGGTGATGTATCACGAATCATGATGTATGTGTGTGCTTTGTAAAAAAAAACCTGTGGTGTGGGGAAAACTATGAAGCCGGTCATCACTTCTCGCATGATTCCTGACGCCCCTGTTGCTCTGTACTATAAAATAACAGTTGTCCCAATATGTTAAAGGTAAGTAAACATGTATCAGTTTTAGACCCCAAAGTACAGTGGTACCTCGCAAGACGAATGCCTCTCAAGACGAAAAACTCGCAAGACGAAAGAGTTTTTCATTTTTTGAGTTGCTTCGCGAGACGAATTTCCCTATGGGCTTGCTTCGCAAGACAGAAACGTCCTGCAAGTTTGTTTCCTTTTCCTTAAAACCGTTACAGTAATACAGGGTGCATTGCTTGAAGAAGTGCAGTTGCGACTTGACTTCGGGGAGCAACTCATAGCACACGGTGTGGTAGCCTTTTTTGAGGTTTTTGAAGATTTTTTTGAAAAAATTGAAACCGTGCTTCGCAAGATGAAAAAACTCGCAGAACGAATTAATTTCGTCTTGCGAGGCACCACTGTAGTAGCAGTTGCAGGCACATTACCCCATTCACCTCTACATAGTTACAATCTTACTTCAACTGGTATATCACGATGTTTAGCTGATGATATACCACGTTGTTGAAAACCAGATATTGCCAAGCCCTAATAAACAGCATACTGCACTAGAAACAATTACTTAAAACATTTGATTTCATAAAAACAGTTAAGTTTTTAAATAGCTGGGGTGTGTTATTGTCTTGTTTGTTACTATGTTGTGTATTTTTTAGTTTTTATACTGTCACCCACCCTGTGATCCTCAGATAAAAGGCAACACGCAACACACAACACACACACACACACACACACACACACACACGCTTCCCTCATCCCAAATCTTGCTCTTCTTTTCTTATATTGCCCCCTACTATCCCAGCTGGGATTAGAACCTCTTCTGTATCAATTTTTGTGAACTTTGTGTGCATGCACAGACATGGAGAGGAAATCTGGAGCATGGCTTGGGAAGAAATGCTAGATGGTCTAGCTTGTGGCTTCCTTGGTAGAGGAGTGTGTGCCACCTCTCCAATGGGCTGGATCCAAGGTGCAACTTCCACAAATGGAAGGAATTGAGATTCAGTACAGGCTACCACTGGAGGAAGGGAAGGCGACAATTGTTGCTGCTTCCTGTTCCCCCAAGAACACCTCAACACTCTTCAAGATGGTCCCACAAGCCACCAGAGCAACTATTCAGTGTCTGCAATAAGATGCAGAAACAGACGAAATTCACCTCCTCCTCTTCTCCAGTGAGAATGCCCTGTGAGGGGAACTCAGGGGGTGATATTCAAGTTTACTCAGAGCAGATCCACTGAAATTACTGAACATGACTAAGTTAGATCCATTAATTTCAGTAAGCCTTCTCTGAGTGAGTGTAGTCGATTACCACCATGGGAACTATGGATCCAAGCCAATATCTCTTAAGTTTTCAGGTGTGGTGATGTCCCCTTCTTCCTGAACTCTGAATATTTTTCTGTAAGCATGCTAAAGGAAGGAATCATGCACACACTTTGTTAGGACTTAAGCACACTTCTATGGTTGTCTAGGAGCAGTTTAGCTTTAGTTTAGTGACATGAAACAGTAGAACAGTCTTCACACAAAGCGACACATATGTCCATCAGTCTTTGGTCACTGCTCCTAACATCCAAGCAGAAAAAAGAAGTTGGCACCATAGAAATAAGAAGTGGTCATTTGATTTAGCATTCCACTGAAAAATCATGCACTCACCCATGCCAGATTTGCCATCTGGATATGTGTAGACCTGTCCATTGTTCTTGATAATTGGGAGGTTTGACGGTAAGGGTGCAACTTCCTCTTCACTCTCATCAGAGCTTGAGCTACTACTGGTATCCTCACTACAGCTATCATAACCATCAAACATCCCGAACGAATCACGTCTCTTCCTTTCAGATCTTGAAGAATGTTCAGTCTAAAAAGAAAAGCTAAAATGTTAAAACCTCTCAACAAAAGGATCTGAAAGAGATATTTCAGCATTTTAACAGGTTTCCACTGAGTGTGGAAGATCCATACTATATAATCTTAAGTTACACAGAGAAACAACACATGTAGACAGACAAAATGAAAAGCAATTTGCAAGTGTTACATAGGTGCAATGGTATACAATAAACTAAAATTGAAATACTTTGCACTACACAAAGCAATATTCAGGATGAGCACCCAACAAAATTATGTTCAATAACCAAACACAAACATTTAATTTATTACCCTTATATATTCCACTGTAGAAATCACAGAAGAGCACTTAGGTTGCTTTACATATAGGCAAATGTAAAGCAATGAGCTATACAAAAATTATGTTGGTTTGCTAGCTTCTCTATAGAATGCATCAGTCCTGAAGTTATGGATTTCAATTATGCCACCAAAGTCATCAATAGTCTTTGCAGAATTCAAGGGTAAGTTTATCATGTGTTGGTATACCCAGCATTGTTTATCAACAGTTCATCCACTTTTGGCTAACCAGCAGGCAGCATACATTAGCTGAAGTAGGCTAGGCTGAGACCAGGTGATTGGCCCAAGGTCACCCAGTGAGCTTCTTGGCTGTGTGGAAATTTGAACCCGGGTCTCCCAGGTCCTAGTCCGACACTCTAACCACTACACCACACTTGATGCAACCCCACGTAACAACCCAGAGAAGGGAATTAAGCTCACTGACCTACCATTTTCTCTTCAGAAAACTGTGGAGCTTTTCTGTGGTATATTCTCATTTCACACCAGAACTAGAGAGAAAAGCCAGAGCCAGAGTGTATCATTGTTCTTCTTTGCAACTTCTAGGGTCCATTTCCCCCCTTTTGTTAGCCACTAAGAACAACCCACTCCTCATCTGTTTCCATCACATATTCTCAGTCTTTGAAGTAGACTATTCCCATAAAGTTAATGATTTGTCATAGAAACACTTCCATGGCAACTGACAGAGATAGAACAATACAAGCATCACAAAAGTTAGATTTTATGTGAATGGCTGCTCTACCATGCGCAATCTCAGAATGCCATTAGTAAGGAGATATCCCTTGCATACTGCAGATCATGCTACACATTTTATTTGCTAAAACAAATGCCACTCCTGAAATCGTTGTAAAAATAAAATAATAATTCCAGTTTTTATCCACATATCAATAGCACCCCAATCCATAAATCAGACAATCCCATTCTATGGCAGGATGGACAAAGTAGTTCCTTATGATATACAGTAGGTATATAGTTGAACAGAAGTCATCAAATGCTACCTTCCAATATTGAGCAATTAGGAAGGAGCAGACCACTGAAAAATAGTGTCTTCCACTCATAACAGTTCCAGACCTGTCAGCAGTATTTGAATGTCCAACATTTAGAGCAATACACTTTTCAAAGGCATTCCCAAGAAGAGGGCATTACAGTATTCCAAATGGCATGTAACTAAGGCATGTGTCACTGTGGTCAAATCAGACATCTCAAGGAACAGGCACAGCCAGCACCCTAGCTTTAGCTGTGGAAATGTACTCCTGGTCACCAAAGAAACCTGAGCGAACATGATCAGGGCTGAGTCCAGGAGTATGTCCAGACATAGCAAACCTGTGTCTTCAGAAGGAGTGCTATCCCACCTAGCTCAGGTGGAGTCTCTGTTCCCTGTTATGCCTTCTGACTGACCAAGAGCATCTATGTCTTGCCTACCTGTAGATTACATTTCAATTTGCTCACCCTCATCCAGTCCATTACTGATCACAGACACCAGTTTACAATCAAGACAGCTTCCTTGGATTTAGGTGGAAAGGAGAAATAGAGCTGAGTGTTATCAGCATACTGGTGACACTGAACCCTGAAACTCTGGACTACCTCTCCCAGTGGTTTCATGTAAATGTTAAATAGCATGAGGGACAAAACGTAACATCGAGGGACTGCGCAAGCCAACAGCCAAGGTGTCAAACAAGAGTCCCCCAGCACTAACTTCTGGGTTGGCCCCTCCTGGACGGAATGGAACCACTGTAAAACAGGGCCTCCAAGTCCTATCCCAGCAAGGCTACCATGGTCAATGGCTTTGAAAGTCACCAAGAGGTCCAGCAGAATCAACTGGGACACACTCCCCCTGTCCAGTTCTCCTCGTTAAGTTATCCACCAAGGCAACCAAAGCTATCTCTGTCCCATAACTATTATACTGCTTATGACTATTAGACACAACCTGAGCATCATTAAGAGAAAAAGATAGTGATTGCAACCTGCAAAGTATAGTCATGCAAACTTGAATTGCTCATACGTGCTACTGGGATGACAGAAGAGCCTGTGAAAATGTAATGACTGTATTACACATGAGTACTTGACACTTATTCACACAGCAACTTTCATAATTTGTAGGGTGAGGCAGGATAAGTAAATACAATGTTCCACAGCAAAAGTCACAGTAAATTTTGTCAGGAGATGGAAAGCCTGAAAAAATTACATATTTGGACATTCACAAAATTAGAAACATCCATCCATGTTACATACATAGTATGTTTTATTATAATTTCTGCTATAATTTTAAAGAAGTACTAGCATTTCTGTGATGATCACCCACTGAAATTTTATTCATCTTGGGTGGCAAGTTTGCATAGCAGCATGGTATTGAGAACTTAAAAGAGAGAGAGCTAGAGACCACTATCCCAAGTGCAGTTAAGGCACCACAGAACTTGATTACATTTGCAGAATAACTAATACAGTTACTTAAATATATGCTGCAATGATTGTCCACTTTTAAAAACTATTATGGCCACAGACTACAATTCTTTCTAGTTTAACTTACAGCTTACACATTTCAGGGATCTAACAAGTCCTGGCGAAGAAGAGCAAGATGCATATTGCCCCACAATACCCATAGACTGATTGTTTTTCTCTGATTTTAAATGCTGTTATGCTGCTAGTGCTAGTTCTGAAGGGCAGGGAATGATTAATTAAAACACTGAAAATCAATGTTTAAATTGTGCTCTGTGTGAACTACCCAGAGGACGTTGTTGCTTGGGCTGCCAATAAATATCCTAAATAAATAAATCCATCCTCATCCCAAGCCATTTGCAATCTGAAGAACAAGAAAGAGACAGGAGAAACTTAAGTTGTGTGACTGTGAAGATGCACAAAATGGTTTTGATATGAATCAATTGTAGCAACAGCTCATTCATCCCTTTCAATAGCAACTTCAACATAATCATTTGCTGCAGTGCTAAACATTATGCATATAATGTTGCACCAACATAAATAGCTTCAACATTGACCAAAAATCTTCTGTAATGTCATGCAGACAAGCAGTTCCCAACCCCATCTCTAAACACCTCTTTTCTGCCTAGCTCATGTCAAACAACAGCTTTGTGCACTGACTTTAGGCAACATTTGTCAATGACCTCAATTTTTACATAGCTACAACAACCAACTGACAAGTCAAAGTAATAACTCACTGCTGTCTTACAGCCATAGCTAATCATTACATATTATAACAATGCAGCTGTAACCAGCATATGACCTGAAAGATGCCGCTTCCCTATATACAACAATCTATTAGTTCATGAAGCAGGGGGTGCTGGAGGCCTTCAAATTGTATGGGAATCAGAATTAGGCCACTCAATTGAAGATCACAAATGAGGTCTCTGGGCCATTACCACCCAAAACAATCTCTGCTTGCTTACAGGAGGCCTCCACTGGCACCGGGTGACAGTCAGGCTGGCAAAAATTAATCCCTCCCTTTGCCCTTTATGCTGGAATGGTTATGGAAAACTTGGTTTATTCATGTTTGGTGGGAAATTTTGCAATATTCTGCATTATATCCACAATTACAAGCCAACCTCTTTTTCCAAATCCTACCTTAGCCTTACTGTCTTTGGACATAGACTTGGGCTCCACCCTTCACTACAGAGAACTAGTAGGCTTCTTACTGACCACAGCATGATTAGTGATAGCTCAATAATAAAAGAACCAGACTGAAATAACTCTGAGCATTTGGGAAAATAATATCTGGGGTGCAGCAATGTCTGAGCGTCTCACCAGACACAAGAGGACAATTAAAGGCTTAATGAAAAGAAACACCTTCCAATAAACGTGGAGCCCTTTCTTTAGCTATGTTAATGACCAAAATCGAGACATTGTTATCCTAACAGCTCAATCTTTTCAGTGGAGAGATTACATTAAGTAATATGTTTGAACATTGAATGTGTAAACTCATGTCTAAAGTCAATGGATAGAAAAAACACCACTAGATGTACTGCTGCATAAGTGTTTAATGGTTCTTGTATTTGTATAAAAAGTAAAGCCAATAAAAATTTGTTTTAAGAACTGCAGCAACAGAATAATAATTGGTCCTTATCTTACAAACCTATTGTTAGTGCAGCAGGTTGCATGATTGGCCCATAAGATTTAATGCACATGCTGTTGTGTGTTGTGGTACCAACAGTGATAGCAGAAGGTATGACCCAGTCGTCTTCCAGTATACATTAATCCAGAGGTTTTCAGAACTTTTACCCTCAGTGAGCACTTTCCATATCAACAGATCTGTCAAGGAACCAACAAACATTACAGAAGGCTTTGGGACTATTCTAGAACGCATTAGTAGTTCACATAGGGGACCAGCTAGGTCTGTAAGATCCAAATGCTCTCTCATGTTAACTGACAACACAACATCGAGAACACAGTGTTCCCTCCAATAGCTATGAATTCAGAAGCTTTTGTAAGGCATTTGCTGATACTCTGTTTAAGGATGTAAAAGATTTGCAAGACAGACATGCTACCATGTTCTGGTATACAGTCCATGCACAATGGGCAGAATAGAGAACAGTGGACAAATTAATGGGGCAGGAGACTGAAGCAAATGAGAATAGTTAGTATACATGCACATGAGTGTTTCCCTATTAAAGCCCAATCAAGTATTGTAGAAAGGCAAGACAAAGCCACACACGTCATTTAAGACAGCCTTCCCAACCTGATGTTTTGGATTACAATTCCCATCAACCACAGCCAGCATGGCTAATAATCAGGGATAAAGGGATCTGTAGTCCAACAACATCTGGAGGGTATCAGGCTGGGGAAGACTGCCTTAAGACAAAAAAGGTGTTTAGTCTAGATACATAATGGAATGGAAAGTTAGGGAGGAAAGCGCTAAAAAGTTTGAGAATAAAGCTCTGCATCAGCAGTGTCCAAAGCAACATTGTCACAAATAAAAAACTTTTAAAACTACTGTATCTCTTATCACACACATTAAAATAGGGCTCAATGTTTACTTATTATTGCTACTAAGTTAATATCCCACTTCCCTCCAATGAGCTCAAGGTGGCATAAATTGTACTCCCTCTCTCCATTTCATCTCACAATAACCTTGTGAGATAAGCTAGGCTAAGAGGCAGTGACTGAGTCACTCACTGAGCTTCATGGCCAAGAGGTGATTTGAACCCTGGTATCCCAGATCTTACTCCAACACACCACACTGATTTTATATACGTAACAGAATGTTCTGCATTTTAAGTTTAATTACAAATAAGCCACATTTAACAAAGGAAATGAGACTTTATGCTGATATCAGCATTTCAACGTCACAAATATAATGCATTAAAGTCAATGCATTTTAAATGAAAAAGTTACATCTTTCGTACTTTATCCAGTGAAACTTCTCATTGTCAGCATTCAGCATATCTTAATTTGGCAATTTCTCTTTAAAGTCTTCATTATAACATTAATTCTGAAAGCTTTCCCTGAGAAAGGTAAAACTGACTCATTTACTTTCTGCTCCAGGATGCTTGTATGCAGCAAAGCGGGTTGCAGAATCCTACAGATTAGTGTGGATGTTAGGGGAGGAAAAGTAGCAAGGATGACAGAAAAATAAAGAAATAGAACCAAGGCTTGTCATGGCATTTCCCGGATTACTAGGTTTTCTCTTCTACGCTACTGAAAATTGGCAGACCTAAACATTTCCTCTATCCTCTCAAAGGCCACATTCAACCTTCTAAAAACAATCAAATGAAATGTTTGTTGAACACTGGTCTGCACATCCCCTTGCAAAGCATATACAGTGGTACCTCGGGTTACATACGCTTCAGGTTACAGACTCCGCTAACCCAGAAATAGTGCTTCAGGTTAAGAACTTTGCTTCAGGATGAGAACAGAAATCGTGCTCCAGCAGCGCAGCGGCAGCAGGAGGCCCCATTAGCTAAAGTGGTGCTTCAGGTTAAGAACAGTTTCAGGTTAAGTACGGACCTCTGGAACGAATTAAGTACGTAACCAGAGGTACCACTGTACACAAGATGCTCAAGATGCTCAAGGAGGCACAAAATCTCCTCGCTTTTTGATCATTAAACTACTAGGGCAACGCTGGAGCCGCAGTACTGGCCAAGGTACCAACACACACAAAAAGAGGTATCGAGTTCTCTGCACAGCACACACAGCACGCAAGGAACGGGCAGCCAAAGGAACGCGGAAGGGACTCTGGAAACCTCGAAGAGGCATCGATGAATGAACCACTCGCACTCCGACAGGAGGCAGAAGTTTCTCTCAAGTCCCCGCCACTTTTGCACATGTTGCCGGGGAGTGGGGAGTAAGAAAACACGGGTGGGTGGGTCGGGGCAGATGGAGAAGAGGTAGCTTATATGGTACAGTATTTCTCGCAGAACATCCCACCCTCCTCCCTGCCCAGAGTTGCCTTTCTCAGTCCGGCACTTCCCTCCCACACGGCACAGAATGCAACGCTGCTCCCCACACCGTTTCTCGCGTGGGTCCCCCACCCCCTCAGGAAGGGAACCCAAAGCAGCGTGACCCCCTGAAGCCTCTCAGGTCAGCCACCCCGCTCCGAAGCCGAAGCCTCTTGCCCTGCCCGGTGCTGGCCGCTGCCTCTGCCTCCCTCGACCCCCCCAGGGGGCTGCTCTGCGCTACTCACCAGGTCCTTTGTGTTTTCCATCAGGCCCTCATGGGCAAAGGATGCCGCTGCCGCCGCCGCTCACCTCCTCCTCCCCCCCTCCCGCCCCCTCGGCTCAGCCCCCACCCCCCGGACTCTCCCCCTCCCCTTTCCGAGGGGCAGAGCCAGGTTGGAGGAGGAGGAAAGTTCAGCCTCTCACTTTAAACGGGGGGGAAGAGCGCAGAGTGTGTGAGAGAAAAGACATTCAACTCCAAGCCCCAGAATATCAACAACATTAGCATAACCGCACTGCGCACGCGTAGTACGGCCCCAGCCCACGGCGCGCTCCCATTGGCCCCCTCGCTGTTTGGATCGCCCTCGCTCGCCGTACGCGGCTGGGCGGCCTGAACTATGATGCGGAAGAGGGGGGGGGGAGGAGAGGCGACGGGGACAGAAGAGGGCCGCAGCCGCGGCGTTAAAGCGGTCGCCGCGACCGGCTACAGATCTGACGGGATGTTTCTCTCCGTCTCAGTTTGCCTTCAACTGAGGAGACCTTAGTCTTTTTTTTTTTACAAAAAGGTGCTTTCACCTGCCCCCCCACTGTTTTGTACGTGATGGGACAGCCCGCCTAGAGAGCGGTTCTTATGAGGGGGGAAAATGGGGGAAAGAGAGTGTGTGTGTGTTGGGGGGGGAATACACTGAAACATTGAGGTCATGTGAAAAGGAGGCGGGGCCAGGGAGGTCACGTGGCAATGCTTCTCACGGAGCGGGGGAAGGCAAAGAGATAGAGAAAAAGACAAATATTACGCAGATCGTATTATTCCGGTCTCCATTTGCCTTGGGGTGGGGAGGGGTGAGGAGCTCGCGCAAAAAGCTCCCTCAGCCCGCTTATCTCTCTGGTGATCTATCTGTTTGTTTACATCGCATGTTCATTCAGGGGGACCAGCGGCGTCACGGCGGCTTCATTGAGTCCTGTGGTGGGAGGGCGGACGTGTTTGCGCCTGCGTGCCTCTCTATGGTAACTGAGCGGGAAGGGCGTTTCCGGTTTACGTGACGCGAACGTGCGGGCCTTTCCGCTTCCGGTTTGTGGTCCCCTGAAGGCAGAGGCAGCATGGAGGCGAGGGCTGAGGGTCGGCGAGGCGCGTCGAGGGGCAGAAAGCGGCCTCGGGTCGGAAAAGGGCCGCTTGCAGGAGGCGGGGAGCGAGGCGGCCACATGGCGGCTGCCGCGGAGGAGATCTGTCGGGCTCAGCACTTGGCTCTCGTGGCAGACAAGCCCGCGGCGGAGCGTGGCCTGGAGGAGCTGCTGTTCGGGGACGTGCAGGAAGAAGACGACGACCCGCAGCGTCTGCAAGGCCCGCTGGCGAAGGTATTAGGCGGTTCAGTAGCCGGTTCAGTAGCAAATGTTCAGAAGAGAGGGGTGCAGCTGTAATTATGATAGCACAGCATAGAAAAAGGGCACTCTTTTGTGCTGTTTTTTAAAAATAAATTTATTGTGGCTTCAGTCAAACCGTTGAGGTTGTAAAGTTGATAATGGTTGTCCCTTTGTATGGTGGCTGTGTGAATGCCTTATTCACAGATCACAATCTTCTGTCTTGTCCACTTTGAAAGTATTCCAGGAGGTGGTAAATTAAGTCTGAATGTCCACTGTAACATTCAAGCAAATTAGTTCTTCACCCCCTAAAAAAATTCTTAGCTTTTTCAGTTCACGTAAATATTTGTAAATTCACCATAGTATCCAGATGTGGGGTACTGTCCTGTCATGGTAGCAAACAGTGCAAGTATGCCTTCTGAACTCTGAAGGCCATTATATGGGTGCTGTAGAACAGCACAATGTTCATCAGGTATGTGATTGTCAGGAAATTCTGTCCGACATGCCTCAGGATTCATGTGGCAGTACAGCTGAGACTGGGCTTGTCAGTTATTTCAGTTTCAGGCTCCTGATAAGTTGTCTGAGAATAAACAATGATAAGTTTTTAGGAATTTTTTCAGATTCATTGATGGCAATCTGTAACATATTTTTAAATTCTAAGATTAAAGAAAATATTCTTTCTTTTTTTTAAGGTTGGTGATGTGCTCAGTGGGAATCTCCTTGAAGGAGAATCTGATGACTCAGAAGTGGAGAATGAAACGGAAGACAACTTTCTTCCATCTGAAAAACCAGCATGGGTGGATGAAGATGATGAAGCTGAGGAAAAGTAAGCAGCACTCATAGGCTATGTTTGCATGTCACAGTAATCCATGGTTAGTGGTTTACTTTGATGTGTAATGCACCTATTGTAAATTGACTCATGAAGTGTGGTGAAGCAAAGCTGTAGTTGTAAGCAAGTTGCATTGAACTCTGTGGGGCTTGTCTTCATCCTAACATATGTAGATTTGGGGTGTAAGCATCTTACATCTTGTGAGTGCAAGGTCAAGAGTCGCACGAGCAGATGTACTGTGACTTACCTTTTTCCTCTTCCCCCTGTGGGTCCCTATGTGTCCCCCAAACTTTACTCTGGAGGGGTTGTCAATCCTCCAGAGCAGACTTTGGGTGGCTGCAGGTTGAAGGAGAGTCACCTTTGCACAAGTGGAAGTCCATTGCATCAGTGCACAATTGGATACCACCCATCATCTTAACCATTCATTCTGAGTGAAGATGTTAATGTGTGTGCCTTCTGCACGTTTTTACAAAATATTGCCAGGCTGTCCACTTTTTGAGAGCTTTAGAAATTCTAGAACCTTATAGCTGATTTTAAAATAAACATTTTTTCCATTTCTTCCCCATGCTAATCCTGTAAAGTAGGTTAGGAAGAGGAAGTATTTTATTTATGGTCACTCTGTGAGTTTCATGGCTGAGTGATGATTTGAACCTTTATCTCCCAATCTTACTTTGGCACTCTTAACAACTCTATCACATTGACTCTACTATGTAATCTTACTATGTAGCATGAACTACATGCCACTGTTTCAAAATATAAGCTAGTCACTTGCTTTAATTTGTAAAGTGATCATCTTGGTAAAATTAATATTTTTACAGAACTGTACAAATTTAGCATGTGACTTTTTTCTCCTAGAATTGACATGGCCCATCGATATCGAAAAAACATGATGAAAAGTGATGCAGAAAAGAAGCTTACAAAGGAAAAACTTCAAAGAAGACTTCAAGAACAGTGAGTGTTAATGGTAACATGGACAAGAGGCAACCATCTTAAGAAAAATTAATTTTTGATTATTTATTTGAATTGGCATCAAAAAATGTTAGCATATAACCTCATTTTTGAAGAGGCCTTCCAATATGTGTTTTCTCAAAACAGACAATTTGTAAATTAATCTGAATTTTTGAAGATGTCTATATTTATTTCCGTACGTACTAAAATGCAAAAAAAAACCCCACAACAATTTTCTTTATGCAGCTATGAAGTTTTACTGCTTAATATTGAGAAAAGCGGAAATAGCCAGGATGATTCAAATTGAACTTAAAAGGGAAGGGCAAAAATGGCTGGGGTGCTTGGACACTTCGAAAGCATTTCCCTATTTATTGTCATAATAAGAGTCTTACTTGCAAGAGGTGGGGAGGGTTGAGGAAAATGTTTTTCTTCCTTCACAGTCCATCCTTTAAACAGCTTGCATCTGCTCTTGCATCACAAGGGGTGTATGGGTGTGTGTGAGAGAGAGACTATAAGGCTGTCTGTCCCTTTCTTGCCCTGCATCCCTCTCTTCATCAGATATTTAATGCTCATCATTCTTTCACCCATCTTTCAAAATTGTCTGGCATATTTACTTAAAATTTCTGATAGTTGTTTTTTACTTACCTCAATGGATAAGGTTGTGTGTGAAGTAACAGTTGTGGGTGCAGTACAGATTTGTCTTCCTTAGATTTCAGAGCGCAATGGGAGCAACCCCTTCCTGGGCACAGAGGGACAGGAAGAAGAAAGTAAGAAAAGCCAGCGATGAAGGTAAATGTGGGACTTTCTATAGCATGAACCAAAGTCAATAAAGTAATTAAGATGCAATCCTCTGCACATGTTCTGCAGAGAAAGTTTTTGGGACTTCTGATTAAGGAAGTCTCGCAGGGACTAATGTAGGAAGAACATCATGGCAAGGGAGAGACCAACTTGGCCTCATCCATTGGCTGTAGAAGGAGCAGCTACAGGGAGCTGGCTTCTCCTCAAGTGTATGTGGGTGTTTGTTCCCAGTTTCCTGGGTTGCACATCCCATTCCTTAACTCTTATTTTCTTTAACTGCTTATTTTGCATCTGACTCCAGTTCTTATCCTTGAGAATTTTAAGCAGTTCTTATTTTGCACTTGGCTTCAATTTGGTTGCCTTCAAGGTTCAAGTAAAAAACAAAGCAGATCACACAACCCTGAAGGCTGCCTACCCTGTTTTAGATTGTTTACCTGACGACGCAGACTGTCTTACTACTGACCGTTGCAAGCTGCTCTAAGAGACTAGGAGCAGGGTTTACGACACACTGCCTGACTGTATACTGAATAAGTTCTGACTTCTTTTCATATATTGCATTTAGCTTATGTTGCCACTTTTCATATGGCTGCACAGATAAAACAATACAATGTTTGAAATAATTTCTTTTTAAGATGACAGTGAAGATGAAGGGGATGAACTAATGCACAAGACAGGCAATTTCGTGACAGTGTCAGACTCCTTACCAAGAGGCTTTTTACAGGTAAAACAATCTTTCATTTTCATGCACACAATGTGTTTGTGATTAGAATTCATAGGCTTTGAAGCTGTTAAATATGAGAAAAACAACAGGTTTCAAGAGACCCTTCATGCAACACATTGAAAGCATTTTCATGTTTTGAATATTTAGTTGGCAAAGTTTTAAGTATGATGAAATAGTTATGTAGAGCTTCAACAGTAAAATAAAAAAATCATTGGGAATTTTCTCCTCTCCTGCAAGCCTGCTGTTAACCCTCAAAATCTGCTTCAGGTGGTTGGAGGACCATCTGGAACAGATTTTTGGGAAGTGTGAGAAGAGGAAGTTCCAGGTGTGAGCAGAACACCACTTGCACAGAGTTGAATACAACTTGATTTTATAAAAATTTGGATCGCTAATGCATCTCTAAACTAGGAAATGGAAAACTGCCTAGAACACTGAATGTATCTTAGGACAGAATTGGTAGCAAATTTGCTGAAATATATTTCAGTAGTGCAGACATAGGGTTGTGTCCAAAGCTGCTGTTTAACTTGGGCAGAAGATTTCTGTTTGCACACTTGAACCTTCTTCCCTGTCCTGAAGCCTCACACCCACCCTCAAAATCTGCTCCAGGCGGTTGAAGGACCCTGTGGAGCAGTTTTTGTGGGGGTATTCAGGGAGGAGCAAAAGGGGAGGTCTTATTTGGGTAGCTTAGTGCTGCTTGTGCAGTGTTGGATACTGTCATGAGTGCGTAGATTTTTCTTTTCTATACGTACTTAGTGGTTAGGCAGCTTCATAACAACCACACATGTTCCTGTTCTGCATTTTAGATGAAAAACTGCAAGTTTGCGAATAGTGAACGTCTGTCAGATGCAAAACTGACAACTGTGCAGTTCCATCCTTCTGCTCAAGTTATTATGACTGCTGGGCTTGATCGGTCTGTTTCACTGTTCCAGGTGAGGAATTATTACCTTATATATAATGCAATTGTTTCTGTTCTATGTTCTTGTATACTATTTTATAGGAACTGATTGGCTGAGACATACTTTAGACACCTATGTGGTGGTTGGGTGGGGTGGGGTTTAAAATTTGCATATTTAATACCAAACTTTAAGGACTGGAAACAGTCAAAAGTGCATGGAAGCAAGTGGGTCATCCCTATTGTTTGCAAAGAAGCAGAAGGAGTTCCTTGTTATGGTGGAGCTCCATATGGTGCAGTAGCAGGCAGAAGCAGCCCAATGTTTCTGTGGGACTCTGGGTTGCCATCAAATCAAGGAATTTAAATTCAAGACAAACAGGCATTCGCTAGTCATTACATTTGTATTTTAGAAATCCTCTTAAATATTGCCCATTCTGAGGTGAAAAATGAATGCATCTTTTTCTCTTTAAAGGTGGATGGCATCGCTAATCCAAAGATACAGAGCATTCATCTGGAAAGCTTTCCAGTGTACAAGGCACGTTTTAGTGCAGATGGAGAGCAAGTTATTGCAACTAGCATACACAACAAGCGGTTCTATATATACGACATGATGGCTGGAAAAATTATTCCTATAACCCATATCAGAGGTGAGGTTTCACTGCTTGCTTATATTTTTGTTCACACTGAATTTTAAGTAGATTCGAATAATGCTCAAATATAATTTTATTTTTTCTGAATTAGACATAAAAGATTTCTAATTAAATTCCTTCTTACTGTGTCACATGGCGGTAGAACTAGTGCCCAGTGTTCTTCCATGTCTTTGGAACAATGGCATCTATAAGAAAAAGAATAACCATTCAAGGAAATAACGTTCTATTATTCTTTATAAATAAGCACCCAGATTAAACCATAATTTATAAGCTAATAGTTAGCTTTGGCAATTAGCTCCTATATATATGTGCTAGAACTATATAACACATATTGTTTTTTTGAACTTAAGGTTTAGAGGAGAAGTTTATCAAAAATTTTGAAGTATCACCAGATGGAAGATTCCTGCTCCTTAATGGAACATCAGGCTATCTGCATTTGTTGACAATGAAGGTAAAATCTGCATTTGTTTCTGAAAATGAGCATTTTAAGTTCAAACAGCAACACAATTCTACCAGCAGAGAAGTTGTATCAGCTAGAGTTCATACTAAAAATGCATTTTAATACTAATATGGCAAATACGAACCACATAGCATTTTGTAGTCTTATGCTTCATGCAGGACTTCTGTGCTGCTCAACAGTAGCAATTTCAGCAGACAAGTCACAGGGATGGTGTGGATTTCTTGACTTTGATTTTGTTAAATCCAAATAGTGGTGGCAAATAGTTAAGTGGTTGATTATCTTTAGAGTTTTGTGTTGTAAGTGTCTCTTATTAAACAAGTCATCAGAATACTGTAAATGAGTAAGTCACTGGTGTGGTGGAGACTATAGAAGGAAAAAGATAAACCAAAGGAAGAAAGCCATAAATAACAGGAGGGAAATAGGGCAACAGAGCACCATATTAGGGAACACAGTGGTGTACTAAGAAATATATATATGAAAACACATTTGTGTGCACCCTACAAGTTTTCTTCCCCTCCTTTTTATGATGACTGTAGAAGGGCACATTCCTCTCATGAGACCAGACTCTTTCACTTTTATGATATTGTGACTACTTGTGTTGATCAGCAATTGCATTTCTATTTTAGACGAAAGAGCTTATTGGGAGCATGAAAATAAATGGGAAGTCTTTGGAATCATCTTTCTCTCCAGATAGCAGCAAAATCTACACGCATTCTGGTAAGTTAGATAAGATGTGGCATCACTGTATGAAGGTGTGCAATTTTTAGTGAAAGGAGAACTTTGTATAGCCTCTGTTGCAGCTGTTACAGTAGTAATCATCACAGGCTCATTTTCTGATTAGAAAGCACTCATAGCAAGATGCCTTAAGTTGAAACTGGAATTTGTGACCCAATACAACCTCCCCATAAACCATGAAACAGTTGTGCCTTTTGCTACTTACGATGTATGCATGTGAGTACCTATTTAATAGAAACTCACTATATAATAGTTATAATCTTTGAGTAGTGTATGGAGTTATTCCTTGCTGTGCTCTTCAGTTGTTCATAGTTTAGCAGAGGTCCCCCCCTTTAAATCCAGCATTTTGATGTCATATATTACTTCCTCTAAAAAAATTCCCTATTTGTCTCTCTGTCTGTCAGTTCAGGGTGAAGTTTTCGTATGGGATGTAAAAAGCAGACGATGCCTAAACAGATTTTCTGACGAAGGTTGTATGTGTGGTACATCAATTGCAGTCTCCAAAAACAACCAGTATGTGGCATGTGGGTAAGTGGAAGCAGAGCCAATATTTTAAGATATTTTATTTCTTGGATCATACCGGAAGGTTCTCTACTTCGAAGACACTGGAGTTGTCAGATAATTATGGGTTTAGACATGCGTTACTAATGTTGCAGCTCTCAGCATATTAAATCCACTTGATTTCAGTGGGACTTACTTTTGAGTAAACATTCTTAGTAATGTGCTATAAGAGGCCAAATTCAGAGGAGGGCAAAATCGACAAATAATTTAGTGGTGTATCTTTATATATGGTAACAAAATAACTTGCCAGTATGACAGGTAAACAGATTGCAAATGCTTTTTAGATCAAGTTCCAGGCTTTATCAAAGTAGTCTTCAGAAATATCTTATTTTTAGTCTGTGGTTGATACATAGAGAGCTCCCATGACTTGGAAGACTTGACTGAGTAAATATTGAGCAGCTTTTTGCCCTTAAATTCTGTAGAGCTGCCATGTTGCTTGCCTTGATTTAAAAATGGCTGTGGCTAATTGCTCCCCCTAAGTTACAGGTGAGCTTCTTGCAGCATATGTAGGAGTCAGCAATTGTGCTGCAGCATTCTGCACTAACTGCAGCTTCCAGAGCAAGCAGAAGGAAAGCCCCACATACAGTGCATTGGAGTAATCTACTTGAAATCACTTCATGCATGAACTACTGTGGCAAGGCTTTCCCAGTCTAAGAATGGCTGTAGCTCTCAAACCTCTTTCTGTAGATGGAGCCTCCCTTCTACAAACTTAAGCATAAATGTAGTAAAAAAATGCACTCTTTTTACTTACATGAATAAGATTTTATTATAGTTACGCATTAACATTTCCTCAGTATTGCTTATGGGAAATGACGGTCAGTACATCTGGAGAAACATAGGATCATGAATATAAATTGCTGAGTTAATTTAATTCTGGTTTAAGCATTTTATAAGCCACAAACTCTTTTTTTTCTAGTTCTAGTTCTGGAGTTGTGAATGTGTATGCTCAGGACGACTGTCTTAGGGAAACTAGTCCTAAGCCTCTTAAAGCTATAATGAACTTGGTCACACCTGCAACATCGTTATCCTTCAGTCCCACCACTGAAATATTGGCAATTGCTTCTAATAAAGTAGATGAGGCGGTAAAGCTGGTAAGAATTTCTCCTAAGTTTAATTCAATAGCTAAGTATTAATTCAATTCAATTTAAGCTGGAGTTTTCCTGCTTGTTCTTTTCAGCTCCTAAGGTGCTCCTCAGCATCCCAGCCTTGGATTCCCATGCCTACAGAGATCCCCTGTCCACCTCCCCTGGCCTTAATTCAGCAAAACAAACAAAAAACAGTTCCTCTTAGAACTATTATAACTAGGTCGCTTACTGGAGAATTTTTCTTCTGCTCGTGATTATCATTTTCCTTTACAGAAGTTTTGTTATTTGTCAACATTCTGTTGCTGACCACTTTACCTTGAGCGCTTTGCATGTCTGAACATTCTTTGACATCCTAGTTGCTCAAGTAATTGCAAGCTGCAAGCATTTTCACATACATAGAACAGACACACACGTTGCGTGGTTCTTGGATCGTGAGAATGTATTGAGTTTGAATAAGTCTTCTGGGAAATTACCAAAAATACGACAACAGAAAGACAGAAATGCCTATACTTTATGGTTTGAGGCAAACATTTCTCATTTTAGGAGCTTTATATGGGGAAACCTTTTCCTTTTCACCAGGTGCACACAGTCTGCCAATTTCTGTTTTGGAACAGGGGAAAATGAGAGAACCCCAAAACATCCATTTTATCATATTAGAAAAGCTTTTCACATTGCTAGCATTTAGGCGAAAAGTGGGATTTAGCTCCAGAAAAACCTAGATGTCACACAGCTGGTGGAAATGTCATGTGGTTCATATCCTGCAAGTGCAGGAACAGGCAGCCCACAAGGGGTGAGGATCAGCCCATGTAGTTGTAACTGTATATGCAAAATCTGTAGTTAGAAAGATCCTGGACAGGAAATTTTCTTTTTTATAATCACTTTTTATTAATACTTTTCATAAAGCCAAACTAATCTAGAGAAGAAAAGTAGGAAAAAAGGAAAAGAAAAGAAAGAAGAAGTGAAAGAGAATAAAAGACCAATATCTTAACCTTTATTCCACACAGAAGAGTGAACCCTCCCAGGTCTCACCTGGGAGTTTCCCCCTCTTCCTCCAGCCTCCCATCCTGGGAGATCCTCTGTACCAAAACTCAGGGAATTTCTAAAGCAGCTTGTAAATGGACAGATGCAGGGGAAAGGGTTAGAAAATCCTGCTAATTGTGCACAAGCCTTTGCTTAAGATAAAGTGTTGGGTTCAGAGTTATTGTCTTGAAAGTAACTGTAAAAATTAATGTTTGAAGGTTTATTTTCATGTTAGCCGCTCCGAGCCCTGTTTTGGCTGGGGAGGGTGGGGTATAAAAAAATATTATTATTATTAATTATATTATGTATGACAGTGAAGTATGCTTTCACTTACCCAGCCCCTCTGTTTCATTACCTTGCTCCACTCTCCTTCGCAGGTGCACATTCCTTCATTTACTGTATTCCCAAATTTTCCGGTGTTCAAAAGAAAGTTAATATACTTGGCTAACTCCATGGACTTCTCACCCAGAAGTGGATATTTTTCCATAGCAAATAACAAAGGCAAAGCTTTATTGTATAGGTACGTATTAAATCATGCTACTGCAATTACAGTGATACTTAACTCTTAGATTTCTTCAGATTTGTGTTATATTATTGACTGTGGGCAGTATTAATGTTAGTCATACTCAGAGTAACTAGTCTTAGTATAGCTTAGATGAATATTGCCTTTGATACCTAATAATAATAAAACAGGTTTTTATAATTTAACTGAGCTAGGCACAATTTGAATTTTCTTGCACATTCTTATTTCCCTTGTCTCTTTTAAAAACATACTTTGCTACTCTGTACCCTGATATGTTGATGTTAGATGAAAACATTGCCATAAAATATTAGAACCACTGTGGTATAATTTAGAAAGCTAAAGCAGGGTGCTTTGTGGTCTTGTAGTTGGGAATATCTCAAACTATTGCGTTTTAACTTTGCAGGTTGAAACACTACTCAGATTTCTAAACTGATGACTTTAGACTGAGGTAATTATCAACTGAAGTAGAAATGCTGCTGGAGAATTGCGGGCAATATAGTTTACATTTCCTTGTTACAATTTCAGAGTCAGAAAGAAATTCAGTTCATTGCAGTTTTGTATTGAATTTTAATGGTTAGTGAACTGTGTGCACTTATTTGGAATAAAGCACACTGAACTAAGTGGGCTTTCCTTTTGAGAATGTACGCACTGAATTATGCTACACAACAGCACATGCATTTGTAGTACAAGTATTTGTAGTCTGCCCTTCCTGCAAGGGTCCCAGCGTAGCAATCGATAACACTGAAATCACAGTTTACAATTAACAATAAAAATTAAAACAAATGTAAATCTTACTTGGTTTCACTGGACATTTAGTCCAGTGCTAGGTAAAGGGACCCCTGACCGTTAGGTCCAGTCACGGACGACTCTGGGGTTGCGGGTCTCATCTCGCTTTATTCGCCGAGGGAGCCGGCGTACAGCTTCTGGGTCATGTCGCCAGCATGACCAAGCCGCTTCTGGTGAACCAGAGCAACGCACGGAAACATTGTTTACCTTCCCGCCAGAGCAGTACCTATTTATCTACTTGCACTTGACGTGCTTTCGAACTGCTAGGTTGGCAGGAGCAGGGACCGAGCAATGGGAGCTCACCCCATCACGGGGATTCGAACCGCCGACCTTCTGATCGGCAAGCCCCAGGCTCAGTGGTTTAACTCACAGCTCCATAGTCTAGTGCTATTCATTGCTTAAATCCTTGCTAATATAACTGTTCATATTCTTAAGCATTAATTGGCTTTTTGGAGGATGCAGCCTTTTTCTTGAACATTTGCTGACTTGCTCTTCATACTCTTCTCTCTACAGATGGTGTACCCTGTGACTTTAAGAAAGTGGATTAACTTTTCTTCATTGCCTTGATGTATTTATATGTATGTGCATTTGTAGCAATACATAGCTTTTTGAATAACTTGGCAGAAACTCGTCTCTAATATTTCTCCATAACATCACCAGTGTTATTTAAGAGAACATATTTCATGAAAGTAGGGGCTAATCCACACATGCAGATGTAGGACAGCCTTAAAGGATGCACTAAAACTGAACATTCAAACATGTAATCCACCCACCCTCAATAGTCTGAAGCACTTGGTTTTTGATGAAATGTACCTAAATGGGTGGGTTACATGTTTGAATGGTGGGAAGAAGGTAAATACCATTTCACAGTGCATGCTTATGGAAGTGCTGCTGGAGCTGCTAAGTTGGACGTCTTCATGGGGAATAGGTCTAGTAGTGCCTGTTACATATGGTAACTAAGAGGGACTTCTGTCTTTAGAAGTAGCATACCTCTGAGTACTAGAATCTTACATATTTGACTACTTTCTCTCCTTCATGGGTTACATAACCTTGAGTTTAATCAGAGCTGTGGGAATATTTTGCACCAAGTGGGCATTGGAAGGCATCTAGTTTCAAGCTCAATAACAGTAGTGTAATACTGACCCCAAGTGGTCACTGGTGGATACTTAATTTCTTATCATTTGCTTACATTTTAAAGCATTCGAAAGACAAGCCAGCACTTTAAAAACACTGTATATCAAATAGTATATTTGGTCACTTTACCCCCATCATTTGACTTTCCCAAACCAATCACTATGGAAGTCAGACAATGCAAAATATGTTCATAATTCTCCCACACTGCCCTACATACCACACCTTAACTGAAAGACACAGTGCTAGTGATTTCAAATAGTGGTTCTTGGATAAAACAATTTATTGCAGTATTTTTATCTTGACAACAACCTTTCATAATATGGGTTAACTATGAAATGTTTTTTGGGGGAATCCTCCTTTAGATACTCATGCCTCAGATCATTTAAGACTCTGACCAGCACTTTTCAGACTCATTGGTAAATAAAGTACTTTACTTTTCTAATGTTTTATGTGTAAAGTGATAACACACAGTTTTCTTCTTCCTACCATCTTAAAGAGTAGGAATCAAGTACTGTGCCTAACACACTATGGTTATAAATACATTTCGGCATTTTATATATAAAACGTTTCCACTAAGACTTCCCAAAATTCTGGATCCACATGATATTTTCACTATGTCCATTCTAAAGAGAACCTAAAATGATGTCATCTTGTATTAAATGAATGATGTTGAATGTCAACTTTCATAAGAAACTAAAGAGTCTAGTGGCACCTCAAGAGACAAATCTGTTAGGGCACACAATTTTGTGGACTACACAAAGCAGACTGATGAATACATTCTTAACCTTGGCAATCCAAAGAGCTCAAGTTAGATATAAAAGAGCAAAGTTAAGGTTTGTTTCTTCACGTTACACCAAACACCATAATTAAGTCAGACTGATGCTTATCAGCTGCAAAACATCCAGTGTAAAACATATGCATCGTGGCTCCTCCTATTCATGCCTTTGAGTAAGAACACTATAAAATGAATACGAAGTGAATTCATGAATTCACTTCTCCCAGATGAAAAGGCCCATATTAAAGACAACTCAGCCCAAATGTGAAACCTGTGTTTTTCAGCCACATCCTGGGGGAGGGTGCAAATCCTGAGCTCAAATCCCAAATTGAAGCGGGGAAACGATAAGAAACAGCTTTACTGATGCTGATAAGCATCTCAAGAATAGCCTTCCTTGAACCACCTTCATCCTTATGATTTCATGACATTTCCGCAAGTTCTCCCACTGCCAGCCGCCCCGCCTCAAGAAAGGACACTGCCATCCATGAATCAATTGGAAACCGTTTCAGATCTTGAGGGTTGACAAACCCCAGCATGTGCTTTGGCACCATCTTTTTATGGGGTTACGTGACGGTATTGCAACCATGCTTCGTGCTATTCCAGCCTCAGAAGCCTATAGAAAAGTTGGTGTGAATAAGCCCAATTATCTCTGACAATACTAGGGCGCAGCCAGTTGCTGCTGCACCCGCCCGTGAGCGGAGCCCTGGTTATGGGGTGGCAGCTGCCTCGGTTCTCACGGGTGGGGCCAAGTCCAAACCCTACCGCGGGGCGAAAGCGGCCAATGAGCCGAGGGGAAGCCCCGCGCCCAGGTTCCAGCAACCAGCGGTTGCTATGGAGACGTGGCCCCTCTCCCTCCCCACCCCTTTCTCTCTCGCGCGCTCGCGGCCTCACAATCTGGTCCCCCTGACCCAGCTTTCCCTCAGAAGAGGATGCTCCTCCGTCGCAAAGCTCCGCCCCCTGTTGCCAAGGAAGTGAGGTCACATAATATGGCGGCTGGGGCTTAGCTGCGCTGAGGGAGGATCCGGGTCTCGGGGAATCTGCGTCCATCCTCCCCACCCGAGGTGCGCTGTCGCCCCCGAATCCCTCCGGCGTCGAGAGGCGGGGCTAAGGGCCGCGATGGTCTCTGGCGTCGCCCTGCTCTGAGTCAGGGTCCCTCGCGACTGGGTCCGGGTCCTGCCGAGCCGCCTCGATGGAGTTGAGAGTCGGGAACCGGTACCGGCTTGGCCGGAAGATCGGGAGCGGCTCCTTCGGGGACATTTACCTCGGTGAGGGGGCGCCGCTCTGGCATGAACCGAGAGGGGGTTGGGGAAGGGGGGGGCGCGACGACGGCCTGAGGGAAGCGGCTGTCTTTGGAGAAGCGAGGTCGGGGGTCGCTTTGCCTCTGGCGCTCTGGTGGGGCCTTCAGGTCGCGGCCCCCACCCCACCCCAAGCGGACTCTGCTTTCCCGTGAGGTGACAGAGGAACGCCCAAGAAGCGCATCAAGCCCCGTAGCGGGAAGTAAAAGCGTCGTGTCCCTCGCCTGCTCAACCACCGCAGTTACAGTCATGGTTTACTCGGAAGGAAAACCTGGGTATTGCAGGGAGACTGACTTCAGAGCAAGCGTGTTTACAGTTAGAGCCTTGGCTCGACACTGGGGGGAAATGAGGACTGGGAGAGCCCCAGTAGTGCCCAGTTACTTCCTTTGTGACCTTGGGCAAATCGCTCTTGTCTCCTTTCTCTCCTCTCTCTCTCCCCCCCCCCTTTCTTCCCCACTTCTTTTATTTGGCTTCTAAGCTGGGGTGGGAAAAAATTCCTGACTACATGTTTCTGGGCCGAAGGGTTCTGACAGTGAAGTATGAGGTTTGGAAATGCACCAGCTGTCGGTGAAGAAAAATTAATAATACTCAGATGGAGTTGTTTACTGTGAGGCTTCCAGGAAGTAGCCTGGTTTGAAAGAGATTTAGGTTTAGGTTATTTTTTGCAGAGTAACTCTTCTCCTTTTGTCACTTGTCATGTCTGCTATAGCTTTTAGCTGAATTGTCACATGGGGAGAAATTACAGGTTTTGCGCTGCTTTCTGGAACTAAGGCACACCTGGTTATTTTCAGCTTAGTCCCCTAATTTTGATGGCAGTGTAACTGTGAACCTGAGCCAGAGGCCTGCTAACTTACATCTTTGGTAATAAATCTTTAATAGACCCTGAGGGATGATGTGGATTTTCTCCTGCATTTTGTATGTTGTAAGCTAGTCTAGGTGTCGCCTTTCAAATTCATAGGCTTTATGCAAAGGTAAGCCAGAAAAAAAAATCTGATAGATGAAACTGACGCTGGCAAACAGTTAATGGTTCAATCCTGCAAAGGCATATGCCTATGCATTGCAGTATGCATTGAGTGGCTGTAATGGGACTGCTGACTGTGCATGCTGCTATCTATACAAGGGTGTAAGTCAATCCAAGTCTGAGCTCCTGCGTTTAAAAATACACTAATTTATGCATGTCAGGAGCAGTGAGACCAGTTGTGAAGCCTTCTTAATTCTTGTTAATTGAGAGGGTCCCCACCCTCTTGAAATCTGCTTCAGTGCATGGCTGGCCTTTAGAATATGGATGTGTTAATAACATTAAATAACTTGTGTACTTCTTTGTTCTTCACTGTTGGGGGGGCAGATGAGAACAGCTAGCACTTTAGTTTTGAATCATTGTACTCTAAAACTGGACATCTGTTTTCAAAGATTGTGGGAATGCAGTTTTCTAGAATCTTAGTGTCACCATCCTTGGTGTTGGTTTTGGCCTACTGATAAAGCTACTTGAGAACAGTTTTAAGGTATTTCTCTACACTACAGGATCATTAGCTATCTGAGAGTTATGAAGTACAGCAGTTATTTTGGAGCTATATATAAGGGTGCGGCCCCAGAAGGAGAAAGGTCGTGCTGTGGCAGCTCCACCTATGGGAGCAGTAGTTAAAGTCGTTGTGCAGGTTAGGAAACTTTGTATATAATCAGAGGAGTTGTTTTAGTCCTGTTCTTAATAACATAGTCCATCTGGCTGTCAAATGTCAGGCAGATGTTTCTAGTTTATGTGAGGAGGAGCTACCTATTTGATTATTTTCATTTTGAGAATTATGTACAAGAGAGGCTGCAGGCATCACCATATAAAGATGGTGTGTCAAATAGGTATTAAGCACATACATATTTTGGCCATGTGTATGCAATTCGTTAGAATATCAGCATCCAAATAATGAGTCTTTAAATTGTCATACTTTTGAAACAACAGAGAGTAGCTTAAAACAAAGCACTGAAGATGGTTAAATGTTTAACCATTGTAATCCTTGAAAGAAAGAGAAAATCTGCCCAAATGTCTAATTCTGGGACTTTCCCCTAACACAGTGAAGTCTTTGATGCCTATAAGTGAACTGGTTTCCACGTCGCAATAAAGCATATTTAATGTTTAACCACAGTTTATTGCAAATTAGTAGTGGGTGCCTGCTGATCAAAGCTTCCTGCTTTGTTCGTCCCTTGCTGTTGGCCATACTGCTCTGGGAGCAATAAGGCACAAGCTTTGACTTGTATATTCAGACCAGTTATTGTGGTTTGCTTCTCTCCGAACAAATTATAAGAGGTAGCCAAGGTTTATTCTTACCTTACTACTCATGGTTTGTTTGGGGGAAACAAACTTTGAGCCCAGGTATAGGCAGCACAACAGTCCAAGGCTTGTAGCTTCTTGTAGCAAGGAACATGTGAAAAATGAAGCAGGGACTCCTGAGCAGTGAACACGAGCACGTTGGTCAGTTGTGTTAAACCATAGTTAAGCATTGGTCTCTTGTAAGAATATTTCCCATACTCCTTTATGTATTTAAAAGATAGATAGATACCTTGCCCTCTCACCAATGATTTCCAAAGCAGCCCTTGTAGGTACAATACAATTAAGCTATACTGAAGAAACATTTGTGCTCACTTAGAGTATCGGTATGTTACAAAATCTTCCCAACACAAGATCCATTGTTGCACCCATGGAATGATGGGACTTGCTCTTAGCTGTTCTGCTGTCACTCATGCCTTCCAATCTTCTCAGTTTGTGGAGAGGTCCCTAACCCTCCAGAACAGATTTTGGGTTGGGGGTCACCCAGGAGACTTCAGAGAAGAGAGGAAGGGGGAATCGGTTGCACAGGCAGAGCACAACAGTTGGATATTGCCTAATAGCTTTGGTGAATAGTCATCTTGCTCTGTAAAAACTTACATATTGTATTGAAAAGTAGATCCTAGGAATCCTTGAGTTGAGTTCTTCTGGAACAGCTTTTTAATGTATGGAAGTATAGCTCGCACTATCAGTGTTACTCTGCTGCATCAGCAAGACCAATGCTGTTATTTCTTTGTATATGTTGTAGAGGTCAGTTGGCCTTTGTTACTTGGTTTGAGGCTGTAAGTAGGTATTCCAGATAATCCAGTGCAAAGTTCTGTCTCTAGATAGGAGATGTAGGGGTTTCTCAGCTTCTGCTAGTCATAAAATAAATGTTAATGTCTGATAGGAAGATCTTGAGGTTTTTGGTTTTTCAGTGGTGTGGATTCCTTTTATAACAGAAGTAGTTTTTGCCACTTCTTAGTCAGGAAGATCCCAACTCCTCCTATTGTAGCAGAAGCCGTGAGTCCCATGGCAAATTAGTATTGTGCATTAATTTGAAAATATAGCTAACAACTTCATTTGGTGAAATATATCTTACATAGACATGATACTTATCCCAGAATTTGACCTTTAGCCAGCTTCTGTTTTCTTAAGAATTGTGAAATGTTGCCCAGTCACTAGAAACTTTTTTTGGCAGAAAATGTGCTTACCTAAGAGAAGCTTCCTTGCTCAGGAATCTGTACCTAACTGTGCATGGTTGCAGCTGAGCCCCTTCTTAAGTGAATAAAGAACAAATTGCTTATGGCCTGTGGTTTTTGCTTAGTGGAGTTAATATTTTATGTACTGTTCTAAAGATAATATGCAGTAAAATGGCTTGACCCTTTTAAGCAGCATACTTCTTCCTAGTTCTCCCCTATATAAGTACAATATAGAAGGGTTAATATGGGACATATTAAAGAAGACTCCCTGAGTGAGAGAGTGCATGCATGCACAATGTGTGTGCACACCATGTCACAGTCTTGATATACAGTGGTACATCTGGTTGCGAATGGGATCCATTCCGGAGGCCCGTTTACAACATGAAAAGAGTGCAACCTGAAGCGCCGTATCTGTGCAGGTGCGCGGCACGATTTGGCGCTTGTGTGCATGTGCGAGTGGCGAAACCCAGAAGTAACCCTTTCCGGTACTTCCGGGTCGCCACGGGACGTAACCTGAAAGAATGTAACATGAAGCAAACGTAACGAGGTATGATTGTACCTAAAACCAAGTTGTATATTGTAACACTACTGTTGCATTCATTCTGGTTAAAAAAAGTTAATCCCTTGTTACCTCGGATATTAACCTCTCTCTCTTAGCCAAAATCATTATGTGTATAATGTAGTCTGTATGTGAAACACTGGTGCTACATGCAAGAGCCTTCCAAATAAAATCATGTTTAGAAAGGGGAGACAGTGTTTTAAACCAGAAGGCTCAGCTAAATCAAGATGTGAACCTGGAGAAGTCATTGTGCTGTGTGCAATCCGTCGCTTGTCATTGACATTTCCTGTGTCTTGTATGCAAGTGGGCCTGCCTATTCACGCGCGTGGAATGTCCTTATCAGCTTAAAGGCATGCCATACTCGTATGTTCTCTCTCCTCTTGCATTTCGTCTGCTCCCAGACTTAGATGAGACTGAAAGTAGACTATTTTTTCTTTGTTAATTACATGCTTGTCTATTTATTTCATAAAATTTATGTGTACCACTTAATTGTTAACAAAAAACCTCAAAGTAGTTTACAAAGGGAATAAAACAATAACATTATCAGCTCTATAAAAAACAGCTCTATAAAACATTTGAAAGATAAAATCAACTATAAGCTAAAAACATACATCAACATTTTTCATGTAAGAATGTGATTGTTTAGTGTGGCAGTGCCTACACTTTGGAATTCCCTGCCTATTGAGATCAAGCAGGTGCCTTCACTGTACTCTTTTTGGTACCTGCTAAAAATGTTTTTGTTTAAACAAGCCTACCCTGATGCTTAGAAAGTTGAGGTAATTTCAGTCTGCTTTAGCATTTTAACTTTTATATGTTTTTAAGTATGGTTGTGAAATTTCCTTGATTTTACTATTTTATCTTTTGTAAACTGCTTTGAGGTTTTTTACAATCAAGTGGTGTATAAATTTTATGAAATAAATAAATTCCCTTTGACTTGTGTATATTAAATAGGACATAATCTGCAGGTGCTCATGATACTGTAGTACAGTACATGCTGCATTACAAAACGCAACTTAGTGGATACTGAGAAATTGAGTAATAAGAAACCTATTGAAATCATTGTTTATAAATTAAGGAATTGCTTTTGCACACAACAGATGAATGTAGAATCTTAACCATCATTTTAGAGCCCTTATGTCCCATTGATTTTGATGAAGAGCTAATGTGTGAATGGGCTTGTGGACAGGACTTCATCTTCTTATCTTTCCCCCCTGCAGCCAGCTGCGCACACCCTAGGTTTCTCTGGAGACTCCCCCAAACCTCCAAAGCAGTTTTTGAGGGTATATGGCATGGGAACTGCAGGAGGGAGAAAAGAAAAGTCCAGTTGCACAAGAGGAAATCTGTTCTGCTCACTTGCAGACACCCTTGGATACAACCCACTGTGAAATCACTAAGACTTAAATGGGCTTAAGTTTGCCTAGATTGTATCCTGTTTACGCGTGGGTTATGTTCCCGGGCACCGCATGCATCAGTGAAATTGTGTATAATTAAAACCCATTGAAAAAGCCTGCAAACACACCATTCCACCTCTGCCCTGCCCGTGTTCCACCCTTTTAGAGATATTTCACTGATGTCTTTATGACATTTCTGGGTCATACACATATTGAACATGTAAACAGGGCTGCCTGTAATGTATAGGTGACACTACCAATGCAAGTTATATCAGTTCAAAAGCATGAGGGGAATGCACATGCAGTGTTAGAAATTAGCTAGGCACCAGGCGCATTTTGCTCCTGATGTGGGTACAATTGCAACCACGTGGAGATCTCTAGATGCCAGGTTGGCGACTGACATCTCCACCTTTTTCTCCAAGGCTTGCATGGTTCACCCCCCTTCTTGGTTATTCCGTACAACTATCTTGTGATGCCAGCAACTGTTACACACATTGCCAGGGTGTATAAGCAATTTCTTTGGTTACTTCATGTTTGATAGTCTTGGATTTTGAAGTTGTGTTTTCTTCTCTCCTTTAGGGACTGACATTGCTGCTGGAGAAGAGGTTGCCATCAAATTGGAATGTGTGAAAACCAAACATCCTCAACTCCATATAGAAAGCAAAATTTACAAAATGATGCAGGGTGGAGGTAAAAATTATCTGTGCTGATAAGTCATATGGGTACTAATGTTCTAGCTATAAACTGAAGAAGGCAGATAGCACTGCATATGTGCACAAGTGATTTCATGGTTACCTTCCTGCCATGCATTGGGGAGCTACAGCAGTAGAATCCTAAATGTGCTTTCTTAGAAATAAGAGTAGCACTGAGTTCATTGAGTCTTTAATCCTAAGTAAGTATGGGTGGGACTTCAGTTTTCATTCTCAATGTTCTAATAAGGTAGGCTCTTGTTTACACAGGGGGTTGTGAGGCTGACAAACAATTGCTTCACTAAGAGTTACCCTCTGAGCCCGTGGATTACCAACACTACCTCAACCTGTCTGCTCATTACTTAAATGCAAATCAAGTTGTTGTTTATCTGTGACATATTTCTGAGTTGTAATGTTAAAAGAAAGGAACTCTTGAACTGTAGATCATGAACATGAGAGGTTTTCAATCACACAAATGAGATATATATATTATTGAAATTATGTTCTGACAGTAGTGTCAATCCTGGTTTGACAATCTTAAAACTGGGCAGATCCTTTTACTTAAAGGCATGGTCTTTGCATGTGATACCATATAGGCAAGATACCATTTCACTCTTGAACTTTGTGAGAAGCTTTCTTGTTTGGACCTATACTTTTTCTCAGTAATTGCAAACTGCTTTTTATAGTTTCAGAGGCACAAAAATTATTACATTTGTTTTGCTATAACCTTGAGTGTGGATCTGTTAACTGACAACAGTTAACTACATGGGCATAGTTCTTGCAAGTCTTGTAATTTGCTACTCATTTCGGATGAGTAGCATTGTCCATTGCAGAGTACCTGAATGTGCCTTCCCCAAGTTAGGCAAATATACTCTGGAGATGGGGTTCAGCAGATATCATTACAGTTCTGCATTGTGTTACTCTAGATGATGCATAAATAAATGTGCTCTTACTCATACAATCTTGCAATGCTGGAGAGAGAAGCCAAATGCAGACCTGGCACAGTTCCGCTCTGTGCTGGTAACCACTGAGCCAGCTGCTTGCATGATTCAGACTATTTTAAAGTAGGGGTGGGAAATCAATGTTTCTGGACTACATCTCTCATTATCCCCTGCCAATCACCTTGCTAGCCAGAGCTGATGCAACTTGGAGTCCAACAACACCTGGAGGGTCAGAGGTTACCCATCTCTTGTTTAAAGTGTTCTTTATTCTGATCTTCTAGCTTTAATTACCTAGAATTACGACATAGTAATATCAGTCAGAGTGGGGAATGCAGGTAGTGGTGAAAGAATTGAGCAACTCTCAGAACTTATTTGGGGGGAATCTTCTGAAGCTGTAACCAAGGGAACCTCATAATTTCTGAGCCCAGGTTAAACAGCACAGATTTAAAATGTCATATGCAAATATGCTATAAAATATTTGTTGAATTCTGAGTATTCATAGCTACTGTAGACTAATTTGATGTCTGATAGTTAGGATTCATAGCACAACAATGGTCTTTCCCTCCCTTTTGGCTTCTTAATAGGGAGTACTTGTACTTAGATAGAAGGAGAAGATCACATCCCATTGGAAGCACATCTATACAAGGTGTCCCAGGACCTTCCTCCAGTTCCAGTCTCTTCCCCCCATCTCCTCCCCCCCAAATGCATACATTTTTCAGGAAGAAAAATGTGCTGTAATTTAGATAATAATCTGTGGGTGTGTCATACATATTTTGTGCAGATACCTTCTGTTTTCACAAAATACTATAGTAATTTCCCCCCTTTTTTCTAGTGGGCATTCCCACAATCAAATGGTGCGGTGCTGAAGGTGACTACAATGTAATGGTGATGGAGTTGTTGGGACCAAGCCTTGAAGATCTCTTTAACTTCTGTTCAAGAAAATTCAGCCTCAAGACAGTCCTTTTACTTGCTGACCAAATGGTATTAAAATCTTTGCATGTCTTGATTATTGGGTAGGAGGGCTTCCTTAAATCCTCTCTGCATTCTATAAATAATTGTCTTATATGGAACAAAATTTGGGACTCCTTTCTTTCAGAGGGCAGGTAGAAAGCCTACCACTTAAGCTATTCTCTTCATATACCAGAAAATAAAATGCGTCCAGTACAAATAATGCTTTTAAAGTTATTTTTGCCAGTGTGAATCAGACCAATTTAGCTGCAGTGGGAAACATGCTTGTGCTTCTTTAAAATACATACTTTTTCCAAAATGGATTGTTCTCAGGCTGTGTAGTTAGTGGCTGTTGGGCTGGATTCTAAAGCATTCACCCGTTTCTAGTGTGTTAGGCTACATTCCTTATCTATCTCTTGACATGAGGGTTTGCAATTATTTTAAAAGCTAATCTTTCCCTCAAGGGGTAACAACAGTCAACACATCAAGTTTTACAGATTCTTCAACTTTATGTTAGGATCAAGTTGCAGAATCTGAGCCTATATGTATTTAAAACTTTGCTGCCACAAAAAATTGGCCAGTTTATGCATAATAAATAACTTCCTGAAAATGTTATATAAATCAACTTGTGAATTGTTCTTCCAAAATAAGTGTGAAGACATTCTTGGTTTGTACTTCTGCACAGACATAGAAGACAATAAGAACTAAATATGTCCGCGAATAATATCTTCTCTAATGGCTATTAGGATGTCTGTATGTGTGTCCATTTTTAAACCTTTAGGTTCAGAAAGGTTGAAGTAAAACAGCAGGACCGTAAATATTCCAGTTATGTGTACTGCTACCATTTGAAGCATCTGGAAACCATGCTTTATGCAAGCAAGTGGCACTGAAATGATATAGCAATGGTGCTAGATGACGCCAGGGTCAGTAGTCAGACAGTTTGGGCACTGGCTGAGGCTCCCAGGGGCTTGGAAGAGAGCCCCTCACTGGACCAGCCGCAGCACCATTCACCATCTTCCCTGCTGGACCCACCAATATTTTTCAGCAGTACACAGTGTTTCTGCTTTTAAATAGGAGCCAAGCTTACCTTTCACCCTCAGTGGTCACCTGCCATTTTGAAGTTACTCAGAGTGTATTGTCTTGCCTTACTGATTTTGTAGGTCTATAGGTAAGGATTGGGCCATGACCTGATTGGAAGTAGATATAGTGAGGGCTCATTGTTGGCACTATGCCAAGGGCTCTCTGGCTTCAGCCTTGGAGGCAACTATTGGTCTAATGTAGTAGTACTGCTGTTACAGCAAAATCTTTAGAGCCAAAACTCAATCTTACCTAGTTGAAGATCCTTGGAGGTTTTTAAGCAGATGTTGGATGGCCATCTGTCATGTAAGCTCTAGTTGAGATTTCTGCATTGCAGGGTGTTGGACTAGATGTCCCTCAGGATCCCTACACAGCTCTTTTTTGGGGGGTAGGGATGTCACCCTGTCAGTGCCCAAAGTGAGATCCAGTTAAGACATTAATTCTTGCTTCATCAAAAGACCTAGGAGGAAAGCCACTTAGACTGCAATCTTATACACACGTACCTCGCAGTAAATCCTATTGATCTTAATTAGACTTACTTCCTAGTTGTCATGTGTACAGTTGCACAGTTAGAAACAAGTTAAACTGGCTTGTGGTATTTTAAAAAGGGGGTTAAGTAGAATAAATAATGCAGGCATAATAAAGCAAGCAAATAGCTTTTAAGCTTAAACGTTATCAAAGTAGGATTTTAGTATTAAAGCCCAATATAAAGGAGCAGCTGGTTGTTTTTGAAAGGTTTTATATGCTGTAATTCTGAAATTATGTCTTTCTGCAATTAGATTAGCCGAATAGAATACATTCATTCGAAGAACTTCATCCACCGAGATGTAAAGCCTGACAACTTCCTGATGGGATTAGGCAAGAAGGGCAATCTTGTCTATATCATAGATTTTGGGCTGGCCAAGAAATATCGGGATGCTCGAACGCACCAGCACATTCCATATCGTGAAAATAAAAATTTAACAGGAACCGCCCGCTATGCCTCTATCAACACTCATCTTGGAATTGGTGAGCTGGTAGCAGATTATTTTGGTTATTGTTGTAGGAATGTTCATGCAATAAGACATCTGGATAAAATAAATTGTTCTGGCTACCATTGAAAAAAGGGGGCTTTGATCTGGGAGTGAACCCTGTTGAATCCAGTAGGACTTATTTCTGAATAGATGTTGTTAGGATTGTGCTGTATGTGCATCAGTGAAACAAATCAAATGGTCATGCTCTCTAATGCATGTGACAGCCTCAAACAAGATGTTGGGAGTGTTTCATCCAATAAACTTCCATTGGGATAGCTTGGTAGATTTTTTCTTGGGGTCAGACTACCATATATGGGATCGAGAAGAAATTTCCCTTCAGGTCAAGCTTGTAAAAGTTATCTCAGGATTTGTTTTGTTTCTGTTTGCCTCCACTTGCATGCAGACATAAAACTTGCCTTGCTAGAAGCTGTTTCCAATGGCACAACAACAAAGAACTTTACCATAAAGAAGATTATAGTCCTGAGAGATATGGGTTGGAGAACACTGTGCCTTTCACTGCAGCCTGTGTCAAGAAATTGTGGCTAAGCTTGCAACTTGGCTCAGTGGTGTGAATCATCGTTAGCAGCTTTCTGCAGTATGTCTGTTCTTGGCACTGTGGCTTGAATTTCCTTGGTTGATTGCAGGGCTCCACAGATGTCTTTGCACCCCTCCCCAGAGTTCTCCATGAATTTCAGGGGATGCTTGGGGAGAGGTCTCCTCACACTAGCATGGTAGGAGCAGCATTCAGAGACTGTAAAAGGTTCAAGCAAAATGAAATAAGATCCACCTTCTCTCCTCAGTTCAGAGGATTTGGGGCAGGAAGGAGCCAGAAGCAACTAAATCATGGTTGCCTTTACACTCAAAGCTGTAAAACCCTGGTTGATCGGCAAGTGTTGTGGGTGAATGATTCTGTATTTCTGTTGTGGTATGGACCTATATGGCCATTTGAACAGTTTCCAGTATGGGATTCTTTAGGAATAATTGTTGGATAATTGCAAGAGTAAACCATTTTTCATACTGATTTTATTGGCAAGGTTTAAATTAACTATTTAACAATGTTTTTCTTGCAGGTAAGATCTTTGTTGTGTAATTTTTGCTTTAAGCATATTTGAACCATTTCACCAGATGATAGAACCTAATGGCTCCACTCTTCTACTCCTTGTAGAACAATCTCGCAGAGATGACTTGGAGTCCTTGGGCTATGTACTCATGTATTTTAACCTGGGCTCCCTCCCCTGGCAGGGATTGAAGGCAGCTACAAAAAGACAGAAATATGAACGCATCAGTGAAAAGAAAATGTCCACACCCATTGAGGTTTTGTGTAAAGGATACCCTTGTAAGTTTATTCTCTGAAATAGATGTCTTCAGTATTGATTTCAAAGCTAACTGTTCAGTGAAACTTACATTAACTTGATGTTACATTTTCTGTTACCTCTCTATCTTAGAAATTATTCTAGCTCTTATTTGTATGTACTAACGCTTTCTTGTTATTTGGTTAAAATTTCATTTAATGGTTAAATGAAGGTATGTTGTTTGGCTGCTTTGTAAACAACTTCAACACCCCCCCTTTTTTGTGCTCCCCTCTTTCCAAGGTGCTGCATATGTATGGATTTTTCTCTGTCTACACTGTTTGGTATTCAATGAGCAGCTTACCATGATGAACAAATGACTTACATGTTCAGTCAGCACATGTTCAGTCACAGTGCATAAGTTACCAGTCGTTGCTTTAAAAAGAAATATCTCTCTCTCTCTGTTTTGTTTGTTTTATTGCATTTATGAATTACAGTTATATTGTACTTTTCCTCCAAGGAACTCGGTGGCATACATGATTGTGTCCTTTTTATCCTCACAGCAACCTTGTGAGACATCTTTGACTGAGAGACAGTGACTGGTCCAAAGTCACACAGCTTCATAGCTTGAGTGGGGATTTTAACCCTGATCTGCCAGATCCTAGTTCAGCAACCTGCTAACTTTTGTACCATACTTAATCTTTCTATTGTTTATACCACTGTGGACTAGAATAGGGCTCTCTACACTCCTCTGCAGGTTGCCTCTGCCGTTGTAGCCTAGTAATTTCCCTGACAGTCATGAAGGATTGTGCTGCATGTGAAAAAAAGCATATCACTTCCTGATTACATATGGGAAAAGCAGTTCACGGTTCTGTCACCTTGGTTACTATGAGAAGCATTGAGCCAATACTTTGGAAAGCAGATGAGCTGATGAATCTGTGCTGGATATTGTTGTTTGCACTGACTTTACAATAACATCATCAGGATTTCTCATTTCTTTTTAGCTGAATTTGCTACATACCTGAATTTTTGCCGCTCGTTGCGTTTTGATGACAAACCGGATTATTCATATCTAAGGCAATTATTCAGAAACCTCTTCCACAGACAAGGCTTCTCCTATGACTATGTATTTGACTGGAACATGCTGAAATTTGTAAGTAGTCAGTACTTGCTAACTTAATTTTTTTTTTAATTGTGGAAAACAGAGTGAGAGCTTGATATCTGACATTAAGTGCTGGAGGTGAAATAATATATTTCACAGTGCTTGTTCATGTTTGTAGCAAATGGCAGTTTGGTGTGAACTGTTACAAGCAATGAAACTGAAACCAACTTTAGCTTTATAACAGGACTAGTGGTTAAAGTATCAAACTGCAAATCTGTGAGCACTCACCTGGGAGTAAGCTACATTGAAACAGGGCGACTTGCTTTGTAGTAAACAGGCTTGGGATGCCTCTGTAAATCCTTGAAGACTGGGGATCTATATATATGAGTGGCAGCTAGCAATGTATCCAATTGTAAATAATCAAAGCTGATGATCTGATGTTGTCTCATTCCTTGCCTAGCTGTAAGAGGTTGTGCACATTTACCATAATCACTCTGGGGGACCAAATGGGTTCTCTGGGTGTTGTCTTCAGCTATTTTATAATTTGTAATGACCAGAAGGTATGGAAGCTGTAAGATAACTGTAGAATGACATTAAAATTTATGATATAACTGCATTACTTTGGTGGTCAGCTTGCGGTCACTTACCTTGTAGCAAAAACTTGGAAGCTTTGGAAGGCTTCGTAATTAGCAACCGTACTTCCAAAGATAGAAGTCACATACCCAAAGAGAAGACATAAATTTGTACTGCATTTGCAGGCTTTCAGTACTCACATTTTGTTTAGATTTTTTGATTAGCGAGAGATCCTATTTTAAAACAGAAAAAAAGCCTGACATTTTGTATTTACAGCAAGACAGACGAGAAAGAATAAATATTGTATGCTTGTGACAGTGGCTCTAGTTGGATTTCCAAAGTGTTTTTTGTTTCTTCCAAAAGCAAAAACCTTGCTACCTTTTCTAGTTTTTATTAACAAAACACTATTTGGATGTTGGGTCTGTATATCTATGTGTAGGTGCATTCATTGTTAGAGAAATCAATAAGTTTGGTTGGGGATTTAGGATTAAAACAGGATGGACTCTGACCTGGTTGAGAAGCAGCATACAGAAAAAATGGTAAAGCTCACCGCTTAGCTACTAGAACAAGCATTTGCAATGTTTTGCTTTCACATGTAACCACAAGCTGCCTAGAACAGGGAAGTATTGCTACGCAGGGTAAACAGTTTCTTTTAGAAAAATTTGAAACATGTTGAAACTTTTGCTTGTACCTTCCATTTAATTTTAAGGAAGTGAACCCTGTACTTCACGTGACTATGCATAAAAATCTTTTGAAGTCTACGTATCGGCAGAGGACTCTCTGACTCTCATGGGGTCAGAGACCACTCTCTCAGGTACTTGAATAAAGAGCTAAGGTGAATCTCTCCATGGTTTCTGATTTACACACACATATATGATTAAAATAAAATTAACTATGTTTTTTAAATATAAAGAACTCAGTGTGTATGAGATGTTGCACAGTAATTGGCATATGCATTTCATACTCCTGAGATTCAATATACCATTCTTTGTGAGTTGCATCCATCTTTCGTCCTTCCCTAATAGACTCTGTCTATTGAATATCTGTATCTCAGTGTTAGTCATTCTTCTGCAAATGTGATACAAGTTGATGTCACACCATTCTGTTCCGTCTGGAGCATGGTTACATTACAGACCAAAAGGAAAAAAAAACTGCCTTTGGATCAGTTCAGTACATTTTAGGTTTGCCAAGGCATTTTGATCCCTGAAAATCCACTCTGAGGCAGAAGCCTTGCTAGAAGGCCATGTGGTGTGACTTGTACACCAGTTCTTGGAACCAAAGCTGGTCTATATTGATCTGTTATACTCATGTGCAGTCACATTTCTTCATGATAATGAAGAAATATTTTGTACATCATTCACACCATAGATCATAGGGGTATCTTTTCAGTGAGATAGTTCATCATCAGGTAATTACTTTATTCTGTTAAGAATTCCCTATTCTGCCTGCCTTTTTGCAGTTTCCAAAAGTGTGCCTAACCCCCTCTCAAAAGCCTGGGCAAAGAGCTGTGTCTTCACTTGTCGACCCAGCAGATAATATTGGTGCAATATGTGTGTCAGCAGGGAGGAAGTCATCCCATAGGTGAGGAGCCACCACCAAGAAGGTCTTATGCACCACAACCACCTAACCTTCACTTGGTGATGGAAGCACAAATGCGACCTCCGCTACAGATGTTAATGACCTGGTAGGCTGATAGAGAAGGAAGTGTTCCTTCAGGTATTTGGCCTCCAGGTCCCTTGGGGCTTTAAATGTGGCAGCAAAGCACCCTAAACTGGCCTTCAGAATAATTTGTTAGCTGCTTAGGACCAGTGTTATGAAGTCTCCCATAATCCATTTTGTTTCTGAACCATTGATTTCCAGTCCAGTTTCACACTTTCTGTTTCAGCTGTTGCATTTCCCTCTCTAATTCTATTGTAACATTAGTAAATATTATGCAGACATCAGGAAAAGGCAAAACGTGTTAGGTGATAACTTGCTGGTGTTCATTCCACACTTGGTTTTGTTGTTTTATTTAACAGTGACTTCAGAACTACAACACATGGGTTTCAGGGAAATTGTTGCTTTGCTTCACACTTTTTGCGAATAAGAATGCAACATGGATAGTGATCTCTGTAGTACGGTGTTTGTTTGTTTGATCAAGCAAATTGTTAAGCATTTTGTATATATGGAGATTGTGCAGTACATCGAGGATAGCATTGGATTCAGTGGAGCTAAAATACTTTCTTCCAGCTGACAAAGCCAAGAATATAAGAAGTGTAATTTTCTCACAGTAACCAACTTTAAGCACAACAGCACTCTCCCCAGCACCTGATATTCAGATGCATGCACTTCCAATACTGGAGGTATCTGCCAAGTAAACCAGCATCTGCTATTTCTCCTCTCTACTTTGGGTAGCTACCAGGCTGAATATTTGTGACTGATTTCCAAGAATCATCAACATAAATCCCCTTATTCTTTGCTGCTGTAGAAGAAGAAAGACGTCAGGACTGCCTTTCTTTAAAAATATTGTCCGATGCTACCACTGTTCTTTTGTTTTTAGTGTAGTCATAAAAGTGTTGTGCAGCAGCTTTGAACAAATGTATTTTCCAACTTTGAGCTATTTTGGCCAAATACTATAGGTACCCAGGTGTTTTCTTTGTATCTTGTTAGCAATTGCAAGTTCCACATCCTCTGGCATCATGGATTTGTTCCATGTCTGCTCTTAGTAGGTAATATTTTATGAAATTGTGGCAAATAAGTATTTTTTATATATAAAAAACTAAATCCTGTTAAAAAGTAAAAAAATATTGTGATCACCATTCATTTCCCTTTTTAAAAATAGGTACGGGGCTGAGAGAATAACCTGCTACCTTCTGAGTCTGTGTCTGATTTGGACCCAGGGTCTGCTTTTCCTTCTGACTGTCTTTCGGTGGTCCAGATAAGCTCAGCAGTGTAGCGTTGACACTGCAACTACTCTCAGCACTGAATACAGGTTTTTAACTAATTGATTCCAAATGTTGGTATAATGCCAAATTACATGTTCTTGCAGGGTGCAAGCCGTGCAGTCGAAGATGCTGAGCGTGAACGAAGAGAGAGAGAAGAAAGACTGAGACACACACGAAATCCTGCAGTTCGTGGCTTACCTTCCACTGCCTCTGGCAGGCTGAGGGGGACACAAGATGTAGCTCCACCAACCCCTCTTACCCCAACTTCACATACAGGTAAGCCAAAGAATGCCTTGAGGTGGGCTGCCTTCTAGTTAATCACTTCCTCTTGCGCCACAGCTTACTCCATTCAACACCTCAAGGCTTTTAGGGGGCCGGGGGGTAGGAAATTCTTCTTATTCTAGCCCATTTTGGCATGCTTATCTTTGAATCCTACCCTCAACATTTAAGAACAGTATTTTATAACATTAATTTCTTGACTTACAAGCCTCTCCCTAGTTAGGCTTCAAAGGGGACTGAGTGCCTTGTGGGTTTAATAGTTCTGACATTATGAAGGTGCTTATAAAGTGATGCCTCTGTCGGCTTCCCTTTATTGCAATAGTTTATTTTGTCTAGTAAATACAGGCACAAAATTAAGTTTTACTTTTTATTTTGGTCAGCAAACACATCTCCTCGGCCAGTGTCTGGAATGGAGAGAGAACGGAAAGTGAGTATGCGATTGCATCGTGGGGCCCCTGTCAATATCTCCTCGTCTGATTTAACAGGCCGACAAGATACCTCACGCATGTCAACCTCACAGGTACAAAACAGTTCTGATTTTTTTTATGGGGAAAAGACTAGGAGCTCAGTAATGTCCTTTGACAAGATCAGAGTAAAAATACTCTTTGAGTAGGATAGATCGTCTCACAATTATGTTTAGACATGCCATTCTCTTAGTTGATCTGAATTAGCTGAAGAACCGCTACTTGTGAAGTACTTAGCTTTCTGACCTTGAAGTTTAAGTGTGAAGGAGGGTGTTGTATAGGTTATTAAAATTGAGGGCTGGGTACCTCCCTTGTTTAATGCATTTTTGGATATTTGTGTATTTGCAGGATACAGACTTTTAACAGCCATGGAAATATCAGTGACTTTACTATACTATGTGAATCATCAACTGACTTAAATGTCATGTTTTCTTCTAACCACTGCAGATCTCAGAAGCCTTGTGCAAATGAATCAAAGCTATTACTTGTTACATTTCATGCCGAAGAAGGATCAATAAGTGCTCTCCTTTTATCCTTAGTACAGACTCAATTTGTCCAATATTACACATGGGCAATGTAAATTGTAGCCTTAGTCATCAGTCCTTTGTTCTGTAGTGTCTAGTTGCAAAGTTGCACCCATTTGGCAATTTTGACATGGCTTGAGCTGTATTTTCAAATAAATTGCCATTTATGGAAAATAGCTACCAGCATCTGTCTGGTATAAGTGACCATCTGTAATCATATCCAGTATAAGAGGAGTGTGCTTAAAGCTACTGTAGCACTGAAATTGTTATGCCTGTGAAATACGAGGTTGAAAGAGGAATGATCTGTCTTGCATTCTTTGTATTACTTTGTTAGGTGATGGTACTATTCATACTACTTTGATTTTCTTTTCTTGTAGAATTTACTAAAGCTAGAAGTAAAAAATGATTTCCAAATTAGCCCTGGGCATGCATCCTTGTTGAAAGTATGGAGCTAAACTAGACTAGTTGTTGTGAATGAGTCTGTACCTGACTGCAGTAAGCAACCTTCTTGACCATGGGACAGCTAATTGCAGATTGTAACGTTTTGCCTACAGCATCCATTACTGGTTTATTTTAATAACCTGTGGCATATGTTCAGAATATTTCAGTTGAATTACAGCACAGCTCACATAACAGGCTGTAAGTGTAAATTAATGTTGTATAAAAGGAAGAGTATTTTTGGAAGATAAATGCATATCCTGCATGGTTGTGCAGTGGAATGACAATTGACTCCTTTTTGTTAGTCATTTTTTTGTTTGTTTTCAAACAGAGGGAAAATATTTGGTGCCTGAAGAGAGGATATTCACTAACATTTGCAGCTTGAAACATTCCAGTTTCTTATTCCATTGTAGATTCCCTCACAATATGTGTGACACACAACCGAAAAAGGCTTGGATTTCATGCAAGTCCTACAGTACTTTACAAAATGAAGCTTTGTATCATGAAAGCCACAGCAGGGGACTCTAGGCTTTCTCATTCCAAAATAGTAGCTAAAAAACTAGTTGTGAATTTCTGAACAGTGATATTGTTCAGGTTTGATTCTAAGAGAAGGGTGTATGTGTGAGAACCAGAGAACACACTAAAATTTTGGGAAGGCCGGATCAGGAGAAGAGCCATTTGAAGGCATTGGCAAATTGATCTTTGACTTTGTGTCAGTTGAAGAAATGCTAAAGGAGCAAAAGGTTCAAAAGCTGAACAGGACATAAATGTGGATGTTGCAGTTGGTGTTTAGAGCACCAAGCATCAAAACTCAAACAGTCACAAATGTTAGACAAAGGCAGCAGATGACACAGGAGCTTTTAGTAGCTTTAAAAATAGAAAACTCTCAAACCAGTGGTGCCTATTTGTTGGAAAGATAATTGAGGGTTAAAACTTTTTTCATAAAAAGTATAAAGGAGGAAATGTGTTGATTATGGTTAGTTTGGATTAACTGTTGCAGTAAGAAAAAAGAGAGATTGATTGTTTTACATCATGGCTATAGTGAGTTCCATTGACCACATTGGGACTTGGTTTTTGAGTAAAGATGCATAGAATTGTTCTTTGTTTACTTCACAAAAGTAAATAAAACTTCTGGTTTTTTTGCTGTTGTTATATCAAAACCATCATAAACTTTTGTCTATGACCAGTAGTTACTGCTAAAGGTATGTAGTTTGACTCTAGTTCAGAACCATCACAATTCCTCAAATGCTAAATAGTATCTGATACAAAGAGCAAAAACCTTTTGGGAAGACAGTCTTTAATGTAGAATAATATGGAATTTCAAGTTTCAACTCCATAGGAGCACAAATTTTGTCACCCATCACTAGTGTTTGCAATAAAGTGAATAAAGTTTATTATACTATATACTGAGGCTTCAAAATCTAAGATCCAGTCCTTAAACAACACAAGTAAGATTTTCTGGAAGCCCAGAGTCTGTACCTAATAGGCATTCTTTGTCATACTGATTATAAATACATTCTTAATGCCATACTTTTGCTTGATTTGAATGCTATCTCCAGTCTTAGGCAAAACAGATGGCAGCTTTTTGAACAAGTCTCTGAATCTCTTTTTCCTCTTGTTAATATCCAACAAATGTCTACTCCAGGACATGAATAAGAGGTGTATAAAGCATATTTCCCCCTTCATTCAATATACACTGGCCAGATTCACAGTGGATAAGATCTCCTTGATCCCTACTCTAAGATCCTGACATTGCATGCTGGGATGGAGCTGGGGAAGATGTTTCTCTCTAGGATTTAAATGAGTGTGTCCTGTGGGTGTATTGCAGACTTGATAATTTTGAAGAAGAAAAAATAAACCTTTTGGAGTTTTGAGACTATCTCTTTTATCTTCCATCTGTAAAGCCAAGCTCCAGCAGACCTCGAAGGAAGAGGAAGAAAGTGCGTATTTTAACAACTTAAATGACCTGGAATAAAGCACTTTTAGACTCTGAGGTGTAGTTGCTTGCTTTCCTTTACATCAGGGCCATTGAAAAGCAGAATGAATTGCATCTAATATCTGCAAATCTTGTTGGTTTTGATCATTGAACTTAGAAGGCAGTAAACGTCCAATAAGTCTTGTCTAGATCAGTGTGTCTCTTTCCTAGCTCTCTTGTTTGTGATGATGGTTTGCATTGCACATATAATTGGTCATTTTCATCTGAAATGACTACCTTATAAAAAATGGGTGTGGAACTGTGAAGTTTGCCTTGGCTGTGTTAAGTGAGTAAAAAGTAGTTTAAAATATTTCTGTACCGCTCCAGCAGAGATCCTAGGACCAATTACAAAAAATGTGTCAATAGACCGACCCTCCACCCCCTTCAAATTATTCATGAGTGTGTAATCATTCTAGCAGCTCATGAATTTAGTGCAGTTTGATTACTTTTTTTTGTTTACTTGTTTAAAGTAAAATAGTGTATTTAAAAGCTTAACAACTGGTTCAGAAACATACTTTAAACATATTCGCAGTATTTCAGGATGAGACGACTGCTCATTCTGTTCTCAGGACCTCGTTCCAAAAACACCTGATAGGTTATGAGCCAAACAAGACTAAAACTTCAGTTGGTTCATCTTGTAAATATAAATATCTTGGAAACCTGGCTCATTAAATGTTGAGAATCCCGAAAGTGAAAATCCAAGTAGATAAATTCCAAACTGATGAAGGTAAATTCCCTTCTACTAGCTGTAGCCCTCTCCAGCTGCTTTGCTGCCTTTGCCCTTCCTTGTACTTAACTGGACAACGGGGTGCTACTTCTCCATATATGTAAGAAGTAGTTGTGGGTTAAACAGTGGAATTCAAGCCAAAAAGGATCCACTCCCAATTTATTGTAGTAGATCATGTTAACTTCCACTGACTATAAAAACTTCGGAGGATGATTAGTCTGATGGCACTGATGTTCCGTGGTATATGATCCTTGTCTGCTACAAAATGAAGTATCTTGGTATATGAGCCTTCTCGCATGTACCTCATTCTTCCTAGCAAAGGGCACGTATTTCATAAGAAATTGTTTGAATAATCTGTAATGTGCAACTATTTTTTTCAAAAACTGAGCAAGGTGCTTCACAAAATGGTGATCATAATGCAGTGGAGCATTACACTGCGTACTTGATGCAATTACAAATGACCCTCTTTGCTAAGTCACAAATGTATGAAATTTCTGTGACCTACTTTTTCTATTCAGACTCTTGCAAAAGAGAATGAAGATTAAGAGTATGGAATCCAGCACTTCCTGAACGAAAAGAGATTGGCCTATCACAATAGCTTTTAAATACTGTTTCAAAAATATCCTTCTAGCCAAACTTAAGGCTTTTGAGTTTGGAAATGAAAATGTACGGAGTGTAGTGCAGTTGTTTCTTCAATGAAATTGGCTGTGCTTTTGAAATTTTCCACTTTCCTGGGGTGAGTGAGAGTAGCCCCTGCTAAGTAGCAAATGGTACCAGCCCACACTTCCTTTGCCACTGTAACATCTATCAGCAGAAAACTGGCTATGCTTCTGGCTCTCCGCCAGTAATTTTACATCAGCTGTCTGTCTATGCATCCTTCCTGGTTACTGGCTTGAACTGCTTTCCCCATGCTATACTATAGTGCTGTGCATGGTAGCCTGTAGGGGCGGGGAGTTCAGCATTGTGGTGTAGAGGTTTAGCAGCAACTAAACACAGGTTGGCTAGTCCCTTAACAGAACTACAGTATACAAATGTGTGTCGTCCTTTTCTGCAAATCTCTGTGTGCTGACACACTGAAAGATTAAAGGTCTTGCTGTCTTCTTTCCTTTGAAGATTTCCACTTTAGTACTAATTTCTTTGGCTAAATGTCTTTGCTACCACTTTTAGAGAGTTTCCCTTGGTCATGAAGACCCTGCTTTCCTAACAAATCACAATTATTGCAGTAGGTATGATACAACCTACTTACTATGCTTATGTTGCCATGAGAGCAGTCAGATATATATATATATATATTGTAATTTTTCATAGTTACAATCCAGGCACGATAGCCTCTTCCACAGCTCCAAAGCATCTCAAACATGATTAAATTATGTGAATTCTTATCTGGCACCCCAGTAATATTTCATCTGTCAGCATTAAATCCCGGTAATGATATCTTTAACTATTTCCTTGGTGACCACTCTAGCAGGTACACCAGGGGATGGGTTGTGTGTGGAGCCTGCGGGGAGCTGAGAATTTGAAGTTGCTGCAGAGAAAGAAAGGCAGAAAGAAGAGCAAATGAGACAAAAGGCAGAAGATGGCGAAGAAAGAAGAGTTAATAATGATCAGAGAAGTGATTTAAGAGGGACAATTTTCTTCTCAAATGTTTGAATTCTACTGTACAGTATTAAATAAAACTGCTAAACTTCTAGGTCCTCTACATTGACCAGATTCATGCTTTGGCCTCTGCCAAAAATTCCTTCCAGTTGGTATGGTAGGTGGTTGTGGGCCAAGTGACACGATTCCATACTTAGTGGCCATATAAGAGATCAAATGGAGAGCCACTAAAGACTAATGTTGTGGTTCATGCTGGGTTGCTAAAGTTAGAGAGTCATAAAGTAGGGTGGGCAAAAGCCTTCCCTAGAGGATGAATAGAAGGAAAGCCAGGCTGCAATGCAGAAGTGCAATCAGTTTTTCCACCTTCAAAATCATAGTGGTTGGGAGGAGAATATTGGATACACAATATTCACAAAATACAAAAGGTATGTCTAAATCTGAAAATGGTTGGCATTCTGTCAGACATATGGCAAGAAAACCCCACCTCAATCATATGCATACCTCCAGATGACTGGTGGGGTCACTGATGACCAAAAGTTCCTCAGTACACATACCTCTCAAATCTTTCCACATGGAAAACTAGATGTTTGGTGGAAGGGTTCTAGCCTTTTCCCTGACCTACTTCTACATATGAAGTGAATCTCTTGTATGAAGGAGTATTTTGTTAATGTAAGCCCCCATTTGTGATCTGAAGAGGTACAACCCACACACAAGTTTATCACTTCAACAAAAAATGGACTACAGTGGCTCTGCCTTTTGAGAAAATACAAAAAGAGGACTGCTCCCTCTGGATCACTCGAGAATAGTCTTGACACATACTTGGATTCATAGGTCTATATCTAATGTGCAGGGGTGGGCCATATTCCCTTTTGTTGTTGAATAACTGGCCACATTCCCTTCTGATTAATCTGGAGGTGGGCAACATGATGGCAGTGGACAAGGCCAAAGCCAAAAGTGAACAGGCCACCCACTTTTCTCCCACATTAGCAGGCTGGCTGGAGAAGGACAGATCACTATTGCCAAAGGTTTGAACTGATAGCTTTAGATGGCTTCCTCTCCTCCATGGCTCTCCATTTCAGCTTCTCTTCTCCTTGCCCCTTCTCGACAATTTTCCCTCTTTGGCTAGTGGTCTGAACGAATTGCTTACCAAGGGCTTCTCTACCCTCTCCATTGCTTCATCTCTTTTGGCTTCCCAACCACCAGTCTATCTTTTCTCCCCTCCTGCATGAAATTAGATTCTCACTCTTGGCCTAAAGTCTGTTTTAATGAATTGCTAGCCAGCAGTTTTGTGTGTAGTGAAGCTGCAGGGACAGTCCCCATCATACTCATGATATGATTCTATATTTGTGCATGCAACTGTATGCACACCACCATAGACGGAACAGTTGCAACTGTAAATCTGCATGCCATAGCATATCATAGCACATGTGGTGGTAGTGCACGTGGCCTAATGGCCCCTTGCTCCTAAGGGAATTTCAGCTGACAGTTCTGTGAATTGATCCATATCCTCAGTATTGCTTTTTCTTAATCAATGAACTTTATTTGCTCATTATGTACATGTAGTGCTGCTGTATAGGTAGTGGTGTTTGGATGTCTTCCCTTAGCCATTCCTTTTACTTCACATTCTTCTGTAAAAGCGGGCCTTTAATTAAATGATGTAACATTTGATTCATCAGGTGTGTTCTAATCTTTCTCTCTTATCGTTTCAAACACAAGTTTTCCCAAACATGTTCAGAGGTTCTGTTCTTTTGGGAATTCTGGTTCTTCTTTTCCATTAGCATGGGAAAGATGCAGGGGCTTGCACTGGTTAGAAAACAAAATTGGTCAAATTGGTCACGTTCTTGATTATCATGTACACAGATTTCCTTTTTGCTACCTGAATGGTATTGTGCCTTTTACAAACTCATTTTGGAAGAATGTGATGGCTTTCAAGCTTGGCCATCTTCTGAAGGATGGGAAGTGCTGATGTGCCTTCTATGAATAAACAGTTGACCCTCTCACTTCTAGATGGCTTAGACTGCAACAAAAACCTTTGCTGCAGTTTTGCTGAATTTAGCTTTACGTACTTGGAGATGGGTAGAGGGCATTTAAGGCTTAAACTGAATGTTTCTTCTGATGTTGCAGTGATTGCCCCCAAAGTAAGAGGGCCTTTCTCTCCCCCTCCTTTCTTTTTTACATAGATAAGCTCCACCTCCAGCTGTTAAGTGTTGGTGTGTGTATAAGCGTGAACATGTGTTAATTGCTCCGTGTGTAAAGGAAAGGGGGCATTGAGAACCACTGGGGGGAATAGACTTGAATCAGGAAGCTGTGATCCCTACTAACTCTACTTGACCAGATTGAATGGAAAACTTGGCATTTATTAGCTTTAGAAATGTGTTGTACATCAAACCTGTTTCCCTGAGAATATGAGATTCTTTTGAATTGCCAGTGTTACACACACAGATGTGGTGAATCTGTAAGGTTAGTAAGCCTGCAAGATCTAAGTTGTGTGCTGTCATGGAGAGAGTGTAAAAGGCTGGCTGCTTTAACTCTCAAAGTTGTGCCCATATGCTTGTTTGTGGATCACAGCCAGAAGGCTTCAGATTGAGTTGGTACACACTTTAGTGCTAATGAGATGAGGGTTCTCTTCCATTGCAAAGAGTTTTGAAATACTGTGCAGAGTAGTCGTTGTGACACAGGAAAATGTTTTTTGAATCAGTGGCCAGTGCTGGCGATAAACAGTTAACATGATGGTGATGCTTTTGAGCTGAGAGTTACTGGAACAAAAAGCACCTCCAAAAACTGTTGGTTGCCACCTGCTGCTGAAGCAGCCTTTCTTTAAACCACTAGTTGTTGAAAACACATACCTTAAAGTCAGGAAGTTGTCAGCTTTGTAGGGGCTTTCAAATCGCTGAAGAATCAATGTCTGCGAGGCCTCTGAATCAAGAACCATTCCAAATTCAGAGCAGCTCCAGTTAGAATCATAGTTGGGAATTATATATTGGGCAGTGGAATTGTTACAAATGGCTGTCTTTTCCCCCCACCTCAGAATAGCATTCCTTTCGAACACCATGGCAAGTAGCTGCTCGTCTCCTTCTCGTTGGAAAGCAGCACTGGGTGAGTCCATTCTCACGAGACACCAGCTTGGCGGGTGGGTTTGGATTCACTCCTGTGGGGACATCAAATTGGGTGGCTTTTCATGTCTTTCAGCACTTTATTTCCTTCTACCTTGCAGATAACCTTAGTAGTAGGTATACTTCAAATTAATTAAAACTATTTCTCCCCCCCCCCCCTTGAAAAATTGTAGTACTTCACTAGAATTGCTCCATAACTGTCGATAGACCAGATGGTATATTTGCAGGGTAACCTACAGTGTGGTACTGGAATACTTAAGGTCCTTCATGTGGCATTTTTTTCTCGCTTGGAAATCATCTCCCAGTAAAGGACAGAGTACATGCCTTGTTTAGCCTTCTGTTTTTCTGCTAATTCACTAGCCTGGTGTATATGTCTGTAAACCAAGCAGTGACTTACCAGGACTACTCAAATATGCAGGCTTCTGCTTCTAAGCTAAGTTTTAGCTTAGTGCATTATCTAAACCTGGACTTGTGCTTAAGCCCTCTCCTTACTCTAACCATGAACTTTGGCCAAGAAAAGCCCGTACAACTCATGGTTAGCAAAGAAGAACTTGTCGACCAACCTGAGCTTGGGTGACATGCTCAGCCAAACTTTGGCTTAGCATTTTATTCATTTTTATTTATTAAATTCATTAGTCACTTTATCTTGTCCAGGGCAACCCAAAGTGACGTACAACCAAACAGACAATAATTTAAAAAATCTGATGTAGGGGTACACAACCCCTACATTTGGGAGGAGATGAGCAGCTGCTAGCTGCTCTCTGGGAATCCTCAAATTTGCATAGTCTCCATAAGCTTACTGTCTTTGGCTTGCCATGATTTACGAACCAGGCCATTGAATCTTAACCAATTTGGAATTGTACCAAGTATAGGAGAAATGCCACATCTGAAGGGGGCCTTAGTTCTGCTAATCACAAGATTATTACATGTTTGCTAGTAAAAGTTAGAATTGAGTGTTGTGTCTTATATAAGACCTGCATTCCTGAGCAATTACAGTACCCTATTGCAACAAAACATGTGAGTCTTTTTTAAATAGTTGAGAGCCTGCAAGAAGTGTTGTTGCAGAACTAGAACTTTAAATAACATGCCTTCCAACACTTTCAGCAAGTCCATTTCCCTGAGGAGGATATAAATGAAAGGTTTCTTATCACTCACAGACTCCTTGTATCTTAGCAGAAATCGGATCAAACATTTTCACAGCTATAAACCTTAAAATAACTTAAAACTGGATAGAGCAATAAAACTCAATCACACACCAGTATCCAGTACTGTGAAAAGTTAGGCTAATATTGTCTTTTAATTGCCTAATTTAAGTATGATTAGAACAGAGCATTAGTGCATCCTTTTACTCTCGTCCCTTTCCCACAAGCAGCCAAAGATTAAAAAAACATTTTCAAACTGACAATGAAGATGAAACTGTGCCTCTAGACTCTTTACAGGAGACTTCTAAATGATTGCATGGATAGAAAATGAATGGATGCCTGTGAGAGCAGCAGTTCTAAAGCTTATCCATTGATTGATCTTTTTGTCTTGACGATAGGAGCTTCAGCAGAGCAAAATGAAGTGTGTGCGTGTGTGTGCGTGTAGACAATCTGTAGCTTGTTGCCAACCTGTAGGGGCTGTTCCTTTTGCTTTTCGGTCAGACTGAATTCTTGTTGCTTAGATCCTATTATTGGGCTCTCTCCCTCTCCCCGCCATTGTTATAACTCCACATTACACTAATCTCTCACTACCTTATTTCTCTTCTCCCTGCTGCTTTTGTGTTCGTTTGATTCCATAGCCCTTTACTTTGTTAATTACATTAGCAAACTGATTATCCACATGGGTCAGATCATCTGGATAATCCAGCTGTTCATAATTTCGACTGAGCGAGAGGATTCTCTTCTGAACCACCTTGAATGAAGAGTTCACACTGGGTCCTCCTAACGGGATGCTTCTGCTTGTCTTGAGAGTGTGTTAAAACAAAGGCAGGACCACAGCAGAGATTTAGAGTGCCTGTACTTTGTACTCTGTGGGAATTTTTCAGCTAGCTTACCCCACTTCACATGGTGGTGGTGGTGGCGGTGGCGGCAGGGAATTGAAATGGGTCAGGCAGCAAAGATCAACATTTTAGCAACTAAAGTGGGTAAAAATTTCCTCTGAGTGAAGAACTGTAGAATCCAGTCCACTATCAAGGTCTTTGTCTGTAATGATTAACCTCTTGTTGCATGTCAAAACATCACCGCTGCTGCAGTTTGACTTAATAACAGGTCCCTATGAACTGTGCATCAAAAGAATAGTCCCAATTCTTCCAAGGGTCAAAACTATGTAAACAGGCTATTTGTTGTCAGTCCAAACATTACACAGAGCTGAGTAGCTTAATTTTGGCTGCTGTAATATTGAATTTAGGATTGCTTCCACAAGGCTTGAATGAAGTATGGATGGATCCTTTGAAACTGTTCTTCTCACCATCAGATTTGTGCAAGCTGTTTTCCAAATCCACTTAGGTTAGAGTTTTTATTCCTTTGCCACTGAAATTTTATTTTGTGGTTGTAAAGGAAGGGACTTCCTTTTGCACTGTCCCCATAACTTGCAGAGTGCTTAATTGTTTGTTTGTTTGTTTGTTTGTTTGTTTTTTAAAAACAGTGGTTTCCCATCCAACACACGTATATTTGAAGGGAAGAGACTGAGGCAAATTTCATTCCCATTCTTGTGAAAGGAAACTTCAGTTTTCATTTTGAACCAAAAAGCCAGAGGACTTTCAGAGAATTTGTAGGTACCTCAATGGCTGATCAAAGTGTTGGGGCAATTCTTTAGAAATTGTTCCTTCTTTGTTCAGGTATGCAGTGTGCTGAAGCCTCCACAAACTAAGACTGACAATGACTAGACTGACAATGACTTCTAGATCCTAGAATTCACTTAATCCTTATCACTTTCAGCATTCTGGTTGTGATTGACAATCTACACTGCCAGGTTGGGCACAAATTTCTGATTGCAGAGTTCACAGGGGCCTTGCTTAATACTGGCATATGCTATGGAAAGGATCTTGTAGAACATATTCAATACAGTGTTGCTGCTAAAAAGATGGGTTTCTTTTATATAACACTTGCATTTATCACCCTGTCTCTTGATTTGGGTTTCATTACTGATTCAAGAGCTTACCCAAGTCATCCGGTCTTTTTTGCCAGCATGTGCTTCTTTCCTCGTTCTTCATACTATTTCTCCTTGTTCATGAGGTGCCTTTGTTGCCTTAGCCTTTACGCAAAAGGAAAATGCCATTCACTTCATGGGTGCCGCCTGTTGGGTGTAACGGCGATTCTGTCAGGACGTAGATTTGTGCACACTCATTTCATCCTTCTGAAGTGAATGCATCTGCTCAGTTGTATTGGCCAAGAAGACTTTAATGGATCAGTTTTTATGCCGTTTCAGTAGGTGTGGGCTGATATTGACACCCTGTTCCTTGGCTTCAATAGATTCCTGCTCTGGCGACGACCAGTATTCTCCAGTCTGCTGTGCATCGGTGAAATGTTGCCATTGAGGGGCAGATAATGCATGGCTGATCTCCTGTTACCAATGGCTTTTACTAGCAAAACTACCCCAAACTAGAGCAGAAGAAATAATACAACTGGATCTCTCCTTGCTACTTAAAGATACTCGCAGGAACATGGACAGAATCCAGCAGTTGCCACTACAAGAGGCTTTGGCCAGAAACCTGATAACCTTATGTGAACTCTAGCAACACAGCTGGAAAAGGAAGAGACGGTTTACAGCATTAACCGCCTGTTATTTAATAGCCATTTCAGTTCTCCCTCCACAGGCGGCAGCCTTTCCCCCCTTTTTATTGTTCTACTGTAACTATAAATCTTTTACTTGGTTTAAGACAGTTTTGTATTCATTTTGCTAAGATTCTTGGCTTAACTCTCTGTAAAAAAAAAAAGAAATCAATCTCGTTTTTGTCTGATTTGGAACCTGTGTAGAAATGTGAACAATCCTGAAGTTTAAAACAAAATAAAAACAAGACTTGAAACTTCTTGTAAACTTAAGTCAGGCAGGGAATGTGTAAATGAATTTGAACAGTCTGCTTTTATTTTACACTGTTTACTTTTGTATGGTCCCATTTTACAGAGGAGTATTCTCAATATTTTTTTTAATACATTTTTATTATCTTTGCTTTTGGCTGTCTTGTTCTTCCAGGGTTTTTTTTTTTTTAAAGTTCAGTCACCATGCAGCATAAACATATTTTTATTCCAATGTTTATTCGTCTCTAGTACTGTCCAAGAAAGAGCAGAAGATAATTTTAAAGAGAAGTAGCCAAACCCAGTAGAGGTGATAAGATCACTTCATAGACTCTGAAGAACAAAAGTCAAAGCTCTAAAATAACCTGTTCAGGAAGGTTTTATTAAGTGAATGTAAAATGTATTCATAGAGCAGGGTTCCATGTGAGTGACAGGATCCATGATTTCTGCTTGGTTTTTGGTACAGATGCCAATAAAATCTGAATGCTGTCACTGCGGTGTGAGCAGCGTTGTAGTAGGTGTGCTTCTCTTGAATACGCGGAGAACGACAAGTGCTTAGAGCTTGCTGCATTATGCCAAGGCTCCGAGCTATAAACAAAATGTTCCTGCTGTGAGATGCCAAGAGAACATTCAAGCTTGTTGAATTCTTTAATATTAAAGTGTGCAAGTCTGGAACAACTGGCCTTCAGCTGATGATATACATAAGTAATGGCCAAAACACTTACCTTAGCAAATGAGTGTGCCAGCTATAAATATGGAAGAACCTTTGTTTTCATGAGCAATATATTTATCCCACTGTAATCTGGGAAAGTAGAAGGCATGTGAATCATACCAAATACCACTCAAAGTACCATCAGTCCCACCTTGGGAATGAAGATGCAATACATAGATATGTTGTGTTACTACTTTTTAATCAACAAATGTGAGATTCATGCTTCCTTGGAAACTTGGTGGCTAATAGAACTCCATGGTTTTCTTTTGCTCTTAATTTGCAATTTTTTAAATTGTTTCAAAGCTTTGCCAGTTCCTTTTTAGTTTTGTGGATATGAACAATCTTGTCGCTTTCCTTTAGCTATGTTAGAACATTAACCAAGTGCTTATTTGTATTTTAAAAGTCTTGATTTGATGCAACCCACAATTGGGGAAGTGCAATGGGAATGTTTTTAAATGTTGGTCCATGGAGAATTTTGCATAACTGTATCACTTGGTTACTGTGGATGTTGGTTCTTTAGGCATGTGCACTTCCATTTTGTACAGTTCTACACTTCTGTGTGCTTTCTTTGTAAATACTTGTGGTCAAATGATGTAATGTTAGAGACTTATAAAGGCAGCCTCTTCTTCTCTATATATATCTGGAACCTTCAATTGCTGTACTATACTTAAAAAGTTGACTGATGCAAATTTCTAGACTTGTACTTGGTTGTGGGCAGTCTGCGCCCTTCCATTATAGTTAAATCCCACCATCACCTACTGAAAATATAGTTAGAATGTCTCTCTAAACCTGTGTACTGGTATCAAGTTATCTCGGAACACCTCATTTGTATTACCACTGTATTTGTGTACTTTAATAATTGTGTAAATAAATTCATAAGGACTTCTATCTATTTTGCCTTTATTTGCACATCTAATGGGTTCTCTGCTTATAGAACAACATATTTATTCAAAGCCAACTGCCAGAAATTTTAAGGCAGGGGTGGGGAACCTCCAGATGTTGCTGGACTACAACTCCCATCTTCTCAGTCTTATCAGCCATGCGGTCTGGACCTGATGGAAATTGGATACCATCAACATCTGTAGGGTTATAAGTTCCCCACCTGGGTTTTAAGGCCAGGCATCTGCTTTGACTTCTGAGCTTTCTTGTGGAGTTGATTTTTGTTTTGCCAGCTTTTATAGTTTAGCAAGGCTTTCCCCTTTCTCCTCCTCTTGTGTGCTCTGGGAACAGTATTGGTTTCTAGATGAGATAGTTGTGAAGACAGCAGTGTTCATTCTGCTGGGATGTGTGTGAAATTGACCTGGGGTGTGGCCACTGAAATTTGAGGGAGGTGATGTGAAAATCTTCTGGGAGTTCTATTGGGAGGAAATGGAAAGTTGGAAGTGGAAAAAGCAGGGTGGATTTATCACCAAAGGGTGAGATACACTATAAGTCAGTGGTTCCCAATTAGCTAAGTACTGCGGACCCCTACTTTTGAAAATTTTGATACCTGTATGGTAGTTTTTGTTATGTGGATGGTGCCACAGACCCCTAGGTGGGTTATGTGGACCCGTGGGGTCTATGGACCACCAGTTGGGAACCACTGCTGCAGGCAAAAATGGAAAGGAAGATCTGGGTCTATCTCACTGTACCATGCATTTTTCAGCATTGGATGCTGAAACATTCATATAGCAAAAAGAGTCAATAAGTAAGGGCTGAGATGTAAACTTAGGAAACTAGTCAATATCAAACCCTGACAAAATGGAGTGATTCCTACCACCAGTGGCAGTCACAGTCTCTTTACTGTATCATGAAATGTAGAAGCTCAGAAATAAAACCAGACATTACACAGTCATGTAGAATAAGCATGATTGTAATAAAAGTCACATGGCTGTTAAGCCTCCAGTGGGATTATTCCAAAAGTAGCAGGTCAATCTTTGGGAGACCTGACTCATCTAAAAGATTGCTGCGCTATACTACTACCCAGCAGAATACTATATCCTGGAGTGGCTAAGCAAAACAAACAGTGAAACCTTCATACCTTGGATGGTTATGTATCACTTACACTGCCATCTTCAGTTGCGCTGCAGATAGGCTGTATTTGGTCGTTCCAAAAGTGAGACAGACAAGGGCTTGTCCTTCACCTAGCAATGTACCTGGCAGTAGAAGCTGGATAAGCATGCAGAGGTGAACTCTTGTTTCAGTATTTTCCAAACCTTATTTTCTCTCCAACTGGAGGCACACCTCACTTTTACAGCACTTTTAAGAGTTATTGAATAAGAACTTCTCTGCCCCTCTTGCAACAGCCTGCTGCATTAGTTTTGTTCCTGTTTTCCCTCCTTGCAGCAGCACTCAGAACAGCCAACAGAATACAGCAAGGACTCAGAATTAGAACCAACAATATTCTACATCATTAAAATAATAAAATGCAAAACAGTAACTACTGAACAGTATTGAAAGAAGGATGTGGGGGAAACCATTTTAAATATCAGGCAGTAAATAAGTACTTAACGCTGATCTAGGAACAGGATTGAGAACTTGTTGAAAGCAAAGTTGTCAAGTGGAAGCAGAATACCAGTGTAAAGAATTATAATCAAAGCTTTTGAGGCAGGGAGTTCCACATACAAAACACAACCATAAAAGGTCAGGGTGCAGTCAGGGACTTTTCTTCCCCCAGCCCGCTTTCTGCCAAGAAGAAAGAGGTCAGCACCCCACCTCTCCTGAACTAGCTTGCTCCCTCACCTGCATGCAATTCCTGATTGCCCATGGCAGGAGTGGGAAACCTGAGGCTCCCCAGATGTTGCTGAACTACAACTCTCAACAGCTATATCAGGCGTGGTGAGTGGCCGAAGATGATGGGAGTTATAGTTCAACTGCATCTGGAAGACCATAAGTTCTGCACCCCTGGCTAGTGGCTACTAGGCGAGTGCTTAAATAGAAGGCTGATACAAGTTTTCTTTTTACAAGTGTGGAAGCAATTTACTTTGGGTGCTTTTTGGATTGCCTTTTCATGGCCCAATTTGAGAAGCGCCACTGTCAGGCACCGACCTACTTACTTTCACATACTTGGTGTTCCCTCCACAAGACTTACGGTAGTCAGCACTGATGGGATGCTAGTGCCTCTGTTCATTCATCATAAAGAAGAAGTGCTGGCCTGTCATTGGCTACATAATTCTCTCATACTGGCTAGCTATAGCTATAGGATTAGAGTTGCTTTGTCCAGCAAATAACTTAAAATCCAGAGAAGCTCTCTTACTGTATTAGTCTCAACCTGGGTAGAGAAGGGCTTGGGGGCTTTATCTCTGGCCCCACCCTAATACATGGCTCCCTCTGCCATGCACGGGGAGATCTGAAGCAAGTAAGCCTATGCAGAAAGATCTGGACAGGTGTTGGCTTCCCTGGGTCCTGGAGCACTGTTAAGACTTCCAGTATCCAGGGAAGTCTCAACATAGAGGCCTCCCTACTACAGGCAAGAGGAACGGGGAGCCAAGCAGAGGTGTGCTGTTATGAATGGGACCATAGACACAGCCCCACACTGCAGCTTCATGAGAACAAAGTGAAGGGGGCCAGAATTTTGACTAAAACCATGAAGTGGGCTCCAGATGAAACAACCGCCTCTTTCTGGACATAAAGGCTTGCTATATGAATTTATGTGACCTGTACTTAATGAGAGTAAAGAACAACTTTGTCTGTGGTGTTTTAACATTTAGCAAAAACATTTCTTCAAAACATTTTTAATTTTTTTTAAGAAAAGCCCTTGAGTTACTGGCGTTCCAAGTTAATTTTGCCTGCAGTTTAATATGTGTGCTTTTTCCTAATTTGGGTTGTGCAGAAGCTATTGCCATCTGCCCCTCCATATAATTCACACTCATTCAGTGTTCAACCACCCTACAGTAAAGCCTGGCTGTTATTTTGTCCTAATAGTACTTTGCCATATGGTGAGCTGCTCAAAATAAACAAAAACAAAGAAATCTAGATTTAACCTAGTTTGTGTATCAGTAATCCTAAGGATTTTAGTTCCATAGCAGAAACTAGTTTCTAGACTTTTCACGCAAAGTACATATGTATTTGAATAATATTGGGATCTGCTCTCTTTTCTTTTTAATGACTGGTGCAGTACTATACTACGGAAGTGGGGTTAACCCTTTTCCACATCTGGTTTTCTTAATTTAAATTCCTTTGCAAAAGCTTCTGAAGGGGAGAAGTTAAACAGAGGAAAAGTGTTAAAACCAATTATTTCCCTTCACTGCAACCCCAGCCAGAACTTTCCGTCTCTTCTCCAACCCCTCAACCCCCAATTTCAACACCACCCCCACCACCTGAGGGTGATCCTAATCCTGAATCTGCTACAGTTTGTGTGATTGCTCCCCCAGCCCCGTATTGCAGCATATCTTCATTTAGAATGTTTATCCCACTTCATAGCCCTGAAAGGCTCTCAGGGCAGCTTATGAAAGATTACCCTATTCAAATTTGGCTTCAGGAATAGAAGTAACATGGCGCCCTTATGGAGCTAGGATTATCAAGGCAACATTCCCTGCCTTTATGCTTAGTCTTCCCTGGTTTTGACACTTAGCTTTTGCCCACTAGTCAGCAACTCCCACTGTTCTGCGCGCTAAACATGCAAAGTGTTGCGCGTAGCCCCATCTTTAAACAGCAGCGGCTGCAAATTTATGCAGACCCTTATTTAAAGCCCAGTGTTACCCTGATCCTACTGGTATTGCTGTAGAAAATACGACGGAGCAGGCACATTTCCCACAAATTGTGGAGCTGCATAAAATCCCTGGCACCTGAACTGGTTCAAGAAAAAGCAACGTACATCCTTTTTTAGGCTTGGTTCCAGAAGTGTGAGGATTATGTTTCAGTGGTAATGGTTAACAACTCAGAAACCTAAAGGTCTGGGTAGTATTAAGTAGTCAGAACCCAGTGCTTTCAAAGCTCTATGTTCCCATTTTAAAACAAAGTTTACATCCACACATTTAAAATACAGTTGCCCCCAAAGAATACTGGGAACTGTGGTTTGTTAAGGATGCTGGAAATTGTAGCTCTGTGAGGGTAAACTACAGTTTCCAGGATCATTTAAGGGAAACCATGGGCTTTAAATGTGTTTTAGATGTATGGTGTGCATGTGAACTTTGACTTCTTTGACTTCGATGTTATTCCTCATGTAGGTTTCCATATTGTGTCTCAGTAAATGAAACAACTCTTCCTTTTGCTACTTAAGATAGATTAGTGTGCCTTGTGAGATAGGACGGAAGCGGAGCTTGGGGTCATTGGCTTAACTTGTTCATTTGACCTGTTTTTATATCAATGCTCCATATATTAAGTGAAAGGACAAGCAGTTAGAACACTAACCACCTACATCCTTACTTAAGGTCGGTCACAAGAATTAGAGCTTCCAGTTTTTGAAGTACCGTATTTTTTGCTCTATAAGACACACCAGACCACAAGACGCACCTAGTTTTTGGAGGAGGAAAACAAGAAAAAAAATATTCTGAATCTCAGAAGCCAGAACAGCAAGAGTGCACAGTGCACAGCAAGAGTGCATCGCTGCACAGTGAAAGCAGCAATTCCTCTTGCTGTTCTGGCTTCTGGGATAGCTGCACAGCCTGCATTCGCTCCATAAGACGCACACACATTTCCCCTTACTTTTTAGGAGGGGAAAAGTGAGTCTTTTAGAGCAAAAAATACGGTATATTTCTGGCCTTCAGTTTGTGGGGGAGAGCTTAGAATTGCAGGCAAAGATCACCTAGACAACTGCAGATTAAAAGTGACAAAGCAACCTGATGGAGAAGTCAGATGTTTTTGCAAAGTAGTCAGAAATAAAAGAAACACACCCCTCCAAGCCCAGGGTGTTATTTCAAGAAAAATAGCCTAGCTTATATCTATCTGGACCCACCAACCTCTGATCTAGAAGTCTTCTCTCCCTCATTCTAGAAGTGTGAACATGATTATTTTCCATCTGCTTCTCAGAAGCATTATCTATTTTTATGTTTCAGGTTTGGAAACCTAGCACGACAAATAGATGCCTGAGCTGAGGCTGGATAGAAAATTAGGCTGTTGACTATGCCTCAGAATAAAATAAAAATAGCAGAAGAATGAATTTTCAGAGCCATAATTCCTGATGCAACAATATTTTGACAACAGAATAAATAGCTTTATTCACTATGGTTGTAACAGTTCACTAGAAAAGCATAAATCCAGATTACATTGACATGACATCCACACTGTATTACATTAAAGTGCATTTACATGAAAGCAGGGACAAAAGTGACTTCACTTGCTTCAAACCTGTCACGAGCACAGTCGTACACAGCCATATATTGCACGCACACATGCACACGCTGACAATTGAGACAGACAAATCCTGCACAAAACATTGCCCATAGCACACAAGAGCTTTGTTCTCCTGGAAACCCTCCCTCACCACTGAGCTGCTGCTGCAGCAGCAGCAGCAGCTGCTGCACTTTTGAGAATGAAGAAGGCAAACCTCTGAGCGTACGGTAACGGTTGAAGGGGGCTAGTTTTGTTGAAGTATGAAAAGAATTGCATAGACTCTGGATAAAGTAGCGTAGAAGGGACTCACCAGAATGGATCGTTTCCAAGCATCTTGTGCTCACACACCCTCATCTCATGCCCCAGGGTGATGTGTGCCTTCAGCAATTGTGTGTTGAAGGGGGCAGGGGAAAAACAAGGCTCTTGGTCACTATTTAAAGGTCTGTTGCATCATTCAACCTATTTGGTTCAACTGCTTTCACGCCTCCTCCAAACGGATAAAAATATAGATCTTTATATACTACGTATTTAAAAAGAGAATAAAAAATAATTTGGTACTTTTGCTTTATGGAATAGAGAACCCAAGTTGGTTCTTTTGTCTGTTCGGATACCTGAATGCAGGGATCTGTGTGCGAGAGTATCAAAGGACCCACAGTTTCCCCTGCACACACAATCTTCCCCATTCATCTTAGAAGGGCATACTGCGGACCTAGGCTGCATATTCTGATACGTGTGCCGCATCCCTTGAAAAGAATCAGAACCTTTGTCCATTCAAGAGATGCTATGCGTGTTCTTGAGCACATGCAAGTCTCTGGATCAAAGGGTACGTGTGTAAGCTGCTGTAGCTCATTTTCATTTGCAGACGTGTTCTCCTGCATCAACCCTTTTGCGCACATTTGTATTCACACATACATGTTTACATACATTCCTTATAGAAAACAGCTGGAGGGAATAACAGAAAAGTCCATCAAATATAGAATAGTCAAACGTCATCTGGCACTGTGTAAGTTATAGCCATGTACCGAACAGAAAACAGTGTCGCAAATTTTACTTCACAGAACTGCACCAAGAGGTAGGGGGTTCTTTTTATCCTTTGCAGTTAGCATAGAAACTCGTGGAAATGTTGTTAATTGTACATTATGCATAGTACATTTCTTCTCTAGAGATTTTGCCCCCACCCCAAAAAAAGATACATAGATACATAGTCAATGAGAAGGTGATGGGGTTTTTTCCTTGTTTTTTGTGAACAAAGGCGTTGTAAGCAGCTTTCTGTCTTGAGAAGAAATGTATGAAGCCAAGACTCAAATTGTCCCAGTAAAAGGATTCTCCTTTGTATCCCTGATTTCTGAAATCCTGCACTTCACAAGCTAGTTAAATTTATGTCCCTTAAAAAATGACACCTGGTAGGAGCTTGGACAAAGGAACATCATTCCTCCCAGCATTTATGACTGTTTAAAACTACTGTTTGGCCAAGTCCTGTGAGGTGAAAGCAACACTTCCCTATGGCTCTAGCTTCCCATTTCTTATCTCCTTTCTCTCTTTCTCCTTTTCTCTTCTAAATATGTAAGCTGTGATCCGGAGGGCTACTGAGCTGAGTCGTTTATTATTACTATTTTTATCAAAATGGCAGCCCCACTCACTCCTTGACAAATAGCTTTTGAAGCTTGGGGAGTAGGGAAGTTGTTAATATTTAGTTCTTTCCTTTTTATTTCACAACAATCAACATGTTGCTTTCTAGGACTGGAAGTGTAATCCACACTGCAGTTTAATAATAAAGAGTACAGCATTTGCTGAGGGCATGTGATTCTGCTCCCCTGCCCCCAGCACAGTCCAGAAGCAGATGTATAGTGTTGAATAAGCTCTACATGAGTCAGTGCAGCAGAACACATGTTTCCTAACCATCTTAAAACAAAAGGCATAGCCAGAATTCTGCAAAGGATCTGCAGCTGAAAGAGGACAAGGAGACTGTTCCGTACAAATAATGTACTGGGTTTACAAATAAATAGCTGATGTATGCATGTCTAGGAGAATACAAAATAATAAAATTATCAGGCAAACATCTGGCCCCTGCCATCAAATACATTTTAATTCAATACCCAGTATGAAGTTCTCACTAGATCAATGCTTATCAAAAACAGGAACATATTAATGAAATTTTGGCTATGTTGAGGAGCCAGCTTTGGCCTGGCCCCTTTTTTGGACTGTCCCCCCCCCCAAAGACGCTGACATGCCCTCCCTTGCAAATGTTTTATGTGGTACAGCTGTCTTAGCCTACCATTTTTTAATCGTTTCATCTGGGCATCAACCTGACACCTCATTTTGGTGCTCAGAACAATCAATTCCTTCTCATAATGTAGGTTAACTTAGATCTTGGTATCTTCACCCAAAATACTATGCATTCCAGGTCAAGGTTGACCTAAGTTTTGTGAAGTCATTTTTGCCTAGGTTTGGCCATCAGCTGCTACTACTAAATTCAGAAGAATAGAAGCTTCTGCTAAATGTAATGTTATCAAAAGTAATAATCAGCACATTCCCCCTTTGGTTAAACATTATGTTAGAGATTAGAAGTCTTTGACTATTTTCTTTGTGTCTTGGCAATGCTCCTATTCATTCCTCCACATGCATGTGAGGAGGAAGTGCACTTGTTGGCCTCACCCCCTCCATCATGTCCCCATCAGCCCCTCCCTGCATCCCTCTGCATGTTTGAGCAGAATTTCCCTAGGGAGGAGCCTGCTTTCTCTGCTGCAGAAATTGCATTTGACTGTGTAGAGAGCAACACAACTACAAGCTGTTGGGATCACAATGTAGGGAGGGTACTAGCAACTGTGTCCCTGCTCTCTTCACTCAAACACTTGGAATCACTTGAGACGGAATGAGTGAACAGGGCTAATATCTCACTGCATTTTTAGGGAAAGAACCATCATCTTTGACAACTGGCAGAATGTGCCCAGTCATCATTTAGTGATCTTGTAAGCAAGTGACAACCAATTTTCTAACTCCGTGAGTTGGGACATACATGCATGGATTTGACCTCATTTCTGGGCTCAGAGTGCATGGCAGAATTGTTTTACCATCCTTTTCCCACTAAGATTATCACGTATCCTCATCAGTCTCCCTTCATCAATCTCCCTTCCACTAAGAGCCTGACATTTTCCACATACGCGTGGTGTAAGGGATGGTACAAGAGCAGAGGAATAAGCCAATATCTGTCTGCTATCATGTCATCTTACCCGTCTAGTGAGCTTGTAGGGCATGAATGTAGTGTAGTATAGTAACAGGCTGGCCAGACACTTCATGTTGAAGGCCAGGTTTCTGCCTGTGGCTGCCACTTGGTGACCCCCTATGTAAACCATAGGATGGGATCGATGCACAACTCAAAATTCTAACCTCAATTCCTTATATCAACTATCCGCATATGTGGTTTTTCATTCAGAACTAATAACCCTAAAACACTCACCTGTGGAAGAACCTCAAATGCCTCTAATTGTGTATGCAAGCCCTTAGAATCATCGGCCCATCTTTAAAATACTTTACGAAGGAGCAGGTTAGAGTCCATGTTAATTGTGAGATGACTGTGATTAACATGCATTAAGTGGTAGTGCGAATCCCGGAGCAAGCCTAGCGGTTCTTTTAAGTAAGGACATGCTGTGAGTTAAACTGCTTTCGCCTCCCCTAACACTGTGCTTCCAAAGGAAACCCATCTCACCTCTGCAAACAACCCCACCTCTGTCCCCACAGGGTGCCATTTGCTGTCTGATTGTGACTCTCAGCAGCTTGTGAAGTAATATGTGGACAGAGACAGGAGAGCTGCACCACTGGAGTTTTAATTCCAAAGAATATGGGTGCCAGGAGGGAAACCTACCTCCTTTGCCCTCCTCTTTTCCCTTTCAACCATTCTATCCTGTAATGACCAACAATCCCATGAATGCCTCAAAATGGAGGTGGTACGGTGTTTAGTGAAAATGCATTTGGTTAGCACCTTTTTGCAACTCTTTTTTTGCGCCTGATCACGCAAGGTGTGGGCGCTCCCCCTCCTCCAGTATCATCTGGAACCTGCAAATGTTGGAGGCTCACATCTAGAAATGAATACCCATCACCTGTGTTTGGAAGGGCTTCCTCTATAAATGAGGGTCTGTTCTTAAAGCTGGGTTGAGCAGGGAGCACACAAGGATTGCTCTTTTGGCCTGCTAGAACTAAACATCACTTTTCTCCAGATGTCATTTGAGAAGAGCAGTTGTGGAGTTTCCTGGGACGGACTGCAGTGTCCTTCTCGGTACATGTATAACATTTCCAGTAAAAAGGACAATGAAAACAAAACTCATAAAAAATCAATTTAACAAACCGAAAAGTTATTGAAAATTGTACAGGTTATCAAAATTAGATTAGGGTTGAGTCAAATTATCTAAACACATGTGGAAAAGAATAGGTTTGGAAACCTATTAGAGACAACCAAGTCCCTGAGATTTCTCCTTGCTAAGCCATTCCTCCTTAAGCACACAAAGACATGGAAGATACATTGAGGTGCACCACACACACAAAAATAGACGGGTATTTCCTCTGCATTACAGGAACATTTATGTACACTTCCTCTCTAGTTAAAATACAGTTTCATCGAAGTGAGCATTTTCTTGTGATGCATAGTGGGACCTCTACATGTGTTTAGAAGGCCATTTGTTTAGCTTACAACAGTAGGTATGCCCAGGCAGCTTAGCCTGAAGATCAACCCCATTTTAAGTGGGGAGAAAGGTTTTTAAACAAGCCAGCTTCCAAAGGGTGATCTCACAAGCTGGTTGGCCTCCAGTTCCCAAACAAGATGGCCCAGCCCTAAGCTAGTCCTATTTCTAAAATAAATTAAGTGTTGAAATGTTCTGACTCCTCCTCTAAATATATGGCATTCGTCCATGTCGCATTCACACACAGGTTTCTGGGTTAGTTACAACTTCCCCGTTCTTTTCGTCTTTCAGAAAGTGTTCCACTTCAATAGAGTCCACCTTGGCGTTTCCAGATTTGTTTAACTCTTCTCTTTCAGCGACATCTTCTTGTGTGTGTGTTTCTGCTGGTTTTTTAATACAGAAGGCATTTCCTATAGCCAGCACCAAAGCCGAAGTGACCACTTCAACGCCAGCCATAATAAAAACATACATATATTTGTGTGTTGCGTCCAAGACTTTCCCTGGAAGAGAAAATTCACAGCTTCATCAACAACATGTTCAATCAAACCCATTCTCTAAGTTCCCAACTCTCTTAATTTGAAGAAACATTTTCAATAAATTTAGAATCCCTATGAATTCTGATAGCTCTTTATTTTTAACTTTCAGTATGGTACATGTGAGTGCGCTACTTCTTGGCTGATTGACAAAGCTGGCCTGTAACCACAACCACTCCACCTTGTCCCTGATCCTCAGTCTGCTCTTGCACATGTCTTTGTTCTTCTGAGCATGCTTCTGAGTACCAGTTGCCAAGAACCAGAGGAGTGGATAGTGTGGTTGTATTCAAGTCCTGTTTCCTAATAGCCATCTGGTTGCCACTGTGAGAAGGCTACTAGACTAGATGGGTCACTGGTCTGATCCAGCAGGCTCTTCTTATGTTCTTAACGTAGCCATGGGGCCAACAAATCTGTAAGGTAAAGGTAAAGGGACCCCTGACCATTAGGTCCAGTCGTGGCCGACTCTGGGGTTGCGGCGCTCATCTCGCTTTACTGGCCGAGGGAGCCGGCGTACAGCTTCCGGGTCATGTGGCCAGCATGACTAAGCCGCTTCTGGCAAACCAGAGCAGCACACGGAAACGCCGTTTACCTTCCTGCCGGAGCGGTACCTATTTATCTACTTGCACTTTGACGTGCTTTTGAACTGCTAGGTGGGCAGGAGCTGGGACTGAACAACGGGAGCTCACCCTGTTGCGGGGATTCGAACTGCCGACCTTCTGATCGGCAAGCCCTAGACTCTGTGGTTTAGACCACAGCGCCACCCAAAACTAAGCCTGTTGTTCATTGCCTCAAAATAAAAGAAATTGCATCCCATGGTAATTGCCATCACTTTTCTGTCTTTCCCCATAAACCTGCCCCATCCCTTAATTGACAAACAGCAAATGAACTGAATGTAACATTTACCTGCTGAAGGTGGTCCAATTAGAACGGCCATCGCCTCCATCAGGAGAACTAAACCAATGGCACTGGAAAACTTCTGTGTGCCAACAATAGCCATGAGAACTTCAAACTGAAGAGCACCAACCATTCCATAGGAAATGCCAAAGAAAATGCAGAAGACCACCAGTCCATCATAATTGTAGGCCATGGACCCCATGAGATCAGTAAAACCATTAAAGAGCATAGAAAAGCTAAAGAGGTAGACACAACGGGGCCTAACCCACTTCAAGCCAGCCACTATTCCACAAATGGGCCGAGCAAAGATATCAATCATTCCAAGAATGGTCAGAAGTAAAGCTGATTTGCCGTCTGGGTTCTTCATATCCTTAGCATAGCTCACCACAAAGACCGGGGGCACAAATAAGCCCAGCACCATGATGGATGCAGCTACTGTATAGATTACGAAGCCACGATCTCTGAAGACACTGAAATCCAGTAGCTTTTTCTTGATTTGCTTCTCAGGGGCCGCTTGGGAAGCGTCAGGTTTTTTAGGAGCATCCAACGGTCTCATCAGAGCTCCACAAACACAGCAGTTCAAAAGCAACCCCCCCAAGATGAGAAATCCTCCTCGCCATCCATACTCATGCTGTAGTTGCTGCCCCAAGGGGGAAAGAGCACAAAGAAACACAGGGCTTCCAGCTGCAGCCAACCCATTGGCCAAAGGTCGCTTTTTGCTAAAGTAGCGATTCAGCATGATGAGCGACGGCTGGAAATTGAGCGCCAGGCCCAGTCCTGAAACAGAACAGATGCCAGAGTTTAAATCAGGAACAACATTCAGCATATATAACAGGAGTGCTCTATACTGCAGGCGCTGCAGGTGAGCAATTCACAGCTCAAGATACAAAAATAGCCCAGGATACGGTTTGGGGTATGGCCAAAGACATCAGCATATCTTTAAGGGCTGCATGCTCTTGTCCAAACCTGTGCAGGAAGACTAGCCTCATATAACCAGCCTCATATAGCCAATATGCTTAAGTCTAATTAATGTATGAAAGGGTTAATACCATAGAGTAAGCTATCCTGCCAGGCTTAGCTGGGTCACTTCCTTTATCTTGGAAGGAAATGGGTAATCAAGCCTATTGTTGCCCCTCAGTCTACTAGAGAACCCCCAAAGAGATTTGAGCTGGTTGTTCCAGCTCAACCACATGGCTCTCAACCAAGTACTCTTGAATTCCTATACCAAGAATGTAGGAACTTTTACCACTTTCGAACTAAGCTAAGTTTTACCACCTGTGCAACTTTTCTGAATGCTGTATGGAAAAGCACATCAAGCTGACCTTTGGAGAGTTTGTAAGTAAAACATTTTTAAGTTACCAAAAGTGTGGTCTTTTTCCCTGCTGGGGAAGTGGGAAACTTTGGAAGGAATTTAAAAGGGCAGATTTTAAGGTTTTACAGTCTATATTTCCATGAAACATGGAAAAACCTGGATCAAGTCTGGTAAGATTCACTGCGTCTTGATTTCTTTCCTTTTTTTCATTTTTATTGGCTTAAAAAAGAAAAAAAACAGACAGCAAAACAAAGAAGTCTAAATTAACATTGCCTTCTACCAATAAGAAATAATAATAACTATTACAATAATGAATACTAAAAGTACCTTTATTTCCCCTTTTAAACTTCTATTCTGGTTACAATATATTACTATTCTATAAGAATCTATAAGTCTATATGTATAGCTATACTATTAAGTATATAAGTATATTAAGTATAAGTATATCTATACTATTAAGTATAAGTATATAAGTATATCTATACTATATATCTATATCTATACTATCTACTATAAGAATCTATAAGTATATCTATACAAGTATATCTATACTATTCTATAAGAATCCTTTGCTGTCCCATGTATTATTTTATTTCCCAAATTCAACCTAACCGTCCCCTCCTCCCCACTGCTTCCCTTCACCTGTGTGAGATCTTCCCATCACAATATATATTTTTTCTAGTTGCTTTGATAAAATAGAGTAACTTCAAAATAGCTAAATTATAATTACTTCTTTTGTCCTTACACGCTTAGCACTGCATCTTGATTTCAAGGGAAACTATAACCTGCTCATACCTGGACTAGCTCTTTTCACACATACAGAACCAGTCTTGCTTTGTGCCTATTTTAAGGGGAAGAAATATTCCATTTTCTAACCCACCAAAAAAAAAAAGGAACCATAGTAATCACATAAATATATGAGAGATCTCATTTGATTTCATTTTGTACCTGATGCCTATCAATCACAGATACACTTATGGGAATGAAGGCACCCCCCCCATCCTTTTTATTATGCATTTATAATTATCTGTGTTCATGATGGTGTTGGGACACCTATACACAATCCCTCTTTCAATACTGTTTCCACCAACAAAATTTCAGGGCGGACATACCACTTTATTTTCAATCAGTGCATGTTCTGATTCAACTTCCTGCTGAAATCCTGTATCTTTTCATACCACAAGTGTCCCATGTTTCCCATCCCCACCCCCATCTTGTTGCGCCATAGTGCAAGGGTAGTGCTCCAGACAACAATAATGCAACAACATTGGGGAATCATCGCTGAACAACAAATAAATGGTGTGTGGACAGTTCAGTATAGATCCATCACTAACGCACTGATGCATTGATGCAGTCTTGCAGAACCCACCTGCAAAAACAAATCCAGTTTGGAAGGGCCCTACAACCAGCAACAGACTCACACTTGCAGCTACGTGTGGATAGTTGTGAGCAAGGCACCTCACTGACCTGGCAGAGGAACCAAGAATGGTAACTGATGTTTGACTGCAAGGAAGTGAGAAGACGCCTGAGGCCAGTCAACAAAGAGAATGCATATGGTAAAAGGAGTGCTTTAGAAAATGTCAGGAAGTGGTAGACAGAAAGGGCGTTGTGAATGAGAGACCTACTTTACACCAGTGCATGCAATGTGAAACTGTACCATTTAAGAATGCCATTAAGGGATCAGTGCTCCCCTACATACACGTCTCCCCACAAATACAAAACTAGCACATCAAAGAGATGCCATACCACATGCCCCCCCCATTGGCTCACCCTCTCTCACAAGCTATTGCAACCACTAACATAGCTACATGTAACACAGTCAGCCCACTGGCTGGTTCTTGGACACTGGCACTTACCGGTAATGACACCAGCGGTAAGGTAGACCTGTATTATATTAGTGGAGTAGGAAGCAGTGATCATCCCCAATGAAGCAAAGAGGCCTCCGACCAGCATAACAGGACGGCAACCAAACCGATTGACACACATACTGCACAGGGGCCCTGAGCAAAAGAGAGAATGGGTAAGATGTTTGTTTCTGTAACTTCCCAGATCATTAATATATCTATCAGTTGCGGTTTGTATTTCTTCTCATAAGGCCCTCCCAGATTCAGTTGTCTGAAGACCTTGAGTCAGAAGACGTCAGATTCCATTTTCCATCTCCTTTTCTTTTTTCTTCTTTTTTTTAAATATTTATTTATACAACAAGAAAAAAACACACACAAAAAACACAAATACCAAATTACACACAAATTACAAAAATAACCATAGACACATAATTTTCTTGGTAAACAATAAAACATCTATTGGTCTTAACACTAAAGACCCAACTTCCCGTCTATTCCATATTTCAAATTCATATTACTTATTGCCAATACACATTTTTTTCATAATTAAACTTATTCTCAATAAATCTAATTTCTTCTATCTACCTAGCAACTATTACTGAAGTTCCTCGAATGCTGCAACAGAATTTAAACTACTATATTTATTTTTCAGATATTCTTTGAAAACCTCCCATTTAGAAACAAATTCCTGTTTTGATTTATTCTTTATTTTTTCTGATAAACCATCTAATTCGGCATATTCTGTCAGCTTTTGGATCCAATCTTGTATAGAGGGGATTTCATTACTCTTCCATTTTGCTGCGATCAAAACTCTTGCTGCCGCCGTCGCATATAAAAGATACCCTTCCTCTTTTGTGGAATATCCAAATCTGTTATTCCCAGGAGGTAGGCCTCTGGTTTTTTATTGGAAGAGATCTTTAGCATTTTTTGCAGTTCTGCATGTATACTCTCCCAGAATACCTGTATTTTCCTACATATCCACCACATATGGTCCTTTTCATTTGACCAAGGCTCTAGATTGCTGGTGCTTACCCAACACATCTGGAGGATACTTGAGAATGTTAGCTTTCTTTTTTTTAATGTGTACAGATATTGGTAGCCTTAACATTTCCATTATAAACCACACCCACCTGCCCCACCCCTGGCACCATTTGTGATTCCAGGGATGGAGCAGGTACCAATGTGACTACCAAGGAACTATTGGGAGCTTAAAGCAAGCTCCTGATGGTTCCTTTGCTGTAGGTCAGTGTGAGTTCGAGCCCAATGGATCGATGTGAGTTCAAGCCTGTCAGTGAGTTTAAGCCCAGTGGATCTGTTGTGTAACCAAGTTCCCCTTGGTGAATTTAATCATGTGGCTGACCACTGCAGAAAGCAGGCTTGAACTCACTGCCCATGACATAGGGTGAGTACCATGTGGGTTATCACACCCACCTGCCAAAGTTGTCCCATCTGGCCCCAAAAGGTTCTCCACGCTATTTTAGATCATATTCAGAGAGCTTTTTCCAGTTCCGCTGCCACCTGAGCCATGACAGGTGATCACTAGGAAAGGAGACTTTTCAAGTGTGGCACCCCAGCATTAGAACCTGGCACCTACATGGATGTTTTCCCAGCACCTGGAATAGATCTTATTACTATTTTGAACTTTTTGACTTGTGCTAGTCTGCCAACCTAGCAGTTCGAAAGCACATCAAAGTGCAAGCAGATAAATAGGGACCGTTCTAGCGGGAAGGTAAACGGTGTTTCCGTGCACTGCTCTGGTTCGCCAGAAGCGGCTTAGTCATGCTGGCCACATGACCCAGAAGCTGTACACTGGCTCCCTCGGCCAATAAAGCGAGATGAGCACCGCAACCCCAGAGTCGGTCATGACTGGACCTAATGGTCAGGGGTCCCTTCACCTTCAGTCTGTTTTATTCCAACTAGTGTATTTTAATGCTACCTTTATAGACTTGCTTATTTTTCATGCCCTTGTTTTCTTGGTTTGGGGAACAAACTATTTTATTGTAAAAGCCACCCTTTATAATATATATAAATATTAAAAATAAAATAAAATAGAGTACTATGCTTCTTTGATGTATTTACTACCCAGTTTTAGAATGTTGTAAGTACTTACCTGTTCCATAAAGCATAGCCAACAGAATGGAGGAGATCCACGCAGTGTCACTGTATCCAACACCAAACTCCCGGATAAGCTCTTTAAAGAAGACGCTCATGGCCTTTGGGAAGGCATAGGAGAATCCCGTGATGACAAAGCACCCAAAGAGAACAGCCCAGCCCCAGCCGCCATCTGGGGCTTTAACTCCGCTAGGACCATCGTCAACCACCACAGCTCCCATGATGAGATTTTATCTGTTTCCTAAGACATAAAAGAAATGTATTTAAATATTCCATCAGTACCATAAGATATGATCAGCTCAGTCTTGGTTATGCAATGAATAATTTTAATACAGTAGGGCCATAAAAGCAGACGTCCTATGGAAGGCAAGGCTAGCTTTTTAGATGAAGTGGTCTCTTACGCAGAAAAAGGTCTGCCCTATTCCCAGCAGTGGTGACTGGTGCCCATTGGGATCAGTAGGGTGGAAGGCAGGGAGATCAACAGACAGAGCCAACTTGCTGAGTTCTATAAGGCCAGCACTGAGACTAAGGTAGAGGAAGCTCTGACAAGCAGTGAACAACCCTTGGACTGGTTGCAAGTAAGGAGACAGACAAGTGGGGGCTAGCTGATGGCAGACTGAAGTTGATGGGACAGTGACTCGTTCTCCCTAGTGGACCAGCCCCACTGTCTACCAGTTATTGTTGCATTAACATCTGTATAGCTGTGTACTTGGAGAGCAGAAAGTGGGAGGTCCTTTTTGAGCAAGATTTGCAGAAGACAGAAATGGGATATTTATAGAATTATAGAATTGCAGAGTTGGAAGGGACCCTGAGGATCATCTAGTAGTCCAACCCCATGCAATGCAGGAATATGGAGCTGTACAGTATGGGGAATGGGGAGCGAACCTGCAACCTTGACATTATCAGCACCAAGCTCTAACCGACCAAGCTCTCCTTGTTGTTATAATATTCTATCTATCTATCTATCTATCTATCTGATGCAGTAAGTGTTTGGATGTGTTTCTCCTATGAATAGATCTTCCAAAGGACAACTTCCACCTGGCTTCACCCAATTCATTTTGGATGAATACTACATAGCAGAGTCATTTCTTAAACCAGCGATAACTGTAAATGTCAGCATGCAAAATGTGTATGAATATAGTACCATTAGAGCAGAGAGCTGTGCCCTATTCAGAAGTTATACTCACATGTAAGACCGCTGTAAGTACAGAGCTGCACATAGTCTCCCCGCTCCCCATATGGGCAATTCTGTGAAGGCAGACATTCTCACTGTATGTGAGGGCTTCTTGGCACAGGCCTGCTCACACACTGGTCTTATGTACAACCGTGACAACTATCTATCAATCATTTATTACACGGTCACAGACCTGTTAAACTGTAAGGTCCAAATAATGCTTTGGTTGTTTGGTTTTGTTGATATTTTTCCAATCATTAAATATGTGGATAAATTTATATACCCACATTTACAAACAGTGGCAAACTTTAACACTCCCTGACCTATTTGTTTAGGCAAAATTTTCCAGGCTCGTAAGATTCATTGAGGGCTCTGTTTTGCTGAATGTTTTGATGGATTCTCCTTTCAATCAATGTATTTCTTTGTATTCCTGATCATAATGCTTTATATAGTAAAATAATAATACCGTATTTTTCGTTCTATAGGACGCACATTTCCCCCTCCAAAAACTAAGGGGAAATGTTTGTGCGTCCTATAGAGCGAATGCAGGCTGCGCCGCTAAGCCCAAAGCCAGAACAGGAAGACGGAGCACTGCGGAGCGCTCCGTCTCGCTGTTCTGGCTTGGGAACAGCCTTGCTAGCTTCTGCAGGACAGCGGGGTGAAGGCACCTCGCTGCCCTGCAGAGGTTGCGCGCAGCCTCCCCAAGCTAGAGCAGCGAGAGGAGCCCTCCGTCTCGCTGTTCTGGCTGGGAACAGCCTGCTAGCTTCTGCAGGACAGCGGGTGAAGGCACCCCGCTGCCCTGCAGAGGTTTGCGCGCAGCCGTCCCCAAGCTAGAGCAGCGAGACGGAGCCCTCTCGCTGTTCTGCCTTGGGGAGGGCTGCGAGCAAACCTCTGCAGGGCAGCTGGGAGCCTACAACCCCCTGTCCAGCAGAACCAAGCAAGGCGGTTCCCAAGCCAGAACAGCGAGACGGAGGGCTCCCTCTCGCTGCTCTAGCTTGGGGACGGCTGCGCGCAAACCTCTGCAGGGCAGCGGGGCGCTGCGCTCCAAAGGCTTCAGGGATCTTTGAGGCTGGCGGTGGGGGAAAGCAGCGCTTCCCCCCACTGCCAGCCCCACAAGCTCTGGTGAATGTACCTTGAACGCACCTTGTTTTGGGGGGGGAGAACAAGAAAAAAAATCTTTTTCCCTGTTCTCCCCCTCCTATGATCCGGTGCGTCCTATGGTCCGGTGCGTCCAATAGAGCGAAAAATACGGTAATTATTCAAGGGGATAAAGAACTACACAACTTTGATAAGACATCTAAAAGCAGCCCTGTGCCAGGGGGTTTTCAATGTTTGACATCTTATTGTGTTTTTATATGTGCTGGAAGTCACCCAGAGTGGCTGGGGAACCCCAGCTAGGTGGGCAGGGTAAAAATAATAAAGTTGTTGTTGTTGTTGTTACTTTTATTATTAAGATTTCCCTTTCCTTTTTAAAATGATTTTATTGTATTTAATGTACAGTGGTACCTCGGGTTAAGTACTTAATTTGTTCCGGAGGTCCGTTCTTAACCTGAAACTGTTCTTAACCTGAAGCACCACTTTAGCTAATGGGGCCTCCTGCTGCTGCCGCGCCGCCGGAGCACGATTTCTGTTCTCATCCTGAAGCAAAGTTCTTAACCCGAGGTACTATTTCTGGGTTAGCAGAGTCTGTAACCTGAAGCGTATGTAACCCAAGGTACCACTGTAAACTGTTTAGGGATCTCACATATTAAGCAGCACATAAACATTATTATTATTAATAATAATAATAATAATTTATACCCCGCCCTCCCCAGCCAAGGCCGGGCTCAGAGCGGCTTACAAGCAATAATAAAAACAAGTTGAATGATTACAACTTAAAAACAAAATTAAAATGCAACATTAAAATATTGAGACATTAAAATATTAAAATGTAGCCTCATCGCAGGAGGAGAAGGAAAGGAAAAAAGAAAGAGAGGGAGGGAATCAAATTGGCTCCAAGCCAAAGGCCAGGCGGAACAACTCTGTCTTACAGGCCCTGCGGAAAGAAATCAGATCCATGCCATGCCATCCCAACCCAGCCATAGGACCTCTGTCTTCGAAGGATTTAGTTTCAATCGGCTCCCACGAAACCATCCAGCCACAGCTTCCAAGCATCTGGTCAGTGTGTTCGGGGCCGAGTCGGTGTGGCCATCCATCAGCAGACAGAGCTGAGTGTCATCAGCAAATTGGTAACAGCCCAGCCCAAAGCTCCGGATAACAATAAAGATGTTAAAAAGCATTGGGGAGAGAATTGCGTCCTGTGGCACTCCGCACACCAAGGAATGGTGCGACGACATTTCCCTCCCTAGTGCCACCCTCTGTCCCCGACCAGAGATAAAAGAGCACAGCCAGTTACGGGCTATGCCCTGTATCCCCACATCTGCGAGGTGGTGATCCAGAAGATCATGATCGACCATGTCAAAGGCTGCTGACAAATCTAAAAGGATCAGCAGTCCTGACCCGCCTCGATCCAGTTGTCTACGGAGATCATCTGTTAGGGCAACCAGAGCCATCTCGGTCCCAAAACCAGGACGGAAACCGGACTGAAATGGATCTAAAGCCGATGTTTCCTCCAGAAACCTACCAAGCTGTTCAGCAACCGCTCTCTCAATTGCCTTACCCAGATATGGAAGATTTGAAACTGGGTGGTAATTGGATAGATCTAAGGGATCTAATAAAGTTTTCTTTAAGAGTGGACACACTACTGCTTCCTTCAGTTCCCCTGGGAATGTCCCAGTGTCAAGGGACAAATTGATAATTTCAACCAGGGGGGTCCCTAATCAGCCAAGATGGGCACGGATCAAGGAGGCAGGTGTTAATTGTTAATTGTTAATATATTGTTAATTCTATTCCTTTTGTTTAATAAATTTATCCAGAACAGATTAACTTTCTGTTTGGCTAATGGCAAAAATCACTTAAAAGTCCCCAGCTTCAGAAGGGTCAGGAGCTCAGCGGTTGTGCTGCTTTATATGCATAAGGTCCACAGCATCTCCAGTTTAAAGGATCAGGTAGCAAATTATTTGGAAGACCTTTCTCTTTCTGAGAGGCTGGAGAGCTGCTGCCAGCCAAATCAAAGAATACTGGACTAGATAAACAAATACCGGTAGTCTGATTAGGTACAAGATACTGTAGCTTCCTATGTCCCCACATGCTACCAGTCAAGGAACAAAGGCAGTGGATCCAGTTATTTGCTGTATTAAATATGTCTATCTCTAAGCAATACCTACTGCTTGCAAGACAATGGCCATGAAATTATTACATGCTATATGATTCATTTGACCCTGCAAGAGCTGCAAATGAAGTCACTTGATGTCTAGACGGCTGGGTGATGAGTATGTGATCAATCAGAGTCCTTTCTGTGACATTTAGGCCCAGGGCTGCACAATTTACAAGAAACAATCTCACGGTCAAGCTCCAGAAATAAACCTGGCAGAGCCTTCCAGAGCAGATCTATTGCATGAAGCTGCTCTTTCAGGAGGAAAACATCCAAATGCTTTTCCTTCATCATCTCTGCTGGAGAAGATTCGGTTGCAACAAATACACAGGCTGTCTTGAGTTACATAAAGTTAGAACATGAAACCGGCATGAAAGCAACACTCCGATTATAAACGGCACGATCCAAAGAATGAGGCGACATGTTCCATGTGCCCAGGGAGACTTTGGGCCTTGAACAGCAAAACAGTCACCTTTCCATAAAAAAAATGAAGGAATGCTGAAGATGCCCACATTTTGGCAAGTGTCATTATTGTACTGTAAGGCTTGCTGTTTTATTACTGCAACAAGAAGAGTGGAAATTCTTTTCCCCAGTATCATCCAGATCCTTACCCAATCTACAATGAAACCACATTTTCTGGCACTGACGTTTGACTTCCTATACGCACTCCTAACGTATATCCTCTGAGTCTCCGCTAGTGAACTTACAGTAAGGGTTATCTGAGGTCCCTCTCTTAACTGCCCAACAGAGTTTATGCTCTTGTCAATCAAATATCCATCAGCAAAATGTCTAAGTAGGCAGATGGGCTATTAAATCAATCAGTGTTTAACAGGAGTATGGTGGGGGGTTTTTCTAGAAAAAAGGGTTGGATTTGAACCATCACTCACTATCACAAGAAGCTGAAAAACAAAAGTACTAACAAGGGAACAAATGCCTAAGTCCACCATCTGAGTTATAGCTTTAGTAAAGTGGAAGGGGGGGAAAGCAGTTTTCTCAGAAAGAAGCCCCTGGCTTTCTCACATGTTCCGCCAGCCTGCCAATTAAATTGTTTGGCAATTCATCATGGTATTGCTCCTGAACTGTAGCTGCAAAAACCAGCACTACATAATGCTTTTATCAGGTTTTGTTTGTATATGCAAGAGTACCAGGTAATTTGCTTGCTATCTGGCATGGATGCACTTTCCAGGGACAGCAAATCTATATCTGAATCTAAATATATATTGGCTCCAGACAGCTTCACTAAAGATAAACAAAAGCACTCAGTACCCATAAGCCATCGGGTCTTGCTGCAGGAGACCTTTATGAAAATCCTTTCCCCCTTCCTCTCAAAAACAGATCTGGTATTGGAGGAGATAAGCTATTCTGTCCCCATAGAAACTTGCATCCATCCATGCATACACCTACTCACAGCCAGCTGCTCATTCTTCTCCTGCACCGTTCTGCCTGACAGCAACTCAGGCAGAAACCCAGCTAATAAACTTCCCTATGTACATAGCATATGAAGAAGACTTGGCATTCATCATCACATCAGTCATTCATCGGTGACAGGGTTCTTCTCCATCCCCCATCCTGAGCCCTTTCTCACTTCCAAAATGCAGCCATCTGCCTGCCAAGCGAAATGACTTAAGGCAGTGGCTCCCAACCTCTTTGCCCACCCCCCAGCCCCGCAGACCACTACAAAATTGCTGTGGGCCTCAGCAGATCACTGAAAGATTTTTCTGTCTTTTGTGGTAATGGTGTTGCACTTTGCTAGGGGCTGCTTTTACTTCCTACTCTGTATTACAATTTAAATTCTGTGGAATTTAAATTGTAATGCAATAAAACACAACAAATAAAAGAAGCAACAAAAATGGAATTAATGAATGAATAATGTGGACACGCCATGGACCACCTGAATGAAACCCTTGAACTCCTGACTTAAGGGACTTCCTTCAGCTGGATATTTTGCCATCCTATCCTCCATCCCCAGGAGTAATCTTCATCCCTGAAAATCCTCTAGCCAGGATATTTCTGAAGTACGACACTATCTGACTTCTAGCAATGCAGCAAGATGATGATTTCTGACCTGTATTCAACCACTGTCAGTGGCGTAGCGTGGGGGGTGCAGGGGGGGCCGGGCGCAACATCTGGGGGTTAGGGTTAGGGGGTGCAAATCCACGGGTTAGGGGGTGCAAATTACTTGCCTTGCCCCGGGTGCTGACAACCCACACTACGCCACTGACCACTGTGCATTGCTTTCTCTTGCACGCCTCTTCAGGTAAGCCAGCAGCTGATAGTTGGGTCATTGAGGGATAGTTTGGTCATCTCCTGCTCTCCCCCCTTCATCTACACTTCATGCTGTTTAAATCACTGGCTGTGAAAAGAAAGCACTGCCTTAGGGCTGCTTTAATGAATGCTTGGGAACATTTAAGATAGTGGGATGTGCAGCTGCCCTGTGTTTTGCAAGTGCTAACTGCTAAAAGCATGTTACATCATCCATTTTGAAAGTGCTCCAGTGGTTTCTAACTTTTTGCCGGTGTGGAGTCTTAACCTTTCAGGCCATAATGGCCTGGACCCAGGATACATTAGGTATCACCTCATATATGTATAGACACACACACACACACACACACAGGTGCTTAGGGTCAGGAACGTATCTGGTACCTTCTATCCTATGGAACTTGCTATCTACTCAGTTTCCTCAGATTCACAACTTTTATGAAAACATTAAAAGCCGGATAATTTCAGAGGGATTTAGGATCAGAGTCGTTCGCGACTGGACTTAATTGTCAGGGGTCCCTTTACCTTTACCTATTTGTTCTTTAGTGTTCTGCTTTTTTAAATTGTACTGATAGTTGATTGTTCTGTTTTTCAATTTATTTAATTTTACATTAATTTATTGGGTGGGGGGTACCAGCTTTGCTCCTGAAAGTCAGGACATTTAGAGCTGGGCCTCCCCTAATTACCAGAGAGAGAGAACGAGAGAACGAACACACACACGTGAGGTGGTCCCTTGAGGGTCTGTTTTCAGCCAGAAGGGTACAATAAACATCTGAGAGATGGGGAAGCAGGAATGATCTGCTCACATCTGCTACAGTTGTGGGATTATAAATTTTCATTCCCTGCTCTTCTTTTATCTGTTATATCAGGCATGTCCATCCGGTTGATCGCGATCTACCGGTCGATCACGGGGCGTCCCTGGTCAATCATGTAATCCTGAGTGATGGCCCCCCCAATAAAAAAGCTCAACAACTTAGGCGATTTCTCCTCCCAAAAATCTCAGCAACTATGTTGTTGTCTCCCCCAAAATAGCTCAGCAACTCCCCCCCCCCAAAAAAAAGCTCAACAACTTCAACAACTTTGGTCAATCCAATGGGATTGCCAGTTTTTTTATAGTGGGAGTAGATCGCAGTCTCTTGGGAATTGGACATCCCTGTGTTATATCAACCATCTTATCATTAGAAACGTCCCTATTTCCCATCCTCCTTTGTTTCATCTTCAACTCAACTTCCAGGTTCTACCTTATAAAATGTGGGTGTTCCTCCTCTCCTTTCCTTCAAATCATCTCATTTTCTCCTTCCTCATCTTCCAACTCATTTTCTCCTCTGCCTATGAATAAGGTACTGAGGTTGCAATACAGTACCCAATGCCATTGAATTGAATGGGGCTTCTGAGCAGACAGTCTAAGATTGTGAGACAAATGTCCTCTACAGGAATAAGAATTGGTGTAATGTGCAACCAGAAACTCTGGCCTTTACCAGAATTGTCTACCTATAAATCCCTGCCCATTTCCCCCTCCAAATCACGCAACACTAATTTTCTACTGTGCATATCCTTGCCAAGACAATTATATGAGAGTTCATTAATTTGTGTGATTTGCCTCTCATTTAACACATTAAATGAAAATGAATTATGAACTCCCATGTGGATTTCAGCAGAACACTGATGCCATTTTCCAAATTAAGGCTAAGCCTATTCCTAGGAGAGTTTAATTCAAGAAAACACATTTTTAAAGAGGAATGACACATGGGATTTGCTTTAATCCAGAACGAAAGACATTCTCCTCCATTTTACTTTATTGTTCCCCATACAGATTCTGTCATATCAAGTTGTCCTTTACCAGTGCCAAAAAAGAGACAATTCGCGATAAGCAAGAGTGGCTCAAAATCTCACTGTAGAGGGGAACAGCTGTGTCCACTACCTGCCACTACAAGAGCCACTACTTTAATCAACAAAAGCTTCAGGGGTTGTAAAATTTGGAAAAGCCACCCAGGATTTTCCCAAACCCCAGAGGTGGGGAGCATATTTCTAGTGCCTGGAGATATAGAAACATCTTAACACAAGTGAGCGTAACGTATGAATGGAAAAGCTGACTTCTGGTTTTTCCTCATTCATCCATTATATTTTGGTGGCCAGAATGTTGCTACTGCAAAGTACAATTAAAAAGCAAAGGGGAAAAAATCTATTTAGAGATCTAAGTCCTAATGTATTCCCCAGACTATGCAGCTCCTTCCACAAGTCTGGCTTTTTGTTTTGTTTTGTTGTATTTTGCTTTTGGGGTCCAGTACAACTCTTACAATCTATGCATGCTTAATTAGAAGAAAATCCCAGCCATTATCATGGGACATGCTTCCAAGGAAGTGTGCACATATTGAGAATATTAAGGACAATAAGAAGAGCCCCGCTGGATCCGGCCAGTGACCCATATAGCATAGCACCTTGTTCTCACAACGGCCAACCAGGTGAGCAGCACATTAGTACCACACAAAGAGTGATCCGCAATCTCTGATAATCAGAGGGGTACCACATCCAGTACTGGAAGCAGTACACAAAACCATCATGACTTGTAGCTCCTTGGCAGCCTTATCCTATGAGGAAAATCTCTGTGCAGATTGTGCTGAGCAGGGGGCTTTAATTCCACTTTTATTGCACACACATCCCCAGGGAGTTCAGGTACCGCACGTGCATTGTTTTTTTCTCCCCGTTGTCTCTGTAAACAGGAGCAGGGACTGCCCCAAGGTCACGCAATGAGCTTTATGGTTGAGCAGAGATTTAAAACCTGCATCTGCCTGACCAATTTCAGCACTCCATCTCATAACGCCACCACTGACTCTCCTGTACGTACTGCAGAGCTGTGGTGTTATTACGCAATAAAGCACGGCCATTTCAAAGCAAGCAGTGTTATGTAATGTTTGTGCTCTCTGCACAGTGACCAGCACGCTACTGGCACTGAAAGAATCTTCCAATAGAAAGAACAGGAGGGTTCTTTTAAAAGCATATTAATTCTAGTCTACTAGGTAAGAAAGAGTTACAGGTGGTGTACATTGACACTGAATGAGAGGGACTGGATTAATGTTAAAAAAAAATAATCCTTCCAGTAGCACCTTAGAGACCAACTACATTTGTTATTGGTACTGTATGTGCATGCACACTTCCAACACGGCTACCTACCTGTAATGTACTAAGCATTAGCCTTGGCTGGAGGTTGTTTAATTGGACCTCATTTTTAAAGCAACTAGAATTTTATCTCCTCTGTAACATCATATAGGGGGACATCAGTGCCCACTTAGCACATGACCTTCAAAATTCCCAAAGGCCAGTCCTGCATGCAGGGCTAGAGTCAGGGCTTGCTTACAGCGATGCTCTCTTAGCAGCTATTGTGAATGTCAGGACTATATGCCTGTGAAGACATGCAGGGATTACCGGTATATACCCCTGAAATGGGTGCCCTCATCCACTTGCAAATAGGGAGCAGGATTTGGGTCAAAAATGGGATTTCTAGGGTGGCTGGAGCACCTCTCATTTTAGAAAAGAACCACCGCTTCCCTTTAAGGACTTACCACTACACTGTGGTAAGTCCTTAAAGGCAAGCGGTGCTTCACAGTCCCACAGAATAGGAGGCAGACAACTTTCCAAAGGCTTCACTGTGCCATTTAAAAAACCACCAGTCTTAAGATACCTTAAACACCAACAAATATAGTGTGGCATAAAATATGTTGCTGTACTGTTATTCTACCTGTATTTTTCTTGATTGTCTATTTCATACCTAACTTTGTTTTGTTTAGATAAAAGCGTTAAAATAAAATGTCGTGGACTAGTACAACTCACTTCATCTGATGCATTAAGTGCTCTCAGTTGCCATACGGATAAACACACACACACACAGGCACGTGGGGAAAACTTACACACCAAAGACCAAGCAGCGCAAGGGGTAAAGTCTGCATCTTTTAATGCAAAGCTGCAAAGGCAGGAGTGCGGCATCTGGTAGCGGAAACCTCTTACGAGGATCCTCGGATCACGGTGGATCCAGGAGAGCATCTGAGAGGAGGCGGCGCATCTGAGGGCGGAGGGGGCTCCGCTTGGAATGCGGTTCCAATGGGGCTTTGGCTCCACCCCGGAGCCTCCCCGCCCAGACCACGAGGGCTGCTGGCACAGGCTGGCTAGAGCACTTGGGGACGTCTTCCCGCATGCAGACGTGCAGGACGTGACAGAGGGGCAGACCGGAAGTGCCGGCTGCAATTACCAAGAAATACACGCGCTCACCTCGTGGTTGAGCCGGGGAGAGACAGAGCGGAGCACTTGCTCTAGTATAGTATTGCATTCCCTGCCGGGAAAGCGCGCGTAGCCTCAGCCATCTGTAGAAGGGGAAAAAAATCAACGCACACATTCTCCCTCGAAGCCGATTTTAAGATCGTTATCTCGATAGCGCAAAACCTGCTTCAAAACCAGCAAACACGCACGCGGAAGCAACGCTTGGCAATATCTAATTGGGGTCAAGTTATGATTAAACAACCAAACAAGAACAACTCTGTCCGATCATCAGCTATATGCCGTTCCCAGCCCCGGAGCCGTTAAGTGGTCACATAATAAGGCTACTTAGAGGAGAAAAATCGCGTGGGGGGCGGGGGACGACTCCTCTCCCTCATAATAATCCAAGCACCATTGTCGATCTGCAGATCTGAAGGAAATCAAATTATTCTGTTACCCCCTCTGGCTGTTAAGAAAGTAAGGCGCCAGCCTCTGAAAGTTTAATGGCTTTGCAGCCAAGACGACCCACGCGCCTTTTTTTAATATCTGCTCTAGATGGCGTTTCCAACAAGAACACCGCCGCTATAATTTAAATGCTTTATAACCCTTATGATTCAATCCATTTATATGAAAGGAGGGAGAGAACTGAACTCACTGCTTTGAGGAGCCGTGCTCTTAACTGGCCGAAGCAAATTCAGTGAGGACGCTTTTTAAATTCAGCCTCCCGGGTTCTTCAGTTTGGGTAGCGTAACGCGATGGATCAGACTGTCAGAATACAGAACATCCCCGAGCTCCATGGTCCATTCCACAGAATACATAGAAGGCAGCTTCCCAAACTGCCACCGGGCGTCTTATTTTTCAAACGTTGATCTGGCAACAGCGGTTGCCTAAGGTCATCTGCAGCCAACCCTGCCTCGCCTTTACTTCTTGTTGCAACTGCACCGACTAAGCAACCAATGACTACTTTTAGAATATAATATTCCTCTTGGCGAGAGCTGCCCATGGGGGGAGAGAGAGAGAGAGAGCACGTGCACAATAAAAGGCCGGAAACAAGCGCATTACTGCCTTGTGAGACGTTTTCACAAGCTTCCCACCCCCCACCCCTTTATTCCCCCAATTCTCTTTGCCTGCAATCTGAATATAAAACCTACACCTGCTGGAATATACACACAGTTTTTAAAAACAACAACAACAACAACAAATGCACGCCCTTTAGATCGCATATTAACATTTACAAGCAGCACTGTCCCTATGTATTTAAAAAAAGGCGTTCTTTTCAACGTTGGTTAAAAACACACAAACGCATATGCAGGCTGTACTCTTGACACCTCTCTCTGGGTTGATCATAGCCATCAGATTGTAGCACTTGGCAAAGAAGTCGCATGTACTGATGCAGCCAAGTAGCTTCCCCTCAGTCCTCATTCACACAAGCGCATATTTACAAACCAACACACAAATACAGGGTAACCTTACCAACTGAAAATGGAGGAAAAGCAGGCTCCAGAAGTGTGCTTCTGCTCCCCAGCCTGTTGCCTAGAAACAAAAGAAGGAACAAATGGGGATGGGATGTAGCATTCACTTCAGGTTGACTCAGTTGTGAGTTGTTCCTGAGGGCGTGCTTGACATCCTGCCTCTCACTAAGGCAGGACCCGTAAATCACATGAAACAGCTCTGGCCTATTGCTTTCTCTTAACTCAAGTGCTCTCCCCATGTAGGTAAGAACAAAAGAAGTTGTGGCTTGAGTATGCAAAGTAGTTTGTTCACCCTCCTCTTTCTTGCCTTTGCAGTACTATATCAGGAAGTAAAACTATAACGCCCTGCTGCTGTTTTGCATCATTTGGGCCATTTTAATAAAATAAAGCAAATTCTTGATTACTATTCCTATCATAGCAGTATCACCCGTGACTTTAACCTACATTGGCAATAAGATCCATAGCTAGATAACATGACTTCTTTAAAAGAAAAGAATGAAGAGCACAGAGAAGACAACAAAGGAAGTGCTGTAATCCTTTTTCAAAAGAACTTATTGAAAATCTTTCCATATTTCACTTAGACTTGTCAACAGGTTTCAATTATATCCTAGGTGATTATCCATTTTTTGTTCAAGTTTTTGTTCATGCTTATTCTGTGGCAGAATCCCAACAGCCAATTTAATATAACAGACCGACCCTCTCTGTTCTTAATTTACTATGTTGATAAGAAGTTAAAACCAATATTATACCATTATCTTATAATATAAATATAATAATCTACACAAATCAATAACACTTGAAGTACAACTCTGGTCACCTCACTTGAAAAAGGATATTGTGGAGCTGGAAGATGTTCAGAAAAGGCCAAACAAAATCATCAAGGAGATGGAGCAACTCCTCTATAGAACTGTTTAGAGAAAACTATATATGAAGAGATATGATATCAGTGTGTAAATTATGCATGGTGTTCTGGTGTGCCATCTGGAGTGGGGCGAGGGCCCCCCCCATGAATTTTCAAGGAGGAGGCGTGCTTCCATCACATGGCCCCAGCCCCCTCAATTGCAGGGGCAAAGTGGCATGTTTGATGGTGCTGAAAAAGTGGGTAAGGAAAAGTTCTCCTGGACCTCTCATCTCTCATAACTCTTGAACAGGGGTCAGCAAACTTTTTCAGCAGGGGGCCAGTCCACTGTCCCTCAGACCTTGGGGGAAGGCAGACTATGTTTTGAAAAGGAAAAGGGGAAAAAATGAATGAATTCCTATGCCCCACAAATAACCCAGAGATGCATTTTAAATAAAAACACACATTCTACTCATATAAAAACACCAGGCAGGCCCCACAAATAACCCAGATGCATTTTAAATAAAAGGACACATTCTACTCATGTAAAAACACGTTGATTCCCAGACCATCTGCAGGCCGGATTTAGAAGGCGATTGGGCCGGATCCAACCCCCGGGCCTTAGTTTGCCTGCCCATGCCTCTTGAACATGTGGGTAGCCGATGGTGCTGAATATTGAAAGATTCAAGATGGACCAAAGGAAGCCCTTCTTCACACAATGAACAGTTAAACTATGGAATTTGCTCACACAAGAGGCAGTGATGGCCACCAACTTGGAAGGCTTTAAAAGATTAGACAAATTCGAAAAGCAGACAAACGAACCATGATGACTATGTTCCAGCTCCACAGTCAGAGGCAGCATGCCTCCATATGCCAGTGGATGGGAAACTGCAGGTGGGAGGTGGGGAGGGAGTGCTGTTGTGATCAAGTTCTGCTTGCAAGCTTTTCATGGGCATCTACCTGAGCTGGCCACTGTGAGAACAGGATGTTGGGTTAGATAAGCCATTGGCCTGATCCAGCAGGCTCATTTTATGTCCTTAAGTATAGAGCTACTCAATAATAAAAACAGAAGAAACAACATTAAGGGAGAAGGCAAATATTAACTTATTTAGGGGCCACATCACTGAGGCTAGTGTAGACTTATTCCGATTGTTTTCTTTTTATAAGATCAGATGTAATCTTCCACAAATGTGCATCGTGGGGATGGGCTTCCTAATCTGCTCCCCACTAGCCTTTTTGTTGTTAAAAAATCCTCTCAAGTTGTTTTATGCCCTGCAGGTGGAATGATACAGGAGGCAAGTTTGGGAAGGTTCTAAGCAACAACAAAAAACCACAACCCTACTTAAATGGAAAAGGGTTATCAAGTACGGGTACTTGCCTCTACAACAACTTAAGAGGTTTGCTAAGGGCAAAATACTACGTGACACCATTCAGGAAGTCAGGCCGCTGTTTGTTTCATATATTAACTTTCAGAACCCAGACACACCCACAATCACACTCACATATGTCCTTCTGGAGACACTCCCTAGCCTAAACTGCATATTTACCATGTATAAAATAAAACATTAGTTTGTACATTGAAGGTGACTCCCGCATGCAATGAAGTGCTAAAGAGTGGCTAACACAAAGTGGCTATATGTAACACTGATGGTTATATGTTTGTGTGTTTCTTTAGGGTTGTTATATTGGGTGTTCTATTTGTGCTTAATAGGAAAAATCCAATTTGTTCAGGACTGCAGACTTAATTTCCCAAATGAGAAGTGGTCACTGCATGCTAAACCAAGGAACAGAGTATTTATTTACCTTATTTTCAAAAGCTGGAGAATGCCAGAGGCGGGATATAGTTAATCTTCCAATGAAATAGCCCACGGCTTTCAGCTACAGCCCATCACCACTCAGTAGAGAATGGTGTCCCACTGCCAGTGTCAAAATACAATTCTGACTACCAGTCTAGTCAGCGTTTGTTCATGGAATGGAGGAAGATACTATCTTGTCCTTAGTCTCAGGTAACAAAAGATGTGGCTTCCTTGCTGCTATACTTCTGCTATGAACCCAAGGTGAAGAACCTGTGGCCTTCTGGATGCGGTTGACTAAAACTCTCCTTGCTTACCTAGTGTGGGTTTTAGTAATATTTTGCAGATTTAAATTAATATTGCATGGCTTTATTGGGTTTTTAAAAAATCTTTTGTGAATTACTCCATGTGACACATTGTCTAGTTTTTTCTGAAACTTATGCTTTAAATGCGGTCTCTCTTTTTTAAGAATAAGTAAAAAAGAATCACCCCTAGCCAACATGACCAATAGTTAGGGATGAGGGGAGCTGCAGTTCGACAACATATGGTTGGCCACAGGTGAGGTTTCCCACTTCTGAGGTAGACATTTCATCACTTAACTTGGTTATATTTTGGGGGGGGGGTGTCCCGTTGTCAGACTTTTATAGTAATCAAGGTGTCTGGAAATATATGTGTACCAATTTCCCCCCTTTTTTGTTGTTGTTTATGGGATATCCCAGTTATGGGATAACTGTGCCCTGGGATTGAATAAAACCTGTGGAAGGGTGAATGGATACAGTACATAGTTTTCACCTTTTAGTGTACAAAATGCCTTGCAAGTCTTTTCTAATATTGGGTGACATCCAGTGATGTCTGCCAACTTCTACAACGGAAATCTGCTTGCACAATGGGACTTCTGGTTTCTCTTTGCCAGCTTCCCCCAAAATCTGCTCTGTAGGGTCCCCCAACTCCAGATTATGCAGGTGCAGGGAGGAGGAGAGAAAGGAGGAGCTCTGTTGCCCACTCTTGCTACGGTGGATTCACAAAAAGGACCATAGCATATGTTAGGATGAAACACAGTAACTCCTCCTCACCACGCTGAGGAGGAATTCAAACTGAGGCCTCACAGGCCCAAGCCCATTGTAATAACACTGGTCTCTCCCCTATAACTTGATGCTATCTGCTACTCTGTGTGACATTCACTTGACCACAGCACTGCTAATTTGTGAGCTTCACTTCCTGATTAGCAAAGCCGACTTTCCACTACAGCGTTTCCACAATTAATTCTAATTCAAACTGAAATCTGTGTAGAGAGGAGCAAAAGACATTTGGTCCATCTCCCACAGAGGCATTATTTGGCGGCTTTGTATTCTGAGGCCAGAGCCTGGTCCACCTCTGCAGGGACATCACTTCATAGATGTCAAAAGAAACCTTTGTCTCTGCCACTGGTGACCTTTGTTATTTACCAGAGGTTAATCCTCCCCTGCTCCACTTCCATCCTCTTTCAACATCCCCCTTCTCTTGCAGCAAACATGTGGTTCTTCTGCCATCCCCCGCCCTGCAATCTCCCCTTTTGGTCCTGTTTGATAACAGGTTCCATCAACCTACTACTCAAATCTCCTTAGATGCTTCCTTCTCTTTCTCTTACTATCCGCAGCATATCCTCAGGCTTTTACTGAGTGATATTTACACACATACACACACACACATATATGAAATTTTCTCCGTGCTGAAAAGCAATCCACACACAGAATTTCAATAATCTTTACAACAGAAACAAAAAGTTATATTTATGGGGGTGCTAAAAGGGAATGACTTAACAAAATGTCCCAGTGGCTTCCTGGCTTAGCTAAGATTCATGCTAAAGAGGTATGGGTTTCATCAGCATTGTGTACAGTGCATTGTGTTCCAAGATGGAGGAAAGCTGGAGTGCAATGTACTAATCAATACAATGCAGAAATAATTTTAGTTAATTTAAATACTGATAATGGAGTATGCCACAAGCAGAAAGAGAAGACAACCAAAGCACTGCGTGGGAAGAAATATGTGTAGCCAAATCAATCCAGGTGTTTCATGCAACAAGTACACTGTCACATCGTGCAGAACCTCAGATACTTCCGGAAGAGTAAGCAATTACCAGGAGGGTAGGGGAATAGACAGAGATTCCTCCATATCTCAACATGAATTAGTTAGACCTTGGAAGGCCAGTTGGTAGACCACCCATTCCAGATCTAGACCTGCAGCGCATGAAACTGGAGACTCATTCCCAGTGTCTGATTCTCCTCTGCCTCCTCCCCAACTCCAAAATTCCTTCTCCTGGAAACTTGCCAAAGCCCAGCTGTAGGAATCATTCTAAGATTTCCCCCGCCTTCCAAAAAATTACTTTGTCTGTGATTGATTCACTGCAATTAGAGGGGGAGTTGCAGTTAGCAATAACATTTTTTTTAACCTGCCCCAAGCCCTTGGGATGAGGTGGGATGTACATGGAATAAACTGAATTATTAAATAATTAAGCAATGAATTATTAGTTCAGGCTCATCCCAAGGAGATCACTTCTGCAATTAAAAGGTGGGTTTGAAATGTCCCATGGCATTTTGTTTTATCACATTGGTATAGGTAAAGGTAAAGGGACCCCTGACCATCAGGTCCAGTCGCGGACGACTGGGGTTGTGGAGCTCATCTTGCTTTACTGGCCAAGAGAGCTGGTGTTTGTCCACAGACAGCTTCTGGGTCACGTGGCCAGCATGACAAAGCCGCTTCTGGCGAACCAGAGCAGCGCACAGAAGCGCCATTTACCTTCCCACTGGAGTGGTACCTATTTATCTACTTGCACTTTTGACGTGCTTTCCAACTGCTAGGTTGGCAGGAGCAGGGACCGAGCAACAGGCACTCACCCCGTTGCAGGGATTCGAACCGCCAATCTTCTGATCGGCAAGCCCTAGGCTCTGTGGTTTAGACCTTAGCGCCACCCACATCCCATCACATTGGTATAGTATAGTGAAATAAATTAATGACATATATTTACAAACTGTATATCCTGATAGTGTCAACAAATGAAATAAATGCACATAAACACATGTTCTGGACCACTAAACCACCTGCAATGTAAAGAATGGGGCTTGTGTGGCAAGGAAGGCAGCTAGGCTCCCTGGGCAGATCATCACTGCCACCACCCCAACACCCATCAAGACTCCTCAGCTCTTAACTTGAGTATGAAATGCAAAGCCCCTTCACGACCACCCAGCCCAAAAGGCTTTATTATTATTATTATTAAAGCAATTTAGCACTTCATTCAACTGCTCTCCTTTCTTTCATGAGAAAGAGGAAGAGTAACCAATCATTGCAATGACTAAAAAACATTCCAATTGTTCTTTTTTTTAAAAAAAAGCACACCCCGTACCATCTGGTATGGGGTGTGTTTTATACTATATGCAGATGATGCTTAACTACCAGGATTGCAAATCTCAAAATCAGCCTGGAACTGAAAACCAGGCAGTGTCCTCCTTGCTGGCTTCATACATAATTGCCTGCAGGCTTTTCTGCTCGGGTGGACACATTGGGAGTGGGGGGAGGCTGTTTCCTAGCTGTTTCCTAGCAGTTGAGTGCACAGATCCATCAGATAGGCCAGAAAGCCATTATTCGCGTTACTAGCTTTGCACTTTTTTTTCATTTAAAGCATCCAAAAAAAGGAAGCTGCTGTTTGCTACTGTGCAGGAGTCATCGTGACTATATATCCAACGTACTAAAAACTCATGCCTTCAGCTCTAGAGAGTAAGAATTCAGTCCCTCGTGCCCCAAACTGGCAATACAAAGGTCATTTAATACCGCCATTTAATTGCTCCCGTCCTACGAATCTCCATGCCAGATGAGTAAAGGCCCACATGTCCGTGATCACTCTGAGCTTACCGGATTCTGCCACTTACAAAGCTCAAGTTACTCACGTGCACAAATGTTTGCATAGCATTGATCAGAGCTGAAGTCATGGGGAGAACCGAATACTCCCTGGGAGAAGATCTACTGATGGCGGTGTCATTTTACAGCCAGAGTAGAACTGCACTTTAGACGATGCCACAAGCTATGTAAGTCTACCTCTTGAGAATTTCCCCTCCAGAAGAAGCAGCCTGCGTTATATACTGTACAGGGCATTGAAGTTGGGGGACTACATTAACAGCCCCAAATCCATCAGGTCCTAGCTACCTACTAGACCCTTCCTCATGCTATCAAACCACTTTGGTGGTTTGGCAAACTGCTTAGAGAGTATTAAAGCAGTATATAAATAAATGAAAAGCAAGAACATTGCAGTACCAGCTTCATAACTAATTCAGTGTAGCGTAATGGTTAAAATGTTGGACTGGGACCTGGGAGACCAAGGTTCAAATCCCCATTCAGCCATCTGGGTGACCTTGGGGCAGGGAAGGGGGGATATAAATGTGATAAAAAAGTAATAAATCTACAGCTTCACATTTTTACTGTCATTTTATTTAGAGTTATTCTCCTTTCTATTATTATTTATCGTTATCATTATAGTTGTCAGGAAAGCTTAGTTAATTGTTGATCTATAGTGTTTGTAAAGGGCTCAGAAATATGTTAGTTAACCCAAACACCAAATCTGGCTTCATATTGGGTCCTCAGATTGCTGTTCCACAACCCCATCATAGTAAATATACACACTTATTTTGAAATATAAATACCCTTTGCCACAGTGGGCTTTCCAAGTGAATAATGGAGGATGTAGATGCAGCACTACCTAATTACTGTCATATGCAGCTAAAAAAATCAATCTGATGCCATCGGTACTTCAAATAGAAAAAAGAAAAGCGTATAAACACAGATGTCAGACTTGATATTGCTTAATAGAGAAATGTCGCTGTCGCAATTCAAGACAAGAACCAGTCAAACAGCACAGGCAGATATAAGCAGCTTCGCTTTTGTGTTCTTTACAATTTTGTTGTTGTTTTTTAATTAACATACCAAAGCAAAAAAGCAGCAAAATAAGAAATAAGTACAATCTTGCCCATATCATTTGTTTACAACATCTATGCCCAGGGAGGCGCAGTATTTCAATTCCAAGCAAATGCCCTAGATCCGTCAAAAAACATTGGATTAAATTAGATCAGTAACTGGGCACTGGCTGGAGGAGCCAATCAGGCCCAAGCTGACTACAGAGATGGGCTGAGATTGATTCCTACAGATAAATGAAGTTTTAAGGGAATCATTTACCATAGCCGGGACTGTGTGTACAGAGAAAAAGCACCTTGGAATCTTATCCAAGGATCTGGAATGGATACAAGTGCAGGTGAGTGGAGGACCATCTAAACACCAGAACCACACACCAACCAGAACACCATCTAGAACCAGAACTCCTTTTCAAATGGCACAGTTCAGGTTGGAAACAACAGCACAGAGCAGAGTACCTCTGAGGGACAAAAGCGTCTTCACACAGCCCACCTGGATGATCTGGGAGTGGGGAAATGGGTTTCAGGGTAAGCCTTCCAAGTCTCTTGCTGATTTGAGCCGGATAATCTCTGACCCTAGAGATTAAACGTTACCCATCTTCCCATTGCCCAGCCTCTCCCCTGATAAACAGGCGCGCGCGAGGTTTGCTCCTTGTTTCCCAGCCCAGTTCCTTCCCTCCCTGTCTGTCATCCCTTCACGAGCGTTTAAATCCCTGTGACATTTAAGGAAACTGGATCTCGCTGGAGACCCAGCCTCCCCTCCTCATCTCACGCGGTGCGCCCAGAAATCGAGTGCTCCTGTGATCCAGCCGAGCATCGTCACCAACTAGAGATCTATATCTAGGCCTTGTTCTGGGGTGTTTTCTGATGTTTAGAAAGGCGCAAACACCTCTCAGCACCCTCCTCAGGGGAAAGCCAGACTCCTTGTGATGCCCCTGGCTCCGGTTCCGAGTCGGTCTCGCTGAAAGAGGGAGGGAGATGCGCTCAGGAAGAGAGGCGGATGGATTGATCGCCTGTTTTAAAAGGGCTGTCTAAAAGCCCCGATGAGACTGGCTTTCGCTTGGTCCCGACACAAGCATCTCTCCTGGGCAAATCTCCCTTGGCCACGGAGCTCCTTGGGTCAAGGATGCGCGGGAGAGAAATGAATGAACTTCTCCAGGAGGAGGAGGAGAAGCCGGAGCCAGACCGCTCAGGGTGGCCAGGACGCCTGGCGCTAGCAGAGGAGCCCTTGGGGATCATGAGGACCAGCCTCTTGGAGCCGCGGTCACCGCGACATGGGCTAGGAGGGGGCGCTGGGAAAGCGCGATCGTGGAGATGCTGTTGCTGGGGAAATAAGGGCAACTGGACAATACGGTGCCCAAAGGGGCTATGTATGCCTGAGCCTTACGGAGGTCTGTCTATGGGATGCGCCCCCGCCGACGCGCAGACCTCCGGCTTTCACTTCCCCACCCTCCTGTTGCGCGCAGACAGCCGCCTACTTTGCCCCCTGCTCAGCTGGTCCAGCCGACGCCGGGCCAGGAGCATCTTGGGGAGGCAGCCGCGAGAGAAGGGGGCAGCGATGGGTCGCGGGGGACCAGCCCTGAGTCCTGCACAGCTGCGTCAACACCAAGCCCGCCAGGCGAGAGTCTCTCCGGCCGCTTGGCGCCTCCATCTCCCTCCGCGAGCGCTGGAGAGGAGACCCGGCGCCGCTCCTTCCCAGCCTTAAGCCAGCCCTCGCCTCCGACCCGCGCAGATGCGAGCAGGTGCCGCCGAGCGGCAGACCCCGGCGGGCCAGGAGAGCGCGCGGCGCACCGAGGTGCCCCCCCAGCGCCACCTGCCAGAGCCCCTTCGGGCGACCCGGCCGGACGGTCCCCTAGCGCGCGCTCCGCAGAAGCATCTCCCCGCCGCGCACAGCTCGCTTACCTGGGTATCCCGGACCGCTGGGCTGGGCTGGGCTGGGCGGCAGGTTCGGGCGTGGCTCCGTCCCCGGGCGCGGCGGGTTCGGTGGCGCGGCTCCCTGCCGTCCTGGGGCGATGTAGCGCCTGTAGCTCGAGAGCCGCGCAGCCAGCTCGGCGGGAGAGCGCGTCAGAGAGGCCGAGGGAGCCAAGCCGGGGCCAGGCCAGGCGGGTCCTAGCGCCTCCCACGGGCCGCTCTCCGAGGGGGCGGGGGCCGAGCGGCAGCGTGGTCGGTGGGAGCACGTGGGCCGCGACTCCTCCGCCGAGGCGAGACGGAACAGGAGCTGTGAGCAAGAAGACCTAGGGGCAACATGGAGAAAAAACAGAACTGGGTCTGCCCCCTGGAGCAGGGTCGGAACTCAGGGAGCTGATAGGTGGGCAATGCGATCAGGATCAGGTGTGACCCTGAAATTCTGGATCCCGCCAAAGTTTTGTGCTGCGAATCCCGCATTTTGTGCAAAGGGCCAAAACCCTTTACAAGTACAGTGGTATCTCGGGTTAAGAACTTAATTCCATCTGGAGATCAGTGCTTAACCTGAAACTGTTCTTAGCCTGAAGCACCACTTTAGCTAATGGGGCCTCCTGCTGCCGCCGCGCCACCGGAGCACAATTTCTGTTCTCATCCTGAAGCAAAGATCTTAACCCGAGGTACTATTTCTGGGTTAGCAGAGTCTGTAACCTGAAGCGTCTGTAACCCGAGGTACCACTGTAAAGGGCCAAAAATCCAACCTCATCCTGTTTGACTCCAAACCAGTGCCAAAGTTCTCTGCTGGTTTTGTGCCGTCGCAAACCTCGCTTTCTGTGCCCGCCCCCCAAACTGAGTAATTGACGCTCAATCAGTGCATATAGACACGGATATGGCGATACAGTAAGTGGAGAGGTGTATAAACACAGTGTATTACACCAGAACCAGAGGCACCATAGGTCAGGGGGCAGGACAGAACCATAGGCACCAGACTGGTTCAAAACCACAGCCAGAATGACCTTGACTTACAGAACTGGATTTGAAGATTTAGGGTATAACATTTAGGAAACATCTGAAAGCAGCCCTGTATAGGGAAGCTTTTTAAGGTTTGATGTTTTACTATGTTGTTATATATGCTGGAAGCCGCCCAGATTGTCTGGGGCAGCCCAGTCAGATGGATGGGGTACAAATAAATTACTACTACTACTACTACTACTACTATTAACTACAAGCCAGAAATGGAGCGGGCAAAGAAAAGAAGCAGAGAAATCTGGACCTTGGTCGGGCGCAGTGCTAAGGGAATTCATTGTAACAATGAGAATAGTAGGACCTTCTTGATCTAGGACCAGACACAGCTCAAGCACCGGGGCAGTTTCAGAACCAGAAACTAAAGGGAGTCATGCCTAGCTATCTATCACCAGGTTGCCTAAGGTAAGACAGTCAAAGTTCTCAAGTCAGCTTTTGGTCAAGAACCGAGCGGATTTCAGGTTTATCTAGGATGCTACCCAATTAATGTGTGATGACCCAGAACTGTATGGAATTAGGATTATATACCCAGGACCCAGGATTCAGGGCAGAGAAATGAAAATACTTCTTCACACACCACATAGTTTAAACTATAGAATTTGCTCCCACAAGAGGCAGTGATGCTGGCCACTAACATGGATGGCTTTAAAAGAGGATTAGCTGAGTTAATGGAGGATAAGGCTGCCAATTACTACTAGCCGTAATAATAGCTATGCTCGGTCTCTATAGTTGGAGGGCAGTAATGCTTCTGAATACCAGTTGCTGGAAACTGCAGGAAGGGAGAGTGTTGTTGTGCTCAGGTCTTGCTTGTGGGTTTCCGACAGACATCTGGTTGGCCACTGTGAGAAAAGGATACTGATCCAGCAGCTCTTCTTATGTTCTTAAGACTAGTGAAAAGCTTTCCCAGCAGTTTTAGACCAACAAATGTGATTTGCAGAGCCAACACATATACAACGTAATTACATTATTTGGCCTATCCCTCCTACTCTGTAACTCCATAGTGGGCTCCTCTTTCCTTGAATTAAGGAGTTTTTGAACACCACCCACACAGGAAAGCGATATTTCTCCTTACATTTAGCTTCCCTTCAGCTTCTTATTTGTCTGAAATCAAGTACCAATGAACTATCCCTATTCCATTTCACTTGCAAAAGCTTAAGGAGTGCAGAATTCACCAGCCTTTATCCAACAACAGTAACTGATCAATATAACCATATATCAAACCAAACCAAACATACTGATTGAAAGGGAAATTTGGAAGATTTTAGGACAGGCATTTACATTTTCGCAGCTCTGGCATCACTGAGCATATCTGCAGACCATCAAGTGCAGTCTCACTTGAAAGACTTGACATTCTTTTTTGCAGCAAGAGACAGGGACATGCAGGAGACATTCAAGAGGCTTCTTCCACTGACTGACTAGTGTAATGAGGCATGGAATATTGCCCTGGTGGAGAAATTGATAAATCAAGTGTCTGTCGCCAGAGGACCAAACTGAGACAGGCTAATTTTTTGAAACTTGGTACAGTTTTATTGGATTCATTAATGTTAGCATCTCGGATCAAAGAGCACCACAGACTGAAAGATATAGAGGAACTTGATTTGCCTGATCTTTAGTGTCTTCAGGGTGTGTGTCAGCAAGTGCAAGCATGCCCCAGTCTCTATGCAAGGTCAGATACCTGCTTGTACAGTACAGTTCTCTTACTTGCCAGTCACATACATATTTGAATGATTTTAAGCTCATTTGTATGTTAATCAGAGTGTTTTATAGTTACATATAGATTTGCTGTTCATGGCTTGCTTTCCTTCTTCGCCCTTATTGCATGCATGCATTTATCACATGCATATGCCACCCTGAATTTCACACCTTGAACTAAATTCCAGGCCAGGGCTCTGTCCATTCATCTCTCTACTAGGTTCCAGTTCCATAGGTTCCTCTGCCAGCTTCCAGAACTGTGTCCCTTTGCCCTCTTGTGTCACCCAAGGCTATTTTGGATGGCAGTGCTTGCTTTCCTCTCCTGTCACTGCTTATCTCTTAATAGGGCACTTGTGCACAGCAGTCCAGGATGCCTTTCTCCTCCCTCAGAGCTTTGCTGACATTTCTCTTGGCCAGTCCAGCTAGTTCACATTCTCCCTCCGCTGCTTCTGGCACACAGCGAACTCCCCTACTTTTAGACCTCACTTTAAAAATTGTGCACCAAAAAACCAAGGGCATCATCACATCTCAGTCAAAATCCCCCTCAACAGACCCCCACCCCCCGGGGCTGCATCCACAATCTGCTTTTAAAAATGTCAATTCCATCAGAATTCAATACCGCAGCAGCAGCAGCATCATACATTAAATGGTGAAAAGTGCGACCTGCTTCTGTAGCTCTGTTGAGATATCCGTTCTTAACCATTTCGAGCTTGAATAGGACAAAGGAAAAAATTGGCTCCTTTGTTCCAAGAAACCTACTGAATGGCTTCCCAGCCCCGTGTGGGTGAAGGGTGTCAGAAGTGGCGCTGTGTGGGCCGCTCTAAGGCCTGATAAGAACTTCCCTGGATCTTATGACACTTTTGTCTGAACTGTGATATAGACATATATACATACATACAAGCTTTAGCTCATATAATTGTAGAGTTGGAGGGGACCCTGAGGATCATCTTGTCCAACCCCTTCCAATGCAGGAATATGCACTTTTTCATTACTGTGTAATTATGTGTGCATTAATGACACATATGTAATTCTCTTTTATTAAGATGGGTACAAATGGGGATAGGGAGACCATTTCAGCCTAAGGGCCGCTCTCCCCTGTGGCCAGATTTCTGGGTTCTGCACATCACTGGTGGGTGGGGCTAGAGGGAAAGTGGGTGGAGCGGGGCACTTACTGTGCACCCAGGGGCGGGGCTAGGCGCCTGTGGGGGCAGCGCCCGTGGCAAGCATCCCAGGGGGGCGACAGCAATGTCACCCCCCCTCAGGGATGACCCCCAGTTCAGGCCGCACCCCCTTCCTCTGCCAGTGGGTGGAGCAACAGATATAACTCTTAGATTTTTTTTACATAGTACATCACATACAATTTCCAGCTTTGTTAATGTAACAACAGTCTGGTTTCTCTTTTTCTGTTTTCCACCCATGCAGGAACTTCTGTGTTCTTGGAAACAGATCTGGGTAACAACTGGATATAATACAGTGGTACCTCAGGTTGCAGACGCTTCAGGTTACAGACTCCACTAACCCAGAAATAGGGCTTCAGGTTAAGAACTTTGCTTCAGGATGAGAACAGAAATCGTGCTCTGGTGGCACGGCGGCAGCAGGAGGCCCCATTAGCTAAAGTGGTGCTTCAGGTTAAGAACAGTTTCAGGTTAAGAACAGACCTCCAGAACAAATTAAGTACTTAACCCGAAGTACCACTGTATAAGGGATCAACCATCTGTACATTTTTTCATCCCAGCAGTCCTGGTCTCAGCCTGAAACCTGCATAGCAGCACCTAATGTTATGGTCCGTTCCCTCCTCCCATCTTCTTGATTAAATCCAGATTCCATGGCTTCCACATCCAAGAACCCTTTTTCTCGCTGTCCCTCCCCTCGCTTTCTTTACTATCTCCCCTGATGGAGAGTTTTAAAGAACTCAAAAGCTTGCACAGTATTACATGCCATTTTGGTTGTCTTAATAAAGGCACTGCTCTAATGTAGGCTTTGTAGTTTTTCTTACAGGCCAACGTGGCTACTTTTGCTTTCTAATAAAGTTCCCCACCCTTGGTGTAGATTCATCTAATATTAGAATCCTAAAATCATAGAATTGTAGAGTTGGAAGGGATCCCAAGGGCTATCTAGTCAACCCCCACTGATTAAAAACTATATACCACCCTCTTGCCCCAACCAGTTCCTTCTATCAGTCATACTGTACTACTTGCATGGAGAGATGGTTCTGCATCACAGCTCCTACTCAATAGTTTCCATAAATTCATCCCTGCCCAAACAAAATTCCACCTTTACTCTCCCCACCCCCACTAGAAACATGCACAGCAAAGCCATTTTGTGACCTCTTAAATGTTATTTTCTAAGTGAGTGCTACCCCAATTAACATTACAAGTCTGGTGCAGCTACCGTTTACTGAGGTTTCTCTGTAACTTCCGCTAGCAACTGTGGGTTCTTCTTTTCCTGTTCCGGAACACATAGCTGTCTACAATTTCTTTTAAATGATGTGTAAGTCTGTTGCAGCAATACCAACAAAGAGTCTTAAATATGTACACATTTGTTATGGCATAATAAGCTTTCATGAAGCAGACTGCAGTTCATTAGATGCAGGGAGTGTTATCTTTAACTAACAAGTATATTTACATATCAGAATGGGGAGGGAGAGAGAAATGTAAACCATGGAGTAAACAGTGAGGTCAAACAATGAAATACACAAGGTCTGTGACAATTCAATTAACAGCTTTTTATTGAGTGATAACCCAGAGAATAAGATCATATATGGGTGGGAAAATTGACCCTCCAGATGTTGGCAGACTAACTCTCATCAACCCCAGCCAGCATACCCCATGGAAAGGAATTATGGGAGCTATCGTCCAGCAACATATGTCGAGGCTGGGGAGTCTCCATCCTTCCTCTACACCAGGCATGTCCAAAATCTGTTTTGGGGGTCTAATCCACCGGTTGGTTCAATCCGGCTCCTGTGGCAGTTTATTTCCTGGGGTAAAACCCTAAAAAAAAGCTGAACAACTTCAATCTTAAAACAAACTGAACAACTTCAATCCAAAAAAAAGCTCAACAACTTTAATTCTAAAATAAAGCTCAACAAGTTTGGGGTAAAATCGTAAACGCATGTTCACTTCATCAAATCTGGCCCTCTTTGAAAAAAGTTTAGGCATCCCTGCTCTACACTAAGAGATAAGAGTCACCAAGAGAAATAAAATACCAATGAACACGATTGATTCCTCTGCCTACACTTGCTACAGTTCTACACAGGGTGAAAGGGAAACCCCTAGCTAATAATATACATTTCCTTCATCTGAGGAAAAGTTTTATGGTGTATGATTTTAAAGTTCTGTGTTGCTTAAAGAAAAGTGAAGGGAATAGAGTTGTACTGTTAGACTGAAATCCTGTACATATTGACAGACTTACCTGGGAATAAGGTCCATTGAGTCTAATTAGTCTTAGTTCTGAGTAGACATGCTCAGGATCGCCCATCAAGATAAAAACAACTGGGGATTCCTGGTTTGAGAAAGTTCATGATTAAAATTGTTTAGACTTTTCATAACCACTGCCACAATGAAGGAAGTTAACAGTTAGGACAATGGATAGGAAAGTACCTTTCCTTTCAGCCGTGGCTGCATGTTGCAAGTGAGAAGGATGTGTTTGACTCTGTCAGAGCATAAATTACCTCATGCATGTGAGTCATCCTTACTACCCTGCAAGTACTCTTTTTTTTTTTTTTTTGCAGTAAATCTGCTTCGTGCTTATTTCACGTAGTTCTTAAATTGATGGATGGATGGATGATACATTCAGCTTCCTAGCAGGCAATCAGACAAAATGCCTTTTTGGTTCCTCCCTCCAGTTACACGATTATTTTCATACAAGCAAAGAAATTTCAAGACAACAAGGCTTGAGCTCCTGGAAGAAGAAAGGAATGCAGTGTTATTAATTAACAAAGGTTCTGCAGCAATAAGTCTTATTTAACTGCTATCTAAATAGCCTTCCACTAGTGTAGATATCTAATCCTTAATGAGATGAGAAATGGAGAGATAATCACCACCCGCCTCATACCCATATCAGGCAACCTCATTTTGGCTCAAACCCATGGAACTAACTTCAATTCCCAGACTCCACACGGTTCAGCAGCCCAAGAGGTGCCAAGGGAGGCATGTCAGAGTCACCTCAGCCCTCGGCTAATTAGTGAGGCTGGCTTGCAGTTCCTAAGTGGGTTGCAGTTATTGATCAAGCAGAACAGCATTAAGAGGTTGGTCTAGGGGGGAAGGAGAAAGCCTTCATCCTAATTTAATTATGCTCCTTAGCCTGTACCAATTTTACCAGTTGTGACATGTTTTAATGCCCAATAACCAGCCGGCTACCAGATCTATCTGTCTTCCTATCTGGTTATCTGGCTCAGCTGCTGTAGAGAAAGTCACATTTTAAAATCCTTGTTAGTTCTGGTTAAGATTTGTTGTGTTTCAAAGCTATACCCCATTCCTTTCCATTCCACATCATGACTCTGTTGGAATTTATAGTGCAATATTATCTTCTGAAAAGCTTGTGTCCATGCTATGTTATTGACAGAAACAGAAAGAATATGTGCACTCAGGAAGGCAGATATGGTAGTACAGTGAGAGCACCAGAGATGCAGCACTCCACAGTGCATGGCAAGATATTTTTGTTGACTCACTGTTTGAAAGTGACCTACTTAATCTGGTTCTGGCGGGTTGAGTTCAGTCAACTGGACACATGCAAATCAGCTAGAAAGAACTACAGGAAGTCTTCTTCAGTTCTAATATGGCTTGACTGTAACTCTTGTTTATTTCTCTCTTCCCGGATTCTCAAACATATTCCTGATAAATGCATAAATGCATCTCTCTATACCTTTGCAATAAATGCCCATTTACTGTATGATGGAGGCTGGCCTAGATTTACATTGGCTTCATTTTAGCACTGGTATTTAGGGATCAGAGAAAAGAGAAATGATCGCATTGAAATAATTGTCTATAATAAATATAGAGATTGTATGCTATTAAATACAATTTGGATTCACTTATGTTCTCATTGGTAGTTAATGCCATTATAACATTATTATTATTATTATTATTATTATTATTATTACCTTAAACATATGTTTTAAGGTTGTTTGCAAACATACCATAAAACCGCTCAAAATAGTTTTCAAAACTGCAAAAACAACTGAAGATAAGTTGAAGAACAATGCAAAATGAACACCAAAGGAGAGAACTTTTTGTCTCCCTGGTAAAACTTACTGAAACAAAAATGTCTTAAATTGTTTCTGAAAAGTACAGATACAGTGGGTGGGTGCCTGTCTCTCCCATGACAGAAAAAGGGCAGGCCACAGGAACTTTGACATGGCCGGGACCTCTGGTGCTGCTCACTGCCATGGCGCCCCCCATGTTGCCTTGCCGGAAGTCCCCAGGCATAAATCCGGGAACATTAATTAATATCTGGGGACATTCCGGGGACAGATTTTGTCCAGCAACAGATTGGTGAATCCAGGGACTGTCCCTGGGGACCGGGGACATCTGGTAACCCTACCTTAAGGCAATTGGAGCAATTGGGCCAAATTGGGCCCAGCGGGCCACTCTTAAGGGGCCCCCTGCACCAGGGCAATCTAGATGGATTTTATTTATATCTGTAAGATTTTGCAGACTTTGGCTGAGAACTGGGGCCCTACAAAAAAAAAAATCAAGTTGCGCCCCACTGCTTCAAATTGGGCGCCACTGGCTAGCCCTCAGTTTAATAGTTGCTGGGCCTCAGTTGCCCTGCCCTTGCATGAAGTCTTGTGTTTACAATTTTGGGAGAGGGGAGACTGTGGCACTGGGGAGCAGGCAGGCTGGCGAGGCCCCCTTGATTTAGAGGCCTGAGTTGCCCTGCCCTCGCATGAAGTCTTGGGTTTGCAATTTTCGGAGAGGGGAGACTGCCTGCTGGGGAGCGTGTAGGCTGGCGAGGCCCCCTAGATTTAGAGGCCCTAGGCTTCAGCCTATTTAGCCTATACATAAATCTGGCACTGGCCACACTAGTCCAGCTCCAAGTTATTGTGGAACAGGTTTCTTCATGCGACATAGTACTGCAACTTACAGAAAAGTGAGTCTGAAGATGATCTCAACTTACAGGCAGGTTCACACAACAGGAAGTAGTTCTTTAGCTACCTTGGTCCAGGTAATTTGAGGTTTTAAAGGTCAAGACCAACAGTTCGTTTGTTTTGCAAATTAAACATCTTTTATTATACCAAACATTCATTGACTTCCCTCCTTTTCCTTCCAAGGTTCATTTGTCTTATCCAACATTCCTGCATATTTTAATGTACCCATTTAATTCAATTTACCTTTCTTACATCCTCTGAATTATTTTAATACTGCCAGCGTTTTTAACTATATACAATTATTTTCAATATACTCAACAAGATTTTCCACTCCTCTTTAAATACCTGTTCTTGTTCTCTTATTCCATTTGTTAGACCTGCTCACTCTGCATATTCTACCATTTAAGTTACCAATCCTCCTTACTAGGAACCTCTCTTGGCTTCCATCTTTTGGCTAACAAAATCTGAGCAGGTGTTGTTGCATACATAAACAAAATTTTCTGACTCCTGGGAACCTCTGCCTATACAATTCCTAGCAGAAATGCCTCTGGGTTGTTTGGGGAAAGTTCTTTTCAACATTTCCCCCATCTCATTATATATCATTTCCCAATATTCTTTAATTTTTTTGCATGTCCACCACATATGAAAAAGGTTCCTTCTACTTTACATTTCCAACACAAATCGATTCCACATTATACATCTTAGCAAATCTACTCAGTGTTAGATACCTACCATCTATGAATCATTTCATATAGTTCTCTTTCAGCATGTAGCATGCAGTAAATTTCAAATTATTCTTCCAGAGATTATTCCAGAGGTTTAATTCTATATTCTATGTTCTGTACCCTATATCCATTACCCAGTGGGTCATTGATGCTTTAACCAGCTCATATTTTGTTTCCCATTCCAATAATAATTTGTACATTTTGGACAATTGTTTTTTTCTTATTCAGCAATAACTCTGTTTCAGATTGTGAGCCTTAGTCCAAAAAGCCATTTTTCTTATCTAGTCTGAACATATCATATAGTTGATGGTACTGTAACCAATCAGTAATTTGGTTCCCTTACTTCTTCCATTGGTTTTAATCTGGGTTCACTCCCTGAAAAATCTAACAAATCCCTATAAGTTGCCCACTGTCTCTTCATATTTATTCTCTTAATTGTAATTAATTGTAATTGTATTTGCTTCTGTTGGCAATAACCATGGGGTGTTTTCCTTTCCAACAAGTTTTTATGTTTCTCTCAGACTCTATACAGATTTCTCATAATAACATGGTTCATGAAGCTCTTATATATTTTAGCTTTCCCATACCAAAGACATGCATGCCCACCAAACTTCATATTATGGCCTTCCAGATCTAAAATGTGTGCAGTTTGAATTCAGCTGAGTTAACAAATTGATCACCACATTTTGCATTAGCTGTAGTTTCCAAACATGTTTTAAATTGTATTAATTTATTTATTTCAGGTAACAGTAACAGGTAACAAAACAGGCATTTCATATTACAAGACCCTTTCCATAACTTGGGGTAGCCTTAGAAGAATGATTTTATTGCTTAGTCGTCTTAGTCGTGTTCAACTCTCCGTGACCCCATGAACCAGAGCATGCCTAGGAAACTCTCACTTTCTTCTCAAAGCTTCTCCTTTGTTATGTTTTCTTGGCAAAATGCTGGGGTGGTTTGCCAGTTCCTTCTCCAGGTGGATCACATTTAGTCTAAACTCTCGGCTATGACCTGTCCGTCTTGGGTAGCCCTGCATGGCATAGCTCAGAGCTTCTTGGAGTTATTCAAGCCCCTTCTCCACGACAAGGCTACGAAGGGGAGAAGAATGATACAACGGTAAAAATATGAATGGCAGTCTGCATAAAATGTAGCCCAGTACAGCTTGCAGTTCCAAGATCTACTTCACACTGGGATCTGAAACATATTGGCAAATATTATTTCTGTATATTTTTGCATAATATATTGTTCACACCATGCCTCACAGTGAGGCTGTGTACACATTACCATTTACTCTGGCTTCACTGCATTCCTCCTACCGCTGATTTTTGAAATCGCGTACCCAGGTTGTTAGCCACAATCCATATCTAGTTTCTTTAGAAATACTGCTGCTTGATATGTTTCCCTCAAACTAGCTTCTAACTGATTTGAAAACATAATCCACATTCACTTTGATGTCAAGCAGCAGTGTGTACTTTTCAGATAGCCCTTGTGCGTGCGCAGATGCCAGCTTCATGAATAGGAGTTGCAGGCTCAGGGAAACCAAACAGGTAAGAATGCATTGGATAAAGCCATGCCTGCCTTCTCTCCGGTATGTACAACAATGTGCAAATGTGAATTGAAATGCAGATCACTGTGTTTTAAGATGCTAATGTGTACATAGCCTGTGTTTTGGTTTTTTTAGTTGTTCTGGAATTTGGTAACTGTGAGAGACAAGACCAAACATCACACTTCTATTACCCAAGAACTGTTCAATGTGTTCATAATGTTTTAAAATGTATATTTTTCTGCAGCAGCTAAGCAAACAACATATCTGTGGGCATCTGGGAAATGTTAAATCAACCAGAGTTTATTGCAGATTCCAAAATTAGTCCTCAGTTTCTCCTGTCTCTTGGTTATGAGACTGATGTATAGTATAGCTGATTTGTAGCTCTGTGAGAGCTTTTGAAAAAATGCCCTTGAAAAAATTATTACAGCAATATAATAACCCAAATGCTAAAAAAGCCAGTAAGAATAAAATATGCTAGTGGCATTGTGATTTAATGCTGCAGTTCTATGCATATTTCAGTAAGGGCCCCATATGCACTACACATTTAAAGCAGTATCATACCACTTTAAACAGTAATGGCTTTCCCCAAAGAATCCCAATTCATAAGTCTATCACTGGCTGCTACCATGATGCTAGATTCAGGTAGGTAGCTGTGTTGGTCTGACGCAGTTGAAATAAAAAAAATAAATTCCAGTAGCACTTTAAGAGACCACACAAAAGCTTATACCCAGAACATACTTAGTTGGTCTCTAAGGTGCTACTGGACAATTTTTTTATTTATTTCGACTGCTACCATGATGGATATGCTCTGTCTCTACCATCACAAGCAGAAATGCATCTGAACACCAGTTGCTGGAAACTGCAAGTAGAGAACTCCTGTGTTCAGGTCCTGCTTGTGAGTTTCCCACAGGCCACTGTGAGAACTAGATGGGTCATTAGCTTGATCCAGCAGGCTCTTTTTATGTTTTATTATGATTTTATATTTGTTTGTTGCCTTCAAAATCTGTATGATTTAGGGCAGGGCAGGATACAAAGACTTTGCAAAACAAATAAATAAGTGTTTCTGAAAACATTTTTCCTTTCCTCCCCTCCAAAGCTCCCCTAACTCTCTGCCCTTGTATTAAAATAATGAACGAGAACATATTTTCCCCCTAGCCCGTCAAACTCTGCACACTGTTTAAACATGTTAACATTTATTACGGGAAACTAGTCATGCTGTTCCAGTCAGGGAAGTCACTGGGGCTGACGAAAACGATGAGTGTTTAAATCCATCTTCCTGTGTTGCTCCAAGCTTCACGTAGACAAGAGGAGAGGGGGGGCGGGAGCGTGAGAATCGTAGGGCAGGGTTTGTGTGTGGGGTGTGACTGCTTTACCCAAAACAAATGCATCCTCGTTTAGAACTGAACTGGGTTGACCTGGTTCCCTTAATATTTCTTCATTGTAATGTGTGTGTTTTTTGTTGTTTTTTTATAGAAGGCAGAAATGTATATATAGATCAATGAAAGCACGACAGCAGTACTGTATGTGGAGGAAGTGTATAGGTAATGTTAAAGCCCCTGTAGGGGACACAAGCGAGGGTCCCGACCTGCATCAAGCCTTCAACCCCGCTATTTGCTTTTTAAAAGCCATTCACGCAACTGCTAATTGCCTGAGCAGCGCCTTTTCGAGCCTGGTCCTCGGCAGAAAAGGAAATGCAGGCTGCGGTGGCCAAACTTGACCCTCCAGCTGTTTTGGGACTACAATTCCCACAACCCCTGACCACTGGTCCTGTTAGCTAGGGGTGATGGGAGTTGTAGTCCAAAAAAGAGGTGGCGGGCCAAGTTTGGCCATGCCTGAGCGAAGAACTACGAAAGGCAGCGCCGCCAACATCCCTTGGGCATCATTATAGGAAGGGGACAGTGGGGATATCTCAACACTGGTGGAAGCTGGAAAGGGTAGCATAGGAAGCGTGGGCTCTCGGCTGTGTGTCTTGCGGGACTAGGGGAAGTTACTGTTGCTTCCGCGGAGAACTCAACAGGCTACGACCGGAGAGGAGCGAAGGCCGGTCCCAACGGCCCGAAGCGCCGGTTGCCGGAAGGAAGCATTTTCACGTCGCACCAGCCGCTGTGGTTTCTAAGGAAACGGGGTCTTCGCCGTTGCCGAAATTGAGCCGTTTCTTGGAACCTGCTGGGTTCGTGCAAGGAAAGGGGTGGTTGTACGAGAAGGGTGGGCTGGGTGTTTTCATCGCCAGTCTAGTGAGGCATAAGATACAGGTTTGGAGAAGGGGGGGGGGGAATTTTAGGCGGTTTGTGTGGTTTGCTAAAACCCATCACCCTAGGAAGCACAGACATAGGGGAAGGGGGCAGTTCCGAATTTACGTATAAGCTACACAAGCTATAGCCCCACTCTCTTGGGGAAAAAACTGGATGTACATTACCTAAATATAAAATAACTAATATACTTCTTTTTAATTGTGTTTCAGTTCAACAATTACTTTGATAAAATACATATTTTGTTATGTGCAAATGGCTTTAGATATCTATCAGGTCCGTAAATTACCATATAGGATATATTCAACACAAAAAACTGTGACAATTTGTTGTTGACAAAGGGCAGCTGGACATATAAAGGGCCCCATTACCTTCAGTAGCTTAGGGCCTCATCAAACCTAAATCTGGCCCTGGAAGGGGGGGGTATGCATGACAAAATGAGGCAAAGTCATGCGTGGGACATGGGTAGCATGAAGTGGGGGGTACAGTTATACTGTATGCTGCAGTCCCTGGCCATGCTCTTGTTAATGGCACAACTCTACACCAGCCCCAGACCTGATCAAAGACACTTCACTCTCATTTACTTCATTAACAACAACAGCAACAAAAAAAAGGTCACCCATCACTGGCAACTGTGCCTTCTTGACAGAGCATAGGGTATGGTAGAAACTAGCACCCAATCTATTATTTAAGCCCCCACAGAAAGAGGCCATAACACAGATAGTAGGGTGTAGGGCATGGGTCTTTTATCTCTCCGGTCTCGCATGATGCATATTTAATGCTCACGACATTTTTGTGTCTGGACTTGAACTCTTTAATGGGTATTCTCTGCCTCAGGGCTCCAGACACAAGCATGCAACCCTTGCGCTCCATTCTGGCAACTGGAGGTAGCAGGGCAGAACAGGATACTTTGCTCATGGGGGAATTTGAAATAGGAAGGGCCTGGAGCATGTTTGTGCCTGTCTTGCAAATTCCACCATAGGCTTCCCTTGCATGTTGCTTCAGCGTGTTTGTGCGCCTTTCATTGAGGGGTGGGGGAGTGGGGAGAGAAACTGTTTTGCCAAACCAGCAGTCGCACGAGAGCATTAGTCGCTACTTTGACAAACAGTACCATAGGGCTCCACTGCCTATGTATGTGGCCACTACCTAGTTCTATCCATTTCTAGTGTGAAGGGGGTATGGTGAAGTGACTGCTGCCATCGCTCAATCTTGGCCCGCGTGGGGCGGGTCCCTCTTTTTGACATGTGGCCATTGTCACTGGTGTGCTTCCTGGTTTGGTGGGCTGTGGTGGTGTTTCCAGGGACATGCAATGTACCTGCTGGTTTTTTGTGTGTTTTTTGTAGTTTCTGCTTTTGTTTTTCACCTTCTCCTTCCATGGTAAACACACATTGGATACACAACTGTTTCCACCAGCACAGTGGTGGTGCTTCTCTTCCCTCCCCAACATAGTATGAATATAGGAATGCTCTGCCCATTTCTTCCATTAAGACAAATGGGATTAATTTTGTATGGTCCTTGTAATCAGGACTGGTTGGAATATTTTAGCCTAATCGGTGCTACGTAGGCCAGTTTGCCCTTTTTCAGCTTTATAACAATGCCAGCTTCTTAAAATAGTAATAGATTAATGCTCTTAGAACTAGTTCCTTCTTTATATATTGTTTACAAGTTTAGCATACAAAAAAGATGCGATAGTAAATTTACTCTGAACACAAAGCTCTTAAAGAAGAAAAGAGCCTCAGCTAGCAAAGTATGATTTCTATTCCAGGAAGGGAAGGAGCAGTAGATGGTGTCAGTGTTGCCTTAATTTTTAGAATCACCCCCCCACCCGATGGAAATAAACTTTGTATAATTATCTTGTGGGAGCTGCTTTGTTCTTGGTGTTATTTTTTTCACGTCTTTTGAAGGAGACCTCCTCTTGGGTCTGGAAAGTCTTTCCCACACTGTGGGGCCCTCATTTGTCTTCTCCTTCTTTTTCTCTGGAGGTGGGACTGGTGATTCATTTGGAGGCTCTTTCCTTTCCGTGTTTTCCATTGTCTCAATCTCAAATAAAACGTTGATTTCCCCCCCCCTTCTATTTCCCAAAGTTCTTCCTTTGTTACAATAGGATCTTTTATTGGTCTTCTTGGAAGTTTTTGTCGTCTGGCAGGTGCTGCAGGAGCTGGTGGAGGACTGTCAGGTTTTGGAGGCGGCTTGGGTCTCCAGAATGGCATATTCTGGCTTTCTTTTCTGTCACAACATGTTCTGGGTTCAAATTCATCAGAAATGGGGAGGGGGAGGGGAATAGCATGCTCAGAAGGGGGAAAGGAAGAGGGTTGCCAGCTGTCCTTTAAAACATAGGTTGGTTCCCCTGTTCCTCCTTTCGGGATGCCTTTTGTAATAATGACTTGAAGGTTTTTGCCCTCACCCTGACTTGCCTGCCTAGTGCGGCCTAGCAGTTAGGCTCCTGGGAAAGTTGTGTTGCCTCAGTTTTGATCTCTAAGTTCCGTTAGAAAGATGTTGTCTAAAGATTACTAAATTTAACCAATGAGACATGTGTCGGAAGCTTTTTTTAAAAAAAACCAAAAACACTTATGAAAGACTTTTGATACTACTTTCATTTGGCTAATATCAGATAATTCTATTTTGCTTCAGAGGGGACAGTCAATACATTTTAAATATGTGAGAGTAAAACCCATGGAGATCAATCAGACTTAAGGCATGACTAATTTTCCCATTTACTTCAGTGGGAGCTAAGCTCAGCTAACTGACAGTGCAATACTATGTTTGTCTACTCAAAAGTAAGTTCCAATAAGTTCAGTGGGACTTACTCCTAAGTGAGTGTGACTAGGCTTGCAGCCTAAAAACTAGCCTTTAAAAAATATTAGAAATATCTAGGTGATTGCATTTATACTTCCAGCACACAAGTGCATGCATTTAGGAACAGAGTAAACATAATACATTAAAAAAAAAAAATCAGTAGTGTCTAATAAATACTATGAGAATCTAAGCATAAAAGAAAAACAATTCCTCAGCTAGGTTTTTTTTAGTAGCAAGATAGAATGCAAGTGAAACTGTCCCTATCGCTTTATTTCCATGCTGATGAAAGCTTCACTTGCTGCATTTTTTTTTGCTTGTCATACATCTGTTAACAGCAGACACCCGTTAACCTTTAAGAAATAAGGTTGGTGACTTTATACGTTACTACTTTACTAGAATACAATTTATTTAATTTCTATACCGCTTTATATTTTTAAGAAAAATCTCAAATCGGTTTACAGCTTATTCAATCAATAAAACATAAATAAAACAATCTGAAGAAAGTCAAATATAGAGTATACAGTCAAAGCAACATAACCAAAAACTAAATTATCTTAAAGATTTCAAAATAAAACATTACAAAGGAGGTCAAATACAGAATACATATTTCACATAGTAGGGCTGGGTGAGTCTGGGCTCTGCCCCCTAGGCCAGGTGGAAAGGGCCTTGCAAGAAATGGCCTTCACGCCTCACAGCCGGGCGAGGAGGAGCCTCTTCAGTAGAGCTGGTGAGTCTGGGCCCCACCACCTAGGCCAGCAATAAAATAATAAACCAACAATAAAAACTCTGTCCCACCTATTGATATATTTTCCTTTATGTATATGTAGCATAATATTTATCTACAATGGTTGTTTAGTTCAGTAAAAGGTAAAGGTACCCCTGCCCGTACGGGCCAGTCGTGTCCGACTCTAGGGTTGTGCGCTCATTTCACTTAAGAGGCCGGGAGCCAGCACTGTCCGGAGACACTTCCGGGTCACGTGGCCAGCGTGACAAGCTGCATCTGGCGAGCCAGCGCAGCACACGGAAACGCCATTTACCTTCCCGCTAGTAAGCGGTCCCTATTTATCTACTTGCACCCGGGGGTGCTTCGAACTGCTAGGTTGGCAGGCGCTGGGACCGAGCAACGGGAGCGCACCCCGCCGCAGGGATTCGAACCGCCGACCTGACAATCGGCAAGTCCTAGGCGCTGAGGTTTTACCCACAGCGCCACCCGCGTCCCATCGTTTAGTTCAGTAACCCTTCCTAAATTATACTTAATAATCCTGCATAATTTTAAAATTATTTTTATTATGTGAAATATTAACTCATTGTAACACGGAAAAGAGTAAACAGTCAGGACTAATCCCACAATTTTTGGTACTAATTACTTCAGTTCAGTGAACTGCATCCTGTCCTCCACTGGTGGGAGAGTGAAATAGTACAAATATAGCATTAAGCAGGCAGTGGTGGGATCTGTATTTAAAAAATATGCCTGCTGTACTGTACGCTCATTGGAGATGTTTTATTAGACTGTCTGATCTGAAAACCTTATTTTGCATTTGAAAAGATTAAAGAGCTACCATTGGATTTGTCTGATTCAGTTGTTTCTGTTCTGCATGGCATTTGCAGATGGAATAATCTGTCATAAATGACACAGAAAAATACCATGCTATGAGTAAAATGAGATGTATAGCAACAGACTCAACTTGAGCTCTGGCTAATCTGTATAAAGATGTGGGTTATGATTGAAAGCAGGAAGCAGGAGCTGAACCCTTTCTCAATGCAGACCATTACACTCTTGAAAACACTATCACCCAGCTATTTCCTGCCAGGTGGGGATTACCATACTGGGTAAAAGCATTAGGGCAGGATAAAAATATTTGTATAAGTAAATAAACAACAAGAAGAATAGATTGATACAAAAATAAAAATAAAATGCCATCCTCTGCCCTAATGAATGGTTTTCTTTTTCAGGTTCAATGATGGCCCATACAGAGAAAGAGTTGAATGACCTTCTTATTTGTAAAGAAAAAGAACTGAAAGAGCTCCAAGCTCATCAAATCCATTTTCAGAAAACATCACTGCATGAAACCAGAAAGCAGCTTCAAGAAATGCATAGGAAATTCAACAGTTTAAAGGAAGATTTCACCTATAACCTTAGAGTCTTAGAGGAGAGAGATAGAGAGCTGGAACACTATGAACGCTTGTTTATACAGTTGAAAATGGTTGAAAATGCTAAAGAGGCAGAGGTTAGTGATCTTAGAATACAAGTGGATAAGCTGCAGCAAACACTTGCCAAGGAAACAAAAAAGCAAGAGTCTCTGCAATACCAATACCATCAAAAGCTTAAAGAACACCAGTTAGAGTTGGAGCGGCTTCACAGGTAAGAGGGATCCAGTGCTGTGTCGCTATGACAGAAATTCAGCCTTCTAGATCCAAGCCTTGATTCTCTCTGTACCTCATTCTGGTAGTAATCCTGCTCAGAATAATGGAATTGTAGAGTTGGAAGGGACCATGCAGGTCATCTAGTCCACCCTCCAGCAATGCAGGAATTTTTTGCCCAAGGTGGGGCTAGAACCCACATCTCTGAGATTAAGAGTCTCATGCTCTACCGGCTGAGCTATCCCACAATCCTGCTGATTCTACTTTGTGTCTTTGCCATAAAGAAATTGGAAGATGGTTCCCCTTCCACATGGGGGGTGGAGCAGTCAGTAGCATGGACTCCTGATCTTATCCATTGCCTCTTTGTCCCCCTGTTTACCCACTTTTTTGTTTGTATATAAGGACTTTCCAACTGCTGTTAACACTTAGTGTATCTTACAGAGTGTACACTGGTTCGTGAATGAATGCTTATGCCGCAAAAAATATGAATCTCTTTTTAGAGGGTATTGTAATCAAACCCTCTAAACAGAATGTCTGTACTACTCCATTTTCTTGAGGCAATTGTGCATTGGTTTTGTCTTGTATGCAGCTGCCTCAAACCATTACGTACTGTAGATGTAGAGAATTTCACGTGCAATGTAGGCCATTGTGATCCTGGGTCTTCCTTGGCTATAATCTTTCTGCTTTTCAAGGTATGAGATATCTTATCAGATCTGTTGCTACCTGTTGGATTGTGGCAAGATTCAGTGGTGCATATATGAGACGCTTTATTACATAATACTTGCTTACACTATTTAAATAGGTAAATAGCTTAGATCGATGCTAATGCCATACTCTTATTCTTTCAGGCAAATTAATGTGTACAGACACATTTGCAATTAGGGGGAGGTCATTTTGATTCAAGAGCATGTGAATAGAAATTAGTATTTGCTCAAGTGCACACTACATGTTGCCGTTGTTCTTCCAAAACACAATAACTTATTAAACTTAGTTTTAATTCAGTCCACAACTTCTTATTGAAGGGTGCTTATTTTTAAAACTATTATTTTTGTAGCCATAGTGAATGTGATGTCACTGGATTTTTATTTTTAGTTCTAAGGACTCTGATATCAATCAGCATCTTCAGGAATATGGGGATATGAAGCAGCAACTGGAGAGAAAACTGCAGGAAGTAGAATGTGAACTTGCTTTGCAAAGACAGGTACAGTATGTTTAATAAATGAGATAAATAGATTTTATTTTTTGTTGCCGTTCCTACAGACAGATGAGAGTTCATTATACTCTACAGTTACTTAATTTTCCCCAGGCATCTAGTTCCCCCTGCCTAGTCTGACATTAAAAGTAATGTGCGATTAATGAGCAGTACTGAAATTGCTTTCCCATTCTAGGTATCAGGTGGCATTTATGTTTTTGGTTATCTTCTCGCATTGGCAGCCTCCCCTTGGGAAAATTGGTAAGATTGTGTCTAGTAAAATGAGATGGTGTAAAATTCTTTCCACAGGGGTAGAGCCAAAATGTTGTGCTAAATTTGCCAACCTTGAAATCTCAAGAAGGTCAGAACTATAAATCAAGAGCAGCTTTACTCAGTTGTGAAGGCTACATAAACACCCTGGCCTCCGGCATCAGTCCCTACTTCTCTAATTTCAGGGTTATCTTCCTTCCAGATTTGTATGTAACAACCAACAGGGCTATCAATTGATTTAATTGATTATTTAAATTGATTCTTTATTTTTTAAAAAAGTTTATATATCCTATATCAGTTGATTTCAGGACACTTTAAGATTATAAATTACATTCTAGGTATAATCCAAATTTATCTATAGAAGTATTTTTGAGATACTGAAGAAGGTATAAAAAATAAAAATAAACAAAAGCTACCTCCCAGAGAAAAGGTGAGCTTTTTATTTTTTTATTGTTTCTTTTTTATTTTCATAATAGTAATAATAATAAAAGGAAGACTTAAAAACACACAACTGGAATTTAAAAAGCTGCAATAAATAAATGAGTTTTCATCTCACAGCCTCATCCATTAAAATTGCCCCTAATCTACTAAATTTTTAATTGATAATTTACAGATTAAATTATTGAATGCTTGCAGCCCTAATTTATACAAGTCTCTCTCTGTCTTGCTTATGTTTTGAATGTATGGCAAAAGGAACATTATGAGTTCCCTTAAGGAGTCCCAGAAAGTTTCGTCTTCTTCAGGTTTGTTTGTTGAATACTTATGTTCATAAAAAGTTAAAGATCCTTCTCATCATTGGCTTCTCTTATAACTCTTTTCAATTTTGTAAATTTAAACTTGCCACTGGGCATGTTGCCCAGACACCCTCATTGCAGATGCCTCCTTTGCCCTCCACTTACTCCTTTATCCACCTCCTCATCCACTGTTTCTCACCCCAGAATTACTTCAGTCTTTGTTTCGTCAACTTCATTTCAGGAACTGCTAGCGGAATTTGATTCAGAAATGAAAAAAAGAGAGCATGAGTTTCGACGGAAAGTGGATGAAATGAGCAATTTAGTTCTATCTCATGAGCTTAAGGTAAATGTGCCCCCAAAATTTGAAATGTACACAGCAAAAATAAACAAACAATCAATCAATGTACATTCTATTACTTCTATTTAGCGTGTTTTGTGATGTATAGACAATAAGTGATCAATGGAACTCATGGCCTGTTTTTCCATGGAACATTATGAGGTTAAATGCCATAACTACTGACTGTCAATTCAGACACCGTACAAAACCATAGTTAGCAAAACTGTATGTTATAAGCCCACTTTAAACCATGTTTTTTGATTAGGATGTGCCAGCTTTCATGAGCAGTTAACTATGTCTGTATGTTGGGGCTTCAAAGCTCAGTGCAGGGATGTTTGAAAGCCATTTTGCTAACAGCCCTGTACTGCTCTTTGAACTTCTGAAAACTGGAGGTTTAAAGACTAGTGTGAAACTGCTTGCAAAAGGGCTTTCAAAAAGCCCCACTTTGAGCTTTGGCTGCATGTATCTTTTCCAATTGAGCGAACAAGTGGGCGCAGCTGCACTTAGCAGGATTTATTCCCTGTTCATTAGCTGATGAACAAGGGTTAAATCCTTCTGCTTTGGCTGTGTGTGCCAGTTCCCAGTTAGGGTACAGAAACACAGGGCCAGTGCAGAACCAAACCGTCCCTCCCCGCCAATAGCTGTCATCAGTGTGACATCAGCCAATTGGCAGGTGGGTGTTTGTTTTTTAAATGGTTGTGTGGGCTGAATTTGATACCGTGGTGAGCCAGGGTTGGCCTGCAGACTGGAGGTTCCCCAAATCTGACTAAGCCTTGGTTTGGCTTTGTGTGAGATGCAGACACAGCCCATGTGCCTTTTTGTTCTCCTTTGAAAGGTGAAGCTGTTGACCAAAGAATTGGAGGCTTTGAAAGAGGCTGGGACAGAAGTGGCAGAATCATTGAAAATGGCAGAAGCAAGAAACTTGGAGTTGGAGAAAGAAGTCAAATGCAGGGATTGGGAAATAAAGGATCTTGCAGCTGTGAAAGATGCCCAGTAATGTACCATTCCATCGAGTATTGAGAAAAATTTCCTTTCAGTTCATCATTCCTTTCTGCCTCCCAGTATATTCTTAATCCATTTTTTTCCATGTCTGTAAAAGGAATGTGTTTATTTTTGTTGCTGCTGCCCTTGAGGTTACATCTGGCACATCAGTGGCTCATGTCATACTTTCTTCACTGCTACAGTATAGCTTAAAGTTGCAGTGCTGGTTTCCAGTCTTTCTGCTCCTTTAGTTTCTGTCAAATTAGATAATGAACCATGGGTTGTATGCAACGCAATGCAAGCAGCATTCCACTTATACACTGGAACTTCCTCTCCTCTCTCGACACACCCCCAAAATCTGATCCAGAGTAGATTTTGTGGGGGCATGGGGGACTGCAAGGGAGAGGAACGGAAGAGGAAGTTCTGTTGTGCGGGGGGAAGTCCATTGCAGAACAGTAGCAGTGGATACAACCACCTGTGTTTACATAACAATGGCTTACATAGGCGCCAGTTCTACAGGGACCTGGATGCCAGGGCACTCACATTCCGTTTTTCCTACAAAGCCTCGGAACATGATTTCCGGCAGAAACCAGAAGTTGCGTTGGAGGTCTTGTGAATCCTCGTATGTTTCCTCGGAAGCGCCGCTGTGCTGCCGCCACAACATGACATCATGTTATGTCGTGGACGCCATTGAGCACCCTTAACCTGGAGTCCAAGTCAGTGCCCCTGGTGGGTTATGTCAAAATACTGCCCCAGTAGGAGATTGGTTTTCATCCTCCAAGTTTTCTACTCAAATACTGTTCTGGTAACATGACTTATTTTGTAGCAGTTGTAGTATTTAAATCTTGAAGAGAAATGCACGACACATTTCCCTACGTTTCTGATATCTATATCTGTGCAAGGAATGACTCCCCATCCCCACCTAAAATCAAAATAATAACTTATGAGCCAGGTGGGAAACGGGCTGCCCTGCATATATGTTCACCTTTTCTGCTTTCCCTAGCTCAGTGGGGAAAGGTTGCAAAAGAATAGCAACATGGGGTACAAGAAGTATGGGATGTAACAGCATTCAACTGAATATTTATTTTAATTGGAATCACAAAATCATAGAATTGTAGAGTTGGAAGGGCCCTGGAAGGTCATCTAGTTCAACTCCCTGCAATGCAGGCATCTCAACTAAATGTTCACATCCCTTCAAAAACATTCAGTTCAAGCACAGCTGACATTCCTTGCTATGATTCCCGGACATGAATATAGATCCTGCAGGCCTGCCATAAGCTAAACTATTTAGTTATTCACATATTTATTTATTTAAGATGTTTCTAACCCACCCTTCATCAGAACAGATCTCAGGGCAGGGCACAATACTATTACAAATCCTCAAAACCCATCAATCGCATTAAAACAACCAGAAACAAAAATCTATGAACCACAAGAGCTGGTTAAAAAAACAAACACCTTAATTAAAAACTTCAAGGCTTTAAAAACTACAAATCCTATATTTAACTACAAGAAACTATATTCAGTGGGGCACCTAGCTATGCTAGATCCATCATTCTCTTTTTCTTAACACTTTATCTTCAATACAAATGAACTAATTTTAAAGCGTTATTTTATTGTCCTCCAATATTTGCCAATACAGGATACGGGATTTAGAAAGAAAAATCGATTCAGTACAGCTGAGCTGGAAAAAAGAAAAAGAAATATTTGAGAGAAAGTGAGTTCTTTGGATAGATGACATTGTCTTCTTTGTGTACTTTTCTCATTAAGAGCAGTCATTTTTTCAAAAAGTAGTGGGCAACAAGCAATTGCTGCAGATAACTTTGGTGTTTGATGCAACTGAAAGTTGTCCTTTCTGTTTTCAGATAGTGATGTAATCTTACTGCATGAATATATTGAAGTTTTAAGAAAGATGTGTTGTTTTGCATGTTAGCATTAAGAATGTAATATATAAAATAGTCCTTAAGTAGTGTGTGGATTAAGTATTTGTTTTTATCTGTGCTCCCTCTCCATTCATTACCCAGTAACATCTTGATTTGTTTAGGGCCTAAAAATAGGCAAATGGTTACTGTATTCTGAATTTATGGTCCTTTCTCCTGTAGTTCACTTTTAAACACATTGATATAATTAGGTGGTTTTTGGGTGTTCCTAAAGGGCATTGGAAATATTTAAAGAAAGCACTTCTTAAACTTTAGCATTTCCAATGTGTTTTGTGATAAAAAGGACCCCTTGTACCCCCAGCATAGTTAGAAACATAGGAAGCTGCTTATACCAAATCAGACCACTAGTCCATCTAGCTCAGTATTGTCCACACTGACCAGCTGCGGCTGTCCAGGGTTTCAGACAGGGGACATTCTGAGCCCTATTTGCAGATGTTGGGGATGCAAAGCAGGTACTGCTGTTTTATTCTTAATCGCATTCAGATAGCAAATATTTGCCATAATGGAGTTGCGGAATGTCCATTTTTCACTGGGACATCTTCAGCCGCATAGTAGGATTATTCATGGGATTGCCTAACCCTACCTTTGATCATATTAGCACTGTTCAGTGCCCCAGAACCTGACAACCTAAAGATCAAAATTATCATGTAGGAAAAAAACAAGCTAAACAGAAGGATTTTTACCAAGTTTGTAAAATAACTTCAGAAGCTTCTAAAAATGTACATTGTTTAAACCTTTGTACAGCATGATCATTTCTATTTTTAAAAAAGTTTTAATTCACTTTGGTAGATTGATTGTCTCAAAAAGTACAAATCCAAAAGAACAAATTGTCTTTTAAATTTAATTTTGTTCTTTCTAAAAGGCACGCAGCTATAGATCACTTTGCCAGGGAAAAGGATGCATTACTTGCTTCAGTAAAGGAGACCCATACTGAGCAGATACGGAAGTGGGAAAATCAAGTCCGAGACCTGCAAATAAATAAGGAAACTTTGGAAACAGAACTGCGTCAGGCAGAATGGAGGCATACAGATGAGTTGAGAGAGAAAGAGGCTGTCATTGAAAAGTAAGTTAGATTTTATTTGTACTGTTTAGGTATGTAGATGTGTGTTTCAGTGCAAACAAGTGGATTACATCCTCACATGGATGTAGGGGAGAAGGGGGCTTTCTTTCCCCCTGAATCCATGTGATGACACAATCCATTTGTAGGTACCCTCTTTTGCAGGTAGGCATGATGTTGCTTCTCCCGTAATTAAATCTGAAGTTAAATGACAGGATCTCATTTTTATTTTTGGATGAAATGTACCTATTTAGAGCATGGTGTTTCACTTGTTTTGTACATGATACATCCCAGGATGTAGTGCACACAGCTGGTATATTCCTCGCACTACTCCTGATAAGGCATCTTATTTCCATGTTCCAGTCCTGAAAAGTTAACACTTTGTTTAAGGAGCTACTGACACTCCCACTTCTCTCAGGATGACTAAGCAATATTAAGAGGGACATTACAAGCAGTTCATTTCAACACCCATCTGTGAATTGTGGCAAGTGGTGTGCTTTAGTGCTTACTCAAGAGCAGGTACATAACCTCCCCTTTGCTGGCTTTTCAAAATATATTAACCCTAAATATATATAAAGATGCAAAATTGCCTAGATCGGTATACAGTGGTACCTCAGGTTACAAACGCTTCAGGTTACAAATGCTTCAGGTTACAGACTTCGCTAACCTGGAAGTAGTACCTCGGGTTAAGAACTTTGCTTCAGGATGAGAACAGGAATTGCGCGGTGGCGGCGGGAGGTCCCATTAACTAACGTGGTACTTCAGGTTAAGAACGCTTTCATGTTAAGAACGGACCTCTGGATCGAATTAAGTTCTTAACCAGAGGTACCACTGTATTTATAGTTATCCATTAATAATGGTTTACTGTGACATGTGAAGGAGGACACTGTTAGGTACAACATCCTGTAACAAACTGTTATACTAAAACTTCACATACAAACTAAAGAATCAAGGAAGACACTTAAGATGTTTCTTTTTGTGTGCTTGCACTGCATTCATATTTTTATTCATTCATTATGTTTTAGGATGCCTTCTTCAGCCAGCAGCCAGTTGGGATGGTGCGCTATGGAACAGGCTTTGTGCCTTGTTCCTTTTGCAATCTGTAGCTATTGGCCACTTTCAATTAATGCAGTACTCCTGCATAAACCAGTTGTCCAATGTGGCCTTCCCTTCCACTCCTTCTGCTGTAGCTTGATGGAATGGCTGAATAGGAGTATCCCTGGGATTTGATATACAGCATCAGTGCCAAATCATTTCCTATTGACACTGAGGCAGAATTTATTAATGGCATAGAAAATATCTCATAATAATAGACCATGGCTGAAACAGGGCTCCGAGTCCCCATCTTTGATATGCCTTGGGATTTCAACTTAACGGCACTCATCAAGAAGTTCTTAGAATAGACTCAGAATGTGGCCTTTCACAGAGAGAGATTAACTGAAAATATTTACTCATTCATCGTTTAGTCATTTGCAGTGCCTCTCTGGGACTCGTGGTTAATTTGTTCACATTTCAAGCCACAGGTTCTTTGGCTCAGGATACAATTTCTGAAAGTATTGTATATTTATTATCAGGTGAGCACTATAATTTTACCAAGCAACAAATTGCTTATATTTAGGATTGTAAGAACATGTAACATTGTAACAGTTCGTTACTGAGTGATAAGGAATTGTAATATCTTCTCTCCAGAGAACAGCATTTCTCGTATGCTGTTGAAACAAAGGTCAAATGTAAAATTAGATGTATTAGTCAGTATGTATTTTTGCCCTTTGCTGTGAATATGTGTTGGGGTTATACTAGGGTAGAAGACTTGGGGTACTGTCCATATCCCACTAATTATAACAGATTATACAGTTGTTCTTGTACGTACATCATTATATACTAGTTTGGTTGATGCTCCACCAGGTAGGCAACACTGAGAAGTGCTGCTTGTCCTAAACACACTTGCCAAAGTGCCAAGTTCTGCATATACACTCAAGCGTACAGGTGCACAGGAGACTCCTTTCATTTAAGGAAAGGTCAATCTGCAAGTGATAAAAGATTTGTATGCAGATCAGGTCCCTCCACTGAATAGGAAATCTGTTATGGATGGAGAAACTCTCTGTACACAGTGTAATTCCCTGTCTAGAACAGGCTGCTAGAATAAAACAATTGTGCAATTGTATTAAATTTGTCTTAATTTGTGGCCAATTTGGTAAAATTCAGAAAATCAATAAAAATTATTTGGCAAAAAATAAAAACACTTGTGTTGCATTTCAGATCTAGCAAATGTGGTAACTGAAAATTTTAAAAATCAAAATCAACCAAATGTATCAGAAGATAGCAAAGATATTATACACATCACAGATTTCTTTTAAAATGGAAAAAGTTCCAGAAAGAAACTACAGCTTAGAGCAGGCATGGCCAAACTTGGCCCTCCAGCTGTTTTGGGACTACAACTCCCATCATCCCTAGCTAACAGGACCAGTTATCAGGGATGTTGAGAATTATAGTCCCAAAACAGATGGATGGCCCAGTTTAGCCATGCCTAGCTAAAAGGGTAGGGAATCTAATTTGGGGAGGGTGGTCCAAAGTGCTACACTTGAATATTTTCTCCTGCTTAGGAGAAGTTTCAGTTGCCACCTTAGTTATTAATTAAATATCTATCTCACCTTTCATTGATTTCATGGTATCAGATCAGGTAATAGCAAAAAAAATAATTATAAAACAATGGCCAGTAAAATCAGCTCAAGCAATTAAAACTTACCAAGTACAAGACAATGAAACCTTCTAGCAGGAACCCACCATTTGCTCCCCTAGAAAAGCCTGTTTGAAGGCCAAGGTTTCCTCTGGAATGTCACCCCATGAGGTTCTCAGCTCTGGTGCTGGGTATAAATACATATCAACCCCTCTCTGATGCATACACAAAAGTGCCTTGCACTCATGCACAGGAGAAACTGGAGCCTGCTTTTAGTACTTGGCACTGAAAAGCTGCAAGCTTTACACAGGCTCCTTAAATCCCATTGAAGGAAAGAGAATTTAACAGTCTAATTGTGTCCAGGAGAGCTGCCAAAAGATACAGTGAAGAGTTGGTAACAAATGAATAATATTTATATAGCATCTAAATACAGTGGGTAGGTACTTAAAAGTGAAGAATGTGTATGCAAGCAAAATTGTGTGATAGGAAAAGCTTGGTATCGTGTTTTCCCCCTTTAAAAAAAAGAAAACTACATTTCACCAATACTCTTGAATTATTTAAGGATATTACCCTGTATATGGAACCATGAGAAAAGCACTATAATCTTTTTTCCCCTTCTTTTTTTTACTCTGTTGTAACTCTGCATTAGCTGGGAGGTGTTTAGGGAATGTCAAGTCATTGTGGGTTTTTCACTGAGACATTAGCTTTATGTGTGCAACTGTGATAATAATGCTAAACAGAAAGCTCAGAACTAATAGGAAAATAGAAATATTATGAACTCTTGCAATAGTGTTAGATAAATTAAATTAAATGTGTGTGCATTTACTATATATATATTAGCACTGTCAAAATCTTGCATACATCTATTTAAAAAGCAATACAGAACTAGAAAAAGTACAGAGGAGGCAAGGCATATAAAAAGGACTAGGAATGCACAGTGGCTTTCACATGAGGGGACACTTAGACAAAATGAGATTAAAATGATATTAGAAGACAATATAACAGGTGCAATTAAAGATAACTAGTGCAATTGGTTAAGAAGTCTTTCCTTGAAGTGTGAGCCAGACATTTTATGAAATAATGATTGCACAATTATATTTCCCCCTCATTAAATTAAGTGTTTTAGGATGCTGTGTAATCTGAAAGCATAAGAACTTTTCCCCCCCTAAAAAAGTAGTATATAGTAGAAGATTGATCCATCAATGGCTAATTGAAGCAACTTTGTGGTGCAGACCCACACAAGCTATTATTTCAAGCAATTTCTTCACTGTAAATGTGGATGAGTAGCCTATTTCCTAGGATAAGCACAATACAGAATGCAAACCTCTGCAAATTAAAAATGGTGTATAAATACTAAATAAAATAGTCATTGCTGGCCTTTAATTGTTCATTTCATGCTCCATCCGAAACTACTGGTATTGGTCTCTGTTGGAGACATAATTCACTTATGCCTGAGAGATGACTTCAGTTGGGGAACAGGAGATCAGGTGTTCTGGACTGTATGTTCTAACAAAGCTGGAGTGCATTCCTGTTTATGAATAGTATAGGGATTTAACCTGGATCACTCACTAAACTAGTAGCAGAACTAGGCTATTCTCTACATAGGCCAATACTTTTTGAAAGCACGGTGCCCTATGTGGTCGTGCTAATTATAGTTCTGAGAGAAACCAAATCCTGTTCCCTACAACAGAACATTCTGAATGTTCTGAAGAGGCAGCACTCACCAGTTAGATGGAAGGTACTGTATTAGCTGACTGGTAAGGAGAATATGTGGTTTGTATAAATGGTTACTTCAAAGCCTGTAAATCAACCTAACATTTGAAAATGCAATTCACTTATTACATTGTGTATGTGCAGAAGAGGTAGTGATACCTACTGTCTCTTACTATTAATCCGTGATGCAGTGGAATAAAGTAGCTTTTTAAATCAAACAGTTATGCATCTATCAATGCTATTGATAGATGTATAACTGTCTGATTTTTTAAAATAATAACCCAATGAACAGCGTGCATATTGAGACAGTGAATTCCATAGATTATCTTTTTATTATGTAAAGACACATTTTATTTTGTTCGTCTTAAGCTTATTGTTTATTATTTTAATAGGATGAATAAAATATCTGTATTATGAGAATGAATGTTTGTATTTACTGTTTCAATAACACTTTTGATTTTTTAAAAAAACCTCTTTCACTTTTCTATTATCTAAACTTTTTATTAAGAACAACATAAGAACTTAAGAAGAGCCCTACTGGATCATTTTATAGGCCTGTCTTCTCCAGCATTCTTTTTCTGCACAGGCCAACCAAATGCCTATTGGGAACTCTACAGACTGGAAATGTGGGCAGCATTCCTCATAGTGCCTCTGAATCTGTAGTATATAGCCATCATGATGGGTGGTGCTGTGGGTTAAACCACAGAGCCTAGGACTTACCGATCAGAAGGTCGGCGGTTTGAATCCCCGCAACGGGGTGAGCTCCTGTTGCTCAGTCCCTGCTCCTGACAACCTAGCAGTTCGAAAGCACGTTAAAGTGCAAGTAGATAAATAGGTACCGCTCCAGCGGGAAGGTAAACGGCATTTCCTTGGGCTGCTCTGGTTTGCCAGAAGCGGCTTAGCCATGCTGGCCCCATGACCCGGAAGCTGTACGCCAGCTCCCTTGGCCAATAAAGCAAGATGAGCGCCGCAACCCCAGAGTTGGCCACGACTGGGGTCCCTTTACCTTTACCTTTAGGCAACCTAGTCCTAATATATTAAATATATATTAATATATTAAAGCTTTTGTTCTTAAAGAATATGAAAAAAATCAGGATTGGATTCTTACTTTGATTGGTTTGGATCTTTTGGCATTGGGAACCCATACGCACAGGCTGCTTATTGTATCTCCTTGAATGAAACACATTATATTCTAAGAAGCAATACTTATCTGAATACATACTGAAGATTGTATGAGTAGAAGGAAGAACTGTGTTTTCCTACTGTCTCAGGGATTTGCTCTCTTCTTCCTTATCTAACGTGTCTGATGAAAAACAACTTAACATGATGAAACATCTGTAATTGCAGATTCATTTAAACCAGAAGAAATAAGGAACCAATTAGTTGGTTACATTTTGTGCGTGGGAACCAATTCCTGATTATAAAAGACACTAGTAGAACATATAACAGCCTTTGCCTGAAAAATACACTTGGACGGCAAGTGCTTCCTCCTCCTGTTTGCATATGTAATACACTGGAACCCATTACCTTGGTTATCTTAAATTTATATGTATCCACACCAATCCTGCATTATTTATCTTTTCCTATCTTACTGTAATGCTATATCAATTTCACTTTACTGAGACATCTGTTATTCTTTGGTGTTTGGAATGTCCCTTATGCTACTTGCATAAATGAGGCTGAACTATTGTTTGCCAGTCCCCCGCCCCTTTTGCTTGTTGTTTTGCTTAAAATGGAAAACCACATTAATGTAATCAAACTTGTGTTCTCTATATATTTTCACAGACTTCAACAAGAGCTGGAGGCACTGAAAACAAGCTGGGATTCTCAAGTAGCTCAGATATCCAGGGAGACAGTTTCAAAAGACCTTCAGATTCAAGCACTGCAACAAGAAGAGGTGAAGCTAAGAGCACAGCTGTCTAGCATACTGCAAGATATTGAAAGGTGAGTGACTTTGTGAGCTGGTTAAACCAGTGTTTTCTCAGGATCTTTCTTCGTGATCGATCTTGGCCTACAACCAGCCACATTTGGCCCACAGGCCAGAGATTCCCCATTCCTGCTTTAGAGAATTTGATCCTTATGGAGAGTGCAACACTCTCCAGAACAGGCTGAACACCAGTCATTTGGACAGATCAACTGCCTACTAACAGTACCTCTCTTGCTGAGCTTCAGTTTGTTAACCCATGTCCAGTCCATTACGTCAACTAGTCACTGATCTAATGCACCCACAACCTCACCTGGTTTTGATGAAAAAGGATACAAGAGTTGCATGTCATCTGTATGTTGATTATAATACACTTGAAATCCCTGAATGACCTCATTTAGCCATTTCATGTAGATGTTAAACAGAATGAGGGGAAGCATGAGACTTTGTGGGATCCTGAAATGTGACTGCCACAGGGCCCAGCAGAACTCCCCCAGCAATGTTTTCTGGAAATGACCATCTAGGCAGGAACAGATGCAATACTGCCCATGTCCAATACAGATGGAAGTTCCAGAATGATCATGGTTGAAGGTATTGATAACCCGAGAGCCCCTGTTAGATCCAGGTGAATTTACTGGGTATTCATACTCTCCCATCTCTCTCCTGATAGAGGTCATTCCACAAGCAACCAAGGCAATGCCAGCGCCAAAATCAGGCCTAAATCTCAGTTGAAATGGATCTAGAAAATCAGTATCAACCAAAGGCAGCCACAACTCATTTGAGTACTTGGTCCAGGAAAAAGATGTTTACCACTCCCCTACAGTTGTTAATTCCTCCTAGTTCTGAGAAAGGTCTTGTCAGGAAGGGTTGCACTACCACTTGCTTTAAGGGGATACTGTTTATTTTGGAGCAAAACCTGCTTTTAACGCTAGATGGTCCAGCCTCAACTGAGAGAGACAGATAAAGGACCTGGGGCAGGCATGTGCCCGTAATGCTGTGGATGATTCGCACATCAATAAGATGGATGGTCTTGCTTCTGATTCTCTGCTGTCACTTTGCCATGGGAGGAGATCATATAGGTTCATCCTTGTGTTTGCCCTTCACTCACAGAAGGAAAACCCAGGGCAAACTAAACTCCATATGAGGCTGTGCGAATGGTACTGACCGTCTATCTTAAGGTCTGCTGACCTTTCAAGGCAGAAGGGAAAAAGAGAGGCAGGTGCACTGTCTGACATAATATTGGTGACTTCTGGCTCTCTGCCCACAGACAACTCAGGGGAGAGGGGGTAGGGGCTGACTCATGGCATGTCTTGCAGTGCTTTTAGCTCCCTGACATTTTTCTGCCTTAGAGAGCCAGTCGGCTTTAAGACAGAAGAAAGCAAGAGCTGAGCATGCAGGTTGACATGAAGGCAAGCATGCTCACTGATGTGCTATGGCTGTGGGCAACCAGCAATTGGTCTGCTAACCACCCTGATATTAAAATGGGTGGTCACATGAGTATTAAGATCATCCAGTGATTAAGTGATCCAGAAAACCAGTGTGATATAGAGGTCAGGGTGTAAGTCTAGTACTGGGGGAAATTAGGTTCAAATTCATACTCAGCCATTTACTACTAGTAGTATTAGTACAGCATTGGTATTAGTACAATATTAGTATTATTTGTTCTTTTATTTATTAGATTTATTCATCGCTTTACACCAGAGTTTCAAAGAGACTTAAACAGTTCAGTAACAGTGACCTGGTTTGCAAATCATGCTAAGCCAGCTATGACTTAGTGTAAACATGTAAGCATGTTTGGCTTAGCATGGTGTCTATACCTGGGATCATGACTGAACTCTCTCCAGACCAGCCACATCCCCTCCAGGAGATCACATCTTCTCACTAAGCAACAATTTGGCTTAGGGTGCTATACATACCAGGCCAGTAGAATAAATATAAAAAATATAAAACATTAGATACTCAGCTGGACCACTACAAGTTAATGGACAATAATCAAACCCACCACCCCCAACAATGTAAGTGTAGTCCCCAGTAAAAATTAATTAACCCAAAAAATTCCATAACAGCAGAACTAGAAATGTTAACAACTGAAGACCTGAAAGAAAAATAAAGGTTTTTGGTGCAAAAAATATGTTTATGTAAGTGCCAGGCAACCCTCTTTAGGGAGAGCATTCCATAGACAGTGGCACTACCACAGAGAAGGTTCTGGGGCTTATAGACACCCACTGAACTTCTGTCTAATGGTGATCTCACACTTTGCTGTATCTGGCTGCTTATGGACTGGGGTTCTTGCCTTATATGCTGCACACCTCAGTTGTAAAGGGTTAAAATTGTTGAATATTTTGTGACATTAAAATATAAATGTTAAATTCATCCCCCCCCATTATTATTATTTTTTAAAAAATTTCTCTTCATTTCTCCCTGTCTTAGGTATAAAAAGCAGCTCTCATTAGCAGCTGAGAGAGAAGAGATTCTGGAAAGGGCTAAAGTGCAAATAGTCCTGGACTGGCAGCGGCGTTACGAGAATGCTGAAAGGAATCAATATCAGAAATCAGAGGCTCTAATACAGAGCCTGTCAACAGCTAGGGACCAGGTCAGAACTGCGTCACATTTGCTTAGCAGCTTAGCACAGAGCATTAGCAGAGGCATATTTCATGAGGGGAGATTTTATACCTTTGGACTTGTCATTCTTTTGTGCTTCTAGCAAATATTTGAGGGGTTCTACCATACCCAAGGAGTTGGCACTCTCTTCCTGTAACATATTCAGTCTGTGCTGACCCAGATAATGCACGAAAGTGGTTCAGTTTTTAAAACTTAGATAAATAGCACCAAGCTGATCTCAGTATAGTACTAGCTGGCTCTTTGCATGAGGATTATTTCTGCTTGCAGGTGAGAGTGGAGGTAGGTGAGGAGGAAAGAAGGAGCAACATAAGATACAACACAGGATGGAAAAACTAAGCTACAACTTTATTGGATGCAGTTTGCAGGTGGCAAGGCAAACCTATGTGGGGCTGCCCTTGGGCCCAGTTCAGAGGCTCCAGCTGGTGCAAAGTGCTGGACTGTTGATGTGGACAGTCAGCTGCCAGCACATAACTCCAGTGCTCAAAAGCTTGCACTGGCTGCCCATACCTTGCTGGACCAGGTTCAGAGTTCTAACATTAATTTACAAGGCTCTTAACAACTTGGATCCTGGATAGCTGAAGGGCTGCCTGATTCGTTATATCCCTGCCTGGACACTAAGGCCCACACCTGACTGTTAGGATTCTTTTCCTGTGCTTGAAGTCATGGGATTGTTTTTATCACATGACTGTGTATGTTTTCATTCCACATAGTGGGAAGTGACGGAGACAGGATGTTTGTATTACTGTGTTCCATGATGTAGGACGTTTGTTCCTTTGTTCTTTCTCTTTGCTGACTGATGCTGAAGAGAAAGAAGCTGAGTTGCAATGCTCCAAGTGTATATATGTAAATAAACGTAGTCTAGCCAAAGTGCTGCGCTACTGAGTCTGTCACGCGAACTGCCAACACTCTGCTAGTCCTAAAGTGTGCTGGTGCCTCTTGGTATAAGTCTCTGTGATGTTCGGGCTAGAGAAAGCTTTTGAGTCTCCCAAACGACAGACCAGGAGGGAGAGAACATGCCAGCTGGGCATGTGTCTCTGCCAGGTTCCTACTCACGTGTAGGACGCTCCTGACACTGACATCATATATGATTGGCAAGTGCTTGGAATGTGAATGTGGCTTGTGGGACAAATAGGGTGGGCCTAATTGGGCCTGTGGACCAGAGATTCCTCACTGCCTCTATAAGGAATACGTCTTGATGAATAGCCCATTGCCAAATTTTATCTTGGATAAATGGAAGTGAATTGTTTACTGATTTAACAAGGGCATGTTCTTTCATTTTTGGAAAGCTCTTCCACAATACTTTCCATTCACAATGTAGATGGTCACTCTGGATTGAGTTTAATTCAAAGGGTAAGGGAGATTAAACAGTATGCTGTCTGATGGCAATAAAATAATATTGAAGGTACTAGAAGCTAGGGGAGTGTTCTTTTCTAAGAACGTCTTCTCAAGTTGCCATCATTTTGTTTTGCAGGTTACTGCTGAATTACAGGAGAAGGAACAGAAATTGCATGAAATGGAAATGGTCCTTTCTGCTGTAACACTTGAGAGGGACCAAGCTGTTCAGGAACTTCGAAAGCATGGTCACACGCCAAAAGGAGTGAAACAGGTTAAAATTACTTAATTTCTGTTCCTTAAACTGAACTAATCCTAAAACAACTCACTTTATGGTCAGGGCTAGTTCTGTGAGAGAAGCCATTTTTTTTATTTAGGCTTTTTATTTAGGTTTTGTGATCAAGGGCACACAGTTTTTTTCGGACCCTTTGGATATGAGAACAACCTCAACAGTGACAAAATACAGTGAAACCATTTCCACATGGGGTTGGCATGCAGCTTTCATGTCACACGCAGTGGTGGCTGGTGCCAGTTGGGACTCATAGAGCAGAAGGCAGGGAGAGCAGCAATAGCCAGTGACAGGAGGAGCCAGCTATTTCTAGTTTTCTCTTCATCCTCCTCGCTGCTGAGTTCTACAAGGGCAAAACTTGGATTAAGGAGGAAGAAGCTAAGAGACAGTGCTACCCCCTGGACAGTTGTAAGTAGGAAATCAAGCAGGTAGGGGCTGGTGGATAGCGGATATATTGGTGGGTCAGTGCTTAATTTGTCCTAACGGAGCACTGGCCATATGTTATATATCCACATATTTGCATTTCACTGCATCTGCAGACATTGGAAAGTCATGACGAGACATGGCTTTCCAATGTACATGCACTATGTGTACATGCAATAAAGCACACACTCTCCACAGCTGCTAACTTAAAAGAATGATTGTGCACTGTTTCCTGTGCAGGAGTATTTCCAATGTGGGAATTGTGCAGCATTGGATGCAGCCTTGAGAGAATTTTTATAAGACAATGCAAAGTGGACAGGAAGTCCTGGTGCCCTTACGGTCTAAGCAAAGCATTAAAAGGGGGAGGTTTTGTAGCCTCTTGTTCTGAATAAGGATGAATTCAAGATGGATTTTTTTTCTAGTAGATTTATTATTTTGCATGGTTAGAGAAGCAATTGCAGTTTAAAGTTAATTTAAGCAATTGTTCAGCAATTTCTGAAAATGTGATTGCAGAGCTAGATTATTGCTAATTTTTGGCATCTCCTGCTTTTAATCTTGCATGTATTTGGTGTTGTGGTTGCTTTTGAAAGGCTTTGCATTTCCTGATATAAGCTGAAGGAGAGTAGCTTTTTTATTATTTGCAGAGTCATTCTTGCTACCCTCTGCCCTTGAAGATTGTAGTGTGTGAGTAACTGGCTCTAGTGCCGTTTATGTACAACCAAAATAGAAAGTGGCCTGAAATCTCTCTGCAGAGCTTCCTCCTTAAATAATGTAGTGGATAGTGCTACAGTCAGTTATCAGGGGATGCTTTCTATTTTGGAGTGGTATGTAGGAAACATGTTGAGGAGTCTACGCCAGCAGATCCAAAAGATTATGAACTTTCTTTTTCTTTTCTTTTTTATATTTATTAAGTTTCCATTTTATCACATTTAAACAAATCCTTATTATACTCATTACATATTTGCTCAATCGAACTTTGACTTCCCTCCCTTCCGTCTCATGGTTTCCATAATACATTATTACTTCATAGCATTTATACATTTTCCCATTTATGTTTCACTTCTTCTGTTAATCACAAATTTTAAAATAAACATAAAAAGGTACAAATTCTTAACCTTGCAAGTTTTCTTACAACAAGCCTGCTACTGTTGTTAATTGTTTACAATTGTCCTTCAGATATTGTACAAATTTACTCCAGTCTTTTTGGAAAGCTTATCTCGCTGGTTTCGGATTTTCTCGGTTAGCCTTGCCAATTCTGCATAGTGCATCATCTTCATCTGCCAGTCTTCTAGCGATAGAATTTCCTGTTGCTTCCATTTTGGGGCTAAAAGAGTTCTTGCTGCTGTTGTCGCATACATAAACAGTTTTATATCTCCTTTGGGATCTCATTCCCTACTATACCTAACAGAAATGCCTTTGGTTTTTCACAAATGGACTTTTAAACATTTTAAACTCATTATATATAATTTCCCAGGAAGCTTTTACCGTACTACAAGTCCACCACATGTGATAAAAATCCCCCTCCTTTTCTTTACATTTCCAACATTCCTTATTTTTCAATCAAGTTTTATTGAAAGTTTTCAACATAAAATACAATAAAAGCCAAACTAATCTATAGAAAACAGATAAAAAAGAGTAAAGAGAGAGAATAGAAAAGAAGGAAGGAAAGGGAGAGAAAATAATGGATACAACACCCTCTATCACAATTATATATTAAGCCTTATTCCACACACACATTCCACACAGAAGGATAAACGCTCCCATCTCTCACCTGGCAGCTTCCCCCTCTTTCCCCAGCCTCCCAGCCTGGGAGATCCTCTCTGCTCTGCCCTCACAAAGGACCCTTCATCTTCCATTCATCACCTTCCTGGGTGTATCTTCCTTAATCCAAAATAAACTTTATAAATTTTTTTTGAGGAATTGCCTAGAAAAGAAAGTATACTTACACTGCTGTATGAAACAGTACACAATGGCCACATTCACATGTTATACTAACTCAGTCTATATAAGTTTTTTTTTTTTTAAATCACAATGTAGATGAGCAGTTGAGTGGGGGACGAAGCCACAGAACAGCTGGATTAGGGTTACATCTGAACCAGCACTGATGGTTTGTTTCTCTCTAAACAAACTCTGATTTGAAGAGGGGAAAGTATTCCTCCACCCCTTGACTTCCTGATCATAAACAAACCATAGGCTTTGTTTTGAATGTAACCCTAAAACAGTCACCCCATGGTTTGTTTTCCCATTCAGCTAAGGTAGGAGCAAAGCAGGAAAGCTTGGCTGCACATGCACATTATAGTAAAAAATACCCCAGCCCTCCAATCTGCTGTGCTTGGTGTTAACTACTGAATTAGCATTATTTTTTATCTGGCCAGTGTCTGGATAGCATAATACATATATTTTAGAAGGGCTAGAGGGATTATTTCATGGTCCAGAATGAGCAGATGAAATATAAAAGTATAATATGAAAACATTCTTGGGGAAATGACTTCTGGCCAAATAAGAAAGCAATGCGCTGTTAACATTTATTTATTTTTGGGGAGGAGGGGTAACAGTTCCATGACCGCTTACTATGTTGGTAGGAAGACAAGTGTGAGCAGTCATGAATTGCCCTAGCAGTATGACTAAGTAGACAATGGTATGTGTCAGGGAACTGACATCGGAGCGAGAGGTGAAGGGGAGGCTCCTAGATGATGCTGGAGAAGGACCCAGCAGCAGGGGGAGAAACAGCTCAGTGGAAGGGGAAGCATTTAAGCGCAACACCAGGGATAAAGGGGGGCAGATGGGGGAATCGGAGAGAGGGCTCCAGGACTCTTCACTGGAACTCAGTGAGGAGGGGACAGGTCCTCCGCTACCCACGCCCTCCCTGCGCAGAAGACTCCCGCGCAGTGAGAGGAGGAGGAGACTGGGTGTCAGACAACTTTTATGTTGGAAGAGGTTCAAGAAACGCCCACTGACGGATTCTGCCAGCGACTGAGGCAGTCACAATTAGAAAGGGCTGTTCGGTCAGAAAGGTTTAACAAGGCAAATTAGCCTAGAGAGGCACCAGTTTATGCACGAGTAACTCATACTCATCACAGTATGTTATACTAACTACAACAAAAGAACACCAGAAAATAATGTGAATACATTTGCTGGTTGAACTTAGAATGTAGCCTAAATTCCCCCATGCATAGTGTCTCTGGCTACAAAATTTTCAAGCATGAGTTCCATGTTAAAAAAAAAAGCAAATATAGAAATTCATAGGTAGTTTTATGCCTACAGTTTTCTAGTGCTGTACAAAGATTAAAAAACAAAAATGTTTCCTGTCCACAGACTTACAATGTAATAGACATAGAATCATAGAATTGTAGAGTTGGAAGGGACCTTGAGGATCATCTAGTGACACCCCTGATACAAAAGGATAAAGGAAAGGAAAAGGAAAACAAGCAAGTGTTGTAGGTCAAAACTGGTAGAAGAACAAATGCATTTCCATGAGTAATACAGATTCCTCATTGTCGTGTGCAGAGGTCTAATGAATGCCTAAAAGCTATATTATGTTTTCTTCTTGGTGGTTTGACAGCTTGCCAACCTATTTTTGTAGCATATTTGACTCCAACATGATTCTGTAATAAAGGGCTAGTCATTTGTATCTATATCAAATAACTCTGTAATTCACTTTGGTTCAGCAGGACACCTTGAGAACACCCATTTAAAGGCCTTTATACACTTAGTGAATACCAGACACATATTTACTGAATAAAAATTATGGTCACCTGAATTTATACAGTCATCAAAATATATGCACATTCATCTATGAAATATGAGCAGTGATTTAGCATTATCGTGATATGCCCTTGTGTGAATTGTACTGATATGTGATTGGATCCTGATAACAAAAAGTACTCTTTCTCTTATCCATCTGATCTTAAGGGGCAGGATGGAAGTTCTATACAAGGGTATGAGATTGGAACGGGCTGGATGTGACTGAACAAGCTGAAACTAAATCCAGAAAGGTGGATGTACAAGTGGTTGGGGCTCCCTTTTGATCCCAATTCAAGCTGTTGTTATTAGCCATTAAAGCCCTAAACCTTCTGAGACTAGACTATCTGACAAATTGCCTCCAGCCACATGAGCCCGTTTATGCACTAAAATCACCATCATTCTGAAGCTATGCTCAGTGTTTCCCTGCCAACTGAAGTATGGTGGCTGAGCACTGAAGACAGGGCCTTTCCAGTCACAACACCCAAAACTGTGCCATGCCCTCCTGAAGGAGGCCTGCTTGGGCCCCTCATTTCTTGCCTTTCAATAAGTAGCAAATACTTATTTCTTGCAGCAGCTGTTTGACTTCAAGTTGCTGTCAGCTTTGATGTTCATCTTGGAGGTTTGCTCATTTCCCAGTTCTTGCTCATGCTAAGTACAGCAGTGCCAGTGAGCTAGAGCTAGTGACCAAAGCCTGTTTAAATCCTCAGTGCTGTGCTCTGTTTTTACCATGATTGCCATCTGTAATATCAATCCCTACACCAGTTTTAAATCTGTCTTGGCATATGAATGACTGAGAAATGTCATACTATTTCCAAGTAGATAGGCTCTGATCTTTTAGTGATCGTATGGCTTTCACTGATAATGACCTTTTTCTGCACACAGTAGCTAAGTGGTACTGTATTGCGAAAGACTATTTTGAATGTTGAATGATGATAGAGGTGTATTTGCTGCACTCTAGTGGTTGGTACCTGTTCAAAATACAAATATCCATCCTGTAAATCCGGAAAGTGTTCGAAAAGGTGGTCAGTTTGAATGATTTCATAATACAGGAACTTCTTCCCTATTCGGATCCAGCTGTCTTCCACACAATTTCATTCAGGCATCACCTTAAAACTTTTTTTTCTTTGCAGGCACAGTAAGGGTGGCTCTGTTTGATATAATTATATCACTGATGGTTTTACGCTTTAATAATTGTATTTCAGATTATATTTTCTATTTTGTTTTTAATGTTGCTCAACAAGAACAACATTGTGGTGTTGTGTTGTGTTGTGGTGACATCTGGTATAAGGTTACCAGATTTTTTTCAATGAATCTGGGGACACTTTTCAACTTCAATGGATTTTGTATGCGGACTGATTTGTAAATCCGGGGACTGTCCCCGGGAAATGGGGACGTCTGGTAACCTTAATCTGGTCATCATATTGCACATACTCAGCATGTTAAATGGTGCTCAAAGGGCATTGGTAGGGTTGGGAACAAAACACACTTTGGGGCCTGCTCTCTGACATGTTTATTCAGCTATCATCAACATTCAAAACAGTGTCCTACAACATCTCTTTCCTATTGTGTGTGAAAAAGGTCATTGTTGGTGAAATATGTATGAGCTCCACAAGATGAGAACCTGTCTATACAACATAAATTGGTTGGAGTTGTGGTCAGCTCACCTTGCTATCAAATACTTTGCCGAAGAGATAGACCTCAAGAATGTTATCTTGCTCAGTACCAGCACAAAAGTGTATTTGAACCACCAGGGCAGGTCACAGGTTTCTAGATAGGGAGGCAGAGGACCTCTTCTGTTGAGCCGGTCAATCTCAAATCATTCATTCATAGCACAGCATATCAAGGGGGATGACAGTCAGACAGAAGATTATCTAAGCACACGCCTTCTGCCAACTCCATTCCACCAGCACCTCTTGGGATCCAAACCAATATACTACCCTGAACCTGTGGGGCTGCTGTCATGTAACATATTCAAGTTGTCATTCAAATCATTAATGCAGCTTCACAAGTCTTAGAGCAGTACAGTTCATCATACATACTTTGCAGCATTGGTCCTTTTTCTACTGTGCACATGGCAGACTATTATAATTATTTTTCTTTAAGATACTATGCTTTCTTGGTGCATTTTACTTGCGTGCTTGAGTCCTTTCAGGGTGTAATTCTTGTTTGTTTCTTTAATTGTTTGGTTACCATGCAGGATACTGTAGGAACCACTGAACTAGGTTTTCCTTCTGCTGATATGAAGAGGTTACAAGAGCAAAACAGTACCTTGCGATCTGTTATTGCAGAAATGAGGAGAGAAATGGAGACCCTTAATATTCAGGCACTTTCATCTGACCAAAGCAAAATGGAAGCACAAGATGCTGGTAAGGCTGATGCTACTGTAGTTTCTTGTACTGCTGGTAATGTTGATTGGGTTAAATATTAACTGCAGAGTGTATATGCCCATTTCTATACTTTTCTTTTAACAAGCGCTTCCCTTCTCCTAGCACTCATCATCTTCTTAACATAAATGTTTATATTCATATTTCAGTTGTCTCATACATTTCCGCTAATGAAACATACAAGGCATTCTCAAAGATCTTCAATCCATAGCAAAAAGTTACCATGATCATATGATAGATAAAAATCAAAGCTACATTTGAACAAATGGGGATCATTGCAGTTACATTTTGAGGGCAGGATCAGCACAGCCAAAACTAATGTTTTACTGAGACAGTATAGTTACAGCAAAACATTCCTATGAGAATAAATCCTAAAGTTATAAAAAAAAGTGGGGAAAGTGAAAATCATTTGATAAAATGGCTTTCAGTTCTTGCACAAACAATTACACATCTTGCACAGTATTACACATTTGCAACTGTGTAAACTGAAAGAGACAGCAAGATTGATCTTGCTTTGCTGTAATCCCACATCAGGCACTTTATTTAAAGGCTGCCTAAATATTAAGAACAGTATCAAACTTAAATTACACTAGCTTAATCATGACCACCAAAAGCCAGGCCAGCATTGGTTCCCGTAGCTTCAAGACTTTTAATGGATGGGAAGCCGTATACATGTACCAAGTTGGTGAACTGGTAGAATAATTAAGAGGGACCACCTGCTGATATAGTGCAGGCTTTCTTTGGAGTATGCCCTGTCCTTCCCCTTGGAATGATGCAGCTGCTATATGCTAGCCAGGGCTGGCCCTACCATTAGGCATTCCTTGGGGAAAGTAATTCTTATTTGCACACACAATGAGCCTTTGAATACTTTATTCACACCTGCAAAGTACCTGGCTGAGATAGTTGTCTTTATTTTTTGCAGACTATGTTAAATCCTTGGAAGAGGAGATCAGAGTATTGAAGAACAAATGTGAAGACATGGACAAACAACATGAAGATGCACCTGAAGTTCATGGAAAGTTATCTGTATCTTCTCTGAAATCATCCAGTTGTGATAAAAATACTCAGACTTCCTACCACATTACCATTGGACAAGACAGTAAGAGAAACATGTTAACAGATCTGCTTAAAATATGATAAATTTCCTAAAAGAGAGTTTTACTTCTGTCAAAGAAAATTCATGAAAACAGTGTTTGGGTCATCGTTTTGTATACATGTGGATCACAGTGTTCATGCTTTTTTTCTTCATGGAAGAACTTTCCATGTGCGAAAGCCACCTTTTGTAGCCCTGGAAGGTCAATACAATTTCCTTCTAAAAACAGTATGCTGATTTGTTTTATACCGTAGAATTTATACACAGGTCCTGAAATATCAGGGATATGTGTGTGAAATTATTGATATTTTCTAAACCCAGTTTTCCTTGCAGCCATTTTATTTCCCTGTAAATAAACCGTATGATTATTCTGATAGGTAAATTTCCTTGATATTTAACAGAATAATCAAACAGCTTTTCACAATAATGGACCTGTTTTTCTTTACCCTAATACTGTATATATATGGCATGTGAACAGGAAAGACATGTTTATGGTAATATTTAGCATTCTGCACCAACTCAGCTTGCTGCCTGCTTTATCTGCTCTTTGTTTTTCAGGTACATTGCATCCAGATGAAGTTACTACCAAGAATTCTTTGGAAAGGCAAAGCATAAAGAAAAATCCTCAGATGGATTCAGTGAGAACACAAGAAACACAAGTGGTAGGAAAATGCTGAATCTTTGTGCTCTTATGATTATAAAATAATGTTTTCAAGGGAACAAAGTTATAATAGCCAATCAATGGTTGGGAATATGGGCTTCTTTTATTCGTAATAAAGCTAGTACTTAGTTTTTTATATATTTGCTGTAAGAAGCATCATATTCTCTGGTCACAGCACTCTCTCATACAGTGGTACCTCGGGTTACAAACTTAATTTGTTCCGGAGGTCCGTTCTTAACCCAAAACCATTCTTAACCTGAGGCGTGCTTTCGCTAATGGGGCCTCCTGCTGCTGCCACCCCGCTGCTGCACGATTTCTGTTCTCATCCTGAAGCAAAGTTCTTAACTTGAGGTACCATTTCTGGGTTAGCGGAGTCTGTAACCTGAAGCATCTGTAACCTAAAGCGTCTGTAACCCAAGGTACCACTGTATATATATATGGAGAGAGTAATATAATTACAAACAAAAGACACCATCAAATTAGTAGCTAACTTTTAGAAACGTGATTTCTCTTCTCATCCAGGGGCAAAGTTCTCAACCCGAGGTAACTCTTCCAGGTTAGTGGAGTTTGTAACCCGGTGTTTGTAACCCAAAGTGTTTGTAACCTGAGGTACCACTGTATTTTAATCTAAAAGTTAGAATCTGTACTTATCCATCAACTTCCACTAGGAGGCACTGTAACTCTATGTATCACAGTTATTCCAGTCTACCCTAGTACATGAATGACTATCATAAGAGGGCTGGTCTAATTTAACTGATACTGGTTGCAAAGGAGAATAGCTTGTATTATTCCATCATACTGTGGGGGATGAATCATTTGGCTAAAATTGCAGCTATTCAATCTGAAAGGGATAAGATTTATCCTACTTTACTATATTCCCAAGTATTTTTTCCACATCAGACACCTCCAGTTTTACATAATGTCAACCACAGTATCAAACTTGAATCATACCAGCCTAACCATGGCCACCAAATGTCGGGCCCAAAAGGACTCACTTAGCTTTGAGATTTTCCATGGAAGAGAAGTCACCAGTAGTGCTTCTCTGCACATCCTTCATGAACCAAGTTGGTGAACAGGTGGAATAATTAAGAGGGGTCCCATGCTCTCAGGGGAGATAAGAGATCACAATGAGGTATAGATTTACAGGCCTCAAGCTATTTGGAATATTTAGCTTAGAGGCAGCACGTTGCATTTTGTGTCCAGAAGGCTCAGGAACCAGCATTGGAGATGAAATGCTGATACAGTGCAGGTTTGCTCAGGAGTGTGTCTTTATTGGGATGATGTTTCTGCTGTATACTAGTCAGGACCGGCTCTACCATTAGGCAGAGTAAGGAGGCTGCCTCTGGTGGCAGATGCTGGGTGGGGTGGGAAGCAGCAGCAAAGTGCTGGGGGGCAGAGAAGAAGAAGAAGAAGAAGAAGAAGAAGAAGAGGAGGAGGAGGGGGAGGAGGAGTTTGGATTTGATATCCCGCTTTATCACTACCCGAAGGAGTCTCAAAGCGGCTAACATTCGCCTTTCCCATCCTCCCCACAACAAACACTCTGTGAGGTGAGTGGGGCTGAGAGACTTCAGAGAAGTGTGACTAGCCCAAGGTCACCCAGCAGCTGCATGTGGAGGAGCGGAGACGCGAACCCAGTTCCCCAGATTACGTGTCTATCGCTCTTAACCACTACACCACACTGGCTCACATAACTTACCTATTGTTTGCCCTCTAAGCTAGCCTTAGTAATATTCAGCTGCCCATCTAGTCATTCTCTATACATGGAATAGGAAGAGGTGCCATTTTGTCCTTCACTTCAGGCAGCAAAATGTCTTGGGCCAACTCTGACCCTGGCAGATTAAGGAGCAATCAGTGCTGCATGGGGTCTCCCCATTTCAGAGGGCTATAGAGTAGAAGTAGCCTCCAAAGTGGTGGCTTCATTTCTCAAGACACTCTTCAGCACTTCTCATGGCACACATTTTGGGATTAGTATAGGAATTTCATTTTTGTTTTGGTTCATACAACACACTATTTAAGACTGCAATCTTTTTATGCTAGCTGTCATTTGGGCATAGATTTTATTCATTATAATGGAATATATATCCTGCCAAAAATTCACTTCATTTATTTTGATCCTTGTCATTTATTCTTCTAGAATTTAGTGACCAGGAAGCTTCAGGAGGACTCTGTACATCTCAGGCAACAGTTATTTGGCATGGAGGCTGGTGATGGACCCCATCAACTTATAGGAAACCATGCACAAGTGAGGCAAGGTAGATTGAAGGAAGCTGTGAGAAAGATCTGCAGTTTGAGCAAAGAGAAGCATCAGCTACTAGAGATGGTAAACAGACTAAGAGCAGAACTTGGAGCAGCTTCAAAGGAAGGTAATCTCATTAAGGTAGAAGGATCTTGGTTCTTTTATGAGAAATTTAGCTTCCTGAGATTGAGAACAGTAGGAAACTGAAGTGTTGTCTGTAGGCTCTTTGCTGAGATTAAGAAATCCCAGTTATCACTTGAGAATGAAGTACTAGTAATTAAGTTGCGCCAAGTATTGAATATGGTAGAAAAGCATGAACAGAGTATTTGTTTCTTACTCTTGGCTTTGGAAACCTTCAGTACTGGCACTGAAAGGTTAAGGTGGCAGCTGCATGTTGCATAACAGCAAAGAACTATGTTATGTACTTATCATGTATTTTTGAATATTCCTGAAATAAGCAGTTGTATGTTTGATTTTCTTTCCTGGAAATAAACAATGCAGAATGAGATTATTGTTTAACAAAACTGAGGCCTAAATGGAAGCCTTGTATGAGAATTTCATTTCAAAGTTTGTGTTCCGTGGCCCAGCTTCTTTGAATGAAGTGAAGAGGTGAAGGTCATTGCTTGGAAAAGATTTTCCCAGGCTAGTTTCTACACATCTCTTTAAACTTACACGCTGATACACTGCCACATCAGTGTAATTCATTTACAGCTGTGAGCAGCAGTTTCTTGTAGGCAAGATATTTTCTATTTTAAAATGTCATGTTAAATGCAATGTGGAAAACTCCTACCTATTTATTTTCTTAGGATTTCTAGGCTCTCAGGACTTCAAGATTTCAAAGCATCCTCAGGGTCACACTTCATCTTGTGCCCTACATCCTAAAGAACTTGTCAGGGAGACTAAGCACCGTCTTCTGGCTTTAGAGCACCTCCAGTACCAGCTTACGACACAGGTAATGTAGGCTTCTCCTTTAGGCAACATGTCAGTACTTGCTGTATGTGCAGAACCTCTGGAGTATTGCCATAAGGCCTGGTTCGGAGGGAAGCCTGTCCTGAGAATGCCATGCCCTCTCCTGGTCACAGCAATGACTTTGTGCAAACTGTGGACTGGAGAGTGACATGCAGTATGCTTTCACTATGCATGTTTTACAGGTAGAGTGGCTGTATCCCCTCCCTCCCTCAAGCAAAATTTTTATACCCCACCCAAGATCTCACTGATTTCGAGAAATAAAGTAGACACAGCACAGGGGTTGGCAGAAAGGTTTAAGTATCTCCACCCAGTCCAGTGCTCTGATGGGGGTACAAATCATCCGTTCCTAGTCTTCCTAGTTAATTTCATGAGCAGAGAGGGGGAAATAACCTGCTTGTGACCACACTGCAGAACTGGCATCCAGCCCCTGGAAGATTGACCAAGGTGAATGCAGCCCTTGCACCAAAGAAGATTAACTATCTCTGTGTATAGCAATCACTTCCATGGCATGCTGGAACACAGTTGACTGCAACTCTGACTTTTCTATCATGATCAGAGACAGCTCAAAGTATTGGAGGAATGTGATATTACAAAGTTTGAGATGAAGATGTCAACAGATCTATTTGGTGATCATTTTTATGCACTAAGAAGGACCCTGGGATTACTGTGATTCCCATGAGTCCTTGGAGTCAATGACCTACATGAAGCAAGCCTAGGGAGACGGTCATACTGTAGAGCAGCCAACTGGCTCATGATGTAAAATTAAACCAACAGAATTGGCTGCTCTGTCCAGTGCCTCTCTTCAGTTTGCAAAGGTAGTGAAGTCCATAGCTAGTCACCTCTTTCAGTTATGGGAAGAGATAAAGAACAGGGAAGTTAAATTCTATTTTAGAATTTCTGTGAAATGAAGCACCATTGAACTCGATGGAGCTTACTTCTGGGTAGACATGTATAGGAATGTAATATTAGGATGGGGGGGTGGACTGAGGAGAGGAATTGATTGGTTGCTTTTGCTCATTTTAATAAAAATATATGCTATTCAGCCGTTTGAAGCCTAATTGATTAAAAGAGAACAACAAATAGATTAAGACTGTTACACACACACACACACACACACACACACACACACAGTGGTACCTCGGGTTAAGAACTTAATTCATTCTGGAGGTCCGTTCTTAACCCGAAACTGTTCTTAACCTGAGGTACCACTTTAGCTAATGGGGCCTCCCACTGCTGTTGCGCCGCCCCACGATTTCTGTTCTCATCCTGAAGCAAAGTTCTTAACCCAAGGTACTATTTCTGGGTTAGCGAAGTCTGTAACCTGAAGCGTATGTAACCTGAAGCGTCTGTAACCCGAGGTACCACTGTATATATATGGAGAGAGTAATATAATTACAAACAAAAGACACCATCAAATTAGTAGCTAACTTTTAGAAAATGTAGGCAAACTGAAGTGCTGTAGTGATAAAAAGGGCTTTTATGAGAAGACAAGGCTTTTGGGAGCACCAGCCCAGCCTTAGTAAAAAACAACAACAACAAAAACAACAAAATCTTACAGTGATCCCTTATTAAAATATTTATAAGCAATATAGAATTGTTTTAGTTTTGTAACTGAAGAGAATTAATTGATGGTACACTGAATTGCATGTGTTGTAAATGCTCCAGTTTGTTAATGGGGTTTGACATGCATAACCGGATCATGGCTGCAGTCTTCCAGGGCAGTGCAATAACCAGAGTTTGGGATTGTATGTAGAAAATCAGTTTTGACCACCACTGTTAGTGGAAGTACGTTAGGGAATGAGAGCTTTATCTGTTCTTTTTCTGAGAATATTAGTGCTTAACTTGTCCCATTTTATTAAAACATATTTCTAGAGAATTGAGAAAGAAGCTTGTAATAAATCAAAGCTACTAATTTAGACTGTTTCTTTTCATGGCAGGAGTTACAGTATGCGCAGAGAAAGCATGCCTCAGGAAAGTGTCCTTATTTTGTTGAGAACTTAAATACTGAAAATCTCCTGAGAAGCAGCAGCTGTAGTGAAGAAGCAGAAATCCCTATGAAACAGGTATAGTCCAACATATTATATTCAAATACCCACCCCCAAGCTGCTTCCTTCCAATCAGTGTTTAAAATATTTGTTTATTATTTGTATTTATAGGTGTTTAACCTTCTATTGCTTTGCTTCCCCGTAGCTCTGTTTGTTTGTTACATTTGTATACCACCCTTCATCTGAAGACCTCAGGGTAGTCCACAGCATAAAATACAAAATAAAAACACAAAATACACGTGAAAAACAAGAACAAACCAAACCAATAACCCCCTCCTCCCACATTAAAAGACATAGAATGTCTGGTTGAAAAAGAACATTATTGCTTGGGGCCTAAATATGTATATTGAAGGCGCCAGGTGAGCCTCCCTGGGGAGAGGATTTCACAAATGGAGCCATTGCAGAAAGGCCTATTCTTGTGTTGCCACATCATGTGGAGGAGGCACATGATGAAAGGCCTCAAGATGATGATTGCAGTTCATATGGAGAGAGGTGGTCCTTGAGGTATTGTGGTCCTGCGCATGTAAGGCTTTATAGGTCAACACCAGAACTTTGAATTGGGTCCAGAAACTAATTGGCAGCCAGTGCAGTCAGGCCAGGATCAGTGTAATATGCTCAGACTGTCTTGCCTCGGTGAGCAACCTGGCCACCAAATTCTGCATCAGCTCAAGTTTCCAAATCATCTTCAGAGGCAACCCCACATATGTCCAAACACTTCTCTATCTGTGATCTTAAATCATCCAGCTTCTTCACCTCTCGGCACCCAAATGTCTTGTGTTCCCTGAAACAACTCTGCCTTATTCCCCTTGCTCCCTGTTATGGATGGAACTATCTCCCTGAACTGAATTTCCATGTGACCATCTCCTTAACTTACTTCAAATCCCTCACAAAAATTCCCTTTTTTTATGAAGCCTTTTGAACAACCTCCTAGAGACCCAATGCTCTACTTTAACTAAGCTGAAGTATAGTTAACTGGAATCATTGTATATTTTCCACCTGTTTACCCCTGCCTACATTTCTCTCCCCTTCTTCTGTTTTTCTCTTGTGTCTATTTTTGCATTGTAAACCCTTTGGGATAGGAACACGTCCCCTTGTTCTTTGTAAATAAAGCACGCTGTATGTAGATGGAGCTATAATCAAGCTAATAAAATAATGTTGAACCCCATTGGACAGAAAACCATGTGGAGATGCAATTTGGAACAGAATCCCCACAAACAGGAAAAGAACTAAGCACTTCCCACTGTTTCTTCACTCCATATTTAACTCCCCAAGCTGCTTTTACATAGTAAGCCCCATAGCATTGGAGTTCTATGTGACATGTAGTTAGCCCCTTTGTATGCTATTAGTAGTGTTATATCAAGCTTAGTTTGTCTTTATATTGGATGTGAATTTCCAGGTCATTCAGTTATGAAATATCAGTCCCAACCCATCTTAAACCCATCTTGACGGGTGAGTTTGACATCAAGACTAGGAAAGGTCCTTGAACAGAAAAGTAAACAGACTGTGAGTACTTAGGAAAAGTTGCTGTGATTACTAAGACCCAGCTTGGGTTTCTCAAAAACAAGTCATGCCAGACAAATGTCATTTCTTTTTTTCTTTTTTTTATAGAATTACAAGCTTAGTAGATCAGGGGAAGGTTGTGAACATAGTGTATCTTGATTTTAGTAAGGCTTTTGACAAAGTCCCCCATGATATACTTGTGGAAAAACTGGTAAAATGTGGCTGGACAAGGTAACCATTAGGTGAATTTGTAACTGGTTGACTGACCAAACCCAAAGAGTGCTCATTAATGGTTCCACGTCATCCTGGGGGAAAAGTGACAAATGGGGTGCCACAGAATTCTGTCCTGGGCCTGTTGTTGTTCAGTGTCTTTATAAATGACTTGGACAAAGGAATTGAGAGGATGCTCATCAAATTTGCAGATGACACCATTCTTTGCTAATGCCACAGAAGACAAAGTTGGGATGACCTTAACAGATTGGAGAACTGGGTCCAAACTAACTGAATGAAATTCAATAGGGACAAATGTAAGGTTCTACATTTAGGCAGGAATAACCAGCTGCACATTTAGGCAGGAATAACAAGCTGCACAAACACAAAGATTGGGTGGGGGGCACCTGGCTTACCAGAAGAACATGTGAAAAGGATCTAGGGGTCTTAGTAGACCATAAACATAACCTGAGGAAGGAAACATTGTTAGCCATACAAGCCTACCCTTGGCTTTTGGTATTTTCAGCTCATTTCCAGATGTCATTGATCCCTGATCATTACTGAGGGCATACTGTCATTTCCACAGGTTCAGTCAGAATCAATTGTTGGAAATCGTGTTGCAGATTCCCCAAGGCATGAAACCTTAGTTCCACACCAGTCTCAACTACTTACAAAAGAAAGTCCCAGCCGACTCCAGCAAGGCCTGTTGTCATCATCTGGTACTGCTGGCTCCCTGGAGGAAATCTGGCAGATTCTAGAGATGGGATCAAGCCCTTCTATTCTCAGCCCCCAAAGCAACAAAGAGCAAGGTAAGCATGGTATAGAATGAAGTGGCTATTTAATTTTGTATTCGAGTCAGGTACTGTACAGCAGTTTCTTGACGCATTATACCAGTAGACGTTGGAATGCCTCTGCCCTACTTATGGTGCAATCCACAGTGTTTTTGCTCTTTGTTTGCCAATTTTGAAATGAGTGGAGAATACATGCACGCATGCCCTATTAATAGATGTCTGTAGTTTCAGCTCCACTACTTACTCTAGTACAGTGGTTTTCAAACTGTGCTCTGCAGAACTTTCCCAAAAGACATATTGTCCTTCCCTACTGACTTTCTACTGCAATATTAGCAGGGAGTGCAATCCCTTCTCTTGGATCCCAATAAGCCTGCATGTACCCCAGATGAACTAATGTTGTGCCCAGAGCTTATTCCAATAGCCTCGGTATTGGATAGAGATCCAAGATTGGTGCTCAGGGATTCTTTGACAGACAAGGCAACTTCCTACTCCTTGAGATTAGAAAATTAGAAAATTACTCTTTCTAGTACTGGGAACCAGCCATCCACCCTTTACTCTAGTTTTATATATAACTTTGAGACTGCTGCAGAAAGGCCATTTTGAGATTATCAGGTAAGCTTGTTAGAGACACACTATCACTGTTCTCAGTTAGTTATATAATTCAGCACATTATTCCACTTTTGATAAAAATCTCCCAAGGAAGAAATGTAAATATTCATTGCCTATCCTCATGACATGAGCTTTGTTTGGAGCAGATATAAAAGCACAGCTTTAATATATTCTGATGCTGACTTTATAAAAGGTGAAGTTATTATGAATTAGTTCTTTGTATTAGAGTAAAAAATCTCAGAAATAAATTTCGCCAGGCATAGTGAAATGTACATATTAGAACTGTGATTGTAAGCCTTGACTGCATTTGCACATTCACAGTATTGCAAACCATAATAAATGGTTTACCATGAATGTGCAAGTGGCTCCTGCTTTGTTCCTTCCCTAATGTGGGTGGAATCTGAACAGTCATAATATGATGCCAAAGTTTGTTTTGGAATCCACAATTATGAGGATCAACACTAAGCCAGGGAATGTGGTTTGCTGCTTCCACCCACACTTGAGGAGGAATGAAGTCAGAGCAACTTACATGTTCACTGTAAGCTGTTAACTATGGTTTACTGTGATGTGCAAACATGGCCATTGCTTAAGTCTTCAGTTCTTAACATATTAAAATTACACTGAATTCAGCTGAACGTAATGCAATCATGCATATTTAGGACTGAACTGCTAATGTCTGGCCAAGAGCTTTCTATATATTTAGGAAGGAAACCAAGGCACAAAATGAACACTCAAGCCCTTCAAGATCCTATTACGTGGGATTGCTTCCAAACGACTCTTAAGGACCATCTGCTTTTGGAGTTTCCTGACAACATCGAGGAACACTGGACCAAGCTTAAAACATCCATTATTGCAGCCTTTGAACAAACTATTGGATATCGAACCAATAAACACCAGGACTGGTTTGATGAGAATGGCCATGAGATTGAATGCATTATTGACAAGAAAAGGAAGACCTTTCTGATCTGGCAAAGAGATAGAAACTGCACCACTAAGAAAAAAACCTATGTTGCCGCTAAGGCTGAGGTTCAAAGAAGAATAAGAGAACTAAATAACACCTGGTGGATAAAAAAAGCTCAAGAGGTCCAGCACTTAGCCGACACTCATGATGCACAGAGTTTCTTTAAAGCCCTAAGACCATCTATGGGCCAATAAATCATGGCAATAAATCATGCCTCCTATGCTCAACAGACGGTACCAAACTTCTGAAAGATAAAGAAGCTCTTGCACTGTGCTGGAAAGAACATTACCAGCATCTCCTTAACCACAACTCCCCCATAGCTGCTGAGGTCCTCTCACAAATTCCACAAAAACAAATTAGAGATGAGCTTGCAGCATCTCCAAATCTGGGAGAGTTATGTACAGCTATTAACTAAATGAAAAACAACAAAGCCAGCGGACCTGATGGGATACCTGCCGAAGTCTTCAAAGTAGGTGGAATTGAACTTACACAACAACTTCACAAGCTCATCGAAAAAACATGGGAGAAAGAGGTGGCCCCAGCAGACTTTAGGGATGCCTAAATTATCAATCTCTTTTAAAAAGGTGACAGAACAGATTGCAGAAACTATCGAGGCATCTTTTTATTAGCTGCGGCTGGATCTTAGCAAACCATCTCCTAAAAATATCTGAGGCTACCCTTCCTGAATCCCAACATGGTTTTCGACCTTTGAGGAGGACAGTGGACATGATTTTCACTGCTTGACATCTTCAAGAAAAATGCAGAGAGCAAAACCAGCCCCTGTATATGGCATTCATTGACCTGACTAAGGCCTTTGATGCTGTAAATTGTAATGCCCTGTGGACTGTCCTTCTGAAAATCGGCTGCCCAGATAAATTTGTGAACATCCTTCAGCTCCTCTGTGACCATATGACAGCAACAATCGCAGATAACAGTGGCTCTCAAAGTGAACCATTCACAGTAAGATCAGGTGTTAAACAGGGTTGTGTTATTGCCCCAACTCTATTATTTTCATCGCCATGATCCTATACTTTGTTGAAGGGAAACTCCCCACCAGAGTAGAAATCATATATCAAACAGATGGAAAGCTCTTTAATCTGAGCAGGCTGAAAGCAAAGAGTAAGGTTACCATAACTTCCGTCATAGAGCTTCAGTATGCTAATGACAATGTAGTGTGTGCACACTCAGAGGATTACCTCCAAACCATCCTAAATGCCTTCGCAGAAGCTTACAAAAATCTTGGCCTATCATTCAACACCCAAAAGACCAAAGTGCTGCACCAACAAGCACAAAACAACCCCTCTGCAGCACCACAAATCCAACTCAATGGTGTAACGTTGGAAAGTGTCTATCATTTCTCCTTATACAAGGTCCAAAATCCAGCATCACTACAAGTGATTGCCAAAGAAGAAGATATATTTATGTATACAGAAAATGTGGGGTAGAACTGCAGTGGTACCTCGGGTTACAAACACCTCGGGTTACAAACGCTTCTGGTTACAAACTCCGCTAAGCTGGAAGTAGTACCTCGGGTTAAGAACTTTACCTCAGGATGAGAACAGAAATCACGCGATGGCGGCAGCGGGAGGCCCCATTAGCTAAAGTGGTACCTCAGGTTAAGAATGGTTTCAGGTTAAGAACGTACCTCCGGAACGAATTAAGTTTGTAACCTGAGGTACTACTGTAGATGTTTCAAAGCTTTTCACCTAACTTCTTACAATCAGCAAAAACTTTCACCCAGAATTGGTCCAGCTTACATACTTTGAAAAATGATTTCAATGAACCATCACAAGTCACGTCAACAAGTGCATCTTTCTTTTCCACAGATAAAGTTGTTAGTTGTACACCACCATATTCAAAAGGATTCCTTATCCATGAGTTTTCAGAATTTGGTGGAGGGAAGTAATCTCTGAAGCTAGTTGCTAAATCACACAGGTGTTCATTTATGTAATGTTTTACTTCTGGTATCAGTTCTTCGTCAGTGGCCTCCAGAAATGTCTCCAGTGTTGGGATGTTAGTAAGGCTACCACCTTCTACTCGGCTTGTCCATAACCATAACTTTGTAATCACTGCCTCAATCTTATCTTCAGTGTAAAAAATATTCACATCACTACCTTGAAGGTTTGTGTTGAAAGTGTTCCAAGTATGTGAAAACATCTGCTAAGTTGGCTACCATACACAACCATGCAAAGTTGTTCAACTGATCAGAGGGAAATTTTGAACCTGTCAGAAAAAGTCATACTTCACTTAACTCAAAGAATCACTTCAGTATGCTTCCCCTTGACAGCCAACAAGGGGCTGTATGTTGGCTTCCCATTTCATCACACTGTTGTTGTTGTTGTTGTTGTTGTTGTTGTTGTTGTTGTTATTTCCTTCTGTGCCCAAGTTTCATCCCTGGCTTAAATAGAGTAATTAGTTAAATACAATACTTATTTGGAGTAAGGTTTTTATTCTTGCTGATTACCCAATAGGAACAAGCAACTTTTTAATTCATTAGGATTCTGCCATGTACCTGCTTCCTCCCACCCCCAAATGTAGCCACATAGCTTCCCACAGAAAACAAGAAAACAAAATCCACACAGGCTGCCATTTGCACGAAACTAATCATCAGAGGATTAGCTGTTGTGCTAATCATAGTGGCAAATTGCTTAGCTATTTCTCCATTTAGATTTCCAAGATGAGATATGAACCCCAAATTCACTGAAGACCCTATGTACAAGCAGTGGGAGAATCCTCTAAACTTGAAAGTTGTTGAAAGCAATTAGAAATTATTTTCAATTAAAAAGTAGAGAGCAAAGGGAAGGGATCCCTTACATTTTTAAAAAAATGTGAACTAGCAAGCTGTTTGTGCACTCTATCTCTCCTCGCCTCCTCCAATAGCAAGAGCCCCAAGAAACTGTGTCAGAGGTTTTTGCCCAATCCCAGCTCACTTGTCATCCAGCAACTCTTTCACAAGTTTTGGCCCTGCCAACAAGCAGGCACTCTGGTCGAGAGCAGAGGCTAGATGATCTGTGAAAGGATTTCACTGTGCAATTAACAAGATAAGTGAGTCCTCTGGCAGGGGATGGTCCCCGGACCCCTAATTGGGAACCACTGTTCTAATCAACTAACGTAATAAATAACAAGATGAAAGATGAAAAAATCTTTTTTAATAATTCCAGTGGCACCTTTAAAGGTAAAGGGAACCCTGACCGTTAAGTCCAGTCGCAGATGACTCTGGGGTTGCGGTGCTCATCTCGCTTTACTGGCCGAGGGAGCCGGCGTACAGCTTCTGGGTCATGTGGCCAGCATGACTAAGCCGCTTCTGGCGAACCAAAGCAGCGCCTGAGCGGTACCTATTTATCTACTTGCACTGCGTGCTTTCAAACTGCTAGGTTGGCAGGAGCAGGGACCGAGTAACAGGAGCTCACCCAGTCACGGGGATTCGAACCGCCGACTTTCTGATCAGCAAGCCCTAGGCTCTGTGGTTTAACCCACAGAGCCACCCGCGTCCAATTGAGTATCTGACGAAGTGTATTACACACAAAAGCTCATACCTTGAAAGCTTATATTTAGTTGATCTTAAAGGTGCCACTGGAATTATTAAAAAATATTTTTTCATCTTTCATCTTGTTATTTATGATGACTATGACAGATCAGCATGGCTATCCACCTGAATCTCTAATCAACTGAGCTATTCATGCTCATCATTTCATCTTCAAAGAAAGACTGCCCCACAGCTGCTGAAAGGAATGTGAGGAGATGGGAAGTGGAGCTTCTGACATCCCCTCCTAAACATCTTTAACTCTTGATGGTATGCCCCCCCATTTTCTGCTTCACATGCTTGTGATATAGGTGTGATTTTGCTGCTCTGTCAAAATGAAGTTGTTTTCTATCATTTCTTTTCTCATAGAAAATGCTGCTAAAATTCTTCATTCTCTTATCTGGGCATGATTATTGCAACCCCGTTTGTGTAGATCTCCCTTTATCCCATCTAAAACAACTGGCCTATTTTCTTAACTCTCAATCTTTTTGAGTCAAAATGGATGTTGTACAGGTAGAAAAGGTTCAGAAAAGGGCAAGCAAAATGATCAAGGGGATGGAGCCACCTCCCCTCTCAAGAAAGGTCACTGCATTTGGGACTTTTTAGTTAAGATTAAAGCTGAGTTAGAGGTAGCATGATAGAAGTTTATAAAATAATGTACAGCATAGAGACAGAGGATAGGAAAAGTTTTCTCCCTCATAATATTCAAACTCGTGGACATCCAGTGAAGCTGAATGTTGGAACATTCAGGACAGACAAAAGAAAGTACTTCTTCACATAGAACATAGTTAAACTATGGAACTCACTCCCAGCAGTGGCAGTGAGCAATGGCCACCAACTTGGATGGCATTAAAGGAGGATTAGGCAAATTCATGGAGGGTAAGGCTATCAATGGCTACAAGCCATTGTGACCATGCTCCGTCTCAATAGTTGGAAGCAGCAATGCTTCTGAATATCAGTTGCTGGAAACCACAAGAGAGGAGAGTGCTCTCATGCTCAAATTCTGCTTGCAGGTTTCCCACAGTCATTTGGTTGGTCATTGTGAGAACAGGATGCTGGACTAGATGGGCCATTGGCCTCATCCAGCGGGTTCCTCTTGTATTCTTGACTCATTGTCTTAGCTCATCTACCTTTTTTGCCTCTACAGTATTAGACCGTCTCTTTTGCTTTTAATCTTTTCCCTACTGGCATGCTTGTTTGTTTAAATGAATCCACCAGACAATTTCACAAATTGAACAATCCTCTCCCGAGTAGCTTCAGGATTTTGATTAATTGGTTAACGTTTACCAAGGGCTTTGAAAATGCAACGTGTGTAATACACTTGCAGATTATTTTTATGTCCTGGTCTAGCAGCATTTCTATAGGCTGTGGCAGCGAGCAGGGATGACAGTATAGGATGGCATGTGTGCTGTTGGCAATGACCCACGTGCTATGGCAAAATTATTTGGTAGACCAAGACATTGAAGATATTGAAGATACTGCAGGTCAAGAACCTGTTGCTAAAGCAAAAACAGTGTTTGCACATGCAGATGTCACAGTAACTTGCCTAATGTTTCATGCTGTCAGCAGGTGAAACTCAACTGGCAGTTTGCAAGGACACCAATTACCTAATCTAGTATTGGAAACCTGAATGCAAAAAAGAGATTCTGGCTCTCAAAATGCAGATGCAAGTGATGTGTATATCTCAAGACTTTAAAATGCCACCCTCCATCACTTCACAGGTGAAAATAAGGACCGTTTTGTGTCCTTCTTGCATCTCTGCTTTAATACAAAAGATTAAGTCGATTTATACATTGCTAAACGATCTTTGCTGCATTTATTCAGGAACAGTATAGAGGGCACAGAATTGATGCAATGTAGATTTGACAATCTACCCATGTTATTCAAAGAAGCCTGTTCCCTTCCTACCACTTTACTGGCAGGACCAATAGCTTGATTTATTTGTTTGTTTGTTTGTTTATTACCCACCCTTTACCCTGAGGGCCCAGAGCAGGTTACAACATTGATACAACATTAAAAGTGGTTTAAAACAACTTATAATCATAAAAAGAATGTGGGTCCTATCAATATACACCTCAAGTGTCAAAAGCCAGGGTAAAGAGGTGTGTCGGCATAGTAAAACCTAACCCAGTATAAAATTCTCACAAACCGCCAGAATGAAATCTAAAAGCAAACTGTCTATGTGTAAAAATGCAGTCTTTTCTCTCCTCCCAACACCCTAATTCTTGCTCGCTAATTGGGTCCTTCTCCACACCCCCTTCCCTACTTTGCTTATAACTGAAATCTAGTTCTGCATTGGTAAATGGCAGGTATTGAGGGAAAAGTTTATCATATCACTTTATGCTCCTTACATGATCCCAGGGTCTTATCAGGGTGTGCAGTGGGCCCAAGCTACTGAAAGTATCCAAGTTTGTACCTTCTTCATACTATGGCCATTGTGGCACAGCTTGGCCAAGGCCTAATCACCATAGCAACTAGTTATCACTCTTTCTCCTCATTTCAGAATGCGGAAGTCCAGGCTGGTAAAATATCTCTGCCCTCCCTTGCAAGAGAAAACAGACGGACTGTTGTTGAGCCACAGTTCTGAACTTAATATTTCTTTTGCTCTGCAGCTGTTGTCTAGTACCCAAGATCCCCCCTCCCCAATAGGAACAGAGCTACAGTTTGCTGAAGAAAACATTGGTATAACACCCTGTTCCCCAGAACAGTCATATAACTTGGAGAGCTGTCTTCCCTGTGTTCTAACACATTCTTGTTTGGGCCAACTTTCAACAGCTGGCGTTTAGCAGTGTAAAAGGGATTTTAGTTGGTGAGATTATAGATGTGAACAAAGAGACTTTACCTAGAAAAGATTATTTGCATGTACTTCTCACGAACAGCAGCACTGAGTTGACACGGATTTTGATCATCTCCTGAGTTTTAAAAGTAGCTCAAAGAGCTGCTTTTAGAAGAAGAAAGGCTGAAAAGTGACTACAAACCAAATGTTTTCCAGCTCCTTCTCTTGCCTTATTTGTTAGACTATGATTTGCCTTATCCGTTGAGAAAATTACCGCATTCTTGACAGAATTAAGTTGATAACATCAACATATATGCTGAGTAGTGGGGAGAGAGAAAAATTAGGTTTCTATGGTTTGTGGTCAGAGCTCCAGTCCTTGGGGAATTATAGCTTCATATAAAAAGCTGCCAAAGGGTAGAGAAATGGGAAATAGTTAGAACTGCAATAGATGTTGTGCTGCAATATTTGAACTTGGATGATGAAAACTGAAGAACCACTTTTATTACAGCTCATTATGATTGGTCCAGTTGTCCTGGCTGAAATTTGGCTCTTATTGGGTCATATGTTACCTTTCACTCTTGCTTATGGGACAAAATTTCAACACTTTTTCCATCATGTGGGTAAAGCACCAGACAATGAGAGGTCTGAGTAGAATATTAACCAACAGATTTGAACTCCTTTCTGGCTCTACAAATGCAATTTTACTTTGCTGTTATGCAAGACTTTTCATCGTTCAAGTGCTTTACAAATATTAACTTATTCTGATGTGATTTTCTATACTTGACAATTCCTAGTATCAGAATCTGAGCTTGTAAGTATGAGAGTGATTTTTCGTATGGAAATAATCGTAACAGAGCTGGACTGGGTAAATTCATCACACAAATGTTGTGTGTTTGGGAAATGCAGTGCACAAATGCAAAATATCCATCCATTCAGTTATGTTTGAATAGTTGCATTTCTGCCTAGCCAAAGGCAAAATTGGAAGTTTTAAAAAAACCATGTAAGATGAAGAGCTGATATTTCCAGAAAGACTGTTCTCCTTCACCTTAAAACAGTATTTACATGGAAGGCTTCAAGCTGATAATATAAACATCTTTCTGACCTAGGAATATCAGGCAAAATAAAATTCAAAGTCTTGTTTGATATCTACCATGCACTTTCTGATACATCTTAAAACAGTGAGTTTGTGGTAAAGATGAGATTTGAAGTGGGATTTGCTATAGGTGTTCTGGTCACTTCAGTACAGGATGTTTAACAATGGAGTGGTCTCTTTCATACAAAGAAGTAACAAATTGGCCCACAAATAAATGTAAAATGTAGTTGGTTGGTGACCTTAATAAGAAGTTTGTTGATCAGTGAATTCCAGTAACGGATATGTCTATACAGTAACAGATGTATCTATACTTCACTACACCATTAAGAATATAGTGGGGAAAGGCTCTGTGCCTCAGATTACAGCACTTTCCCATCAGATGAAAAATCTTCAGGAGAAGAAAACATTAAAACAATCCAAATAAATAAAAATTGCAAAGCCAAACCTATTTCTCTTTCATAGGCAATAAATCACAAGGATTTAAAATTTATCTTATCCCCCACCAATATGTCAACCTTCTTAACTGCAAGTGAAAATTATTTATTTTACAGTGTTTGTATAATATTTTTCAACCCTAATGGTTCTCAAAGCAGTTCACAATAATAAAGTTAGATACATAGACAGATGGTTGTGTCCCCACAATAACAGATGCTGTTGATAGTATTAAATAGTGGTATAATATGACTTCTGGCTCTGCTCCCCTGAATGGTGGCAATAGCAAATAGGGGTACTGGGGTGGGCAGATATTCTTCAAAGTGTTCTGCTCACTCCCCTAGACGTTCCTGTCTCCACTACTTAATATATGTTTATGCTGCTCTGAGCAATTGGCATCAAACTAAAATAATATCCATTTTCTCTTCCTTTTGATTTGCAGAGAAATCCCAGGTTATCCATGAACCAAAAAGACTTGAAGACTCTCAGGAAGAAGCCCACACAGAAAGAGTACCAGCAGCTGCCTTGACTGTCAGAGGGACTAAGTTTGAAGTTCAGACAAAGCAAAACCCAAACAAGTCATCTTACAACCGAACCAGAAAGCCCCAGACCCCTCAGCGAATGGCCAAAATCCGAAACTACAACATAAAGGATTAAATTTTCAATGAAGTAGAAATTTTTATATCTGAATTATGCACAGTATTTTGTTATTAAGTTGTGATACCAAGTTTAAGTCCTATTCTGACCATGTTTGGTCTTGTAATTAATGTTACTAGTCAAGTTCCTTCTTACTTCCAATTTTGCTAATCAAACTTCATTGATAAATGTTTTTGACTGTAGAAAGTATTTAAACCAGCTTCCTCTACATCTTGAGCTGGTAAATAAATATATGTTTCAGTATGCTTCAGATAGATTCCTCAAGAGTTTATCACACACAGAGAACTTTATTGCAGTTCATAGACCCAAAATACACAAAATCAAACAGGAAACACTGAATATGAACAGACCTAGGAAGTGGCATCTCAATTATATGTTCCAGTATTTTATTTCCCCAGATCTCCTGGTTCTACACATATTGCACAGTTCCTACAGTTTCTCTGTATATAAAAGAGCACAGCTGCTTTGTCCACTGCCCTACCCCTCCACCTTTCCCAAAGGACAAACAGATAGGAAGAAAGGGAAAGGTGACAGAAGGCTTCTCAAGAATGATGGGCATGGACTACAAGCCCTGAGATTTTCCCTTGAGGGAGGGAGGGGGAGTAAAAGGTTTCACAAGATGAGTTGGGGGTATGAGCAGCATTGAAATGGGCTGTGCATGCCGTGCCTCAGTTCTTCCCTCTATAATTTGAGTAGGGCTTTTGCATGGATTGTTTTAGTCAGGGTATCTCGGCCCAGGAAGAGTCACAATTGTTGCACCAGTCTCAGCGGATGGAAGGCATTCTGTGCTACTGAAGCCACTTGGGTCTCTAGTAACAAGGCTGGATATAAGAGCACCCCCAAACTCTGGTCCTGTAGGATGGAATGCAACCCTGTATAGAACAGATTAACATCCCTTGCCTAAACTGATTAATCGTTCATAAACAGTAACTATTTTACCAGGACTAAGCATCAGTTTATTAGCTCTTAACCACCAATAAAATTATCACGCTCTTATATGAAAAATATGTAAAAAAGATACAGAGGTGGATTATATCAGCATATTCATGATACTCCACTCAAAAACCTGAAATGACTTGACTTACTGTATATGTCAAACCGAATGGGGAACAAGACAAGACAGACCCCTGTAGAACGCAACAGCATACCTACCTAGAGGTAATCTACCAGTTCCACCTTCTGGAATCTGCCTTTCAGGTGGGAATGGAACCACCAAAACACCATGTCCCCAGTTCTTCAGCTAAACAGGCTACTCAGAAGGATATCATGGCTGGTTGTATCAATAGTCACTGAGATGTTCAGGAGAATTAACAGAGACATGCTCTCCCAGGTTATCCATGAGGACAACCAGTGCCCTTTCTGAGCCAAAAACAGACATGCAGAGTGAAATAAACCAGCACTTAGACCCATCCACTTAACTTTCTTCTGCTTAGATGTTATACCCAGAATGGGCAAGGTCGAGTAGACATGTGGCAGACTCCATTCCTCAAGGCATTTTGTCTGCATCCTCATTGCAGCAACTGAAATCAATCCCATTAACATTACATGATGGTGATCTGACCACATGTTGTGACTGATCTGCCAAACCCATATCAAATATGAGCAGTATTATCCCCTGTGTGAATAAACATTGTAGCATACCTCTGAGGGTTCTTTTCCATCATACTGTTGGGGGCAGGGATTATAAACAGTGAGGTGTGAAGAAATTGCATGCAAAAGATGCAGACCTTGATATGTTCTTCATAGAGGTCATTCACAACAATCAGTTGTTAATAATACGAACATATTAGCATTTATTAGCCAATTAACTCATGTAGAGATTGATTACTCCAATTCAGTCCACAAGTGATAGCATAGCACAGAACCTCTTGCTTCATTGTAATTCACTGTTTCCACACTGCAGTCTCCCTTTGAAGTGTCTGTTGCAGTATGACCAGAATTAATCTCTGGTGTTGTTTATGACTTTGTTAGATCCTGTAATAGTGTTGCTAGACTAGACATCGGTAAAAGATGGCATCTGAATCTGCCACAAGTTCTCATCCGTGTGTCTGTATCTCTATTATGTCAAATGTTAGTGGTCATGATTAGCTGTTTTAGGTTGGAAAGGAGCTGCATCTAAACAATTACAGACCTATTGATGTTATTCCTCAGGATGGATTGAGAGCCAGTGTGGTATGGTGGTTAAGAGCGGTGGACTCGTAATCTGGTGAACCGGGTTCAATTCCCCGCTCCTCCACATGCAGCTGCTGGGTGACCTTGGGCCAGTCACACTTCTCTGAAGTCTCTCAGCCTCACTCACCTCACAGAGTGTTTGTTGTGAGGGAGGAAGGGAAAGGAGAATGTTAGCTGCTTTGAGACTCCTTAGGGTAGATAAGTGGTTTTAGTTGGAAACTAAATGTGACAAGGGTGTTCTGTCATTTTCTCCTCTATGTCTGTGCTCTAGTAAATTATTCCTGGGTACCAGTCTGGCCATGATCTATTGTTGTTTCTATTTTGTTGGGAGACAAATGTAGTCCGGGAAAAGCTAATGTAAATTTTAAAGCTGTGAGCTTCTGTCTGGTGAATCTGAACAGATGCAGTTGTAGGGCTTTGGTGTGGACAATTGATTTCATGACGTATTCTGGATAAAAAGCTGGAACCATGTAACTAACAGTCAATAGGTTTCCTGTGTAGGGTTGTGGTATTTAATGCCCATTATGCGATTGCACAGAAGTGCATCTGAACCAGAAAGCAATCCTTTTGAGTGGCCTGCTCTAGGTTCAGGCTGCTGGTGAAGGGAAAATGAACAAAGCCCTGGTGCCTCTCCTCCATGAATCCGGATGATTCAGATGTAACCAATATATTTCAGATAGAAGAGAGTCTGAGAAAGCATTGTTCTAAGTAAACCATGAAGATGTCAACATACTGTGGAGCCATGAATGGTCTGCCACATCCAAACCACCATATTCCTGCCCTGTCAAGAACACCATCAACAGTGTGACTCACAATTTGCAGTGCGAGGCTTTGTTGGAACAGTCTATTGGTTGTCATGGTGGTCATGACACCCTTGAAAAATAAAAATTATATATACACCTATCTATACTCAAAGGCACCCAAAATAAGATAGCCTCAATGTGGATGAACAACTCTACAACACCAGATCAAACAACACCTTTAACAGTTAAAGCAGGGAGACAAAATTAGAATCCTCCTAGGCAAGGAGAAGGGATTTTTATAGAATACAGCAACTCCTCCTTCCTAGCCTTCAAGCCTGGGTTGGTACACTGAGAATCCAGATGGATACAGGTGGCAAATCATGATTATTATGTTTATTTTGGGGAATAAGCATGACCAAAAATATGATAAATATGAGAGAAAAGAAATAATGTGGCCCTGGAAGTTGCTGTTTTCCTTCTTTTTAGAAATGACTCTACACCACATGAAAAAAACGAAACAGGATTACTTTATAGAGCTCATGGGAAGCAGACATGATACTCCCCTCCCCAATTTATCCTGACAAGCCTGTGAAGTAGGTTAGGCTGTGAGACAACTAGGCAAGCTGCCCAATGAGATTCATGGCTGAGTGGGAATTTCTGTGTGGGTCTCCTCAGTTCTGGTCCAAAACCATACCATGTACTGTACTGTGTTTTGAAATACAGTACAGCTTGGAGCAAGCAAGGATATAATTCACAAAGTGACCATACTGAATAATAAAGGGATGTTAGGCTCACCCTCCTTTTCATTTTGTGGTTCTGCGCTTCCCATAGGCCTCTGCTTGGCCACTGTGAGAAGAGACAGCAGGCCTCTTCTTAAGAACCTAAGAAGTCACTTTAAGATTAAGCATTTACAAGAAGGGTAGGTGGATGTGGGTGGCTGCTTTATTGTGTTGCATTATAAGGGAGTATTACATTTCAGAGAAGCAAGTGGGAGTGGATCAGTGCGGAGTTAAGTTCAGAGCTTGCTCCATTTCTGGGAAGGAGGCGAAGGAAAGCAGACAGCAATAGACCTCAGCGTCAGCAGAACAAGATCATACAAGTTCTCAACCCTAAAACTGAGGCGAGAAGCCTTTCTCCCCTCCAGATCCGGAGAGGCAAAGAAAAGCTCGTGATGCCTTCCGTGAGGAGAGCATTATTTGTTCCCAAACCGTAAGGAAAGCTAGTTAACTGTCGCCTGGGACTGTATACTCCCGTGTAGAGAGAACATAATCCCGGGAGCCCATTTAACAGAGCCAGAGTCTGCTTTAAAGGCTGAACTGTAGTAACCGAGGAAGCTCGCACTCTTCTGAGGTGAATGACCTGAAATAAGCCACAATTCACAGGCGCTTTCTTGCATCACCATCAGCTTAATTTCCTAAACAGAGCCATCCCCTTCAATACAGTCACCACATCACCCTATCTCCTAGCAACACCCACACAGCCGCTCAGATTGGCCAGGCAACGTACCCTCCTACATCCCCCTGCCCCCTGATTGGACACCTCCAATCAATGACTTTAGGCCCCTAAAGAAAGTGTGGTTCTCTTTTGTACATTGCATTTGCCGGGTTCTGTCGGGAGGGGACGGGGAAAGAACTCGGTCAGAGTGTAACGAGGCAAGCAGCGCGCCGCGCTGAGCTCCCAGGGATACCAGTTGCTTCCTTTTTCCCCTGTAGGCCGCGCGCTCGGCAAAGCCAGGGAGAGATCAGCCTAATTAATTCTTCCCCTTTCGCAGCAATAGCGGGGGAGATGCTACGAGGTTACACCAGTAACAACAACAACAAGGCGGTGTGTGCGGGGGGAATTAAGTGCACTTCTCTCCCAGAAAGCCAAATCTCCTTCACGTCGAGTATTCCCAGCAGCGCAGCAGCGCACACCAAGCACCTCGGCCCATCTGCTCCCCGGAGAGAGGCGGGCTGGTTTGTTTCAATTTACTTCCCAGACGCTGAAAAAAGAGGCAGCGCCGCAAGGTTGGAGGCGCCGGCTTCCCCTAGCGGGCTGGCCGAGCAGAGGAATCGCATCCTCTGGGTCAGAAGTGCCTGTGGGTGGCGCTGCAGAGCCCACCACGAAGCAGGGACACGCACAGGGCCCTTCACACATCCCAGGCCCAGGCTAGTTAACTTTCCCCCCCGCCCTCGACGGGGTGTGTGTGTGTGTGTGTGTTGATAAATCGGGGTGCCTAGGAATGGCTCCCACACAATCGCAGAGGGTCCTAAGGATCATCTAGTCCAACCCTCTGCAACGCAGCTTGAACCCGCAACTTGCGTGTTATCAGCAGCGCCAGGCTCTAAGCGACTGGGCTCTCCAGGCTTGTCCCCCCGGGGATTCATTTCCGTGGGGGGATCCCTACGAAACTCGAAAATGAGGTACAGACGGGGCGATCCCGCAGGTCGAGGGCAGGCCGGGTCACGCCGGTGCGTGCGGGGAGGCTTCCCCCGGGCATGTGATGCGCCACCGCGCGGGGCAGGCCGGCCGGCTGGCCCAGTTCCTGCCAGGCACCGTTGCGCTTTTGGCCAGGCGGGCTGAGTATGGGGCAGCGCGTGCTCGGCTGGCGCTGCTCTTTGGCTCGCTGCTTCCTCCTCCGCGCGGCGATGGCGAGAGGCTGCCGTGAGCCAGGGGGCTGGCATCGCCCCAGGGTCTGCGCCGGGAGGCCCAGCCCCAGCTCTCATTGGACTGCGGCGAGGAGCAAAGCTGTCAGCCCATGTGGCGTGGCCACCGGAGGTGGTGGCTGTTTAAATAAGCGCCGAGAGCTAGAGGGAGACAGTGAGAAAGGGACGCGGAGCGCAGATAGGCGGCGCGGGCAGCCTCAGTTACGCATCGGGCACCGACGAGGAGGCAGAGAGGGACTTGGCGGCCAGGGACTTGGCGGCCGGCAGCGTAGCAGCAGCAGCAGCAGCAGCGGGGCTTTTCAGCGCGCCTCCTTCGCCGATCACCTTCCAGCGGTGGCTGCCGATCTCAAGGACCCGAGCAGGTAACCGGCTCGGGTTGCCGGGATGGAGGGAGAGGCAGCTCTCCTCCTCTCCGGATGGCGCTTGTATGAATGAAACGGAGCAGCCGGCTAGAGCTGCTGCGCACTTTGGGGCGCTGGGGCGCCTCTAGGACTGTCCTCGGCTTGATGGGGGCCCTCTGGATGCCCTCGGTGCCTTTGCCCGCTGGGGCTGGTTTGGCCCCTTTGGAAGCAGCCATGATCTCTTCCTTCTCCTCCTCCTCCTCTTCCCGGCGTGGGGGAGGGGAACCGGCCTTGGCGGCACCAGATCTCTAAATGCGTTTTCATTTTCCCACCCTCCTTATGCAAATAGGGTTGTGCAAATTTAGGCAGACTGAAATACGTCCGTTTTGAATAGGTCGTCCGGGCCCGTCTTCGAAATCGGAAGGCGACATCCATTTTCAGGTGTTGGATGAGCCTTCCCAAGTGAAATCAGCTCGGACCCGGAGGAGGCCTTGGAGGCGCAGGCGGGTGGGATCGGGTGGCTATGCGGCTTGAGCGCAACATCTTTCAGAAGTAGCACCGGAGAAGCTTCCGATGCTAGATCAGGTTTTTGTTCTCCATTTTGATAGCCAGCTCTGTGGGGAACGAACAAAAGCTGTGGCTCTTGAGATTAAAACAACAACAGTGTGTGTTTTTTAAATTTAATTTTATTATTTTTTAATTAACGGCAGAATAAAATTGCAGAGGTAAATTGCTGCCTTTGAAATTTTGTGATGTAATGTGGTAGCAGTGAAGTTGATTTGAGGTGTGGTTTCCCCCCGTATTGAGGTTATGGAATAAAAAGGGGGAGGAGTGTTTGGCAATAAGGGAGATGGAGGCTAAGCCTTGCTGCATTGTAAGTGTTCTGCATCCAGCCATTTTGATACTGTACCAGGCAAGGAAGACAGTTACACTGGCACACTGAAGCCCATTATTTCAGCAGATCTAGGTAGAAAAGGGGGGTTCTCTCCCCCCTTAATTTCCAGCTCTTGCCTTTAATATGCAGAAGCACAGAGAAGGAGATAAGAGTTTGGAAGGTATATGACATGCACTGGATATTCTCTGCTCTATTGTGACATTAGGAAATGAGGACACCAGATAGTTTCTACTTCGTCACTTGCAACCCAAGTCTTTCACTTCTTCTCAGGTAGCTAATAAAAGTCAGCAATTTCTGCTCAGCATTTGGAAGGATTTTCTCTTTGTTTCAGGACATTCACAGAGCCTGTGATTATTCTATTGTTCTCATAATGTAACCTTGTATTCATATTCCTCAGCTCAGCAGTACGATCCTACATCCATCTCCAGAGCTAAGGGATGCTGTTGTAATGCAATTTGAGCTATTTGTATTACAGCCAGTTAATTTTATTCAGACGCATAAAAACAGGTAAAATAAGGTAGTTCTCTTATTTCTCTGTTTTTTAAATTACCTTATACGGTACCATAGTCATGCAACATGGAGAATTTAAAGACAAAAAGTGTCGTACAGCAATTTATCTTACTAGATATTTTAAATCATAGAGGGTAACTGGTACCACGCCCCCCTTTGCTAACCCAGTTCCGTGGCAAAGTTGTCCTTGTCTGTGTTTTTTGTGTGCTGATCCTCAAAACTGTTGTCCTAAGTGTCTGAAGTAAGATTCCAAACCAAGGAAGTCAGAATATTTCCCTTTTTGTCATACGTTCTCAACCTTGCTTAGAAGAATCTAAAAACAATGAACATTTATTTAATGTCTCTAGGAACTGAGAAGTACTGCAACTTGCATTGGTGACAAAAGTTCCCTTTCTCCCACTGAAACAAATTGAAGCAAAGAACTTAATCTCTCAATTTACAAGCAATTCAGTCAAGGTTGACCTTACCTTAAAAGTAAAATGGTAGAACTGTCGTTGACTTCTGTGAGACTGGTGCACTGATCCTGATGGATCTGCTTGCTGTGTTAGGGTAAATGATTGTTGTATTGGTTTTATTTATTTAATTCTTTACATTTCATTTCATTTATGTTTGCTTAAAGTTCACATTTAGGGCCAAATGCGCCCCCCTTTTGTTAAACTAAGCTAGAGGAACTATTGCTATGTCCTGTCCCAAGTATTTATGTGCTAGCCCAGGAATTTGTGGTACCAGAATGAAAAATCAGGCCACAATCCTAAACACGATGATTGAATAAGCCCCATTTCACACAATGGAATTTACTTTTGTGCAAGCAAGAATCCTGAGCACAGAATTACACTGTACCAGCCCAATCCTATGCATGGTAACTCGGGAGCATGTCCCTTTGAGTTTAAGAAATATGTTTAGGATTAGAGCAGGGTTTCCCAAACTTGGGTCTCCAGTGGTTTTTGGACTCCAACTCCCATCATCCCTAGCTAGCAGGACCAGTGGTCAGGTCAAGGATGATGGGATTTTTAGTCCAAAAACAGTTGGAGGCCTAAATTTGGGAAACCCTGGATTATAGCATTGGCTGTGAACAAGTGAAACCAGCTGAAATCATTGGGACTTCCTTCTGAGTTAACATAGCTAGGATCACACTATACATTCAAGCATTTTAATTTAACTGGAGACTTATGGGTAGGAGGAAGTGGGTTTTGTGAGCGCATTCATGGTCACTGGAGGCTGCATATAAAAGAGAACAGTGCGTAGCTCTGTAGAAGAGAGGATATTGGCATGTATACACTGCATGACAAGTTACGCCTACTGAAACTCTCCCTTTGATGCAACTATCAGAGGTGCAGGAGCCCTGACCTCTTCTTCACCTGGCCACCCTGCATGGTCACAGGTCAGTATAAAGGGATTGGCCGCCAAAGACAACACTCAGCTGGTGAGTCCCTTTAATAAAAACGAAGTTAGGAGGAACCACTGATCTGACACTACAAAATAAGCACATAATTTTTCCATGCCCCCGAAGTGAACATGCTTACAACAAAGAGGTTCAAAATGTACACATAGAAGTGTGTTATCTTTAATTATTTAAAGTCCTTTGGTTTTTGGTTTGGTTTGGTTTGGTTTGGTTTGGTTTGGTTTGGTTTAACAATCCATACCTTCATTATGTGCCGTGATGGATGTCCCTTCTCAGAGGGAGCAGAGTAATTTGGAAAGGACAGTGTGTGGCTGTGTTGACATATAATAAAGATGAATCATGGTTTCTTAGGACCACAATGTCCTACAGTCTTCCCCTGGACTCAGGAGGTTTCCCCTGTCCCCAGTGCAACCACCAGGAGATGACTGGAAACATTTGCTTGCATTTTTGTTTAACCACAACTTGTTGCATTGCCTAATCCCGACAAACTATGGTTAATTTTAACAATGATTTGTTTGAAACAACCTCCTTCAAGCCATAGTTTATGAAACTAGCTAAATGAAAATGGGCTAAATACTGATTAAGTGAAAGTGAACATATCTGAAATTCCCCTCACAGCAGTGCTGGAGAAGGGAGCCCGAAAGCTCAGGGGAGGTTAGGCTCATTCACAACATAATAAACCATGGTTTATAGTGACGTCAAAACACAGCCACAGTCTTGAAATGATGTCAAAACATAGCCATAGTCTTGAAGTGAATTTCAGTACACATCTTTAAAATATCCTCCAGTTAAGAAAAGAAACAATGGGAGGGGGAGATACTTAATGAATTACAAGCAACCTGTTGAAATGCACTTAAAATGGCCTTTTGTAGCACAATCACAAGAAAAGACTAAGTGCGTAGTTACTGTACGATGAATGTACTCAAAGTGCTGTGATGAAACAAGTAGGTACTAGTGCATAATGCCAGTGAGAATGACTGGTTATTATGGATGATAAATGAGTTAGCACAGTGCCACAAGGCTGCACAAATACTGTGTAAATAAGGTACCCTCTTACAATGGTGTGGCCTCCTTTGGATGATTTCAGATCAGAAAATGCAGAAATCCGTATTGGAGAGAGCTCTGTGTAATACTGCACTGGATATTACAGAAATCTCAACGCATGCAAAAATAGTCCAAAGGCTGTCTAGGTGTGTTGCAAGGTCCTTTTGCATACAGCGATCATTTAAACTTATTGACAAAGTCAATAGGAAAAGAAGAAGTGAAATTCGGCAGAAAGGCCAGTCACAAAGGAACACTATGGGAGAAAATGGTGAGGACTACTTCATAGACGCTTTCCTCTGTTCATGAAGAGTTCTCAAATGCTCATTGAATGCATGCTCACTTTGGCAAATGTAAAATATGAACTAAGCTAGGATGGATAGTTGATCATTATGCCTCTAGTCGTAATCTCGGGGCAAAGTGCTGCTATGATCGTGAGAACTACTTCTCACCTATATTCTGTTATCCATCTTAATGCATACCTGGGGTTGCTGTGGACTGCTTATGTAAACCTGCCCTCAGAAGCAACATAATTAATACTTATTTGTACTCACTTAAGCATATGTGTGGTTGAGCTAATGCTGTAAATTAACTGCCCATCCTCTGCTCTGTGCCCTAGGCCACAGTCACACTATAAATTTAAGGCACCATGACTCTACTTCAAATAGTCATATTCTCCCAGAGAATCCTGGGAGCTGTAGTTTGTGAAGGGTGCTGAGAGTTGTTGGGAGACCTCTGTTTCCCTCACAGAGCCACAATTCCTAGAGTGGTTTCACAATCCCTCTTCCCAAGGAACATTTTGCACTGTGTGTGAAGAAGAGCTTCCCTTTGTCCGTCCCGAAAACACCAATGTGCAAGTTCATTGGATAATCTCTGGTTTAGCGTTATGATAGAGGGAGGAAAACTTCTCTCTATCCACTTTCTTAACACCGTGCATAATTTTATGCACCTCTGTAATGTCCTTATTCATGCTTCCCCCCCAAACTAAAATGCCCCTCATCTCATCCCAGACAACATCACAGGCACTGTGTACCCAACATCTGCCTCCAACACTCTTGCCCAGTCCTACCCTGCCCCTCGACTGGTTACTTGGCTCAGATGGCAGTGTTTTGGCTCAGAGGATGCCTGGTGTCTGTCTGCTCTGCCGTCTCTACTCTTCTCCCTCCAGCCTGAGTGATGGGTGGTTTCTGCTGCACCCACTGCAGCACCCATGACACAATGCAGCATGTGATGTGTCTTGCTGTGTTGCTGGACCCCCATCAGCCAATTGTTTGCCTGGACAGTTGGCCAATGAGCAGATAGACAAGCTATTCTTCTCCCGCCTTCCCATTTTGGAGAAGAGCAGAAAAGTAAGCTGAAGGGTTGCCAGGCTAACAAAGACAGACTCCACAGAGCATGTGTAGCTTGCCACACTCACTATCTGAGGAAGTGGCACTGGGCAGCAGCAGCAGCAGCACCGCAGTAGTCTATGGCAGACATCTGTGAGCCATTCACCAGCAAGTAAAACTAGGCCAAGAAGACACAGGGAAGAAATGGATGAAGAAAGTGGTGGCCAAGTGCCATTGCTCATCTGCTGCACAAGACGACAACATCATTTCACCTAATGATAGAGCTGCCCTTGCTTCAAACTCACATTTCATACCTGGCCTCTGCTCCACCCTGAATCTTCATATTCTCTCTCTTGCACCATTCTGATATAATTAGACCACAATTACAATGGGACAGATACTCACGTTCACACTGTGAATAAACCTGATGCTGGATTGATGATTTTAAGCAACTCTGTAAAATCAGATCGATGATAGAATAGGTTGCAAGCAGAAAACCAGAAAGGAACCATTTTTGAAAGACAGGACAGTAGTTTTTATGAGTGTGAAACTACATGCGACTGAGCATGCAATGGGGTCTGGTCCTGAAACACTAAAAGCACCTAGCAAACCCATTTTCCAGACCTGACAGTGAAATGGTTGTACAATGCCTACTTCATAGCACTTTCAGCTCTCTGAAAAAAATAATTATCTGGTCTTCAGTCTGTGTTTTGAGTTTAATTAGCTGGCATCCCACTCTCCCTCCGCCTTGTCTTTCATTGTATCACTGAAGCTGATAGAAAGATTTCTGCTTTATCTTTGTAATATCTCTTCCCTTTGGCCATCTCAGTTCATATATTCTGAGCAGATCAATATTTCTCAGCTTTATTCTGATACATATGATCCAAAGCACAGAAACGTTTCCTCCCTCAGAGGCAAATCATTCACTTTATAGAGGGAGTTAGTACTGTGCCCTTCAGATGTTGCTGAACGAAAAAAACTTATTGGCCCTGCTGCCTGGGGCTGATTAGAGCTGTATTCCTACAACATCAAGAGCAGGGGTCAGCAAACTTTTTCAGCAGGGGGCCGGTCCACTGTCCCTCAGACCTTGTGGGGGGCCGGACTATATTTTTTTTGGGGGGGGGAATGAACGAATTCCTATGCCTCACAAATAACCCAGAGATGCATTTTAAATAAAAGGGCACATTCTACTCATGTAAAAACACACTGATTCCTGGACTGTCTGTGGGCTGGATTTAGAAGGCAATTGGGCTGGATCCGGCCCCCGGGCCTTAGTTTGCCTACCCATGATCATTATCGGGCTCACTGGATCAGATTTTCGAAATGACCCAGTTGTCTGGAGCGTAGGATGTGAAAATAAATGGCTAGGCTTTCAAAGGCACGACCAGAAGAATGGGATGTGCAGATGATCAATGGTACATCTGGATTATAAAATGATTAGGAATTTACTGGGAGTAGAATTGCTTGCTGCTTTAAATTAGGATGATAGCACTTCCATTAAATAATGCACCCTCATGCTGCCTTTAAATTTTATATTGTACAACAGGGAGCTCTTCATTATTGCTCTGTTCTGCTGTCTGAATGACTTTTAAGTGTCTTGTGGACACCAGAGAAAGAATACCTAGGAAGATTTACTTACTATATTATATATATATATATATATATATATATATATATATATATCCCACCTTTTCTCCAAGAAGCTCAAGGAAGCATGCATGGTTCTCCACCCATTTTATCCTCATGCAACCATGTCAGGTTTGTTAGGCTGAGAGACAGTGACTGGCCCAAGGTGAACTATATGGTTGAGTGCAGATTTGAATTTGGATCTTCACAGTCCAAGTCCCCACTACTGGCCATGCCAGCCAAGGCTGATGAGAATCCATAGACTCATAGAATTGTAGAGTTGTAGCTCCAACAGTATCTGGAAGTCACAGGCCTCACCCTACCCCTGGACTATTTATTTATTTATTGGATTTATATCCCACCCTTTTCTCTAAGGAGCTCAAGGTAGTGTACATGGTTTTTCTCCTCATTTAACTCCAAACGAACCCCATGAAAAAGGCTAAGCTGAGAGGTAGTGAGTTGCCCCAACTCACAAGGTTCTTGTGAGGACAAAATGGAGAAGAACCATGTATGCACCTTGAACGCCTTAGAGGAAAGGTGGGATATAATGTAGGATCAACCTAACCAACACCATTAGCTTTGTGAAAGGACTTCCATTTCTTCCCCCCTCTCCTTCCCTCATGTGCCCCACACCCCAAAAATGGTCTCTGGAGTGTGTCAGGGAACTCCCTGCTCCCCAAATTCAGAGGGAACAGGGGGGAAATCTGGAAGTGCACCATGTTGAATTCCACCCACTATCTTACAGAAGAACAGTTGACACCTGTGACTGAACAATCAATCTTTGGTCATTCAAGGTGTAATTGATGCCACTAAACAACAAGGAGTGTGAGGGAGGGGAGCTGTAGGGCAGCATGAGATAGCCCCCACACGCACTAGCTGTGTCCTTGGCGAGCTTGGGAATCTGTGTGTGCCAACATATGCATTTAAAGCTCTTTCATGTGTGAGGGGGCATCACTGGACCAATCGGAATCCCCTCATGTGAAGGAGCTCTCTGAACATCCTTCAGTGTAGGTATGAGTCACCTCATGGGGCTGAGGAGTGACCCTGCTGTGCTACTGGCATGATGGATGTCCATTTGAATGTCCCAAACAAGACAAGCCAGCACAGAAATAAGGCTAAATTGCTGTAGTCATACCTCAGGTTGTGAACGTGATCCGTGCGGGAGGCACATTCGCAACCCGCAGTGCTGTGTCTGCACACATGCGTGACGTGATTCGGCGCTTCTGTGCATGCGCGTGACGTCATTTTGTGTTTCTGTGCGAGCGCCGAAACCTAGAAGTAACCCGTTCCGGTACTTCCGGGTTCGGTGCGGTCCGCATCCCGAAAACTCACAACTTGCAGCGTTCGTAACCTGAGGTATGACTGTATTTAGATGCCATTGTATGCATTGAATACTTGCCTGCATAGGAAAGGGAAAGGAATTTCCTGATAGATGAATGAAAGAATATAATTGTTACTGATAATTATTGAAGACTGCAGTCCTCTTCCATTAAAATTAAGGGGGGTATTTTTATACCAACCTCAACAGGAACAGGCTTGCAGCTTACTGACTATGATCAGAAATTATAGTCTTCAATTATGCATTTCCATTGATATTCCATTTGCCCTTAAATGAACTTATCTTGAAAAGACATTCTTACATATTTTACTGCACTATTTTCATCTGGAGGGGCATTCTTGCACTATAGCAACAAAAGAGGGGCCAAAAAAAAAAAAAAAAGGTGCTCAGAATATTTGTGGTATGACAGGATTTCAGCTGAAAGCTACAGGATATACCGTCATTGGAAACGAAGTGGTATGATCACCCTAGAACTTTTGCAAGCATGAGCATGATTGAAAGTGGGATTGCGTGTAACCACCTCAATACCATCATCAGCACAAATTGTATAATGTAAGCACAATAAAAAGGACATTTGGTGGTACCCATAGAATGGCGTAAGACCTAGAAAAGCTCAGTCTCTTCACTCTCACATTGCTTCACTCTACTTCCCACTTTTAGCTCTAAGCTCAGCTCTGCCCTCCAGAGCAAATCTCTGCTCTGAATCACTACAAGCAAGGAAAGGAAGCCAAGGAATCTGGCTGCGCCTCTTTTACTTCTTTATCAGTTAGCTTTGACTACAACAGTTAGTTTTGCCTTTTTATCTCTGATGATCTTTTCTAGGAAGTCCTACCTACAGACTGGTGAAGAGTAGCAACAATAGCTTTAAATGAGTTAAACTTGCTCAGAGTGATTGAAGGGAGAACTGCAATAGTTTTATAGCTGAAGGATTTCTTGTCAAGCTCGTCCCCCCCCCCCCAAAAAAAAGTGTTTTGGACTGGTTCCTTAGCATTCAGAACTAAATATAAACTATGTTATTATATACTAAAATATACTACCTCACTACTTAAAAGCAAATATTTTCCCTCCATACCTTTAGGTATGTCACAGATCACCGAAATGTTATGTTGAATTTTATTATCTGGATTGTCAACCTGCTTTGTTGTTTTATTTGCTGACAACATCTATAGCAACAGCAACAACAGGGGGGAAAATTACAAACTGATTCATGGCTAGAGTTCATCAAAGCAGTGTACGAGATGATAAAACACAGTGCCCAGTTTTTGAAATCATTTCTTAAAAGCTCTTAAAACATTGGGAGCACTTCAACGTTGCACTCTGACAATTGTTCCACCAGGGCAAGCATTTGGGCTTGTCAGATGGAGCAATCTCCCCTTTCCTCCCCCTGCATGCTGTTTCGGGGGTTCTCCTGACTCCCCCCCCCCCAATTTTTTGGGGGGGGGCACATGTGGGGGATGAGAGGGGGAGCCCCATTGTGCAAGCAGAAGTTCTTGTGTGGGCTTCTGTTGACAGAACCCATTTTAGTTAGATCCCATCCAATAAAACAACATCTTACAAATGCTAGAAAACAACAAAACCATATCTGCAAGTATGCAATCGGTATTCCGTAAGTTATTGGGTTACCCATCGGGGCAAGCCTTCTTGAATAAACATGCCTTCAATAGGCACCTAAACATAATGATGTTACTGCTCAGTGCCTGACTAGTGCTATTCAGTATATATCCATTATGCAGCAGGTGACATGGTCAATAGTAATATTAATCCCACAACACACTAAAGCAAAAATCACTTGCTGCCCAATAATATCTCGGTCAATTCATCACTAGTAGCACAAAATTCACATACAGCCAGATGTGTGCCCCTTTGCTACATTGCTAAATTTGCAGTTATCTGACTACAGCGGACTAAAATGAATAAAATTAGTTTTAAAAGGACAGTCCCTCAGGAGGAGGGACAGAGCACTGGCCAGGATGGAAGCCAGTGCAATATGTTTGACCCTGTTACTATTGCTGGAAGTAATAGACATGACAGGGTGGATTCTTGGCCAAGGTGTTGAAAGGCTTTTTCCAAGTGTTACAAGATGCTCCAAGTGGTGCCACCTACATATTGATATAGAATCATGGGTGGGGGCCCTCATGGAACAAATTTAGGCTGTGCATGGGAGGAGGAAAGGGAGAGAATGTTCAGCTGCACAGATAGAAATCATTGTACAGGTAGAAAAATTGCCGTAGTACTACGTTGGGTTCCACCCATGATATGGAATTAGATGTTATTAATCACGAACTCCGTAGGCTAAAGCCTTCTTCTATCTCTATTTGAATAATTTCATTCACTGTGTGGTTGCACCAATAGCTTTCCAGAAGTTTTTGTTCCTTGCTGTTTATTCAGTTACTTCGAGTTCAGCACTTGCATCCAGGATCTCCAAGCCCACTGGTATATAAAAGACCACATCTGCTCATAAAATAGCTCTCATGTGGTCTGTTCTACAGGTATATCTTTAAAAGAATCTGATCTGCTGCTCAAAAATATATGAAATTAATTTGCCCGGTGTTTCACTGGTAATTATATATTTGTTTTATTAACAAGTGCATTGTAATTTTCTTGTGTGATTCATTATTGCTGCATAGGCCTGATTTTTCTTTTCTCCACTTGCTGTCTAGAGACAAGTTGAGAGATGGAGGAAGTGGTGGTTGCAGGCATAGCAGGGAAGCTGCCAGAATCAGAAAACTTGCAAGAGTTTTGGGAAAATTTGATCAATGGAGTGGACATGGTTACAGAAGATGACCGGAGATGGAAACCAGGTAGGTCTAGTGATCTTGATGGCCTTCTCGGTAGTGGCACCCTCCCTGTGGGATGCCCTCCCATCAGATGTTAAGGAGTAATTATATAACATCTGAAGGCAGCCCTATATGGGAAAGCTTTTTAAAGTTTAATGTTTTACTATGCTTTATATATGCTGGAAGGGACACGGGTGGCGCTGTGGTCTAAACCACTGAGCCTAGGGCTTGCTGATCAGAAGGTCGGCAGTTCGAATCCCCACGACGGGGTGAGCTCCCGTTGTTCGGTCCCTGCTCCTGCCAACCTAGCAGTTCAAAAGCACACCAAAGTGCAAGTAGATAAATAGATAATGCTCCGGCGGGAAGGTAAACGGCGTTTCCGTGCACTGCTCTGGTTCGCCAGAAGTGGCTTAGTCATGCTGGCCACATGACCCGGAAGCTGTCTGCGGACAAACGCCGGCTCCCTCGGCCAGTAAAACGAGATGAGCGCTGCAACCCCAGAGTCGTCTGCGACTGGACTTAACGGTCAGGGGTCCCTTTACCTTTACCTATATATGCTGGAAGTCGCACAGAGTGGCTGAGGCAACCCAGTCAGATGGGTTGGATACAAATAATAAGTTGTTGTTGTCAGGAGAAACAGAAACATTGGAAAGATGAACTCTAAGGGTCATTGAGTTGTGTGACCTTTAAGGAACAGGAACCATTGTCAAATTCCTGTGCTCTCATCTGCATTCCTGGATGTCCTTGACTATATAGCTGAAAGTGACTTCAGCGGGAACTTCTGCCTCAGAGGTTGAATCCATCTAAATCCGTTGTTCCCAACATGGGGCACACGCCCCACAGGGGGGCAATTTGTTTTTTAAGGGGGGCAATTCGAGAATGAGTTACTAACAGTGAATGGCCTTTTACGCTTCCTCCACATGAATAGGAGTTCACCTTTTGAATAATAAAAATTATATGTCATGGGGGTGGGGGGCAATAAGGATTTTAGAGATGCTTAGGTGGGGCATGGCCAAAAAAAGGTTGGGAACCACTGTTCTAAATTAATCCAACCAAATCTTTGTCCGGCTTTCCCCCCTGTATAAATAGAAAGCAAATAACACATACAAGCTTGGAGAATAGGAAAATAAGTTCCATGATGTCTGCCTTTACCAAAAAAACACCTAATTAAACTATGGTGCTTTTGCAGACTCTCCAGATGATAAAAGCAACTCTGCAAGAAGTTTTGTGCAATAGCAAATAGAAATAGAAATAGCAGTGGCATACATAATAAGCACAACCAAGATGCAATTTCTAATCACAGAAGAAGTGATGTAGAAATAGCAGTGTCATACATAATAAATGGCCTTGGTCCTGTATATCTGAAGGAGCATCTCCACCCCCATCGTTCAGCCAGGACACTGAGGTCCAGCGCCGAGGGCCTTCTGGCGGTTCCCTCATTGCGAGAAGTGAGATTACAGGGAACCAGACAAAGGGCCTTCTCGGTAGTGGCACCCGCCCTGTGGAACATCCTCCCACCAGATGTGAAGGAAATAAGTAGCTATCTTATCTTTAAAAGACATCTGAAGGCAGCCCTCTTTAGGGACGTTTTTAATATTTAATGCTGTATTTTTTTAACATTCAATTGGAAGCTGCCCAGAGTGGCTGGGGAAACTCAGCCAGATGGGTGGGGTATAAATAATAAATTATTATTATTATTATTATTATTATTATTATTAGCAGCAGCAGCAGCACAACCAAGATGCAATTTCTAATCACAGAAGACGTGATGTAATTTTTCTTTCTTCTTTTGAAATTTCAGGACTTTACGGACTGCCCAGGAGAAATGGGAAGCTCAAGGACATCAGCAAGTTTGATGCCTCCTTTTTTGGAGTTCACCCAAAGCAAGCTCACACGATGGACCCTCAGCTCCGACTGCTGCTGGAAGTCTCGTACGAGGCCATTTTAGATGGCGGTGAGCAAAGAGTTCTAGAATTCTGCTCCAAAAGTCCTATTAACATGCAAATCAATTGTGTACAAATTGTGTCGCTTGCACAAGATAACGTAAACTATTTACAGACCCAAAGCACACCAGACTTTGTTTTCAGGACAGCATATATGTAGGGGGACATGGGTTGGGGCAGGGAACCGAAGCAAAAAGATTCTGTCCGCTGCCCAGGTTTATTCTGGCTTCCAAATCTAGAAGAAATAATCTAAATATGACTTTCCCCACTCTGTGACATGAGGGTTGGCAGTTTTTAAAAACAAAACAGACTTTCGGAGGAATTCAGTGTTGCACTCTTCTGATTGTTACCCCCCATGTGCTTTTCTGGGGTGTACATGATCCATTGGAGCAAATTAGGGGGAAGAGGGGAGGAAACCCTGTTGTGCTAGTGGGAGCCCTTGCACTGGCTCCTGCTAAGCACAGCAGTTTAGTTAAATCCAGGCCTTTGCCGAGAGATCTAGCTTCTATTGTTTGTCAGAACACCATGACCATGCATTTTGATAAACTTACCTTGGAACTAAATGATGAAACCACTGTTGTGAAGGCCTTGACATTTCTGTGTCTTTTGAAATTAGTGTCACACCTTTGCAAAGTTCCCGTTGCAACATGCTTCTTGCAATTTTGACAGTGAAAGAAAGATTATACAAAAGTATTAGCAACACTAATAACTGGTATCAGTAACGACGGGTAGCAGTGTTGAAAAGACGTGTTAGGAAATGTGTCCACAGCTGACACGTCCCTCTCTGACAGAGCTCCTGGGATCTCTTGAAGACACGTTTTCCAACCTCTTTTCCTATGTCCTCCAAATGAAGCCTTCCTGCTCATTGGTGTAAAATGGAGACATTAGAGTTTCCAATAATGTGGAAAGTTTAGATAAAACTTTTTGAAATCTCATGGCTGGCAGAGACAACACTTCCATTTTTTAGGAAGCTAAGTTGAAATGCATTGGTGGGCCTATGTTCTTATTCTATGTTTTGTTAATTATTTTGTTTTGTTTTGTTTTGTTTTGTTTTGTTTTGTTTTGTTTTGTTTATATCCTGCCCATATCCGGCTGGGCTTCCATATACAGTGGTGCCCCGCAAGACGAATGCCTCGCAAGACGGAAAACCCGCTAGACGAAAGGGTTTTCCGTTTTTGAGTTGCTTCGCAGGACGAATTTCCCTATGGGCTTGCTTCGCAAGACGAAAATGTCTTGCGAGTCTTGAGATTTTTTTTCGCTTCCCCCCCCCTTTTTCTAAGCCGCTAAGCCTTTAATAGCCTTTTAGCAGCTAAGCCTTTAATAGCCGCTAAACCGCTAATAGCGCTAATCCGCTAAGCCGCTAATAGGGTTGCTTCGCAAGACGAAAAAACCGCTAGATGAAGACACTCACGGAATGGATTAATTTCGTCTTGCGAGGCACCACTGTAATGTTTATATGCTGGTTCCTTTTCTTGCAAGCTTCAATGCTTCTTACAAAAAATAAAGTAAGATTCAATTATCTTAAGAATTAGGTTCATTTCACACATTTTCTCCTATATGTCACAGATGGGAGTCATAATCTGCTTTAGAGAGAAAGAGGATCACGTTCGCCAGCATTTTTTATAATCAGCAGGGGCATCATGCATTGGCTTGTCTTGTGCTCTTTGAACACATTTCCCATTTAATATACTCCCCACCCCACCCCCCGTTCAGCAATTCACTGCATATTTCAGGAAACAATGTGGGGTAAAGTTGTAATTTTTGCCTGTCTCTTTGCTTCGGGTCATTTCTGCCAAGAAAACTTTATACTCAAAAGGCCGTGAGGGAAGGACCATGTTTATATAGTTGTGTTTTTTTAAAAGATTCCAAGTATTTATATACCACTTTCAATCAGAAAGACTGCAAACAGGAAAAAGAAAGTCAAAGCACCTATTTCAGTAATATAATAGCCTGGTTCATATGATACACTAAACCAAACCTTGGCTTAGTGAGGACACACAAATGTTGGGCATCCCAGAGAGGACCTTGCAGCCACTTTGCTTCTCCGTGGTCTTTTTTTTTTTCTTTTTTTTTTTTGCTTCTGGACCATTGATTTGCTCGGTCCCTGCTCGTGCCAACCTAACAATTCAAAAGCACGTCAAAGTGCAAGTAGATAAATAGGTACCACTCCAGCGGGAAGGTAAATGGCGTTTCCGTGCGCTGCTCTGGTTCGCCAGAAGCGGCTTAGTCATGCTGGCCACATGACCCGGAAGCTGTGCGCCGGCTCCCTCGGCCAATAAAGCGAGATGAGCACTGCAACCCCAGAGTCGGCCATGACTGGACCTAATGGTCTGGGGTACCTTTACCTTTAGGGATCATGTGACTGAGTTCCATGGTTGCCTGAGTTCTGTGATCATACACACTTTTCCTTACAAGCAACAATAGTTAAGATCTTTCATAAACTGCCTTTCTCCCCCTTCTTGTCCCTACTTCTGTGTCCTGGGTTGTGTTTCCTCCCCGCCCCAACCCTTTGGTTCATGGACCAAGCACTTAAGTGTCAAATGTTTCAAGTGACTTCATCCGTTCTTTGACAATTCCACACCCTGCTTTTCATTTCTCACCTCCAAATATTCAATGATATTTATTATATTTCTAATGTTTTCTTTCATTTGGTGGCCTTCCCCTTTTAGGAATTAATCCAGCTTCCATTCGGGGCACGGACACAGGAGTGTGGATTGGTGTGAGTGGGTCAGAAGCTGGTGAAGCGTTTAGCGTAGACCCTGAACAGTTGCTGGGGTACAGTATGACTGGCTGTCAACGTGCTATGTTTGCCAACAGAATTTCATACTTCTTTGATTTCAAAGGTAAGTTTGCATCTATGGAGGGCCAATGGACTGATGATCTCATGGCAGGGCAGATGTTTGGTCAGACAGGGGAAGATGCAGGAAAGTTTGTGATGTAGTTGAAGAGGATCCATAACAGTGCTGCAGAAGTCTTCAGTACAAAGAGCATATATTCTTGATGGATGTTTTGCAAATTCTAATGGGTGAATTACTATGGCATTGTTGAGAATCACAGCACTTGACAAATGTATTGAAACTCTTTATGAGTAGGCATGTGTGGGTCAAACCAGGGCTGGAATTAATGTGCCACCATAGTTAACTCTCCTCTCTGTAAACAGAAGCCTCTCCTGTTATCACATCTTAAAGGCTTTGTTCCCCAAGAGAACAAAAACTATGGCCTTAAGAAAGCTGAAAAGGCAAAACAACTGATGGTGGCTTGTTGTCTTCTTTCTTTCATGGTTTTCGTTCCCAAAGGACCAAGTATGTCCATCGACACAGCGTGTTCCTCTGGCCTCGTTGCTCTGGACAATGCTTACAAAGCAATCCGCAGTGGACAATGCGAATCAGCCCTTGTAGGCGGAGTCAATCTCGTACTGAAGCCCAACACTTCTGTGCAGTTCATGAAGCTTGGCATGCTTAGTCCTGAGGGTGCCTGCAAATCCTTTGATGCTTCAGGTAAGGGGTTTGTTTTCATATTCGGCCATGTTTTGGAAGCAGCAGCACTCCCATTTTTGAGGGAGTGTAAATCTTGGTCTTCTCTTGGTAAATTAAGAAGTCCCAGCTCTTTTCAGGATAACAAATATCGGAACTGACAACAGCAGTGTTCAGTTGCATGGCTTGTTCTCCTCCAGTAGCTAAACCGTTTGGTTTTCGCTTTCTTCATTCTCTGTTTTTATAAGCTTTCTGTTTAACTGGTCTCCAGAAAAGACAGAGAAGGCATCACTGTTCTTTCAAGGCTATTCTGCAATAATGAATTGCTTTTAATGGCTTTGTTTTGTCTAAGAGCTTCTTTGTGGGTCGTAGACAAACCAAGCTTGAACCGAACCAAGCAGGCATGGAAGGTAGCTTGTTCTCAAAGTACAGGAGTATTTTAGAATAATAGTCTGTTCTTTTCCCAAAAGATTGGCTCTTTAATAAGAAACTAGGGAGATATAAATACCGTATTTTTCGCTCTATAAGACGCACTTTCCCCCTCCTAAAAAGTAAGGGGAAATGTGTGTGCATCTTATGGAGCGAATGCAGACTGCGCAGCTATCACTGAAGCCAGAAGAGCAAGAGGGATCGGTGCGCTCTCCTGGCTTCAGGGATAGCCACGCAAAGCCTCTTGAGCGCAGCCGGAGCGCTCCTGCCTCTTCGCTCAAGAGGCTTTACGTTGCTTTCTTGTTTCTTGTTTTCCTCCTCTTAAAAACAAGGTGCGTCTTATGGTCGGGTGTGTCTTATGGAGCGAAAAATATGGTAAATAACTTCTGGGAAGCTTAGAGGGTGATGTCATACAAAACACAGCAAAATGGAACCAAATTATGAATACATAATACTAGGCAGGTCTGAGAGGAAACAAGGAAATGTGAAGTAACCTCAACCTTGTTCTTTTTCCTTTTCAAATTAAAGTATCTTCAAAGTTATGTATCATTGGTATCTTGCACTAGTTTGAACGTTGCAGTTAAGTAAAACAGGTTCTTCACTGTGTGTGTGTGGGAAGACTTTTAACTAGCTAGAAAAATATAAATACACACATGGGCCTTTTTTTTAACTGACTGGCTGGGGAAGATCTTATCTATAACTTAATTGGATGATAAAGGTAAAGGGACCCCTGACCATAAGGTCCTGTCGTGGCTGACTCTGGGGTTGCGGCGCTCATCTCGCTTTATTGGCTGAGGGAGCCGGCGTGCAGCTTCTGGGTCATGTGGCCAGCATGACTAAGCCGCTTCTGGCAAACCAGAGCAGCGCATGGAAACGCTGTTTACCTTCCCGCCGGAGCGGTACCTATTTATCTACTTGCACTTTGACGTGCTTTTGAACTGCTAGGATGGCAGGAGCAGGGACTGAGCAACGGGAGCTCACCCCGTCATGGGGATTCGAACCGCCGACCTTCTGATCGGCAAGTCCTAGGCTCTGTGGTTTAACCCACAGCGCCACCTGCGATACTTTCTCTAAATCATTTAATCTGCCTGTTAGAATACTTCAGGAGCAAATACCTCAAATCCACATACTGGAATAAATATATCACCAGCTATATATATGAATAACAGAAGTACAGTTACTTTAGAAGAACTGCTAGGAAAAGTGTGAGACACAGACAGACTGTTAAAACTACCACATTTTATATGACAACGATTTGTTTAATTTGTTTTCTTCTGCTAACTTTATTGATTCAAGTAGTTCAAGTGCTCAAATTTATTTGAACAGAGCATTATAATGAGATGTAATCAGTAAAGCTGTTATGAGCCTTATAAGTAGTTCTCACAGGAGTTTTTAAAATATTAAGTGGTTTTTAAATACCTTGAAATGAAATACTTAAAAACTAAACGAACAAGATATAGGACTTCCTTCCTTCCGCTTCTTCTCTGGGCACTTCCAGTTTGTCGTCATTTTCAGGTGGAATTCAGTCACATACTGGCTAATTCAGGTTGCACAATTATATTGCACAACCTGCTTCCCCAAAAGATCAGATTTTTGTATGATAAAGAAAGTGTTCTGGAAAGTGGGGAATAACAACTCTTACTTTGATGCAACGTCATCTAACTTCCACACGGTCAAATAGGAGTGAGTGTTTATCAAATAGGCAACACTGTCTGATCTCCCTGCAAACAAATCAGGATAAACGCATGTGCCTTGTGTAACTCTACTATATTCTGTGAACCGCCCTGAGATCTCATGATGAAGGGTGCTATATAAATCTAATAAAATTAAATAAAATCTGCTTTGTCTTGATGCCTTTTCTCAAAATAAGTAGGTTGGGAGGTATTTGAGTGCCCAGCCATTTTAAATATGAATAAGGGCTATTTGATGCTGGCTTTTGCGTTTCGCTTGCTCAGCAACCTTGAGAAAGTATGGCTAGAAACCCAACTATCTAAAGCGGATTACATGTGGGGTGGTGATGGTGCTTCTCATGGCTCTGGATTTCTGCAGGGAATGGATATTGCCGATCAGAAGCTGCTGTAGTTGTTTTCCTGACCAAGAAGTCCCTAGCCAAACGGGTTTACGCTACCATAGTCAATGCTGGGTGTAATACCGATGGATTTAAGGAGCAAGGTAAGATTTCTTTAAAATTAATATCTGGAGCTTGCGACATTCTAAGATGCATCCTGGTAGACGATGGAATGTAACCCAGTGGAGTTGGGTTAGGAATAGTCTCACCTTGTTCAGTTAGGGTGTTAACTGTTTTTTTTTTGCGATTAGGAACATAGGAAGCTGGCTTATACAAAGTCAGACCATTGGTCCATGTAGCTCAGTACTGTCAACACTGGCCAGCAGCAGCTATCTAGGGTTTCAGAAAGGGGTTTTCCCTAGAGATGCCAGGAATTGCATGCGCTCTGCCACACAGTTCTTGCCCTTCTCTAGGATCTGATGGTGCATCATGGTACTTATCTCCTCTTCCCCCTCCCCAACAAGCCGTTTTCCATTTTTAAAAAAAACCCCAACAACATCCTTTTTGAGAAGCAACAACAAAAGTTTGTGTAACTGCCCGGATATTCAGTTAAAAATATGGAAGGCTAGATAGCGTGCCTGAAGTGTGGAGGGAATGGCAAGGCTGAAGGCTGAACAGCGTTCAGTTTGCTGGCACGCATATCTGTCCATTTCCTTGGGAAAGCCGGTCTTACTATGTGGCCAAGGCACATGCTGTGAGCTCACTTATAATACGTCCCTCTTCATCCCATGTGGGCTTCTGTAGCAGAGTGCTTCAGCTTAGACCCAAGCAATCCATTAAAGAGACAGCGTCTCTGACTTAAAGCTGAATGAATCCATATCCTTTGTTGTGAAAAATGAAGGTGCGTCCCAGTGACTGGGTCTGCCTTTCCTTAAATTTTGGAATGCGGTAGAGTCATGTGTCATCTAGGGAGCACATGGAAAGCACAGCTCTCTTGGGTGTTAGCGGTGATGGGTGGGGAAGGTGCTTCTGAAAGTAGCCTTTGCAATTTACAGTGTTGGATGCTCAATGTGAAATTTGTGGCATCCTCCTCAAAATGCATAGCAGCTAGGTGGTGCTTTGTTCAAAGCACCTTAGGAGAGCCTTATTCCCTGATCGAACTGAAAAACCTCCTGAATCAAAGCTCACAGACAAGAGCAGTTAGCTGAGTGGGGTTCAGCCGCTAGATTGGACAGGCATAAGCCTGTTGTGCCCTCCTGATGCCCTGCTTCACAAGTCTGGAATGTGGGATCAGATTTGCAAAGCAGCGCGGGACTGGCAGGGGCAGTCTGAGAAGCAAAACATGCCCTTGAAAAAACTGTGCCTGGTGAAATGGTCTTCCTCGCCCCGCCCACTAGGCCTCTGACCACTTCATTCAGCACATGCTGCACTTAGAGGCAAATTCTGCCAAAGCAAGATTTAGTTCACAACATATGGATAATTTCCTTGTATGAACCCAGGAATTGACCATTCTTTTTGCTTCAGGTGTAACGTTCCCCTCTGGATGGATGCAGCAGCAGTTGGTCAGTTCCCTGTACAGGGAGTCTGGGGTTAAGCCTGAGGAAGTGGAATACATAGAAGCTCATGGCACAGGCACCAAGGTTTGCCCTCTCTCCATGTCCCCTGTTCTGTCTCTCTTTTCTTTCATTCAACGCTAGTTTCTTTTTAGTTCTATATTATTGTAGTTTGTTTGGGAGCAATTAGATTTCCCATTTGCCGCTTTGCTTTCATGGACCGGCAGTTCCCATTTGACGCTTTCACTGGATAAAATAGGTTACCTCCTCTCATCTCCACTCACTCCATGATTCCTCTCAATATATTTCAGAAACGTTGGGGTTTGCACCCTGGTTTCACAGCGTTAAATTCCTCCATGGGAACATGTGTGGGGAGGCCAGGCCAAGACATTTTGGCCCCTGAGGCAAACTCCAAAATGGCGTTCACCCCTCTCATTCCAGGGAAGAAGAGATGGGTGAAGATCTAAATCAGAAACAAGGGTGGGGAGGAGACCAGCAGCACCTCCTGTTCACCAACAGGGGGTGGGGGCTGCCAAGGCGATGGCAGATCTGGACTCTAATGAGAAAGCCTCAGCCATTACTGCCACCGTAGCAGCAGCAGCGGGCATTGTATTCCTTTCCCCACACTCAGTTGTACACCTGCATACACAGCTGTTCAGAAAAAAATCTGACAGAGCTCACCAGACTTGAAATCTATCTAGTAGCTCCTCCTAACTTCCTGTCTTTCTCCGTTGCTAGGTTGGAGATCCTCAGGAAGTGAACGGCATCGTCAACGTCTTTTGCCAATCAGATCGACCACCACTGTTGGTTGGATCAACTAAATCTAACATGGGTCACCCAGAACCTGCTTCTGGTCTTGCTGCTTTAGCAAAGGTAAAAAGAAAAGAGAAGTTGATGTCTATTCGTTAGTGTTGGGCAGGAGAGAGAGAGAGCTGTTGAATAAAAATCTGTTGGGAGACTTCAGATTTATCCGTTGTAATTAGGGCAAATCATGTGGGGGAGGGGAAAGTAAGAAGGTCACTTGGCATGGACCTCAAGTTCAGGGGGGGGGGGCTGGTCTCAGATGTAGTTAAGTGTTAATCTTTTGGCATTATCAAATGCCAAGTTTCACAACTTGTTTTTATGGGCATCAGACCAAAATGTGACACACATTCTGAGTTGCAGATTTAAGTAAATAAGAGATGTGATTTGCTAAAAGATCTTTTTGCTGCGTAACTGATCTGGATTTTGTCATATTAAAACCTTAAAATGTCTGTAAATATTAATAAAAATATTTTGGTTCTGATTAGACCGCAACAAACAAGTCCTCTTAGATCAGCTGGTTATGTAAACAAACTACTCACTCTTTGGGGGAAGGTTTGGCTGCCTTATTTTGTTTCTGTTTGTCATTATTTTTAATATTTATGATGGCTAGGGGCTTCAAAGGCTAGAAGTGAGCGGGCCTTGTTGTAACCCAGGCATTCCCAAACTCGGCCCTCCAGATGTTTTGGGGCTACAACTCCCATCATCCCTGACCACTGGTCCCATTAGCTAGGGATGATGGGAGTTATAGTCCCAAAACAGGGCCGAGTTTGGGGATGCCTGTTGTAACCAAACCAAAGCACAGAGGTAGAGCTGCGCAACTTGGTCCCTTGGGATGAAAGGAGAGTGATGTCTTGAAGAGTCTTTCCTTGGCTTTGTATGCTGTTTGTGGCTGTAGGGTTCAGTGCAGCTGGGACAGATATAGGAAGCAACAGCAGCAGTGAAGATTTGTGACCTCAAGAACATTTGCTTGCCTCAGCAAATAAATTGTCCATTTTCTGTCATATTTATTCATCTGTCAAAGGAAAATGTGCCTTGGTGGTGCATTCATTGCTATGCAAAATAATGATGGCACAAATAGTGCAGTCCTCTGCATATCTGCTTGTGAGTTCCATTGAGTACATGGGGCTTATTCCCAATTAAGTGTGCATAGCCAGTCTCTGAAGCCTAAAGCATCGACTCATTGCAGTGCAAAACCACAATGGCTTTGTTTCACAGAAGCTCTGTGGATTTTGTTTGCAGCAGCAGTTCTTTCATAATACACTTGCCCCGTGACACCCATCATTTCAGCATCCCTGATCAACACGTTTGCTTACACCAGTGTGTACAGTTCTGAGCCAGTCAGAAAGCACACATTTTAAAAGGAAGAGGAACGGAACCCGTGAAAAGTGGGAAAGAATAGCTGGATGGTGAGAAGGCAAAATGTGTGGAATGGTCAGAGCAGATAGGATCATAGCTCCAATACCTCTAGTCGATCAACTACAATTAATGTGTCACAGCGTATAATACAGCAAAATTTAGGGATTAGATGAGTGGGAGCTACAATTTGAGAAACAGGTTCTGGACAAGCATTCTGACTTGCTTCAAGGCATTTATCAAGTTACTTCACCATTCTGAGCCTTAAATTCTCAGTAGAAGATAATTCTGACCTGCCAACTTCTGAAGAGTCTGATAATTAGATATGACACAAGAAAAGGTGCTAAGTGAGGATACATGTCCTGTTTCTATATTAGCAGATTGAACTGCAATGATTATCTTCTAATGTGAAATTTGATTCCTGAGGATCTGAGGTTTCTATCCCAAACTATGCAAAATATGCATGACTGAAAAATGTTCTTAGCCTGCACTGTTATGTTCTCTATTTCTCAGGTGGTTCTCTCTTTAGAGCATGGTCTGTGGGCACCCAACATTCACTACAACACCCCAAATCCAGATATTCCTGCCTTACAAGATGGTCGTATACAAGTCGTTACTAAACCAACCCCCACAAAAGGTCACCTTTGTGGTATCAATTCCTTTGGCTTTGGAGGCTCAAATGCCCATGTCATTCTGAGGCCCAACGAGAAGACATCTTCCTCCCCGGAGACTCATAATTTGCCACGATTGGTGCAGTTTTGTGGAAGGACTCAAGAAGCAGTAGAAACGTTAATAGAACAGAGCAGAAATCTGCAGCAACACACAGCACTTCTGAGCATGCTCAATGATATCTCTGGGATACCAGTGTCATCCATGCCTTATAGGGGCTACACCTTGATTGGCAGCGAGAGCGATGTGAAGGAGGTTCAGAATGCTCAGTCCTCAGGGCGGCCCCTGTGGTACATCTGCTCAGGTAAATTGCATACTAATCACACATGCACTCTCCTTTTGTTTGAGCCTAGATTTCTAATTTTGCAAAGTTTTATGTCATGCCAAATAGCCTTATGATTTATTTAATACAGTCATAAAGCTGAGTAGCTCACACCGATTATAGCAGGCACAGACACACACACATAGAAAGAGAGAGAGATTTAGGAAAGTGCCGCTGCTCAGTGGCAGAACATCTGCTTCACATGCAGAGGGTTCCAGGTTCAGATCTCCAGCATCTCCCTAGTATGGCTGTGAATGTTCCCTGTCTGAAGCCTTGTTGATGTGGACAATACTGAACTAGATAGACCAATGGCAGTAAAAGGCAGCTACGCACACCGGTCGTATGAAATGATGCTTCTAGCTAGCTAGAAGCAGTGCTATTTTTCTAGAAAAAGAAGTGCTAGGACTCACCATGAACACTTCCAGTGAGCCAGTGTGGTGTAGTGGTTAAGAGCGGTGGACTCGTAATCTGGTGAACTGGGTTCGCGTCCCCGCTCCTCCACATGCAGCTGCTGGGTGACCTTGGGCCAGTCACACTTCTCTGAAGTCTCTCAGCCCCACTCACCTCACAGAGTGTTTGTTGTGGGGGAGGAAGGGAAAGGAGATTGTGAGCCGCTTTGAGACTCCTTTGGGTAGTGATAACGCGGGATATCAAATCCAAACTCTTCTTCTTCTTCTTCCCTTCTTCCGTTGTTCTCTTATAATGGCAATGGTGCCCACCTGAGAGGTGCTGGAACTGAGTTCCAGCTGAAGAAAAAAGCCCTGGCTTGAAGGGTTTCATATCTTTTACATCTGAAGCACCACTCTCAATGTCAAAATAAAATGTCACATCCTCGTACTCTTCACATACCCAGCAGCGCTAAAAGGTACTCCTCTGCTTGTTCCATCCCATAGGCATGGGCACCCAGTGGAAAGGAATGGGGCTTAGCCTGATGCAGCTTGATCTCTTCCGGCAATCCATCTTGCGTTCAGATGAGGCTCTGAAAGACACGGGCCTGAAGGTGTCCGATCTACTCCAGAGCACGGATGAGAACACTTTTAACGACACTGTCAATGCTTTCGTTGGACTTGCTGCTATTCAGGTAAGAAGGAAGGTCTCCCCCTTTGCTTTGTGCCTCCCATGAAAAGGGACTCTTCTGATGGCTCACTGTTTTCCTCATCAGTTCTAGTGATGTACATCATGTAGACAGTCATCTTTGCAACCCACCTTTCAGCCCGGGATCACTGGCAACTGGCTCCAGTTTCCATGCGAAAGGCTTTGCTTTTATTCTGGCACTGTGTAGAGGAAGCAAAATGGAAAGAGGAGCATTTCTGAGCACTCCCATTTCACCTTCTGAGCTGTCCTGTCCTTAGCCCTTTTAAGGTGGCCGTGTGCGGATGTGAGCCTTTACAACACCTCCATGCTGATTGCTTATACCTGCATAGGCATACCATCTGCTGCCATTATTCTGCAGGTTGGCACATAGAGACAAAAGTTTTGATGTTAGCTCAGAGTCTTGCTCTTTGTTGTTGCTCAAGAGCAGCAAGTTCTGCTAAGTGGGTGTCCGGATTTGAGTGTGACAATAGGGGGATGTTTCTGTTGAGTACATTTAGTGATGGGATCTTTGTGTACACGTAACAGCACTTTCCTAAAGAGCTAGGGAAAACAACAGATGCCTTTTTGACAGCAGGCATTCAATAAGCCGGATGGGAGGAGGAAAAATCACTAGATGTGATTTTTTTAAAAATAAAGAAATGCGAGTTAAGGGTCAATGCTATTAGGCATTTCCTGTTTCCAGGGAACAATGTTTTGTAGTGAGTAGAGTATTAGATTTGGGCCTGGAATCCTTACCCAGCCATGAAGCCCACTGGGTGATGTTGGGCCACTCATTCTCCCTCGGCCTAAGCAGGTTGTTGTGAGGATAAAATGGTAAGGGGGAGAAACACTATAGGCCTCTAGAGCTCCTTGGAGGAAAGGTGGGGTATAAATGTAATAATTAACAAATAAAAGATTCATGTATCATGTGGCAAACTCCCCAAGGTAAGATTGCATATGCTGTTCTACATTTTGAGCCTGCTTGGCTCCCGCTAAGGAGGAAGCAGAGGGCAGCATGAGGGCAAAGAGGAGGTGAATGAGCAGTGTGTGTGGGCCTACTAGGAGATGCAACAGAATGTGACTGTGGATTGCATAAAGCAACTGATAAGCAAGATTTCCGCAAGTGTAGGAATAGGATAAGTTATTCAGCAGACCCATAAGCATTGTGCTGTTGTGGAATGAAGAAGGCAGTAGAGGAGGAGTTAAAAGGAATTTTGTATGGCTATGGCACTGAGGGGCTTCTAGCACATGGTAAAAACTCCCCTCATTTCCCAGGATTTCAAAGGCCATTTTTAGAGTCATTTTTTTCAGCCTGTCATCTTCCTCTCCCCCCATTTATGTGTTTTAAAATTTATTGTCCTTTTTTACTGTTGCTTTTAATTGTATTGGATGAGTTCTGCAAATCACATTGCTTGTTTTTATGTAAAACCACTTTGAGACCACTTTGACTGATAGAAAGCGGCATGCGAAGTGATTTCAGCTCTTTTTGTATTTGTCTAGCAGGTTTTCTGCAGTAGCAGAAAGCCGTAAAAAAAAAAAAAAAAAAAAAGCGGCATGCGAGAACTCCACACAAAGGCATAAATAAAAGACTGTGACCCATTTTCTAATCCCCAGATTGCACAGATCGATCTTTTAAAGGCCATGGGTTTGCAGCCTGACGGAATTGTTGGTCACTCAGTTGGGGAGCTAGCCTGTGGCTACGCAGATAACTCCTTAAGTCACGAAGAGGCTGTTCTTGCTGCCTATTGGAGGGGCCGGTGCATCAAAGAGGCCAAGCTCCCACCAGGAGGCATGGCTGCTGTTGGTAGGTAACTAGATGTGCTCTATTATTTGTCAGGTGATCTATTTTAATCTTACCTTCACTTCACAGAACTGTTCTCATCTAGTTGCCTTAATGCAGTATGGGGCAGGTTTAAAGAGGCAGGATTTATTTACCCTGGGCAATATTTGATAAAATTCAGAAAAATATCAGAGTTTTTACGGATTGAGGTTTCGTTGCTGTTACATGCCGTTAATCGGCCTCCATTCTGTAGACCGGTTTTGTGATGCTTAAAACCAAGCAAGCATTCATAAGAGCATATATAATATGTCTGGCAATTGGTTATGTACAACTGGTTGATTATAAGTCACTTGGCTTATAAGGAGTCAGACAATTGTTCCATCTACCTTAGTAATGTCTATATGGACTGGCAGAAAATCTCCAAGGGTTCAGATATGTACTGAAGTTCTCACCCTGGGCCAGCAGGGGGATACTGTAGATAGTTCAGGTCTACATATGCAAATAAGGGATTGAAAGTGACGTTCAGTGATTGGATAGTTACAGAAAGTTGTTACAATTAAGTTGTTCTGGAGCTCTATATAAGCAGGCTGGCTGAATCCTTCAGTTCAGTTCTGTTCTGGCCTGTGAATAAACAAGAGCTGTTTGAAGAATCGCTGTGCCGTCTGATATGTTCACACACAACTTAACAGACAGGGTTCTCTCTCATCCCTACCTGGTGATGTCTTTGATCTTCTGGAATCTTCTGCATGCAAAACAGCTGCCCTACTTCTGAGCTACTGCCAGCCCCAAAAGTCCTTTCTTTTCAGATTGGTACCTACACCTACTTACATAGTTTCTTTAGGATTAGCAAGGTGCTGTTGGTATTGCACATTGTAAAATCAGATAAGAGCATTTTTTTACACAGGAAATTCAAGCGTCACAAAATTGTCTCGTGACAATTCATCTTCTTTATACTATCTAAATAGTAGAAAATAACTATAAACTATCCTAATGCATAGTACAAGGTAGTATTACGACTCTCTAGTAAAGCTACATTTCAACAGAATACCCTATGGAACATTTCCTTTATAAAGTATTTATTTTAAAATGGGTAAGAGATAAAATTGGTAAGAGATTGTTATGAGGGCGATTGAGAGACAGGATTATATTAAATCTGCTATAGTTTAGGAAGCTCCTTAGCAAGATCTCATTGAAGCCTGTACTCAAAAGGTTTTATAAAAAGGACAACTTATGTGCATCAATCAGACCATAATCTGCATGGGTAGCCAAAATGATTCCTGCCTGATGTTGCTGGACTACAGCTCCTATCAGCCTTACCCATTAGGATAGTGGTAGCTCCATCACTAAGGAATTAGTGAGGTTCTACTGGGTAAGTGTTGATGCCTAAGCCTCAGAGGCTCAGTTACAGATAAATATTGTTACATATACAGACAGCAGTGATTGCTAGGTTGGTCAGTTTATGAGCCCTTGAGGGGATGCAGCAGGTTTTTATACTGATATTGCACATTGGTTTCAGTTTGCTTTGTGTAGCTTTGGAAATGTATTACCGTATTTTTCGCTCCATAGGACGCACTTTTTCCCCTCCAAAAATGAAGGGGAAATGTGTGTGCGTCCTATGGAGCGAATGCAGGCTTTCGCTGAAGCCTGGAGAGCGAGAGGCATCGGTGCGCACCGACCCCTCTCACTCTCCAGGCTTCAGGAAGCTATCCGCAAGCCTTGCAAGCCCGGTGGGAGTTCCCGCGGGCTCACAAGGCTTGCAGGCAGCAGCCTGCAGCCCCGGCGAGTGTCCGCAAGCCTTGCGCGCCCGGCAGGAGGTCCCGCCGGCGCGCGAGGCTTGGGGCAGCAGCCTGTCGCCCGAGCACGGGGAGCCCTCCGGAGGGCTCCCGTGCTTCGGGAGTGTCTGCAAGCCTTGCGCGCCCAGCAGGAGGTCCCGCCGGCGCGCGCGAGGCTTCGGGCGGCAGCTGTCGCCCGAGCACGGGAGCCCTCCGGAGGGCTCCCGTGCTCGGGCGAGTGTCTGCAAGCCTTGCGCGCCCGGCAGGAGGTCCCGCCGAGCGCGCGAGGCTTGGGGCGGTAGCCTGCAGCCCGAAGCACGCGAGGCTTGGGGCGGCAGCCGCGGCGGGGGGGGGGGGGGGATAATTTTTTTTATTCATTCCCCCCCCCAAAAAACGAGGTGCGTCCTATGGGCCGGTGCGCCCTATAGAACGAAAAATACGGTAACTGCAAGGGGGAAAGGTTTGTGACTGGACCTCCCACTGCTGTGGGTACAACCCAACATATGGTTGGTTTGATCTTTTGCTAGATTAGCTTGATTTCTAAGCATCTAACCTCTGAGTATTATTGTGCTTTATGTAGCTGTAATTCTGTGCACGTTTAGTTATGACTCAGTACTTCTGAGTGAACATGCATAGCATTGCACTGCACACCTACTTGTTTATGGATTAGGATGTGAGATTTGGGCAACATTCAATCTAGCTGTCTGAAGAAACATCCTTTCATAAGAACCTATGTGTGTGTTGAGATCAGCAGCTGATTCTGTCGTTGGTTGTTCCACAACTAAGTTAAATCTAGTATGTGGCAACCAGGGAGAGGACTTGTTTTGTGGTGGCACCCCAACTATGGTATTAATCCGTCCCTTGTGAAATAGGATTGGTGCCAACATTTAGGAGTTTCTGGCACTTACTGAAAACCCATCAATTCAAGCAGGTCTTTATAGGGGGTGGGGTGGGTTAGCTGCCTGTTGTTGTTATTGTTGTTATTTTTAAACCATACTGGTACTGGTGTTTCTGCTGTAGTTTTTACTATATATTTTATCTGTTATGTTTTATAATTGTAGTTATTGGTTTTAATTTATACTATTGTACCCTGCCATGGTGCCACATTGCAATGAAAGGCAGGCTGTAAATATTTTAAATAATATAAAATATCATTCCTGGTCCTCATAATTCCTCTAATGTGATGAGGGATTCAGTTCACACTTACAGATGAACTTACCTCAGTCACAATTTCTAAAACCATTTCTGAACCAAAACGTAGCCTTCCTTTGAAACTCACACTTTTCTTAAATTTGCAATGCAGTTCTCCAGGTGTGTAATGTGTTTTTAAAAATATTTATACTAGGGTTAAGTGAGCATATAGATGCATATAACATATTTGGGGGAATTGCTTTGCGGGGGAATAAAAAAATTTAAAGAAAAAAATAACACTAAAATACTGATGAATTTTCATAAGGACTTTTAAAAAAAATCAAACTGAACTGGAGAATCAAATTTATGATTGGAAAAACGAGAAACTAAGAGAGTCTAAAACTGATATATTTGCCCATCCCTAAGCATTATGCAGCTGAAATGGTTGTAAGGAATGTGTTCTAGAATGTCCATTCTAGTTCTAGCCAGGGAATAAGACACTAGGAAATTGGGAGTTGTTTGGCCTCACTTGCTCTTAGGGAAAACTTTCTTCATGACTACTCCTAAGAGGGCTGAACTCATCCAAAGCAATCTGTCTTTTACAGGTCTGACGTGGGAGGAGTGTAAACGTAAGTGCCCTGCCGGAGTGGTCCCTGCCTGTCACAACTCTGAAGACACTGTCACTGTTTCAGGGCCTCAGGTAAGAACTTAGTATGAACCAATACTTAAATTGCTACATGTTTAGGATATCGAGTGACATGTCCTCATCACTGGAATTTTTCCCCGGGCCAAACATCAGAAGGTCAGGAAGAGGCACCTGATTAAATACTGTCAAACTGAATTGAGAGTGAAAGCAAACTCACCAGAGGAAATGCTATCACTTGCATCTGAAAATGAAGGCTAGCAATAAAGTTAATGCTAGCAGCCTGAATCTAAAGATTTGGCTGGTAAATCCCAGTCAGAATGCAAAACTCACCTCCTTCCAGCTGCAGTCCATTTCTTGTGCTCGAGGCTCCACAGTGTTCAGGGGAATTTGGGTTTATATAATGGATATTATTGCATATACACTTAGGAATGTCGGATAAGCCATGTGCGAGCGAATTATGGAGAATGATGGTTGCTTGACAGACAGAGGCTTATTACAGTGTACCAGGCCCTTGTAACACCCGTTCGGTGCTATTTTTTTCTCGCTTTCCTAAGGACTCTGTGGCCAAATTTGTAGCCAAGCTGAAAGCAGAAGGTGTATTTGCGAAAGAGGTGCTCAGCGCAGGAGTTGCTTTCCACTCGTACTATATGGCGTCCATCGCACCAGTGCTGCTTAGTGCCCTGAAGAAGGTAATTCTCCTAAATAGCTTCTCACTGGGGCGGAAAGGTTGCACATGCATTGTATGGTGTGATTCTTTTTTGCTTAAGTCTCCTGTCTCATTTTTCTCATTTTCTTTATTTCTAGGTTATTCCCAATCCAAAGCCTCGTTCCTCCCGCTGGATCAGCACTTCCATCCCTGAATCTCAGTGGCAAAGCGATCTGGCTCAGAACTCTTCTGCTGAGTACCATGTGAATAACCTTGTCAGCCCAGTCTTGTTCCAGGAAGGCCTGAGACATATTCCAGAAGATTCTGTGGTCGTGGAGATTGCCCCACATGCCCTTCTGCAGGTATTACCCTTGGGGTTCACTCATGGCCTGAAGCTGGTGAGGCATGGGGACAAGATTCTCCTTTTTCTAGTGACCACAATGGTTTCCACTCTGGTTCCCACCACCTTCCCTCATCAGTTATCCTAAATTTCCATGCAGCTTTCCCTCAAGAACCTAGTAATTTAAGTGTATTCATTCACTGCTGTGTATACGCCAGAAACCAAGAAGAAAACAGAATCCGGCAAATAGATGAATATAATGTGTGAGAAGAAAATGGCAGGGAGGATAAATGAAATAACATCTTGGGTTGTGATCTTAACATTTGTTATCATTACCATTAAGATTTCTTAGTCACTTATTACCAAGGTATCCAAGCAACTTACATTGAAAGACGTAAGCAATGAATTTTTGACAAAATTAGAGGTATTTTCTGTCTTCTTGCAGGAAGTGAAAGAATTGGTGACAACAGATAGGGTCTTTTTTGTTATTGTTCCTCAGGTGTAGGACTCCTTCCCAAAAGAGACCCGTGTGGGCCTTCTGTCAAGACCCACCCTACTGTTAGGCACAGTTAGGTGGCAACCTCAGGCAACAGAATTTGGGTGTTCATGAAAGGGCAAAATGTCTTTGTCGCTTAGTTTGTTCTTCTTGTATTTTTACTGCCAGGGAGGGGAAGATGTCTTCTTTTGGTGTTCAGTTGCCAAAATAACTTGACTGGCCTTCAGTACTGTACACCTTGACTTGTGGCTGTTTGCTGCTCCACCTTGGACAATAAAATGTTGTGAGCCTTTCTCACCTACGTTATAGTCTTAAAGCGCCAGGTAAAGGCTGTCCTATTTACCTGAGCTTAGCATAGCTGTTACAGTAGTTCTTCTGGTTCATTGGTAACTTGTGTTTTTTGATACGATGTCAGAGAAGAATTCTCCTTTGGTAGTTTTGTTTTCTTTTAAATAAGGGATAGCAGGGATTTTAGTCCTGCAACATCTGCAGGGCCACAGGTTCCTCCTCCCTGCTTTTGCACAAGGAGTAGCAGTTTGTTACTGAATAGAGATGTTGGCATTGATTTGCCCAGTACCTCTGTCTGAAAACAGCACAAGGCAGCTATATAGAATTTCATAAGAGCCTACTCCCAGCATTGCATCAAGAGCTGCCCATGTTGCTGTGGAAGGGCTGGGCTGTAGTCACTCCTTCCATTTCCTTGGGGCCACTGGAGAAAAGATGGGTAGCAAGTGTCTATCATTGTGGTCCTTCTAAATACATCCCTCCCACCAGAGTCATCCCTAGGCTATTTTATTTGTCTTCTGATTGAGATCCTTCTAGTGAAGGGAGACTGCTAATGGAGGGATTTTATTGGAATATGAGTTCAGCAATGAGGCTCACTCCCATGTAACTGAGCTTATAAATGGCAGGCTTGGAGCGCAATCCTAAGCCTTTTTTCTTGGACATTAGTTCTGCTGTCACCAATAGAACTAAATCCCATGTAAACGTAGTTTGGATCAAGGCACAAGTCTTATTTTGTGGCAGGATTGAAAAGGAAAAAAGTGTCTTGGCAAAATGTATTTGTTTGGGATGCCTCTTAAGGTTCCTTGAAGCCATAGCTCATTTATGGCGAAGATTCAGTGTACTAATGTAAATGCAAAGGTTTGGTTTGTGTAACCTAAAATTATGCAACAGTTATTAAGCTCTGTTGCTCTCTTGGCTGTTTTGCATATAACTTCTTTTCCAGTTTTTCTAGTCTAGTCTGTGGTTTTCTACTATGGATTCACAGTGTAAAGCACAGCCTGTAAAACTATGCATGTATACCAGTAGTGTTTGCTGGAGTCTAGTGTTGTTGTTTTTTTAAAAAATGATTTGTGTTTTACTTTCACTGAGTGCTGGGTGTCTGTAGATTTTTCCAGGAAATGCCTAGGATTCCAAGTTCCTTGAGCCAATTCTGTTCACGGGATACTGTTGCTGGTTAAAATGAGGTGGAAGGGAGAGGATTTCCATTGATTCCTTGTTCCCCCTATATTCCTCCAAAAACTGTTTTGGAACAGCGTGGGTGGTGGTGCCAAGGGCTGTAATTAGCAAAAATCACCACATTCAGCAGGAACCTCCATTGGAGAAGTCCCTTCCATTTGTAGAAGGCAGAATATTATTGTTATATAAAATGGTATTTCCTTCTGGGGTTGCCAACATTTTTCTCTTGTAGAGCCAGAAAAAACATTTGACCACCTTGGCTAATGGTCTGTTTTAGAAGAAGGAAGCCAGTGATTTCTTTGCTTTACTGATAACATTTTGAACTCCACCTGTCTAGGCAATTCTGAGAAGAGCTTTGAAGCCAACCTGCACCATTTTACCCTTGATGAAGAAAGAACATAAAAACAACCTGGAATTCTTCCTGACACATATTGGAAAAATCCACCTTACAGGGTAAGGAGATGAGTGAAAGCTAATGAGAAACATAGGGCAATATCCAGCTCTGCAGCTCTTCTTGCACAGCAGACTTCTGTGAGCCCAATGGAAACTTCCTGTTCCCTCCAGCCCTTTGCACACCCTCAAACTCAAATCCAGACAAGGGTTGGAAGAGAGATGAAGAGCCAATGAAATTCCCATTGTGCAAGTGGAAGTCATTTTTGGAATAGATTGAATTATACCATTAGTAGTTCCCCCCTCCCCAGCTATGTTGCTACCTTAAAGCAGGATTGAATGTCATGGGGAGAAGTGCTGCAGGGCCATTTATGACACGAGCATAGTAGCAAAATGGATAGGGGTTGCTTTCATTCAGGTGAATTGGAAACCTAGTGTATTTGTTTCAAAAGCTTTGTGTAGGATCCAGCTTTTATAGCGACATCAATCTCTGTGTCTCTGAAACCAGAACTTCCATTGATGCCTGAGTTCCTTGCCATGTTCCAAAAGGCTGTTTTGCCGTTTGAAGAGAAGGGAGAAAATATTGCACATTTTTAGAAGAAACCAGGACCACGGAAAATAGTGGTTGGGGGTCCTTAGTCCCATGTTGGCTCCTAGCTATTGGTTTGCCTTCCATTTGCTACTGTTACTATACCTTCTTACTGTTGCATGCAACTTCACAAATCCAATGTTTATGTGTGTTCTTAGAATCAATGTCCTTGCGAACAATCTGTTTCCACCTGCTGAATATCCTGCACCTTTGGGGACTCCCCTTATCTCCCCTTACATTCTCTGGGACCACAGTCAGACATGGGATATCCCAAAAGCTGAAGACTTCCCAACGGGCGCTGGTGGTTCTGGATCAGCAACAGTCTACAATATTGGTGTGTACCAGCTACTTCGTTCTCCAAAAGCAGATCATCTTAAAATGCTCAAAATGGCATTTTCAGAATTTATCTCTAGGGGAAATGTTTGAACCATCATACACCTTGTATCACTTTGGGACACAGGGATGGGCAGAGGTGCAAATTTTAATAAAATATTGAGGGGGGAGGGAGTAAGCCCCACCCTGCATAATCGCTAACATTTGAATGTTGATGCCCATCAACTGGGGTGGGTGGCCCCCTCAAATATTTTATTTGGGGGGCCAAAGGAACCTCAACCCCTAGGAGCTGGCTCCTATGGGGATGGGGGACCGGTGGCCCTCCATACATTGCTGTGCTCCTAGATCTATCAACCCCTGCCAATATGACCAATGGGTAAGGGATGGTGGAAATTGTAGTAAAACAAGCTCCTAAAGGATGCCCTTGCTTTAGCAGAATAAAATTGATGATGGGAAACTAGGGAATGGGGGAAAGAGCTGCTTTCTTTTAGATGTTTGCAGCACTGAAACTTATATAGTGGTGGTGGGGGAAGTGGGAACATTTGTGCTTGTATTTTGGCAACCTGTGGGGAACAGCTTTGGAGTCTTCTTGGGCTAGAGATGTAGGTTTGAAAAATATGCTTTGTTCATTTTTTTTTTTAATCATCATTGACAGATGTGAATCCTGAATCACCTGATAATTATTTGGTGGGTCACTGCATTGATGGCAGGGTTCTGTACCCAGCCACTGGCTACTTGGTGTTGGCCTGGCGCACTCTGGCAAGATCTCTAGGGACCTCCATGGAAGAAATACCTGTCATGTTTGAAGATGTTACAATCCACCAGGCAACAATACTACCTAAGAAAGGTGAGGCTAGTCAAAATCTCTGCAGCTTAGGCAATTAACATAGTCTGGCGAACCATGTTTCTGCAGGCTATGTTTAAACTCTAATATCCTGACAATTTCTGCCTACCTTGCAGGTGCAACACAGCTAGAGGTGAGACTCATGCCAGCTTCTCAACGTTTTGAAGTGTCTGGGAATGGGAATCTGGCTGTGAGTGGTAAGTAATTGCTCCTACTACAAGTACTCTGAAGAAATCAAAGGGGTGTTGGCCTCGCCATTCACTTGCCCTTTCTTCTACATACTGTGTCTCCTAGGAAAAATCTGCCCTTTGGAAGAAACGGCTCTGAATAACTTTCGCAACCAGCAAATTGATTTGGCGATCCAGCCAAACACATGCCCAGATGTCCGTTTAACCAAGGGAGACATTTACAAAGAGCTTCGTCTGCGGGGTTATGATTACGGGCCAACATTCCAGGGACTCTTGGAATCTAGTAGTAATGGTAAGACCATGTACCTTAACTGAAAGATAGGGCTAAGGATTATTACTATTCATTTTGAATGTAAGAAGGCCTTTGTTGAATCATAGCAATGGCTCCTCTAGTTCAGGATGATGATGTGGGGTGTTTTTTTCGTTTGTTATTATGGTATGTATTTTTGTGTTTTCATATTGTAAAGTGCCCTGTGATCTTTGGATGAAGGGCAGTATAGAAATTTTATAACTAAATAGATAATAAAAGAATACTTGTGATTCTAACTAGTGTAGTTAGAACATAGCCATTGTAGCTAATGGCCATTGATAGCCTTGTCTACCCTTCCATTTTTTGGAAGCTTCTTCATCTCAGTGACTGATGATGAAACAAAAGTCAATTATAATTCATAAATGTTGATATCAGGTGTTCACAATTAGGCAAGCTTTTGAGAAACTGGAGATCCGTCTAGGCATTGCTTCCCCTTAGCTAGGTTGGAAAGCACAAGGACTTTGGGGGCATAGCCAGTACACCTGATACAGAAAACAGAGATGTGAATAGTTTCTCACTTTGTGCTGCCATTGTCATGCCAGTGGCTGTTGTGTGCTAATTAGATTGCTTCTTGTCCCCAGGGAATGTTGGGAAGGTGTTGTGGAGCGGGAATTGGGTGACATTCCTTGACACCCTGCTGCATTTGATCATCTTGGGGGAAACAGGAAGAAGCCTGCGCTTGCCAACCAGAATCCGCTCTGTTTGCATTGATCCAAAGTTACACCAAGAACGTGCACAGAAATACAACGATGAGATTGAAGGTAATGGGCAGTCCCATTTTTTTAAAAGATAGGGGCTCCTTTATGGACAACAATATTCAAAAGTATTTGTGCCGACTTAAAGCAGTAAGATGGAAGGGACGCAGGTGGCACTGTGGGTTAAACCACAGAGCCTAGGACTTGCCGATCAGAAGGTCGGCGGTTCGAATCCCCGCAACGTGGTGAGCTCCCGTTGCTCGGTCCCTGCTCCTGCCCGCCTAGCAGTTTGAAAGCACGTCAAAGTGCAAGTAGATAAATAGGTACCACTCCAGCGGGAAGGTAAACGGCGTTTCCGTGCGCTGCTCTGGTTCGCCAGAAGCGGCTTAGTCATGCTGGCCACATGACCCGGAAGCTGTATGCTGGCTCCCTCGGCAAATAAAGCAAGATGAGCGCCGCAACCCCAGAGTCGGCCACGACTGGACCTAATGGTCAGGGGTCCCTTTACCTTTACCTTAAAGCAGTAAGATAGATTTATGGGAGTCATAAAGCTGTTAGCAGCTGGATTTTCTCTTAGACAAAATTCTGAAAGATTCTTCTCCCTCTGACTGCACTGCATTTTCACGGCTTTTCCAATGCTTTCTGCTGACTCTTGCCTTGCCTTGTAGCTTTTGATGCTGTTGTGGACCGCTGCTTTGACACCATCACAGCAGGAGCTGTCCAGATCGCTGGTCTTCACGCTAGTGTGGCTCCTCGGCGCCAGCAGGAGCAGACCCCTCCCACACTTGAGAAGTTTTGCTTTGTGCCGTATGTGGAGAATGGCTGCTTGTCCTCCAATGCCCAGCTTCACTCCAGCTTTGACCATTGCAAAGGTAAGAAAATTCTTATTTCACTATGCTTTCTGATGCGTCCGGTATGAAGTAGACACCCCTCCTCTTTTGGCAAGGAGGTATGGAGAAGCCCCTTAGGAAACGACCTTTAGGTCCGGGTAGGCATATGTGGAAGTCAAATGCATCCTGTGAACAAATATTAGCAAAGTCAAAAGCACCAGCAACATACATAATTTTGTTTTCATATTCCTTCTCTCCTCTACAGAGTTGATCCAGAAATTACAGAAGAAGATAGCAAAGCATGGAGTCAAGTTGGCTATTCCAGGGCTAGAGAATATAAAGACGTCTGCACAGACGGAACCTGAGCAGAAGGGCCTTCTGCACATCCTTGCTGAGATCTGTCGCCTGGAACTGAACGGAAACCTCTACTCAGAGCTGGAACAGGTTGTGACTCGAGAGAAGCTGCATCTTCAAGAAGACCCCCTCCTCAATGGCTTGCTGGATTTTGCTGAGCTGAAGACCTGTGTGGACGTGGCACTGGAGAACATCACCAGCCGCAAGATGAAGATAGTCGAGGTGAGCTGGGGTGCAGCTCTGCAGAGAGGCAAAACTTTTCTCCGTGAGTGTGCTTTCTCCATGTGTTAATGACACACAGTGCTTTTCATTAATGGCTACTCCTTTTGTTTACAGGCCCTGGCAGGAGACGGGCACTTATACTCGCGCGTCACAAGCATCTTGAACACTCAGCCCATGCTTCAACTGAACTACACTGCCACTGACAAAACCCCAGGAATATTGGCATCCAGTGAGAGCCGTTTGCAAGAACTTGGTGTTTCTACTGAGCAGTGGGACCCTGCAAGCCCTCCTTCTGGAAATCTAGCAAATGCTGATCTCCTCGTGTGCAACTGTGCACTGAACCCTTTCAGGAATCCAGCAGAGGTGCTCTCCAACATGGCGGCCACAGTGAAGGATGGTGGTTTTGTCTTACTGCACACTCTTCTGAAGGGAGAAACTCTGGGAGAAATTGTCAGCTTCCTCACATCTCCCGAGCTGAAGGAGAAACCTGGTCTCTTGACTCAGGTAATTTTATAAGCCCTTGTTATTTCTCTTCAGTTGGCTGTAGATCATGCTTGCTCAGAGCAATGAGTTTGGAGTGGTGTTTCATTTTTCATTTTCCTTTTAAAAGGATAACTATTCATTAAAAAAATAATCCAGAAATAATCCGTAGTTTTAGGCAGATTTAGAACTCTCCTCTGTTGTTTAGATTATTGGTTCCTATTCTTAGGGATTGAAAAGGCATACTAATCGTATGGTATGAACTGGTATCAAGTATTTTGTTTTGGGGGAGGGGGCATTTTTATGATTAGAAAAGAAAATGAATCAGTAGAGGATTCTTGCCTTGGAAAAACAGTAAATTATTTTGTTGTTCTACTTAGGGACAATCACAATGTATTTACAGTAACTAAGACTGCAATCCAAACTCCAAATCCAGCGGTTCATATTGCAGAGGACTGTCTCTCTGCTCAGCCCAAAAGAATTCCACCTACCTATCCCCTCAGAGATGCCAGGGTCACTCCTCTGGCATGGAACTCCCTGTTCTGCCTGCTGAAAGTGCAGGCAGGTGGAGGTACCGTTTCTGGGATTCCCACTGGCAATAGCTTGCAGAAATCCCCAAAACGGAATTCTGTGGGTGGAAAGGGGGAGCAGCTGAGCCGTCCCAGGGTTCACTGGATCATGAGCTGGCCCCACTTGTCATCCCCAGACTGGCATAGAACAGAGCGTGGTTTTGCCTGTGGCAGTGGTTACCCTGATCTGCCACACTGCAGTGCTACCCAGCTGGGGTTAGGATTGCTCAGTATACAACCAGCCATATAACTGCCTACCTTAGTGATTCTCAGAAGCAACAATTCCCATCGATGTACATGACTGGGGTGTAACAGACACTCACCAGACCTCTTTAAAAAATGCAGTGCTACAACAACAAGGAGAGGTAATCTCAGAAGCTGAAATGTAGCCAGGTTGCTAAGCGTAACGGCATTTGGCAAATAAAATGGAAATTTAGGCTGCAATCCTTTACACACTTACCTGGGAGTAAGACCAACGCAAGTCAGTGGTGCTTACTTCTGAGCAAACATTCATAGGATTGCATTGTTAGGACTGCAGGTATCTGGTTTATAAATACACTTCCCAAACAAAAATATTAACATTCTGTATGTGTTTCAATATATGATCAATATTGTATCTATCTATCTATATATCTATCTATCATCTATCTATCATCTGCTGCATGCAGCCCCATGGAGGTCAATAATTTTTCACCAATGCAAAGAGCAGATCAAAAAGGCAAGAACAGCAGTTAAAATCAGCTCTCAACAATAGTGTGGTGATTTCCAAAATCTTTGTTTTGTGAAGCCAGCAATTGAGACAACCGTTTGTTCAAGAATCATTTGCTTGGTCCCATCTTATACATTTAAAATTTATTGTCTTGGCAGGTAGAATGGGAGGACTTACTTAGCAAGGCTGGTCTGAATTTGGTAGCTGTAAAAAGATCCTCCTTTGGCGCAACCATCTTTTTATGCCGTCGGCCAGTTCCTGCAAAGGAGCCTGTTTTCCTGCCGGTGGATGAGACTCACTACAAATGGGTGGAACCTTTGAAGGTAACAGTTTTCGATATGGGAAATAGCTGCTTTCCATTCTTGTTCCCAGGCCTTTCATCTACTTCTCAATGAAGTTATTGGCTTTTTAAAAAGTGCACTCTCTCAGTTCGAGTGAAAGAGAGAGCTGCTTTTTTTCGTTCTGGAAATCCTTCTTTTCTGTGTTAACTAATCAGCTTGCCTGGGATCTCTCCTGCAGGAAATGCTAGCAGAACCTTCTGAACATCCCGTGTGGCTAACGGCTACCAGCTGTGGTACTTCAGGAATTGTTGGCATGGTGAATTGCCTGCGCCAAGAGCCCGGGGGCAACAGGATCAGGTACCAAAATTCAGCATCCAGTGACAGCATTCAATTTCTGTCGCTACTTATGAACATCTGATAGAAATGTACGTGAACTAACACATAGATTAAGTGTGTGCTTTACTTCCTAGGTGCCTTTTTGTTTCCAACCTGGACGCTTCTTCTCCTAAACCCTCCACCACCCCTTCTACCAAGCAGATGCAAACGATTCTGCAGAATGATCTGGTGATGAATGTTTATCGTGATGGAAAGTGGGGCTCTTTCAGACATCTCCAGCTAAAACAAGGTGATTCTTATTGTCAGCGAGCTTGTAGCAATACAGTGGTACCTCGGGTTACATACGCTTCAGGTTACATACGCTTCAGGTTACAGACTCCGCTAACCCAGAAATAGTACCTCGGGTTAAGTACTTTGCTTCAAGATGAGAACAGAAATCGTGCTCCGGCGGCGCGACAGCAGCAGGAGGCCCCATTAGCTAAAGTGGTGCTTCTGGTTAAGAACAGTTTCAGGTTAAGTACGGACCTCTGGAACGAATTAAATACTTAACTTGAGGTACCACTGTATTTATTTCCCCAACACCATAGGTAGCCAACACGGTGCCTTCCAGATGTTGTTGGACTGCAACTTCCATCAGCCTGAGCCAAAGCGGCTGATGGCCAGGAATGATGGGAGCTGCAGTCTTCCAGTCTGGAGATCACCATGCTTGCTACTCCTGCCATAAGGTCTGGAAAACAAAAAGTAAGAAGATACTCCTTGGCCCAGTCTCTTTCCTCAATAATTGTTCTTCTGGGACATGATCATCCTGATTCTGTGAAATAACACATGCCCTCTTGAACATTTGGCATCTGTTCAGCAAATGGTATGAGTTCTTTTCCAACTGTGATTACAGCACATGGCCGATGACACGTGACGCTATTGTTAAAACATCTGCACTGACTGCCCATCTACTACCAAACCAGGTTCAAGGTCCTTGTATTAATTTACAAAGCCCTGAACAATTTAGGCTGGGAGTACCTTGGGGACTGCGTAAATCCTTATATACCAGCTTAGTCACTGAGATCATCTGTAGGAGTGTAATTAATTGTCTCCTGCATATTTGACACCAACACAAAGTAGAGCTTTTAGTGTCATAGGTTCAGTTCTGTTGAAAGCTCTGCCAGCAGAGATTCAGCGGGCACCTTCTTTTTCAACCTTTAAATGTCTGCTGAAAACTTTTCTATGCCACCAGGCTTGTGCCGGCAATTAAAAATACGCCTTTCCATAATGGTTAGTGGGTGGTCTCTGATATTAAATGTTTGTGTGTTTGTCTTATATGTAGATATTGTAAGCCGCTTTGATATTTTTCATGATATAGTGGTATATAAAGATTATTACAAATTAACAAGCAAACGCACTTTTATTTGTAACAATGGAAGAATGCTGACTGCTCTGTCTCCTGTTCTGCCACAGCTCAACCTCAAGAGCTGACTGAATATGCATTTGTGAATGTATTGACGCGTGGAGATCTTTCCTCGCTCCGTTGGATCGCTTCTCCGCTTCGCCACTTCCACACAACCAATCCCAATGTCCAGCTCTGCAAAGTCTATTATGCATCTCTCAATTTCCGTGACATTATGTTGGCTACAGGAAAACTCTCCCCAGATGCCATTCCAGGTGAGCTGGGTGGGATTTTTCTTTCAAGAGAGACCTCGCGATATTTTGACATTGTGAGTGACACACGGTCTGTAAGCCATTTTGGGGGCTTCATGCAAGTGTGTTATCAAAAAATAAGGGGCACCATGTCTAACACCAGGCATAAATACACGGGGGAGGGCTCAGAGTTCCGCGGTCATGATTTGCATGCAGAAAGTCTGGGGTTCAATCCCCCAGCTTCTTCGCCCAGTTAAAGAATCTCAAGTAGCGGTTGTTAGGAAAAAGCTTCTGCCTAAGACAAAGAGCATTCCCAGTTATACTCAGTACAGGGCTAAATGGTCCGATGGCCTGACTTAAAGCAGAGTCACATAGCAAACATCTCCTGATACTGATTTCCCTGTGCACATTGAACTCCTGTGCCCTAGGCCAAATGGCCTTTCCTCACTTCAATTGTGTTTTTGTCATTCATAGCACTGGATTAACTCTCTTGCCTCACTTAGTATAATTAATTTAATGCAACACCTAAGGAAAGCTCCTTGAGCAATATATATATATATATATATATATGCAGAGCTTATTTATATTAGCAAGTTCTTATTCTTGCTTTTTGAGGGACGTGGGTGGCACTGTGGGTTAAACCACAGAGCCTAGGACTTGCCGATTGGAAGGTCGGCGGTTCGAATCCCCGTGACGGGGTGAACTCCCGTTGCTCGGTCCCAGCTCCTGCCAACCTAGCAGTTCAATAGCACGTCAAAGTGCAAGTAGATAAATAGGTACCGCTCCGGCGAGAAGGTAAACGGCATTTCCGTGCGCTGCTCTGGTTCGCCAGAAGCAGCTTAGTCATGCTGGCCACATGACCCTGAAGCTGTACGCCGGCTCCCTTGGCCAATAAAACAAGATGAGCACCACAACCCCAGAGTCGGCCACGACTGGACCTAATGGTCAGGGGTCCCTTTACCTATTCTTGCTTTTGAGAGTAAATCAAGAAATGTAACATCATTGGTTACTGATTTGGAGAGGGAAGGGGCAAAGATGTTAAAAGCATCTGGTTGCTGCCACGTTCCAAACTTTTAGACATCAGATGTTACCTTTTCCCACGCGTTACACTTTATTGGAGTAGCTTCATGGGATCATTCCATTCTTTTTCAGGAAACTGGACATTGCAGCAATGCATGTTGGGAATGGAATTCTCAGGACTTGACCCTGCAGGGAAAAAAGTGATGGGATTGCTACCAGCTAAAGGACTGGCTACAGTGGTCGACTCTGACAAGAGGTTTCTGTGGGAGGTTCCACAAAACTGGTAGGCTACTTTACATTTTCTTTCTTGTGGGGGCTAGGTTACATACACTCTGTCTGATCTGAAGACCTTTTAAAAGCAAATTGGGATTTGATGTAAATAATGCATTGTTAGCAACAGAACTATCTTGTGGCGGTTGGGTTTTTTTCAGTAGTATAACTGTTTTGAATTCATTGGCTAGTACTCTATGACAGAGATGCTGTTGGACTCCAACTCCCATTAGTCCCAGCCAACATAACCCAGTGGTCAAGGATGATGCAAAATATAGTGCATCTTCCCCATTTATTCCCTAGGATCTTGCGTGTTCACCATCCCTCTTCCCTCTGTAAAAAAGAGTTGCGAGAGATGATAACTGGCTCAGAAAATATCTGTTGATACCTGAGAAAGGCCTCTTTCCTTTTCTTCAGGACTCTAGAAGAGGCAGCCTCTGTTCCTGTGGTATATGCTACTGCTTACTATTCCTTGGTGGTTCGGGGCGGCATGAAAAAGGGCGAGACTGTGCTCATTCATTCTGGCTCAGGTGGTGTGGGCCAAGCAGCCATTGCTATTGCCCTCAGCATGGGCTGCCGTGTCTTTACTACTGTGGGTAAGTAGAGACACTCTTTTTCTAGTCACCCTATTGTCCTTGTTTTGTGCCCTTACTGATCATTCTGACACTCAATTGGAACGAGGCATTCATGTTCGGAGGTAGTTTATTTTTTATTTTTTGAAGCAGTATTTTAAGAGTGTATGCATCACAAGTATGCCTATGTTTTATTCCACAGAGATAAACATGGAGGGAGTGATTAAGAAAATTTTTCCTGGTTATTTCATTCTTTTTTGTGGGGGGCAGTGAATTCTTGAATCTCTTCAGGAAGCATTAAACAATCAGCTCAATTCCTCTTTAGTGTTGGCCTCTACAGAAGAAAGTTGCCTGCAAGGGACTGGAGCTTACTAAAACAAAATGCTTATTGTCTGATTTCAGGCTCTAAAGAGAAACGTGAATATCTCCAAAAAAGATTCCCACAACTTGATGCGAATAGCTTTGCCAGCTCTAGAAATACCTCATTCGAGCAACATGTCCTGAAAACCACCAATGGTAGAGGTAATAAAGCCTTTTCCAGGGCTTAAGATTTAATTAGAAGTTGGGTGTGTGTCCATAAATGTGGATTGCTTAGTAGGAAAACAGGGCATCATGAATCCTGTGCAGTGCTGGAATGTTATATTGTTCCTATTTGCAGGTGTCGACTTGGTATTGAACTCCTTATCAGAAGAGAAGCTTCAGGCCAGTCTGCGTTGCCTTGCTCAACATGGACGCTTCTTGGAAATAGGCAAATATGACCTGTCCAACAACACACCGCTTGGTAAGATTTCACTCAGATTTTTATTTTTATTTTATGAGTATGGTCATTCAGAGAAACAAAACCACGCTACTCTTCAGTGGCCCCCAAACCACTTCCTGAGCTAGCTTTCTCCCTAAACATCTTGCTCCTAGCATCATAATAACATGATGCTTGTCTCTAATACATTTTGCAATGAATCTGTGTGGGTGGTGTTTCTGTGGAACTGGCCTCTCTTAAGCCTTGCTCATGTAATCCAGGAGTTATTACTCTCAAAAATAGCAGTTTCGTTTCAAAGGCTTCTGTTTCTGCCTGTGCCACTGGTATGTGAATTGCTTTTAATATTCAAAGGGAATTTGCTGGTTGTGAAGACCATAATAGAGTGTAAAGCCCATAAACCTGTGTTGCTCCCCGTAGGCATGGCCCTTTTCTTGAAGAACGTGGCTTTCCATGGGATCCTTTTAGATGCCATTTTTGAGGAGGGAAACCAAGACTGGGAAATAGTGTCTGACTTGCTGACGAAGGGCATAAGAGACGGTGTGGTGAAACCTCTACGGACCACTGCCTTCAACAGAGAAGAGGTAGAAGCTGCCTTCAGATACATGGCACAAGGAAAACACATTGGAAAAGTTGTGATCAAGGTATGGTTGGTAGATCTAAAGACTGCATTTGTGACCCAAGTGTGTGCAAACTGTGCTGATCAGCTATGAGTGGTGATAGTAAGGCCTAGGAGTGAGAGAGGGAAATTCACTGAGAGGTGGCATTAACACTATTTATTATTATTTTTTATTAAATTTGTATACCACCCTATATCCACAGGTCTCAGGGTGGTTACAACATAAAATCAAAATATAAAGACACAAAATACATAACAACAACAACCACCCAGTAACACACACACCCCTCCTCCCCAGCATATTTTAAAAAGGGCATTGTATGTTAATCAGCCAAAGGCCTGGTTAAAGAGGGAGTGTTTTTGCCTGGCGCCTAAAGGTGTTTAATGAAGGCCTTTTTTCACAGGTTTTTAAACAACTAGTATTTTTTATTTACTACATTTAAACCCCACTTTTCCACTTTTTCTGGAGGCAGCTAACAATTTTTTAAAATCCACAGAAATAGCCAAACGAGATAACAAAAGTTTGTGTTAAAACTCCAGAGAGAAATAAGATTTTTAAAAAGACATGTAAATGAAATTTAAAATGCAGATTAAAACACAGAGCAGTTGAGAACAAATTGGCTCAGAAGGCCAAAGGCCCGTTTAAATGAAGAATCTTTTTCCTGCCAGTGGAAGGTCATTAACTAGTGAGCTGGCTGAGCCTTACTACCAGGGCACCTCAAAAGTGTGGATTAAGTTTATTCTGATTTAGCTGGAGCTGCATCTGTTGGCGCCTTTACTGACGATATATGGGAATCAGTATAGGACCCACTGTGGGAAATGTGAGAGCAGTTCTAACCCCAACACTTTTAAGAGGGATTGTTGTTCTCACTGAAACTCAGTGCTTTTTTTTCTAAAGAAAATGTTTAGGGTTATTCTCATTTTCCTACTCATATTGAAATACTGGCCCTCAATGAGGCCAAACTTAGATTCACAAAATATTTAGGAGTATGCATACCCGTGCGTCCACCTAGGGGGGAAAAAGCACTGCTGAAACTTAACATGATATGGGGAGGGGACAGAAATCTGAGGATGTCCCTGCTTTTCACTAGACAGAGCTATTCAGCCCTTGCCTTTTCCCACCTTCAGCTTGGCCCAAAGGGGATTGCATGTCTAGGTAAACCAGGGGTCAGCAAACCTTTTCAGCAGGGGGCTGGTCCACTGTCCCTCAGACCTTGTGGGGGGCCAGACTATATTTTGAAAAAAATATGAACGAATTCCTATGCCCCACAAATAACCCAGAGGTGCATTTTAAATAAAAGGACACATTCTACTCATGTAAAAACACGCTGATTCCTGGACCGTCCGCGGGCCAGATTTAGAAGGCGATTGGGCTGGATCCGGCCCCCAGGCCTTAGTTTGCCTACTCATGAGCTAAAGCATTTAGCACCTGCTTCCACTTTATTTATCATTTGCTTCTTGCATGGGATATCCTTTGCCAGCAGAGCATAAACCAAGGCTATAAAAACAGAGAGCATGCTTCAGTTTTTCTGTAGATTATTGTTTTTGATGAACTGTCTGTGCTACCATTTGCAGGTCCACGAAGAAGAGAAATGTTCCACAAAGGAAGCTAAGCAAACCCAGCTCTCTGCCATATCCAGGACTTCTTGCCCACCAAATAAGACGTACATTATCACAGGAGGCCTTGGGGGATTTGGGCTGGAGTTGGCTCAGTGGCTGATTGAAAGAGGAGCAAAGAAGCTTGTGCTAACATCTCGTTCCGGCATCCGAACTGGTGAGTTGATAATCAAAAGCATTTGAAAGGAAAGATTTGAGTTTGCGAGCAGTAGTCAAGAAATTGGGTCAGTTCATGATGTTGAAGAACAATGGTTGCAGGCTTTTTTTTATTAAAAAGGTGGGGAAATTATGTGGGGTGAGGTTGGGGAGACAACCTGAAATGGAGTTGTGAAGCATCTAGGTTTGGCATAAGAAATTCACAATATATATAGGAGCAAAGGCACTTGTTCATCTTTAAACAAAAGACAACGATTAATCCCATTATTAAGAAAGAAGGGGAAAATACTGACCAGAAAGTGAAGCAATGCGAGACTTCTGAGAAGAATAATTGCAATGAGAAGTATATCCAGTGCCCAGTGATTCTCATTTCTAGATTTTCACGATTTGCAGGTTATCAGGCTAAGCGTGTCCAAGAATGGAAACAGCTGGGTGTCCAAGTTCTCGTGTCAACCAGTGATGTCGGGACTCTTGAAGGGGCACAACACTTAATACAAGAAGCTTCTCAGCTTGGACCAGTTGGGGGCATCTTCAACTTGGCTATGGTGAGTGGCTCAAGATCAACATGGCTGTGATAGCTTCTTATCTGCTGTTTGCTTTGGCTGGGCCGCGTTAACAGGCAACAATTCTGATTAGCTTTCTTCTGCAGTGTGTTCTGGAAAGATCTAGACTCTAGAACAACCTTCCTGGTGGTCTCCAGATATCATTGGACTCCAGCTCCCATTAAGCCCAGCCAGCATAGCCTGTGGTTAGGGCTGTTATAGTCTAAAACATCTGAAGGGCACCAGGTTGGGGAAGGCTGGTCACGAAGACAGAAAACTATCGCTCCATTGCTCCACGCTTGTTGTCGTTTAGTCAAAAGAGGAAAGTCATACTGAGGTTCTAGGGTTATGCTTAAGATATAGGAGAAGCAGCAGCCACCAAATGGAATGTTACCCTTCATTTTGTAGTCAGCAGAAAAACTTGAAGGGCAGGGGTGAGGTTTCCTAGTAAATTTGAGGGGGGGCATGTTCTATTAGTTGTTAATGTTGTACATGTGTAAAAGAAGCAATGCATGAGGAGAACTTATCTGACCCTCATCAGGAAGAATCACTAATTTATATTTCAAAAATATCTTAGCTAGATTTCTTAGGACCAAACTAGACTTGACTTTAAATGTATGCTTGTATTTTTAAAAAATATAAATAAAGAGCACACACTGGAGGGCAAATATTGTGTGAGAGTTTAACCATACCATCCCTAGCTTCAGAACTACTAATTATCATTCCCCTCCTTCTGCAACAGCTACCATTTGCGTTTTTAGACATGCAATTTAAATTTACAACAGTACATCCAGGATGGCCCTTTGTCCAGAAATTGCTATTCTGTTTCCATATTTGTTTTGAAAAGGGAAGCGTGATTTGTATCTTGACTCGACTGAGTGGGGGACAAATGTGAAAAACACTAATTCCTGGTTTCCTATAGGTCTTGAAAGATGCTATGCTGGAAAATCAGACACCAGAACTTTTCCAGGAAGTCAACAAACCCAAATATTCAGGGACACTTAACCTGGACCAGTAAGTAGCATGTGAAGACTGAATATGAACAACTGTTCTACTTGATGATACTTAAGATGAGGGAGAGAGGAATCTTCATGAAAATGAGTAACAAATCATCTTCCCTGTGATGTTTCCCCCCCCTAGAGTAACCCGTCAAAAGTGCCCAGAGCTGGACCATTTTGTCGTTTTCTCTTCGGTAAGCTGTGGAAGAGGAAATGCCGGGCAGAGCAATTATGGTTTTGCCAACTCCACCATGGAGCGCATCTGTGAACAGAGACGGCATGATGGGCTTCCAGGTAACAGCACAGTCCCTCCAGCCCCGAGGAATTTCTTTTTGAAAGTAAAAGGCAAAAAACCATTTTCACAGAACTAGGCATATGCCACCTGATGCCTTTTGTGCACCACCAAGTTTGTTTCTGTCTGCTTGCTCTATTTTGTTTTGGCATATGCTCTATAAACACCACCATGCGTTCTGTCTTCTTTTCCAGCCCTGGCAGTACAGTGGGGCGCTATTGGTGACGTGGGTGTCGTCTTGGAGACAATGGGCACCAATGATACTGTGGTTGGAGGGACTCTGCCACAGAGGCTCAGCTCATGCTTGGAAGTTCTGGATCACTTCCTCAACCAGCCTCAGCCTGTCATGTCCAGTTTCGTCCTGGCAGAAAAAGTGTTGGCAAAAAGTGATGGGGCCAGCCAGAAAGACCTCGTGGATGCTGTTGCTCACATTCTCGGTAAATATCACTCTGGATATGGGCGGCAATTCTGTGATGTTGTCTTCGTTGAAAATCTCCAGTGGTTAGCATAAAACAGCTATCCTGGTGTGAAATGAATTAACAGCATGAGCTAGCTATGGTGCTTGTAATGAATCTGCCCAGGAAATTTGCTACACTGTGTAGCTGGCAGGATTTTTACAGTATTTTATTATAGTTCATGGTAGGGCTGCCATATGTCCGTGTTTTCCCTGACATACCCTGGATTTGTCTATCGGAAATTACAGGAAATCACGAAAATGTCCAAGAAAACACGGATGTGTGGCAACCCATGTAGGAACTATCAATTTTTTTGGGATAACTTCAACAACTTTGCCAAAAAAGCTGAACGGCTTTTGTGTCCGAATTTCCACTTTCTGGAATATGGCAACTCTAGGTTCACGGCCACAGTTTTATAATGGTGGCCCCATACACCCTTTGTGTAGATATGCAGGAATTGTGTGTGTGAGAGAGAGAGGGAGGGGGGGGCACACCAAAACAGCAGAAGCATCAGTTAAGGCCTTTTCTTCCCCTCAGAGCTGCTGAAATAGTTGCAAGAGTACGAACCATTTTGAAATCTGATTAACATGCAGATTAAAAGTTGCCCTCTTTACAACTCCTGTGGTTTATTTATATCCACTGTTTCTCACACAATCCATTGCTGTTACTTCAGGATTGTATTGTGCTACTTGCACTGCATCATCTCTCCTCCCCTGATTATTGCCTGCTATGCTTTTTCATACTTTTTCATCAGCCCTATTGTTCCCTGGGGATGATTTCACAGAACTGGGTTGCTCTTGAAAAGTTGTGCCATGCGTAGGCTTTCGTAGGGGGAAAACAGTGTGTTGCAAGTGGATGCAAGGAAGATTAGGTGTGGGAGGGAAAATGGCCAGAGGTTTGCACAGGAGTGGGTTTTAAAGGTGTGGACCTGTCACCTCCCTCATTTTTGAAACTTGGAAGAGAGAGAGAACATGACAGAGAACAAAGTGGGACAAGGCACAGACTCAGGAGAGCATAAGTGAGACAATTATAGAGTGGGGACCAGAATATGGAAACGCTTATCAGGAACTTACATGTGAAAAAAGGGACGCGGGTGGCGCTGTGGGTTAAACCACAGAGCCTAGGACTTGCCAATCAGAAGGTCGGCGGTTCAAATCCCCGCAACGGGGTGAGCTCCCATTGCTCGGTCCCTGCTCCTACCAACCTAGCAGTTCAAAAGCACGTCAAAGTGCAAGTAGATAAATAGGTACCGCTCCAGCGGGAAGGTAAATGGTGTTTCCGTGCGCTGCTCTGGTTCGCCAGAAGCGGCTTAGTCATGCTGGCCACATGACCCGGAAGCTGCACGCTGGCTCCCTCGGCCAATAAAGCGAGATGAGCGCTGCAACTCCAGAGTTGGCCATGACAGGACCTAATGGTCACGGGTCCCTTTACCTTTACCTTTACCTTTACATGTGAAGAAAAAGGAATAGTTTCCAGTTCAATTTCCAGTGTTAAGGCTGTCAATGCCACTGTTTATGTGACCTCATCCATGTTCAAGAGGGTAGCCTCAACAGGCTTGGGGAACCCCAAGATTTGCAGAAGTACAAAAAATATTTGCAGGGGAGGAGGGCTTCTAACGTGTAACCTAATGAGGACGAAGTGGCCAAGGGATACCGACTGATTGTAGGAGAGGAATTGTGGAAAACAGGGAGGTGGGCTGGAACAAAGCGCCTGCTCCACCCAGCAGTATTCTGTTGCTGGTCACATTTGTAAGAGCAATCATATCACCTGCCAATTCAGCATATTCAAGCATGTTAAACTGCCACTCTTCCTTAGTGGGCACCCTACTCGAGCTCCACCTTTGTGCCAATAAGATTCTAGCCACAGTGGTGGCATATAATAATAAATTCTCTTTTTGGGGGAGGGTGAGGACTTCTGTTGTTACCATTCCCAAGAGGCTTTTTTCGGAATTTTCTTTTTTAATTCATTGTAAATTACTTCCCAGAATTCCCAGATCACTTTACAGGACCACCACACGTGGAAAAAAGGTCCCTCTACATTTCCAACATTTTCCTTTTTCCCTTTTTCTTTATTTCTTTAATTGTCCATTAAGAACTGTTAGGAATAGAATGTTTATTTTTCTTCCATAGTGGTAATTTTTCTTCAGTGACAATGTTTGTTTTTTGGCCATAAAAAATGTTACTTGACAAAACCTTTAAAAAGTAAACAAATAAAACCGGACAACTAAATATCTTAGCACAGTTAAAAAATAGCAACAACTTTCCCCCCAAAATAGTTATTCTCTCATTTCTCCTTCTTCCACACCCCTTATATAAAGGACATTATTGCACCTTATCAGAACTACCTTTTTTCCTTTTTAAACATTTTTGCTAGTTTGGCAAGTCTTAAGTACCTTCTGTGGGTCATTTTCATCATATTTTCTTTTAATGCTTAACATGCCGTAAAATTCATATTTACCGTCCATAAATTCTCCCATAGTTCATAATTAATATTATGACCCACATCCTGGGCCCACTAAATCATACTTGATTTCACAAATTCCTCTTTTGTTTACCACTTTAGCAGCAGTTTGTACATTTTTGATAATACTTTTACTTTTGTATCTGATAAATCCTTAAATAGGGATTTTTGTTCTGCAAATCCGATTTTTTAACAACCTATTCTTGTCACATCATGCACGGCTTACACAAGACAGTGGGTTATTATGAGGAAGCATTTACAACCCTCCTGTTTTGCCCCACTTTCTCTACATGCAACTGTCTCTTCCACTATGCTCCAATCCTTTCTTTGAAATAAAGACCTCCTCCCAGTGACGGAGAAAGTGGGAGCGGCACACCCCATATGTCATAACTGGGGTGTGTGTGACAAAATCCCCCCTGGGTGGATCGCCGCTGCACTGATAGGGACGGGGTGCGTCGCGGGGCCTCAGCAGCGGACAGGCTGTCCCTATGGGCACCGCGTGTGCCCTCCCTATGGGCGCCGCTTGTCCCGCCGTTTGCCCCGCCCCTGGGCGCGCCACCCCAGGTGCCCGTGAGGCTTCCTCCACCGCTGCCTCCTCCCCCCGCTTCTCTTGTCCAAAGTCTTACATCTTTTCGGTTCCATCTGACTAACTATTCAGAATACTGCCCACTTCCTCCTACCCTCTTTCAACACTGGCTGCGTTTGCACATAATGCTAAACGAAATTCAGACAAACCGCCATTAACCTTAACCGTGCTTTCATGAAAAGGTGCTGAGTCATTTAAATGTTGGGAGATGAAATCAGCCGGCTTCAAAATGTTATATATGAAAGTGGCTGATTTTCAACAAACCGTAGTTAATATTAACTGCAGTTTCAAGTTCAGATCTATTGCTAACTGTAGTTAATCTAAAACAGAAGTGGAACTTCCAGCCTTGTAGTCATGCCAAGAGAGGGTGGTTTAAACTTTGCAATTAAAGAATATTCTGCTCACCAAAGTGGCCAGCAGACTTCAAACACTGATTTCTAAACCACTGGAACATAAGATTTCAAGATAATGCTCAGCCATTTGTATATTTCACTTACATAAATACTGGCTATATAGTGTGGGAGTGTTATACAACAAATACAGATTCTCTCCCTCTGCTTTGACCTAATGTTATTGTTCACTTTTTCATATTATATTCTAAATAATTTGTATATAACAAATTATGTAGTGTGAATTATTCTTTTTACCATAGGCGTATTGAATATAGCCTTTAATGTATGTTGATTGTTTCTAATTTAGAAAAACACTGGTCGAATGTTCTGATGATCATTTGTTTATTCTTATCATCATTTGATGATCTCATTCTAAAATTGCTAGTTTGCTCACTTTCCCTCTGTCAACACCATCATTATCATTCCTTCCTAACACACCAGTAATGTGGACATATATTTGAGCTCATACTTTCTCTTGCATTGCACAAATCATTTCCCAATATTTAAATGACTCGAAACCTTCTGGATCTGCTTATTTTCTTCTTAGATAACGTAGTAAAGGCCTCATTACATCCTACTTTAATTTCCCAAAATATTCTTCTTCCATATCTGCAATACAACCATTTATTCCCTGTAGTGAATGCAAAATATACTCCTTATAGTTTTCTAGTTTTATACTGCTGCTTAAATAACTTGTGTATCCAACATCAGGCATACTCAGTGTAGTACCATTAAAACTAATGGATGTGACTGACTTAGGTCCACTATTTTCAGTGACTCTGAGTAGAAATGTTGGCTACCTTTTGCCACCAGTTTTAAAAGGCAAGCATTTAAAAACCAGCATCTGTCCCTTTCTCCTTTGGTGACATCCTGCTCCTCTGTCTATGCCAGGCATGGCCAAACCTGGCCCTCCAAATGTTTTGGAACTACAATTCCCATCATCCCTGACCATTGGTCATGTTAGCTAGGGATTATGAGAGTTGTAGTCCCAAAACATCTGGAGGGCCAAGTTTGGCCATGCCTGGTCTATGCCCATGCGGTCACAAACTTAGCCACAGGAACTCGACTCATACACAAGGCAAGAGTGCTCTGTGAATACTTCAGGATGAATTCAGCAGACATTTATTAATTTAGCTCCCGTAACATTCATCCGTGTTCCCCGTCATTTATATTTCAGCCTCCTTGGGGCAAAGAGCATCTACCAGTTTGTAAAGCTACCATTGCTTTAAAGTTTAAACAAATATATCAGATAAAACATTGAGGAAGAGTTTGGGAACTTAGCTGAAGGTGTTGATCTAATTATTATACAGTTTGAAATAGTGCATCAAATGTGGTTAATGAAAGGGAGGAAATCATATAAAACTGAATGCCATGAGAACACAGTGTGGTATCTGAATGGAAAAATACATGGCCCTCTCTTTGCTGACCTGTTATAGGATCTTAAAGACTTATTTATTCCAGTCAGCATTTTGTTAATTTTAGGTTACTGTTTTATCTGCTACTACTATCTTGTTTACTATTTTAATGATTAATGTACTGAAAATTTGGTTTTTCTTTTCTTTTTTACTGCTCGCTTATTTACTTATGTATTTTAAAGTGTAGCAATCATCTTGGTGAGGGGTTTTATGCTAGAGTGGTGAGGGTTTTTACGCTAGAGTGGGCTAAAAACCATAGCTGTCAACTTTTTCCTTTTCTTGCGAGGAATCCTATTCGGAATAAGGGAATTTCCCTTTAAAAAAAAGGGAAACGTTGACAGCTATGCTAAAAACCCATTTAAATAAATACATAGCAATGTTGTGTCAGCGAGGAAAAGAGATCTGTGAAGAAATTATTGACAGTTTGGAGGGGCTTGAGCAGCAATAAAAAAAAATAATACTTGTATTTCTTTCTCATAGGTGTCCGTGACGTAAGCAGCCTAAATGCTGACACCTCCCTGGCTGATCTGGGCCTGGATTCTTTGATGGGTGTAGAAGTGCGGCAAACCCTGGAGAGGGACTATGACATTGTCATGTCAATGAGAGATGTCAGGTTGCTTACCATTAACAAACTACGAGAATTTTCTTCAAAACCAGGGAACACAGACAGTAAGTATGTCTGGTGGGTTAAAATCTGCCCTACTTTGGGTTTGTGACACTTAAGGAAGGGGTGATGTAGGTAGGAGCTCCCTACCTACCCAGAGAAAGGGTTTTCTAGTTTCCAGGGCCAGCCTTGACATGACATGGGTGAGCCACGATTCAGAGCTCCCAAAGCAGCTAAATGGGACTGCCACTTGGATTGGGCCTAAGGAGTCTTTCACCATTTCCTCTTATGCTGTTTGCCCAATCAATACCCACCCAAAAACTGCTACTAGCTACCTGGGAGCAGGGAAGATAGATGCAATAACACCAGTGTGGTGTAGCGGTTAAGAGCGGTAGTCTCGTCATCTGGTGAACCAGGTTTGCGTCTCCGCTCCTCCACATGCAGCTGCTGGGTGACCTTGGGCTAGTCACACTTCTTTGAAGTCTCTCAGCCCCACTCACCTCACAGAGTGTTTGTCGTGGGGGAGGAAGGGAAAGGAGATTGTTAGCCACTTTGAGACTCCTTCAGGTAGTGATAAAGCGGGATATCAAATCCAAACTCTTCTTCTTTATTTTATTGCAGAAGCAACAGAGAATGAGTACTTTTTTCGTTTTCTATGTAGTCAACATATAGTCTAGAACTATTGTGTATTGTTTTCTCTGAGGATAACTTTTTTTTTGTTTAATTCCAAAAAATAAAAGCTCATTGCACAATTGATTCTGCATTTGAAATCAGATATAAGCAGTCCTGGTAATGGGGGGTTTACCCACACCTGCCCAATGATATTCTGGGTATGCCAAGTGATACTAGTCCCAAAACCAATCTACAATCTGCTCTTATATTATCTTATGAGACTGAATGTGGCATTAACTGGTTCATACTCTGTTTCTGTAACTTGCTTTTTTTTAAGCATCATCCCATGAGACAAAAGGCAGTCAAGCAGAGCAACCCAGATTGGACTTTAACAACCTGTTGGTTAATCCAGATGGACCAACTGTCTTGCAACTGAATGAGGTGAAAAGCACGGAGCCGCCTCTCTTCCTCATTCACGCTATTGAGGGATCTCTCTCAGTTTTCAACAACCTTGTCTCTAAACTACGTATACAAGCCTATGGACTTCAGTGCACAAAAGGTAGTTCTGTGATGCTTATTGATTGTCTAATCCAGAGGTCATCCTTGTCAATGTAGCTGGGATCAATTTACATCTTTCACAAACATTCCAATTTGCTGAATACAAGCATATTTTGTCCATGTGTGTGTGTACATGGGGAAGTCTCCATGCCATAAGAGAGGTATATGGTGATAATTTACCACTGGAATAAGGATTCCTTTGGGACAAAACACTTATTCCTTTAATTTGGTTTTTTTTTTTAATAATTTTTTATTAAAGTTTTAAACAAAGGAAAAAAAACAACACACACAAAAAACAGTACAAAACTTAACAATGAAAACATAGAACATAACAATTAAAAACAAACTCTCTTTTCCATTTCCAATTTTAAATTACTTATTTTCTGGACTTCCTCATACCTCCCACTTATTCCTTTAATTTGGGGAGGGGAGCACCAAGTCAAAATGGTATATTTTAAAGCAGTCCTTCCCCAGCTTGGTGTCCTCCAGATGGTTTTAACCACAACTCCCATTAGAGCCAGCCAGCAGGACAAATGGTCAGGGATGATGGGATTTGTAGTCCAAAATATCTGGAAGGCGCCAGGTTGACGAAGTCTGCTTTAAAACATAGAAAGGGTTCCAGAAAGAGTGGAGGCTGAAATTAGCCATGATGATTGATTATGAGTCTGTTCCTCAATCATGTAGGCAGAATCCAGATGTCTTCATTGCATTTAGCATGTAGTAAATTACAGAATTAAGATTTCTGCAACTATATAGAGCAGGTTTTCCCCCTAAACCTTGAGGTTAACTTTCACTTGAAAAAAATACATGCAAATACAAGCACAAGTATATATATTATAAGGCTCTTAATAGAAAAAATGTTACGAAAAGTAAGCATTTGCTGCCAGAGGCTCAGAGGTTCAGTCCAGACTGAACATCTCTGCTGTTCATGACAAAAATTATCCATATTCTAAAAAAGTAACAATTTTGAAACGGTAGAAACTTGTCTAATTTATTTCAGTTCCACAGTCTGGAATTTTGGCTCTTTACAGCAACGTTCTAAAGATTGTGACCGTGATCATCCATAGCCTGATTCTTCTCCTCATTTTACCTCTTCTCACTACTAGCTGCTCCTGTGGACAGTATACAGAGCCTGGCATCCTATTACATTGACTGCATTAAAAAAGTGCAACCGGAAGGCCCCTATCGGATTTCTGGATATTCCTTTGGTGCCTGTGTTGCTTTTGAAATGTGTCGTCAGCTGGAAGCTCAGCAGAATCCCTCCCATTTACCCAACAGCCTGTTCCTGCTTGATGGTTCTCACTCCTATGTAGCAGCACATACTCAGGTAAGAGACCAATCCAGCTACAAGAGCCACTTGGAAAAGATTACACTTCCATGTAGGAATAGCACGCAACCATGTATTTTATTGCATGTGCACATATGTGAATTGCCTCCCATTTCCTGTTGAATCAATTTCTGTAAGGCAAGCTGGAGACCAAACTGAGATCCCACTGGATATTAGTGGGAGAAAGAGGGAGCTCCACACTGTTGTCGCTCAGCAAGCAGAGGCTGGTGGAAGCAGGCAGGGCTGGGAAGATCCAACCCACCTCCTCCGAGCCTGGCACAAAGGGGTTTGGGCTTGTGCCTTTGCTAAAATTCAATTCTTTGTCTAAGATTAACATGAATTTTCTGGTGCTCCGTCCTCTCCCGCCAGAGCTACAGAGCCAAGCTAACTCCAGGAAACGAGGCTGAAGCAGAAACCGAAGCATTGTGTGCCTTTGTTCAGCAGTTCACTGGCATGGAATACAATAAGGTAATGCTCTTTGCCACCGTTCACAGCTGGGGTTGGGGGAGCACATTTTGCTCACAACAGTTTCACTCTAGAAACTGCACCTTGTAGTAAAGCTTTCCTGTTTGTACCGTTTGCAGTTGCTGGAGATTCTTCTACCCCTACCAGATCTGGAAGCTCGTATAAACGCGTCTGTTGATCTGATAACTCAAAATCACAGAGACCTCAGCCACGAGGCCCTTGCCTTTGCTGCTGCTTCCTTTTACAAGAAACTGAAGGCAGGAGACAAGTATGTGCCTCAGAGCAAGTATCATGGCAACGTGATGCTACTGAAAGCAAAGACCCACAATGAGTACGGAGAAGGTCTTGGAGGAGACTACAAGCTCTCAGAGGTTAGTAACATTAACAGAAGAAACTGGAAGGTTTTTTTGTGGATTTTCACCCACCATAGCCCTTAAAGTAACATAGGTTGCAGTCCATCATCTAGTTATGTGTGTTTTTAAGTCCCATTGAAATCAAAAAAACTAGCTTGCTTGATGGTTTGTAGCCATCTTCTAAACATCTCTGCCCCTCACTGAAAACTGAAGTGCTCCAAAAGTCGAAGCTTAACAGCACATGATGTAGAGCTCAAATGCTTGATGCAACTCCTTATCTTTACTTTCTGCAAGTATTTTTCTGGCCTATGAAGCAGCAGCAGCAGCTGAATATTTAGTTTGCTAGGTTATGGAATGATTAACCTAAAAGAAAAAGGTCTTAGGCCTTGCTTGACATGTCTTTGATTGTGATTGATTTAAAGAAAATGAAGAAAATGTGGAAAGTAGTGAAAAGAAGAAAAGGGTCGTTAGGAGTTCCTTCTCATTCTCCTGAATGGAAAGGCAGAAGGTGTATGAAACTAAAAAAGTGTGTGTGTGTGATGTTCTCTTTTATATCTTTGTGCCCTGTGCAGGTCTGTGACGGGAAAGTGTTTGTCCATATTGTTGAAGGGGACCATCGCACGATCCTGGAAGGAGATGGTGTCGAGTCAATTACTGGGATCATCCATAGCTCGTTGGCAGAACCTCGGGACAGTGTTCGAGAAGGCTAGATACTTGAGAAACTTTACTGTCATTGCTAGAGAGAATTCAAAGCTAACCCTTAGGACAACCCCAAGGAACTCTTCCTGTAATCCATCATGTCATCTGCTCCGCAGCCAAGTCTAGGATGTCCAAATGGCCAGAGTCCCCCCTCCCCTCTCTCTCCAGTGCAGTGACATTATTTTTGCACTGTTGCAAGGACCTGTATCGAGGGCAACATTTTACACCATTTGCAGTACACACAAAAAAAAAAGAATTAGCAGACTGTGTGTGTGTATTTTGTGCTTTGTATTGTATTGTATTGTTGTCTAGAAGTATTCCAAAGGATAAGTGAAACTGACCAAGCCTAGGGAGTAAGGAGGGAAGCTGCAACTGATTTTGGAGGCGCATTTGTCTGTGAAAGAGTCAGTTCTGTAGCAGTATCAGTAAGTTAATTCCATTGAGGCTTTTTTGTAACTATTATTTCTAATCTGAAATATTCTAGGTATTTATTTTATTGTTACTTTATTAGAGGCTCACTGTTTTAATTTGTGATTGGCTAAATGATAAGGACAAAATATTTGATTGTGGAGTATTTCTTCCCCCTGCGGCTGTTTGGTTGCCTCGTTTTTACAAAATTAAAACCAAAATTCATCTTTAGAACAATGTGGTCATTTGGAATGGAAGATAGATTCCTATGATAAGCACCACCTTTCTCCACAGAGAGGTGAAGCTGCTTCTGATATGTTGCTGGTCCCATATTCAGTCTCTGATGGAAGGGAATCCAAGCTTGGAGCATGTATAGCGTCTTTTCCTTAGCAGAGGTTGGGGGCAACTTTAAGATAATTCCTGCATTCATCTGGAAAATGCATGGATCAGATGTATACAGCTTTCTGCACCCAGTGTGGTAATTTCCCCCAAATACTTTCAATCTAGCTTCTTAATTCCCCCCGCCCCATTTGCTGCTTCAAGGGTTGCTCAGACTTCATATGAGTTCTTGTTGACAAGAACCTGATTTAACCCTCCCACAGCTGAACCATCTCCCCGTCTCATCCATCCAAAAAAAGAAGTCTGTAGTAGTTATGAATATTTGCCTAAAACCCCTTTGGAAAAACAAAAACTGGAAGCAGTAAGCCTTTTCTTGCCTCATCTATGTTGGATATGCTTGTAGAAGAATCGGAACATCTTTGCTGCAACAATGATACAGAGGAGACACATGGAGCAATCAGTATCCAGCAGGATTGTTGTGCCTCCCCAAACTGCTTTAGAATCCAGGTTCTCTGCTGGGTTATTTTAATTAGTGCTGGGGCATAGAGATTGCACACAAGTTCCATACCTGCTGGGAGCTGGTTGGCTAGGTGATCCTCTGTGGACAGGCAGCTTAGTGGCTGGTTTTAGTTTTTAATTTTAAGGAAAAATTCCTTGGAAATCTGAAATGTATAATGAATACGTTTTCAGATCAGACCTGTTCTGTTTTGTGTGTGTGTGTGTGTGTTTTCATTTTCATTTTTACATTTCTTTGGTGAAAAAGCTCTGGAGCCCCCTTTCTTTTGTGGCTCTCCTGGAATTAAAGGTGACTTAAACTCTGCCATGGCTTTCCTTGACTCTTATTTCTATACTCTGTGCTTATTAATGTTTACTTGCATTTTCTATTCCTTTCTGGAAGCAGGGGTCGGAGTGGGGAGAGATACACCCCCAGTTTCTTCAGGTACTATAGCTTGGTGGCTGCAAAAACCTTATCCAAGTTCATTGGACAGTGGCTTCCTCTTGCTTTGATGCCTCATGCATGTATAATCAAATAACCATGCTACATGACTGGAAATCATGTAGTCTCAAATGTTCCTCTTAGTTCTTTCTTCTTTTGTAGTTTTAGAAGCTCATCAACTTAACTGCTTTCATTTCCCCATCAGTGGAACAGGGCTAACCACCATGCCAGCTGCTTTGAGAACTGCTGTTAAAAGTGCTAGTATTTACAGGAAAAATTCATCCAGGGGACACATTTGAGTAGGTTTACAGTGCAATCCTATACATTTCTATTCAGAAGTAAGTCCCTCTGAGTTTAACAGGGCTTCTTCCAAAATGTTTTTTGGGATTGCAGTCTTAATAAGTCAGCATACCTGAAGTGAAGGGGGTACGAGGGCTGTTTAAACCAACTTACTTGCAGGAGCTAATCTGTGTGTCATAGGCAGGTGATCTGTAATAAACCTAAAAACTAGAGTGGAATCTTTCCAGTAGCGAGGCTAGTTCTGAATTGTTTTTACTCTGAAATCCGAAAATGTGGGATTCTCTTAGGCTGCTCTCAAAATCTTTAGGCATTACATATAACATTACCACTGCAATCCTTTATATGTATATGCTGAAGTAAGCTCCATTAAGTTCAATGGAGATTTACTCTCAGGTAACTTTGCCTAGAACTGTGGCCTAAACAGCACATTTGAGCATCAAGCATTGTTTGCACTGTTCATGTTAATTCAGGGTTTCCCCAACCTTGGATCTCCAGCAGTTTTTGGACTATAATCCCCATCCCTGACCACTGGTCCTGCTAGCTAGGGATGACAAGAGTTTTAGTCCAACAATGGCTGGAGAACTAATTTGCCCTCAATCCCAAATTTGGCAAGGGAGCTCCTACCCATGTAAGCACTGCTCTAACCTTCAAAAGAAAGGAATGAACACACATTAGGCGTGGTACTTGCCATTTTGACACCACCCCCGCCCACCCCACACATATGTGCAGTCATCCTAAATTATAGTCTAAGATGTCTCTCTTCTAAAGAGAAATGTCTATTGATAGAAATGAAATATATACTTCTGAATTAAGGCTAGGGCATGTTTTCAAGGGCTTAGGTTTGGAGTGTCCTAATTGGTTATTTAAGCATTTCTATACTGCTTTTCAGAACAACAAAAAGTTCTCCCAAGCACTATAAAAACATTGTTTTTATTTTTTAAAATATTCAAAGTAAAAGTCAAGAAAGCATGCTTAAAGGGACAGATTTAGTTATGTGTGCAATGGGAAGGACTGGGGGAAAGAGTGTGATTTTACAGCTCACTCCAGATTCCGTAGCGGTGGATTCCAACACATCTAATTTATACCGCACTGAGTTCATGAGGATTTGCTCCCAGGTTGCTGTATAAGATTGCAGCCTAAGCCTACTTAATAGCTGAGGCAGCCTTGAATCCACACTGATCATTAGTCATTATATAAAGGAGCCAATTTGCAGTAATTAAACCAGAAGTACGGTATAGTGTTTTTATTATTAGAGAGCATTACTTATGGCAATTCTTAAGCAAATGTTCAGGCTGCTAGTTGTAACATTGGGATACAGAATGCATACTTGCACTGAGATGTTTGGGGGAAAGAAAGATAAAAGTTCTTGCATTATTTATTTCAAAACAAAAGCTATTAATTCAGGAATGTCTAAGCTTTACCATGTCCCATGTAAACTTTTAAGTTGTCCCATGTTGAGTGGAGTCTGCTTAAATAAACAACTTACCGGAGTCTGTATTGCATCTTAGCTCCCATTAGTTTACTGTGATTAACATATCTGATCATATCTAGCTGTGCCAACAGCTAGCATTTGATACTACCCATGCATGTTTTAAGCGTGTGCGTTTATTTTGCTTATACAAAATTGAGCAATGCTGCCCCCTGTTGACACTGACCCAGAGAAGGAAGAGAAGAAGAGTCAGCACCACAAGTCATGAAGGCCCCAGGACCCAAGACCAAGCTGGAGCCTGATCCTGTTCGTTGGGAGCCCCTTGAATCACATACTCCTGAACAAGGATCCCCCCCCCCAAAAAAAGCCAGGTTCCTCTGAGGATCCTGCTCTCTCTACACTAGGAATCTCACGCTCCCCAGTGCCTGCTTATCACCACAGGCAACACACTAGGCAGGATCTAAGAGGGAGGCAGAGTGCTATGCTCTTTAAGGTTCTTAGGTCTCATGAAATGGGTAGAGTCTGAGAAGGGTAAAAGCCAGGAGGAATACATAAGGGCTCAGTGGATACAATTTGTCTGCCCGGAACTATCCAAGGTCTTGCAGTAACTGCCTGGCCCTACTGGCTAGCCCATGGGTAGGCAAACTAAGACCTGGGGGCCAGATCCAGCACCAATTGCCTTCTAAATCTGGCCCATGGACGTGTTTTTACATGAGTAGAACGTATCCTTTTATTTAAAATGCATCTCTGGGTTATTTGTGGGGCATAGGAATTCGTTCTCCACCCCCCCCCAAAAAAATAGTCCGGCCCACCACAAGGTCTGAGGGACAGTAGTCCGAAAGTTTGCTGACCCCTGGAGCCTGACTGACTGAGTACAGGCAGCCCCCTGTTTACACATGTTCACTATGTGAACGACTGTATACCCAGAAGCAGTGCTTTTTTTCTTGGGGGACACAGGGGGACGCATACGCCTAAACATTTTGTGAATCTAACAGAAGAAACTAAAAACGTTTTTAAAAAATAGTTTCTTCTCTAGTACGGTGAATTGTCAGTTCCGTTGCTACCCCCGATGGCAGCCTCATTTCCTGTCACGGTGTTTCCCAAGTCTCAGATGGAATGAGAGTACCGCTAAACATCTTTTAGGGAAAAAGCATTGCCCGGAAGTGACCCAGAAACAACATAAAGACGTCACTAGAATGTTACTAAAAGGATGGAGGTGGAATGGGGTGGGGGCAGGGCGGAGCAGAGTGAAACGGGGTGTTGCAGACTTTTTCAATGGGTTTCAATTATACACAATTTCACTGATACGCACAGTGCCTCAGAACATAATCTCCATATAAATGGGGAGCACCTCTCCTTCCACCAAGCCTCATCTGTCCTCATGGGCTCCTGCTTGGTCAGTACAAGTCGGTCCACAGACTTTCACATTGCAGAAAACAACCATGCCCAAACTCAAATAGTTTCTTCTCTCCTCATTATATGGAAACAAATACAATAAAGCCACTAACAGTACATTTTTCATTGTTAAAATGTAAACAAGATTAGGACAAAATGAAAACCAGTAGCTCTTAACAAGTCTGTAAAAGTTGCTTTCAAACTGACAACTGATTCACCTACATGAAATCGTGTACTTATGACCAGCAAGGCCCGCACTAGGTACCAAATGAAAACACAGGGCCAGCACAGGAAGTGGTATCCCTGTGTTGAGTTCTCCAAAAGTCCCTTCTTACATATAATATCTCTCACCCATAGCACAATGCTGCCACATCATGCATTTTCCACTTACTGACTGCTGCTGATAGGGACAAGAAAATGCACAATACAATGACCTCATCACTTAGTAATAGAGTAAGTGTGACTACACCTTTTGGGAGATCAGAAGAGCACTTGAGATGGGTGCTGAACAGCAGCAGTCCTTTTATCTAGTAATTTTCAGTTCTGCCCTTGACTCAAAGGTGGGTATAAATAAATATCTCTCTTTCACTCACACACACGCACGCACACACACATGCACATGCCTAAATTCACAGACAGCATACAAAGGAATAATCTCACAACTCAGGAAAGGGTGGGGAGAGAGTTTGGCCCTTGCCCTAGCTACCCCATGCAACCACATTCCACTCTGTGCTATTATTGCAACCAGTGTCGAAGGAAACAAAACCACAATTTTCCTACAGTACTACATGCCTTATTATCATTATTGTAGGGAAGCGGGTGGCGCTGTGGTCTAAACCACTGAGCCTCTTGGGCTTGCCAGTCAGAAGGCCGGCGGTTTGAATCCCCACAGCAGCCAGTTCTTGCCAACCTAGCAGTTCAAAAGCATACCAGTGCAAGTAGATAAAAAGGTACCGCTGCGGCGGAAAGGTAAATGGTGTTTTCATGCACCAGTAGTGGTTTAGTCATGCTGTCCACATGACCCAGAAAAACTGTCTGTGGACAAATGCTGGCTCCCTTGGCCTGAAAGCGAGATGAGCGCCACAACCCCATAGTCGCCTTTGACTGTACTTAACCATCCAGGGGTCCTTTCCCTTTCTTTTTTATTTTCATTATTAATTGAATTTATATACCGCCCTATACCCAAAGGTCTCAGGGTGGTTCACAGAACAAAATCAAAATATTGTGTGTGTGTGTGTGTGTGTGTGTGTGTGTGTGTGTGTGTCTCTCTCTCTCTCTCTCTCTCCGGCCAGGACCGGGCTCAGGGCGGCTAACATCAGGTATATATAAAAACAACAACCCAATAACTCTCCCCCGCCCCACCTTCTTGTGTTGAACAATTCTCTGGTGTTTTTTGCCCCGGGGTATTCTGCTAACTCGCTGCCCGCCCCGCTGTCGTTGTGAGAGCTTTAAATGCGCAGCTGGCAATAAGGCGCTTCCTAGCCTGGGCGAACCTGTCCGCTAGGGGGAGGCCGGGAGGGGCCGGGTTTCCTCGCGGCCCCTTTCCGCCCGCGCCTCCGTTTCCGAAGGAGCCCCGTTTGAAGTTGCACCGCCGCTGTGCCGGTCGGAGTGGGATGGCGGAGGCGCCGTCCGGCTGTCTCAGCGCCCTGCCCGGGGCTCTGCCTCAGTAGGAACCAGGTACCGGAGAGGGAGAGAGCGGAAGGCTCGGGCGAGGGGGCCGTGTACTCTGGCGGGCGGGCAGGCAGGCGGGAGGGCGCGGCTCACGGCCTAAGTCCTCGAGGGCGGCCGCCCTGTTTGAGCAGTGCTGGGCTGGGCGCGCTTTAGAGCCGAGCGGCAGGGAAAGCCTTGTGGCCCCGGAAGGTCCTTCCCCCTGCAGGTGCCTCGCCTTCTTCAGCGCAGCTCCTTTTCTCCCAGGAACCGGCCCCTGTTGCTCTCTTGCAAAGGGGGTGGGGTGGGGTATATCACTAGCGCCATAGACCAGCTGCTCTTCCTTCTTTTATTTATCTGACCTTAAGAACATGCAAACCTACCTGGTTGGGATGGGGGAGCCTCCACTGAAGGGTTGTTGTTTTTTTACATTTTCATTTATTCCATTGTATTTTATGTCGCTTGCTTGTGTTAAGACCTCCTTAGTGGTTTACAAGACACGTTTAAATGATGAATAAAAGCAGTTTAAAACAACCTGCATCTTTAATTAAAATGAACAGTTGACAAAAGAGAGGGAGAGAGACTAAAACACACCTGCAATAGCTTTGCCTCCACAAAAATGTGCTTTCGGTGTAGTGTGTAAGCAAGTTGATAAAGCCATAATCACAACAAGTAGTAGGCAAACCGAGCAATCTGCTAGCTCTAAGCAAATCAATGTACTCGCAATCCCCTGCTTAAAATCCCAGTCCTCTGTGCCTCGCTGCAGTTTAGTTGGAACTTAAATGCTGGCACCATGGTGACAGAACAGCAGGGGTGGGGAGAGACAGGTGAGCCACAAAGGGACAGCTGGGGTGGCTCCTTTGCCAACATTGTGCTTCCCCCAATGCTGCTGTTTTGGACTTAGCAAAATAGTAGGCTGAGGAGGAGGGAATCAGTGGCAGAATGGGATGTTTTTTGGGTGGCCTGTCTAAGCCACAGTTTGGCCAAACTTTTGGCATGTACATATTTGTCAGCTCTGGACTGGACTGATGTGAGGCAGCAGGTGGGTATCCCCAGCCTTGCAGGGAGTGGTATGACTATCACTTACCTTGAAGCTTTGGTCCACAGCCCCTTTTTCTTGCAATACTTCCCCCCCCCCCCCCCCGGGAATGATCTAAGGATAAGAAGATGAAAGTGTTGCATTGGTGCTATTTGTATAGTAGTGTCTTACTATAACATCACTTTTGAGCATTGGCTTGCTAAGGTACAGTAATGCAATTGTTACAATAGATCAGATAAAAATATCAAAATGAGTGTTGCTGTGATGTTGTGAATCCTTTTTTTGTAATACTGTAGTGTCAGACAGCTCACATTGATGTTCACAGAATCATCAAATGATGATCATAACATATAAAAAGACAAGTAGGAAATGCAGGATATTCCAAAATATGGGATACTGTGTAATCCTGTAAAAACTCGTTATTTGCTCTTGCTCTTCACTAACAATCACCTAGAAGAACATAGAAGAGACCTGTGTTTCTTTTTTCTTTTCTTTTCTTCTCCCCCTAATGCCTCAACAAATGAAACGGATTTGTAAAAATGTTACATGAAAAAAAAAATACGAGGCACTACACTTCTGTAAAACAAGAAAATCCTTAATAAAATATTTAATAATAATAAAAAAAAAAAAGAGACCTGTAAGTATCTGAATTGCACATTACAGGGCTCTACAAACATTTATTCTTCTTGCGTTGTTTTCTTTATGTGGGTTTTTTTTGGGGGGGAAGGAAGGGTTCCCCGCATGTTTTGTGCATTTTTTTAGCATGCTTACTGCAGAGAGCTGTGTATGGAACAAAGCTAAAAGCCATATAAACTGTTGCTTGCTTACTAGAATCTATTAGAGAACCTTTTGTTTCCATTTCCTTCCAGTCAAAGGAAGATGCCCAAACTTGAGGGCTTCGAGTTCTGGAGAAACACGCTGAAAGGTGCCCGTTTTGTGGTTGCTCCCATGGTGGATCAGAGTGAACTAGCTTGGAGACTGTTAAGTCGCCGCCATGGAGCCCAGCTGTGTTATACCCCTATGCTGCATGCTCAGGTCTTTGTCAGAGATGCCAATTACCGTAAAGAAAACTTGTATTGTGATGTGTGCCCTGAAGATAGACCTTTGATTGTGCAGGTAATAGCTATCACATAATTTCGCTTTATATTTTTATGCTGTCCTTTAATGGTGGCTTTTGGAAGAAATGGCTTTAAAATAGCTAGTGTTACAACAGCCATTGTAGAATAATAATTGCACATAACCTTAAGGACAAGAAGAGGCATGTCTAGCAAGCCAAGCTCTCCCCTTCTGGGTCATGGAAGGCAAGAGTTGAGACAAAAGGACTGCCCAATCCAAGCCCTGCTGTGCTCATGGCAGAAAGCAGGAGCTGTGTCTTCCCCTCCCCCTCGCCGTGACTTAAAAAGAAAATAATTCCTTCCCTTTGTTCTCAGTGGATTATCCCACCAACTTCAGGGCTGGCATGTGTTCCTTGTTCTAGGGGTGTGTCAGGTTTTGATTCTAGCAGATCTGGTGCCTCCCCTGATCCCCCATTCTAGAGTGCCTCCTTTTTGCCCTCTCAGAGCACCAAGAGCAGAGGAGGGGCTTTAGTTAGGAGGCCTCTGTGGGTGCACCTTCATCTCTGTCTATTGACAAAGAAATTGCAAATTCCTGTGGTCCCCAAGGATGCCCTCCCAAGGACCACTGGATTCTGCCTTCTCGGTGGTGGCACCCACCCTGTGGAACACCCTCCCACCAGATGTCAAGGAAATAAACAACTATCTGACTTTTAGGAGACATCTGAAGGCAGCCCTGTTTAGGGAAGTTTTTAATGTTTGAAGTTTTATTCTGTTTAATATTCTGTTGGAAGCTGCCCAGAGTGGCTGGGGAAACCCAGCCAAATGGGTGGGGTATAAATAAATTGTTGTTGTTTTGTTTTATAAATGTATTGTCATAGTTGGGTGTTAAAATTGCCTCTCACTTATTCTTTGGCTTGTATGCCTGTTTCACAGTTCTGTGCCAATGACCCAGAAGTGTTTGTCCAGGCTGCCTTGTTGGCTCAAGATTACTGTGATGCTATTGACTTGAATTTGGGGTGTCCTCAAATGATTGCAAAAAGAGGTATGTGCAAACCAAAACCTTAGATAATTTGGATGGCAATGCTCTTCACACTTACATGGGCGGAAGCCCCATTAAACACAGTAGGATTTGCATCTTAGTAAAAGTGCATAGCATGGCATTACTAAATGTTCTTGAGCAATTCTAATCTGGATTAATTTGTGAAACTTTACAGTCCAGTCTTAAACATGTTTACTGAGACATTGAACATGAATTACCATCCAGTGAGTGTGTTTAGGGTTGCAGGCTTGATTTGTGCATCAGACTCTGAATCAGACCTTAATGGTATATGCATTTTAAACCTCTCATAAAGTTTAAGTGCTGTCTCACGTAACACCCTGCTGGTGCCTTATAATTTAAGCTTCTTATATTTCTCTAATTTAAAAGACTATTTAGGAAACAAAGGAAGCAGATTCTGTAGTCAGGTAATGGAAGGACAGACCAGGCTTCTAGGAACTCTAGTTGGTGTGAGCAGAATATTAATGTAATTAGAACTCTGTGCTGCAAATTTCAAATCCTTGCAGTTCTGGCATAAAGAGTGAGATAATAGTTTGTTACTATGTTTATTTTCTAAATACATTTTGAAAAAACAACGTTATGTTTCCCTTTCCCTGCCTAAGTAGAAACATGACTGTGGGTCTGCAGTTATAGTTTTCATCTATACTTAACTGTTTTATGTCAAAAACTTTCCTATCAATGTGTCTCTACTAGGCCGTGATTTTGTGGGTGGTTTTTCTTTGTGTGTGTGTTTGTATATAGGTCACTATGGAGCATTCTTGCAGGAGGAATGGAAGCTTCTTCAGAAGATGAGTAAGTCCATGATGCTCTTGAGAACGGAGTAGGAGAAGAGCAGAATAAATAAAAAATGCAAGGGATTGTCTTTGGCGCTCGTAATAATAATAATAATAATAATAAATGTTATTTATAGCCCGCCCTCCCCAGCCGAAGCCGGGCTCAGGGCGGCTAACAACACTAAAATAGTACAACATTCTAAAAACATTGTAAAAATTAATTAAAATCAAAATTGATGGCAACCATAAACTAAAGTTCTGTAAAGATTGCCAAAGGAGGGAGTCAGGCTGCGCCCTGACCAAAGGCCTGGTGGAACAGCTCAATCTTGCAGGCCCTGCGGAAAGATGTCAAGTCCTGCAGGGCCCTAGTCTCCTGTGACAGAGCGTTCCACCAGATCGGAGCCGCAGCCGGAAAAGCCCTGGCTCTAGTTGAGGCCAGCCTAACCTCTCTGTGGCCTGGGACCTTCAAGATGTTTTTATTTGAAGACCGTAAGTTCGTCTGTGGGACATACCAGGAGAGGCGGTCCCGTAGGTACGAGGGTCCTAGGCCGTGAAGGGCTTTGAAGGTTAAAACCAGCACCTTAAACCTGATCCTGCAGGACTTGTCATGCACCAAGCAGGGCATTAATTTTGTTCCTTGACACAGGATAGGATGGTTCATTGTATACTATTTGCAGCCTGTCTCATTTTTTTGCAAGTTTCCAGCTGTTCACAAATTTGCAGCTGTGTTGAAGCACACAAACATGGTCTCTGCTTATGATTTGGAGTATAAAATGTGGAATTTGCAACCTCGTGTTCAGTGGCTATGAAAATAATCATGTAGGTGTAAATGGAGCTGTCACCTGTTTATCAATGGGATTATCAGCACATTGCTATTGGGAGGTTGTCACACACACAGGAACAGACTCTGAAGCCTAATCCAGTTTCAGGAGTTGGCGACCAGAAAAAGCTCTGAAGCAATCAAAACTGAGCTTGGCAGGCTGGAACGCAACTTAATCTAGTTTGTTCTAATATCCTGTCTAACCTGTAGCATTGTCATTTGACTGTTGTGCTTCAACCTGGGAATCCCAATCAGTTATGATGCATAATAGATGGTCTTTGGCAAGTTGCTCTTAATCTACTTTAGCAGATTGTTGTGAAACTAACAAAAAAAAGAGAGAGTTTTGTGGCGGAAAGACAGGATGTAAATATAACAACTATACATACACAGTGTGCATTCTTTAATTTTTAAATTTAAAAAGGAGTCAGCAATTTTAGAGGTCAGTTGAGGTGCATTGTTCATTAATGTATCAAAGAAGTGAAAAAAGGACAGTAAAGCTGTTGAGAAGGGGGGGAAATGAAAAGGAATCCCCTGATATTATTTAAAAGCTGCCCTATAACAAAGTTCTATGGGCAGCTCACAAAGAAAGAAATCAGCAATTAAATGTAGAAGTTTTAAAAGCATTAAAACTACAGCAGATTAAAATCAGAGAGAGCAGAGAATAAAAATCGCATAGCTAAACAAAATTAAGACCACAAGCTTCATTTAAAAGGCTTGGGAAAATGAAAAGATATTTGCCTGGTGCTGAAAAGATATTTTCCTGGTGCTGAAAAGATATTGGAGGAAGTGCCTGGCAGGCCTATCAAGGGATAGCATTCCATAGCCAGGGAGTCACTACTGAAAAGGCCCTTTTGCCCCTAACCACCTGCTGGTGGGGGCAGCTGATAGAGAATCTCAGATTTCAGGGTCTGGATAGATATATGTAGGAGGAATTGATGCTGTAAGCAGTATGAACACACTTCTGTGGAAAATATGCATAGTAGGGTTCAGTATTTCGTGCCTTTGAGGAAATACCATTTTGGGGTTTTTTACTCCATATAGTTACTCCTAGTTCTCCCTCCAAGCATTTGTCATTCCACTAGCCTAATTTGGAAGGGGATGGTTAGTATTGTCAAACAATTGGGAGTCAGAATCCTTGCTGCAAATCCTTCTGCAAATCAGAATCTATGTACTGCAAATTGTTCAAGAGATCTACCAGTAGGTCCCATCTACCTTCTGCCCATGCCTGGCAGATAATATAGTATAAGCAGTACATTGGGTGGAAGGGGGTGCTGCATCAGAAGCTGCCAGAGAAGACAACTTGCATCCCAGACTTTCCCTTGGCCTGCCCCTGTATCCCCCAAAGCTTCTGAACAGTGTTGGGATGTGTTGCACAGTACTGCAGTGCAAGAGAAGGAAGTGTCCTAAATGCGGTGGAGCAATCTTGTGCCAGCAGAACTGCACTGTGTGCAAATTTCATCCACCCCATTTTAGGCCCTTCCACCCTACCCTTCGGATACAGTTCTGTGTCACACAGCGCAAGCTGTCCCTCTGAATAATCTCTTTGGCTAGTAGTGGGGAGGTTGCATGCGCTTGCCACCTTCTTTCACAACCGTTGGATACAGCCCATGATCTTTTGACTTCAGCCAATTTCACAATTGTTATCTTTGTCTGTTTTCCAGTTGTGTTGGCTAATGAGAAGCTCTCTGTTCCCATCACATGCAAAATCCGTGTTTTCCCAGAAATTGGCAAGACTGTGAAATATGCCCAGTTGCTGGAGGAGGCTGGTTGTCAAGTAAGAAGCTGGCTGTTCCTGTTTTGTTGCAAGGCTCTAATATTCTTCATTCAAACAGATATATACAGTAACTCAGTGATTGATTTTTTAAAAATAAGTCAAAAGTCAAAGTATTTTTTGACAAAGTTAGAAATAAAAATTCAGGGAGGAATCCAATGTCACATTATGTTGGTTGTTCTATCAAGGCAAGTATTTCAGATTGCCAGACAGAATGAACCCCCTTCTTCCTGCCCCCGCTGCTCTGGATTTTGCCTCCCTCAATGCCAATTTCTGGGGGAGGGGGAGAAGCCCCATTGCACAAGGGGAAGTCCTTGCACGGGCTTCCACTGACAGTACTCATTAGTCGAATCCTGCCCAGCTTTCCTGACTTTGGTTGTTGTTTTTCAACAAGCTGGAGACATACTGTTTTCTCCTGTGAAAAGAGCCAGTAACATATTAGAAAAGAGAAGATTGCTGAACGATCAAAATGGAAATGAGCAGGAGAGATTCCCAACAGCGCTCTTGCTCTAACTGTGTATTTAGAAGAAGCTGTAGTCCCCTATCAAAGTTTCATTATTGATTCAAATTAATCCGGGATAAGGCTTACAAGATGAGCTCTATGTATGATTTATAAAGACACGGCCCTGGTGACCATAGATAATATAGCTGAACTGGGAGGATTCCCCATAAATCAGAATCCCAAGCCAACATGTGATATACTGGAAGCAAGGAATCCTACCATATTTCATATGCTGCAGCAAAGCAAATGTACAAAAGCTATGTGTTCGTCTTACCTGCATTGAAAAACAAATACAACTCTGTTCCAGCTGCTGACTGTCCACGGTCGCACAAAAGAACAGAAGGGGCCTCTTGCTGGCGTGGCCTCCTGGGAGCACATACAGGCCGTGAGGTAAGGGAACTACAGCTTGCAAGATGTTGGGGAGGCAATTTTCCTAACCTAAACCTTTGGCTGTGGGGTGAGATACATACATCTGAGGTGAGGGGTATTATGCATGTTGCTTTAACAGCATTAAAATGTGTTTTGTTTCCAGATGCTCTTGAGTTTGCTTTCTGTTTTAGCTTTACTTGTGCATTTATTTGATTGTTGCTTTTGCGTTTCTGTCTGCTGTCATAGAAAGGCTGTAAACATCCCTGTGTTTGCAAATGGAAACATTCAGTACCTCAGTGATGTGGAACAGTGCATTCAGAAGACAGGAGTTCAAGGTGTCATGAGCGCAGGTAGGAAGAGAGAGCTGCTCCTCCTGGATAATTGTGTAATAAGTCTGTTTAGATATTTTATAACACAGCCCAGATTCAAAGGATACTGAGTAATCTTGCTCCAACTATGGTTATGTGCTGTTGCTTTTTTTTATGCCACTTGTGAACATTAATGTAAGCAGTTCGGAATTCATGAAGGTTACTTAGCTAGAGTAAATTTTAGAAGTTTCAGTAGAGAGGCCAATCATTCATTAGAATAGGGCTGACCTTGGTTAACAGTTGGGATACTTACCTGGAAAAATAATAAGGTTAATTTAATAAATGGAGGAAGCACATTTTTATGTGCAAAACTGGGCACAGCAAATGGATGATAAAAGGGTTGTTTATGCATTGGCCTATGTAAGTAATACTGTTAAGAAAGTTGTCCAAGCTTAATAAAAAAATTTTAAAAAAAGAAAGAAAGAAAGTTGTCCAAGCTTATAAGATCTATCACTAGAGGTCCAGGTAGTGCATAAGGAGCACAAATACAAGTTCATTTAAAAGGAAGAATTTACTATTGGGAGCAGTAAGTTCCCATACTTACAGATTAATCCCTGCAAATCTCCCCTTCCCCCCCCAAAAAAGAAACTGGAAAAGAGCAGAAAACAACTTGTGGTCATTGGCAGGGGATAATTGTCATTTGGGAAAAGGTTAAGCACCCCTTGCCTGTATAATTGCATCATTGGACAAACTGTGGTTTGGAAATCTCATGTGTTTTATCAGTCAATAACAAAATGCTGAAAACTTTCCTCTGCCCCCCCCCCTTTTTTTAGAGGGCAATCTCCATAACCCAGCTTTGTTTGAAGGAAGAAACCCTGTAGTCTGGGAGATGGCTGAGGAATATCTGGAAATAGTACAGCAGTATCCTTGCCCACTGTCCTATGTCAGGGCTCATCTCTTCAAGCTCTGGCATCACACGTGAGTGATTCTGCTGTTTATGGCCCTGTTTGTGTTGTTGAGAAGACTGAGAGCTTACTATTCACTGTTTTTATAGCATATGGCAGAACTAGAAATCTGTGCTCCACTTGTTTGCATCTATCTTCTGTGCATATTAGTCCTTAGAGAGGGAATAGAATAGAATGTCTCAAGAGTGTTTCTTCCCCTCAGGTTGCAAGTTCACCAGCACCTGCGTGATGAGCTGGCAAAAGTGAAGACCCTGGAGGGACTTGTGGCTGTCAATAGAGAGCTGAAGTTGCATTGCCAGGTATCAGAAGAGGTTTTACTTTGTCGGGGCAAGCCTAATTCTGCTTGGGGAAGAGACTCTTAGGCTCCCTCATTTGGCCAACCAGATGTGTTGACTCTCTTAATCACCATACTGCCCTCTACTGCCTGTCTTATCTCTTTGAGAGAGGGACAGCACTATTTTCAGAATGAGTTTGCTAAGTTCACAGGTTTATTATTATTAGTAGTAGTATTATCATTATCATCATTATTATCATTTTCATTATTATTTTTTTCATCTCCATGTTTGTTCTCCCTGTGAATTGAGGACATTAACTTGTGGCTGAATTTGTCATTACTCAAATCATTTCTCCACAGGAAGAAATAGCCAGTTTGAAGGAAGACGAGAAGCCAAAAGGAGGATTGCCTTTCTTCCATTGGATTTGTCAGCCATATGTCAGACCTGGGTGAGTAGCTAAGCGTTAACCCAAAACAAAGCTTGTGCAATACATACAGCACACATTCTTCTACCCTAAGGATTATTTATGGTCTTTGAATTATAGCTTAGCAAACCACTGTTGCATTCTCTTACACCCTGCCTTGCAACAAAAAGGAGCAAGGTGAGGGGGGGTCATTGCAAATGCTTAGGCACTTTATTCCCTTTCCTTCTGAATACTTACCCTTTCCCTACAACATGTAGAGGATATGCATGCTTCCTTACTCTGGAAGCTCGCTTAAGATTTGAGGACTCCATACACACACAGCCCTTAGACTTCTAAGTTGTGTTACACAGGTTAAACATGTCTCGTTGCCTGGAGACAGACAGTCAGGTCATGCATCCATACTAGTGACCAGAGGAGGAATGACTGCTGGGAGGAGAGCAGAGAGAAGAAATGGCATGGTTCACCTGCAGCAGCACAACCGTACGCCTTCATCTGCCCCTGCTGCAACAAAACATGTCTCTCCCGTATCAGTCTCTCTAGCCACAGCAGGCGCTGTAACCTTCCAACAGTTTGAACTCGCCCTCAAAGACGCACTCCTCCATTGTCTCCCAAGACAGATGGATACCAACATCAATCACACATAGTCACGTTGCTTTATTATGCCTGGGTGCTAGGCAGTAATGTGCTGCAGCTATAAGATAAACAGACACTGTCATCTTTTTATTTACTAGAGCAGCACTGAAAACCCTTTATTTTAGCATCTTGAAGACCATAGACTCCTCAACCCAAATCTAAAGTCTTCGTTTACCATCTCTCTTGAAGAGGACTGGGCTGTGGAATGGGATGTTCCAATCTGTTGGAACTTTAGGTGCCTGATGAAATTACTGTTCCCAAGAATAGTTTGCATGATCTTATCTGGCTCTCTATGAGTGTTAGTTCCTACTTGCTTCCCCCAGTCAGCAACTAGCCATTTTATGATTGCGCATTCTTTCATAGCATAGCATTATCTTTGCTTTTTTTATTTTTAAGGTGCCCATGCCATATACAGACTTCTATAACCGTGGGGTTAGCAAAAAAACTAATGATTGGCTTTTGTTTTAAATGCTCTGGTGTTGAACCATCACAGGCCCAAGGAGGTGTGCAAGGAAAATGGCACTAGTGGCATGGAAGGAAGCACCCGGGGTAAACGAGCTTTGGAGGATGAGGATGATGGGAACTCGGACGGTCTCTCAAAGAACAAGCAAAAGAAGAAATTGAGAAATCCTAATAAAAGCTTTGATCCATCCTTAAAACGTAAGTCTACGGGGCTGCAATATTTAGCCTATGGGAAATGGATAGTAATCCCTTTGACCAACATAAGATGTGTTTCTGACTAATTGGGCAGCACATTTTATTTTCTTATTACCAGTTTCTTTTAATATAAGAATTTTAAAAAACTGCAAATTGCAAGTGCCATTTTAGAAGGGGCATTCCCTTCTTATTCAGGAGGTAATGCCTCCAAGTTTATTCCTTCTGAACACATGTGCATCCTCTGAAAACAGAGTGTGTTCTTTTAGGATTGGGAGGAACCCCAGAACAGATTTAGGAGGCAGCTGGAGGAGAGGAGGGCAAAATCCAGTTGCTCAGCATAAGTCGTTCTGTTTGTGCAAAGCACTACTTAATGCTGTGTTGAATACAACCCTTCGTTGTTGTTGTTGTTGTTGTTGAGCTTCTTCTCCTGTAGATTTTTTAAAAAATGATGTAAACATTGTCAATACCCAAGATGGAGAAAAATACTCTTCCTCTGCACATCAGCAGCAGTTCGAAATGACTAAAACTTTTTTTTAAAGTCTTTTTTCCTCCTTTCAGCTAAATATGCAAAGTGTGATCAGTGTGGAAACCCAAAGGTAGGTCTGTCTTCATTTGGTTTTCTCCTTCTAATTCTCCCTGTAATGTAATTCATACATTAATCATTAAATCCCTGGGTAAAATTACATGTACTAGAACCCTTCCTTGAGCAAAGGGCTCTGTCATAGTTAAAATGGCAAAAAAACAGCCCAGTGAGAAGTTTAAAGAACTAAGTAGTTTTAACTGCTTTACCCTATCTCTCCTGAAAGAGCATTCTTAGTAGTTGTTTTGTCAGTGGGTTCATACCTGTGTTGTCTCTTGCTGAATGAATATCCCTAATGGCTGATGGAGACAACTTACTTTACTGTGAGTTACGTACTGTAGGTGTTCATACAAGATCTGAAAGTACAGGTAGTGGTCCTATAATTTTTGTGTACACTTCTAGGAACATGCGTATGTTCCATGGAGTGATTTTATTACATCATTAATTTCTGTGTTTGGTTATTTAAATAAGGTAGCTGTTTAGAGTGTTAATCTATATGTGTTTAGCATTTTTTTCTTTTTTCTTTTTTTTGCATCCCAAATTGAAATTTTTTCCTTAAAATAATTCAGTTGAAGTGAAATCATGGAGAGGATCAGGCTTGGTTGGCAGCCTGTAGTGATCCAAGTAATATTGCAGGTTAATAGCCACTTGTGATTTTTGCTCTGCCTGTTCATTCATGCATCCTCAAGACACACACTTCTCACCATACACTTGCATATACACATGTACCCCTCACTCCTTACATTGTTACATACTTCTCGCCTTTACACACACGGCTCACATTCCATACATGCCCAGGATCTCCCACAGTGGTGTACTGCTGACCTTAGTCACTCGCGTTCCTCTGTATATTTGCGTATTCCTCTATAAGGTTTTCTCCTCCTCCGTGTACACGTATAATGATGATCCCTTCCTTGCATACAGATAAACTCACCGGCCTTTTTCATTGTTGGTGTGTCCTCTTTGTCCCTTTCCTAGAGGTTTGGAGGTGTGCCAGAAGGGATCAAGGAGAGATAGGAAACAACCTAGAAAACATGCTGCTGATATGTGGTTTTCTCAACCTATATGACCAGGCTGTGCTTCTAAAGGTTTCAGAAGGGCCTGGACAGTATTTAAGCAGTTTAAATGGATTACTTGCAGCTCATGCACACACCTCATTTAAGTCCCATAAAGCCAGCCTTGTCCTCTTTAATAGGGCACACAACACATGCAACTTGGGGTTGGGTCCTTTTTTCTTACGAAAGGGAAAATCTATTACCAAAAAATATTCTGAGAAACCTTTGGGGTTTGAAATGCCTTTCATACCCCAAATCAACCCTGACAAAGCACTTTATCTACAATGCCACATGTTCACTGGCAACTTGGGATGAATATGTAAACTTTGAGCTAATTAGTTTGTCTCTCTTCCCAGGGTAACAAATGTGTATTTAATCTGTGCCGAGGCTGCTGTAAGAAAAGGGCTTTTAGAGAGACAGCAGATTGTCCAGGTAAGCGAAACCCAGTTCAGTTTTCCAGAATACTAGAGCATTTTTAAAAAAATAACAGAGTATAGATTTCAAATCCTGACTGATTTGGTTTTTAAGTAAAAGCAGCATACTTATTGATGTTGTGCTGGCACTTGTGAATTAACCAAATAAATGTAAGGAATGGGGTTTTCTTGAGCTGCTTTTTAAAATGTTCATAATAGCTAGCTGAGCATTGATTGTTTAAGTCAAGTTATGGTGAACCATTGAAACATTACATTTCCTCTTTTCCATAGACCTTGGCCACTTTTGACATAGGCCCGTCTCTCACTGATTACCCCTGAGGAAAGGCATTCCTTGATGGAAAAATGGGTTTCCTCAACCCTGTGTTAAAGCCTAAGCCAAGGACTGATGCCTATGGGACCATTGTGCCAGCAAAGGTCTTATTTGGTGCCCCTGGGATGAATCATAATCCCCAGATTCCCAGCTTTCATTTTTTTAAAGAAAGTCTCTAGCATTTTTAGAACTTGTGATATGATACAAAATGTGAACACACCATTCTTCTCAATTTCTTTTGTTAGAAATTAGCCTTCTGGACCTTTTCAGTGTTTTACTTTGCTTCCTTCTCCCCATGTCTGAGAGAATAATTCCTATGGACACCCATGTATGGGAGAGAGGGGAGATGTATGGGAGAGCGGGAGGGAGGAGAGTTTATGTAAGAGAGAGCGAGAGCGAGGAGAGCTATGAATGTGATATCTCTCTCTCTGTGTGTGTGTGTGTGTGTGTGTGTGAGAGAGAGAGAGAGAGAGAGAGAGGTATACATGAAGTGTGTGTATATGAATGAGTGAGAGAAAAAGTATGTGTGTGTCTGAGTCCACATGCATGAGGTATATGTGTGTATGTGCACATGAGAGTAGTATACATGGTAATGGGGAAAGCTCCCTGCTATTCTTAGATAGGAACAGCATGGGGGGGGTGAGAGAGAGATCAATACAGTGGTACCTCGGGTTAAGTACTTAATTTGTTCCAGAGGTCTGTTCTTAACCTGAAACTGTTCTTAACCTGAAGCACCACTTTAGCTAATGGGGCCTCCTGCTGCTGTCGCGCCGCCGGAGCACGATTTCTGTTCTCATCCTAAAGCAAAGTTCTTAACATGAAGCACTATTTCTGGGTTAGCGGAGTCTGTAACCTGAAGCGTATGTAACCTGAAGCGTATGTAACCCGAAGTACCACTGTATACAATCAGAACCAGCAGAAGGTAGCTGACTTCCTATGGTAAACCTGAGGTCGTCCAGGGAGCAGGGAAGCAGCAGTCACTGTACTCTCCTTAATTTTGTGTTATGACATCCCCCATCCCATCCCACCCACACCATGGCAGCCATTTTATGACTGGTGTTGCATAGCATTTTCCCAAAATCAAACATGTGCCCGCTGGCCCAAAAAGGTTGGCGATTCCTTTTCTAAGCTATAACTTTATTCCACTTTTTTAAAAAAAAAGTCATTGGCTGATGGCAATTATGTAATATCACTTGATACAGGTTGGAAGATTTTTATTTTTTTTAGTTCTCTGCTTAACCCCTCATTCTCTTAAAGAGTGTTTCTTTCTCTAATGGCTCCACTTTAGCTGCTAATTAACCCAGGCACATTTACCATTTCCCTCCCCCCCCCCCCCTGCAGGTCATGGTCTGCTTTTTAAAACCAAATATGAGAAGTCCCTTTCATGGAAGAATGGCCAGTCCAGTCTGGAGAATATTGAAGTGACAGCACAGAAAGGAGAGGTGGAGGAGACTATATTGCTCAAAGAAGCTATTGATGGTGTAGCGTGAGGCATGGAGACTCCTCCTGGTTGTGCTTCCCAGCCTCTTGTCTCCTCGGGCCAAAGAAATAATCTGCTTCCAGAACACAACAGTTGACTCCACAGACCTGTTCTTAAACGACAGACAAGTCTTACCTAAGGAAAAATGTCTTTCTCAGGGAAATATCCTGTAATGGAAATAAAAGGATGCAACGAAAGCTTTTCATCCTGTGTTCGAAAGACTTCAAAGACTGAGCCAGGAGGGCTGGCCTTAAAATGCTGCATTGGAGACACCTCTACAGATTTGACCTGCCTGTTTTTAAACTGTGTGTGGTTTTAAAATTGGCAAATAAAACTTTTATATCAGAACGTATTTTTGGCACATCATAAGTAAATTGGTGTGGATGTGGGCCAGCCCTAGGCACAGAACAATAGCAAGTCATCAGCTGTTAAAGGGCACTGAGAAACTTGGGGAGAGCTGCTTCAAGGTTCCTAAATGGAAGGCACACCTATGTAGTAATTGTTTTTTTTTTTTTTATAAGATATTTATTGGTTTTACAAGAAAAAATTCCAAAAAATACAGAATTACAAAAATTCAACAAACAAAAAACAACAATAACCATGACAAAAAACAAACAGAAATGACAATATCCATAACAAGAAAGGAAGAAAAAAAAAAAAGAAAACAAAGAAAAAGAAACAGAAAAGTTTAAAAGATATTTATACTTTCATTTAGCCTTCTTATCTTTACCTAGTTCTTTGACTTCCCCGCATCTCCCCGCTTGCACTGCCATGTCAAAACTCCTTTCAGCAAATCCTTACCCTCCTTTCATTATCTTAACTCAAAAACTTAATCTATTTATATATAAATATTTTTACAACCTTATCCATCAAATATTCCATACTCTTAATCACAAAGCTTTTGCCAATACCAGTTATTTTCAATCAGACTTCAATTTAACATTCATTAATTTTATAGTATTTCTGTAGATAGACTTTGAATTTCTTCCAATCTTCTTCCACCGACTCTTCTCCCTGGTCACGGATTCTGCCAGTCATCTCCGCCAGTTCCATATATTCGATTACCTTCATCTGCCATTCTTCCAGAGTGGGTAAATCTTGTGTCTTCCAATACTTTGCGATGAGTATTCTTGCTGCTGCTGTTGCATACATAAAAAAGTTCTGTCTTTCTTTAGCACCAATTGGCCAACAATGCCCAAGAGAAAGGCTTCTGGTTTCTTTAGAAAGGTATACTTAAATACCTTTTTTAACTCATTATATATCCTTTCCCAGAAGGCCTTAATCTTTGGGCACGTCCACCAAATGTGAAAGAATGTACCTTCAGTTTCCTTACATTTCCAACACTTATTATCGGGCAAATGGTAGATTTTTGCAAGCTTGACTGGAGTCATGTACCACCTGTACACCATTTTCATAATATTCTCTTTTAAAGCATTACATGCTGTGAACTTCATACCTGTGGTCCATAACCGTTCCCAGTCAGCAAACATAATATTATGTCCAATATCCTGTGCCCATTTAATCATAGCAGATTTTACCGTTTCATCCTGAGTATTCCATTTTAGCAGCAAGTTATACATTCTTGAAAGTGTTTTAGTTTTGGAATCTAGCAGTTCTGTTTCCAACTTTGATTTTTCCACCTGGAAGCCAATTTTTCTATCCAAATTATAGACCTCTCTTATTTGGTAATAATGCAACCAGTCTCGCACTCTATCTTTTAATTTTTCAAAACTCTGCAGTTTGAATTTGTCTCCTTCTTGTTCCAAGATCTCCCAATATTTTGGCCATTTGGCCTCCATATTGGACTTTTAGGGCCTTTGCCTCCATTGGTGATAGCCACCTTGGGGTTTTATTCTCCAATAAGTCTTTGTATCTTATCCAGACATTGAACAATGCTTTCCTGACAATATGGTTTTTAAACATTTTGTGAGCTTTAACCTTGTCATACCACAGATATGCATGCCACCCAAACACATTATTGAAACCTTCTAAGTCCAATACATCAGTATTTTCCAGAAGTAGCCAATCCTTCAACCAGCAGAAAGCTGCTGATTCATAATAAAGTTTAAAGTCTGGCAGGGCAAATCCCCTCTTTCTTTAGCATCAGTCAATATTTTAAATTTTATCCTAGGCCTCTTGCCCTGCCAGACAAACTTAGAAATATCTCTCTGCCACTTCTTAAAACAGTCCATTTTGTCTATTATTTGTATCGATTGAAACAAAAACAACATTCTTGGCAATACATTCATCTTGATGACAGCAATTCGCCCTAACAAGGAAAGCTTCAAATTTGTCCAAGCACACCTATGTAGTAATTGATTAAAAAAACACCTGCCTCTTGGATTGTAGCTTGCTATGCTTGTACTTAGTGCATAAAAAGTGTGTGCCCCTGTGTTGGGATGCAGCAAATGATCCTATGAATGGTAAATGTTTTACACTAGTTTTGAATACGTATAAAACCCTGAATCTGTACACTTATAAGATGCACCAGTTAGCACAAATTTATGTCTAGGTCCAAAGTAGGTCTTTCTAACGGCAGGCACAGAATACAACTCCTGTGGTAGCCTTGGAACAGGAGAATATGAAATGTAAAATTGTTTCATAATTGATGTACCGGGGTAAAAGAAATTTAGAACAGAGAGAAATCAGGGATAGTGGCATCAAGCGGATGTGCTCGAACCACCAACCTTCTGGTTAACAGCCAGATGCACTGATCCATTGCACCACAGGTGCACTGCGGCTCCTTTTGACCGTCTAAAAAGGCAGGCTGCAGTAATAAGTGCTCTTTGGGCTTCAAGGCAATCCTTGTCAGTTCATGGTTGGATGTTCTTCCAAGTCTTTTACTAAGAGTGGGAATGTTTTTGCCTCTCCTTCCCTTTTTTCTTTTTCTTAGCAAAAGCTGTCCAGAGTCACATTGCAGGTGGCGCTGTGGTTGCAGGTGGCGCTGTGGTTGCAGGTGGCGCTGTGGTCTAAGCCACCGAGCCTCTTGGGCTTGCCGATCTGGTCAGCGGTTTGAATCCCCGCAATGGGGTGAGCTCCCGTTGCTCTGTCCCAGCTGCTGCCAACCTAGCAGTTTGAAAGCATGCCAGTGCAAGTAGATAAATAGATACCACTGCGGTGGGAAGGTAAACGGTGTTTCCGGGCACTCTGGCTTCTGTCAGTCACAGTGTTCAGTTGCACCAGAAGCGGTTTAGTCCTGGAAAGCAGTCTGTGGATAAACACCGGCTCTTTGGGCCTGAAGCAAGATGAGTTCTGCAGCCCCATAGTCATCTTTGCCTGGACTTAAGCGACCAGGGGTCCTTTACCTTTATTGATCAAGTTAATATTGTCAGCTCCAAACTTCTTAAGAAATATTGTGGTATTTGCCAATTGAGCTGAACATGCCCTTAGGCTATTTAGCTGATTCTCAGTACAGGTTCCCTCTTAATGGCTGTGATTCCCTGTATTTGTTCTTTGGAGGCATCTCAAGTATATTTTATGATGGTTCACCCCCTTGAGCTGCACTAGGTATCCCTCCTCCCCGATAATGAAACTGCTTCCTTCTAAAGAAGAGTTTGGAGTTTGGATTTGATATCCTGCTTTATCACTACCCGAAGGAGTCTCAAAGCGGCTAACATTCTCCTTTCCCTTCCTCCCCCACAACAAACACTCTGTGAGATGAGTGGGGCTGAGAGACTTCAAAGAAGTGTGACTGGCCCAAGGTCACCCAGCAGCTGCATGTGGAGGAGCAGAGACGTGAACCCGGTTCCCCAGATTAGAGTCTACTGCTCTTAACCACTACACCACACTGAGCAGCATACTGGGTATGATGGTACTTTTAAAGATGAGCAGCAATCTCCACGTTTGCTGAGTACCAGGGAGTTTCTCATACTATTCAAGATCTATGGAATACAATCTAATGAATGAGTAACTGTCCTTTTCTTTCCCCATCTTCCTTGGTGTAAAGGGATATTTGCAGTGTTACTTTGTTGTATTAAAATACTAGGACTGATCTCAGTGGAAGCTTGTTGCTTGACTTCAGAAAGCCGGTGTTAGCGTTGGAGTTAAAAGATTTACAGCTGGTGTGGGCTGCTTGTCATCAAAAGAGGTCAGCTCATCTGAAGTAGCTCCTGTGTGGAGGTGAGCCAAAATTCCTGCCTCCTTAATTGTTATGTCGTGTCCTCTTAGAGAAGTACTTAATCCCTCTTAACAATAGGGTGATTTTAGTAAGCTGTTGGAAAATTGACACAGTCAGAAAAGTTGCACAGGCAGTAAAACTTAACCAGTTTGTAACTAAGCTAACAGTTCATAAATTATTGGTAGAGCAACGTAAGAGAGAGGCTTGTGAGAGCCATGCAGCTGAGCTGGAGCAAGCAGCTTAGATTTCTTCACAAACTGAGCTTCTCAGGTAGACTGAGAAGCTACACCAATAGGCTTGATTACCTATTTCCTCCCAAAGTGAGTTGACGTGGCATAGTTAAGCCTGGCAGGAGAGCTTACTCTGTGGTACTAACCCCTTCATGCATTAATTTGACTTAAGCATGTAAGTTATATGAGGCTTGTTATCCTACATGTTGGAACTGTTTTTAGTTGTTTTTAGTTTGTGTGTTTGACACTCTGGGCTGTTCTTGAAGAACGGGTAAATAAGTAACCACATACATACATAGGCACAAAAACCAATAGTCAGGCAGCTGTCTGCCTTAATCGAGCCTCAGTATGCCTTTGGCAAGTTCCCCTCATCTCATACAACCAGCAAATTGGGTGCATTTGAAAATGAAAACAGCTTACAATGTAGGGGTGCATATACTTCCCACCACCACCACCACCACCACCCAATGGCTTTGATAAGGTGGGGAAATGTTAAATACTCTCGCTATTTTTATTTATTAAGATTCTAAAGCAGCTGATTGCAGCATCCCAATTCTCCCTTGTGGATGCAAAATAAACTCAATTTTGAAAAATGCCAGGCTCAGCTTTCTTCAGAGCAGTGACTTACATCTTAATAAATAACAAGGGGGACCATTTATGAATTAGTGTTTATTGTGCAAGAAAAATATAAGCCACCTGTCACCTATATCCCACATGCCTGCACCTATGTTAATTTTGATGTTTGCTTTCAGCCTTAAGGGACTGTAGCTATTGCTCTGGTGACTGCGACATTTGTTCATTGTCCTTTATAGGGTGAATAGTCATACGACTTGGGTGTTACAGGGCAGGCATTGCATGTGGGCAGGGGAGTATGTTTATCAGTTTCTGGGTACATCAGGTACTCTTTAAAGAAGCACCCCTTCTTTCCAAACACAGTTGCATCATGACCTACAGTATGTGTTTAGGGTTACATACTGCAGTATAATTTTCCCTGATGCAGAACCAGGAGCCGCAAAACGCAACCCTGGGAACATTGTTTCTGCTTTGTGGACTAAACATTTTAGTCCTCAGCTCCATTTTTAATTTTTCCCCACAGTGGAAGTGAAGAGAGAAATAATGAAGCCACATACAGAGTTAGGTGAACAAACAGGCCGCAGTGTTCTTGACCACAATTCTGGTTGCATTGGCACACAAGTACAGTGATTAACTCTCCAGCTAAGGGGTCTTGCCCAAGTGCAGGGAGGCAACTACTGAAGAAATAATGCCAGCAGAGGCTGGAAGCAGTTGGGTTCCCATACCTTTGACCATCTCACCAAAGGTGAGGCAGAAGTTTATTTCAGTTGCAAAACAGGTTTAGGATTGTATGTTAAGCAGACACTCCTAAGAGTTACTGCAGGGTGATCCAACCTACTCACTCCAAAAACCAAGTCTCTACCCACAGCAAAGCATTGTGGGATGAACCATACCAAAGGAAGGTCAAAGTGCCTCAGCAAACCTAGCCTCAGAGCCAAGCCTCATTCAAAGTTCATAGTGTACTTTGCACATGATATTGAAGCCATCTTGCTCACATAGATCATGAACATGTAGCTACATCACCAGCACGCCTGGGTGCCCCAATTTCACAAACTCCAAAGCCACAAATAGGCAAGGTTTCTCCCAGCCCATGCCTCTCCCATCAAATAACATGATGTGTACTAATTCTCCATCGCTGGGCTGCAAGTAGGGCTGGTTCCAGGGAGATTGCAGCTCCAATTTTGCAACAGTGTAATTGATTATTGATCTGTTTTCAGGCGCAGCTCAGAAATTTATTACTTACAAAGCCCTACATGAATTGGGACAAAGTTTTCCAAGAGACCAGATTTTCTATAAGGTTTTTTTGGGACACCTTTTTGTCCTACCAAAATTTTGAAGCATGTCTGGCAAGAGCTTACTCAAGAGATGGCCTTCCTTCTATGTGGTTGCTCCAGGGCTCAGACTCCAATTGCCTGGGGAAGCCTGTCCAGCCCCATTTCCGATGTCCTTTTGCTGTTAGTCAGTGTCTTTATTCAGGTGGGCCTTTGGCCTCATAAATTTATGTATTATGGCCATTGTAAAACTGGCTGCTATAAGTTCACACTGGGTATTGATTTGATTGCTGTGTTTTACCAGCCTAATTTTTATGTTAGTTTGATTTCTGTGGGTACTGATGGGTAGGGATTGCATACCCAGTCCTTAACCACACCAGGACAATTTCCTCTGTAAGTGATATATTTGACAACCAAGTACTAGTTTCAATTTAAGTTGCCTCTAGATGGTCTAGTCTTCCCACAGCCCTTGGCAACCTGGATTTCAAAACAGAGGTTGGGATAAAGTCACTTGATGGAACTTTAGCGTGCTTTAAAAGTAGGGCCATGTTGTCAGCCTGCTGATCTTCTGAGAGGAACATTGGCTGAAAGGACTACGGAAGCTAGAATAAATAGGATACCTAAAACAGGCGAAGCTATATGCTATTTCCATAAACAATTAATATCAGCTAATTAAATGCTTCCTGTAAATATTAATTTGTTTCCTAAATAAGTGAAGACTGTAAACTGGACCAATGAAATTTAAATTAAAAATCACTTAGCTCTTTTAGTTTACAGTGGTACCTCGGGTTAAGTACTTAATTCGTTCCGGAGGTCCGTACTTAACCTGAAACTGTTCTTAACCTGAAGCACCACTTTAGCTAATGGGGCCTCCTGCTGCCGCCATGCCGCTAGAGCCCGACTTCTGTTCTTATCCTGAAGCAAAGTTCTTAACCTGAAGCACTATTTCTGGGTTAGTGGAGTCTGTAACCTGAAGCGTATGTAACCCGAGGTACCACCGGAATGGAACTTTAAAAAAAGATTCTTTGTGGGATTCCCCCCCCCCACCCCTATTTCCTCCCTGCTGTTTATTAAATGGTGACTCTTATCTTTTTCTGTTGCCCCTATCAGGCAAGTGAAGGCTGTTTTCAAGTGCTTTAGGCAACAATGTAAGTTGTTATGTAGTAATTTTTGTCACGTTACCCATTTACTTAGGCAGCCTCATGTTCTGACAACAGTGGTGTAGTCATTCACCACTGTGGCTACAGTCCCTCACAGACTGCTACATTACATAATGTGGGACCCAGAGAGAAATGACTAAACACTGTAGTGTTCTGATGCTATAGTCTTCTGCACACTTAGCCTGAATTTATTTGGATTTTCAGGTATCTTAGGCTGTTAATGAGGCTGTATCTTATTGTGATCACTTAGTATAGTAAACAATGCAAGGTACACTTGAATGCTGTCAACACAACCCCAATGTAATAGAAGGCCTAAATGCACATTCTTTCCAATACAAGGCCAGAGCTTGAAATGTTTGGTGTCATTCAAATTGAAGATCATTGTTGTTTTTATTGCAGTTTGCTGTGGGGACCATAGTGGGCTAAAGATGAGGATAGCAATAAAAAAGTCGGAAAAACAAGTTTCCGGAAGGTCTGGCATCTTAATTCTGAGCTCTCTTATATTTGCTAATAATTCTGCCTTTAAGCAGCATTGGGCAGAGGTCACCACATTAAAAAACTGAACCTATCCTGCAGAAGGCTTCTAAAGCCGCCAGAGAAAACAGCAGTTACACAAGTGTTTCTATTACTCTTCCTCTTTTACTTGCCATCTGAGACGTAGCACACTGTCTGTAGAAGATAATGGAGAATTCTAGCCTCTCGCCTTTAGGTTTCGCCACACACTGCCATGTTTTGAAATAGAAGCTGGTTGACACATCCTTTTGAAACAACCACAGAGGCATTTTTTCTAGTTATCATCCCTGCAAGGACTTGATAATGTGATGCCAAGAAGTGTTAAGCAGGGCTAGCCCATGACATTCTGGTATTTGAGGCAAAGCAACAAATGGTGTTCTCTCCCTTGCCCAATGCTGCAAAAAATAGTGTCAAGGTGCATAGTGCCAAAAGTAAATTATTTTGGCACTTGAGGCAAAAAAATCCCACCTGAGCTGTGTCTGGGTGGGATAATTTCTGGGGGAGGGGGAGAAAGAGAGAAGCAGGACCAAAGCTTTCTTAAACTCCTTTTGTCTCACACTTAAGAGCATATGCAAGAAACAAAAACCAATGGAAGAAATACAGGCCATGTAAATAGATGTCGTGCTACTGATTCTCTTTCATGATGCTTTTATATGGGAATGACTTAGTCTTCCTAATGCCTGGTCAAGTGCTGGACAAAAGGACTCCAGAGTGTGTTTCTAATTCCAAACCTTGTTCAGAAAAATATGTGTTCAACACCATTTGAAAGAGCTGTTTTTTTAGATCACAGTAGTTTCTAAAATAGCGTACTACAGTAAGCTATTTTAGCTTACTGTATGTAAGCTATGTATGAGGGGGCTATGTATGTCTACACTATGTATGAGGGGGTTACTTTCCAGGGATCACACCTAATACAGCTGTTGTTTCCACGGATCCTGTGCTAGGGTATTGTCTTGTTTCCAGGTTTAGGAAAGAAAAAGAGGAGAAGGGAAAAAAGAACCAATGCTCCAATCTGCACTTTATCTTTACAATTATGCTTTTTAATGCATAGGAGAGAACTTTGATTTAAACTAAACAGCATTAACAGTGTCTGTAGAAAGTTGAGTTGTCAAGGGCTAGGTTCAAATTTGTAACTTTTGTCCTTGGGATAAACACCAACGAATGAACCCCAAACGGAAGTCACTGTGGAATATTCAAACATTTAAACAATGCTCATTAAGAGAAGACAGTCCCGAGTCTGGCCTGTGACCCACAACCCTTTTCTGTAAGGGATAAATAAAAAGTGGTGTCAGGAGTGCCGACACCCGGGCAAGCAGGTTCCTGCCTAGACGCAGATGGATGTACTTTAATGTCATTTTACTCTCTCTATTGGCGCCCCCAAAGGCTAGAAAGCCACCATACACTACAGCAGTAAAATTGGGTGACGAACATTGAAAACCACAGTCAAAACCAGGCCAGGGATGTGAGAACAAACCAGAGCGCACACTTTTTAAAACGGGAAGAACAGATTGAAATGGAGCCGACCCAGGGTAAATAAAACACAAGCCTTGGAGAGTGAGGGATGGAGCTGACGCTAGGTTTCCTGCTGGATGTTGCCCCAGGGGGACTCTCCGGGTCTGAGACGTGTCGGTGTGAATGAAGTTCTATAGGAACGCATTTGTTCCTCCAGATTCAGGCTACATATCATTTACGGAAAGGAAACCCCAGAAAGCTCTGTTGGCAGCTTAAGATAAGCCCCTGTTTGTGAAATACCCTGGGGGAAGGAGAAGGTGCACCCCGGCACTCTCACATGCTCGCGTATTCTCGACGTGCTGCATCTAATGGAAGTTTCTGTTCTAAGAGGAATTATCAGACTCTAAAGGCAGACTCCCCTGACAGTCCTGCCCCTCCCACACCTAGAGAGTCCGAAAAGGCACCAAGGAACAGTTGGTGGCTTGGATGCTGGATACACATGGCCCTGGGTGTGCGGGGGAAGGAAGAGTCTCTTGGAGATTCAGAGAGCTTCACATGTTGGTGCTCATCCGGGACTGGCTGTTTGCTGGAGTGAGTTCACCTTGGCTTCCTTCTCTCGGAGGAGACTGCAAGAAAAAGAGAGAGAGAGGCTGCAGGCCCAGGAAGCGATGAGACGGGAAGACACCTTCTCTCCCCAACCCACAAGGGTCCATGGTTGCAGGCAAGTGGAGGAAAACCCCAGACCGGGGCCAAATGAGCAGCAACTACCTTCCCCCAAAACATCAGAATGGTTAGAGGGGGGATTATTCCCTGTATCCAGTTATTCCAATGAGTTGTCCTTTGAGGAAAGGGCTTCCTACCTCAGCAGTGAGCTGCAGGAATTGGTGGTTAAATATGGAAAAGTTTATAGACTTTTCATCTTGGGAGAAAATAACAGGAGATTAGCAATCCAGGCCTTGCACATCTCACATTCTGGTTGGTCCCATGATAAACTGTGGTCAAACTGAATGACCCTTGGCACTTCATCACCCTGAAGAGGAGCATGGGACGAACGCCTTGTCTCGCGGCAAGATGAGCTTTCCCCTTGTAAACCAGCCAACAACACTCTGCATTTTGACTACGCTCAGTTTGCTGTTAAAACATCTTGAGGCTCCCCAACCCTGTTTAAGGTTTCCCATTCCTGCCTTAAATATTGCAGCTACTGCATGAACTGTCATTTTGCACTGAAGCAAATTTATTTATTTTTAGTCTTATACATTTATTTTTTAAGGGGGATAGATTATATCCAATGCTCTGCGCATTTGGTTGTGCTGGCACAACGGGACTTCTGTTTCCCCTCGCCCTCCTAGTGGGGTAGGGGAGCTGGAAAAAAAATAACCTCTGGCAACCAATGTGCCCCTTTGGTTTTGGATACTACATGGGTAGTCAAGTCTAAAAAGCCTCCAATTTCCACGGCCCTCTAGCAGCTATGGTGGCTCATTTACCAGAAGCAATGTATTTAATGTTGACTCTGGAAGTGTATACTTGATTCTGACTAAACTGACTCCTCTACCCATGTACTACCTGAAACCAAAGAGGTGCATGTGAAAAATATTGGTATTATTTTCAGCTCTACTCCCCCACAATCCAAAATACCCCAAAAATGTGCTCTGGAAGGTTCCCCAAATCTTGTCTCTTGAGGGCACACGAGAGACTGGACAGAAGAGAAAGAAGAGGTTCCACAGCATTCGCAGAGTTTTGTTACGGCAGCAGAGTTGGAGAATTGGATACTGCTGTCAGTTTGCATTTCTTGGTACAGAAAGTATTGATTTGATATGTAGAGATCTTTCCTATTCTAATTACCGTATTTTTGGCTCTATAGGACTTAACTTTTCCCTCCTAAAAAGTAAAGGGAAATGTGTGTGAGTCTTATGGAGTGAATGCAGGCTGCGCAGCTATCCCAGAAGCCAGAACAGCAAGAGGGATTGCTGCTTTCACTGCGCAGCGATCCCTCTTGCTGTTCTGGCTTCTGAGATTCAGAATATTTTTTTTCTTGTTTTCCTCCTCCAAAAACTAGGTGCGTCTTGTGGTCTGGTGCGCCTTATAGAGCGAAAAATACGGGAATTCAAGAGGGTTCTGAAAGCTTCTCTCTGTGAAAGAAACTGGTGCAAGCTGGAAGTTTCTAGCTGACACACAAAGTTTCTATTCTGCCTAGAAACAAGCAGAAGGTTCATGATGTTTGGGTTATTCCTTCAGAGAAGCCGAGTACAGCTGGCTTAAACTGGTTCTGTCATCTCTTTCTGTCAAGGTCATGCTGACTATAATAATAGGGCCAGAAGGAGCCTGGATTTCACTCTCTATCTCTCTTTCCTTCTGGTGTGGTGTTCTGTTTATAGTATGCTTAGTGTTATAAGTTATTCTAAGTTTAAGTTGTTTGCTGCAACTGGATTTCTTATGGACAGTGCCAATCCTGAATGTATTGGATTTATGCCCATTATGTTCATTTGCCTTCAGTAGCAGTAAAGCTCTGCTGGATGAAATATTAATTGCCTCTGGTCTATATTTTTCAGAATCCTGCAATGTGTTTAAGTTTTGACTCTGCTAACTATATGTTGGAATCTGCTCTGGATCAATATGAGTAGAATTCATGAAAACTGCCCCCCCCCATGTTTACCTTAGTTGCTTGTAAATAGCTACATTTATAAGGTAAAGCTATTCAGGGCATGTAAGAGAAAAGCTGGCTCAAATGGTATGTATCAGCTTGACCCCAATGCTTCTGACTTATATTCACACACAAAACTCTGCCAGAGCGCCCAGTACGTTTAGAAGTAGCAAGCCCCTGCCCAGAATTTAGAGCCTCTTTATTTATTAAATATTTATATGCCGCTAGGTCTGCAATTTACAGCAATGAAACATTAAAAAGTTAACCCTTTGCTGACCTTCACATGGATCTGGTTACGCAGGACAGCTGCTCGTAGGATCATAGCTTTGGCGCGACGCTGAAACTCCTTCCCCATCAGCAAGGACTTCTCAAAGGTAGTACTACGTTGATCGACATCCCGTGCATATAAAATCTACAAAAAAACCAGGAAAGTTGAAGGGCTCACAGCACCCTTTAGGACAGCAGCCACCCAAGCCCCTGATGCTCACTGGAGGGACAGTGTCTGATTTGCTGGAAACAAGGACTCTGTGAAGTTGCCTTTGTGGAAGAGAGTTTAAAATGAAAAGAGTGGCAGTTTCTAGCATTCAAAAATGAAACAACATGCCTGACGGAGGCTCAGAAGCCAGAATGGAACTGAGGGAGGAGTTCCAGGGACAAGGAGGTATGGCTTGCGCATCTGGGAGAACTCCCTTTCCTCTCCATTGTTTATAACCCCCCCAACTAAATCCTCTTTGATAAAAAAAACAGCCTTCTGCAATTCCTGTACTAGCCTAAATATCATGAAAACTTTTGTGCATTTAGGATTTTAACCAACCAGGCCTTTTTTAGCACCCAGTTTGGGCTTTAATGTGGCACTGGCTTATTTTTAAATTGGTTTACAGCGAAAGAAATGCATGGAGCATTCAGAGTGATCATCGTGCTATGGCAAAAGTCCCATCTATGCAAGTGTTGCAGCTTGCCAGATAGAACAACGCCCCCAATCCCCTCTTCCAGAGGTTGTCCCAATTCCCCCCACCAGCCAATATCAAGGGGAGGGGGAAGCCTCATTGTGCAAGCAGAAGCCCTTATGCAGGCCTTGCATTGGTAATTCCCCCCTCAGGGTTTTATCACTACCAAGCCATTAGCTTTCAGCAGCAGCAGTCAGGGAGGTTTAGTTTGGATGTGACTGGTACTCACTTTGCTGTGAGAGTCTATTCTGGCATTAATCAATCCTTCTAGAATCAGCTGAGTGAGCTCGTCCTCCAAAGCTGCCACCGTGGTGTTGAAGGCCGTGGCCATCTTCCGCATGTCTGCTGACACATAGGGGCTGAAATACTGAGAATGAGAAAGGAGCAGAGAATGAAAATGTCCATTAATGGCCCTCTATGCTAGGACAAAGGTTAGGACAAAAGGAGAGCAGTTATTAGGATGGCAATTACCTGGATGAGGGCGCGGTTTCGAATCTGCGTATAAAGTGTTCTCACGTGAGGTGCCAGGTACATATCCAGCAGCAGATTATCCTGTGCAGAATTGAGTATGTTAGGAAGAGTTGACACATAAAGCTCTCCCCAACCCTTCACCCCCGACACAGCAAGAGACATGTATTTGTGGAGTCAGCAAACTACAAATGAAAAATAATAATCAGGTCTAGCTATCAAAGGCTACAAAGGCATTGTCAGATGCACCTCATAGCCTGAGTGGTGGCTATAGCAATATTTCACATCCAACAAAAGATGCACAACATTTGTAGTGACTGCTATTAACCTAGAGAAAACTGAACCCAGCTAGTACTGAGGAGAGAGAGGAATTCTGCCCTCTCTATTTTGACCATTTCCAAACAAGCAACAGTCTTCACAAAACAGCTAAAGAGAGTAGGGAGATGATAAATAAGCAGTGGATACATTTATTTTATGTAACTGCTTTCACCATCAGGGCAGTGTAATTTCAGACCAGCAACTAAAGCTACATATGCAAGCAGAGCCTTTTCCTCAAGCGACATTTGTCCCCCCCCCCCTTTTCTTTATTTAGACACGGAAAAGATCTCTCTATGAATGCACATATTTACACACATAGCTTTAAATATTCCTGTGTTTTATTTTGCTGCCGGTCTGAGCTTAGCAGATGCAGGTAGTTTGCAATAAAGCTACTTGGAGAGGCTAACCTATTGGGCTCAGTTCAGACATAATGCCAAACCATGGTTTTGGCACTAGGGGACAAGCCTGGAAGGCACGTTGGACTCCTTTTAATTAATCAGTTCTTCCTGGTTTGAGGAAACCATAGCTTGCCATTACATCTGTCACTATTGTTTGCACTTGGTCTGCATCGTGCGCTGGTATGGATGTAATGTCAAGCTACGGTTTGCCTCAAACCAGGAATAACTTATTAAGTGGAACACACCATGGAAGGAGGGCGTGCACGAGCCCAATGCTCATTCATGTTGCACAAAGCCATGTTTTGCCACCTTGTTTCCGTCCCTCCCTCTGCCTCTCACTGCCTCATTTTCAGTGCCTTCATTTGGTGCCTGTATACTAGGAATAAGTATGCCTGCCAGGAAAGGGCCATCAAGGGCTCACCAATATAAATACTGCTGCTGCAGCCCCTTCTCAAATCACACAGAGGCTAAGCAATACATGTTACTGTACATCATTTCCTATCTGTAATAACGGTAATATTTTTTTGAATATACACTTCTACACAACTTTGTTACTAGGTTCAGAAATGTTTATCTGAGTGTTTATGGTTGTTTTATTTTTATTTTTAACCAAACTGTTGCATGCCATATGCTCCAAAGGAAACAAAGATACATCTCAATGCAACCATGTTAAGCAGTTTAAAGATGAAAATGAATAAAAACTATGCTGCAAAAAAACAAAGAAACCCAGGAACACACAGAGAGAGCTCAGCTCTCTAGGACTCACCTTCATCTCGTCCAGCATCTTGAGACATGAGGCGTATTTGGATTCGTAGAACTTGAAGATGATGTCCCGCACCTGTGGCTCCAGCTCTAAGAAGAGTTTGAAGGAGCTGCAGATACAGTGGGTCAGAGCACAAAGTCATCCACTTCCCACACCCTTTTAAAAAGAGGCTAGGATCCCTCTCCCCTATAAGAATGGCACATGTTGGTTTCTATGGTGATTGTGCAAAAAAGGTTGAAAAAGAATGAGTCAATAAACCGATAGGCCATCTATCGGGCTGATGGGCATTGCAGTCCAAAACTTCCCCTCAGGTTAGGGAAGGCCGCAATAGGTTCCTCTGCATCTCGGGAGATGTGGTCCCTAGTTATGGGGAGGCATGTCTGCCCAGAACTCAGCCTTGCTTTAATTTGAAAAGAAGTCACAGGATGGATATTGGGAGTAGAGGACTGGTGGGAGGAGAGAAACTGCCTAACCTCTCCTCACCAATGGTTTGCTCCAAGTTCCAAACACCCACAGGAAACTAAATGTAATTGCCCTGTATGCTTCCTTTTAACTTGCAAGGGCTTTACCATCCTTTTCTTGTTCTCTCTCACAGTAGCACAGTGCAGACATGTCGCTGTTCTCTATTCTCAAACAGGGAAATTAACACCTAGACACAGTGGCTTAGGAACGTAAGTTCATTTAGTCCAGCATGCTGTTTTCAGCAGTGGGCAACTAAATGCCTCAGCCACTGGTCCTCAAGAGTCCTGCCCAAGGGATTCAAACGACGAGCTAGAAATCAAATCCAGGACCTTCGGGGAGTCATCTAACTAAATTGCTTACCAAAGACTAAAAGCAACTCAGAACCCAAAAGGCAAAAAACAAAACAAAACACAACTCTAATTCAGTTGGCCTATTTCATGCCCAAGGTCCTCCAAAGCTCTCACCTGCTGGAGATGACATTACGCTGCAATTCCTGACGGTCAAAGGTGGCTAATGCACAGAGGCCACCATACACGGCCACATTGCTAGGGGACAGCAGCTAGAAAAAGAGAGGAGAGGAAGCCTCTGAAGAAGCGATCTTCAAGGATAGCTACAGGTGTAGACAGCTAGGTAGTCTGAACCCTGCTCTGTTCACACGCCCACAGAAAAGCTGGTCTTCAAGACACTCAGAAAAATCAAGGAGGAACATGGTCCCCCCAAAATCAGGCCATATTAGGAATAGGCCACAGCTATCTGGCATCTCCCCCCCCCCCCAATCTCCACAGCTTCCCCAGCTCTCAATATCTCTGCCTAATGCTTACCTCAGGGAAATCACAGTGATCAAATGAGGCCAACAGGAAGCATTTTGCTGCTTGCTTGTATTTCCGGGCAGCGAGTTCCGCCAAGCCTAGAAACCAGACTTAACAATTAGTCTTCTGTCCAAGACACTGCTTGCATGTGTTAGGAGAGACACACTGGTAGGGTCACACAGAAACCTAGAAGAGGAGCTCCACACCTTTCCACAGATCTAAGGCCAGAAGACGGGCAACTAAAACGCAGAAGCTGTACTTGGGAATTTGCCCTGCTCTATCATGGGGTAGAAAAAGCAAGCAAGGAAGTTTGTTATGCCTAAATGCTGTGCTGTTTCTGCACACAGCAAGTCTGATGAGCACTAAGGGCAGATGCTGTATCTATGAGGCATGCAATTCACTCACTCACCTGCGGCACACTTCAATTTGGTGAGGATTGCCTGTGTCTGGCTGTCACGTTCTCCTCTTTGCTAGAGAGGGAGGAGGCAGAGAATCAGCAAATAAACAGCAGCTTTATTTTTTGCTTAATTCCTTCTGTTAAACCCGTCTGAGGAAGCACTTCTGCTCTGCAATCTCCTTGGCTCCCAGCATGACCCAAGTCTGAAAAGGCACCCAGAGCTCAACAAGGAACACCAAGAAGGATGAAAAGGAAACAGAGTCTCTGTTCAAGGGGTGCATTAGAACCCCTCAAAACACAGTATTAGTTCATTTGCCACCCCAATCCTCCTGTGGGGCACCGAGGTCCAATATTTGACATAGAAATTATGAAGCCTCGGGGCATAAATCCAGGGACCCACATACCATACTGAGAGCTAACACAGCATAGCAGTTTAGAGTAGAAGTGGGGAGACCTGGCTTAAAAATTCCCATTCAGCCATGAATCCTGCTGGATGGCCTTTCTCAGCCTGTGCTACCTCACAGGGCTGTTGTGAGGGTAAAATGAGGGGAGCGGGCCTCTACTCTGTCTTGCGTGTGGCTGGAAGAATGGCTAGCTACAGCTGTTAAAAAATGAAGTAAAACTAAAAGGCACGGACCTGGGTTGGTGGCAATAGTCATGTTGTAAAAAGCTTACTACCTCTGCAATTTCTGGCGTGGACTCGGCTTTGCTCACATAGCTCAGGACGTGGGACCAGTTCTGGAGGTAAACACTGACCTGGAAGAGGAAGAAAACAGACTGCAGCACTGCAGTAAAAGCTGAGTGTCAGGCTTCGGGGAATCGGATCCCTTCCCCGGTGGCAGTGATTAAGAAGATCACACAAAAGGAGCGTTCTTACCAGAGTTTCTTTAATAATCACAGCGAGAGACAAAGGAATGCATATCCCTCTAAAAATGGCGTTGTTCCCACTTAAGGTTCACCCCCTCCATCTCCATTAATCTTCGTCACTGCTACGTTGGGTAATCTGAGCTTGTTGCCTCTGCGCTTTCTTTTCTATCACTCTCAGAGCCCGTCTAGTCCTAGGCGAAGGGGGCGGGGTCAGGAATGCTGTCGAAGGACACTGAATCTGCTAGCTGTCTCTCTCCCAGTGTGCCTTCTTCTAGCTGTTCCTCACCCAGTATTTCCCAGCTTTTCTCCTCTGGACTATGCCCCTCTGCAAACCACTGTTCTAAATCAATACTGTCCTCCTGCCCTTGGGAAGGTTCAGGAGAAGGGGAGGGGGGCTCACACCATTCTTCCTCAGTCCAGCCCCTGACACTGAGTAAGAGGTAAAGCTCTCACTCCCTGGGAATTATGTGTCTCTAATAGGCACATCTGTGAATGAAGAAACTCATTTCTGTTGATGGGTCATCAGACTGTACGTTCCAGGTGGTGGGGGAGAGAAAAGAAGATTTCATTTGATGATGTGCAGCAGGTAGAGCGTATCTTAAATAAAGGCGAAATTCCACAAGTGTGTCCCACTTGAAAAGGACCACTGACATATATTGTACTTTACCTTGATAACATTGAGGCACATGTTGATAACGTGCTTTGCGCTGGTGCAGTAATCGCGGGCTCGCGAATAACATTTGAGGGCATTGCTGAGGTCCCCACAGTCAAGGTAGTGATCGCCTAAGTCATCATGGCCTCTCCTAGAAAGAAGGGATGACGGCAGCTGCAAAATGAATAAGCCAGGATGCAAAACACATACCCCACCCCCAAAAATTACAACTCAAAACAAGGCCAGAGCTGGATAACATGCTCAGGCGAAAGGCTGTGCTTATTCAGAGTTAACAGATGCACAGAATAAAGACATTTCTCTATATTTTTGGCAAGGTGCAGACTATCAAGTATGACAGAGCCAGTCATCATTTGTAAAGACTCTAGCATAGCTATCACAATAATCTTCTCAATAGTTTCCTGCTACAAAGCCCTCTCTCTGCTCTTCCCAAACAGCTGCTTCCAAACATGAATCTGATTCCAGAATATTCACAAGCCCAACACAAAACTAAAGTAATGAGCTTCTGTAGAAATTATAAAAGTAGGAGACACATATGTAAAGGTAAAGGGACCCCTGACCATTAGGTCCAGTCGTGACCAACTCTAGGGTTGTGGCGCTCATCTCGCTTTATTGGCTGAGGGAGCCGGCGTACAGCTTCCGGGTCATGTGGCCAGCATGACTAAGCCGCTTCTGGCGAACCAGAGCAGCACACGGAAACGCCATTTACCTTCCCACCAGAGCAGTACCTATTTATCTACTTGCACTTTGACGTGCTTTCGAACTGCTAGATTGGCAGGAGCAGGGACCAAGCAACCGGAGCTCACCCCATCGCGGGGATTCGAACCACCGACCTTCTGATCGGCAAGTCCTAGGCTCTGTGGTTTAACCCATAGTGCCACCCGCATCCCTCCCACAACTCCCTTAAATAGCAAAGTATATTTGGGTGGGTGGGACTCTTAGTGGGAAGCAGTTCAGAAAGACATTTTAACACTCACAAGGTGGCTTCTAGAATGAAAACCTTTTCTCTGAATAGGTCACCTGTGCAACTTGAGTCCTGGACAGGTCTATTTTCATGGGATTATCTACCAGTGAACTGTGCGAATGATGCATTTCATCAAAACTGTTTTTCAAAGTGCATGCAAATTCACAAAGCAATTTGATTCCTTTGAATACAAAATGTTGCTTCGAACTGAGAACTAGTTGTTCCCGAGTAAAGGCATGTTACAGCTGATCACCTGATGCTTTCCTTGATTGAGTTCCCTTTATAGTTCTTTAAATCCGTGTCTAGCTTTTCCAGCTTAAGAAGAGCTTTTTTGCGTGTAGCTTCAACCCAGGCCGTGTCTAGAGGAGGGGGCTCTATTCCTCCATCTGGGACAGCATCAGGTGTGTTTTGTAACTCTCTGGGGAAAAAGCAGCAGACAGACAGTAAGGGGAGGCACACGATTCACTGTTATCAAGGGCAATAAATGAGCTATCAAGAGTGTGATGCTGTAAGAATGGGGGGAGGGGGGGAATCATAACCATTAGCAAAGTGTGTCATCCAGCCAGTTTTTAAAGATGTTGATCCAGCAGTTGACAAAAACTCTCTTGATTTAGAAAAATACAAATAACGGTTTGCTTAATGCAACTCTATAAACAGTTTTCTAACTGAAGAAACAGTGGAAGTCCGCACATACCTATAAAGCAATAGTTTAAAGTCCAAATACACTGGAAGTTTAGTATAGAAGCAAGGGGGCTTATGGTGTGTAAACTATGATAAAACGAGGCATGTAAGTCACATGGATACAATAAAAGAGACTGTGATAAAAGTAACAAAAACTGGTTAATGGATAGGAGAGTCACTTGGGAATATGGAACGGAGAATGGGAATTCAGCCTACTTTGCTTCATAATTAGTTTCAGTTAAGGACAGTAGCATGCATGTATGTGACTTAAGATTAGTATTATTATTATTACAGTGGTACCTCGGGTTACAAACACCTTGGGTTACAAACACCTCGGGTTACAAACACTTCGGTACTACTCCGCTAACCTGGATGCAGTACGTTGGGTTAAGAACTTTACCTCAGGATGAGAACAGAAATCACGCGCTGGCAGCACGGTGGCAGCAGGAGGCCCCATTAGCTAAAGTGGTACCTCAGGTTAAGAACGGTTTCAGGTTAAGAACGGACCTCCGGAACAAATTAAGTGCGTAACCAGAGGTACCACTGTATTATTAAAGATCACAATCAAAGAACCAGGAGGACCAGAAGCTAACTACAGTGCCATAATTGCACAAAGTTCAATTTTGGACAGAGCTGCTCCTCTCTTCATGTAGTTTGTTCATAGGACATTACTGGCTACTGGCAACTCAAATTAACAAACACAAGAAGAAAAACACAGAAAACTCTCTTTGGGGGGATGGGGTGCATGCACTACCTTGCAAGTAAGCACAAACACTGAAATTATAGGCAGTTGCAGGACAAGAGAACTGATCTATGCAGGGTCATTTGACCAGTATGGGGATTCTCACAAACCAGAAGTTTATTTTCAGTGTTTCTTCTTCTTAATACCTGGTGGCTTCAGTCAACTTCCGGTGAATTTCTTCATAAACATCAACATTGAATGTTCTTTGGACAAAGGAGAGGGCCATCTTGAGGGATTCTACTCGCAGTTGCGGGCAGTGGTCTGCAATGAACTGCAGCCGCTCGATCCTCATCAAGCCGCTGTAACTTGCTGCATACTGCTCCAGATCCTGTGGGCCACAGCACAACAAGAAAATGATCATTTACAGCAGAAAGCAATGCCCCAGATAGCAAGCTGTCTTCCCCTGCAGTTAGAATTGTAGTATTCTTCCACTGTCATTTGACTATCTCCTGCAGCAAGTAAGAACCATGCAGCAGATTCTGTTCCTTTGTGACAGAGGTGGGGAGCCTGTAGCCCACCAGATGTTGTTAGGGAGTTGGAGTCCAGCAACATCTGGAGGGCCAAAGTCTCCCCACCCCTGCTTTTTGACAATGGTTTAATGGCATTCATCTCATCTTTGCTGTTTTCTCCACTCTGCAGGGCAAGGATCTGTGCATGGCAGGTGCAGAATACAACGCCTACGGGAGCCTTGGAACAGGAGGACCGAAATGTAAAATTGCTTCATAATAGTATACTGGGGGGGGGGGGGATTTAGAACAGTGAGAAATCAGGAATAGTGGCATCAAGGGGATGCGCTAACTCATTTCAGAAGAGGCAGGAATATGTATAAAATTCATGGTAATCTTGCCAGTTGGTCAAGATGCCGTAATTTCTTAATTTTGTCCAGCTCACATTTGCCCCATGCTCACATCATCCCATGCACATCCTCTACCTGAACTCACGGCAAATGTTTGTGCAGCTCAGGAAGACCATGCAGAAATTGGGTAAGGAAAATATAACAAACAAAATAAATGTCTAGTTGGAAAAACAATATAGATGAAACATTTCTCTGTGTGTTGTTTTAATTTGTGTAAGCCGCCTTGAGCCCCAGTCCAGGGAAAAGGCAGAACAGAAATAAATATAATAATAATGAATAATCAAACATTATGGGAGGTATCTAAGCAACACGTCCAATCAGCACAAGGATTTTCAGTTGTGCAATGAGACATTATCCCACTCTCTTTCCCCTGAGCACACCCCGTGCCCTCCTCAAACCTGCTCCGGAAGATTGGAGGACCCCCTGGAAAAGATTTAGGGGAGTGTGGGAAGTGGAGAGGGAGGATGGTCCCACTGTGCAAGTGGAAATCCTTGCGCTGACAGTACTCATTCCTCTGTGCTACTTTGGATAGAACTATCTATCTATCTATCTATCTATCTATCCAAAGCATGTCCTTTGATCACTGGTTATCTAACTTTTTCCTCTGGGCTACACTTTCAGAACAAAAATTTTCTGGCGCCACACCATTTCTTTTATTGATAAGAAATACACTGGAGGGGGAAATGAAAAACAACTCCTAGCATTGCTTGCTTTATAAAAACAGAACACAACTGCTTTGTGATATGATCATAGGACATCCAGAAAGTATAACGCAATGCAGCCACATAACGTGAATCATTCCCAAAAATGTAATATTGATTATCCTTGAATCTTCCCACTTTACTTGCCATCCTCTCCTGCCACACCCTTTGAGAACCACCGGCTTAGATGGATAAAATCTAAGTTTTTAGCCGACCTAAGAATTCCTTTCTCATTGTCACCCTCCAACACATACCAGAGTCGGGTTCTCCACCACATAGTTGATATCAGGTGCATTTTGCTGATCTTCTTGTGGGTCTACATCAATCTGCATGGGCTCCACCGCACCCTGTAACAGCAACGTGTATAAGTTAAGCAGAAGCTAGGAAGCTCCTTCCCAGCCCATGGGAAAGAGGTCCTCATACACCAGCAGATATAGCATGGCTAGAAACCCAAACATTGCTCTTTCACATCTCTTGCTTGGAGTTCCATTCCCTTGAACTCTAGGCTTGATCTCTAGACTTGCCAGGAATACTGCTCCCACTCTGCATGACTCATCAGACTTCTCTGATCTCAATGTTTTTTTTCAAAAAGGAAAGTGCAAGGGTTTGATGATTTCCTGAACAGCAGCCATCACAGAAACAAAAAAACCCCGGAAGATAAGCTCAGTGGCACCTTCCCAGTAAGAGCCAGGTATTTATAATTTCCACAAAGACATTATATATGTGTGTTCTGAAGAATCAAGGGTAGCTGAAATAGTTTTATGTTTGGGGTAGGAGTAAACACTTTGAGGAAACCAAAAGGGAGCATCCTCTTGCTTCACAGTTCATTCACACAACCCTTTTCATTGATTTATATGGCCCACTCCACTGTCAAAGCTCAGAACAAGCATCAATACACACACATATAATTCCACTAAATTCAAATATGCAGCTGAAAACAATATTAAAATCTCTAACCACTACCTGCATCTTAGGCATAATGCTGCCTCTCAAAAGTAAGCCAAAGAAAAAAAAGGATCCTTTGGTTTGTTGAGTGGGGTTATTTCATAATTCTGCAGAACCACCAATCGTGGCTCATGGGTTATCTATTGAACTCATCACTCAGCAGCTGAAACAAAGAATCCAATAAATATAGATTTACAGATCCTAGCAAGCTAATTTATTATCTGGTATGACAGTGCTAAAGCAAAACCATGCATTTCAAAGTCATGGCGTGGGCTACAAATGCAATAAGAAATAAGGAATTTGAAAGTTGATCAAGTGAATGAAGATGCTCCCTGCCAGGGTGCCATTTGTTCTGGGGTTAGCCTTGATCCTAATTAGAACAGGTCACATCTCTGTGAACCTTCTAGAACAGCGGTGCTCAAGATCTTTTCCCCACAGATCACTTGAAAATTGCTGAGGGTCTTGAGTTGTCTGCCTGTTGTAGTAACTGTAATGTGCTGTGCTAGATGCCGTAGGCTTTTAAACTAAATTTTAACAGGCACACTGTGAACCACCTGAAAGAAGATTGTGGACCACAGTTTGAGAACCCCCTCCTCTACAACATACCTAGGCCTTACGAATAGAAGTCTGTCTAAATCAGGCAAAAGGTCCACCTGCCTCAGCTCGCAGTTTCCTACAGTGGCCTCCTCACCTGTCCCCTCAAGCCTTCCGCCCCCATGCTCTCAAAACCAGCTGCAGAGGGTTGGGTGACCCTCCAGAGCAGATTGTGGGTGGGTGGGGGGAGATGGAACAGAGGTCCCACTGCACCAGGAGAACCACGCATGCAGAGCATTGGATGCAACCCCTACATATGCATGTGAATGAAATAATGCTGCTAGATTTTCAGTTTCAACCTAAGTTTTAAGCTTATAGTTTCAGAGGAAACTAAAAATGCAAGAAGCTGCCGGGTGAAGTTTTCAGGTACTAGAGGTCATCAGGTTGGGGCTTTCAGATTTTGAGTAACATGCCTGACCCTTCCTTCAGTTGAGGAGGTGGGGACAAACTCAGTTCCCCGCCTGAGTTAAAAGATGTCAGACAACCTAATTGGCTCATTCGCCTGACACCTCAACAACGTCAGCTCACCTGTTTTCCCCTGTGCATTTTCAAATCAAATTGCGTGGGCATAGGCACAGCAAGTGCAAGCCCCAACAACTGTTTAATCCTCAGGGCTTGCAAAACCCTGTGTACAGCACTCTGGAAACCCCGATGCAGTGCTTATGAAGTGCTGTGCACAGGACTCTGTAGGCGTCACCAATCCTGAAAACTTCCTTCTGGCTCAACTGCAGCTTTACCTGCCACACACCTGACATCATATACTATGGCAGGTGGGTGTGGCTTAGCCAAAACTGCCTCATGGACCAAATGGAAAGGCTTGATGGGCTTGAAAGGGACAGATGTTAAAACAGTGTGGGATGCTGGGAAGGCGGTTGTTAGGGGATATTTCATACAACAAAACTCAATAGCATATAAGAATAAAGAAAAAAAGAAAAGGGAGCTTTTAGAAGAAATTAAAAGGAAAAATTGGCCTATGCAAGCAAAAATAAAGAGAGATTAAATCAAGAAATTAAATTACTGAGAGCAGAATATAATAAAATTATAGAACAGGAGGTAGAACAACAAATCAAATTTTGGAAATATAAAAATTTTGAATGGGCAAATAAGCCAGGCAAGATCCTTGCCTGGCAACTAAAGAAACAAAGAAATGAAAAATTAATAAATAAAATAAAAGTAGAAGAGAGGACAATAAGGGATATGACAGAAATTTAATTTTTTTTTGAAAAATATTACAAAAAAGTATATCAAAAAGTTGAAGTGCCAATAGAAGAAATAGAGGAATATATAAAGAAAAATAAATTAATAGAGATAGCAGAAGAAGACCATAAACTATTAAATGAACCAATATCAACCATAGAAATTAAGGAATCAATTCAAAAATTAAAAATAGGGAAATCCCCAGGTCCAGATGGCATACCATCAGAATACTACAAAGAAATGTTAAATGAATTAATCGACCCACTAAAAGAAGTAATAGAGGAAGCAGTAGAGAAGGGGAATATTCCAGACTCTTGGACTCAAGGGTATATAACGCTCCTGCCAAAACGAGGTGCGGATTTGGAATCTGTCTCAAATTATAGACCCATTTCATTGTTAAATTCCGATTATAAAATTTATGCAGGATTATTGGCTAACAGGTTGAAAAAAATTATAGGAAAAATAGTACATAAAAATCAGGCTGGATTTGTGGAAGGTAGACAAATAAAGGATAATATCAGAAATATAATAGACATAATGGAATATCTACAAGTAAGAAGAGACAAACAAGCAGCCCTGATTTCAATCGATGCGGAGAAGGCTTTCGACAAAATCTCATGGGAATTTATGAAAAACTATTAAAAGAATTGTGTCTAGGTGAAAAATTCCAAAAAGGTATAAATGCAATATATAACCAACAGAAAGCAAAAATTATTATTAATGGAGAGTTTGGAGAAGAAATCAACATCTTTAAAGGTACAAGACAAGGATGCCCCCTATCCCCAATGTTATTAATAATAGTATTAGAGGTTCTATTAAAGAAAATAAGGCAGGACAACCAAATAAGAGGAATAGCAGTTGGTGAAAAGAAAGATACAAGTTAAGAGCCTTTGCAGATGATGTTATGATCACAACAGAAAATCCCCTACAATGTACACCTAGAATATTGGAATGCATAAACGAATATGGCAGATTAGCAGGATTCAAATTAAACTATGGGAAAACCAAAATACTAGTGAAAAATATGGAAGAAAAAGATAAAGTGAAATTACAAGAAATTACAGGATTGGAAATTAAAAAGAAAATAAGGAATCTTGGAATAAATTTAACAACAAACACTATAGATTTAAGTAATGAGAACTATGGGAAAACATGGAATGAAATAAAAATGACTTGCAAGTATGGGGAAATTAAATCTTTCCTTACTAGGGAAAATATCGGTAATAAAGATGAACATATTACCAAGGATGATGTTTTTATTTCAAAGTATCCCAATACTAGGAGGAGATAAATGTTTTAATAACTGGAAAAGAGATTTGGCTAAATTTGTATGGTCAGGGAAAAAGCCAAGAATAAAACACAAAATAATGATAGATAAGAAGGAGAGAGGAGGATTTGGTCTCCCAGATATGGAGTTATATCACGATGCGGTGGGTCTGACCTGGCTAAAGGAATGGATCAAATTAGATGACTCGGATGTATTGGATTTAGAGGGAGTAGAGACGAGATTTGGATGGCATGCCTATCTAATAGATGAAAAAGTGAGAGTACATAAAGGCTTCCTAGGGCATATAATCAGAAAATCTATATATAAAATATGGGAGAAATATAAAAGACTTCTAGAACCGAAAACTCCCTGGTGGGCATTGCCAGCAGAAATTGTCGCAGTGAAAAAATTAAATATGAAAGAAAATTGGGCTACCTATAAAACTGTATTAAAGGAAGAAAACGGAGAATTGGAATTAAAGGATTACACAGAAATTAAAGCTCATATTAGTGATTGGTTCCAATATATTCAAATTAAGTATAGATTAGCGAAAGACAAAAAGTTAGGATTTGAAAAAGAAATATCAAAATTTGATAAATACTTAATACAAGAAAAATAAAAAAATATATCTAAATTGTATAATCTGATTTTAGAGTGGGAAACAAAGGATGAATTGGTTAAAGCATCAATGATTAAATGGGCGCAAGATATTGGGAAAAATATTATGTTTGAACAATGGGAAAAATTGTGGAAAGAAGATATGAAATTCACTATGTGTTATATACTGAAAGCAAATTACCTTAAAATGCAACATAGATGGTATTTAACACCTGAAAGAATAGCAAAAATGAATAAAAATTGTAGCGATGTCTGCTGGCGATGCAACACGGGAAAAGGTACTATGATACATATATGGTGGAATTGTTTAAACATCAAACAATTTTGGGAAATAATATATAATGAAATGAAAAAAATGTTTAGATACTCATTTAGGAAAACACCAGAAGGTTTTCTATTGGGAATAGTACCAGGAAGCCTAAAGGAAGAAGATAAGACCTTATATTTATACGCAACAGTAGCAGCAAGGCTATTGATTGCGAAAAACTGAAAAAGTGGTATAATACCGACAAAAACAGAGTGGCTTGCCAAATTATTGGAGTATTACAATATATCCAAAACAATGGAAGAAATTGGAAGGATTTCAAAAGAAAAGATAGATAGGGACTGGAAGGTGTTTAAAAGATACTTGCAAAATCATATCGAAAAATCAGAACTCCTATTAGAATAAACAAGTTCCGTTTCAAATACTGAAATATCAAATAAGATGGATAACAATGTGTAATAGAAAAAGAAGTATGAAATTAGGCTAAAGGTGTGTGAAAGAAAGTAATAGAAGTGGAAAGAAATTGTAATTGAGTAGATTGGAAGTCAAACACAAAGGTGGGGTGAGGGGTGGTGGGTGGTGATGGGGAAAGGAATTATTTGTGGGATTGAGTGTAAGTATGTTTGAACACTTTTAAGGATTGTATGAAATGTATGTTTGTATGCTTGTATATGTGTATTAATGATGAACTATTTTAACAATAAAAAGTTATTAAAAAATTTATAAAAAAAGGAAAGGCTTGATGGGCCTAACTAGACCTGCAGGCCAGAGGTTCCCCACTGCTGCTTTAACTGAAGATGCCAGAGAATTACCTCTGGACTTTCTGCAGAGAAAGCATTTGCTCTATTAAGTGATGGGCTTTCCAGATGCAGAGGTTAGGGAGATGGAGATGTTAACATGGAATTTTAGATCCTGTAGCAATAGTGCACAGGACTGACACTGGAACCCATACTCATACGAAGAACCACCTGATCCATGCTTTGTTGTTATTTAGGTCTTCATTAGAGACCAGGCCCTAGGTGACCGAGTTGGGTGGCTTCTGCAACACTAACAGGGTTTTCTCAGTGGTTGCATCTCATCTACGCCATCTCTCTCCTATAATCTACTCAACACCGATTTTGCTGGCCTTTAAATGCCAAATGAAAGCTCCTGGTTTCTTGCGATGGACAACATCGCCATCACATTCAATTTATTAATTGCCTTCTAAACAACCGTCTCAAGGCAATTTGCGTATAAGACATGCTGCTGTTTTTTTTTCCTGTGGGTGGTTTTGATGTATTACATTTTTATTGTTTTAAATATGTTGCGAGCTGTCTTGTGAATTACAACAGATATTATTTATTTAGGATACATTAACTTCTGTGACAGATTATAGCCTGTCCCCATCATCCCTCTTTTAGATACGCCATCCTTCTAGCTGTTATAAGTTTGTGCTCAACCACACAATGCAAAGTCACTTGTCATTTGAAAGAGATGTACCCACTTCAGGAAAAAAAAAGAACCGTTTTAAACAAGTATGGCTTAGTGCTGGCAAAAGTCAAGTCATTCTCACTCAGTCATCCTCGAGTGCTTTCTCCTTTGAGATACCTCATAGAGCAGGGTGCAGGCTGATAAGCAGGCACTTAGGCTGAAGTCTCCAGATGTACCTGGGAGGAAGAGTTCTGACCTACTGCTGCGGGGGGTGTTGTATAGATCTGTCACTGACGAGGAAGCTGAGCTCGGAACTGAACTATCCCTCATCCTGTCCTGACTCTCTGTACCCCCTCGCCCTGACACAGAGCTCGCCGGCTGCTAAAGGAAAGAAAGGTAATTAATGCCTCTGCAGTCATAGACATTACTCCTCTTGCTCATGTTAGGCTAGAATAATATGCTCCAGTTTTCATTGTAGGCGTTTGTTAATTTCATTGTTGTATTACTGTACTGCATGCCCCTTGGTCCAGCCTCCCATACACAGCAAGGAGTAGGGAACCTTTTTAAGTCTGAGGGCTGTATTTCCTTCTGTGCAACCTTCTCAGGGCCACGTGGCAGTGGTGGGTGGGGCCAGAGACAAAAGCAAGCGGAGCAATGAACGTTAATTTTATATTTGTGTCTACACACACACCCAATTCTATCCTCCATATGGACAAGCAAGAGGTATCAGATTTCAAGGACACTTTCTAGACAGGCAAAATTTGGGGTGTGAAGCAGCGCCAGTGAGGGGTGTGGCTTGGGAAGTGTTCCAAGGGTCAAATGAAAACGCTGGAGGGCTGCATCTGGCCCCCAGGCCTGAAGTTCCCCACTCCTGCTATGTAGTTAGCATTCCACTGTCACAGTAAGTGAGCTCTAGAAAGACAGGATTGCATATAAAAACTCTGTATTTTGTTGTCAACTAAAGAGCAGCAAATTGCATGACATCATTGGCTTGCATTCAATGCCTTCATAAAATGACACATTAGGTGAAGCAGATTAATTCCTGTAATTTGTCTTCTAGGAAGCATCCACAGTTAGTATCTCCCAATCCTCTATCATCTCACAAAACAGAAAGTATGGGAAACAGAACTTGTTGAGCAGATATGAGTGCTGTTTTGAACCCATTTCCACTGCAAGAAAATTCTCATGACTATCTAAAGGTGTTGAAGAGAAAAATGGGGAATATCTCTGAGAAAGGGTGTAGAACATGGCAAAGAATATGTTTATGGACTATTACAAACTTGAAAGACAGGAACTAAAATATTTTAAGATGAACATGCACTGTGATCTAGCTTTGATCTTCACATGCAGCAAGATTTAAGTCACAATCTGCAAAATTCAACCTGAAAATGCCAGCATCAGGTGAGGGGGGAGAGCACAAAAATGTATGCTAGAGGAGAGACACAAATATTTATTCTATAAAGTTATAATAAAATATGTTGTCAAAACACCTGAAGGGATCAGGTATGCCATGTAGAGTCGCAACACTGTTCTTTAGTTAGACCATAGCTGAAGAGAGAAATATTGCTGAAACAGCAGAGGCAAGTTGTGACGCGAATTGCTGCTAGGAGACAAGTCCTTGAGAGTCATTTATTTATTTATCCACTGTTTTACAGCTGCTGCAGCCAGATCTCTCAGTATGAACGACTCTACTGTATTTCAAGCACCATGTTTGCTGTTGTTTTTGATCCTACCACTTTTTGGAAGCAGATAAACAATTAAGAGAATCAACCATAAAATAGTCAATTTACTAAAATGCACCACACATAAAAGCCAAATCCTCTTGACCTTTGGTGCTGACCTTTAAAGCTGTAAACTGCCTCAGCCCAGTATGCCTGGAGGAGCATCTCCACCCCCATCGTTCAGCTTGGACACTGAGGTCATCCTCTGAGAGTCTTCTGCTGGTTCCCTCACTACAAAAAGCGAAGTTACAGGGAACCAGGCAGAGGGCCTTCTCGGTAGTGATGCCCTCCCTGTGGAACGCTCTCCAGATGTCAAGGAGATAAAGAACTACACAACTTTTAGAAGACATCTGAAGGCAGCCCTGTATCAGGAAGTTTTAAATGTTTAATTTTTTACTATGTTTTTATATATGCTGTAAGCCGTCTAGAGTGGCTGGGGAAAACCAGCCAAATGGGCAGGGTATAAATAATAAAATAATAATGATTATTATTATTATCATTCCAAGTTTCCATTGGTAGAACTAATTTTCTCATAATATGAGGAGTGCAGGATCCGTAACATCCCTGGAGCTGCATTTTGCAATGCAGAGATTAAACAGCTCTCTACTATTCAAGTAATTACATTATAACCGCATTGAGCCATTGCTATCGTAGATCAGGATGTGGGCCGGCACATGGGATAAGATCGTTCAATCCCATCTATTTCCTCTGCAGCACACGATTTCGGGGGGATGGGGTCTTAAACTTAAGGGTCTACACTGAAAGGTATTCAGAAGCATACGAACTCTGTCCACCCACGCCTTTCCAACAAGCTGCAAATTTCATGACACAGTGTGGTTTCCACAGTGCACACTAACATACATTAAAACAGAAACAATCTGCCTCCACTTGTCAGATATTAAACTGCATGTTGCGGCACAGGCCCTCGGAGGTCCCTGTCGCGATTTCTACAAAACCAGAACCGGGTTCCGTGCAAGGGCGGCGGCAGAACCAAAGGCATGAGACGGCGGGGCAGGCCGTAACCGCGGCCAACGGCCTTTCCCCTCGCCCTGGTCAGGGGCCTTGAGCCCACATTCGGGCCCCTCCGACCCTCTGGCGTATCCCGCCCCCCCTTGGCCCCCTTCCTCAAGGGCTCCGCCTGGGACGGCAACCCAGAATGACACACGCGCTGCTGATCCCCCGCAGGGGCGCGATCCTTCTCGGCGACCTAGCGGGATCCTGCCCGCCCGCAACCACAGCCCTGCTCGCTAGACGGAAAGACAACAGCAGCGCCTTGGGGGGGGGAGAACCCGAGCCCGCCGCCGCCGCCGCCCCCCCCCCCCGAAACTTCATCGGTACCTGCAAATTGAAGACTTGGACGGGTAGCGGCATATTGACCCTCGCACCATGGACTTCCGGGTCGCGCCCTCTTCTTCTTCTTCCACTTCCGGGTCGCGCTCCACTTCCGGGTCGAGTCCGTTCCACAGGTGAAGCCCTTAAAGGGGCCGCGGAGCCTTCGCTGCTCGCTGCCGACGCGCAGCCCCCCGTCCCCGCCGCGCCCCTCGCGATCTGCTCGGCGGATGGCGCCGGATCCTGAGCTGAGCGACGGGTGAGTTAAGACGCGCAGCGAGACGGCTCCCGCGTCCCTCCGCCTTGGAGACGCTGCGCGTAGGTAGGAGGCGAGAGGAGGAGGAGGAGGGTCGGGATGGCCGCGGCGGCGGGAGAAGGGTGGGGGTGGGATGTCAAGGTGTGTGTGTCCTTGTTGCCATGGTGACCAACCGGGGTGCGGAAGAGCAGTTGTTTCTATGGCAACCGGCTTGAGAGGCCTAAAGTGCTGCGAAGGGCACTTATTGGGCCTCTGGGACGTTATCCCTCTTTAATTCCCGTCTTCCCCGGGCGCAGTCAGCTCTTTTGGCTGAAAAGCTATCCCAGTTAAAGAAGCGAGGCCTGTACTAATCCTTTGGGAATGGCTAGTTCATTCCTGTTTTAAGTGTGCCCGTCGCCAGGCAGAGCCTTTAAACCAGAGGCTTCAACCCTAAAACTCAGTGGTTCCCAAACTCTGTCCCCACCCCACCCCCGCCTGTAGCAGAAATTATAATGCACGGTGGTCCATGGTGTATGATTTTTAATTGTATTTCATTTCTTCTTTTTATTTCTTACGTTGCATGCATATTTTTTTTTACCACTTGAATTCTAATCATTCTGCAAATCAGTGTGAATATTTAATGCAGGCATGCTGTGGGCCAAGTGAATGAAGCTCATGGAGCACTAGTCCCTTGTTTGGGAACCCCTGCTATAAATGCTTACTTGGGAGAAAGTCATGTAGCATCACAGTGAGAAGAACCTCCTGAGGAAACATGCATAGGATTGTACTGTGAATCATCCTAAGATGTTTTTCTGCTTGTCAGGAGAAAACTTCCAATACCCCCCAAGAGCACTTTGTCAGGCTTAGCATTTCATTCTTTGGAACTGCAATATATTAACTGACTACACATACGCACCTCTTCGCAGAAGCTCAAAACAACTTATGTCAGGCAGGTTTCCACCAGGCATCCACACAGGACTGATCTTTGAAACAGATATGTCTGATTCTTTTCAATGTTAGGTTTGTTCAAGCTCACAGAAATCAATGAGTTTAGGACGGTGCACCTAATATTGTGTAGGTTTGGGCTATAACCTTATTTCAAAGACATGTGATGTTTGGAAATGAGGCCGTTTGTGTGTGTGTTTCCTTCCAAATCTTTTCCCGAAAGAATACCATCTGACTCAGTTTGATTCATACTTACAGTGCAATATGAACCCATGTCTGCTCAGAAGTAAATGGGGCTTACTCCCAGGTAAATGGGATTAGGATTGTAGTTTTAGGCATATTTAGAGCTGTACAACTGAAATCAAGTCCTATTGATTTCAGTGCATCTATTCCAAAAGTACTATATTTGTATCCTATGTTTTTTCATCTCATTTCCCAGCAAGGGAGGTGATAATTATATGAAAAAATAAATTAAGAAGCTTTTATTCACGACCATTTCCCTTCTGTCAGTGTATTAAATACACTACAGATTATACTGAATAATTGGTTTCTGGAACATGCACAGGTGCAATATTTAAATAGATTTAAATTGACAGGCCATGTGACAAATACTTGCAGTGCAATAGCAAGTTTAAATAACCATGCTTTAGTTGTACTTCTGTCTCTTGCAACTTGGTTCACAGAGGTTGTTAAGAATGTATGTGTAGTTTTTTAAAGAATTCCTGGTTCTCATGTTCACGTACAGAAAACTCTAAAATGTGTTTGTTTTTACGATTTTATAACAATGTCCTTTTTTTAACAGAAAAACTTCATCTTATTGAAAGTGTGCCTATCACCTGAAGAAGGGTGCAAATGGGACACTGATAATGCACGTTAATAAGAAGTGGCTGTACCTTAGTGATAGAGCACATGCCTGGCATGAAGAAACTCTGAGATTCCGTCTCCAACCAAAGGACCAGATAGCAAGTGACAGGAAAGACCTCTACCTAAGACTCTGGAGAGCTGCTGCCATTAAAAATAATACTTTATCAGATAGTCCATCTGACTTTAAAGCAACTCCATGTGTTCATAAAGAGTAAAGCTGTGTGTGCACAGACTTGTCTTGATTTTTACTTCATGTTGTCTTTAAACATTCAGCCTCAATACTTGTCAATATACAATTTTAAAGTTGATTAAATGAACTTACATATACAAATAGTACCGTGGCTTAGAGGCTTCCCTCTCCCTGTGGAACAGGTGCCAACTCTGTGTTTTACTGTTAGGATGACAAGTCCAGAGGTTAGAAACTGAAATATAAGTAGGTGTCTATGGTATTTGAGTGCCATAAAAATTATACTCTGTTGCTGGGAAATTCCTAGGCCTTGACAAATGTATCAGTTTCTGTTTTTCTCACCTTAAAATAATGTCACAACTTTACAATATGACAAAGGCCCTTGGGGCTGAAGAATGAGCTTTTCCTGCATTAAGCTCAGTAAGATCTGCTTCCTGCTCTCAGTTATCTTTTGTGCAGTTCTCCTCTTGCTAATCCCCAAATTCCAGGCCATTTGGAAACCTAGAAGTTATCCGCAGCCACAGCCACCACTTCCTTTTAATGGTTCCAGCAACAGTGACATCACTTTGCAGCTGGTGGAGTCCAGTTCAATTGATCATTTGGATGATGAGGCGAACAATATAGTGTCCTTGGTGAAAGAAGAACTGTTAGAAGAATGGAGTCACTATATCATAACCACTGGGAGATCTGGTCTGAAGGCTAACAGAAAGATGAATGAGAGCCCAATTAATCGATTGGACAATTTGATGAATGAGAGCCCAATTAATCGATTGGACAATTTGATGAAAGACCATGAGGAACCTGCTTTAGCCTCTGCTAAGGAAAAGCTGGAGTTGAAGGATATCTTTATTGCTGTGAAAACAACAAGGAAGTACCATAGAACAAGGCTGAACTTGCTGTTCCAAACATGGATTTCTCAGGCTAAGGGGCAGGTAAGAACACTTTCCTCACCAAACTAAAATACTAACTTGTTTAACACTGAAATCTCATACTCTCTCATCAGGTATAATTCATAGAACTTATTCAGAGACAGCATGAGGAGGGCCATGGGGCCATGCAACCTAATCTTACCCACATCAGTAACATATCAGGCTACCATGCCATCTGGATATTCAGCATGCATGAGAAGGGACTGTGTGGGTAAACTGACATAAATGTGTGTAGAGATCTTCTATGTGAGGTGGGTGATCCGAATGGAACAGAGCCTTCCTTGCATGGAGGATCTCTTATGTTCACATATAGGTTAAAGGTAAAGGGACCCCTGACCATTAGGTCCAGTCATGACAGACTCTGGGGTTGCGGTGCTCATCTCGCTTTATTGGCCGAGGGAGCCGGCGTACAGCTTCCGGGTCATGTGGTCAGCATGACTAAGCCGCTTCTGGCGAACTAGAGCAGCGCACGGAAACGCCGTTTACCTTCCCACCGGAAGTATCTACTTGCACTTTGTTGTGCTTTCGAACTGCTAGGTTGGCAGGAGCAGGGACCGAGCAACGGGAGCTCACCCCGTCGCGGGGATTCAAACTGCTGACCTTCTGATCGGCAAGTCCTAAGCTCTGTGGTTTAACCCACAGCACCACCTGCGTCCCACCCTCACATATAGGTTATATGCAAGATATTCATGGGGAATGTGAAATCCTTGATCCTTGTTTTGGTGGAATTTTTCCTGGGTTGAGCAAAAACCTGCTTGTACAATGTTAGATGACATATTTGGTTCTCTCTCCACCAAATTAGGTAGCCAAATGCTGATTAAACTTCCACATAGGAAAGAGACACTGATCCTTTCCTGATTTTTAGCTTGCTGGAAACCAGTAGAATGTCTTTTTGCTCAATGTTCAGAGTAAAACTTAACATTAGTGTTACTTCAAAATCTTCAGGATATAAAGTCTTTCTTTGTTGTTTTCCATGTTTCCCACAGACATTTATATTCACAGACTGGGATGATCAGGAGCTACTTCTCAGGGCAGGTAAGCTGCTTCCCAAATTTCTGAAAGTTGTAACAGGTTTATATTTATAGGTGACACATGTTAAATAAATTTGCTATCTTCCTAGGAGAGGGACAGTAGCTCAGTGATAGAGCATGTTTTGTGTGCAGTACACCCCAGGTTCCATCCTTTGCATCTCCAGTTTTAAAAAAGGGGATATAAAGTAGCAGGAAATATAAAAGACCCCTACCTGAGTAAACAGTATTTGCTTCCGCACTGCTGCAAGGTCTGAATTCTGCTTCACTTGTATCAGATGTCTATGTAATCCACACTGAAGATTACCCAGAGCATTTCTTCATATGCAAGCCCTACTGTATTTGTTATCTCTCTTACAAATCATGCATCTTCCCCTGTTTTAATCATTTTTCTTTTATAGGGGACCATGTAATCAATACCAACTGCTCAGCTGTTCACACTCGCCAAGCTCTCTGCTGCAAGATGTCCGTGGAATATGATAAATTCCTAGAGTCTGGGCAAAAGTAAGTGAGAGTCACTATTTCCATTAGTGCCTATTTTTTAATCCTCCTTTCTGGCATCAGTGAGTTAGCATGAGCTACCTCCAGCACAACTGATGAGCATAAAAGAAACCAAATTTGTCTGAAAGGATGAGTAGCAAATCAAGATACAGTGGTACCTCAGGTTAAGAACTTAATTCGTTCTGGTGGTCCGTTCTTAACCTGAAACTGTTCTTAACCTGAAGCACCACTTTAGCTAATGGGGCCTCCCAGTGCTGCCGCACCGCTGCTGCGTGATTTCTGTTCTCATCCTGAAGCAAAGTTCTTAACCCGAGGTACTATTTCTGGGTTAGCGGAGTCTGTAACCTGAAGTGTCTGTAACCCGAGGTACCACTGTACTGACTTCTGATCTAACTTTCTTCAGTTGAGAAGAGCTTCTCTACTTTTGCCTTCTCAGATTGTGGCCTCATTTGCCTTTTCATGGTTGTGATTCTGTGAGGTAGACACTTTCACCAAAGAAGCCCTGGTAGAAAGAGCCATCTTGTAATGCCTTGTGACCTCCTCTGTGTCTCTCCATGTCTTGTTTTTTTCCTGCAGGTGGTTTTGTCATGTGGATGATGATAACTATGTGAACCTGCACAATCTCCTGCATCTCCTGTCTGCTTTTTCACACAGCCAAGATATATATGTGGGGAGACCAAGTCTAGACCATCCAATTGAAGCAGCAGACCATGTTCGGAATGACGGATCAGTGAGCATGTTCTATAATTGAGTCTCTGTTATCTCAAACTGAACAAATCAGATTCTTGCACTCGCTATGTATTCCTCACTTAAATATCCTGGAAGTCCTCCCCCTTCTTTGCTATTTACAGCCAGGTTTCCCCATCCCATTGCAGAATGCAACTTGGGAACACTTTCCCAACTCATATGGTGCTCAGGAGGTTTTCTGCAGCTGCTTGCACTCAGAGTTAGACCCTTTCTTAGGTCTCATTATCTTATCCTATACTAAACTGAGATGGCAGTAGAGGGACGTGGTGTGTCATCTGTAATTCAGCTGATACTCTCTCGATTTGCTCACATCCCCCTGTAGTCTAAATATGATATCTTTATAAATTACACTCCGAGGGTTGCCAGCTTCAGATGCAAGCGACATAATTTCCACCCCTCTCTTCATATACTTCTCAGTGGTCAGCACAGCTACCTAAGGAAGTATTTGTGAAGTAATAATTATATGGCTTCTGCTGTTTCCTAAGTCATCGCTACTCTGGGATGGAAAATCATCTTACAGAGGTGCCTTAGGAAAGTAGGCACCTTCCTCTGCTTGCAGATGCTGTCCTTCAGATCCATGCTTCATCCTTGTTGTGCTGTCGCATTGTGCTGCTCTTCAGGATAGCTCAGTTGGTAAAGCAAGAGACCCTTAATCTCAGAGTCGTGGGTTCGAGCCCCACACTGGGTAAAATATTCCTGCATTGCAGCTGGTTGGACTAGATGACCCTTGTGATCCCTTCCAGCTGTACAATTCTACAATCCTATGATCTGTTGAGAGTGTTTGGATATAGAGATCAAACAATGTAAGCGTTCCTGATGCATGGATAGGATCTGACTTACCCAGGTGACCATAAAGCTGACAGAAATATTCTTTGTTTATCTTGGTAGACCACTGCAAAGTTCTGGTTTGCCACAGGTGGTGCAGGGTTCTGCATCAGCAGAGGTCTTGCCCTCAAGATGAGCCCCTGGGCTAGGTATGTGCTACTTGGACAATTCTCTCTTTTTTTCTGCTGCCGTACTAGAATCTAGAAGATTTCATTCTCTGATTTATTGTCTTTTGACAGCCTAGGAAGCTTCATCAGCACTGCAGAGAGAATTCGACTCCCCGATGACTGCACCATTGGTTACATTATTGAGGGGCTGTTGGAGGTGAAACTCTTGCGCAGCCCCTTGTTCCACTCTCATCTGGAAAACTTGCAGCAGCTGCGTGGCGAAGCTGTGCTGAAACAGGTATGGACAAATCTTCCTTAATGCATGCAGATATCTCTTCCGCTTGCCTGTCCATCAAAATAGATACATGTATGTGGATTTGTGGCTGAAGCTATTCTAAGAGTTTGGTGTGTGTAACAATTTATAAAAGTACTGTAATACATATGCCTTTTCCAAAGGCTTGCCACAACCATGGAAAAACCAAGAAGGGGGAAATTATGGAAAACAAATATATCTCTACGCATATTTAAACAACATACACTAATATGGCTATTATTATTATTATTATTATTATTATTATTAGTGAGGAAAGCCTTGAGGGCCTGAAAGTGGTGCAATGAATAAAAGCAGGGAGCGCCACTGAACTTCAGAGCAGGCTTCGAAGAGGCATTTAAAAGTGGTAGCTACACCGCTGCGAACAGAATGGAGAAATGGAATGAATGAACAAGCAGGATGGAAAGATATCTAGTGCCAGGAGAGGGGTTGTGAAAGTATAATAGAATTAGTGGCTTGAGAAGCCCTAAATTCAGGTCTTGGGTGGTTTGATGGTTTTGCTACATAATCTTTCTGAACTGTGACAAGTCCTAGCAGGTGAAAGTAAGAAGCAGAAACACGAATGACCTGCTTCATCCTGGTCTTCTTCATTCTGGGGGAATGTCCTTTTGACACATCTAGTCTGGGCCTAAGCTATGTTTGCATTATCCTGAGTGGCAGATAGGGATCACTCACCAGCAACTTATTTGTTCACCATTTATTTTTACATGATTTCTGCTATTTGTCTTGGAAATATCACAAGGCTACTATCCCTCCCTTGCCACTTCTGCATTTGCCACCTCCTTATTCTTGTATTGTTTGCCATGCTCTGGCAAGTGCTGTTTCTAAGCACGTGTTTTCCCCCCACTGTCAGGTTACCTTGAGTTATGGTGGTCCTGAGAACAGGCGCAATGTTGTAAGCGTGGGTGAAGTGTTCAACATACAGCAAGATCCAACTCGGTGCGTATGTAACCATTTTTCAAATGAAATCAATTTGACTAACAAATCCAAGCACAAGAATAAGAAATGGCATTTCTTTGCCAGCAAAATATACTGACAAGTTATGGCCAATGTCCCTGCACTGGTGGCTTTGTATACTTCAGGCCAGATTGTGTTAACTCCTCTGACAGTTTCTAATTTTCTTTCTATTTGCAGATTCAAATCTGTCCACTGTCTCCTCTACCCTGACACTGGATGGTGCCCCAGTCTAACAGTGGACTGATATCTGTCCTAACATTCAGCAAGGACTTTTGCTGGTCCTTTTTTTTTAATGTGCAGCCAAAGCTGTCTTTGGGGTGAAAACGGAAGACAAGGTCAAAGCAAGTGTCGAGATGCCCTGACCACTATTGTAAATGGTCTTTGGACATATCTTTAGTCTTGAAGCACATCATAAGCTATATCTGCAATGCTCTTCTCACTCCTTTTCCGATCACATATATGTCATGTTAACCAAACCTGTTTCCTATTGCATTGCATTTGTACAACCTCAGGAATGTTACAGTCTGGCACTGTAGCAATATAGTTGAGGGCTAATCTTCTTTCTACTAGAATGCTTGGAGTAAAGCACAAAGCTTTGTTTTAAGACTTCGCATAGGAAAACAAGAGGGTTTTTTAAATGGAAAAATAGTGTAATCAAGAAGTTGTAGCCTGTTGTTTATTCTGCCTCAGCATCTGTATCCTTGTGGAACCACACTAGAAATGCTAGTGACTGCTTGCCTACTAATGATTATAAAGTAGACCAGTATTTACAGAGTGCATATTCTCAGAAATACCCTGAGAGGTGATGCAATAGCCATTTTCAAATATCTGAAGGGCTGTCACATGGAATAAGCTTCCCCCCCTTTTTTTTCTACTCCAGAGTGTAGTACCTGAACCAATGGATTCAAATTCCAGAAAGGAGATTCCAGTTAAACATTGGGAAGAACTTTTCTGATAGGGAGAACTGTTATGACAGTGCAACAGACAACCTCAGAAAGTGGTGGACTATCCTTAATTGGAGGTTTTAAAGAGGTTGGGTGGCCTTTGTCAGGGATTTTTTTAGCTGTGATTCCTGCATTGTAGGGGGTTGAATTAGATGCCCATCGGGTCCCCTCCAACACTATAATTATTTGATTCTATCCTGCTCCTGTGTTCCATGCTATAGCAGAGCCACTTGCCTTTATGGCCATTTGAAAGCTATCTTATACATGTACTGTATTTCACGTTTGCCTGGCTGAAAAACATATACATACACAAGTCCCCCACTGTTACCTCCAAGTCCCACACCTATTTGTCTTGAGCATTCTGTGCCCTCACCACTAACTAATATAATTGAAACCCCCATTTATCTTGGCTGGACCACTATACGTTTATTGCTTTTTGTATTGTAGCTTGTCTCCTCTTCTTGATGCATTCCACAATCAATATGCTGGATATATGAGGAAAGAACATTTGTTAACTCATGATGTATGTGATACTATTTAAGGACTTTTTTGATGATGGACTGGATTAGCTCTATAAAGGACGTTTTATAATCCTGGAACTTTAAATGTTTAATATACTCTGCAGTCTTCAGCTAGCATAGAATAAACTACAAACTTATACAGCAGTACCTCAGGTTACATACGCTTCAGGTTACAGACTCTGCTAACCCAGAAATAATGTTTCAGGTTAAGAACTTTGCTTCAGGATGAGAACAGAAATCGTGCTCCGGCGGCACAGCGACAGCCAGAGGCCCCATTAGCTAAAGTGGTGTTTCAGGTTAAGAACAGTTTCAGGTTAAGTACGGACCTCCTGAATGAATTAAGTACTTAACCTGAGGTACCACTGTACCATACTGGCATGGTATAACCCTGCTTGTAAATACTGTCGCAGCATTCACCAAAAAGTTAAAAGGGGGTTGCATTTTGGAAAAAGGTGAAGGAACCCTGTGTGTGCAGCCCTGAGATGAAATAAGTAATAACTGAAATGTTGACAAACTATCAGTTTATCAGGCCTCTCAAAGAATCTATCCCACCTTTGCAACCATAAGAAAATGAAGGTACCACACATCCATTTAAGGAACTCATACTACTTTAATAGTCATGAAGACAGTTTGTTAAGGGCCTCTTAACGACTCTCAGCATCCTTAACAAACAACAGCAACAATTTATTTCTTATACCCTGCCCATCTGACTGGGTTGACTCTGCCATTCTGGAATGGGCTTATAATTGCCTCAGATCTGCCTTTCCTCATTGTTCATACTGCTTGTATCACAATAGAAATAAATATGCAACTCTCTCAAAAAAATTGGCAATGGGGCGATACTCAACTAAATTGTGTTTGGCATGGACCACCCACAGTACGATTCATAAGACTGTGCACTGGATTTGTCCTGAGACCTGAATCTCTAGCGCAAACTGAACTATTCAAAGGAATCTTGGCCTCATTTGAGTTCGATTGAGACAGCCCCAGATCTCTGTAGGTTGGATTAAGTGGCCCAGTGTCATCCAGGACTGTTGGGATGGGGCATCAGGCAGGAAGGAGAGGCAGTCTTGAGGAAGAAGGAGTAACCGCAAAAAGGAGGAACCTACTGGGTGGCTCAATCTTCATGGTGGAACAAGGTGCTCTCCTGCCAGGCCTTTCCTCCTTCCTGCTTCCTGAAGCAGATCCTGTGTGGAGCTGGTCACTGCTCTTTTGCAAACAGCTTCCCTGCAAACAAGCTTCCTTTCTGTGCAGGGAAGCTGCTTAAGCAGCACCGCCAACTTCAAAGCCGCCTGCTCAGGGTTTTTTTTTAAAAAAAACCTTAATAACCCAATCCTACCTCCTGAATTGCTTTGGGGGTGGAACTAGGGCAAGGTGAGTGGCCCCTGAGGTTCCACAGAGACAGTCAATTCAATCCAGGGGCCACAGGGTTGATTATTCAGAGACCTAATTATTAACATTGGATCTCACCCTATAGAAATAATGCAAATTATTTTTATGCACATTTGCATACTTATTTCTGAATTTGGTTTCCTTGACACCTAATTTCCCATTCTAGGCTATAGAGCAGGTGTTCTGTGGTGTTCTATGGATGCTGGACTCCAGCTCCCATCATCCTCAGCTAGTATGGCTAATGGGCAGGGATAGTGGAAGTTGTAGTCCAACCCCATCTAGAGGGCACCATGGTGGCTATCCCTGCTATAGAGTATACCTGCTTATTGTCTGTGCAGAGCACTGGCGAGAAGTGAAGTGCTTGGAGTGTTGAATTGTTTGTGCATGATTAGACTGCTGCAGCCTCTGCTGCTATTTCTGAATGCAGGAGCATTCCCAGTGAAATCTCCCCCCCAACCCACCCAGAAATAAATATTTTATTGTAAACCACCCTGTGATCCTGTAAAGAAGGGTGGTATAGAAATTTAATAAATGATAATGAGAAATAGCAATTTTTAGAAGTGTGTTATTTTTTTATTCTCAATCGTGAAAAACCTTGGAACACCCAACTGCCTCTCTACACAGCACTGAAGGAGCACTGAACCCAGTATAGCTCAGTTGTTGGAGCACGAGACTCTTAATTTCAGGGTTATGGGTTTGAGACCCACGCTGGGCAAAAGATTCCTACATTGCAGGGGGTTGGATTAGGTGACCCTTGTGGTCCTTTCCAACTCTAGGATTCTAATAGCTTTTTGTAAACACCACAGCTCTTAAAGTTTTAGTAGAGTAAAATGAGGAGTTGAGTCTGCAACTAGCTGTGATGTCTGATTGAGGGTCAGCAAAGGCCTAAAGATGGTTTTGAGGCACAGGAGAATAAACTCAAGCCCTGCAGTGCATAAGGTGGTGGTGTCAGTTTTCCAGACTCAATTGGGGCCTTAAGATCTTCTGCTTTGTTCACTTGTACTTCTTTTTGTACAAGTGTCAATTTGTCAATTTAGCCATGCTCAATTTGCTTATGTACGAGTTTTCGCTTTGAGCAAATGATGTTGGCACTTACTGGTTTAGCAACTACCACATTTCTTTTCTAGAAAATGAATCTAAAAAATAAAGTGTTTCACTAACTCTCCTTTCATTCTGAGTTGCTGTACCATGTTTTTGAATGGTATTCAGGATTTAGTTAATATACCGGTACATGCATCCTCATAATGGGTCCCTGCTGAAAACATGCATTTAATACATTTTCCCTATCTAAAATGCAATATTAGAATAAACCTACATGCTGATTATCTGAGAGATTGTAAGCATTTCAAAACCTTTTTAATGTATGTTTAAGAATTTAGAATGGTTCACATTCCAGTGCTTAATTTTAATGGGGGAAATGTATGTTTAGAAACAATCAGTGCCTCTTGCTGTGACTCGGTCACCCTGACCATGTTATAACAGTATTAATCTAATGTCACAGGAATGGTTTTTTCAAACAGTTTGATAAAGGTGATTCAACTCTTAAGCTGTGCAAAAGTATTTTGCACAAAGTACTAAGTTACCATGGTTCCTTCCAGCATTAACTAAAGCCATAACACAGTGTTTACCCATCTCTCTCTCTCTCTCTCTCTCTCTCTCTGTGTGTGTGTGTGTGTTTGTTTACCCATCTCTGAACATTCTCCGCAGTATATGTCTTAACACACTGAAAGATACCAGTCTGTTCTGCCAATTTCTTCTAGTTGTTGCCAGGAGTCTATCTGAAGCATGCATTTCATCTACTCTCAAGCGGGGAGTAGTAAATGGCACAGAGAAGAGGATCAGGGTGCGATGGCAAGATTTAATTTTTTTGTTGGTCCCTAGCATTACATAATATCCTGTAAGATTTAAACCTTTACAGCAGTACAGCCAAAGTGCATTAGGAATGGGCTATTATTTCTAGCAGGGACACCTGCATTTACATGAGTCATCTTTGGAATGGGTCTGGTACCTGGCAAATGTAATACTGTACAAAGGCTAAGGGAGTCTGTATTGTTGCTGCTCCTCATTGGATTCTATGGTTCATTTCACTGTGGTTAAAATGCCAGTTTCAGGACTCCAGTTATTAGCCTTCAAGCTCTCCCCCGTTGCTCTCTTCCTGCTGTGGTTGGGTACCAGTCCACTGCACAATGTTGTCCCTCAGGTGCTGCATGATGACTGTGGATTCCTTGTAATACTCTAGGCTGAGAGTCTCCAGTCCAGCGATTGCCTTATCGAACGCAGCCTTGGCCAGTTTGGTTGCCTGCTGAGGGTTGTTGAGAACCTCATAATAAAGGATGGAGTAATTCAGAGCCACAGCCAAAGCCAACGGATGAGTAGGTTCCAAATGCCACTGACTGATTTCCTGAGCCTCCCCATAAACTTTCTGCGCAGATTTCACAAGCGTCTCCTTGACATCGGGCAGGGCCACCTCAGCTAAGAAGCGGTAGTTGTCCCCTTTCATCTTCAGGTAAAACGCCCGGCTTTCATAATCTGTGTCACTGCAGTGCTTCAGCAGTACGTGGTCTAAGAGGCTGAGGATCTCCCAACACTCTGCTTCCAGCTCCTTCTTTATGGTCTCACGGTAAGTTTGTGCTTGTTCCTTCTGCTTTCCGACCCCTTGCTCCACGGAGTGCTTTAGCCGTCGCCAAGAAGAGCACCGCTCCTGTGTTAGGAGCTTGTAGGCCTCAGAAAGCAGGGTCTTCTCCTCGTGGGTTAGTGGGTCTTTCCCTTCCATCACAAGCTGCCTCATGGCAGTGGCCATGTCCTTGTACCTGCCACATTGTTCTGCTAGCTGTGCTGCCTGCACCAGCTGCTTGCGGCTCAACATTGACAGGGAGAGGCCAGCAGTCACAGACTGGCCTGAATGGGCCAGGGGGAGATTCTAGCTGTGTGGCAGGCAGCAAGTGATGTCACAGGGACAGGAATGTTCTGGAATGTTCCGAAGCAGCCAATTTTATTTCCACAAAAAGCTGGGTGGTAGATTAACAGGAATCCTGCCGCCTTTCGAGTAGGAAATTTTGTCAAGCAGCAGGCCTCAAGTAGCATGTCATCTGTTGTGTTTGGAAATGTGGTGTGGTGTTCCAACACAAGTGTTACAGAATCAAAACACAGATGATAATCAAAAAGTGTCATGGCGCAATCGCATGAAATGTGGGTTAGTAAAGATAATGCCAGCCTTGTTACTAAGGCCTCAAAAGTTACTGGGGCCCTTCTTACAAATAAGAATTAGGCTGGTGAAGAATAGCAGGCTAGAAGCACAGCTGGCAGGCAAAGGAGAAACACTGTCACCAGTCTGCTGTGTTTGTGGAGGCTGCAGAGGCGGCTTCGCTTCCTTCCCATCCATGCTAATTTCCACACTGACTATGGAGGACATTGGAGGACTCCCCGTCCTCCAAGTATGGAAGCTGAGTCACTCGACAAAGGTGAAACAACGCTCTGTCCCTCCTCACCTATGTGGAATTCCTGGTCACCAGTGGTGACCAAGGAGGGCTTTATCAGTTGCACCCACCCTGCTTACAAAATTTGTTCCTTATGGAGGCTCACCTGGGCCCTACATTGATGCATGTGTTTGCTTATGTTGTGAACCCCTTCTGAGGTCCATGGATGCAGGGCAGTATAGATATTTAATAAAGGTAATACTTATTTATTATTAAGTTTAAATTAAACGATATTGTGTTATAGTGTGCACCCTCCCCCGATATGTTTTATGATATTGTGCTGCAGAATACTTTCTTCATATAATTAAATAAAAATATTCCCCTAGGCTTTTTAACCTGATATTTCACTGCTGTTTGTTTATTTTACTGTTTTATTTATTTATTTGTATGAACTACCTTGGGCATGCATAAAGATAAATACTGACTGCACACTGATTCAGAAGCCAGCAAATACGATATCCAGTAGCTTGTTTTCAGTCCTGTGATGATGACCTGAATTCACTGAGCAGGTCAGAGCTGAGAACTGTCTATTTTATTTCTTTTTTTTAAGAGGGGGTGTCCAGTAACAATGGGATTATGGAAGTGTAAGAATGGACCATTAAATTACCGGAGACCGGAGACGTTTACCTGAATTTTGCCAGTAAGAATCACCCATGATTGGTGTTCCTCACTGCCAGTTTATTTTATTTGTGAAGACGGGTAAAAGCGCAAAAGGGCCAGTGTGCAAATGAATGGAATATACCACACTCAGTTGAACCTTGGGTTTTTCTTTCTTTCTTCTAGGCACTTGCTTGAGGCGAGGCAATTTAGCAATTTGAGGATTAACAACACCCAGCGGGCAACACTAAAGGGCTGCCATAAACCGCTTTCCTTCTCAGCCCTCCCGACCTGCAATATGAGGTTGATAGTAATAATATTAAAAAATGAATTACATCGACAGGCACGTGTGACATCCTCTCCGGTCCCGCCTCACCCCGCCTGCAAAATGGGGTAAAAATGAAAACAAAACACCGTGGGCAATATCTGTGCAGGGCAATATTTAAGATGTTGGAAGAAAACGTTGCAAATTTAAAGAAAAAGAATGAGCGGGACTGGGGAGAAGGTCCCCATCCCTAGGGGAGAGGGAAGTCTTCGCATTCGCCATTACCTCTTAGGGAACAGCAGCTACAAAATTCCCCAGGCTTAATAAGAAGCGGGGTGAAGGGAAGTTCTCTTTCTGCAGTTCTCTTACTGCACATAACTGTGGCATTATGGGAACTCTTACTATGCAATCTTTCTATGCTTACTATGAAAACTCTTGCTTCTTTCCTCTTGGATTCTGGGAAGTCTCCTTCTGCTCTGCACATACTGTTCCAAACACACCAAGCTCAGGACACCCAAGACATTCCCTCAATTCTTCAGTTCATTCTGAGTTCACGTACAAAAAACAACATGCTCTGTTCTCAATGCATAGCTGACCACATATACGGACCTTTCACTTATGATCAATCATTAGTAATTGTTTTAGTCATGTTATATTAATCTTAGTTACAATTTAATTAAGAGGATTCATGCCTGTCTAGTTCCAGCTCCGCTCCCAGTCTTTTGAACTATCACTGATTGATGTCATATGTTATTCCCGCCTTGTACCTATGTTAACCAATCAGCAACAAGATGCTTTGTGTTTGTATCAGCCAATCAGCCACAAGCACACCTGTGGCAATGTTTGTAATATTCAATAAAAGAGAGTTCCCGGGGCTTGTCCCGGGCAGACGCCTCTCCTTTGACACCCACCATTCGTCTGTCGTGATTTCAACCCAACATCTGGTGACCCCGACGTGATGTCAGTCATGGGCAAGCCTCATTCCCTGAAAACTGACAATGCCCCAGCGTACTGTGCAAAAACCTTTGCTCAGTTCTGTGAAACTTGGAATATTCACCATTTATTTGGCATCCCCTACAATTCTCAAGGCCAAGCCATCGTCGAAAGGGCTAATCGTACCTTAAAAACTGCTCTACAACGCCAGGAAAAGAAGGCCGGTGTCCCAGCCTTCCTTTTCGGAAAGGGAGGCTGGCTGGCCAGTGTTCTCTTTACTCTCAACCATTTGAATGTTTCCATACAGGATCATCAATCTTATACTCGCCTGCAGAAGCATTTTCAGCAAACAGAGATACTCCCAGCCCCACTGGTCCGCTATAAGATATTACCCTCCAACGAGTGGAGTGAACCTGTAAAACTGATCACCTGGGGAAAGGGTTACGCTGCAGTGTCTACTCCACAGGGTCCTCGCTGGGTTCCCGCACGCTGCATCCGCCTATACCATGGCATGGCGACAGTCCCTCCCGAATCCAGTACCGCAGTTCGACCACACACTACGGATCGCCCAGGCCGCAGCGCCCAGCCCCCCCAGGACTCGCAAGCGGGAAATCGTAATGGACCTGTGACATGGGGCCAAATAAAATCACTCTCATGTCAGGCTGAACAGCTTAGAAAGGAAAAGCAGCTTGAAGCAACCCCTGAGAATTTGCTTCTGTGTGTTATTTCCTGCCTTAACATTAATTCCATGACAGTGCTCATTCTCATTGCTTTGTTTTTGCCTCTTTCTGCTTCCACTCCTACTAGTGACACCCACGCACCTACAAATGTGTGGGATCTTTTGCAAAGACACTCAATATTTCTTCCTTTTGCCTTACCCAACAGGTATCTATAGGGAGATTCTTGGCTCCTGCCTTATCCCTGTTTCCCATGACCCTTTTGATATACAAAATGATACCTGGTTTTCTCATCCCTACCCACGAATGATTCTCTCCGCACCCTTGGTTATTCCGGTTATTATGTCTGGGGTAACCAAGTGCGCCGCCACCCATCTTTGGCCATTGATTTATCGACCCCATACGTGGCTTCCTTTAATGTCACTTGCGCCCGTATGGTGAATTGCACAAAAGCCAACTGCGTGAAAATGGGCACTGATAATTTCCACTGCTCTGATTATGTAAATATTTCCTATCTGTATAAATACACAGAACTACCTGCGGGTTGGTTCTGGTCGTGTCCTGGCTATACATTTAATTACATTCCTGCAAACATCAGCCATGGAACACCCTGTTGTTTAAGCCGTTTGTCTATTGTATTACCCAAAAGCATCATTTGACCCCTTCTCGACATCGCCGCTCTATTGAATTAACTAATGATTGTGATGATTCAATTTCTCTTCCCAGTAGATCTGAATATATCTCCTTAGCTGTCTCTCTCTTAGGAGTTCCTGGATTGGCTGTACGCAATAGTAGAAATATTAATTCTCTAGCTTGTTCTGCAGCAAAAGCGCTGAACTATACTTCTCAAGCCCTTCACCTTCTGAATAAAGAGCAAAGTGAACTCCAGCATGGGCTTTTACAGAACCGTGCCGCGATAGATTACTTGCTGATGCTTCATCATTATGGCTGTGAACAAGTGAATGACATGTGCTGTTTCAATATTACTGACAACTCTAGAGCCATTCAAAGCCAAATCTCTCATTTGCAAAATCTTACACATCACATTAAACAGGACGTTGGATTTTCTGGCCTCTGGGATTCTTTCACCCACTGGCTTACTGCTTGGTTGCCTAACCTTACTTGGCTTCGTAGTCTCTTTCAATATGCTATTTTCATAATTTCCATTTTTATTTTACTATGCTGTTTCCTCCAATGCGTTCCCAGCCTCATGAGTCTTTTCTCTCGGCTTCTCTCCCCCCCTCCACCACCCAGCAAACTGCTTGCTGCCTACATTGCGAAATGGCAACACCAACAGTGAACCTTAGGGGAGATGTGGGCGGATTTATTTTGGGCATGCGCTGGCAAACCACGTATCCTGAAGTACTTTTGTCCCATCGACCCTGGCAGGCTTATTTCGGGCATTCGCTGGCACACCACTAATCCCGAAGTATTTTTGCCTTATCCACCTGGAATGCCTCGCAAACAAGAAAAGAAAAGGGGAGATGAAGGGAAGTTCTCTTTCTGCAGTTCTCTTACTGCACATAACTGTGGCATTATGGGAACTCTTACTATGCAATCTTTCTATGCTTACTATGAAAACTCTTGCTTCTTTCCTCTTGGATTCTGGGAAGTCTCCTTCTGCTCTGCACATACTGTTCCAAACACACCAAGCTCAGGACACCCAAGACATTCCCTCAATTCTTCAGTTCATTCTGAGTTCACGTACAAAAAACAACATGCTCTGTTCTCAATGCATAGCTGACCACATATACGGACCTTTCACTTATGATCAATCATTAGTAATTGTTTTAGTCATGTTATATTAATCTTAGTTACAATTTAATTAGGAGGATTCATGCCTGTCTAGTTCCAGCTCCGCTCCCAGTCTTTTGAACTATCACTGATTGATGTCATATGTTATTCCCGCCTTGTACCTATGTTAACCAATCAGCAACAAGATGCTTTGTGTTTGTATCAGCCAATCAGCCACAAGCACACCTGTGGCAATGTTTGTAATATTCAATAAAAGAGAGTTCCCGGGGCTTGTCCCGGGCAGACGCCTCTCCTTTGACACCCACCATTCGTCTGTCGTGATTTCAACCCAACAGCGGGGAAACATGGCGTCAGAAGTAACGGAGCAGACCCATCTTTAGACAAAGGAAGGGCTAGTCTGCTACTGTTTACCTCTGTATGGGCGGAGTAAACCTGAGACAGGAGAAAAAGAGCCCCGTTTTCAAGCGGGAGGGAAGGGGCGGTTCCAGGGCGAGCTGTGATTGGCAGGGTCTGAGAGGGGCGATCCCGGGCTTGCCCCGCCTCCCTCCTTGCACGCCCCGCGATCTGGTCTTCGCCCCGAGGCGGGGACTCCGGACTTTCTGCGCCACGGCGGGCGATGGAGGGCTTCTCGGGACGCCGGGCTCTGGTGACGGGGGCGGGCAAAGGTACTGGCCAGCGGCCTCCGGCCTAAAAGCAATGGCCCCCGCGCACCCTCTTCGTCCATTTAAGAGGCATTTCCTTACTCCTTTTTGCAGGGATCGGCCGGGCTGTGGCGGTGGCGCTGAGCCGTGCCGGGGCCCAGGTGGTCGCGCTGAGCCAGACCCAGGCGGATCTCGACCACCTGCAAAAGGAGGTAGTCCTTCTTCAATGCCTCTTTCAGAAAAGCTCGTGTAGGGTCGTCAAGCTTCTGAGAGGGCTCTTACTGGCTGGGGTTGCCCACACTCATGCTCCCACCTACCGACCAGCTGATCCCTGATCCTATAAAGTTAGCTGATCTTCATGGAGACCCGGTGCTGAGAAAAGCTTCACTTGCTGAATTTCTTATCAGGGTGTAGGAGCGTTACTGAGAAACAATGTGATAGCTGGGGGGGAGGGGGTAGGGATTATCTGCCTGCACAGTTTTGCCTTCCATGCAATTTTCGCCTGTGGCACCATTTGTGTGATTATTATTAATGCAGGGTACAAAATGCGAAAGGCACATTCCAACGTGTGTAGATCTTACATACAATCGTACGAGTTGGAAAGGAGCACAAGGATCATAATTCTAAGCCAACCCCGGTAATTCAGGAATCTTTCGCCCAACCTGGGGCTCAAACCCACGACGCTGAGATTAAGAGTCTCATGCTCTCTAACAACCAAGCTATCCCTCATTCAAGATGTCACATTCTCATATGAGATGCAGACGATGTCACACACACTTCTGTAAAAGTGCGCCTAATGATACAGAATTAATTTCAGGGTGAAGATAGGATCTGACAACCCTAGTCTTGAACCATCAACCACCTACGTCTTCAGCCTATTCTGTGCGTCTGTATGTTGTTGGAAGAACAGGAACTAGGGCACCAGCAGACCCAGATTCTCTTCTGCCCCACTAGCTTAACCTGATCTCTATCTGTTTTCTCTGTTCCTAGTGCCCTGACATCCAGACGCTATGCATAGACTTGGGTAACTGGGAGGCCACAGAGGCAGCACTGAGCTCAATGGGGGATATTGACCTGTTGGTGAATAATGCTGCTGTAGCACTGCTGCAACCATTCCTACAGGTGACCAAGGAGGCCTTTGACAGGTAATCCCAGACCCAGGACTACAGGCAGGTTCCCTTGTTGGTATCTGGTGGTTAGGGGAAGAGATGCCTAATTTCACATTGCAAGCTGTCATACAATTATGTGCCTTGCAGATTCTCACTCTGAGCCCTGGAGGCTTTCTGCATCCAATCCTGAAAGACGTGTAATAAAACCTTTATCCTAGATTGATGTTTTCATTTTAATCTGTCCCAGTTTGCCAAATAAAAGAGCTGGCTCACAGAGGCGCCAACCACAACTCTTCCTGCTGCTGGAGAGAGGGATACGGTGGCTAGTTTTATTTTATCTGCTTGGTTATTGTCAAGGCAGATCCGTTGCTAAAATGGGGGGGCGGTGCTCTGTTTGCAGGTTACAAATGTTGTCCCTGCATATTTTGGTCCCTAGCAGTAACCTCAAGGCATTGCTGTCTGCTTTGCTTTGCATATTTAATCTGACTTTGCTTTTATGTAGGTCTTTCAATGTCAACCTTCGGGCCGCACTGCATGTCTCTCAGGTGAGAAGTCTGCGTGGTTTTGGGAGGGCAATGCTCACTTCTGAGCAGCCAAGCAAAAGGCTCAGAGGCTTGGCTAGTATTCTGGCCTCCCGTAGGAATTCTAGCTCAATCCTATGCATGTTCACTCTGAAGTAAACACTCACAGATAAACAATGGAATTTACTCCCCAAGTAAGTGCATAGGACCACAGCCTTAAGGTGGTAAACATTTAGAGCTTTGACCATGCTGTCGCATGCTCCTTCAGGGCTGAGGTATATCAGAACTTCTCCATGTAACTGCTCCTCTGTGCTCGAGGCTTGTCTTTAGTTACAATGGTGATAGTGCACATTAAAGCTACAATGTCCTCACCCCTTTATCGGGTGCCATGCGTTTCAGATTGTTGCTCGGAAACTGATTGCCAGGGGAGCGCCGGGTGCAATTGTGAATGTCTCGAGCCAGGCATCCCATCGGGCTCTGACCGATCACACGGTTTACTGTGAGTAAAACTACAAGGTTTTTGCTGCTGTCCTTCCTGCTAAACACAGGTGGAATCTGCAAACAGTGTTTGCAGTGACAACGTTGCCTCAAGCCATGCGTGTTCAAGCTGGCCATGGATGAGAGCGTGAGGGGCAGGATTGGGGTGTGGGGATGAGCAGGCAGCAACCCAGGACACTAAATTCTCTTGTTGCGTTGAAGGTTCCACCAAGAGTGCCTTGGATATGCTGACAAAGACAATGGCTCTGGAGCTGGGTCCCCACAAGGTAAGAACTGAACCCAGATGAATTATTATAAGAATGTGAACATCTGGCGTGGAAAGGGCCATGAGAACCCTTTCTCAATCAGAGCAGAGTAAACAGAGACTAATAATGGTTGAATCAGGATATATGCCCATGGCAGTGTTGAGGAACCTGGGCCCCCCCAATGTTGTCAGACTATAATTTCCATCAGTCTCAGTCAACATGGCCACATGGTCAGGGATGATGGGAGTTGTAGTCCAAGAACATCTGGGAAGGCCACTTGGTTCACCATCCCTGATGTAGGCCAAAGAGGAAAATTCAGTTGGATCCTGCCCTGGAGGTAATCAGGTTGAATAAGTCAGAGTCACATATATTCCTACATGCCAGTTGGGACAGAAACATCTCTGTCCCTGGAGCCTATTTATGAACAAGAATGGTTGCAAAAGAGGGGGCCCCAGCAGGTGTCCTGCTGGCATGAACGGGCTAAGCCTGCATTCATTATCTGCTTTCCTGTCCTTGCTTTTTCAAGATTCGGGTGAACAGTGTGAACCCCACGGTTGTCATGACAGACATGGGCCGCCTCAACTGGACTGATCCCCAGAAAGCTGGACCTATGATTAGCCGCATCCCATTGGGGAAATTTGCAGGTAACTTGAAGCATCAGTTTCCCACGAGGAGCGCAAGTGGGGGCCTCTGTAGCTTTAGAAACCTATTAAAAAAGAGAAGAGCATGGCAGCCTCCTCTGAGTAACATGGAACAGTTTGAGATTGCCTCTCATTTCCCCAAAAATACCCTGCTTCCATTGGGCTAAAGGGATTGTGTCTCAAAATGAAGGAGGATTGCTTACCATTTAAGATCATGGCGAATGGGCATCCTTCCAGGGACAGGCAAAACTGCTATTTCCCCTTTTCCTGATAGACATGTAGCTAGCATATGCAGTAGTCAGGAGAGTGCAGTTCTCACACAGGGGCTATACTACCCCTGTGCTCTATGGATTTGCTCGAAAAGCACACCAACCATTGAAAACTGCCTTGGGAGAAATCACATGCAGGAGTCCTATCACATGTATTGACAGACTCCAGCTAGTAGCTGCCAGAGAGAACAATCTTGGGAAGGGGCTACAGCACATGTGGAAGTGAAAGGATGGGGAATATCTTGTTTGGAGTGTGGGGCATTTCATCCACCTCTGAAAGCCCCAGGGGCATTCCTTGAACTTGATTGCTTAGAGCTGCCTCTGGTCTATCTATCATTACAGAGGTGGATGATGTGGTGAACAGCATCCTCTTCCTACTGAGCAACCAAAGCAACATGACCACAGGTGCCATGCTGCCAGTTGACGGGGGATTCCTTGCCTGCTAAAATACAGCGTTTGCTTCCATCTTCCCTGTGTGATTTTTTTTCCTGCTGAGTCATCCGGAACAGACTGAGACGTGGAATGAAATTCTGTGGAACATGGATGGGGAACTTGCTGCAACTCCAGATCTTCATGGGCCCCAGCTCCCATCAGCCCGGCCAATAACCAGGGATGACGGAAGTTGTGGCCACAGAGAGAGAGACCAAGTGGGAGGTTCCATTAGTGGATGCATGCGGAAAGTGAGGGCTGTAGGATGCTTGCTGCTGCCGCTGACCCTGAACAAATCACACTTCCTTACTTATGGAGAAATGTTTATTGTATAAAATAAGAGGTGTTCAGCTCATCACTCTACACGATGATTAAAAACTGGACCCGTCTCCATCCCAACCCCTCCAAAGCTCTCCCTGCTCCATCCCCCAGTCCATCCCACCTGGCAAAAGGAAGGGGTTGGCCATAACCCTTTCCACCTGCATCATCTTTAATCTTACAGAAAGGTTCCTGCCATCTGGCCCTGTCCTGCTCAGGCCGGACAAGGTAAAGAGGCCTTCCTCCAACTCTCCATCTTTGGGAGAGCTGATGGTCTGTAAAACCAGCTGAGGAGCAGCACACAGGCTGATATCCTGAAAGGCAAAGGCAGCTTGGGATGACACAGAGCTGCACTGATCATTTCGCTTTGCTAGTGTCTCGTGCAAATCAAGCACTATAAAAGCTACTTCTTCAACCTGTGTCCCGTTTGTCTTTCCCTGCCCCAGCTGGGGTTTGTTACCTGCTCCTGCCACAATGCTCTAGCACCAATAGAAGTAGTAATAAAGGGCTGGTCTTTCCATTCACGCATTACCCCCCCCGGCATGGAGACACGGGGAGCATGCACCTCCCACTGCTCCGCCCTGGGGGTGGGACAGCATTGAGCTCCTCCTCCTCCCATGCGGCCCTTTTACATCGACACAGACGTTAAATCAAAGAGACATTTAAAAAACACTGACTTCGTACATGATGAAGGGCCCCGCCTCTCCCATTGCGGGAACACCCAGCGAACGCTTCCTCCTGGCACATACAAGGAGGAGACACCCATAACATGCTGAACTCAGACGCCCTTAGAACACGGTGCACTTCTTGCCAGGCTTCTTCACGGGGGGAGGACAGAGCACAGCACGGATGGCTTCATCAAAGACAGTCTTGAGGCCACGCTGTGTAAGGGCAGAACACTCTAGGTACTTGACTGAACCTGGAGGAATTCAGGAGACAACATGACTTAGGGAGAGTTGTGATTTCTCTGCTCCCCCCCTCAGATCCTTAAACCTTGATTATAAAATTCTTTTTTGGGGGGGGGAAGCAAGGTTCTAATGCACATGATAGACAAAAAGATGGAAAACCACAGAAGCTAACACTTCTAATTGTTGGGAGAATGCTGTGTCCCCCTCAGTTCACCATTGCTTCCTGTAGCCCCCGCTTCCAAGACTCACCAATTTCCCTGGCCATAGCTAGACCTTGAGGGTAGGTAATGGGAGCCAGCTTCTTGTCACGCAGCCTCTCAATGGTGTCCTTGTCATCCCTCAGATCCAGCTTAGTGCCCACCAAAATGATTGGTGTGTTGGGGCAGTGATGTCGAACTTCTGGGTACCACTGAAAATGAGACGCAAGGGAGTAAATATCCTTGACGGCAGACGTTCCTGTGTGCTAGAAGCAAACTGGTACCCAAGGATAGGTGGCCCTTCCTGGCTCTTTGCTTTGCCAACGATGCCTGGGAGAGGCCTTTAGGAAAATATCCTGATTCTACTTCACTGACTTTTAATCCTGTCCTTGAGGCATCACTCATGTGCTTTGGGCAGCAAGATGAAAGGCACCCTCTGCCAATCTGCGGCTAGGCTGCTACGAACAGGCCTACCTCTTGGTAGTCACTTCCACATTCTTAAGAGAAAGCCTCTTACCTTGGCTCGGACGTTTTCAAAGGAAGCTGGGCTCACCAGTGAGAAGCAAATCAGGAAAACATCCTGCAAGGATACAAGCAGGATAGATGACAAGGGTGGGATGTAACTTCTGATGAAACAACAGGAGTAGCAAATGCATCTCGTGCATTGTCAAGCTATTTGTGTCCCAATACTGTCCCCTCTCAATTTAGTCCCCGCCCCAAAATAGCAGATTTCACAAAAGGGATGTGTAATATTGGCTTAATTTTTTATTGAACTGGCTGAAGATTTCCCTCATGGTCACGTAATTCAAACTTGTTTGTTGCAGAAAGAACATGGAATGCATTTGTGCATAGTCTACAAGAGTACTGCCTAGTTTGGTAGAGGTAGAGGGGCCTTTCTCTAACAGGAGATATAATCCGACTCTACTTGTGGAGATGCAACCTCATCACTTACCGTCTGTGGGTAGGAAAGAGGCCTTAGCCTGTCATAGTCTTCTTGTCCCGCTGTATCCCACAGTCCCAGGTTTACTGGCTTCCCATCTACCATGACGTTGGCAGAATAATTATCAAACCTGGAGGGGGAAATGTTCCATCAGCAACAGAGAATCACTCTCTACTCCAAGGGTCAGCAAACTTTTTCAGCAGGAGGCCAGTCCACTGTCCCTCAGACTTTTGGGGGGCCGGACTATTTTTTTTGGGGGGGGGGATGAATAAATTCCTATGCCCCACAAATAACCCAGAGATGCATTTTAAATAAAAACACACATTCTACTAATGTAAAAACACACTGTGCGCAGGCCGGATTTCGAAGGCAATTGGGCCTGATCCGGCCCCTGGGCCTTAGTTTGCCTACCCATGCTCTACTCCATCATCACAGGTCACACCCTCCATATCACAGTGCGATCCTATACATATCTACTCCCACTGAGCAATTTGGATTACTCCCAAGTAGGTGGGTTTCAGATTGCAACCTTAATTCCATGCTAGATTAATTATGCTGGAATACTTCCCACTAACTACTTCTCTCTTCTAAAGCAGTAACTATTCACTACAAATTTTAGAGCATCGCCTCAATCGCATAGCTTTATTTCTTCCTCCACCACACTTAAATCACATCTGTTGTCTAACCTAATGGTGACTGAAAAGTAGTACCACAGTCTCTTCTTCTACCTCCCTACCCCTGCCCCTGGCTGTCTTTATTAAAAATATTATTTTCCTCCCATAACGTTTGTTCTTTTTGTTTTTATATAGTGAAATAGCTCTGTTTTGTAATGTTAAACCCCATTAATTTAAAAAGCCCTCAGGAGAAACAGGCACGATAATGAGAGGCATTTAAGAGGGGCGATCAGCAGCCCCCCTGTGGAAGCTATCTTAGGACAACCTGCAAGCAGGACACTTTTCAATGATGTCAGAAGGGCCATTTGCTGAACGGGACTTACTTCTGAGGAAATAAGAAAAGATCACAGCCATAGTGGTGGGCACTGCAGGATAATATATTAAGTGATCTGTTGAACTTCCCTTTTAATTCTGCTTCCAGTTGAGAGCAGAAAAGCAATGCCTCAGGATTGTTAAAGTGTGCTAGAGCAGAAGTAACCTGAGTTAATCTGTATATTACATTTCAGTAAGTTACTCAACAGGCAACCTGTACAGAGGTGGAGAATAAGTTTAACGCCAACCCTTTCTCTGTTACTTTCCAAGCGAAAGAATGGTAGAAGCATGTAAATGATATGACTCTAGTGAACATTTCCCATAGTTCTATTATTCTTAAGCACAATCCTTGAGGAATACTATAGCCATCACAACCAGGGCTATTTTACCCAACAAAATTCCACATAAGAAAAGCAGGCATATAGATCATCTGTGATTTTTTTGCTATGTGTGGACACACACTGGAAAATGGCTAATTACAGCTTCCCTGCAGATGTGCCTACAGCAAAATACTTATTTTTAAAGTCATTTGTACTTAACTTTATCCGGTTTAGTAGACTATTGCTCAGTTTGTCCCACTTCAAGTGCCCCTAGGAGTCCCAGTTCTTTCAATACCCAGAGTATCAGCATCCCATTGTGGGACTTCTACAAACCGCCATATTATCTGCGCATGCATGTTATCCCACAACTATGTAGTAGAACTTCTATACTCACACAGTGGGGATGTATTCTCCGGGGAAGGCATTTGTCGTGTAGCTGATCAACAGACAGGTCTTCCCCACAGCCCTGAAGAAATGAAAACAGAGCCGTACAGCATAGACACAACAGGATGGCACGGAGTGGGGCTGAGAGGGGGGAAATGGGATGCATTTCCCCAATTCTCAGCCACTGGATCAGATCTAGATTTTTGTATATGTGATCTATCCTTAACACACCCAAACTTCTTCCTTCAGTGACGTTGTTCTATGGGGCAGGAAACACACCTTATACAACAGGGGTACCCAATGTACTACACTCATCAGCCCCAGCCAGCTTGGCCATGATCAAGATAACTGGAGTTGTAGTCTGGCAACAACTGGAAAGCTACCCCTCCCTTATAGTGAGATTCTTCACACACTACTAATCTGGGCTCATAATAACCTTAAAAAACAACAACCCTCATTGTTGAGACTAACAGGGTGCACTTGGGTTAAAAAGTGAAAACACAATTAATAGCCAAGGATTTTGAGTTCCAGCAGGAAAAACGGTGTTCAATGATCCTGTATTTACGCTTCCTTTTTGCATACCAAGCATCTCTCAGTGGCATAGCCAGCAAGCACAAAAGCCAACGGGACAAATTTTCACCCATATGATCACAGATAAAGATGGTCTTCGGGGATAGACAGCAGCAGCAGTGCTGGTGCTGTACATGAGAATACATGTGAAAACCATTTGGTAGGAAACAAATGTATTGCTCTCTACTGTTATTTCTGTGCAACACACATTTAAAAAAAAAGATGCTTGTGATATGTCTGTGGACTGATTCTATTAAGATCAGCACCAGCATTGTCTAATGGCAAGCCATTGCATAGGGAGAGGTCACACACCTTGTACCCAGTCGCAGCATTCCCTTCCCATGCGCTGGAAATTTCATTTGCATGCTCGCACTTCTGATTCTTAGCCATTTCCCCATCTCACTGGGTATGGTTTAAAGCAGGCAGTGCTGTAGGTTTTTAAAAAGGGGATACTCAAGGGTACGCACCCCCTTTTTGTTGTAAAAAAAGTGGCAGTTACTGTAACAACTTCATGCTGAGTACCAGCACCTATTTTTCTAGGGGTGGGGGGAAGCACTGAAAGCAGAAATTGCCAACATCTGCAAACAGGGAGATTATTTTAACTTTTCTTTGAGTAAAGGTCTGAACAGATGGGGTGAGAGGTGCAGTTTGACCATGTTAGAATTATGCACTGTAACATTTTAATTTATCTTTGTAATCATGCAGGAAGACAGTCTTCTCATATCAGTGGAGCAATGGGGATACCCCAAATCAATGGTGGCAGGGAAGTTGGACCACGCAATGCCTTGCGATAAATATCACGTGGCATTTACAGAATGCTTTTTGAGCATTCAAAGTGATTCGTGTGCATCTCCTAAATAATACTAAGAACCTACTGTAAGGTAGGTCAGTGCTATTGGAAGGGGAAGCCAGGGAACCTGAAGCTGAGAGATTGGGGTGGTGGGAGATTGATTTGCTAGGGCAACAATGAGGTGGGGAGGGGAGAAAGAGAGTCGGAAGAGAGCAGACAACCGCCACAAAAATAGCTGACTGTGTTTGAACCAGATCCTCTGTTCTGAAGGGCCAGCCACAGAGTTCACCGTTAAAGTAAAGTCTGAACTAGGGGCTCCCGACTTCACACCACCATTTATCACATCTGTATTGCACCCTTCTTTTAAGAAGCTAAGGGAGCATACCTGATATCACCTCCTCTTTCTTACCCCTATGGGGTAGGATAGGCTGAGACTGTGATTTGCCCAACCCCACGCCCCAACAGAACGGGGCTTTGAACCCAAGCTTCTGTGTTCCAAGACCAACATGCCTTCTACAGCACACCACATGCTGACGCCCTGGCCCCAGGACAGTTCCCTAAATCCCTGAATCCATCTACCAACATAGTTATTTGAGCACAATACTGTATTCCTTTGGTGGCCTGAACATTTGAGGTGGCTGGTAACCATCCTTGGGATTCACCCTGCACCAGTGCTTATTGCTGTCAGCTTGCCAAGCTATCTTCACACATCCTCCTGGCTGGTGGCACTTAAACCTGCAAGCTGGGGAATCACAGCATTTGAAACAGCCATGGCTCTGTGCGTGTGAGAGAGAGAATGGCACTCGATCAAAACTGGGCATTTGCCCATCTCTGCCAATCTGCAGGGCGGTCACATCATCTTAGGATTCAAAGAAGGAAACACACCTTATCTCAGCCCGCCTAGCTGAATCGGTTTCAGATCCCTATCACAATAAAAGCAGCTGCCCCGCTCCTCGATCCAGCTGTGTGTATGTGCGCGGGAGAGGCGGGGAGGCGTTGTGCCAAAGGGAAGGCGAAGGGCTTTCATAAAGGCTCCCACCAAACCACATGGCGATGCTAAGTGCGGAAACCCGGAGGACGAACAGAGGGGCAGATCAGAAGCGTGGGGTGGGTGGAAGCCTTCCCTGGAGACCCTAGGAGCCAACTCCTAGGGGGCCGAGGTCTCTTCGCCCCCGCCCCCATAAAATATTTGATGGGCTCCCCCCCCCCCAAGTTGACGAGCGTTGCCATTCAAATGGTATGCGTGCTCCTTGTCTTGTGATTGAATACGTGGGGTGGGGCTTACCTGCCCCCCCCCAATATTTTTATTCAAGTTGGCACCCCTGCTGGAGACTGCAGCAGAAAGGGGGGGGGCGGCAGCACAGAAGAATGAGGGGGGCGGGCAGCTATGATGAGAGGCAAAGGCTAGCAAGGCAATGGGGGGGTTCGTAGGGCAACAATAGGTGCGTGTGTAAGGGGGCGCGCGCGCAGGCATAGGAAAGCAGGCGCCTCCCCAAGAGGCAGCTAGATGGGCGTGTGCTCAGGTCCCCTAGGCTGGTGGAAACCCACCCCCTCTTCCCCCAGACGCCCCCTCTTTCCCAGTGCACCATCCTCTTCCTCTCCGCGAGGCGTTCATTCTCTCCCCGCTAGCCCAGAGCCCCACCCTTGAGGTCCCCTGCCGCCTGGGCCGAGCGCCAGCCTCGCCCATCCGCGCCCCCCGACGGCGATGCCTTCCGGCGGCGCTCACCCGTCTCCCACGACCACACACTTGATGGCCTGCATCTAGCCCCGGCTGCGATGGCGGCGGCGGCGGCGGGCGCCGGGCTCCGTGTGCCTCGTCTTCTTTGGCGATGGATGCCGCCCGCAGCCGCAGTGAACGAGAGAGAGGGAGGGAGGGAGGAGAGGGAGCGAGCCAGAGAGAGAGAGAGAGAGAGGAGAGAGAGAGAGAGAGACCCGGGCGGGGCCAGGGGAGGAGGAGGCAGCAGCGTGGGAGTCCTGTGGCCCCTCCCTGCCACCCCTGGACTCGCGTCGGCGGAGCCGTGTGGAAGGAAGCGGGGCAGAGCAGAGGCACCTTGCAGGAGATGCCCAGATCTTAGGACCCAGCAGGCGCCTTGGGAGCAACCCGCGGTAGCTTAGCAACTGCCTGGTGCACTGCCTGGTGGCGCCTGGGACAACAGCAGCCGGCACCGTCGGCGACGGGGGGGGGGGGGGGGAGAAGGTCAGAATCGGGCCCTTTGCTGTCACAGAATCCGGGAGTTGGAAGGGGTACCCCGAGGGTCGTCTAGTCCAACCCCCTGCAATGCAAGAATCACGGCTACAGAACCTCTCCAACTCACCTCTGTTTAGCAACTTCCAGTGAAGGAGAGCCCGGCGCCTGCAGAGGCAGCCCCTTCTAGTCTAGTAGTTATTTGCTGCCTGCATTTATGCCCTGCCTTTTCTGCCAAGGTGCTCCAGATCCTGGAAGAACAGGAGTGGAGCCCTAGCTGGGTCACAGCAAAGGTTCGTTCTGGTCTCCCAGTGGCCAGTTAGGCGCCCATAAGAAGCCCCATAGCAGGGCATGGCCTCAACAGCATTGGCCCCACTCATGTTCGAGTGGCAGACTACCACCACCTCCAATATAGGTGTAGCCAGGATTTATGGTCTTTTTTGGGGGGGGGGGGCAGAACATCAGTTAGTTAAGTATTTTGTATTAATTTACTTGGTTTCCCCCCTGTCCCCTTTGGCTACTCCCATGACTTCCAATACATGTTATCCTCACAACAAGCATGCGAGGTAGGTGAGGCTGAGAAAGTGTAGCTGGCCCAAGATCACCCCATGAGAACTTAATGGCTGAATAGAAATTCGAACCCTGGGTTCTCTGGCCCTAACTCCAAGAGGTGGGCAAATATGTGAGGTGGGATGTCCATCTGTCATAGATGCTTTAGCTGAGATTCCTGCTGATGGGAGCTGGATCCCAACAATACCAGGAGGACCAGAAGTGCCCTATCCCTGTGGGGAGTCAAACACTGCAACCACTACATTACCGTAGGGGCTTGGCACCTTTCTGCTGGCATGGCCACTGCGCCTTTAATGTCTACAGCAGTCTGATGCTGCTGTTTATCTTCTGAGTCAGATTGAAGTAATTGTTATGTGTGCACAGTATGGTTATTCCGTTGTGAACCACCCTGTGGCCGCATATAAAGAGTGATGCTGACGTTCCTTAATAAATAAGCATGCAGGCATTCCGCTACAACAGAAAGGGCTGTGGTTCAGATCTGCTTTGTGTGGAAGAGGTCCAAGATTCACTTGCTGGCAGGGTAGGGCTGGGAATGTCTTCTGCCTGAAATCCTGGAGAGCTGCTTGCCTGCCAGTGTTGGCAATACTGAGCTACAAGGCTGTGTCTCCATTGCTATTACAGTGGTACCTCGGGTTACAGACTCCGCTAACCCAGAAACAGAACCTTGGGTTAAGAGCTTTGCTTCAGGATGAGAACAGAAATTGTGCGGTGGTGGCACGGCGGCCCCATTAGCTAAAGTGGTACCTCAGGTTAAGAACAGTTTCAGGTTAAGAACAGACCTCCGGAACGAATTAAGTTCTTAACCCGAGGTACCACTGTATAAGAGAATGAGGGAGGCATCCATGGTGAGTTCCGGCACCTCTTTTTCTAGAAAAATAGCACTGGATCATGTAGCCATTACTGTCTTGAGGGGAAGTTGCAGCCCTAGCTGCAAGTGTAACTCTGTGGCTATGGTCAGTAACTTGTTTTACAGAGCTACTTTGAGGGCATCCTGTCAAATGGGATGAAAGAGGCTAGGTCAGTCCTTATGCCCCATTACTGCAGCAACCAGCATCTCTGGAGTGGCAGAGGCAAGTCTGGAACTTCCAGTTGTTGGTTCCTCCCAAATTGTGACCTGGTGAGGAATTGTGATTTGAAGCCTCAGTGCTCCATCTGGCAGCTATATTAAAGGTAAAGGTAAAGGGACCCCAGACCATTAGGTCCAGACGTGACCGACTCTGGGGTTGCGGCGCTCATCTCACTTTATTGGCCGAGGGAGCCTGCGTACAGCTTCCGGGTCATGTGGCCAGCATGACTAAGCCGCTTCTGGTGAACCAGAGCAGCATACAGAAACGCCGTTTACCTTCCCGCCAGAGTGGTACCTATTTATCTACTTGCACTTTGACATGCTTTTGAACTGCTAGGTTGGCAGGAGCAGGGACCGAACAACGGGAGCTCACTCCGTCATGGGATTCGAACCGCCGACCTTCTGATCAGCAAGTCCTAGGCTCTGTGGTTTAACCTACAGCGCCACCCGCATCCCTGGCAGCTATATTAGGGGTTGGTTAAAAGCCCTGATACATAAACTCAAATATACAGCCTAGTGGAGGCAGCTTCCCAGGCATGAGTGCAGAAACACCCAGCCGCTTTCCTTGCCCTGGAGGCCAACTCAGGCAAGCACCCCAACTCAACACAAGGAACCACTTATGCAAATCACCATCTTTCCACAAAGCTGCTGGAAACACAGGTGCTTGAGAACAGGTAATTGACACCCAGTATGGTGCCATGGTTATAGTGTTGGACTAGGGGCTTGGAGACCAGGGTTCAAATCTCTACTCGGCCATGAAGCTCACTCACTGCTTGACCTTGGACCAGCCACTGTCTCTCAGTCTAGCCTACCTAACAGGGTTATTGTGATGATAAAATGGAGAGGGGAAGAGCCATGTACACCACCTCGAGCTCCTTGGAGGAAATGTAATAATAACTCAGTTCCGGCACCTCTCATGTGGGCGCCATTGCCATTATAAGAGAACAAGGGAAGCATTCATGGTGAGTTCCGGCACCTCTTTTTCTAGAAAAATAGCACTGTGTATGTGTGTGTACATATAACGTTTTCTCTCAAACTCCACCCAAGGGAACTTACGAAATTATGGCATTCTCAGGGCCTGAGGGGGTGGAGTGGGGGAGCTGAGTTGTGTCTTTAGGATTGAAAATAGATTTGCCAACCATAGTTGCTGCTTGCTGCATCCATGGGGGGCACATTTCTTCTGATCTTTGCTATATAACTTCCTATCAAAGTCATGGTCTAGCAGTCAAGAGTAAGTTCAGGAAACCAATGTAGTTCTCTGGATAGCAGCCAAGCTGTGACCTAAGAGATGCAAAGCTAATTTCAACCATGTGTCTCCAGGCAAGTAATCATGTCTCTCCAGGGGCACCATTTGTGGGGGGGGGGTTGCCCCCTATAACTCTTAGACCATATGCGATTATATTTCCAGCCAATGTACTGGTTCTATACATGGAGTATTATAAGCAGTTGAAAGGCCTTTGTACCAGCTATGCCTGTTTATTTTGCATTATGTAGAAAACCCTTTGTTTTAATGCTGTTATTGTTTAAACTGTATGTTCTTGCAGCCCTTGCTAGGGCAGTGAACAATTAAATGCAAAGGTATTTGTTATTAAAAAAAATTAAATCAAAGATACTTTCTATCTTGTGCGTGTTTAATCGCATAATGGCAACTTTAGTGTGCATTTAAAGTGTGACACGGGGCTCAAAGTCACTTTTAGTGTCATATATGACTACTCATCAATTGCCACCCGCACATTACGGAAACCTCAAATTGGCACTGAGATTTAGTAAAATAGCTGAAGATGGTTGCTGATTTGCTGCCCCTTTTGATTAGCTCCCCAAAATGCAGGACAAGCCTAAGAGGGAACAAATTTCTGCTTTCCCACAGAATCAGTCAGATCCCATTAAACACCCATGCAAGGATTTTATTTTTTTTAAGAGTCTGCCTCCATAAAACCTGACGCCTGGGGCACTGTTGATGTGTGCATGGGGGAGGGGATGTCCTTGCCACTGGGCAGAGGGTTGCAGGGCACTGATTACTCCAGACAGACATGAGCAAACAGCACTCAGGTTTCCTCCCAAACCACATAAACAAAGCTTTGAAAGAGCAAGAATAAACTAGGGTAGCTTTGTCCTTTTTCTCACCCCGCTGCCTTTGCAAACACTCTTCTCTAGCTGAGCTGTGTCCTTTCTGTCGCCAGCCATGTTGTTTTTCGTATAAGCAGGAGGACACCGTGTTAGTGAAGGCAGAAAAAGGGGCAGATACTTGAGCACATGCAGTTCTCAAGCACTATTAAACCCACCACCAATAGATCATCCCTAAAACGGTAAGAAACTTGAAAAGCTACTGAAGATGTACAAAACTTTACAATTATATCCTCATAGAGTACATCTGCCACAAGGAAGCCACCTGCCGTTGGCTAATAAGCCAAGAAAAACTAAGCAGGCCTGTCTTCACCTCTTAGAAGACCCTGCGTTAACAAGCTTTAAGTTCAGGCCAACTTCATACAATGCGTTTCGTATTTTAACAGGGGCTTGGAAGAGAAGAGATAAACTATTTCCTTTAGAAAGCAGTTTTGGATTTCTGCCAGTTTTGGGGAAATGGAAAGTGTAAGAAATGAGTGGTATTGCTTCTCCATATAAATGGTGGCAACAATCTGAAAATAAACAAAATCATTTCCGCACATAATTTGTATTATTGGAAGCTGCAAACACACACACCCTACTGTGAAGTTTGGTGAACATTCCAGACTATAGGAGGGGGATTTTGCCTCCTCCTCCAAACCCACTGGAGCACTATTATTATTATTATTATTATTATTATTATTATTAAAATTTGTATACCATCCTTCACCTGAAGATCACAGGGTGGTTCATAATAGTATATAAATGAGCTACTTCATTTTTGTAGCATGTATGAAGGGTGGGTAGACATACATGGGTCTTGTCTGCATGGCACAGGAAGCCAAACCTTTGCATAGTGAGAGATGGCAAGAGTGTGTAGCTCTTGGAGAGGAGCTCACAGTTGCTGTATTCCTCCCTGGTGCTTTTAGCTGCTGTGCTGAGCTAAGCCAAGATGTGTCATCTGAACCGGGGCTTGTGGTCAAGTAGTCTCATCACTAACCACAGTTCAGATGGCATGCTAAACCAAACATTAGCTGAGCTCAGTGCAGTTTGGCAACATAAAGGACAAGGGAGAAGTAAAGCAGCTGAAAGCTTTTCCCTGGGGAGACTGCATGGTCTCGCTAAGCTAAGGTTTGGCTTAGCACATCTTGTGAACCAGGCCATTGTCAAATTATACATAAACAACAGCGTCATAGTTATATGTGAAAAGACACATAAAATGAACACTGGTCTGTGCACAAACCGGCCCTTGAACTGGAGCAAAAGTAGAAACATTTCATTCTTATCCTGCCTTTAAAGCTGGAATTATAAATGAACACCAAGCTTGCCACTCCCATGAAAGGAACACAGCAAATTTGCCCCATCCTTGCCCCATTAGGCCACTCAAGCCTGTACCACTTTCAGGCCAAGGAAATAATGCACCGGCAGCTAGAGGTTCGCTCACTGTAATGATCACTTTCGAAAGCTGCAACAAGAGGGCTCCTCCCAAGCATGGAAGGCAAAGTATACGCTCTGTGGAAGGAGCTGATGGATGTAGACCAGGCTATACAAAGCAATTCCTGTCCTAACCTTCTCCATGGAATAGAATTTCCCCCATGTCTGCATCAGTAGTCCCTGTGCAGGTGAAAGTCTGGCGTGGGAAATGCCTACATGATCTGGGGTATCTGAGAAATGGGTGCTTTCACTTGTTCCTGATACAGTAGGACAGTTGGCCACATTGCGGCTGGGAGGGGGCTTTTGCTTCAGGTCATGCCACTGAGGTAACGTGCATCAGACCAAAGGCTGAGGCTAATGCCTGTCATGTAAGAAGACATTGTATTTCCTGCCCGTGCGACCAGACCTCTCTGTGGTCTCACAAACTGGAATGGATGGCTTTGCCTTGGAGACTTCCTCACAGTTTGCAGGTTTAAAAACAAGACTTGGCTTTGGTGCAGACTGTTAAAATAGTTCCTAAGGCAACGGCAAACACTCCAATGATACCTCAGGCCCAGCCTCAGGTAAGCTGACGCAATGCAGTCTCTCTTGCAGGATCTCCTAGCGACATAAGGAAGATGGACTCCATGATACTCCACAACCTGTCCACAGTAATAATTGAGACTCCCTTCCTTGAAGCCAGGATCCTCATGCTCACTTCTTGGGGCTCTGAGTGCTTCGCGGGGAGCCCTGCACGTAAGACATGATGGCGTTCTGAAGAAAGCTGACTCGCTGGGCTTCCTCCTCCCTCATCCTGGAGATCTCTGCCTCACGAACCCGCAGCTTCTCCAGTAGGCTTGAGACTTCACCCTCTTTGTCCAGTAGCGCCTCCCGGTGGTTGCTGGACAGAACTACATAAAGAGGAACAAAGCATCAGCACACCAAGACCTCTGTGGTCCTCAGGATTCTGGAAATGCTCTTGGGGCTGGGCTAAGCTTTACACAGGAGTGGCAGAAAGCCCCCATTGCCCATACAATCTCTGCTGGTGGAGAAATCTAGGTTTCTTCTTTGAATGTAAACCTCCTAGAATGACAAAATGGGCAAACCTGTGACAAGTCACTCCCCCAGCTCCAAAGATGCTACTGAACAAGAGCTACAATTGCACTGCTGTTTGGGGAGTTGGCATCTGGGGTACCTGGGAGGCAGAAATAAGAGGGGGCGCCCCCATCTTCTCAATCCCGTGGGCTGGATGTGACTTTGTCCCCAGCTGGTAGACTGCAAAGGTCCCACCTTTACACCTCTTGCTCATGTACGAGCCACTTAATCTTCTACTCCTGCCCTGCATCAAACGCTTCTATTTCTCTTTATGTGTTCCTCTCAGTTTGAGAGAGGCTGCCACATGGATTCCAGACAGCCCTCTCATTTCCTCCTCCTTTGCTGGGACTCTATGTCAGCCATCTCCGCCTCCTTCAGTCCCAAATCTGCCAGCAAGAGGGAAGCAGGATGCAAAAGGTCCCATTTGTCAGACCCAGCTCCAAGGCATCAAAGGATGCAATAAGAGTACTTGCTGGAGTTAGAAATAGATCAGCTTGGTCTCACAGGCATGGCATACCATCCTGTTTCTTGCAGCTTCCGGGGAAGCAGAGACACACCATTCCCTACCTTTCAGCTGTCGCTCCAGGGCTGCAATCTTCTCCCGCAGCCCTTCCTGTGCCGTCCTCTCGGCCTCAAGGTGTCCTATCTGCTCCTGCAGCCCTACTCGCACTTTGTTGATCTCAGTTACCTTCTCCTGTTCCTTGCTGCTCAACTCCTGCCATCCAAAATACAGGCGACAAAGCAAGTCAAGAGGGCTGCAGGCTAAGTATGAACCATTTTAAAAGCTCAGAGGAGATGCCCATCCCATCCCTTCCCTGTACAGTGGTACCTCAGGTTAAGTACTTAATTGGTTCCAAAGGTCTGTTCTTAACCTCAAACTGTTCTTAACCTGAAGCACCACTTTAGCTAATGGGGCCTCCCACTGCCACCGCATCGCTGCTGCACAATTTCTGTTCTCATCCTGAAGCAAAGTTCTTAATCTGAGGTACTATTTCTGGGTTAGCGGAGTCTGTAACCTGAAGTGTCTGTAACCTGAAGCGTATGTAACCCGAGGTAATCTACCATGTCTTACAGACACCCAATTCTACACCAATTCAATACTTCAGTCAGTAGAAATTGCATGCGTTTGAAAATTTAATCTTAGGTTTTCTGGCAGTGAAGGATGCCCTACCCGTTTTCTCCACTTTATTTTAATATTATTATTATTATTATTATTATTATTATTATTATTATTATTGCTGCTTAGGCAATTTACCGTATTTTTCGCTCCATAGGGTGCACCAGACCATAGGGCGCAGTTAGTTTGTAGGGGGGAAATAAAGAAAAAAAAATTATTCCCCCCCCCAGCCCCAAAGAGCAAAGAAGCCAAGACAGCCAGCGGGATCCATTCCGCTGGCTGTCTTGGCTTCCTCTTTAGCTACGCACAACCTCTCCAGCCGGGAGAGGCTGTGTGCGGCTTCGTTTTTAGCCGTGGGGCTGGGTCGGGGGAAGCCCGAGCTTCCCAACCCCAGCCCCCAGAACAGGTCTGGGAGCGGAGGCAAGGTTGCGCAGCCTTGCCGCCGCTCCCGGAGCTTACAGGCTGGGGGAGCGCTCCGAAGGCTTGCGGATAGCTGCCCAAAGCCTGGGGTGCACAGCGCTGTGCTCCCCGAGCTTCGGGCTGCAGGCTGCTATCCGCAAGCCTTCGGAGCCCGGCGGGAACTCCCGCCGCGCTCCGAAGGCTTGCGGATAGCTGCCCCTCTCGCTCTCCAGGCTTCAGCGAAAGCCTGCATTGCTCCATAGGACGCACACACATTTCCCCTTCATTTTTGGATAGGGAAAAAATGCGTCCTATAGAGCGAAAAATACGGTATATACCACTCAGTCACCATGGCCTCCAAACCACACTCTCCATTCACCTGCTGAAGTTCTTCCACTCGCCTCTTGAGCCCTTCCACTTGTAGGCTCAGGTGGCCCTCCCTAGACTGGGCCTCAGCCACTGCTTGCTTCTGCTGCAGGCAGTAATTCTGAGCCTCGTCGCGGGACTGCATCATCAGCCGCAGCTTCTCCTCCAGGTGCTCCTGTCGCTGTTGCTGCAAAGCCCAAAAGGGGGTGGGAGAAGAGGGGGTGGGAAAGCAACTGCTTGAAATTATATATATAACACCGGCATGCACTAATTAGGGTCGTCTTCCAGTTAAGGAAAACCTCCACCCATTATTGGTCCAAATTTTAATCCTTTAGTTATTCGACTGAAATTGCACACAACTTTGAAAAAGCCATAGTTGTGAAGCAAAAAGCATAGATTGTGGGCTCACGTTAGCCGTGTGTGTGTGTTTGAGAAAGGGGAATTCCTATTTCTAAGACTGTGCTTGCCACCTGCAGTTTTTGGAAGTAGCAATACAATGCGATGTTGAATTTGCTTCCAAGTGTGCAGTTCTGCAACATATATTTTGCTGTTCTGCAGAGGCAAGAAAACATGAAGCTGCCATGGAAAATGGTTATCCCCCCTCTCTCAAAGTGGTTTCACACCCTGATGCTATGACATGGAGAGTTTCCCGGCCCTGTTTCCACATCACTGGGTGCCACTCATGTGGCTGTTGAAACACAGTGATGTGATATGATGTAGGCGGTACAACACATTATGGATGGAATGGGGACAAGTCAAGTGGTTTGCTGCTGTTGCAGCTTCTGCAACCACCCCCATTGTTTCTTATAACATGTAGCTCCACCCTCAGCACCCAGCTGCGCTCACCTCTTCCAACCTGGCTTGGTTCTTGGCTTTGATGATCTCTTCCTCAATCTGGCCTCGCTCTACAAGGGCAGCAGCTTTCACTCGGCTCAATTCCTAGTTACAAAAGCAAAAAAAGGGCATTACGTGACAACTTTGGGTTGTTAAGAATCTCGACGTCACTTCGGCCTTCCTGAGTGTTCTCATCCAACAGGTTGCATTTGGATCCAAGATCCTAGAGGAGGTCGAAAAACCACAGAGGATAGGGACTGGGTATGTTTTTCACGCAAAGGTTGGCTATGGCAGTAAGCAGCTTATGGCTGGGACTTCGTACCCTGTGGCGGATCTGCTGCCGCTCCACTCACCTCCTCAAGCCCTATGCGGATGGCTTCCAGTCTCTGGATGCGCTCCTGCAGGGACCGCTCACTTGCCTCCATGTGATGGCTCAGGTGATCTACCTGCATTATGAATGGCACAAAGGAAGGGGGTACATAACAGCATCTGAGCACCATCTAGTGTAACCCCTTCAGCAAATGGGGACCTTCTCATTCTCAGCTCAGAAAGGGATGTTGGGCTCCACTCCATCCCAAATGGTTTGGGAGCAAAGCCTTCCTTTCAATATAGATACATGAATGAACTGACCTTCTGATAAGAAATGAGGACTGATTCAGACTATGGAGCTTCTGCTTAGAGTCAGTCTAACGCAGCAAGCCATACAGGCTAATTGGGAGATCCCTCAAGGGGAAATGTATTTCCCCTGCCCCAGACGCTTGGGAAGTAAGATCTGAAATGTGGGAACCATTGTGGAAGCATCCAGTCCTTTGTATGGAGAAGAGGGAAATGGAGATTGCAATCGGGGAATTCCCCCCAAAAGAGAACAAAAGGCCTTTCCATCCTCCACTTCGCCCTGGGGGCACCCCCTTCCTTTTCTCTTCATTCAGTCATGTGAAATGGGAAAGGGACTGAAACCTCCTGTAGGAAAACTCTGCGACCCTACATCCTATGCAGCAAGATGCTAAATGAAGGAATTAAATTTTCACCCGAGACAGAAAGTTAGCTTGAGTCAGCTCTGCCTCCTTGAGAAGGGATCTGTGTTTGTCTTCTTATCATGCCCCCCCTCTCCCCAGGGACGCTGCTGAGGGACTTGGCCGCCCTCAACCTCACCTCCTTCAGCCGAAGGGACTCTGCATCTTCCAGGACCTGCTTGAACCTCTTCTTCTCCATGTCCAAACGCTCTGAGGATAAGCGGGGAGAACTACAATGAGGTGCCAGCTGCTTGATCCTTCACCGATTCACCTCTTCTGTGGAATCCAGACTGCATCTTACATTCAACAGCTCCAGACTCCCCAAATCCTGCTCACCTTCAGCCTGTACAGCCCGCAGCCTCATTTCTGCAGTTGTGTGGGTCAGGTCCTCCTTCACCTGGAAGAGCTGCTCCTGCTGTGCTTTGCACCTTCTTTCCAGGTCGCTCACCTAGAAGGAAGCCACTCTCATGATACCCAGGCAAGCCCAGTCTCTGCACCCTGGACTGCTGGGACAAGGGTGAGAGGCAGGAGCCTGGTGGCAGGAAAAGGAGAAGATGGGCTGTCAGGAGTTCCTGGGGTGTGTGTCTGTGTGTGTGACTCAGGTAAGCTACCCATTGCAGATACTCAAGCCATTCTCTTACCTGATTCTTGAGCAGGAGGTTTTTCTCATGGGCTGCTGAAAGTTCTCGCTGAAGTGTTGCCTCTCGATTAGCAGATGCCTACAAAGGCAGGCAGTGGCAACTATCAGTTCTTCTTCCCCTACTTTTCTTCCATCCTCCTCACATACCCCCTATGTAGCACTGCTTCCCATACCACCACATCAGCTCTGGGCACCTTTCCCACTTCTTCCATGCTGAAGAAGAAGAGTTTGGATTTGATATCCCGCTTTCTCACTACCCTAAGGAGTCTCAAAACAGCTAACAATCTCCTTTCCCTTCCTCCCCCACAACAAACACTCTGTGAGGTGAGTGGGGCTGAGAGACTTCAGAGAAGTGTGACTAGCCCAAGGTCACCCAGCAGCTGTATGTGGAGGAGCGGAGATGCGAACCCGGTTCACCAGATTACGAGACTACCGCTCTTAACCACTACACCACACTGGCCACCTGCCACTTTCTCAGCCACAGATGGCCCCAGTCTGCCCAGATCATCCCGGCCTACCATTTTCTGTTGCTGCAACTCTTTGGCCTGGCTCTCAACCAGCCTCGCCTGCTCCTGCTTTGCCGTACTCAGCAGCTCTCCCAGGTTGCACACCTTCTGCTCGGACAAAGCCAAAGCGGCCTCCGTCATTTGGAGTCTGCAAGGCAGGAAGTGTCACGTGAGATTAGAGACATGCAGCAAAGCAAACACCCGTGTGCTTGTGGCCAGAATCAGATGGTGGAGGAGCCAAATTGTCCTGCATAATCACTTTCAACCTGAAGACCTTTACAGCCACAAAACCTCACGCACAGAGTAGAGGAGACATTCTCAAGGGGAGTTAACCCAGTATAACAGACTTTCACAGGGTTTTCAGGGATGAGGAATTTGGTGCCCTCCCAATATTTGTTGGACTACAACTCCCATCATCCCTCACCACTGGCCAGGCTAGCTGAGGCTGATGGGAGTTTGTGCCCAACATCAACTGGAAGGCCACATTCTCTCCATGCCTCTGAGAAATATGTACTTAGATCAACATCAACTCTATCATTTTATGATTCTATGATAAACAGGGCCTCTTCTTGCTTGACTATCTCCTCACCACCCCAGGGTGAACGTTGTGTGTGAAGGATCAGGATGTGTTTTTGATAGATATTTTAGAAATACAATAAAAATACTAACCTAATTGAAATATTACCTGTAAGCCACCTTGGTGGAATGTAAATAATTGTGATAACTAAATAAAGAGACAGCATATCCATTTTGGATGCTGGAAAACCATTTCAGCATTCATGCAACACAGGTCAAGTCCAATGTATTTCTCCAGGCGTACACGACGACAGTAATTTTCCACCTTTTGAGACTTGGGACCACCTTCTGCCAAGACATGCATTTGGGGACCCACCTCTTAATTTTTAGCTGTATTTCTGCATAGTGGTAGTGTGGTTGGTGTGACTTGGTCTAGATCAAATTGTGATCCAGTAGGGAGTCCCAGTAGCAAGAACAAGATGGTGTATTAGATGGGTCACACCATCCATTTAAAACTCTCTTAGACCATTTTAACAGTCATGGCTTCCCCCAAAGAATCCTGGGAACTGGTTAAGGGCACTGGGAACGGTAGCTCTGTGAGGAGTTGCCTAACAGCTCTCAGCAACCCAAACTACAGTTCCCATGATTCTTTGGAGGAAGCCATGACTATTAAAGTGGTATAAGAGGGCTTTAATTGAATGGTGTGGATGTAACTTTAGAATGAGATTCCGCTTGAGCCAGATATCTGGGTGGAAATGAAATCCTGCTTTTTCCAACCCCCTTGCCCAGCGGGTCCCCAAAGAGTTGCTGCTCCTTACTTTGCTTGTAGCGAGTTCAACACGGAATGTCGCTCCGTCAGGGCCTCTTGCAACTGCCCAATTCGTGTCGCTGATACCCTGCATGGAGAAGAGAGGCAATATCCAGGTATGGGACTATCTGTAAAATAAACTTTGTAGCAAGAGCAGGGAAGGGAGCAGCCAAGTTGTGACAAAAGTACTGGTTAAAATGGGACAAACAGTAACAAGCCGAAGGAAGATTCTTAGAAATCTTTTTTTTTAAAAAACCCACAGCATACTTTGTAGATAGTTCCTATGTGACAGGTAATGCTTTACAAGGGTTCAGCACTTTGAATAACCTGTTTTGATATTTTTGTAAGCTGCCTTTGACTATATGAGGAAAGCCGGGTGCAAAAAAAAACCCCTTTAAAATAAATAAATAACAGTATTCTGACTGCTAGTCCAGAAGACCTATTAGGGTCAGCACAGATGTCATGGTTGTACCATACAAAGTGAAGCGAAGTAAAATAGCAATATCCCTAAACTTCCACAGTGGAAGTATCCTCTTTTTGAGATGCTCCCTGTTCCATGCTACCATTTCTAATTGGTGTAATGCCTTAGTAGCACCTGAAAACAACACTGAGGAACCAAGGTCTGGACTCAGCTGAGGAGGTAAAAAATCTGCAGCTCACAATCCACTCACCTACTGCTGTGGTTCATCACCTCTCGCTGCTTGTCAATGGTGTCCATCATATCCAGGTACTGGAAATCACATATGTATAAAATCAGTAACCTGAGTTTTAAATTCAAGCAGCAAGCAGGCCAATGTACTCAAGAGTACTGGGAGAGTCGAACTTTTCTAGCCTCAGGCCACAGCTTTTCTTCCCAGCCCTCCAGTTAACATGTCTATAGATTTTTAATCCCACCCTTCTACTAATGAGCTTTGGGAAATGCACAATGCCTCCTCCCTGCATTCTAACTACACAACAATCCTCTGGAGCAGGTTAAGTTGAGAGGTAGCATGGCCTAAACTCATCCAATTAGCTTTATGGCTTGAACCTGAGTTTCCCCAGTCCTAGCCTCAAGCTCTATTCACAAGACCGCAAGTCTTTCTTTGTTGTGGGAACGTTATCACTGTAGTCACAAGAGCTGAAGGTAAACACCAAGATGCTGAAGAGCAACAGGTTAGATCCACAGGTGTCTTGTCAGGTATATATAGGGAGACCAAGGATTCATTCAATCAAATGGATTACTTTCAGGGAGTTTAAGGAATTAAGTTTTCTTCGCTGGACTAGTGCAGATGATATTTCTGGGAGGCTGAGAGTTACACACAGCACTACCCATTTCTCTTGGCTTCAGCAATTCTACCAGGCCACAGGGATCCAGAAAGATGATTTTACAGTAACAATCCTCCCTAGACCAGACCAGACAAACTGGTCGAGGCTTTCTTCAATTTCTAGTATGTTCAAAGTAGTTTGCCATCTGAAGTTGAGAGGGTTCTGTAGATCAGAACGACTTCCTCTGGCAACCTGGGAGGAATCACCAAGTGAGGTTAGAAATGCAATGCCCTCAAGATCAAGCACCATTACAAATTAACCCTTCCACTCCATAGAGAACCTGATTGAATCCATGGATGAAGAAGACAGGACAGCTCCGTAGTACATACCCCCAAAAAACTATCAAGCAAAGCTAACAAACCTGTCTAGAGTTCTTCTCCTTCAAGCTTATCACCTCTTTGCTGAGCACTTGGGTCATGCTCCGACTCTTGCAGAGGATGTTTTGACGTTCTTGGTTGTGTTCCATGGCTTGATCTGGGCCAGGGGGAGAGAGAGAAAGTGCATAAATGAACCTTTTCACCAAATATTCTGCTCAGGGTGAGCAGCCAGTGGTGTGTAGTCGATAGAACGTTGGACCCAGACCTGGGAGTCTGGGGTTCTAGTCTCTACTCAGTCATGAAACTCAATGGGTGACCTTGGGCCAGTCACTAACTCTCAACCTAATCTACCTTACAAGGCTGTTGCCACCTTGAGCTCCTTGGGAGAAAAGGGAAGGGGATATAAATGCAATCAATCAATCAATCAATCAATCATATAGGTAAAGGTAAAGGGACCCCTGACCATTAGGTCCAGTTGTGGACGACTCTGGGGTTGCGGTGCTCATCTCGCTTTATTGGCTGAGGGAGCCGGCGTACAGCTTCCTATGACCAATAAGGTCAGTTTTGTCCCAGAGTCACAAATGTGAAATCCAACAATTGTTGTTAGTATGTTCCCTGTGCATTTGGCATCAAAATGGGGAGTGTAACATACGAAGAGCATTGCTGGAGTAAACCAAACACTCTGTTTTCAACAGGGGCCTACCAGTTACCTCTGAGACACCCATAATATAAACTTAAAAAACCCAGCAAATGTGCTGCCCTTCCTCCCAGCCCAGGATGTACTGTCAACTTCAAAGAACTGTGAGCTTGTCTGAAAATCTTCTTTGGTCTCAGGCTGGATGTTGACCTCTTGTACAGGACCGTTGGGTACAGGGCAGCCCGCTGCAACAGCTGAATGTAGAACTCTAAGCACGTAAAGGGTTGGCACAGCTGCTCACCCACAGCCTTCAGGATGTCACTGGGCACATTGTTCCCGGCCAATTCCAGTTGTCGTAGTGCCCGGTTGCTATGCAGGCAATTCAGGAGTGCACGGCCCCCCAGGAGCCCAATGTTATTCCAGCGCAGATCTAAGTAAGAAGAAAAGCACCACACATGACCACCAGTTAAACACAAGCTCTCGCTTTCCCAAGTTTTCACACACCAGCAGCTGAAACTAGGCCACTTGGGGGGGTGTTACCTATAACTGTAATTCATCGAGGGTCCAGTGAAAAGGGCTGGGAGGCTAATTTCTGGTGGCATTCCCCTTCATGTCCTTTTTTTTGCACTAGGGAGATAAATGCTTGCTGAACTGCTGCAAAGTTTAGCAAAGGAACAGATCCATACTTTATTATACGTGTGTGAAACGAGCAGTATAATTCTATGCATAATTAGAGGTGCTTAAGCCCATTAATTACTATGGGTTTACGTGTGCACCAAATTATGCACAGGGCTCAACTTGAAAATGCTTATGTAAGGATACTTTGCAGGCTAGCGAGACTTTGCGTTTGCGTGTGTATGTAGAGTTTTAAGTATTTTGCCATGCGTTGCTTCAGGTGCCAGCCAGGCAGCCAATAAAGCTCAATGGCTGAAGGCCTCATGCCAAAAGGCACAGAACAGGCCACTAAGGCTGTGTCTGCACTTGTACAGTTCTAAGCTTCCCTTGCCCTGGCTTGGTTGGGCAAATTTATATCTTTCTGAACAGAGTATCAAAATCTGCAAAGTGAGATGCCCAGTTGCCTCAGGACCACCTCCAATTCTGCGGATGCTGCTCGGTAGCATCTGGTGGCTGCAGTGCAGGAGTCAAACGATCCCAGGGTGAAAGTGTGTCACTGTGCAGACAGGGGTTGGACACATCCATGCAATGCCCTGCAGATACCTTCAGAAGTAAGCAGAGTCCAAGGCTCAAGCCAGGAGAGCAGTCATCGCTTCCCTGAAAAAGGAACTGGGCTGACAAGAAGGGGAAGATACTTCACTGCTTAGAGCAGTGGTTCTCAAAGGGTGTGGCACCCCCCACTGATGTAGCCGGGCAGGGAAGATTCAAGGACCATCAAAGGAAGATTTAAACATTTCAGTGTGGTATAATATAGTGTCAACATAATATATTTTTATTTCTAGACTATGGATATGTATCTTTTTAAAATGAGAGCAAGAGCATCAAGTAATACCAAGGACAATCCTAGCTGTGTTTTCCAATGTATTGCTGATTGATTTGGTGTGGCATGAGTATATTTTTATTCTGAAAGCGTGGCCCAGAGAAGTAAATCTGAGTCTTACCAAGTTCCCGAAGACTGGAATTGGCTTTCAGCGCCATGGACAGCTCTCCTGCCCCCTGGTGGTTGATCTGGTTATTGCGCAGATCCAGGTACTGGATGTGACCATTGGCGCCAAGGCCCTCGCAGAAAATGGCAAAGCTTTCTTCCCACACACCCAAGTTGTTCCATTCCAAAGTGAGGCTGGAGTTGGGAGCGGGGAAGAGTCAAAAAGAAAGGCAGAGAGACCACATTAGGCAAGAGACGTAACAGCACAGCTAAGACTGGGCCATACACCAAGCAAGGAGCCTTTAATTTTCCTCGCACTCAGTACCAATTTTATGAGGTAATATTGTGTGACAATCAATAATTTTGTAGAGACAAGAAAGAACGCACCCAGTCTTTTCAGTTTCGCTGAGCAACAGCAGGAGAAGCTGCTCCTGGTCAGATTTTGAAGAACTTGATGTGATACATGCACACAGTGCACCCCCAGAAAGGTCCAAAAGGAGCAAATGTACCCCCAAATCCCTGTAGCTGCTCACCTCTGGATTGTCTTGTTCTGCCTGAGCAGTTTCCCCAGAGCCTCTGCCCCCACAGATCGTAGGTTGTTTCCCTGAAACAAACCAAGCCCCAGCAGTTAACAGGATAACATATGAGCATGGCAGGGTCAGACCAAAGGCCCACTTAGTCTGTTATCCTGTTCTCAGATGCTTGTGGGAAGCCCTTAAGCAAGCCAGCAGCACAATGGCCCTCTCCCACTCATGGTCCCCATTAAATGGGACTCAGCTGCTTGCTTTGCCTCGTCGTCAGGTACAAGTACATCTACACTACAAACAACACTGCTTTAAAATAACTTTTTGTACCATGGCTTTGCCCAAGGACTCTTGGGAGTTAGAAACTTGTAAAGATGTGGTGACTAGCACTTGTTGTTGTGACTAACGCTTGACAACAGTTCACATTCAGTGTTAAAATTGATTTTCATTCAGTTGATTTTCATTATCAACTATTATTTTTATGATTCTGCTATTGTACATCACTTTGTGTTATTTGAACTGAAAAGCAGGGTGAAATTTAGTAAGTACATAAATAGACTCCAAGATTCCTTTGGGCAGAAAGCCATGGCGTTTAAACTGCAAAAAAGAGAGTCTGTACTAGCAACATAGACACACGCTGTTTACATTTGAGGTCTGGGCTAATCATATGCTGCAACTTAAGCAAAATATTTGTCTCTCTTGGCTTGTGGGGGGGGGGTAATGAGGAGCTAGCTGTTTATTATTGGTGCTTTGTTCCACATGTGTTTAGGACTGGGATGCAAAACCATATGCACAGAACCTGTATGAGTTTAAAGCAATTAACTGGGACTTATGATTCTGAATTCCTGCCTTTACATTTAAACTGTACCTCTGCAACCGTGAAGAAGAGGAATTCAGCCTTTAAAAATAGCTGGGATTCTCAAAATTCCAAAGTTGCATTGTAGTCATTTCTGGACCCCACTACTTGGAAGTGGAACCGACTCACCTTCAGATCCAAGGATTTCACAACAGTGTTGGAACAAAGTCCATGAAGTAGTAGCTTAGCCCCTGTAAGGAAAAAAGGAAAGAGCAGTTAATTCCTTTTTGTACTGAAGGTCTGGCCTCTCAACCCCTGGGTATGAGCAGCAAGAGTCAGCAGGTATTTGTTTCAGTCAGGCAAGCTCTGTAGTCAGCAACTTCTTGCTATGATTCTAACACAGGAGTGGCCAAACAGATGCCCTCTATATGCTGTGGACAATTTCCATCAGCCTCAGCCAGTATGGCCAACGGTCACGGACGATGGATGAGTTGTAGTCCAAAATATCTAGAACACACTATGTTGGCTATCCCTGCTCTAATGGGTGCCAAAAGGTCTTCCTCTGGGATTATGTGTTGCCTATAACTCTAGCCTGGAAAAGCTGTTTCAAAGGGGAGGCATAACTCATTTAAAGCACCATCTTATGCATGTTGTGAGCCATCAGGCCCAATCCAAAGCTTTGCTACTGGCTCTAGGCTCAAGGACTTAATGGAATGCCCACACTAAATGGACCCACACTTGGAGGTCTGCAAGGGAGAGGTGTCTGGGGGAGGGGGTGGGAAGAAGCCTTGAGAGGCAGATAAAGTGCTGCATTTGACCCCTGGATGTTTCCCATCCATATTGCAGAAGGCAGTCCCAAAAGGCACACCTTCTGTCAAAAAAGGAAAAATGGGGCAATTCTAGAGAGGCCATTGGCCTTCTCTAATTGCCTTACAGCTCCTGTTATTTTACCTGAATACTTTAAGGCAGTCTCCCTCAAGCTTGTGCCTTCTGAATGTTTTGGACTATGACTTTCATCAGCACCAGCCCATATGACCAGCGATCAGAGAGTGCAACAAGTGCATCTGGAGGGCAACAAGCTTTTCACCCATGTTTTAGGGTTAGGAATAAGCCTGTATTCTCAGAATGCTGTATTCTGGCCCCACTGCCAATTATTACATAGTGCAACCACAGAAATTGCAGTGTATGCCTGGCCCTGTGTAAGAGGCTCTGTTAACAACATGTTATTTGGGAACTGGGAAAATTCTGTTTCAGTGTAATATTTTCTGGGGCTTAGTCTGTTAAATGCTGTCTTCACATTATGGAAAAAATGCCCCAGCCTGGGTGGCTGGTAATTAGCAAGCATGGGGGGGGGGGTTTAACCCTTTCCTCCCCTGCTGTGGCACTGAGGAAAATCCACTTTCTGCAAAAATCAATTTTACATCACTTCACACATCATTGTTTGACTCTTGATGGGATTTCAAATGTACCCCTCATAGAGCCATCATGGTTCTGAATAGTGACCAAATCCCCTTACGGCAATTGCCACCTGCAAGTATTCCAAGCCCTTTTTTCCCCTGGGCCTCCCATGGCAACTTGTAATCTTTTGTTTTATTCCTTCCCAAGTGATACTGGAAACCCCTTTTACGAGGAGAAGAAATTCCCACTTGTACAACGCAACGAAAATATATGGGTGACAAAGCCACATCAGCAACTGAAGGATGGGTGAGAGGCCATGAGGAAAAGAGGCCACGGACTTTGACTTTTACGGTCTATTCTCAGGAAAGGACAGAAATCAAGAATTGCCTTATGAACAAACAGAGCCCCACCTTCTTCACTCAGCATACAATTGCTCAGCGTGATCTCGGTAAACTGGAGTTCATCCTGCAAGAGCTTGCCCAGGACCCCGCAGGTTTCCACAGAAAGGGTGTGTGTAGCTAAATCCAAGCGGCTTTTCCCTGAGGCTTCCTCCAAGTGCTGAAGGATACTTTCCTGGGGTTCAGCACCGCTCTCCTTGCACAGCCTAACGTAGGACCGTCGGAAGTCATCCATCTCTGTGGCAGGCATCAGTGTCACTCATGCCCCTCCACGTAGATGAGGAATTAAGAGGGGTCCCGGTATGAAATGGCAGCCGAGGGTAGCCTGGGGGACAGCAACAGTCAGATATTACCACCCTGATACATGCTGCTGAGTGCTTTCTCTAAGGTAATCATGCTTTTAAGATTTAAAGAAAACCCCACATAAGGGCACTAGGAATGGCACCAGCCTAGCCAACTTTACCCCGAGACAAAGCAGTCAGGTTTCCAAACACTCACTGAGGGTTGCTAGAAATACAGCCTCACCCTTCAACTGCCAGCGCCAGCCTATGTAACCAAGGGAAACGGAGCATGATGGGTAATGTAGTTAAATTCTTCCTCTGCCAAATCCTATTATTTAGGAAGGCATGCTGGGAGTTGTAGTTTAGAAGTAATATTTGACTTTCTTACGGACATTCCTTCTGCGAAGGAGTTCTTGTTTTAAACACACAGGGTAAACACACATATAATGATACATATGAAATCAAATTAGAATCTGATAAAGAGTTTTAGGTTAAGTTTCTGAAGTAATGAAGGCAACTTAACAAGAACTAGAGTTGGCAGATTAAGCATGTTTAAAAGGACTCGAGAGACCTTCAGTGCCTGTTTTATGGGACAGCCATTCTCTAAAATAAGAGGCACCTGTGGTCTTCGTGTGGTGTAAGAGAACCCTTTAAAAATAAATATATAGTGTGGCTGTTCTACAAGATTCCTGAATGTGAGAGATTAGCCAGAATCAAAATGCAAGTCTGGCTAGTCTCTCATATTCTGTGGAAATGTAAGATGCTGAAATCTGGGGTGCACATTCTGCAGAATACAGGACTTCGGGAAAACTTGTTTATTTTTGTGTGCGTGTTATCAAATTAATGCATTAATTTAACTGGGAAGGATGAAGCCAGCCTTTCACACAAAGATGCCAAGTTGTTATCTCCATCCCTGGAGATTTGCCTTGGAATCACACATGTTTTCTGTGAGAAACTGTTTTAGAGATGTGAGGCACAATATGACACTACAGTGTGCCATCAGGGATGAGAATTAGACACTTTATGTTTATGTGAGAACAATCCACTTACTTGTAAATTAGTTCACAGTAACAGTTCAGTCTCAGGATGAGTTCACACATACATGTTAACCACTCAGTGACTGCAGCAAAAGTAACCACTATCACATTTCAAGCATTATGTATCACCTCACACTGTCAAGCATAGTTCTTTTCAATAGAGGCAGTTAATTCTTGTGTCTACAAGTCACAGTGTGAAACGTCAAATTACATTGGTTCTGAAATCTGCAGAGACTTCCCCTGAACAAAACTAGACTCACTTGGCTTTTTAAAAGTTTACATAGTCTTAATTGTAAGAAAAATATGTAAAGCAATAAGAAATTGGTTGAAAGAGTTTCATATATGTATTCTTACCTCGCCTCACCCATTCTCTCCCTACACCTTCCCTCCAACACTGTCTTGCAGTTTTAAAAAACGTGTTGTGAATATTCTAATTGTATACATTCAGCCACACTTTCATACCCATTCATGCCTCAGTAGACAAAAAAGAAGAGAAAATCAAATGAACAGAAGAGTAGGATAGAAGAAAAAGAGAAGTGAAAGTTCTGATCAGTGTGGATTTAAAATTAAAAGGCTGAATCAGCAGCAGATTCTGCATACATCACACTCTATTTGAAAGTTTTACAAAAGGAAGAATTGCTGCTCTCTATTGAAAGCATGGAGACAAGGAAGCCATTAGGAAGATGAGCACTGGGAATGTTGAATAGTTGCTGAATTGTGGGAAGAGGTGGCAAAGTGTATCAACCAGTCAGATCCACACTATACATTAAAAGCACATGACTCCCCCCACCCCCCCAATCATCCTGGGAACTGTAGTGCTCCTCACCAAACTAAAGGCCTTGCTTCACATTCCCTTTGAGTGTTTTTGCCTGGTTGGAATATGTCATTGAACTCTGATGATGATTCCTACTAGTCTGAATGGAGAACAATAGGGGTATTTTGTGTGTGTTTGAGTAGAAAATAGCCTACTGTACAAAATAACATTTATATTCATTGCTCTGTCTGCATTTGCCTCTGGTCCCAGCCAACACTGGCATTGCCCCTAGGGAAAGCTAGACCTTGCCTGCCCTAGTGGAATTTAGAGAAAGTGTATGCCATCACATTTCCTTGCTCTGTACCCACTATTTGTTTCTCAGCCCGTCAGCTGTGTCCATGCCAAGGAAGGTTCTGACTAGAATTACCCTGAGAAATAAAACAACTTTATTTGTGTATTTTCTAGCACCCATCATACAGTTGGCACGAAGTTATTAAGAGATGGTGACAATAGTTGTATAGAAGCATTTTTGCACTATTTCAGTGTCAGTAGCTCCAGTGCCTAGTATGTGGACTTAAAGCTTGGTCCTAGCCAAGTTTACTCAGAGGTAAGATGCATTAAATTCAATCAGACTTTCAATGACTTAAGTTCTCTTAGGAAGGCAGCCTAACGGCCTGGCCCTAAACCTTTTGGATACAGAACTACTTCCAGGGAGCTAAGCAAGCTCAGGAACTGCAACTGTGTGATCCAGTCCTATAAATGTTTACTTAGTAAATCCCACCGAATTCGGTGTGACTAAGTCGCAGTCTTTGATTGCACAAATGTACAAGAGAGGAAGTCCTACTGAACTTAATGGGATGTAATTATTTTTTTAAAAGTAATTCCTACTGATAGAAATTTAATTCCAAGTAAAGGCTTTAGAATTATGATCCTGTAGGGCTGGTGGAAAATGCATTTGCAATCTATCCTACTAGCTACTAGTTTATTCTGAACATGGTTACTACGAGCAGTAGAGATGTGAGCAGAATCAGCTATAGCAGTGGAGCACAGGAGCAGGCGCACGTGGCAATGAGGGCAAAAATACCATTTCCACTACCAAATGAGCAAGAAAACCACCCTTCCTGTCTGAACTTACTCGAGCTGCGGCTCTTACACCGCCTATTTTCTCCCTCTTATCTCGCTTTGCCTTCAGATCCTGGCCTACCCCCAGGTCCCCAGGCCGGGCTCCACCGCCCCTGCAAAACAAGGCTTCCCGTTCAGGTCTCTACCTTGGATTACTTACTGAGTCAAGAGAGCACAACGCAAGAGATGGAGGGAAGAGTCAACTACAACTCCCACAATGCTCGGCCAAGGAGGCCTCTTCTGCCACCGGAAGTGGGAGGAACTCGCGAGCGGGAGCCGACTTCAGACCGACTACATGTTCCAGCATGCATTGCGCGATGCCTTGAGCCCTCAGGACTTCCGGCGCCTCCTCTGGCCAGTGATTGAGGAGGAGAGTCAAGAGGGCGGGTCCTCTTTGAAATGGAGAAGAGGGAAGAAGGCGCGAAAGGCTTCAAAAAGGTCAGGACGGGGGGAGCAGGGGGCCAGGAGGGAATTCATCTTGGAAAGTGACGGGTGGCGGTTAAAGGGTGTGTGTGTGTGAAAGGGAGCCCTGAGAATTCAGAGTTTACACACACACGCGCTAAAATGTTATGGCAGGAACTTGGGAAGGTTTCTATGTAAGTTGTTTCAGTGGCTTGTCAAGTTCTGCAAATCCTGCTGTGAAGGCTAAAGAGGTTCCCTCAGGGAAGACCTGTGTCTTGGGAGGGCTCTTGGTTTAGACTCCCAGTGTTTCCCAAACTTGGGTCTCCATTTGCTTTTGGACTACAATTCCCACCCTCCCTGACTTGCTAGCTAGGGATGATGGGAGTTGTAGTCAAAAAACAACAGCAGCTGGAGACCCAAGTCTGGGAAGCACAGGTTTAGAGGAAGGGTCGTACAGTGGTGCCTCAGGTTAAGTACTTAATTCATTCCGGAGGTCCGTACTTAACCTGTTACTGTTCTTAACCTGAAGCACCACTTTAGCTAATGGGGCCTCCTGCTGTCGCTGCGCCGCCGCTGTACGATTTCTGTTCTCATCCTGAAGCAAAGTTCTTAACCTGAGGTACTATTTCTGGGTTAGCAGATTATGTAACCTGAAACGTATATAACCTGAAGCGTATGTAACCTGAGGTACCACTGTATTTGGATTTGGGGGCACTAAAGAATACAGTGGTACCTCGGGTTACATATGCTTCAGGTTACAGATTCCGCTAACCCAGAAATATTACCTCGGGTTAAGAACTTTGCTTCAAGATGAGAACAGAAATCGTGCTCGGCAGCGCAGCAGCAGCAGGAGGCCCATTAGCTAAAGTAGTGCTTCAGGTTAAGAACAGTTTCAGGTTAAGAACGGACTTCCGGAACGAATTAAGTACTTAACCCGAGGTACCACTGTAGTGGATAGATAGAGCAGCTTGGCCAATTCAGGACTGCAAGAGTTGGGCTTAATCTTCTTCTGGAGAATCAGATTATGGGTGCTCAGAAGCAGGGGTGGTTTCCTTAAAGGGTAGGCATTGGATGAGGAATGGGGTTGGGGAAGGACCAAGGAGGTTCCACTATAAAGTGGTGTTGGGGAGAGACATGAATTGGTAGTGTTTAAGCCCTATCCATTGCCCCCCCCCCGCTTGCTTGAGGGATTTTTTTGCCCCTGGCTTCCGGATTTGTAAGTTAGCCAGGGCTGCCTACCCACCGTAATATTATGTCTGCCTGCAGGTCATTTTGTAATGGCCTTCATTTGCTATAGAGATCTGAGGGCTGGGAGTGTGAAAATAATTGTAATAATGGATGTTGTAATAATGGGTAACTTCAGCTGCCTTCAAGTTGCTTAGGTGAACTCACGTTCAGGCAGTGACAAAGCAAAACATATCTAAATGACTGTGCCATGAAACTGTTGGGGAAGAAAGCAAATAAATGGGAATGACCCTGGAATTACAGAACAACCTAAATGCCCTTCACAACAGGCTGGAGAGAGGGTTGAATTGGGCAGAGGTGTCTCTCTGCCCAGCCCTGCTGCCTGCAGGGAGATACCGGCGTCACGCCACAAGTATGGAGCTCCCATTCACCCTGTCAGATGTGCTGTTGGATCCCAAGCTTGTCCCAGTGATGCTGTGTTATGGCATCAGGCCTTATTACTGCCCCAGCTCCAGGCTGCTGCTGTGATACACTTACTTCCTTGCTCCAGCATCCCCCCCCAGGTGATGGTGGCAGAGCTGTGGATGCAGTGTTGGTCCTGCCACTTTGTTCAGCCCCTCCAGGCCATAGTAGTTGTAGTAGTAGTAGTAGTAGTAGTAGTAGTTAGGATTGTAGCTAGAAACCTGAGTGGTAGCCCAGGACCTGTTGCAAGATGTAAATGATGTTGAACTGATTGGGAAAAGAGACCACGGCCCTATCAAATTAAACATACAAGAATGTGGAAAGCTGCCCATGAAGTCAAACATGGGCAAACTTAAATTTCAGAAGATGGGAAAGGAAAGGAATAGGAAGAGTTAAAATGCTCCCAGACTGGCTTCTGAACTTGGGACCTTCTGATTGCAAAGCAGGTGTACTACAACCGAACCATAACTTTTGGGAGATCAGAGCAGATGTCTCTCCATTCATCCTCTAATAAGACTGATCCTTGTAAGCTGCCCTGGGGGACTTTTTGGGCAAAGAATCTGGTAAAAATGTTTTAAATGCCCTTTCACACTTTCATGGTGAGAACATAAGAAGAGTCCTGTTAGATCAGACCAAAGGCACATATAATCTAGAACCCTGTTCCAAGTGGCCAACCAAATGCTGCTGGGAAGCCCTCAAGCAAGACTTGAGTGCAACAGCACTCTCCCAACTTTTGATTCCCAGTAAATGCTGTTCAAACACCTACAGCCTTTGATAGTGAATTTAGTCATGGCTGGTAGTCATGATATTCCCCGTGAATTTGACTAATCTTCTAAATCCATCCACATTGGTAGACATCACTACATTTTGTGGGAGCAAATTCCATATGTGCTGTGTGAAGAACTCCCTTTTGCCTGTCCTGAATCTTCCAACATTCAATTTCATTGGATCGACTCATGAGTTCAATTAATAGGAGGAGGGAGAAAAGCTTTTCTTGGTTCATTTTCTCCACATCGCATCATTGTATGTGCTCCTTTGTCTTGCCCTCCCCCCAAGTACTCACTCTTTCAAAACTAAGAAACCCCAAATGCAACTTTTCTTCACAAGGTAGTTGATTCAGTCCTTTGATCACACAAGGCAACCAGAATTGTAGCTAGCATTCCATGTGCCATAGCTTTGTAGAATGGCATCATGATATTGGCAGACTTTCAGTCCCTTTCCTACTGACCCTCTTAATGGAATATGCTAAACTAGTGAAACTCTCCAGAGCACTTCCAGATATATGCAGCAGGTAGCGCTACAGCCTAGTTAATTTTGTGTTTTATTTTCTAGCAGGCCCACATGATAAAATCCGTAAGCCGTTCCTTCTTGTGCAAAGGATTCTTTATATACTAATCTAGATGTTATGCTGAGTTAGGCATGCCCAAACCCTTTGATTTCAAAACATTTAGAGGAAAGATTGTAGTCAGTGGCAAAGCATCTGCTTTGCATGCAATAGGTCCCTAGTTCAGTCCCCAGCTAGGGTCGGAAAAGACCTTTGTCTGAAATCCTGGAGAGCCACTTCCCATCAATGTCAACCAGATGTGGGGAAGCTTTGGCCTCCACACGCTGCTCCCACGATCCCTGGCCATTGGTCATGTTTCTTGGAGCTGATGGGAATTGTAGTACGGCAGCATCTGGAGCGTCAAAGGTTCTTCATACCTGGCATAGACAATATTGAGCTAGACAAAGCAATGGTCTGACTTGCTTTAAGGCATGCCCCTATGTTCCTGACTCTGGTACGGAGTTAAGGCTCAGACGGCTGATTAACCGCTTATAAAATGAAATTATCATGGTAGCATCATTAGAAATCCTTTGTAACAGAATCTGGGGGGCACTTTTTTAAATCCAGCTTTGGTAACCAGCATCCTAATTACAGCCATTTTTGCACAGTCCTGCCTAGATCTTATTTGTCATTATTATTTTATCTTAACAGCCAGTCCCTCCTAGGGGTGTTCGATAGGGCTTTCTTAGCATACATTACTCAAGCTAGTATTTTCCATTTGGATGAAGAAAGAGTTTGACATTTTAATTAACCCTTCCCAAACCTGTTGTCCTCCAGATGTTTTGGATCCCAACTCACATCAGCCCTGGTGGAAACACCCAATAGGGATTATGGGAATTGTAGTCAGCAACAGCTAGAGAGAATCAGGTTGGGTAATACTGATTTAATCAGGAGTTGAAAAAGATATTTTGAATTCGCCTCCAGAACCAAAAACTTATCGCCTCCAGAACCAAAAACTTACTGAACCAGTATAATGTTGTTGCCACTGGTGTCTTCCTTATACTCTTTGTTAATACGACACAACTGCATTTTCCTTGAAATATTTTTATATCTTCAGTACACCACAAACATTCTTCACTTGTGGCCTAGCTGCTAAATTTGCTTTTACAAAGATGCAGTTTTCTGGCTCATCTGAAGTGATTCAGGGGACAGTCACTGCAGCTTCTGTTAGTACTTACATTCATACCAGTCCCTTTCTTGAGCAATTCTTAATTCCTAAAACTGTAAGTCACTGTAATGCATAGTTTTTCATGACTCTCATTTTCATACATCTTTATTCTCTTAGTGTGCAGTGCTACTTTATATACCAGTTCAGAAAGCCAGGGCTAAAATTAGTAAATCCCACTTCACAGGATTTGATGTAGTAGCATCTCTACCAAGAACTGAAAGTTACCTTAGAGGAAAAGATGGAAGAAATATGAAATAAATAAATATTTTCTGGGGCTTCCCCAAACCTCCAGAACAGATTGGTGCAGTGGTGTTGGGAGAGGGATTACAGTGGTACCTCGGGTTACAGACGCTTCAGGTTACAGACTCCACTAACCCAGAAATAGTACCTTGGGTTAAGAACTTTGCTTCAGGATGAGAACAGAAATCGCGCGCTGGCGGCGTGGCGGCAGCAAGAGGCTCCATTAGCGAAAGTGGTGCTTCAGGTTAAGAACAGTTTCAGGTTAAGAACAGACCTCCAGAACGAATTAAGTTCTTAACCCAAGGTACCACTGTATATGTGGAGAACAAGACCCTTTGTGTATGCAGAAGTCCTTGCCTTAAGCTCAATGATTTTATTGGATGCAACCCTAGTTAATTAATGGGAGGGCATCATTTTTTTATTGGGAGGGTTGTAAGATAAGGGCATACACCTTATTTCTTTAGGTTATTCTGGTTCTAACAGAACAGAAGAGCAAATGCTAAAAAGGGCCTTTCCATCTGGCAGTGAATGTTTGTTTTCCTTTTTGAAGGTGCAAGTGAGCAACCTATTCTGAGAAATTCATGTGTGAATTTAGATGTTGCTGACTAGTCAACTAAAAATTGTTTAACATGATGAGGCTTCTAATCTCATGCAGTTCTATCCAGCCACTGAGCTGGGTTGAAGAGGCTCCTTCTGCATGTCCTACCATCAGTTGAGGTACAATGGATGGGAACATGAAAAGAGGGCTGTTCTGTTTGGAGCACCCAGGTTGTAGAACTGTCTGTCTAGGAAGAGCCACTTAGCCCCCTTGCTTTTTGGTCTTCTGCCTCAGGTTTAGGACCTTCTTGCTAGCTTTTGGCCCAACTTTAGTGTCTCTTTTCCTTTTTTCATCTCCAGTATGGTTTTCTTGGCTGCTGCTGCTTTTTGAGATTTAGTGTTCTGATTATGTATTGTTTTTACCCTGATGAGAGCCAACTTGGGTACCCTTGTATTCAGAGCAGAAAGGCAGAATTAAAAACCCCTATAATAAATAAGATAGCACAAATAAGGCAGTTGGTGGGGAGGAGAATTATCGCCGATTAATAAAAAAAGTTTGGGCCTCAGCAACAGAGAAATGGTGGGTGATGGAGCCAGTTATGTGGTCCCTGCCCAGGGATGGAAGATTGGCATCAATAGTTGTTGCTCTCTTGGTCCCAGAGAATGAGATGCAAAACAGGTAAGGTAATATACTTTATTGGCTGAGCTTCTTTTGATGTACTCCTACACTGGCAGAAGTTGATCTCATAAAAGATATTGCTTTACCTATTTTATATCTCTTTGAAATGGAAAGACAGGGAGATTCACTTTTTCTCCATTAACACCCCTTGACTGATTTCCTTTCCATGCAGGAGACCGTGAACAAACTGCTCCAGCTCCACTTCAAAGATGACAAAACACGAGGTAATTGCTTTCCCTTCTGTCTCAATAAGGAGGCCAATTCCTGCTCGCAATCTTGCCAAACTTTTCTGTAGAGAGATCATGCCCTGGAATATCAGAGGTAACCATGATTCCTGGGTTGTGGGCAGATAACTGGGCTGGGCATTTCTCATGGTTACTTTTCCCCCTCTTTCCAGTCAGTGGTGATGCTCTGTTGCTCATGGCAGAAATGCTCAAAGTGTTCGTGCGAGGTAAGTTGTAAAGGACTGTGCCTTTTTTCCATAGAATGGCAGTCACAGATGAATGATATAGAAGGACAAAAATTAGTGCAAAAATCAGAAGACTATAAAAACTCTTTATTCTTTTAAGGTGTAGCCTCACTGCTCATTCAGAAGGCAGTACAAGTCGACAGGAGATACTAGAAGGAATAAAGCAGGACAAGCTAAATCTTGGTTCAGCACAAAAACCAAGTCCTGAAGAAAAAAACACCTTGATCTTTCTATCAGAAACTAGTAGATTCTTCATGAAACCTTACACTTTAACCAGGCAATAGAGCTTGATTTTCCAGGCTTGATACAGAATAGGTACAGCTTAAATGCTGAAAGCTTATTTTTAATGATGCTTCCATCAGATATATAAAGCTTAGGACTTTCTCAGCAGTCTTGAGTTCATGATCTGCTGCAGGGGTGGGGAACCTGGGACCCTCCAGATGTTGCAAGACTACATATCCCATCATCTGCAGCCACCACCTATGCTAACTGTGGCTGATGGGAATTGGAGTTGAGCGGCACCTGGAGGGCCATAGGCTCCCCAACCATGACTGTTTGGAGCCTCAGCAGCTAGGTGGAGCTAGGTGGACATGTGCACATTCAGAAGGTAGCACATGCTTTGCTTGGGGATCATTTGCCTGAACGTTGAGAACAATTTTGGGCAAGGAAAAAGTGCTGAGTGGTGAGAAGTTAACACTTCCTGAGGTGAAAGTCCAGTATTAATACTGTGAATTGCAGACTTATTTGTTCCCAAGCAAAGCCTCTCAAAGTAACTTTTTTGTTACTTGACTGATGTCATTCCTCCCTAAAGGCCATTTCTGTTACCCTTCCCAGTACCTACTTGTTGCACCTTGCCTGCCTTGTGTGTTTCTTGCAGAGGCAGCCGCACGAGCCGCACGGCAGGCTCAAACGGAGGACCTGACCAGGGTGGATGTGGAGCACGTGGAAAAAGTGCTGCCGCAGCTGGTATGTAACACACAGCTTGGATTCCTAAATTAACAGGATAAGGATGTGGGCAAAGGCATCTTAATCCCCTTCCTTTGGGGGGATGTTTGGCTGGTTAGTAATATCCTCACCGGGCAACTGGAACTCAGGCAAATCAGCCAAACAGTTTGGGGAGAACTCTTTGCTCACAGTAACTTAAAAACGCTTAATGTTTACAGCTTTTGGACTTCTAGAAACCTGATGGGGCAAAGCCCACATTCCTGCTAGGGGGAAGATCGTGGCCTGACCTCTGGAGCAAAGTGGAAGACAGGCTTTGAAATGGAATCTGCCCCGCCGTGATTCTGCTTGCTCGGATGATATTCTCATCACCTCTCTCCTTCCTTGCCAGCGCAGTTGCGGTTGTTTGCTATCTCTCTTTCTGGGCACTCCATGATGGTCAAAGGCTGGCTGCTAAGGGCTGGAATCTTTTCTCTCTCTCCCCCCACCCCTCCCTCTTTGTGATGGGATGCCTGGAGTCAGTGACACTCACCATCTGAGGCTGCGTCCTAGCCTGCTGCTGTTTCCGATTCACAGCCAGGCAGAGTCTACACTTTCTTTTCCAATGGGAGAAGCAGGTGCCTTCCTGTAGGGGTGTGTGGAAAGAGTGAGTATGCCTGGAAGCATTCCCCACACCGTGGGCTCTCATCACCTCAGCAGGCATTTAAAGGCCAGCTCCGGGCCTGTCTGCTGTCTGAGTTCTTAAACAGGAGCCGAGCCCCGGGTCTGTGCCAGCATCAGGTACCTGATCTTTATTTTATAAATAAACAGTGCTTGTCCCTCAATCCTTTCCAGCATTCCACTGGGGCCATGACATCAAAGAGGGCTTGGAACCTTTTAACCATTTGATATTCCTCTCAGAAGCTGCTTCCCTCTGCTATAAATTTGTTCTCACAAAGAAACTTCAATAAATCAAAAATAGTCTCCCTCCCTTGCGCGGGGCTCCTTGTTGCAATTAATCATAGAAAGTCAAGTAGCTTCAAAGAGTTGTTTGGCCTCCCCCCCCCCCTCTTTGTAGGACGAAAGAAAAACTTTCAAAAAGGGGCAGAATAACAAACAGCATGTGTGAGGATCCCACATCACGCACGGCCCAGCCCCTCTGTCAGTGCGGCAGGACGGGGGGGAGAGAAGAGAGCTGTGAAATAGTAAACCGTATACATGGGGGGCAGGGCATAGCCTAATGAATCTTTTTTTCTGCTGCAAAATAAAGGCTAGGCCTACGGAGGGAGAAGCAATTGCCACTCGAGGTACTGACAGGCTGCAATCCTATACCCACAGATCTGGGCCTACACCCCATTGAACTCAACGGGGCTTACTTCTGAATGGATATAGAGGAGTGCGCCAAGAGGCAGAACAAGACCAAGGCAGCAATGATACTGTCAGCTAGTGGTTAGCAGCCATGCTGCCTGATAAAAAAGTCATGTGCATGCTATACCTAAGCTACCAGTTGCTACGTATTGGTAATGGCAGGGACAAAGGGCTGCTGGCTTTGAATGCTGGCTCTGAAATACCCAGTAATGTTTATGCTGAAAAACACAGGATGAGGGTTAGGTGGAATGCTGCCGTTTCCCAGAACTGTCATAATGCTGTCTTCCTACAAACCCATGGCCTATAAATTAGGAACCAGCGTTACAAAAGCAACTTCCTTTCTCCTGTTCTGCCTTTGTCAGCCTCAACCATGGTTTAGCAGAGGGGTGAGTAAGCTGTTGCTGGTCTACAACTCCCATGATCCCTTACCACTGGTGGCGATTCTGGCAGGAGCTGATAGGAATCCAGCAAATTCTAGGAGTGCTACATGTTACCCTGCTTTAGCAGCCTTTTAACCATGGTTTAGCGTTTCCAGTATTCTCATCTTCATCAGATTTTAAAAACAAGTGGGTTTATCAGTGCGTATTAACGCTAAAGCTCCTTGTATCAGGTCAAAGGTATTTATCCATGTAGTCTACTCTAGCTGGAAGTTGTTCTCTTAGGCATTATTCTTTCCCACCTGTTCCTTAAACCAGAAATTGAATTTGTAGCTCTTTGCTATGTCTGCATTAGACAAAAATGGTAGTGCAATGTTTATGTCATAGCTATTTTGCTCGATTGTGATAAAGCATGAAAACAATGTTGTGCTCTGTTGCATCATCAAAAGTATGCTACATACTACTGAGAATGCATGCACTCCTTTGTGCTCGTTTATTGGGAATCTAAGGTTGGTGGGGCTTTACTTCAGAGGATGTGGGCTTAAGAGCAGTACTAAAGATAGTATTTAGTTTTGTGTGTGCCCCCCAAGAACTAATGTGCATAGTTCTTCTCCATTTGTATCCTCACCACAACCCTGTAAAGTAGGATAGGCTGAGAGATAGCGACTGGCTCAAAGTCACCCTGGTTGAATGCAGATTTGAACCAGTGTGTTCTCAGACCTATACTAGTCTAACCAGTCTATCACGCTGGCTCTTGACATGTAAATTAAGGATACTTGTAGGGCTTAGGCTAGAAGTTAAAGGTATCTGATCAATCAGAATTTTTACAGCCATCTGTTAAGTGAAGTACCGGCCTAAAACCTTGCTTTTAGTCTACTCAGAAGCAAGTCTCACTGAGCTCAAAATGATCTGGTCAAAAGTGTTAACAGCCTTAAAGGCTAACTTTTCCTGTAATTTGCAAGTATCTTCTCCATTTCCATTTGGTTTAATGTAGTCTAGGCGGCCTTGGACCAGCAAATGGCCCAGGCAGCTGCTTCATATATAGCTCTGAATTGTATAAAACAGGCCGATCCCCAGAGTTGAGCAGCTTTGACTACACACAAAGCTTAATCCCCCATTAAGCAAGGGGTGTGAATGTACTACAGAACATTTAATATGGGTTTAAACACACATGTACCCACAGCAAAGCTAAACTAAAACACATGTAGGTCTCTGTTCTGCATACACTTGCACACTGACTTAACAGGATGTCTCTGTTTAAATTTCTAAAGGGAAAATCCAAATTATGGCCCAAACCTGGTGCTAAAAATTGGGAGGGGGGATTATGGTAATATGCTATCCTTCCCCACCACCCACTCTATGAATGGGACAGAGGGAACTGCCTCTCTTTTTCACCTGATTTATGCTACAATCCTGTATACACACTTAAAGTAAAGGTAAAGGTACCCCTGCCCGTACGGGCCAGTCGTGTCCGACTCTAGGGTTGTGCGCCCATCTCACTTAAGAGGCCGGGGGCCAGCGCTGTCCAGAGACACTTCCGGGTCACGTGGCCAGCGTGACTAAGCTGCTCTGGCGAGCCTGCACCAGCGTAGCACACGGAAACGCCGTTTACCTTCCCACTATAAAGTGGTACCTATTTATCTACTTGCACTTAGGGGTGCTTTCGAACTGCTAGGTGGGCAGGAGCTGGGACCGAAAGACGGGAGCTCACCCCGCCGCGGGGATTCGAACCGCCGACCATACGATCGGCAAGCCACCCACGTCCCATATACACACTTACTTGGGTGTTAAGTCTCACTGAACTCTGTGGGATAGAGATGTACTATTAAATGTCTTGGTCTTAAACAGGGCACAGTGAGTTTGCGTGCAGTACCAAACAAATTTATTTGGAATATAAACGCTGGCAGCAGAGAGGTGTGATTCAACCATACAATGTAGCTGGAAGTGCTAGTCAAGCTGCATCTTCATTTCAACATGATCAAGATTTTAATTTTGAGACTCTAGAGATTATCTGATGCATAGCTGTCAACTTTCCCCTTTTCTTGCGAGGAATCCTATTCTGAATAAGGGAATTTCCCTTTTTAAGAAAGGGAAACGTTGACAGCTATGATCTGATGGGTCCTTTTTATTGCTGCTGCAGTTGAATCTATTCATAGCCCTACTTTGGTTACAATTCAGCCTTTGCACACGGGCCCTGAGCCGTAGTCCCTGTGCATCGGTCTGCCTAATGCACACCTGACTGATTATTGCTCCTAGAAGAAACACTCTACACTTTACAATTGCACATGTATCAGTGTTAAAGCATCTGTTGCCTGGGAGAAAGGAAGGCAGAAGAAAATTGATACTACTACATGCAATCAGAGGGATTTTTTTTTTTTAAAGTGACTGTAGGTAGGATCAAACCAGCGCTCTTACCTGCTCAGTTGTTTTAGGATAGGCAAGTGAGTCAGCAACCAGTGCAGATCTTGAATCTGACACAGGGCAGGATGTGTGCAAGTACAGCAAAGAAGGGCTCTCTGAACAAGAGGTGGGGGAACCTGCCACTCTCTGTATGTTGTTGGACTAGAAGTCCAATCTTCCCTGACCATTGGCCATGCTGGCTGAAGCTGATGAGAGTCCAGCAACACCTGGAAGGCCACAGATCTCTCATCTCCGCTTTGAAGGAAGACACGAGCAAAAGCAAGAACTGAATGACCACCCACAATTAGGGATTATGAGGTACATGTGTCTTAACAGCAAGCATTGCTGCAGTATAGAAACTATAGCAGCATCAACTAATTGTTTTACATTTTTCAAGGAACAGCTTCTAATGAAAATGTTGTGAGTGAAAAAAAACAACAACCCTCAACCTTTGAAATGTAAGTAACTTTATGGTCAAAACTTAGAAACAAGACAGCTTGGCATTTTCAGTCTGGGGCTTCAATCCGCAGGGCGTCATCCCTTCCCTGTTTCCCTCCATGGCTTGTAATAAAAATATAGCAATAAAACAAAATTCTGTTTTTCAAGAACACACATACACCTTTCAGCCAGAGACCCATATGCTAATGCGTATGATCTGTCCTAACAGCAGTGTGTGTGTTCTGTTTGAACAACATTTCAGCGCAGAATGCTGGCTGCTTGATTATGTGACAGATCTTACAGTATAAAGATACAAAGGGCAGATCACAGGGAAAACCAGAAAGCAGCTTGGGTGTCAACACTAACCGGCCCAAAGGAAACAATTAGAAACCTCCAACGTAGAGTGCAGAAAGATGAGATCTGCCAAGCTCCTAGCACAGAGAAATGGACTTGCTGAAGAACCACACAGACCACATTCTTCCAGGTAAGGGTAATAAGGCTAGAATTGGCACTGTCCCAACCTTGCTTGGATTTAGTTTCCACTTTGTCTTCTGTAGCAGCCACCCTCCCAGTACCACAGATGGCAGCAGTGTGTGTGTGGAACAGTACAGTTAAAGCAGGATTCAGTTTTCATCAGCTGTTGTCTTATACACTCATCTTCTTTGGTGGCTCAGTTTTTGGGTGACATTAAAGATCTGCGCCTTTGCTATTTTAACTGCTCTCTGCTCCCTGTGTGCTCTGAAGCTTTTCTCCCTACCTTTTCCCTCCCCCCCTCCCCTCCTGGTTTTCTTCAAAGCGGCTGGAAGCATTTGGAAGTAATTAGACCTGAAGGGAAATGTTGGTCAGTCTGGGAGACAATGACAAGTGCCAGGAACCCTTGGTGCCCCTTCCAGCCACTTTGAAGTTCATTCAGATGGTACAATGCTCTTGTTTTCTTTGTTGGAAAAGCAGGGGCAGGAGGGAAATGGGCCATGTCAGGCACACTGAACAGGAAGCAGGTTACTCTGAACTGATAGAGAACCCGAACAAGTAGGTGGAGAGGATGTGCAATTCAAAAAGAGACTAATTGAAAGGCCTCTTATGGTCACCCTGCTTCCATACACCTACAAATTATGCACTCAGAAAAAAGTGTAACTCTAAGCACCCATCTAGCATCAAACTAGCCTGATCTGTTAGCCTGCAGCAGAGATATTTCTCCTCCACTTATTCATCAACTATTATGTAGAAGAGCCAGGGTCTTTGAATAGCATAGCACAGGGTTAAAGAAATTAGCTTAACTTCACAACTGTTTACAGAGGGGCAATTGAATCACACTTGGATCCAGAAGCCTTTGAAGTTGCACAAGTGTTTAGGGAGCACCATACTGTTGTCATGGGAAGAGATGGGTGCAGATGTTATTTAAGGACCTATAGCCCTTAATGGCCTTCCTCAGCAACTGATTATTTAACAGGGGTTACGGTTTGAATTCAATAAGGGCTGGAGGAATAATGCACTCAGTTGGCTCACTGCTGCCCTGTATATGGCTGAGCTACCTTGCATGTCTCAGTTTAGAGCAATCTGCATGTATCCACAGCAATCTGCTAGCAGGTATCCCTTGCTTATAATGTGATGTGTGCAGCGGCCCGCTGGGCCCAGAGAAACGTTCATATTTTTGAATATGACCGGGGAGGAGGGAGAAGTGAGTGACAAGACTAAATGATTCAATGAGTCAACATATATGGGTGGGAGTTATACATATGTGGTGAGAATACCTTCTGGTTAGTGAATTTTATGGGGAAAACATCCATTTGATAACAATCTGGATTAAGCTGCAACCTGTTTCTTTTTATGATATTGTTGGGGAGAGGTGCTAATGGACCACAAAGCTCTAATTGAAAATGCTAGTTACTGCATTTGTAATTTTAACAAACTAGAAATCAACAGACCATGGCTTATTGCGGAGGAGCTGGGAAGGCACTCCTTGCAGCTGAAATAGACATGCCAACAATATATTGATATGACTCCAACTGGAAACAAATTGTGATTAACCGCTGCACAGATGGGTTCCTTTTGCTGCACATTGGAATAATCATTGTAAAAGTCCTCAGTTAGAATAACATATTTTTTCCTGTTTTGTAATGTATTTTTATATAATAACAGTGTTTTCATTGAGAACAAACGTCAAAAGTTCTGAAAACTACCAGATATTATCGCAGTTCAGACCAAAATGATGCCAACTAGCAAGCCAGTGGTGTTTTTCTCTCCCAGAGTAAATATTTTCCACCTTGCTACTATTTTGGCAGCCTTCTGGCAAGCCTGGTATCAGGAGTTGGCATGGTTAGGAAGTCCCCAGGACGCAGAAACCCGAGCCCTTGAAACTGCTGATGGGCAGGGGTCGTAAGCTGCTGCCACTCCGATCTTTCCGGGCCTAATCTGAACTATGGGTTGACAGGAAGCAGTTGCTGGTGCTCGTTCGTGCTGCCAGGGACTGGACATGGAGGGAGCACAATATTAGCCGTTGGTTTAGAAAAAGCAACCAAGGAAACAAAAATGAGGACAGCTTAAACTGGAGAAAAGGCAGCTCAGGAAAAAAAGATACAGGTGGAATACAGAATAATACTTCAACAAAGATATGAACTAGTTGAACATCTGAAGGCTCTGAGGGTAGCGAAGGAGAAAACCAGCATTTGGCTGTTCCTCAAATGCTCCCAGTAATTGATGGAAGCCTTAAGTAGGACTCAGTCTGAAGCGCAATACATCTGTGCATTTTTCTAGTGATTTGTCTGTTTTATCGCTTTATATATTGTATGATCTATTTTTTGTTACATTTGCTTTTTTGGAAGCCACTTTGTGATATTTTCTTCCAGTGAAAAGCAGTGTAGAAATACCGTATTTTATGCCCTATAGGACGCACTTTTTCCCCTCCAAAAATGAAGGGGAAATGTGTGTGCATCCTATGGGGCGAATGCAGGCTTTCGCTGAAGCCTGGAGAGCGAGGGATCGGTGCGCACCGACCCCTCTCGCTCTCCAGGCTTCAGGAAGCTATCTGCAAGCCTTGGGAGCCCGGCGGGAGTTCCCGCTAGGCTCCCAAGGCTTGCGGACAGCAGCCTGCAGCCCAAAACCCGGGGAGCACAGCGGAGCGCACCCCGGGCTTCGGGCAGCTCTCTGCAAGCCTGGGGAGCCCGGCGGGAGTTCCTGCCGGGCTCCCTAGGCTTGCGGATAGCAGCCTGTTCTGGGGGCTGGGGTTGGGGGAAGCTCGGGCTTCCCCCGCCCCAGCCCCATGCCTGGGGGGGAAATAATTTTTTCCCCTTTATTCCCCCCCCCAAAAAAAACTAGGTGCGCCCTATGGGCTGGTGCGCCCTATAGGGTGAAAAATACGGTACATGATTCAAACATGCACATAAAGCAAAGCGAACTGTGTGCTTATTAAGAAGTGACAGCATGAAATCAACAGAAACTACCGTAAGCTAGTGTTCAAAAGGAAGTAGGAAGAGGCTCCGGGAACACTGGAATATTTAAAAAGATAAGCCAATGGAAGTTTCGTTATGGATCTGAAGCTCCAAAAGGGTTTTGGCATGTGACCTTGCCTACATCCTCTGCTTGTGCATCACACATATCTTTAATATAAAGATGACCATGAAGTGCATTCTGGCTTGCCTCTACTTGCCAATGGCATTAAAGAATTAAAAGCAACATACTGAAGACTTTGAGATGACATCCATTTTGGCTATCACTAACCTATGTTGTCTGAAGCAATTTTGTGGGGATGTGTGTGTTTTTATTACCCCAAAAGAGTATTCACTGACCTCTCTTAAGTGTTGCCAGGTCCTAAGGCATCTCTTCATTCAGATCTACCAACAGATTTTGAGAACTACAAAATATTGCAGCAACGTACGGTGCCTGCAGCACTGGAAAAGGAGTGTCCAGCGTGTGGCAGGCATGGAGTCCTGTGGGTTACCAGAAGCAAACCTCCAACATAGGGGATTTGGTGACAATTTATACAACACAAAGGTGATCATCTGACAACTGACGTGTCACAGACTCATATATGACCACCCAACTGGGTTTTTAATTATCATCAACAACCTGGTCCTGAAATTCCCTGCACCTACACAACAAATACAGCAAAGTAGTTCTACAAATTTCCGCGCCTACTTCATGTTAGTTAAACAACAGCGTGGCTGGAGTGTGTCTCTGCTTTACCCACCACCCAAACATAATGTTGCACACAGAGCAGCAGAATGGGCAACAGAAAATGGTGCTTGCAATTTTATTCTGAAAAATCCGTTTGCTGGGCCCTGTCTTTCAGCAGCTTCAGATGAAGGAAAACAGAGCAACCCAACTTGCCTCTCAGCCAGGTGAGGCAACTTTCTGAAGGTGGAAATCACAAGTCCTTCATCGCTTCCCACCTGAAATGCAAACATAAAGCAACTGTGAAAGCAACCTCTACTACAAACTTTGATATAGTGAAGCTTCCAACTGCTGAGCTTTCCAGAGCCTCCCAAATGATAGGTCCTTTCAGACTGAAAAGTACATTAGAATATTTTAGGGCTCTGCTGGTAGGAGACTAAACAGGGCCATGTTTTACAGGGGGAGACAAGCATGGCGTACCATGCCTAAGATGGGTAGTAGGAAAGGAGTATGGGGGTAGGGGAAAGGAAAGGAAAACTGATCTGCTTGAGGGAAATTCCTTCCCAGCCCTAAATCAGGATATTCAGATACACACTTAGCTGACGAGCCAGACTGCCACACAGAATCTTTTTTAGGAGCAGTACAATGGCTAGGAACAAGTAAGGTAAAGGTAAAGGGACCCCTGACCATTAGGTCCAGTCGTGACTGACTCTGGGGTTGTGGCACTCATCTCGCTTTACTGGCCGAGGGAGCTGGCGTACAGCTTCTGGGTCATGTGGCCAGCATGACTAAGCCGCTTCTGGCGAACCAGAGCAGCGCACGGAAACGCCGTTTACCTTCCCGCTGGAGCAGTACCTATTTATCTACTTGCACTTTGACGTGCTTTTGAACTGCTAGGTTGGCAGGAGCTGGGACCGAGCAACAGGAGCTCACCCTGTTGCGGGGATTCAAACCGCCGACCTGATCGGCAAGTCCTAGGCTCTGTGGTTTAACCCACAGCGCCACCCGCGTCACTGTAATACTTAAGAAGGTACCTGGCAGCTTCAGCCACTTTGGCACTTTCCCAGATGGCGTCCTCCTTACTGGTGGCTGTGCTGCTTCAGGAGCCACTGCTGCTTCTGAGTGCCCTCTTGCCACGCTCCCATCAGTCTCATTTGGTTTAGGTAGGGAACTAAGAACAGGATCTGAATTTCGCTTAGTGGGAGGTGCTGATTTAGACAACCGCCTGAGAGAAAAAGTAAGTATTAGATGTTCATATGGGTCTTCCAGTTGCTAAGCTTACATATTCCAAAATGTAAATCACTGCAAATACTGTTGCGAAAGCCAGAGGTTGCATATCAGCAAAAATGCCTCCCAATCCCTATGGCTTTTGATACTACAGGGGTCTCTCTTCATTAATTTGGGGTGTTCAAAGCTGTCAGTGGGAGAACACGTGTAAAAGCAAGCTTTGTAAACTGCTGGCAAACTCTTCATTGGGCAAGGCAACAACTCAGTGGATTGGTCTCCCTTGGGAGGTGGTAGACTCTCCTTCACTGGAGCTTTTTAAGCAGAGGTTGGATGGCCATCTGTCATGGATGCTTTAGCTGAGATTCCTGCATTGCAGGGGGTTAGACTAGAGGATCCTCGGGATTCCTTCCAACTCTGCAGTTCTATGATAACTCACTCATCCACAACAGCTTCAAAAAGAATTACACTACTTACCTAGCTACTAAGATGTCAGCTTCAGAAGGGGACACAGCAGATTTCAGGAGGTCCGACCTTAGATAATCTGTTAAACAGACACACACACCACTCACTCAAAGTTCTTGTCCTTCAGAGCTAGGAAGCCCCATGATGCAAATCTGTTATTTTGTGAAACCAATAGCCCCAACAAGCTGCACTAATCGTCTTCAGTACTCTTCTCCCAACCTGTGAAACATTTATCTCAACTTCTAAGATTGTGTATTTTAGAACACGCATCTGCCTATCAGATCCTATTCTGTGAACTAGTTGAGTAAAGACTGCAACATTACACAAAAATAGAACTGCCAGACAGGGATGGTGTCTCCCCCTGCTTGTATATGTTTCTTTTATCATTTAGTTCTTGGCAGTTTCCTAGTAAATTGAACTGTTAGGAGAGACTACCAGATGTTATCTTCAACCTGCAGCACAACCCTACTCTGATCTTCCCTGCAGACAAATCCCCCTAAAGCCCATCCAACTATGGTGGTCAGTCCTGCTGCATTTTAAAGATGTGCAGAACAGTATGCACCACACAGACATTTGTCCTCAGATTAACAGTGAACCATGGCGAGAGACAACTGTGAAATGTTCACGTGGACATTTACTGTATTAGTGTCTGGTCCAAAAAAATAAGTTAGATGCAGAAGATATACATAAAGTTGCCATACTTTGGACCTAATTTTTACTTAAGGTCTAAATACCTACCCTGAAAAAGTGTGCAATTCTGCACACTAACTGAAGATGGGCCAATTCAAAAAAGATAATACCTCACCTATTTTGCATGATTAAGATTTCTATAGCTGTTAGCTAACTCAAGATACACACAATAGGACAAAGAGTACTCCCTAGCTGAGTCAAAAAAGAATTGAGAAAGGGGTGGTACATAGGAAGCAGAGATTTTCACCTAAAAACAGGCCTCACCCCCAAATTGAAAAAAAAGCCACCTGTGAACCAAAATTTCTACAGCAAACAATGAATGGCACCAAGAGTCAGTTCATTTCGCCTTAAACCAGAGTGGGCACTTCCCTTACAACCATTTCCATATTGGGCTATCATTTAATTTGCATCAAACGAAAAGGTTTCATGAACCTCTAAGAGCCCCGAGCTATAAATATCCACTTATTTATGCCCAACACATTAATCAGAGTTCAGCCACCATAGCTGAAACCGTGGACACAGTTCATCTAGATGCTCATGTAACAACTATGCAGAGTTTCTTATGGAGAGGAAGAAGATAAGTGACTCACCTTTCTGCATCTCAGATCCAAAATGTACAATGGCAGCAGGGAAGAGGTTAGCCTATTAACAAGAGAAAATATCCAGGGTTAGAAGAAACACAGCCAGGGCCAGAAATGCCTCTCCTCTCAGCCTTGGGAACATGCATGCACAGAACAGTACTGTTTCCTTGAAACTTAAAAGTGGGGAAATCTTGCTTGTCACAACATGGCTGGTTTCATACATAACGCTAAACCATGGTTTACTAAACTGACTTAATGTTATGTATGAACCCGGCCCAACAACTTCACAATGGTTTACTTACTGCCAACAAACTACACTCTGAAGCTATGGTTTGTTGCAGCAATGGTTTGAACCTTGGTTTGTTCTAACAGTGACCTGGCATTACTCCCAGGATCCTTCCTTAACCATGGTTTGTTTGACCACCCCATCCTAGATGATGCTTACCAAACTGTAAAGGAAAAGGCAAGAGAAGCAGGAGAAGCAACAAACCAAACTTTGGAAAACCAAGTAATCATTGTCCGCAGGACAACTTGCGGTTAACTTGTAGACTTTTAAACAAACGATGGCTTACCACTCTGTGCAAACCAGGTCACCACATTTCAAGAATACCGAGAATGCCACCATGCTGGCAACAAAGCCCTTTACATATGTGTAGGCAATCACAATATAGCCCAGCCTTTCCTAATCTGGTGCTTGCCAAGTGTTTTGGACTACGATGGCTGGCCATGCTGGATGGAATTGATGGGAGCTGGGAGTCCAACAACATCTGGAGGGCACTACATTGGTGTAAGATGTTAAGTGTTGATGAACTGACTGTGCTGCTAAATTCAATACATATGTAAGTGGAAAGTTGACCAGAATGTCCAGCACAGTCACATTTGTTTTCAAAAGAGAAAACTTAAATAATGGGGATTTGTGGATAAATAATTAAATGTAATATCTTGACTTTCCACATCAAGCACCCAAGTTAGCCAACAATATATAATACAGGGCAATTAAAAAAGAACCCTATAAATATGAAAATACAACAACAGCAAATGAACAAGATTTAGTTACCATCTATCTATGTATCTACGTATCTATCTATATTTAAAAGGAAGTTGAAAGGTAACATTCATTTGCTTAGAGGACAGCTGGGTGCCTTGCAAAGCACAGTGCTTGTGAGACCCTCCTGCCACCCCTTGCTCTAGAGTACCCACCATCTTAATTGACCCAGAGGCATCTATAAATATAAATTAGGACAAGCGGGTGTCATGGGCACGTACCCAAAGTCTTTTAAGTGCCTGGCAATGCTTGTAGGGTGGGGAGAGGGAGTGAGGAACATGTTCTAAAAGTATTAATACAAAATTTAAGTATGTCAGAAGCAGGACATGGAGGCAGTTGGACCATTAGATGACGAAGGAGAGAAAGGATGCTAATAGGAAGATAGGGAGATTGCAGCAAAGCTGGATGAGCAAAAAATAATAATACTGGATATCTGCTAATAAACCACTTTCCTGGAAATGAGGGCATCTGAAGATCTAAGTCATGAAGGGGGGAAGATGATGACATTCTAGGACTTACTGACAAATTAGAAACTTAGCTCACTGGGTCTGGATGGAATATACCTGAGAATTCTTAAGTTATTCAGGATGGTGAGAACTCAAGCTCCACAAGGATCTTTCCAAACTAAAGGAGCAACAACATGGCAAATCCTGTTCCATGTAAACACCTACAAAGGTGATGCACACTGAGGCAAAAATTCCCAGCATCGTAAGTCTGGAAATCTTATGCTTCCCACCAAACACATCATTCCATTATCAGTGTTCTTGATGGAGAACCTCTGACTTGGGTCCAAAAGCTATGTATTGGAACGAAAGAGGACAGGATGGTGTATATTCACTTGCCACAGAAACCACGTTGCTTCCATTATTTGAAGCGACTGATGTGAAACAATGTCAGGATACTAAGAATACGCCTGCATAACAGTGACCGCAGAATGTCTCTTCCTGACCCATTTGCCATAGACTTGGAATGAGCACCTGAGGGGCGGATGTGGGCATGGGCATTCAAAGTGGCCGACAACGTCTAGCTCCCAGGAAAAGCCCGCACTCCCTGCCCTCCTCAGCACCAGGGTTCACCTCCTTTCTAGCGACGAGGTCTTTCACAGTGCCAACCTGACATCCTAGCAGTAGGAAACAATATTTATTAGGCCCCTTAAAAACATTTTCTTTCTCAAGCAGCGGGACCCAGGCTTGCCAGCTCCACCAGAAGCCAGTCACAAAGACGGCTCTCCGTAAACTTTTTAATTAAAAAGTACCAGACACAGTTAAGAAACCCCCAAGAAAACTCTTACAAAAGCTTTGATGTCCCCGCTGCCTTCATCTGAAGGGATCCTACTATTTAGGGAATGGATTAAAAAAAGAAAAAGAAAAAAGAAGGCCCCCCCTCCCCAAACCTCTTCACATACACACTATCCTTTTCACGCCAGTCACAACGTTGGAAAATGAGGTTTTTGTAGCGTGTTAGTGTTGGAATTTTTTAATAACCTCCCCTCTCTTTTTCCCCTCTCCTGCCCAATTATCATGATGAATAATTAACATTCTGAAGGAGATAACTAAGCACAGCATCTCGGAGCTCAAAGCCCTTTAGTTCAAAGCCCTGCCCTTTTCTCTTCGATTCTCCAGTTGCTGCCACTAAAACTTCCTTGTCAATCAAGCTCTGGGCACACACATCAAAGCTTCATGTGGGAATGGCCCCAAGGGGTCAGAGAAAATTCATGGCAGGGCCTGTGAGTGAGGCACAAAGAAAGAAGGGATAGACAGAGCGCAGAGGAACACAGTTCAAGAATGAGAGACACACGAGGCACAAATGCTGCAACACACACACCCACACACAGCATGCCCCGATAAGGGCCGCTACCCTATTTTTACTCAGAGGTTGACAAATAAGTCCCGCTTTGACTTCTGAGCTCCTCCTCTCCCAACCAATTCCCACCACTGGCAAAACATCAGTCCAAAGCTCTTTTAATTGGAAGAGACTTAAAGGAATGGGACAGCAGCTCGTAAGCACACAGCATTCAGCCACCTCCTCCAGACTCGTTTTTTCCTCTCCCCCTCCCAGCTCTGCATCCCTTGCCCACCTTTTTCCCTTCCTAGAGTTTGGCCAATAAAAACCTCCCCTCAAAGGGGCTTCTCCACAGCTCCCTCCTTTACTTTTAAGGCTCATTTGTGTGTCATTTGTCTGCTTCCCTCTGTCTGTTGTATAAATTACACGGGAATCCCAAAGACACAACACGTTCCATGGGTGAAGGAAAGGAAAAGTATATTCTCTCAATAGGACCAATTAAACCCTTTCGCCTGCAATGCACAAAAATCAGCAAAATGATCATCATGGACTTTCAGGGTAGCTTTTGAACACGTTAAAAAGATTTACAGAGAAAACAACTTCATTCCACCTCTGCTTTCCTTCTCTAAATCCACCTTGCCACTGAACTCTTGCACATTCCTATCACTTCACTGCTATGGGATAACACCATCTGATGGCATCTCCATGCCATTTTCATTTTTCTGCCATGGGACAGAATCTTAAATGAAAACAGAAGACTAGAGGCCACTTCCGATTTTGCCGCTGGCAGCAACTGCTTCCAAGGAATGAGTCACTCAATGCTGCCTCTGGGCTATGGATACCTTTGGCTTTGGAATGATTGGCCCTGCTCCTGCCTCTTTTCCGGGATAACACATTAGGATCAGGAATTCTCCAGATCTTCTGAAGATCACATTCTCATTTTGGTTATATTTTCAATTAACGGCCGAAAAAGCCTCTGGAACGCATGAAAGAGTAGAAGACTCCAAAATCAAAACCCAAGTTAGAGGGCGAGTAGCCTCAGGCCTTCCAAAAGCTAGATTTTAGAAAGAAGAGATGGTGCCTAATACAGGAACTTGTGTTATTTGACACTCGAGCCAAGGGTAGTCCAGCAGAGTGCAGTCCAACCTCATTTGTACCATTCTTTCTCAGAAGAACCTGCCAAGCTTTATATAAACATATACGACTATTTGCAGTTTAATGGAATATTGCAGGGTCCTTCCACAGCATTCATCTCTGTCTTCTTACACAAATGAAAGCAGCTTACCAAATTAAGTTGGTAAAGTATAGAGGCACACGTGAAAAGATGCAAAACTGAATGCTCTTAAAAGCTGATATTGATAGTCTTGGTTAAAAGGGGAGACTGTGACAGATCTGTGCTATCACAGCATCTCAGCTTTGGCCTGGAGGTATCAACACATTAACAACAAAAGAACTTAGGAAGTGCCTTGCAAGATCAGACTGGGGGTCCATCTACTTCTATATCCAACAGCAGCTAGCCAGATGTTTCAGAAAGCTTACAAACAGGACATGGAATTAGTCAGCATGTTAAAACGTTAACACAGACATCTCTGCATGAAATACAGGATTTAGGTGACTAGACAGTTCATTTAAACTAGCTCAAGGTACACGTAAAGCGGGTGGCGCTGTGGTCTAAACCACTGAGCCTCTTGGGCTTGCCGATCAGAAGGTCAGTGGTTCGAATCCCTGTGACAGGGTGAGCTCCCGTCGCTCTGTCCCAGCTCCTGCCAACCTAGCAGTTTGAAAACATGCCAGTGCAAGTAGATAAATAGGGACTGCTGCGGCAGGAAGGTAAACGGCGTTTCCGTGCTCTCTGGTTTCCGTCATGGTGTTCCATTGCACCAGAAGCGGTTTAGTCATGCTGGCCACATGACCTGGAAAGCTGTCTGTGGACAAACGCTGGCTCCCTTGGCCTGAAAGCGAGATGAGCGCCGCAACCCCATAGTCGCCTTTGACTGGACTTAACCGTCCAGGGGTCCTTTAACTTTTTTTAAAGTTAAAAATGCCAATACACATTTTCTCCTCTTATGAAGAGCTCAAGAGGTCTTCACCAATTGCTGTTAAAGTAGAGTGTGCTGCAAGAGAGCTCAAGAGTGCCTTGAAAAGGTTAGCTACTGTGTTGCACACATTCACCACACTCTGGTGCCTCTTGGAGTGGGGAGGCCCAAGCAGCAGCAGCAGCAGCCTCCTCTCCCCCCCCCCCCGCTTTATGAACCGACAGATGCAGGGCAATCCCAGAAAGCTCACCACTGTCCAGAAAGCATGGTCTGAATCCTAGGCCGACTGACTGACACAAGGCTAAGGGGAGGGATAATGGGAAGCAATATTGTCTGGGCCAGGCATGGCCAAACTTGGCCCTCCAGCTGTTTTGGGACTACAACTCCCATCATCCCTAGCTAACAGGACCAGTGGTCAGTGATGATGGGAATTGTAGTCCCAAAACAGCTGGAGGGCCAGATTTGGCCATGCCTGGTCTGGGCTATCTTGCAAGGAAAGGTGCTCCTACAGTGCTCTGCAAAATGCTTTAGTACAATGCCTCCCATTTTAATGTGGGGTGAAGGGGCTGCAGGAGAACTATTCACCAGATATCAAAGTTTGAGAAACTGCTGTTGACAGTGTAATTCTATGCATAACTACTCAAAAGAACTCCAAATAGAATGCAGGCAGAAGAAATGGGGGACTGATTCATCTAGCAAGCCGAATTGCCTTAGTGTTATGCTGAATCCCGCCCCAGAGAAAGAAACACTCATAAGCTATGAAATCAAAAGATGAGAGTCTTGTTTCTTTATGGCATCACAAGTCTAAAAAAAAGAAACTTGTGGATAAAAAAACTGGCAAAACCCAAGCTACCCTAGAAACTAGAAAAGTATTTCTAGAGTTAATATAAATCAATCAGGACTGCATGTGCAAAGTAGAATCTCACAGCTCAGAAACATCCTCTCGTTTGATGGTAGCAGCAGTCTGAGCCTTCTCACTTCTCAGTCACAAAAGAAAGAGGCCTCCAACATAATAATTTTAAGAGCTGCCTTCTTTTTAAAGGGAAATAAAATAGTGTTCAAAGTTTTAAGGCATTGGAAGTTTCCTCACCAGTCCTGGAGTACATATCACATTATTCTCCCCCACCATTCTAATTTAGAAAGGCTGTTACTCTCTGCCCCTATTTCAAGAGCCTTACTGCCTATATTAAGCGGGGATAAAAATAAGACCAATCATTTGGCACTTTTAGCGTGTTCTGAGCGGTCCAAACTTTGCTACATAGACTCTAATGCTAGATGAACTGGAGTGAGGTGAGTATCAGGTGAGCAACAACCGAAACAGGCACCTGAAGTCGCACGTCATAGATTCAAATGAGAAGCCACTGAAAAAGTGCAGCTGGGAGTGTGGGAGGCAACTGGGGAGCCCATGACATGCTGGAGAAGCCTTGAACACGGTCCTATAAGCACATTGGTCACAATGATCTTTGTCAGCGTGCTAAACAGAGGCAATTACTTGAAGCAACATATTTCTCCCTGGATCTTTACATTACAGTATATACATTATAGTGGAAAGGCTGCACACACCCACACACCCCTCCAATATTTCAACAGCCTTTCTTTTATAAATCCTCCTCCCTAACAACTGAGGGACACACACACACTCCTACAACAAAAGGCTGCTGCAAAAGGATGCAATTCACCACACTGCTACTTAGTTTGCCAAGTTCGTTCAGAGACCTTGAGATCAGGAAGAGGCTGTTGTCTTCTTCTTTTCTTTCCCCCCCTTTTTGTTTGGAGGGGTGGGGGCGGGTGGGGAGTTGGAGACAGGGGACAGGGACTTGCAGCTGCCAAAAGAGGAAGCATTCTTTCCGTTACATGAGCTGAAATGATTAGAGTGCCACAGGTCCACTGTTAGTTTGATGTTTAAAGATTAATAAATAAATGAGGGCTTCAAAGGGGACATGCGCATGAATGCAGAAATCCAAGCTACCAGCATGAAATACCTCACAACACCATCCCCCAAACACACACACACACACACACACACACACACACACATTCCTTCAAGATACACAGAAATCAGCACTTGGAAAATTCAATGGGGAAGCTAGCAGATCAAAAGCTTCCCTGACAAGCAGCAAAGAGCATCTCCGGAAAGGAAACAAACATGAGAACCACCACAGTCAAAGGGACGTTGCCTAAATGGCCTTGTCTCATTTAATACCCAAGAAAAAAGTTTTCCAAAGCAGAGGAGACCATGATCAAACAGAGAGTGAGCGTGAGGCAGCTGGAAAACAGAGGCTTAAGTCTTTTACCTTTTATGAGATATGGTCTGAAAGGGGAACTTTTACACAAGGGTAAAGTAAGTGGAGACAGTCTATTTAAGATACTCCCAAGCCAAAGTACAGCAAGTTCTGACCACGGAGTACTAACAGTATTAGTACTGAACATATCTGGTGCTGTTTGGGCACATGGGACCACCCAGGACAATCATACCAGAAACTAACATGTTTAGTGGCATATATTCTCTGCTAAGAGCAACACAGAGGGACAGTAAACTGGCTAAGACTTGACATACAAACTGGAAAGGTGCAATATTCACTGTACTTGCTGTTTTTGCTCTCTCATTGGTTACACAGGCTTTGTCCAGACACAATGGGAAACCATGGTGTCCCATTCCATCTGAAGCACAGAAATGAAGGTTCAGTCTTCAAAAGGTACCTTTTGCGGCAGGAAACGCAATTGCCAAGTTTGTCCCTGTGTAACAAGTCTGTGTGTATCTGAAGAAGTGTGCATGCACACGAAAGCTCATACCAATAACAAACTTAGTTGGTCTCTAAGGTGCTACTGGAAGGAATTTTTTTATTTTGTTTCGACTACGGCAGACCAACACGGCTACCTACTGTATCTAAGTCTACTGGAAGATTCTCAACCTGCATAGGCTTTGCCAGCATCAGATTCACTGACTCAAAGATGTGAGCGCACCCAAAACCGCACCAAAGAATATGAAAGTAGAACAGCAATGAGAAAAGATCCTCAGCTCGTTTGTATTTTTCCTCTTGTTGACAAAGCCAAGAATAGCTTGATTCAACACTTGCAGAAATGTTAAGATACACTGGAGGGGGGAATAAATATTTAGATGGAAGCATGTGGGGCCTCTTCAGCTCCTTTGAAGATGGGACCACAGTTGTCTGCTGCCTTTCCCAGACTCTGGGATGCTTACCTCTCTTCACTGCTTCCCAGCACAAGCAGAGATCTGTGAACTGGCCTTTCCTAAGCCCCAGGACTGAGTCATGCCAGTGTGTGTTCCTTGGGGTAGAGTGGGGAGGGGGAAAGTCCAACTAGCTAAGAAAAAGCACACACACAGCTGGAGCTTCAGGGACCCCTTGGCTGGAGTACTCAGCAGAGAAGCCTGCAGTTGATCAGTTCTGCCCTCGAGAACACTTTAAAATAATTCATGGGACATGGGGATAATGCAGCCAGCACAAACAGCAATAACAAAATATCAAAGCAATGCCTTGAAGTCTTTATGGGTTCCAAAAACTCCATGTTGCTGCCAGTCTGCACATTCGCCCTCCAGTAAACAGGCACACATTGCAGGACGCTCTCTTCAGATGCAACCCCTTTTCTCTTAAGCAGACAAGTTGACAACATTTGTTTTCCTGGCTTTGATCCCACAGTTGAAGTCTCTTCCCCTTTCTGGTGGCTATCAGGTTTAACAATAGTAGCTCTAGATGCCTTTTCAACCTTGTAAGGAAAATAAGCATCAGTCATAGCCTTGTAATTCCAGCACTTGTTCACAGAGGCCCCTGCTAGGGTAACCATCTAAGGTATCTATATTCTTTCAGCCCATCACAGTGAGCCAAGCCTTTCTGGGGTGGGGGTAGAGGAGGAACTCAACACCCCAAGACTTTCTAGAAACAAACGGTATCAGAAATCAGAAAGGACTCAGGGTCCGGTGACCTTTATCACTGCCTGTGTTTCAAATAATGGGATTCCTGGAATAGCTTGTTGCATCTTCAGACAAGAAAGCTTGTTAGATAGCAATGGCTGTATTGGTCCCAAAGGTCTGAACAGAAAAAAGCAGACAAAATGTTAAGACTTATTATAGCAACTTGATACACAAGCTTTGAGGACAGAACACATCAGGATAATTGGAAAGGTAGCAAAATCTCGGTTAGAAAAAAAGTAAGTGACTGTTCTTACTCAATGACTGCTGATTGCAAAGCTGAAAGCATGTATTATTGATCGGTCCGTTTCAAGGGTGCACAACTCAAATACTAAGAGACACTTTTATAGTTGTATTAACTTAGCAGGGCTACTCTGTTAGGCTTGCAAAGGAACAACATTTTATTCCAATTTATTTTATTTTATTGCTCAGTGTTCTCTTTTTAAAAACAATGTCTTGTTAATGCCTCTTTTCTCTGCGTGGCCCACAGCATGTTCCTAGCTCTCTGCATCCCTGTTAGGCCTCCTTTTCGCTGTCTGAAGTGCCACTGGTCCGTACTCTTATCTGCTATTTCCTTTTTCTGTTTTTCCCCTCCAGAAATCTCCTTGCATCCCTCTCCATCTTACAGCTCGCTTTCTCTCCCGCTTTAGGTCTATGTGCAGCCACTGCTAACCAGTATGGGAAAGGGAACAGCACATACTTTCCATGTGAAAAGTTCCAGTTTCAATCCCTGGTATCTCCAGGTAGGGCTGAGAAAGACTGTCTGAAATCTCAGAGACCTACTGCAATAGTCTGACTCTGTATAAGGCAGTATTCTGTGTTCCTTTCCCTGCCTTTGCACTCCATAGCACCCTCGTTTCTGTAGCACTGCAGGTTTCTCTACATCCCATCTCTGCTACCCACTCCCTTGCACACTGTCCTTCCCACTTGACTTGTTTCATCCCCCGCCTCCCCAGCAACTTCCTTGCTGAGTTTGGCAGAAAGAGAACGTAAGACTTTTCTTCTCCTCGGAATTCATACAAGGTGAGTGGGCTATGCACCAAAACTGGTGCCAACTGGACCGAATTCAGAGAGAGGAGATGCTATGAAAATGTGCCGGTGTAGTTATTCCCCTACTTGTCACTTTGGATGCAATTGGGATTGCTCCCTCAGGAGGTCACAAATAGCTATGGAGTGGTTCATAGCTGGAACCACAGGCCTTATCAGTTTCAAAGAGTCTGAAAGAATGATGTAGATGTCCTGGCTGGACCACTCACTTTCTGATCTCTCTGTCCTCAGCATAAAAGAAATATCATGCAATAACTTTCAGAAGTCATCCCCGGAATCAAGACGAACCTCCTTTGCTCAGACAAATGCAACCAAAGCTTGTCAGCACCCTTTTGCTACTTTTGCTGGCAAGACTTTAGTGCGGCCGCATGAGGTAGAAACGAGTTCACGGAACAGTGGCAAATCTAGGCTACATTGAACCACACACCATTAAATGGCATTTAAAGCAGCCTTCTCCAACTTGGGAAAAATGAGGATGCTTCACTCTCATACCTGCCACATCAGCCACTGGAATCCTTTCCAGACCTTCCCTGCTTTTCTGTAGTTTAGTTTTTCTCCACTACAAACAACCATGAGGTTCTGCAGCAAAAGCTAGGATTCTCAGGACCAGCCTCCAAACAATATATTCTGTTGTTGAAACGACAGTGACCGTGTATGTACGGGTCTCCCGAGCCCGATGCCTGGCCTGGGTTTCTGCACTGTAATATCGACTGAGACAGTCCTTCATCTCTCCACTGTAAGTTAAGGCTGGATGCTCTAGAGTCTAGTCCAAGGATGTTGGCACCTGCAGCCGCTTGTTATTGAATTACAACTCCCATAATCTTTGACCATGCTGGCTTGTGCTGATGGGAGTTGCGACGGCCAGAGGTTCCCCACTCCTGGTCTAGCCTCTTCTGATGTCCTGACAACACAGCATGAAAGTGCAGAGATCTCAAGAGCACAGAGATCTGATGATTCAAGCCCAGGACAGACTTTTTCTGAAGATTCATCATACTAGCTATAACCCACTTGTTACAGCAGGCCTTTGTCTGGCGTTTCCCTGAGTCTAATTAGCTCCTTTTTGTCAGTTAATCCATGTTAAAATTAATTTACAAGTCTCTTAGAAGACTATTTCAAATATTATAGAGTGGTTTCGTCTATATTAAATACGGAAACTATTAAGAGCATCCCACTGAACAAGGTTGGTGTTTCTTTGCGTTTCGCTTCCATCTCCATGTGTACACAAAACCAACATAGTTTATTTTTTTACAAAAATAAGAGAAGTCTCTGTTCTAGTTCCCACATTAGTCACATGCAGACTCAAAAGCAGGAGTCTGCACAATACATAGCCACTCCTGCGCCCATGAGTTTGCCGCTCAGCAAATAATGCTGGAGAAGGCAAACAGCAGGGTTCCCCACCTCAGCACTGCCCCTCACGCTAGTGCCGAGACAGGTCAAATAACACACACACACACACACACCCCTCCTTCCCAGGAACACAGGGGCTTAGGCAAAACAGCCCGATTAGGACCAGCAGCCTATAAAAAGGGCATCCAACAATAACAGAGTTGCCAGGGACATGAAAGCTGGAGCAGCTTCCGCACCCATTTCTCTCCAGAAAAGAAAGCCCCCTTCAGCCTCTGCCAAGCTTTCAGATCTCCGGTGGCAGAGAAAGGCTATCCAAGCAGAAGCCATTACAGCATGGAGCATACACTGACTCAAGGCAAAAAAAGGGGGGAAGAACGAACGGATGAATGCATGTTTATACTGGTGATAGGGAGCAAAATGTCATCTAGAATCAGCCAATCTAAACTAGGAAAAGGGAGAGGCAACCTAGGAAGTTATAGCAATGCGATTTCAATCTCCCCCACCTCAAAAGAAAAAAGGAAGAGAATAAGGAGTAAGTTGCTTGCTTGCTCCTGTTTTGGTGCACCTGAACAGTGCACACCCTAGGATCAACTGGTGCAGTCATCCTGAGTGGGGCTTACTCACCTTTTAAGGAGAATTTGGGTGCAGTCCTAATACTCTAGACAACATGAGCATTTGCAGTTAAAGCACTGCAATTTTCAGTACCTCGGCTATGTCCACACACAGTTTTGTCAGTGTTTTCATAGGCTGTGTTTACTCACAACTATGCAGGGTTCTTATTCATGAGTAACTCTACTGGAGGGTAAACATTCCAGCCAACTACTTGAAAAGGGAAGACTGGGGTGCTTAGGAGTAGATCTGCTTGCAGGCAGGAGTCCTTTACAAATACATCCATGACCAGATTGCTGTACTTTGCATCGGCAGGCTAGGATATTTCTTGTTGGTCATTCTGCTCCTTTCTGTATGTTGATCGCACACAGTAGGAGAACCTACTGGGACCAGAAAAGACCAACCGCCCACCCTTGTACTCAAATGAAACATGAGCTAGAAAACCTGCCATTAACTCTGCTCAAGGACTGTGTGGCCACTAACTTCACACTGTTTGGGCTCTGCGGCACTAAGGCACACAGGTCCAGCCATTTGTTGTTGAAACAGATTCATTAATCTAATTAAACACCCTGCTGATATACTCCCACCGCACTCAGATTTGGAGGTGAGGTGGTCTTTATCCAGGTCTCATTTACACAGGTTACTACTACCCCTTAACCTGCCCAACTCATACCTACTATCACTTCCCTGTAAATCATATTAAACCTCTGATAATTCTATATACCAGGACTTACCTACCTAGCAACCAGGAGAACTGACAAAGCTGAATAGTGCTGAAGACTACAGAGCTTTAAGGTTTGGGAAGAAAAAAGCCTGAAGCTCAAAAACTATCTATTAAAATCACTTAATTCTGAAGAGTGGTCGCCATCAAGAGTGCCTAGCCTGGGCTGCTTTCACATTCTCCCGGCTTTTTCTAACAGTCACATTTGGTACAGAAATTTCCAAGAAAAGCGAAGTTTTGAACAGAATCATTCCTGTTGTTTTGGAAATGAAGATTTCCAAAATACTTTTTAAAAAAAACATAGAAAGGAAGGTTTATCAAAACATCCTGGCCAGCTCCCTGACCTCCAACTTATTTTGCCAGCTGAAAAGCTTGAATACTTTAGAGGGCTGACCTGAAAGTAGGTTTGAAGATTTGGAACTAACAGACTTTGCATGGGCATGGGGGGGGGGGGGAAACCCCCACAGATGCTCACACATTGTGCTGCCAACCCTCAACTCGCATCTCTCTGAGAGCAATCAATGCTCTCTAGCAGATAAAATTAAATGTGGTTGCCTTAGTCATCTGAGGGCAATGGGAATGTAGAGGGCCAGCTAGATTGCAGGGGCTGCTGAAACAGACTGAGCTTGTCATCTGCAAGAGGCTTCATGGAACAGGTGCTGGAAAAGGTGTCAGGGGCCACCAGTAGAGGAGGAAGCTGATGCAAGGCATTCTGGAATGGATGAATGAAAATGCTTCACTGAAGCACTTCTGAACTGTGAAGCAGCTGAAAATAAATGGTGAGCAACCTGGGAAAACTGTGCAGCTACTCTAGAGAACACTGAAACACATTCAGTCAAAAACTCATTATTGTGAAAGAGGGCAATACCGAAAAAAGGGTCACAAAGATGATAGACAATCTATGTGTGTGTAAAATTGCAAACTACCGTATTTTTCGCCCTATAGGATGCACCGTCCCATAAGGCGCACCTAGTTTTTTTTGGGGGGGAATTAAAGGAGAAAAAAATTATTTCCCCCCTAGGATCGGGGCTGGGGCGGGGGAAGCCCGAGCTTCCCCCGACCCCAGCCCCCAGAACAGGCAACTCTCCGCAAGCCATGGGAGCCCAGCGCAGGGCTCCCGCACCTTGTGGAGAGCTGTGCGAAGTCTGGGCGCGCTGAGCTCAGCGCGCCGAGCCTTTGGCATGCAGGCAACTCTCCACAAGCCACGGGAGCCCAGCGCGGGCTCCCATGGCTTACGGAGATCTGCGCAAAGCCTGGAGAGCGAGAGGGGTCGGTGCGCACCGACCCCACTTGCTCTCCAGGCTTCAGCGAAAGCCTGCATTCGCCCCATAGGACGCACACACATTTCCCCTTCATTTTTGGAGGGGGAAAAGTGCGTCCTATGGGGCGAAAAATACGGTAATCATAATCAGGATTAACTTTCTGGAGGTAAAAGCTGTTTGACAGTGGGATGAACTCCCTTGGAAAGTGATGTACTCACCACCATTGGAAGTTTTTAAGCAGAGGTTAGATGGCCATTTGTTGTGGATGCTTTAGTCTCTCAGAAACTGGAGACCTGACTCCAGATTGTGAATGAAGTGTTCAGATAGCAGAGACTTTAAACGGACCATCAAAGGAAGATCACTATGAACAAGAGCATTTTTGACAGTAATAATGTTTGTGATATTCTATCTGTGTTGAATTATTTTCAGATGTCCTTATATGGTCGCTGCAGTAATTATTGTCTGAACTTCTCTCCATTAACCTTTTGCTAACTCTCTTTATGAAAACAGGAATATTTGCTCAGAGACCTTATAGGTGGCAATAGCAAGGAAACCACTTCGCTAGGGAGTTTAAGGTAGTAATACTAACCTAAGAAGTAAGTCCCATTGAATTCAGTAAAGATTACTCTCAGGTAAATAGGGTTAGGATTGCAGCCTAAGACTCAAATCCTCTATCTATTTGTCTGGGATCATGCTTGTAGTATCATTCAAACCGCCTGCCTGCTTACACAAAAACCCTACTTTATGTGTAACAATAAAACTGCATATTAGAATGCTAAAAGTCATAGTCAAAATTGGGTATATAGACCAGAAGGCCGCCATAGCTGGATCAAGGAGTGAGAAGGTACTAAACCTTCCCTTGCAGCTGTTGGTTAATATATTCAGAAAATGCACAAAAAAGAGAGGTGAAGAAAAGCATCCTAGGTAAAGAGGAAGTTAAAAGCCAAAAAGTATTCAGATATGCGGTGGTGGTGGTGATGCAAAAATCTATGTTGGAAAGCAAAGTTCAAGAACAAAGCCAACTTGGGAGTTTGGGTGGGATGAGTACTCCTGCGTGTTCAAGATACCTAGAAGAGCCTGGCACACACAAAACTCAATAGCAGCCAGTGCATTGTATGTAAGACCCAGAGATGAGTAGTAACATTACAATGAGGAGTGACTCCCCTGCAACTCCATGTCTCTGTGTGTGTCTCCCCCCCCCCAGTGTTACTTTTTAATTTGATTATTTTCTCAAGAGGACAAAGGTTTTATACCCCACATTGATTAAAATGGGATAGGTCAAGTTACAATTGCTTTACAGGTCTGGTTTGGCCTATAGGCTGGGCTAAAGAGGGCCAAAACGTATAGAGAAACTTCCGTTTCCAGATACAGGTTTTAATCACTAGTTTAATCAGACTCCCAGTGTGACCTTTCCCTCCTAAGACTTCTCAGAACTCCACAGAAAACTTCTCTTATTTTCCTATCTTCCGACCACAACAAGCGTGTGGGAATCGGAGATCGTGTTGGGTGGCAGCTGTGGGCAAGATGGCACAAAACAAGGGAAGATGGGAGGAGCTGCTTTCCCAATGAGTGGGAAAGTCGCCCAGTTCAAAGGCACAAGGGACCTTTCCACTGGCACTTCTGCTATTAATTAAAATATTTCAGTGGCTTTGAAGGGGGGGGAGAAGAAGAAAAGGCACTGAACTGGCTGCTCCCCACCAAGATGACATTGTGACTCAGAAAGAAAAGGCACAGAGCTTTCTGTTCCAGCACTGAAGGGCTGCAAGCACATCCGAGCAGAGGCCAGGCTCAGGTGCTAAATGGCTCTCAGGGTCATTCTACACCACTGTACGATAAATATGTGTTTACTTCTCATTTGCTGTGCACAGACATTATGTCTCTGCCCCTGCCCCCAATCCAAGGTCAAACTTCTGTTGGCCAAGAATCCCAAGAGCTGCTTCAAGCTCAGACAAGAGGTTTCTGCTAACCTCTTTGAATTCTTAAGGTTTTTCCTTCAAACATCTGAATTTAAAACTCCTGTCAGTTTTGAAAGCAGCTTGGCACATAGCACCCAGGGAACTGTGGTGGTGGGGCAGGGGGATGCCTGCAGTTTGAGAAAAACAACTCTGGAGCTTCGTTGGGCTCACAAAACTAGTTGCATGCTTCCTTGGACAAATAAAGCGTACCTCAGAAAATATGACTACTTCCTTCAGACGGTGTGATCACTGCTGTGTGGAATATACTTCCACAAGTGCTACAGGCACCTGCTTGATATTTTGGTGACGTAACTAGTCACGGGCAAAACACCTCTTCCACCTCAGTCCAGTTTTGTAAATATTTTCCATCTTTTTTAAAAAATAATAATAATATGGAGGTTATGCATGTACCTGTTCTATAAATTCCAGGGCTGGAACACACAAGTTTGTTTTTGTTTTTGTTTCTTTACAGAGTGGAAAACTAGGCAAAAATGAAACAAAATAAGCGAAACCCAAGAGTACCACTTCCCCCACAGCAACGCCCCACCATTTGATGGGTTTTTTTCATTAACACTTAAAAAACAAACTCTAAAGGCTAAATGCCCCCCCCCCCATTCTGGAGAACACATCTAGCCACATCTGGACTTTAAAAGGAGGCCAACAGTTGCACAGATACCCTCCCTCCCCGATCTGTTAAATGCCGGCAGAGTATAGTGCTACTGGCACTGGAAAGGGATTTGCAGAAGTATCTCATGAAAGTCAAAATGTATTTTGTGCACATTTTGATTAAGCATGCCGAAGGGGCCTCAAGACGGCAGAAAACACAACTAACCACTACATCATGCCCGGGCTATGGAGTCACCAGCCATGAACAATAAAAGCACACCCATGCTGTAAAAGTGCGCAGGCCTGACACATTCCCAGGGGTCAAGGAGGCCGAGGCCAATGTAAACATTGTGGCAACAAACAAAACACTATTAGTAAACCATACAGAGACAGACATGTTTTGGGGGGTAACCTAAGCTTCTTGGCAAGGAGTTGTGAGGCACTGTGTGTCAGAAAGGGGACAGGTCTTGAGCTTGAACGTAGGTAGCCATCGGTATTGGCTCTTTACGCATTCAGTGCTCTGACAGCAGCTGCACTGGTGTCTTGTCCACATGGCCTGGCCAGGAAGTCATGGAATTTGGAAAGCTCCATTATAAACAACTTCAGAAGAGCTCTAATCCTTTCCTAATTCAATATGCCGCCTGAGAGGCTCTGACATACACTACGCAAACTGATTCCTGTTACACTCTGTATGACCTGTCAACCTCCAAATGACCCTTGGTATATCATACCCTGCGAGTGACAGTTTTGGTCCTGCCTCACTTTTCTTTGGGCAGGAAAGCTACAGTCGGTGAGGTTTGTTGGCTAGGCCCTTTCAGTTCCACTCGGCATTTAGCAAAACAAACCAGAGCTCCGCAGCTAGGTTCAGGCAAAAAGCCTTTTGTGCAAGGAGTTCTTCATCTCCGTCACAGTAAGCCTTCCTAAAAATCAAGAGCACACATTTTCAGGCCTTCCAAAACAGAGACAGACTGTTCGCTTGGCAAGTGCGTGCTCTCATCTGGGGCCCGGAGGCAAGGAGATCAAAAGAAAGGGGGGCAGGGGCAAAACAGAACAGGGTTGCACGGACCCGTAAGAGGGAGGAACTTCAGAGAACTTGCAAAATTACCTCCCCTAGAAGGGGGAAGTGGAAGAAGGTCACTCCAGTGATCCTCAACATTGATAATTAACACAAGCTTCTTGCACTGCATGAACAGAAAGAAGCGACTGGTATCAAGAGCCAAGATCCAAGTCACAGAGACATGGGAACACAGCGAGTTGCCTTCAACTGTCAAGACCACTGCCCTACCTAGCTCAATATTGTCTACACTGACTGGCAGGGCTCTCCAGGGTAGCAGACAGCGGTCTTCCCCAGCCCTGCCTGGGATTGAACCCAGAACCTTTTGCATGCAAATCATATGCCTACCATTGAGTCATAGCCTTTCCTTAAGATGCACACACCTGGGATACAGGCATTATGAGGAGCTCACGTTCCCCTTTCCAACGCTCCATACCTTCTGAAAAGAGGATCCATATCACAATACTCGAGCACTCTTTTAAAGTGAAGCAATGAGTGCCTGGCGTGCTCTGGTCCATGGGGTAACGAAGAGTCAGACACGACTAAACAACAACAATGTTGTCCAATTTGGAAAAGCCTCCAGGAATTATAAGCAACATTTCCAGTTACCCAAGAATTCAGAGAATGGTGATCGCAATGCCACAACAATTCCCACGTCTATCAGGAGGTACACACAACAGTCAGGGAGGGGAAAATCCCCTTTCATGAATCCTTAAACCTGTATATAGCTGGAAGGAAACAGCCCGATTCATCAGCATCACCTCCCAGCTTCTGCAAGCAAAGTGCTCTGTATGGTCAGTGTTACGAGACAACGAGAAAACGTTTTAATTTTGGATGCAATGGCCTTTCGGAATCTTCCCACAAGAACACTAGTGAACACTGTGGGCATGTGTAGCCCCTTCTTCCTTTATTTCAGCTGGCTTGCTTCTATGCTAAATAATTCAATTTTAAGCTGTGCTTATATGCATACTAGCTCCAGAGAAAGCCCCAGTAAGCACAGTGGGTGGAATTCAACATAGTGCTAAGTAGGGTATGTGTGGGGAATGAAGTCCATTTGTGCAACAAGACTTCCCCTCCCCTCCATGCCCCCCCAAGCCTGTTCTGTGGGTTCCCCCAATCCTTCAGAGTAGATTTAGGGGATATGAATATAAGGGAGGGAAGTCCCATTGTGCAAGCTGACCTCATTCTGTGCATGTAACAACTCAGTTGAATTCCACCCAGTGGGGCTTATTTGCCTCACTCATGGCAAAAATGGCCTTGCCAGAAGCACTTATGCTCAACAATGGGAAGCCCTCGTAACATGCCAGGTGCACAAGCAAAGGGAAGCACTTTAGACTCCAACTGCAGATTTTCACCTACCTTTGGCTTAACAGAGACCCACAGGAGGCAATTATTCAGGCTCTTAAAAGCAAAGCCAGAGTAGAGGGCATTTTTGTGATAAGAAAAACAAATCAAACAGGAAGAGGCATACAGCCATTACCTGGAAGAGGGTCAAACTGTCATCATTCAAGATGCATCTGGGAGGTGTAGTAACTAAAGTAAAACACAAAGTTCTCATTAGGAAAAGAGAACAAGAAAAAGCTCATTTAGCAAAGGGTTGGGGAATGAGGGGGAATAGGGAGGAGGAGAGAGAAAGAGGTGCAGTCATAGCTCACTAGCTGCGGCAATTAAAATTAAAAGACCTAGATGGTGACAGTAGGCCTGGAAAACTGACATTAAAAAGTTATAAAACATAAATCTGAACTTACATAGATAGAACGACATCTCTGGATCTGCAAGCTGGTTTTTCACAAAGTTCCTCAGAGCACCAACTGTCAAATAAAGCATAAAAATCAGTGTGTGGATCAAAAGATATATTGTGAGCAGCATTCTCTTTACAGCACTGACCACATCTCCTTTGCTGCAGTGATTAGAAAAGAAAACCAATGTAGTCACTGCCTTAAAGACACATGGAGAGGACAAAGCAAGAGGAGATGTCTTGATCGGTCAGCACCTATTTTAGGTTCACCAAAAGGAAGAGGTTAGCGCATTGTAACATCTGTCTATGCTTTCAAGCTTCATCACTGCACATTCTGCCTCTATAGTTGGAAGTCTCCTCCCCACACTATGCACACCCCAACGCTGAGACTTCAGCATCCTTCAATGATGGGGGACGGACGGACGGGAATTATCCTCCTAACCAAGATCTGGCTTGGTTTCCCCAATGCAAAGTCTCAACAGTATGTTCCAATTCTTCTGCCTAGGAATAAATGAAGAAACTTTCCTTACAAATCTTCCATCTTATATTAACTGCCAGCACAAACCCCCTCTGCCCCCAATGAGCAATTCACAAGGATTGGCTTCCCTGAAAGGAATAACTGAAGTGGTGTTCAGTTTTGCTATCGGAGACCCTCACAAACGATTTTTCCAGGCAATGCTAGACTGAAAGATAGATGGCGTAGCAAGGAACACGGCTGCTTCTAAATGGAGCAAAAACCCAAATTCAACACAAAGCAAAATGTCAGGGGACTGCCATCAGAACAGGGAAGGGAAGCAGAGGGGCAGTTGGGTTACAGGGAACCTCCGAAAATCTTGCAAAGCAGTTCCTCTTCCTGTGGTGGGGAAAGCCACACCTCCAGTGGGGAAGAGGGGAAGGGACCAGAGGATGCTGCTGAGAGCCTCAGCACTGCTTCTGGTCAAGCTAGCCAGGAGGGAAGCATGCTTCTTCTATCGCCCACCCTGCGCAGAGGTGTAAAATGCAAAGAAGGAAGGAAAAGGCTGGGGGTGACTAAGCTATTATGTTGGGGGAGGACCCGGATATGACCACTCCTGGATTCTGCTAGCGATTGAGGCAGACATGAACTTGTGGTTCTGCACTGTAAATAGTTTTGCACCAAAATAAAACCTGTAAAAGACAGGTTGGAGTCCTGACTGATTACTCACGAGCAACCACCATTGCCATCTGACACAAAAGAATGAGCAACATAAACAGTAGTTACCCACGGTCCTATCTATCTTCTCCGCCCCCCACTCCTTCAATATTCAAATCACTTCCCTCAAAAGGTACAGGCAACAATGGTAGTGTTTAAGTGTTTACATCAGATAAACCAGCCAGCTATCTGTACAGCACTGTGTAACACCTCCTATCTGGTATGTTCTGCCTGCCCCGACTCAGGATCCTAGGAATACAGGGGCTGACGCACACATCTCATGCCAGCAAGGCAGAAGATTCTGGATCTTACTTTAGTCAGGCCTGTGCAAAAGAACTATCACTTTAGAGTTCCCTCTCACAAGCTTAAGGCCAAAGGAGGAGCAGAAAATCATGAGGAGGAACGGACATCTAGTTCCGTAGATGGAGACAGATGCAAGACAGAAAGCATAGTTGGGTGTGTGCCCTGCCATGCCGCAGGAAGTTCTAGCCTTTTGCTATTTAGAGGTGCAGGAAGCCTGGTTTTGCTTTTGGCCCCTGGCACATTTAAGAAGAGTGGTTGATTCAACTTCTCTTCAGTGTTTCCAGCTCCTTTTTTGGGCTCTGGTTGAAACTACACTAGACCAACACCCTGTTGTTCAATGGCCTCATCTGGGCATGACTAATGCAGCGGTAAGTGGCCTGGAAGATTTGTCCTCTTTAGAGCACAAATCTCAGCCCTCCTTCATTCAGATCACAGTGCTTGAGTTTCAAGCACCGCCCAAACAAAACAACTAGAGAGACTGCAGTGTAACTATCTCAAGTCACAAACCTTAGCCTGGGAGCAAGGAACTTTTCTCTATTTCACTGCACCTTACTTGGGGGTGAGGCAGAAGCTGGGAAGGAGATACAGTCTTACCTGTTTCACTGGGATGGAAGAAGCCCTGCAGAATGTGACGATCTGGGAAGTAAACTCTCAGTACCACCTAGTTGAAAACAAAGAGCAGGAGCCTACTCAAGTAAACCTAAACCATGGTCAAACCAGCTCTGCCTTTGGACAAGACTAGCTCATTCTGAGAAACTGATGCCTTTTCATGAATGAGCAACTGTGACTGGTTGACACTATATATGGGGCTTTCAAGATACTTGAAAGGGCTGTTTTAGAAACCCACACCAACAAGAAGTTGTCAGGAACAACAATGAATAGTTGGGTAGCACGCTAGCTAAGACTGAGTTATGAATCAGGATGCTCCCAGTTCAGATCTTACCTCTGATATTAACTCACTTGGTGACCTTAGGCAAGGCGTTCTCTTTCAGACTCAGCCCCCACCCCCCGGCAACCTTCTGAAATATGGAAATACTAATTATGACACCTTAGCAAATTTTCAGCACACTTAACGCAGTATATAAATGCTAAATACTATTATAGCTTCATTCTGGGCTCTACCACTGTTCCAAGAGAGCTACTGATCTCAAATTAAAGGAAAGAAATGGGGCAAAGAACCAGGGGAGCAGAACAGGCAGGATTCCCATCAAACCTTCAGGTATAAGAATCCTGCTAAGGGCACCGCTATAACCAGCTAGCCCTGTCTGCCATTCATTTGGTTGTCCCAGAATGTAACAGAAGATGGTTCAATGATGCCAGCAACCTGAAGTCGGTACCTGAGAATTTACCATCCACTAACTAACTTTCTGTTCCCCACTTTGTGAAAGACCCAAAACAAAATATTACCTTTGGATAGCGCTCAAGCTTGTCCTTCAGCTGAGTTTCTCGCTGTGCTCGTGTCATCAAGGGAGATTCTTCCAAACGCTTCCTAGGAAGAGGGGAAGCTTAGCAAGCCAGTATAGTCACAGATCTATACAGCCAGGGGCTGCCGCTCCACACAATCTAGTAACTATCTTATCTGCTTAAGCTCCATACATTCTCCTTCCTGCTCTCTACCTCTGTGTATGTTTGTCTAAAACAAAGCACTACTACATACTCCCAAAACATGATTGCAAAAGAGGCAGATCTGAGAAACTCTGCAGCAAAATCATTTTAACCAAACAAATCTCAAACATATTTGAAAGTGGCTGAACATTTTTGGTTATGTTCAAATGTTTGCACCAGCACTATACATTTATAACAATTTAAGATTAATGTCTGAAATAATGCATTTTGTAATTTTTACTTAGTTTAGAAAAAAGTCTGCTGGTAACAGCCTTGCCACATTTCCCCCTTGTGGTGTACAAAAGAAGTTGTGACAAGCATATAAACTGAAACTATGCAATATGTGTGCTCGTATTTTGAAAACTCCTCACACAGGTAACCCCTGTGCAATTTCCAACTATTCTAAAATCATGGGGAGGTACAGGGACAGACTGTACAGTCTTCAAGAAGCTTCAGCCTTAAACAGAAAGCTCAATTCAGCCTTCCCTATGGTGCAACAAATGCCATACCACAATACCAAAGGAATGATTGGAAGTTAAAGAGGGAAGTTTGATTCATTTGACATTTAATTCAAAATGTTGATTCACCAAGACTGATGAGCGGTAAAGGATATACTGTAATCAGAGAAGTTTAAAAACAAAACTGCAGATACAGCTCAGAGGTGTTCTTCCACAGATTTCACAGCTCCACAGTTTAATTGTTTACTTTAAGAGATGACACAGCACTTTTCATTTAAATTACTTTACTCCTTCACTTTCTTCAACTATTTTTTAAAAAAAAAAACTTTTGAAAGCTTCAAAGAAAAACCTCCAGTGAAACCATACAAATATTCACAAGCTTACGGAAAGATCAAGCTAATCCTTCCATTTGTGCATTAGTCCTTCCATCTAAATGGGTTTTTTGGGGGGGGGGGGATCATGAAAAACATGTATTGAAAAGTATCACAATCCAGACTACCTTCACTTGTGTTAACACCATTTGTCTGCTTTGTGACCCCCACATTGTTGCACACTCTGTATAAAGACTAATTCACATGCAGGCTTTGTTCCAATTTCTAAAATGGGGTAATCTGTTATCTTTGCAATGGTCAGTAAAGTTTACCTCCTTGTCTTCAGATTTAGTTTTTTCCTTCCAAAATCCAAGTACAGTATCAGTGAGATCTAATGACAGCCTATGTTATAAATGCGCAACAGTACTGGGGAGTATATTAGTAATGTGACAACTACACATGCTTATGTTTATCCCAAATATTATTCAGGAGTGGCAAGGCAACTGTCAAGGGATGGGGAAATGTAGAATCCATCTAGGTCCCCCTAGAAGTTTGTGGAAGAACACAAAAATAAAGTTGGCACCGGGCTCATCCCTCCTCTTGTTTATATTGCCTGATCCACAATTGGTGTAATCTCTTTTGTTCCTGTGTCTTGTATAATCCCATTTCATTGCCACAGCAGATGAAAATTTCAGTTTTAAACTGGAAAATATTGCCACAGTGTAAAAATGTGAGGAAATAGAATTCCGACATGGATTTACTTTTTGGCTTAGCACCTGATGACTTGCATTGTGATCAAAGGGAACTAAATGGGATTGCCAATATATAAACAAAGAAATCATGAGCTTTGCTGTCCAGTCGTCTATCTTTTTTCCAGTGTTTATAACAGAGGCATCTAGTAGATGACATAAAGTGTATCAAGATTTCTAAACAACTCTGTGACCTAGACACACTGGCTGGAGGTACTGGAAAGCAATAAGGCTTACGAAACTGAAACATCAACTAGGAAAATAGCAGCCTAGATAAACCTTCAGCCTTGCAGGAGGCAACTGTATTTGTCAGCTCCTTAGAACAGAGGTGTGTGCCTGGAATAACTACTACAACCTGATCTCAACACTCACAAAGAAATTAATGTTTCCCCCCTTTCGCTTAGAAGACACATTTCCCATGCCTGTAATTTGAGCAAAAAAACAAAAAAACCCTTCCCTATCCAATTTCAATGAAATAGTTTCTTTATCATATTACAGCTTCACACTAACTTGGAAGTACACCCACTAAATTCAGAATACTGTACTTTAATTCTTCTAAGCATCATGCTGAGTGGTGTCTGATTTTATGCTAATTTCCTGAGCTCTTAGGGAAATATATTAAAACACCATCCGGGACAGGTGAACGTACTTGATTATATGGGAAACTATGAGAAAGATTCAAAATCTCAAAGAACGTGGGTGAAATTATAACAGCATGTAATTCTCCCAGATATTAGGCCAATGCAGACCCATACTGTGATATGCTTTGTGTCAGCAAGATTTTGAAACAGCCTATAGGTAGAATTAGCTGTGTTAGTCTATTGCAGGAAAAATAAGAAAGACACTTGTGGCCACTTAAAGATTAGCAAATGTATTATGCCAAAAGCTTTTATGGGCTATAGTCCACTTCACCAGATACCTGAAGTATAATCCTAAATTATAGGAATATTCACACACATATGGTGGAGAGAACTATAAATTGTAAGGTCAGAAGGAAGTGAAATGTAGAAAATACAGATGGTGAAAATTCCGTTGTTGTCAGTGGCCATCCACAACATACTACAGATGAAGTGACTGCATCACCAATGAAAAAGAAACTTACCTCTCATTCTGGAGCTGAGACAAACGTTTCCTCACATCATCTACAGTCACCTCAAAGAACTCATCTGGAAGTTCCTGTGAGCCAAAATTCAGTGGCTTCTGTAGATCTGGATGGCACAAAATTGGCTCTCGCTCCAGATGCTGTAAAGAATATAGGAACTGGATTCAGATGACTGGATCCAAGAAGGCATGGAATCAGCTGAGCACATTTGCATATGTACAATTGTGCCTTTTGGGGGTGTCCAGAAAATCCTGCCCAAAAGCATTTGCTTAACTACAAAAAGGCTTCAGAATTACAGTAACTTTCAGCTTAATCATTCCCCGTGTGAATCTCTTTCCTGGTCTTAAAATAGAAATGGGGAAGGATTTTATCTGCTCTGCAATGTGAGGTTAGCTCCCTTGGTTCATACCCTATAAACAAGTACTCCTGTACCTGTAGATGTACAAACCTTTTTGAAACACAGTTCACTCATTCCACTTACAAGATGGTCTGAAGACTGCTTTCCTTCCTTCCTTCCCACTGTGAAGCCGCTAAGAACAGCTTCAAAGTAGAGCACTGGGTAAAGGTGCTTTTAAAATGCTGTGGTAAGTGGTTTGCACACAAAGGAACAAACAAAGGGACATTGTATGGAAAAAAATATGGAAGCCTCCATGTGCTGTTGGGGTAGCCATCTTTTTTACTGTACAAGGTCCCTTTGTGCCTACACAATTACACAGGAAGCAGTGGGCAAAAAGCCTCTTTCTGCAGCATTTTAAAGCATTTTTATCCAGGGCAGCAGAGCAGCTGTGCTTTGAACTAAAGCTGCTAGGAGCCATACTGTAGAAAGAAAGAAAGAAAGAAAGAAAGAAAGAAAGAAAGAACTCATAAATAGTACAGCTGAATCTATGTAATTTTTAAAAAATTAAAGGTTATTTGATTTCATTTTCCCCAAATGATTATTTAAATGAAATCAGTTTTAAAAACCTGCACGACAATAGGACCGACATGTGAAAATGGGATGGGGCAAACTTTCTTAGTTGACACATAATAATATAAGCTTTAATAAGGGCACAAGGCACAGAACACATGGAAGTGCACCACCTCAGAATTCTCGCTTAAACACAATGCCAAAATCTTCTCAAATGTGCACAGCTTGCACACTGAAAAGAAGGCTTCCAACTGAGCTTTTTCATGCAACAGGTTTGCATAATCAAGCAGGTTCTGCTGTTTATTGGGATGGTTTACAAGCAAGTGATCCTCCACTGTGAAAATCAGAGATGATACAAAATGTGCCCTTCTGAGCTTCAGAATTAATCTGGTAAGTAGCAATCTCTGCATGCTTTATATAGCCTGAAAGCTGCTGCCACTCCTCCGTGTCCACATCAGGTATGTTGCCTATGGAGAACTGACTCAGTCAAGATTGCTATGGAAAGCCTCCATCAGTTTTGGGGAGACTGAAGTAACTCGGAAATAGTTATGCAGAAGTGACAAGCATGAACAAGAGACAGATTTTACTGAAGCCAGCACTGGTGGTTTATAGCAGATTATATAGAGCAGAAGCATTAAGGCTATACAACTACTGAACAGTGAGCTTGACATTGATACCACGCTATATATTCAACTGGAAGCAGAAAGACCTGGGGCTTGTGGGAGCTGGTTATCAGCTGCACCCCACACACTGGAATAACCTGCATCTGCAAGTACCAATCTACATCAGAATTCCTACAGATTAGAGATTTAAACAGGCAACTTTGTGAAGGATGGAGGGGAAGAGGCTTTGTTGCCACTGCTGATATAGTCTCCCTTTTCAGTTTCCCCTCCATGCATGCATAAGATTCCATTCAGTTGGCAAATAGTCCTGCTAGTTCTGACAGAAAAGAGAAGGTGCTGCACTGCAGAGCTATTGGCTGACACTCTGTAAATCCAGAGCTAAAAAATGATGGCACCACTTGGTCTGTATTGTTAATAGGCTGCTTTGAAGACCAGCATCCTTGACCATCAATGATCTGCTTAGCCTGGCCCCAGACTCTGTGAACTTGGGACGTTCCTATTTATAATCGCCCATACCCCCCACGCTTAATGTCTCTAGCACATCCCTGTCTGTGCCCTCTTTCCCACCCACACATCCCTGGCCATCTACTGTCCTATCTTATTCTCACTTCTTTGCAGCATCACCCCCTCCCACCCCGAACAAGCCCTCTGGGAATAGAAGGAGTCTCTCTCAATTGTCAGTAGAGACAACACAAATTACAAGGCAAGATTTTCTCTATTTGTGGGCACCAGAGGGTAATTTGGGAAGTTAAAAGAGTGAGGTTGCGTGGGTGGGACCCTCAGCTACTTTTAGAAAGTTGAAGAGAGTTGGGTCTAACTAGAGGGTGAAGGAGCCTGATTGTAGCTTTCTCTGGGCAGAAAGCACAAGAAGTACCCGTGAGCTGCCAATCTGTCCTCTTTCAAAGACTACTGTCGCCTTACGCTGGTTGTTTAGGGACTGGCAGAAGAAGCAGAATGGGATAAGCAACCGCCTTGTACTGACAGTCTGGGACAGCCGCTAGGAGCAATTTACTATAGAGTGATGTAAAAGGGTCCTTTGACACCCCATCTAAAACCTACGGTCCTATTTCCACACCTCTAACCTATACACTGGAAAGATCCAATCAAAAACTGGTGTGTGTTTGTGTGTGTGTGTGTGTGTGTGTGTGTGTGTGTGGCGCAAAGACAGCTACTACTCCTAGCAAAGTCTGGAGGAAAAATTAACTCCCACACCACAGATTCCCTATGTGAAGAAGAGAGCCCAGAATCAAGAGCCAGCTAGCATACTGGCAGAAATTCCTGGCTTAATCCGAGAGCACCAAATTATTGCACCGATTACAAGATCGCACAAGGTACAGCAGCCTCTCTCAACCTTAGGTCTCCATAAGTTGTCGGACTACAACTCCTATCATCCCTAACTACTGGTCCTGCTAGCTAGGAATGTTGGGAGTTTTAGTCCAACAACATCTGGGTACCCAAGGTTAAAAAGGCAGGCTTAAAGTCAAGGTTCATTTGGGATAATATAATGGGACATTTCACAAGTGTCACATCCCTCTTATCACAGTTCTTCTTCCATCCTTTAATGCCCATTTAAAGCTGTGCTTTTATGCTCTACTTCAAGATGGAAGAACTCTTTAAGCCTGGCACACTAACTTCTCCATCACTCCAATATCATTCTCCCATGGCAGCACGAAACAAAGTCTGATGATTCCCTGGGAGACACATTTTTGCTCTTTTCTTGGCCTTGCCAGCTCTCGGCAGAACAGAACAACTGGGGGGGGGGGGGTAGGCGTGTAGGGAGAGCACTGGGGGCTGGTGGGTCAGATTAGGTCTGCAGGCCAGAGGTTCTCTATGCCTGCTTTAAGATCTTCAGGTCTTTCCCACCAACTCAATACAACTTGCTTGGTATAAAATTCTTCCATAATCTGAACTGTCAACATTTGTCTCTTCTCTCAGCAGCACTGACTGCTCAATAACTGAAGCAAATCCCAGAAGGGCTCTGTCTAGAAACAAGTAATTGACTTGAGGACAGAAACAATGCAACACATTCCTCTCTACAGACTATTAAACAAACCCAGGACATTGGCAACTTCCAGTGTGGCTAGGGAGGGCTGCCAAAAATGGAGACAAAGGGAACAGGACTTTTTGAATACCAAGCCCTTCCAGCAGATCTTCAATATGATGTAATTTACCGCGTCAACTTTCAGCTTTGGGTGTACAGTTGTAACAGAGGGGCTGATGGGCAGCACCTCAACTCTCAACACCATCATCAGCCAATGCCTGGAGGGGCTCCATGGTCTGATCATAGCCTTCAGAGAAGGATGTCAAGAACTAGCTATGATGCTCGCATGCAGGTTGCATGACAAGAGTTCTTCAGTGGTCATTTTGTCTGAGATGATTCTTCAATTCTGGAAACCGCTGCAAAAAGGACTTAAGGGAGTAATAAATGTGAAACTACTAGCCCTCGTTCACTCTCTTCAGTACGCATTTCCAAACCAAAACTCTCAAGAGATCCTTTGCCAACAGTATAACAGGCCATCCATTAGCTCAGTGCTTTGGCCTTGTCACTCAAACCAACCCTTTACACTCCTACATATTACTGCGGTCCACAGTCAGAAGGGTGGCAGGGATTGCTGTGACGTTAAAGCAAGGTGGTGGGGCAAAACCAGCTCCTCTCCCACACTGCAGAAGTCTCTGATCTCTAGGGGAATTTGGAGCTAAGCTACCTTCTAATAATTAATGTTTTGACATCAAAGTATGGCTGGTCTGTAAACCATCCCCAGCCCAGAAGTGGAGGGACGCCGGCACAGATTTTATCCAGCCTCTTCCATCAAATCCAAAAAACCACACACAGGCACAACATTAATGGGAAGATTCTTTTGCTAAAATGGACCTTTGATGTTTAAAAATAATTTGTTTTGTTTTGGGGTTTTTTTCTTCTTCCCCCTCTGGACTGAAAAGGGACAAAAAGCAGATGCCATGCGGCCAGCCCCATTCTGGAGCTGCTGATGAGAGCAAGGCAAGGGAATGGAAGGAATGGAGGAGGGAGCGCAACGTAATCAATCAGCGGCAAAGGCACCCGAGATCAAAGGGCCTGAAAGCAGCCGTCAGAGTCGCACGCTGTTTAGCATGAGGGAGGGAAGCCTCCAACAGAACCTGCAGCTGCTCCCGAGACACCGCTCCATCGGCCCTGCTTTCCAACCTTTTTGGCATGTTGATCCACAAGACCAATTTACTTGGTATGCATGGTGACCCACAGATTTGTTGTCACATGAATATAAGGACCTCAGGTCTTTGGCAGCCATCCATTTCGTGCATTTTTAATGGCAAGTTTGCCTAACACGTAATCGTTACTCGAGATGTCTAGGGGAGAAATTAGCTTCACATCCCTATTAATGTTGAATCTGTTCAAATATTACTCGCTTACAAAGTTGTTCTTATTTTGCTTATGGGAATATAAGGACACCAAGCATCTGATTGCAGAACGTTGCTTTGTGAACTAAGAATTTCCTCTAAAAACGTACCGTTACACGAGTTTGTTAAGGGTGTCTAGGTTGTTGGACAGGAGGTTTCCTTAGCTACAGGCAAAACCTTGTAAAGAAGAGTTAAGGCTGGCCTCAATCCAAGTATCAGAACTGAACAAAACCAGCCAACCCTTCAGCTGCATCCTCAAGAATTAAATCATGGTCCTTTTCTAGTCCCGGATGCCAGCAAGGCAGGGCAGCATTCAGTGACACACTCAAGAACCAGAGGTCACAAAGGACCACACAGTTATGAGTGCTCATAGGTATGCATCACCTTGCCAGGGAAACGTTTGCTCTCTGTATCAGAAGCTACACAGGGGAAAAGACCGAGGGCAAATTATATCCTGAGCACATCAGAAAGTTATGCCTAGACTGGGGCAGGGGGAAGGATTGGCTCAATTTCCCTAAAATTTCACTTTTATTTCACTTACTGTTCCTTATCATTTTCTTTACTCATCTCTCTTGGCTAGCTCAGTCAAAAGGGTCACAAGAGACCAAAACTTCAGGAATTCCACAACAGGAAGGTCTCAGAAGAAAAATGTAGCAAAGTCCAATTAAACTATAGTAAACCAGAGGATAATAGCAGTCGCTACAACTCGACTCTCATTTCTGGAGGACAACCCCTATAAGATCTCACGGTTACTTCCCCCTCCTGATGCATTCGGATGCTAGAAAAGCTGTGAAGCAGCGGAAGTCCTGCTGAGTTAAGGAAGTCAAAGAACCTCTCAACTATGGAATCCATTCAGAGAACAGGAGACAACACCAGAGGAAGCTTTAGTAAATCAAGATCCATTCCAGTTTCAGCAGAAGAGTGCAACTAGCTTCATAGTCTTCTGCCACTGGTTGTGAATGTACAGTTCAGTTTCTGTGCTTAATCCTTCAGTCTGCACAGCAAATCCCTAAGATCTGTGCTGCACTTTTGACTCAGCCCTGTCACTTTCACCTAACTTCACTGGTTCCTAACAACTTGGATTTCAAATGCACCAGATAAGGGCTATAAATTCCCGCTTTCCCACCAACTTCTTCCACTTTAACTCTTAATACATCAGGTCAAGCAGGCCGAAGATCAAACTCTGCCCAAACTATGTGATGTTCATCAACATCAGAGGTTGTAGGCCAGAGGTTTACTGTAGGATTACGGGAGTGGAACTCTAACAAGCTTCCTCCATCTCTTCAAAAGTCAGTGCTAAAGGAGGACAAGCAAAGAGAAAACCCCGCCTCCCCAGAACACTGTAAGAAAGCCAGACTACTACCTCTTTTTGTTCCTTTAGCTTTTCTGGACTGTTTTTTAGCTTCTTTGGCTTGGAAGGCCCTCCAGAACTGGATAGAGCTGTTGATAGGTTTGGCGATGGCACATCCAATACAGAAGAGCCACCACTCAGACGTTGGCCACCACCTACAAAAGGGACAAATGGGGAAGGCATCGAAGGAGAATGGCAGGTCACTGAGCTGCTCTGAGATTCTGCACTCCTGTCCTGCTTATCGGTGCTATTGCTGGCAAACACAGCCTCATCGCTGCAGGTTGAGCTTGCTGGGGAGGCAGCTGTATGTGGCACAGGCAGACCCGTTGGCTCTTCGCTGGAAGGTGACCTTGCTGTCAGATCTTTAGGAGGATATTCACCACTTCCAGCTTCTGCATGGCCAGAGGTGGTGGACTTCTTTTTGACCACCCTAGACATAAAGGGAAAGAGTGAAGCAGTCGCTGACAGTGGAAATGTTGACTTTTTTCTTATTCACAAACAGCTCAGGCTAAACAAGTTCCCCAAGTCATTTCCTCAAGAAAGGAACAAACAACAACTTCGAAAAATCTGGGCACATAACACTCCACAGAAGCAATGCCTAAAAATAAATGCCACTCTTTACATGAACAAAAGCGGGCATTTTGTCCCAGGGGCTCCAACTTTGGGACGATAAGGAGTAGGTTAAAAAGTTGCAGATCACAATCCAAGTTCACTGCACCTCTTATAGAAAAAGAGACCAGCCCTACACACTATCCCACCATTTTGATCAGTTGCATAATGGACAAAGGGGGAAACGAGTCAGAGCCTATGGCTAATAAAAGTGACCTGAACTAACAGAATACAAATCACAACATAAAGGTAAAACCATTAGGTCCAGTCGTGACCGACTCTGGGGTTGCAGCGCTCATCTCGCTTTATTGGCCGAGGGAGCTGGCGTACAGCTTCCGGGTCATGTGGCCAGCATGACTAAGCCGCTTCTGGCGAACCAGAGCAGCACACAGAAACGCTGTTTACCTTCCCGCCGGAGCAGTACCTATTTATCTGCTTGCACTTTGACGTACTTTCGAACTGCTAGGTTGGCAGGAGAAGGGACCGAGCAACGGGAGCTCACCCCGTCGCGGGGATTTGAACTGCCGACCTTCTGATCCGCAAGTCCTAGGCTCTGTGGTTTAACCCACAGCGCCACCCGCGTCCCTAAATCACAACATACAGATTTATTAATTAACAAGAGTACAGTGGTACCTAGGGTTACATACGCTTCAGGTTACATACGCTTCAGGTTACAGACTCTGCTAACCCAGAAATAGTACCTCAGGTTAAGAACTTTGCTTCAGGATGAGAACAGAAATCGTGCTCTGGCGGCGTGGCGGCAGCAGGAGGCCCCATTAGCTAAAGTGGTGCTTCAGGTTAAGAACAGTTTCAGGTTAAGAACGGACCTCCAGAATGAATTAAGTACTTAACCGAGGTACCACTGTATCCCTATCTTGCAGTCCAGAAAGTAGGTCAGGAGACATAAGTATGTACACACATACACAGGAAAAACATCACTCCCCTACAGAAACTATGTGGTCAGCCCACTGCAGGAAAGCTAGAATCAGTCTTTTCCTTTAATGATGAAGTGGCTCGCAGAACGATAATGAGAAAGGAGCAACGCCACATGTCCCAGGCTAAGGAGTGTGTGACTAAGGTAAACACTGGAAGACCTAATCAAGGGTTTGAGTATCATGCCTGAAATTTTAATTTCAGATACTCAGGTGTTGCATTCTCCAACACCTGAAGCCGCATGGAAGAGGCAGAAATGCCGCCACCACCACTAACCCCCAAATTAGTTATTTCAGGGTTCACAAATAGTGTTGTATGTTTTAAGAGCTAAAAGACAGCAAACTCAAAATGAACAACTTCAGATTCATGTTAAAAAGTACATCAGCAATCAGCAAGATGGGAAGACTAAGTTTTTCACTGCCGGCAAAAGGAAAAAAGCAAGAGAGCCAGGAAAAACTCACGGGGATGTACAATATGGCTACTGGTGTTAAGAAAGCCCTGCCCTACATCCTTACCAATCTCATCTCATGTGAAGCTAGTCCTCTCTTGCTTATCTCAATTTATAGGGAGGGGTGTATAAGTCAGTGATTGGGAACCAGATGTTTTAGAGACCACATCTCCCACCATCCCTGACCACTGGCACTGCTGGCTGGGGCTGATGGGAATTGGAGCTCAACCACATCTGGAGGGCACCAGGTGACCAATTTCCTGGTGCAGGAGAATGTATTCTGGAACCAGTGAAGGCAAACTTTTCCAGTCAATTGGAATGCTGCAAAACATGGATATATGGTCTGCTAGAAGCAGTTAAAGGTTCTGCTCAGAGTTTCACAGTGCTTCCTCCTGAGTGAAGCAGACAAGCCATTATGAAGAAATTCCTCCCAGCAAAATTGGGGGGTAAGTGGCAGCAGCTGCAGCTACAGAAAGTATATCTTAGCAGCTGTTTCCTAAAAAGGAAAATCCAATCATTATCAAGTACCACAAATATTGGTCTCTGGACATTTCCTTAAATGCATCCCTTATGCAAAAAAATAAAAAATAAAGAGGGAAGCAAAGAGCACTAATAGGGAAGACAGTTTGTTCTTTCTCCCAACCTGATGATAGCATTGCCTCCTGTCAGACCAAGTGACTTCAGACTTGTCTTCTCCAAAGCAGTTTTCCCAGTTACCTGCAAAAGAGATGAAGGCAGACACGCTTCTCAGTTATGAAGAGGCTCAACGCTCAGAACTGACACCGAGGAATAATTTGAGGGTTACCTCACATACTCTTTCTGTCGTACTTGTAAGCAGCTTTATGCTATTTTAAATGTGTTGAGTGTGGAGTCAGGGAAGCTTTGCAGGCATAAAAGGTCCCATGTCCAGTTCTTGGCATCTCCAGTTGAAGAGGGATGGGGAACCCATGACCAGATGTTGCCCCAGCCAGCATGGCCGACAGAGATGATGGGAGTGCAGCAACATCTGGAGGGCCACAGCTTTCCTACCCTTGAAAGAAAGGATTCTTGGGTCGTAAGATTCAGAAAGGCAGGTGTTGCTTGAGGCATTGGATGCCACTGCCAGTCAGAGGAGACAAATCTGGGTTGAATGAACTACTGTTCTGGCTTGGTATTAAACAACTTCCCAAATTCATGTTCAAGGGGGCAACTTCTCATCCAGAAGGAAGTTCAGAAAAAATCAACTGCCTCCGCCACCCACCCTGCAAGGGCAAACAACCACCCTGTGGCCTTGCAAGATGGCAGAATCAATATCAGTCCCCTCTTAGTCTCAGCATACGGGTGATCTATGCAGACCCAGGGGAGGGATATTGTTTATTTATTTGGGGGAGGGGGAGCCTCCAGAATGCTGACATATAAAGTATTAAACAAAAACAAAAATGCTGCAGAGATCAAAACATGGAAAAAGCAAATATTTATTAAAATGAAACCACTGTTGTGACTCTTGAGCTTTAAAAGAACTTAAAAAAACACACAGACAGGTCATTGAGAATGTTTTACGGGCTCAGAGGCTTGTGCCGAGCGACCCGTGATTATGTTCCAGCAGAGGGTTTTTTTTCTCCCCCACACAAACACGTCAAGCTTTGAAGAGACCAAAGCTCTTCCATTTCCCTTCTTCAGCAAGCCCAGAGATGGAACACATTTTCCAGGCTGGAAAGCTGTGCAGGGTATATTTTGTTATTTTCAGTGGCAGATGAAGGGGGATGGCTGAGAAGAGGGTTTGTTGACTTACCTCATCTCGCATGTAAATACAGACGGGGGAGGTCTCACAGGGCTGCTCCACGTATACCCTGCAAGGGAAAGGGAAAGCGGGCATGCCCTATTAAGATAATTCTATGCTGGCTTCAAGCCCATTGGAAAAGCAACCTGTCTGACCCAAATCCAATATACATAGATATATATCTTGTGAGATTTTCCAAGTCTGTCCCAATCCAAATATCCTATGGATGTGGATATTCCAAGCCCAGTCTACATCTATCAGTATTAATGCTCAATTTGCAAACCACTATTTTCTCTCAAGTTTTTCTTTTTTTGGGGGGGGAGGTTTGCTTCAGAAAAGAGTCGTACTGAAACCAACTGTATTACACAGCATCAGGGAATGACTCTTAAAACGCGGCACACAGCCTGACTCAGTTTGCAAAAAAGTCCAATTCAGGTTGGTCTTCAAGTGTTGGGTCCTAAAGGTAAAGGACCCTTGCCCATTAGGTCCTTGACCGACTCTGGGATTGTGGCGCTCATCTCGCTTTATTGGCTGAGGGAGCCAGCATACAGCTTCCGGGTCATGTGGCCAGCATGACTAAGCGCTTCTGGCGAACCAGAGCAGCGCACGGAAACGCCGTTTACCTTCCCACCAGAGCGGTACCTATTTATCTACTTGTACTGTGACATGCTTTCAAATTGCTAGGTTGGCAGGAGCAGGGACCGAGGAACGGGAGCTCACCCTGTCGCGGGGATTCGAACCGCCAACCTTCTGATCGGCAAGTGCTAGGCTCTGTGGTTTAACCCACAGCACCACCCGCTTCCTAATCTGGCCCAAAAGACAGTTTCCCTCGGGCCACACACCTGACATCAGGTGCTGGACAGGCAAATACCTGGAGGAACACATTGGGAGCCTTAATGTGCACTGCCTATTGTTCCTTGGCAAATGGGACTTGTATTCAGTGCCTTTTAAATTTGGTGCTCAATGCAAGTCCTATTGGGATTCGCTCAACTCAATTTGAGCTGACCCCTACTGAAAGCGGAGCTTGCAGCTGACTGGCGGTGTCTGCAAACCCTGCCTTCGGTGGGGATCTTCCTTTGCAGCCCCACTTGAGTTCAAGCCAGAAAGAAAGAAAGAAAGAAAAGAGTGGCTCTGCACACAAGAGAGCCAGTGTGGTGCAGTGGTTAAGAGCGGTAGACTCGTAATCTGGTGAACCGGGTTCGCTTCCCCGCTCCTCCACATGCAGCTGCTGGGTGAGCTTGGGCTAGTCACATTTCTTTGAAGTCTCTCAGCCCCACTCACCTCACAGAGTGTTTGTTGTGGGGGAGGAAGGGAAAGGAGAATGTTAGCCGCTTTGAGACTCCTTAGGGTAAAGCGGGATATCAAATCCAAACTCCTCCGAATCCAAAATAAGGAGGGTGCCTTTTATCATATGTGGTGGGAATGTAGTAATATCAAAAAAAATTGGGAGATGATACATAATGAACTGAAAAAATGACGTTTGCTAAAAAACCAGAAGCGTTTTTACTAGGTATTTCTGATCAAGGACTGCCAAAAGAGAAATGGAAAATATTCATGTACGCGACAACAGCAGCAAGAATCCTAATAGCACAAAACTGGAATACTGGAGAAATACCTTCGAAAGCACAATGGCAGGAAAAATTGATGAACTACGTGGAATTAGCAAAGCTAGCGGATAAGCTACATGAAAAAGACAATAGTGATTTAGAAAAAGAATGGGAACCTTTCATAAACTATCTGAAGAAACAACTGAAAGAAATGGACTCGGTAGCAGGATTTGAATAAACATTCACAACTTTACTTAACAAAATGCATGAGGAATAACATTGTAATAACATTTTGACAGATAAGGAATAGCAAATTTTATCATTTACAGTGGTACCTCGCAAGACGAATGCCTCGCAAGACAAAAAACTCGCTAGACGAAAGGGTTTTTTGTTTTTTGAGCTGCTTCGCAAGACGATTTTCGCTATGGGCTTGCTTCGCAAGACGGAAACGTCTTGCAAGTTTGTTTCCTTTTCTTAACACCGTTAATACAGTTGCGACTTGACTTCCAGGAGCAACTCATAGAACGCGGTGTGGTAGCCTTTTTTGAGGTTTTTAAAGACTTTGGTGATTTTTGAAGCTTTTCCAAAACTTTCCCGACACCGTGCTTCGTGAGACGGAAAAAAACCGCAAGACGACAAAACTCGCGGAACGAATTAATTTCGTCTTGCGAGGCACCACTGTAATGTAACAAGCCAGAGGGGGAAGCTGAAGGAAGTCAATGGGAGGGGGGAATGTAGAATGTATGTTTGGAAATGATTTTGATACTTGTTCTTAGAAAAGAAAACTAATAAAAATTAGATACAAAAGAAAGAAAGAAAGGAAACTTGTAAGGCTTCAGAGGTCAGCTGTGTGCCTACACACAAGTCTCCTCTAGATAACCTCCCTCAGTTTTTGCAAAGAGAGAGGAGCTAGTTGAAACCACTCTATGGCTGCCACAGTGCAGTTTATGTTTCCCTTAGGAAATGAAAGGGCCAAAGAAAGAAATTTACAAAAATGGGGGAGGCAGGAGGAGGATGGAAAGGAAAGAGAAAGACGGAAGGAGACATCAAGGACGCAGAATGGAGGAAGGACATTGCAGCAGGCACTACGGTAGTGTTGGAGAATGTTATGCTGATGTCTGGGTGCATTTTAATGAATCTGGTGGTTTCATAATCTCTGGATTTTTCACTGTTCAAATAGGGGTGTATTGCTGTGGCTATGGGTACAGTGGTACCTCTAGTTGCGGACACAATCCGTTCCGGGGTGCCGTTCGCACCCTGCAAAGTCCGCAACTAGAGCGACGCTTCTGCGACTCAGCAGTAACATCTAGACCAAAGGAGCGTTTCAGCCCTCTTCTTGAGTTTGTTTAAAATCATTTAAGGTTTATGATTTCTCTATCTCCTTCTGAGGAAACTGAATAGTTCAGTGAAACGAGGTTTGTAGCCGGCATCCCGTTAAGGCTTTGTTCAATTCTAGGTTTTTCTAATTTTTTCTTAAACTTTTGGATTTTTGTTATTTAGTTTAATTCCATAAGATATTATTTCTAGTTGATTACTTCTCGTTTCAGGGATTTTCACGGTATTTTATTTTGTTTTGTATAATTTCTGGGTTCCGTGACTGTCTTTTTTTGATTGTTATCTGAATATATTAGAAGCTGATAAAGTTTTTCTCCATGATATTAAGGGGAGGACCTTTGTGGTGGTAGTACCCTGTATATTAATTCTCTCCTCATTAAGGCTTGCCTGGTGGTACCTATATTAAAGTCCTTTCAGCATAAATTGAACACCTTTTTATTCTCCCAGGCATTTTAGAAGTTCATTTTTTTGACATTGGTCCAGATTACTTCTGCTTAGGTTTTAAATGATGTTTTGATGTTTGTTCTGTTTTTTAGGCAGGAAATTATTTTCTTTAATATTTAAATTAATACATAAGTGTTTATTGTCTTAACTCTGTGTGAACCACCAGAAGACATAGTTGACTGAGTGGCTAATAAATGTTCTAAATAAATATTATTAAAACATTCATTTGTTGATTTCTGTGTGCTGTAGGCAACTGATATTGAAAGGAAGGCCGTGTGTGTGTGTGTGTGTGTGTGTGTGTATGTGTGTGTGTGTTTTGGTTGGTTAGCAACCCTGCTGTAGAAAAAAGGTGTAGATAGAGCTAAAGGCTAAGACAAATTAGTAGGCCTAAAGGTACTCCCAGCATTTGTGAATATGCTTTGCACCCCTGCCTACAGGATACTTGCCTGTGGAAGAAGGCTATTGCTGCTAACAAATTTATACAGAAGGAATAGAGAAAAGTATATCCAAAACCCAGCAAGAAGACTTCATTCCGAACTCCAACTCAATTCCTGTTTAGGACTGAATCAGGCCTAGGGAAGAAGGAATGTTGCTCTTTCCTGAAGCAGAATCTGTCGTGCCCAAGTTCAGTTTAGAATTATGAGATTTCAGGCACCAAACAAAAATACTTGGTCGAGACAGGAAAATAAGAGTGCCTCAAAGGCATTCTATGTTACATTCACCAGCACCACAAAATGAATGGTTAGCACTGAAAGGCTGAAAGGAAAGGACCAACAAGATTTAAGCCTAGTGGGACTGGATTTTAAGAAGGTTTTCTTTTTGGAAGGGTGGGCAGGAATTAGTAGAATAGCACACCTTCTTAGATTCACACCTCCTATATAAAGTCATTGGCAAATGTCCTAAATAATAACCTGTAGTTCATTCTCCAAGAAGACAGTAACTGCCAACAAGACACATCATGGACTATATTGTAGACTCCCATTAGTACCCAACAAAATGTGGGTTTTATAAGGAAGTTCCCAATCTTTGTAGAGATGTCTCTTCAAACTCTCTCACCGTCTTTCCCCTCCGTTCAGCTACATGGTTAAAGCAAAATAATTCTACCCACATTTTTTTCCAGCAGTGGGGGAAGAATAGTGTGCAGCAGCCCAGTTCACTCAAATGGAGAAAACCATTTCCTGTTTGACCAGTAAGCATTTGGTGAAACAGAAAAAGCGTCATGCCAACATTAAGGGTTGACTGGTACCTAACCAATATTTCCAATGCAGAACGTGTTTCATGTTGGCAGATGTGAAGCTATGCTCCTGAAAAGGAGAAGAATGACACATGCCTAAACTACAGGCTTTGGAAACTGGAACTTACTCAGGACAGTTCTACAATAACAGTTCTTAACAGTAAATGTCAAGGTCAAGCTCAAAAGAGCACCCTGCCAATGACAAACCTGTGAGCACAGAAGAGGAGCTGCAGGATTCCTAAAAAGCCTTCTCTCTGAGCATGACATTTGTGTAATAATCAATTTCATTCTATAGAAGCAGTGCAAATCAGAAAGGTGAGTAAGGATAAGGTCACACAGCAGAATTTTCTTCAGGATGCTTTAAATAACCTGCTGCTAGTGGAACCCTTGGAGTTGCTTGTGTCACTACTAACTATTCCAATGTTTAGCCATCGTTGAGGATTTCTGGCAAGAAACATCCTACAGCAGATTTGTCTCCTACATCATTTCTTGCTTTCAAAGCAGGAGTTCTATCTAACAGGTTTCCAACACTCTTTGGATTGATGTTCCATACTCAGTTTCCCTGAACCGTACCTTGCAAAGGAAGCATTCTAAACTAAGGTCCTTCCTTTTCAAGTTGCCTTACTCCACTTTCCTGTTATTTTCTTCTTACGCTAATAACTTCCACATGATATTTTCAGAATACCAAAGACATGGTGGGTACTTCCTCAAAACCAAAATAAAAAGCTACAAAAGCAGTACAGGTGACAGTTCTCTGCAAATGTCAGGTCTGAAGCTGGGATTCAGTTAACTGGCACTGCTAGCGGAAGCCTATACAAGGACCTTCATTAGAACTACAAGGCTTTTCCCCTCTCCCCTCGCACCTTCCCAATTCGCTGGGGGGGGGGGAGGCAGGAGAACCCCCAGAGGAACCCCCAGGGAAGAGGAAGAGAGGGGAGATTATTCCATTGGACAAGCAGAAATGCATGTCCTGATGGAACATTTGTAAAAGCATGTTGCTGAATTCCTCCCGACATGTTTAACATGCAAGGCTACACAGGAATGCAGGGATCTGATAGACAAGCTAAAAGAGCCGCCCCTCTAAATCTGGATAGCCCGGGCATTAATATCCCAAGACTGTGTCTCCCTGATCAAGCCTCTGCAAAAGATGACACACACATAGCCCCAAGAGATGAGATTGTATGCAATAGTTGGGAGCCAGCAGGCCCCTCCTCCAGCTGCTGCTAATCCATTACGTGCATTCTCTGAGGCAAGCAGACACATCAAACAGGCTGCCATTTCTTTGATGTGCTGTTCTTCAGAAGGGGAACAGCAGGCAGATTAGATTCCCTCATGTAGGGATCTGACAGGGCCTGTAAACATCTTGTGTAAGGACTAGAGCATGCCGAAGGAGGAGGAGGAGGAGGTGGAGCAGTTCACAATAGCTTCCAGACCTTCTTCAGACCTAATTAGCAGAAATGGACACAAGGGACCTGGGGGGAAATTCCAGTGGGTTTACCATACTTATCCCCCTTGTGCTCCAAGAAGAGCTTCAGAACTCCAAGAAAACTCTCCAAATGGGGCTGCCAAAGGAGGATGCAGAAGGGTCAAGCAGCTAGACAAACAGCTGTGGCTACCAGCATCCATGCTAAAACAGCTACTGAGCCAGATGGCTTACAAAACGCAGAAGTACCCCAACTTACACAACGACCAAATGCAGCCAGGAAGATCACCAGCTCAGATCACTACTCTGCCAGATCACGTATGGCTTTTTAGTGTTCCTAATTTTTTAAAAGCAGAATAATATCATCCAAATGGCTGCCTTCCCATCCCGGAGGGCAGAATATCCCAGCTGTCTGTCGTGGACTGAAATTAATAATAATTAGAACTTCTGTTAGTGCTTCTCATCTTCAAAAGAGATGTTTCATCAGCACTGTCATACCTTAAACCACAATAAGCCAAATGTCTGCAAAAGAAAAAGAAAAATGTCGGCTGATAAACCAAGCAAAGATATTGCAGAGACCAAGAAGCCGTGCTCAGGGGGTATGCACTCATCTCAGAAGCTGATAGCTTCATTGGGCAAACATATGAAGCTGCCAAAGACCAAGTCAGACCAGTGGCCAATCTAACTCACTCAGACTGGCAGCAGCTCTCCAAGGATCTCTGGATCATGGTACCCAAAATCTGTTAGTTTGTTTTAAATGGGCACCTAGACACTTATTCATGTAAAGAGTCTGCTCCATCACTGAGCCATGGCCCTGCCCCTAGGTAAGGCCACAATTTTAGTTCTTAAGATGAGTTTTACTAGTATTTCATGTATTTCTTTTTAGAGAGAGAGTTCTATATTAAACACATTTAAGGACCAAAGTAGTGGCACCAGCCTAGCCACATCATTGGCCAGCGAGCACTACTCTCCAAATTTTAAGAGCTTCCGAAATTCTCTGAAAGCAACATCAGACCCAAAATTTATAAATATATACATCCTGCCACTTCATGAAATGGTCAAGAGAGAGAGGACGTAGGGCAGGGAGAGGAAGCAGTGTGAAGACGAAACTTCCCCACTACTTTAAGAGAAGGAAACGGGAATAAGAAGTGTGCAATAAATCCTCCAAAATAAGCAAGCAGATTCCCAACTTCAGTGGGATCACTTGTAGGGGCAGAAGAGGAAACGTATGCCTATGGCAAAAGAAGGGAACATAAATTTAAGTAAATAGCAGGCTTCCAAAGAGAAAAGACAGCAACAACATGTGACACCAGCAGCATGAACAGAGTAAACTTGTATTCTGCTTTATGATCAGAAGCCAACCAAATTACGCTAGGGAAAAAACCAATAAAAAATTTAAATTAAATGCAGCCTTTTGAAATACAGTTAGAGCCTCCCCAAGAGTTGAGCAGATGCCCTGGAATCAATTCAGTATTCAAGCAACAAATTAAAAAAAACTAGTAGGACCCCCAAAATCATTGATACTGAAGTAGGATTTTCCATACACAGAGTTCTTCAAAATAACATTAGCTCATGAAATAAGATGACAGCATGCCACAAAACCAAGAGCAGGGGGAAATCTACTAAATGAACCAAACCCTTCTTGTTTTGTATTGCCCTTCCAGTGAATTTCTTATACGTCACAGAACTCTGGAAGGAAAAATATTTTGAAACATGAACAGTTTTGTGGCATCGAGACCCGACAGATGCAATAGACAAAACAAGTTTCTAGGAAGATAGGTATGATGTGCTATAAAAGTCATAGAGCAAGAGTTGAAAAGCTTTAAACACTAGTGGGGGTAAAAATAAAAATAAAAAAAGCTATAGAAGATACAATACTTCCCTACAGCACAGAAACTATGGAAGATGTCATAGAATGTCATCTGGATAGTCTGACTCTGTATAAGGTAGTTTCCCAATTTCAGAGCTTTGAGGAGGACCTCTCATGCTTTGTGTGCTGAGGCACGCTGATGTGCTGCCATAGAACTGGCAGCATGCCACACAAGTTAAATAATGAAAGGCTTTTGTGAGGCCAACTTTTCACCAAAAGAACCCTGCTACATCTTTTCTATAATTCACTGCTCCAGTCTCATCTCCTTCCAATCAGCCTCTGTTGAAGGTGATTAGTTTTACTGCGCCTTTGCATGTGAAGTGACTTCTGATGGAGACACATAGCAGAATTACCTGAAGTCAGAGGAGGCCAGATGTTATTTTCAGGAAGAAGGCCCAGATCAACAACTCAGGAACTCCTCCAAGTGTGGCTATTCTTGTGTACACTAAGAGCTTTAAGAATTAGCTGCGTTTTCAATTTTAATTCAGGAAACAGAAGTATATATCCCATGATAAAGTACGGGAGATGACGGCTTAAAGATTTCATAATCATAGCATAATCCATGACAAATCCTACATGTCAAGATACATTTGGAGTTCACGCTAAATCATGGGTTATCGTGACGGGAACAAGTCTACTTTGCTTCTCGTCTCACGCACTGACCCCTACTCTACAAGCTCCACCACCAGCACCCCAGTGTACACCACGGTGTCCTCAACCTTCCCTGGCAGTGAGAGCAGAAGGTCTGCAGGAGGCTTTTACTCACGCTTGCGTGAAGGCAAGTAGAATCCTCTGATAAAACAGGCTCCCTGATTGCAAGGAGTCTACTCACAAACACACACAATCAAGCAAACGCAAACAGAGGTTTCCTACAGATCTTCTCCATACAAGCATGGGGAAGCCCAGGGACTGGGGGGCAACGCACAGGAAGATATTAAGGACGGGGCTTGTATGCACCCCACCCGCCCCCTTCCAACACTTTGAGCATTTGCATGGTCAGGTAAATTCCTAATAAGAGTCAGCAAAGTAAGGCCTGAGGGAATTTGTGTATGGTAATAAACAGAATATGGGACACGGGTGGCGCTGTGGGTTAAAGCACAGAGCTTAGGATTTGCCGATCAGAAGGTCGGTGGTTCGAATCCCCGCGACGGGGTGAGCTCCCGTTGCTCAGTCCCTGCTCCTGCCAACCTAGCAGTTCGAAAGCACGTCACAGTACAAGTAGATAGATAGGTAAACCTTCCAGCAAGAAGGTAACCGGCGTTTCCGAGCGCTGCTTGCTCTGGTTCGCCAGAAGCGACTTAGTCATGCTGGCCACATGATCCGGAAGCCGTACGCCGGCTCCCTCGGCCAATAAAGCGAGATGAGCGCCGCAACCCCAGAGTCGGCCATGGCTGGACCTAATGGTCAGGGGTCCCTTTACCTTTAATAAACAGAACAATCTTTACACAGATCCATCAGTAGGGGCTGAACTACAGAAGAAGACTGCCAAGCGGCTCCGAGGTAATCCCTAGTTGGGGGTTTCTACAGAGTGTGGTGTGCACTGTGTACAATAAAGCCATTAGATGTGAGCCAGCACATGGAGGAAGGGCTAACAGGTATATCTTTTGTAAACGTCTGAAATTAGGAGTGCTCTGTGGCAGTCACACAACGATGCAGATAGACATAAACAGTATTACTTGCGAGGTTAATGTCTCCAATGTGTCGGGCGGGAGGGGGGCGGGCAGGAATACAGAGACTGCAAATCCACTAGCTGGCAAAGAAATAGCACTCATCTGCTTGTTGTTATTCATACCAGAGTCCAAGCTGGCCCACCCACCCCTTTCCTGGTAGTTCTATCATTTCAGCTTTAGAAGTCCTGGTATGACAGTAGGTCGATGACTCCTTTAGATGATTGTTGGAATGGTTTCTGAGCCCGAAAGAAACAACCGCCAATTACACAATCCTACAACACAGCACGTGGACTACGGAAAAAGACCTTTAAATAGAACGGGAGCCAAGAGCTCCCATTGGATCAGAAAGAGAACTTGGAACGAATTCAAGAAGCAGAGATGACAGAAACTGTACGAGGCTGAGAAACCCTTCCCAAGAGTTAGAAGATTTGCCTAATAAGTGAATGTGTTTGGGGGGGGGGGAGAGAGAGAGAGTGTTAAAGACGCTCCAATAGAATTTGTAGCAATCGCCCTTGATTTATGAAGTTCAGCCTTCCATGCCACAAAAAAGAAAAAAAGTTAAGCAACAAAATTGTCTTGGAGTATGGATCATTCGTTTGACATTTTTGGTTTGAAAGAGCACCTTTTGTTCTTGAATCCTCTTCAGGAAGAAGGAAAGCACTAAATGTAGGCTGCAGCAAGAGGGAGGCAAACCCTCACAGAAGCTTTCTAATACAGAGACGCTATATTGGAAGTGTAGACCGCTTCCAGGTTAGAACAAGGCCTTTCTCCACTATAACCATAACTCAGCAAAGGTTTGAAAAAGCCCATTCAGTCAACACTATGAGCTGCAAGCATGCTTGGAACTTCTCTGCATAGTCAAAAGTGTGCTCAATCAAGTTCTAGCCTTGGCACAATTCTCTTACACATCCCCTTTCAATCCCATCTGTGCATATGGGATTGCATACAATACAACCCTTCTAAAAAACAAAAACAAAAAAGGGATCATTAAAAAATATAACTATGAACAACATGATGATACTGTTACTCAACTTGTGAAATGTACACAAGAACGGCTGGGTTTTGATTTTTCTTTTCCTTTGCTTTCTTTTTGTTAGATATGTCATTTCTATTGTTTTATTACTTTTGAATATAAATGATTTTTTAAATGAAAAATGGGGGGGGGGAGCAGGAGCATACAACCACTGAAGACTGAAATAAAACACTGTGTTGGGGGTGGGGTGGGAAGAGAAAGGAAGTTGTGTTTGTCTCGCCAGTCATACGGCACAATAGCTCGTGGCACTTGTGCAACCACATTTCATAGAGCAACCAAAAGAGCAGCAAATGTACCCTCCTGGTGAAAAAAATCACATCATCCTAGATAAAAAATGTTGTGTCTGGAGCAGCAGTTCAAAGGATACTGAGGGAGGCACACACAGACATGCGAACAATGTACAGTCATTGAGAAACAAAATGCATGTTAATGGCACAATAAACTGACCGTGAAGAAGTACCCCTGGAGAAAACACACACACACACACACGGCTTAACAGGGTGTGTGGGTGTATCAAAAGCTGCTTTGGAAGTGTGCAAGAGGTAGCAAAGAAGCAGCAGAGGAAAAGAGGAACTTTAATGAGATATAAAACGGTATGTTTGGACAAAGGCACACACTCTACCTAATTTTGAGTACTCGTTTGTTCTTCTGAATGCATGAAAACTGATGGCTACATTTTAAACACTATGGGCAGGGAGGGGTGATTTGAAGCAAGGAACTGATAGGTTAGGTAGGAAAGGGCTAGCTGCTCCCTTCCCTCACCACTTCTATCTGTTAACACACAGAAAGGCCATCGGGCTGCAGTTACATGCCTTTGTGTGTAATGAGTAGTTTGGACCTAGTGGTGTATCTTCCCGTCTTTCTGCTGGGAGCTAAACGAGACAGGAAAGAGGATAAGAAGTCTGAAAATGGCAAAGTAGTTAACCAATACTCTCTTGCCAGCATTATCCTCCTCAAATGCAGACTGAGCTATCATCCGCTTCCATTGCTGAACCCCCGCTTTTAAGCAGTGATTCCAACTTCCTTAAAGGAAACTAGCAGTTTTTGCCCTGAATGAATCCAAGTTCCAGGACAATGATGAAAGGTGATCCCATTTGCAGTATAACCCAGCCCTGCCCAAAGCAACTGTCATTAGTGAGCAAATAGTGAACAAAGAGCTATGAAGCATAACAATCATATTAAATACAGTCATTAATCTGAAAAGTATTCATTAGTGGAGCCTTATTCAAGTAGCAGCACAGAATCTATTCATTCATGACATCTTAACCGTCTGTGCTTTTCATCTTCAGCTTTCTGAAACATTTCTCTCTCATCGCTCTCTGTCTGCACTCACCTGGTCTGTGCAAAGTGGTTAAGAATATCCCACAAGGTCTGACTGGAGCAAAACGTGTCTTGGAGCCTAGAGCAATCATCCAGCTGCAGCACAATCCGTACCTAGGAGGTAGAACCCAGGGAATTAGAACAGAATATATATGTCCCAAATAACTAATGGCAGAACAGTATTTGGCAAGTTGCTTAAGGTCACATCTGGCAAGTCAGCCATCCAGGGTCACATCAGGCCAACTGTATCCTGACCTCCCCATCCGGGATTTTGACTAATGCTTCAGACCAATAGATATCAGCACATACAGTGACCCAAAAAACCAAACAGATCATGTGGATCAAATTGCAGTTCCATTATTGTCTCTCTAGAGACATGCATACAAGACTTAGATGGCAGAACTATATTTTGAACAAAACCACACTGCAGAGTCCATGGACTGCACTACTTCATACTTCAAGTGAGGGATGATATTTGTCAATGGACGCCTGTGCAGAAAAGTAGAACATCAGGGAGAATCAAGGAGAGAATCAAGTTATTCCATGGGAACTCTATCATTCTATGATTGGAAGTGTTCCTGATTCAAAAAAGCCTGTTTACAATAGCTAATCTTGACCCATCTGCATTCAACTGCATCCTGACTGGTCCTGAAAAGAATTGCAGCAGGAGTGCAGAATGGAAAGTTATATGAACTTGGGTGTTTACAGTACTTGGATATCAGCTTCATCACCTGGGGTCAATGCTGCTATAGACGATGTGGCTGGACTTTGACATACTTCAAATGAGCAATAATCAGAGGTGTTTGAGTTTCTTCATATATGCAATTACCTCCTTGGCTCCACGGAAAACAGGGAGATATAAAAAGACTGGATCACAAACAGAGTTCCTTAGGGTAGGTACGAAACTGGACTATTAACATTTGTGGGTAACTGTCATAGAGGGTTGTGCAGACTTAAGAGCTTCTCCAGTTTGCATGTCTACTCTACTATAAAATAATTTCAAATAAAAGGTAGTCACAACAGCAAGCATGTGCATGTTTTGCCAACAGTTTTTTGTGTGTGTTCACATCTGTTTTTGCCAGATAGTTCTATTGGCTTGGTAGTTAGGCACGGCTGCAGACACAATATATGTTAATGAAGTTTTCTTTTTCATGGGCAAAGACAGCTACGTCTCACTATGTTAAGTCAGAAACAAGAGGACATTTGGCATAATCACAGGGATCCACAACTAAGGACAAAAGAGCATTAGGGTGGGATAACAAACAAAGGAATGCCACTAAGAAATCCTTGTAGAGATATCCCAATATCCATAGGAGTTTGTGTGCAGGCACACACAATAAGATATTTTTTCTCCCATGTATAAGTTCCTTAGAACTCATGATAAGGTATCTTATTCAAAATAGCTCTTCTTCTCACTAGGCTAGATCTCATCTGAAGTCTAAAGACACTGAATAATTAGCTTCCCTATGTCTAAGGGAAAGTTATTTTACACTTTAGATCTGTTCTCACCACTGCACATGATCCTGGGATCCTGTCACAGGCAACTTTAAATCTCGTAGCCACTGGGGAAAAACAACCTGTCCAAAAACCTGACCTGAAACACGTTCATTCAGAGGTAGATTTCTTTCTCACTCTGAAAGCAGAATTAAGAAAAGCTAAGATTATATTATGAGGCACCCAGCCTGTGTTGGCTTAAAGAATGGATCACCCTGGAGAATTTGGATTTGTTAGATCTAGAAGGCTTCAACAATAGATATGGTTGGCATGCTTACTTGTGGCTCAACAAAGGAAAGGTTCATAAAGGATTTTCCAACCATATTTTCAGAGGTGCATTGCTTGAAATTTGGGGAAAAAATAAGAAATTTTTGGAAAAAAATACCCCTTGGTGGTTATCTCCGACAGATATTTTAACAATAAAAAAGTGAACATGGAAGCGAAAAGGTTAACGTATGAAGACATATTGATTAAAGCGGGAAAAGGTTGGAAGATTAAATCATATGACGAACTGAAAGATAGATTGACAGGTTGGCTGCAATATCATCAGATAAATGCACTTTGGAATGAGGATAAAAAATTGGGGATGAACGAGAAAAAATCTAGATATCAGATAGAAGTGTTAGAAGGGAAAACTAAACTCTTAGCTAAGATGTATAATCTGTTGTTAGAATGGGACACAAAAGAGGAATTGGTAAAGGAGGTAATGATAAAATGGGCCATGGACATTGGACACAACATAGAGTATGACAAGTGGGAGAGGTTATGGAACAGAGGAATGAAAATTACAGTATGTGTCACGTTAAGAGAAAATTTGGAAAAAATGATGTATCGTTGGCACATCACACTGGTAAAATTAGATAAAATGTATAAAAGTGGAAATAAAATGTGTTGGAGATGTAAGCAGAAGGAAGGCGATTTTTACCATATGTGGTGGGCGTGTGACAAAATTAAAAAAAATTGGGAGCTCATATATAATGAACTAAAAAAAATCTTTAGGTACACCTTCTTAAAAAGACCAGAGGCATTCCTCTTAGGAATAATCGGAGATGAAATTAAAAGAGAAGACCAGAATTTATTTCAGTATGCGACAACGGCAGACAGGATATTGATAGCTCAAAATTGGAAATAAGCAGAGACTCCCACAATTATGGATTGGCAAACAAAATTATTTGAATATGCAGAATTAGCAAGAATAACAAACAAAATTAGACATCAAAAAGAAACAAAGTTTATTGAAGAATGAAGTAAATTTGTGAAGTACATTGAAAGTAATGGTAACAAATTAAAAACTACAGTAGGCCTAACATAAACCTTGCTATGCATAAATCACAGAGTTAGAAACTGCAGGAGAAGAAAAGATGTAAGAAAACCACGACAGGATAGGAGTGTTTTCTTTTTTATTTTTGTCTGTTTATTTTTCCTCTGTTGTATGTCTTTTTTTTTGTGTGGAAATTTCAATAAAAAGCAAATTAAAAAGAAAAAGAAAAGAAAAGCTGAATGCTTCCAATGTAAATTAATTACTTCTTCAGCAAGGAATTTCACTTGCACAATGTTAAAAATGGCCAACTGGTAGATCCAAAACAGAAGGAGGCAGCCATAGTTCAAAAGGGGCTGCGTCTGACCAAAGCAGTCATGGACAAAACGATAAAGGGAAGGTCAGTCAAACGTTCCCTTTGGGAGAAGCCATCATGGAGGAAGTTTGGTCAGAAACTGCAAGCACTTCTGACCAGCACAAACCTAATTTCCATTTGAGAACACTCTTCATCTGACACGCCACATGGTCAACTCAACCCCTGGATTTTTGTGATATAAAATAATGCTTGACTTAAATAACTGTGCAACTGTGCAACTGACATGGGCAAGAAAAATCTCCTTTATGGAGAACAGAACTTTTCCCTCCTAAGCGATGGATCTGAGAACCATCCACACTATCAACTGCAATCTGAAAGCCTGAGCCAGTAAATGACATGCAGGGGTGGTCCAATGACGTCTATAAACATTCAACAACAAGCAACTCCTGCGAACACAGAATTTGTATTCTTTTTATGATAGCTTTCACCGTAACTGGGAGGGCAAAACGCTCTTTTTAACAAGCAAATTCTTTGAGAAAACACCAATGAAATCTCCAGAGTTGGCAATGGGGCAAGAGCGCTGAACCACCATCCCACTGAACTCATTCTGCACATAGGCCTCATCACCGAAGCATCCAAGGGTTCTGGGGAAAGAGACAGACACAACAAAATCCTTCCAAGATTTTAACAAGTTTTTTTAAAGTAAACCCTATACACCATAAAATCCAACGTGCCCTAGTGCTTTTATTGGCAGGGTATGATTGCACCATGACCGAGAGATGTGACCTGCTTGAAGCCAGCAGCACGCCCCTAGGAAGCAGAGCTTCAGACACTAAGCGCAAGGGCCAAAGTAGTTTCATCCTATCACTGTCATGGCTTTCCCTGTTTCTTCATTGCCCAAGACCAGCCTCTGGATTATCCTTGGCTGCATAAGGGTGCCGACAACTGACATCACCGGGCTAGAAGACTCTTGCCCAGAAATTGACTCTGCCAATTGCATCAGTTTTTTAGGCAGCAGTTCAAAGCCAGTCATGACACGAAAGTCATATTCAGGCAATTAAATGAAAACTTCACAGAAATCCCAAGCTACGTATAAATATTAATCTTTTTATCCAGCAAACAGAGAGCCATGCCAATTAGTTTCTAAGTTTACAAACACACGAGTACAAGACTGATGAACGGCTAAAGTGCTGTGTTAGTTCTTTGTAACAGTACACTTCCCCTGACCACTGAGGAATCTGCTTTCATTGCCTTACGTACATGTATTTCAAAAGCCAGAAAGAAAGAAGATGTGGACCCAAATTCAATAAAGAGGACATGAATTAAAGAGGACAGTTCTTAACAGTTGTGGTCTAGAAAATTTCACAGCTTGCTTCCAGTCAAGATGTACATATCCTGTGTTTTCATCACGCTATCGAAGCTACAAATTATTCAGTTACACCATCACTATTTACCAGTTGAAGGCACTAACACTGGGATATAGGACATAGTATGCTGATTTAGCTCATGTAAAGGCCGCTGGGAAATACAATAAACACTACAAAATATATATTTTTTACAGTATTGGCCTGAATATAAGCCACACCTCTTTTTAGAAATTCCGACCATGAAAAGTTAAAGTGCGACTTAAATTTGCGACCTTACAAAAATTGGTTTTTTTACGATAATGCTGGTGAAACAGACATACAGTAAAATGGAACGGGTGTGAGTGCCTGCGTAATTTTAAGGGAGCAGCTTATATTCGGGTATTGACTTTTTTTCTTTTTCCCTGTGAATTTTAAAGGTGAGGCTTATATTCGGTTGCGGCTTATATTCGGGCCAATACGGTATATGTTGTAACTCACCTTGAGACTATTTTCCAGTAGTAGGGGGGTCTCAGAAATTAAATAATATACAAATAACTTCACCTAGCATCGCAGCCGCAGAGGAAGATATCTTTATTATTATTTATTTATTGAATCTCTATACAGCCCTATACCCAGAGGTCTCAGGATGGTTCACGGAACAAAATCAAAATATAAAACCACAAAATATATAATCATAATAAAAGCAACAACCCAATAAAGCCCCACCCCCCAAAAAACCCCCCACATTTTAAAAGGGTATTATTATTTAGCAGAAGTAATTGAAGAAATTATGCAGCCATTTAAAAACTCTTTTGGAATGCGATATTATGGTCCTTGCAACCAACCAACCAACAAAGCCAAATGCGAAATAACAGATTTTCATAAACTGCTTGGAGATTTGCTTACAATTAAGCAGTATACTCAGTTCATTAAATATATATATTGCCCCAATTCGTAGCTCACATTTAGCCACAGTTTTCAGCTATCTATAGTTTAATGGGACGAGAATTAGCTGAGATTCCTGTATTTTCCCACTGTTGCCACACAATATAATAAATATGTCACAGCCGAACATGTCGTATCATCTGAATTCTGGCTCCTAATTCCCCCAAACTATGAGTGGGAAACGAAGAATAAGCCTTGGTTATCGCTCATGGCTTGTTTGGAGAGAAACAAACCAGAAGCTGAGGTTCAGATGACACAACAGTGCAGCAGAAGCAGGGAGAGAAGTATCACAGAGAAGCTTTTAAGCAGCAAATCCCAACAGGTTGACCCAAAACCAGGGCTGGGGAACCTTGGGCGCTCCAGATATCATTGAAATCCAACTCCCATCATCTATCACCATTGACCTTGCTGGCTGGAGTTGATGGAAGCTGGACAATATCTGGAGGCTCAAAGGTTCCTCAGGTTCCTCATTTTAAACTATGGTTTAATGTGGCACGCCCAGGCCATTGCCAGCCAACACAATTTAAGGTCATCCTTTGAGGTGTCTACTTTTCAAGTTAAGGTAGTTTAATGACATACAGTGGTACCTCAGGTTGCATACGCTTCAGGTTACAGACTCCGCTAACCCAGAAATATTACCTCGGGGTAAGAACTTTGCTTCAGGATGAGAACAGAAATCATGCAGCGGCGGCACGGCGGCAGCAGGAGGCCCCATTGACTAAAGTGGTGCTTCAGGTTAAGAACAGTTTCAGGTTAAGAACGGACCTCCAGAATGAATTAAGTACTTAACCTGAGGTATCACTGTATACAGTTTAACTAGAATTCCCAGCATCCCTATTTGCTATGCCGGCTGAAGCTGATGGGAACTGGAGCCCAACAAGGTTTCTGGAGTTGCAGACAACAAAGCAGTCAAGGTTTATAATTTAATTACCGGTATTGACAGCATAACAAACCAAGAGTCGGCACAAGGGGCTTAATTTAAAGCACGTTAAAATCCCATTCTTCAACCAAAAAATGCCCTCAGTCTCACATAAAAAAAAAAAAAAAGACGCCACTCCTTGCCCATCTCCCCTACTGGTTGTCTCTGCCCTCTGGAATTGTCAGTTTTGGTTCAAGAAGCTCTTTCACAGACTTTAACAAACCACTTCTAATGAACTGAGTCACATTCCTTATAGTAATAGTTTGGAATTAACAGAATTAGGCATTGCTTAGCCTTGTTACTAACTCAACTGATAAATCTTGATTTCTACAACTAGTTATTTAGTCATGACCTGTCTCCCTTTTCGGTTTAATGCAGCAGATAACAATTTCAATACTTCCAACAGATAAAATCTAACTCCATGAATTATTGATAAAGGATTAGTAATGAGTCTTAATAGCAATATTTTTATATTAATTAAACATGTTCCTTTTGTAATTAATAATTTAGGATTAACTGGACTAAACTGTTGATTAACTATTTATATCTGAGTCAATAATTACCTAAATCTGTTTCTGGGATTACAGAATTATCTTATTTTTGAAGTAGTTTCCCCTGAACACTCCACCTAAAAATGTATGTGTGGTTTTAGTCAATATCTTCCTTAAGTTCAACAACTGACTACTGGAGGCTAGACACTGGATTCATTTAAAGGATATACACAGAGAATTCATTTACATTTCTGAAATATACAAACATCAATCCCCATATATTTTCCCTATCTAGTTCCATTCATTCCACTCTAAAAGTAAATATAAATAAATAATATGCTTTGTTAAATTAGTTCTATCCTTCAGTTGCTAGTATTGATTAGTTTCCTGAGGGAGTTATTTCTTTTTAATTACAATATGTATCTGATAATTTTTTCAAGAGCTAAAAAATCAGACGTCAGATGTTCTAAAGCTACACTACCAAGTCTGAAATCCACAACCCTTAGGTAAGGGGGATAACTTTCCAACGCTACAACATAAAATACAGGTTACAAATCCACAGCCCAATGACTCAATGCAGCCTGCAAAACCACTGTTAGCAGCTTGCCAGCCCTTTACCAAAATCAAGCACTACTTCTTAATTTGAGAAGATCCTCTTCTCTCTCTGGCACAGTACAATTGCTGGAAGGCCTTAGGCTCAGGAAACAAGAACGGATGCTCCAACCTCCAAAGGCTTCTAGCAATGGTGTCTCACAAGAGGAAGAAGAAGTGCTGTTCCAAGGTAATGTCTGCAACCAGAACCAGTGTGGAGGCCGAAGGAATGAGGAGTCTGGAGCTAGGAGGTGGAACACAGAAACTGGAGCACGGAGGAGCTCTGAAGGGAGCTCTTTACCCAGCAAAGGTCCAGAGGAGTCTGAGGGACGTACATAGTCCCCGTCTCTCCCTGGTCCTCTTCTGGGTCACAGCCTGCAGTTGGGTCTTCTCCCCACTCCTCCCAAATAGATCCCTCCTCCCATGTAGATCCCGGCCAACAGAGCTGTCTGGAAGGCAAGAAGATTACCTTGCAAGTTAGGCCTTCCCATCTGCTCTCCCACCACCTTTCCTCCTGTGGCCCAGGGGATGATGAGGAAGAACTGCAGATCAAGGTGGATAGGGTTGAAGGGAAAGCAAAGGAGGCATCGTTGAGATGGGGCTCTTCTGGTTGCCTTGGGACTGGTATGGGTTTCTTTAAGTATTCGGTAGGAACAGGGTGCTGCATGCAACCCCCAAATCTCTTCCTCTGAAGAGGTCTCTCCAGGGTATGAGTCTGTCAGGATCCTAACAGGTGAGTGGCTTCCTCACCCACCTACCCTGCCCACAACCATCACAGTGCTGGGCCAAGTGGAGTAAATTTAATCCATCTGTCCCATCCTGTTGGTGTGATTTCCAAACATCATGGCGAGAGTAGAGAGAACATTTGATATTTACCTAGAGAACAAAGCTGAGCCTTCCAAATACTTATTCATCAAAAGCTTAACTGACTCACGTTGCCAGTACAAATGCAATTTCTCTCCATTGCATTCTCAGCCAATTAATTTTATGAAAAGTTGTTGGCTAACTGACCATAAATTGATGATTCTTTAATTGGTTTAGTGTGCTCCAGCAAATTTCCACTGAAAAGGATTTGCCTTGGTTCTTCATTTGTTCATTGTTGTATATACAATTTCTGTAAGTCTTTAGGGCTTCTTCTTTTTTAAAGAAAATATAGTTGGCCTTGGTAAATAACTTCCTTCTTTTAGGGATTTTAAGAGCAGAACTGCTATCCCTGAAAAAGTATATTGTTTGGGTTTCACACTTAGCTAGAATTAAGCCCCAGTGAATACCATGGGATTTATTTTGGGGTAAATACACATTGGACTGCATTGTAAGTCAAACATATATCACCATTTCATAGCAAAGCTTAATCTATGCTTTTAAAGCAATATTAATGCCCTTTTCAAACCAATTTCTGTGCATTCCTCCATTTTTTTATCACTCTTCCAACACTTTTATTACTGATACGTGAAAATCTAAGTGGCACACAGCATCTAATGGCAATATTAGCCAGGTCAACCATTTAGAACCATTTAGGAGATCCAATTTCATTTACAAAACTGATAAGAACCGCAGTACAATATAGTATATCCCAGACAAGGAAAGCCAAACCCTTTCTCTTTTGGCAACTTTATTCAGGTCAGACTAAGCCTTATGTCAGACGGTAATTACCAAAGAACATGAGTTTTAAAAATAAAATTACGGAGAAATACAGTGGTACCTCGGGTTACAGATGCTTCAGGTTACAGACTCCGCTAACCGTGAAATAGTACCTCGGGTTAAGAACTTTGCTTCAGGATGAGAACAGAAATCGTGTTTGGGCGGCGCAGCAGCAGCGGGAGGCCCCATTAGCTAAAGTGGTACTTCAGGTTAAGAACAGTTTCAGGTTAAGAACGGCCCTCCAGAACTAATTAAGTTCTTAACCTGAGGAACCACTGTGTATGATATGCTTTCTAAAAAGGACTGAGGTCCTACTACTACTATGCCATCTCTCACTCTTTCTTTTATCAACTCCATTTAAGATTATAAATGAGCTGACAGAAAGAAGGTGAAGAGGTTGACAGTGAATGAGAGGCAACTTACAGTACAGTACCTAGAGAAACTGAGGGATTTCTTTATCGTGCCTGTCTTTATCTTGTACAAAAAGCCTTAGATGGAATCCAGCAGCATCTGGAGGGTCGCAGGTTCCTCCACTTTGCCTTGAAATTTTGCTTTAAAAACAAAGCAACATATATAGGTTCATAAGGAAGCTGAGAATCCTGTGAAGGGGGATATCTTATCATCGTCCCTCTGACAAAACCCTGCCACGATCACGGCTGGAATGTGAGCTAGAAGTGTGTTATAAAGTGAAAAGAACCTACCGTAGTTTCAATTCCTGCTCTATTACGAGAGACTGGCACCATCTCCAGTTTGGCGTTGTTGGGTAGGTTGGCAAATCTCCATTGAACAGAGAGGTCCAGCACAGTCCTCTGAAACCTGCAAAAGAAACAGTCTAATGATATCCTTTTGCCCTGAGACTAATTCAGACTACTTATCAGTGATTCCCCCCCGCCCCCGTATTTTGTAACCCGATAATTTCTACTTGTGTTCTTCTGGCTGCTGCATGGAATAACACATAAATCTGACATTTGGGAATTGTAAGTAAAATCCATTAAAACCTACAGAACTGTGTGGTCTGATCACTACAAGAGGGGGATAAATGGAGAAGCACTGTAAGCATAGTAGACTGGATATTAAAAGGGTCTAACAGCCTTTATTCCTAATGCTTCACTGTTGCTAAACATTTTGTGATTTTTAAACTCTGCTGGGGCTCTCTTACTACTGGAGAATGTGTTCAGCCTGCACTCTGGATCTAAGGATCCAGCCAAGTCCTTTATTAATTACCCCAAACAGGTGATCTCTAAATCTACCCCCCCCCGACAATCTTCCTTAAATTAAATTAAGTTACTACAGTACATGTGAGACATTTTCCCCTGGTTTTTCCCACAGCACTGTGGTAACATTTAAAGGCCCCAAACCACATGGGTGCTAACCACACAGGTCCTTAGCATGATATCATCATTCCCTAGCCATGGTCAGGCAACAAGGATTTATACAATTTGCACCATTCATGTGGTTATGGGCCTTTAAATGTTACCACAATGCTGTGAGATGGACCCACAGAAAAGCAATTCCCCAGCACCACAGTAATGCTTGAAAGGTACTCCTAAAATATTATTTTCTGTTGCCACATTTTATAGCGTACTAAACAGAACATGTAGATTTGTGCAACCATGATTTTAGGTTCCACATAGATATCCCCAACATAATCAGAATATCATGGAACAATTAGTACTAGTTACTGATGCTCACAGAAACAATGGCTTGAATCCAGAGGTATTTATACTTGTGCAATTGGTGGTTCCAATATCCACTAACATCCCTCTCCAGCAGCATCTCTGCACTTGCCATATCCCATGTCATTCTAGAAGGCTTTCTGACCTGCAGGGGCTGCTTTTCAGAGGGCACAAGGACTGTGGCTGGAAGGAAGAGGCAGGAAAGGTCCACTGCATGACATTCACCCCATGCTCCCCTGGATTCAAGCCAACAATATTAGGTCAGCTACTTACTTCCCCCTCTTCCTTGCTTCATTTAACACAGTTTAGTAATAATAATAATTATTATTATTTATACCCGCCCTCCCCAGCCGAAGCCGGGCTCAGGGCGGCTAACTACAATAAAATAGTACAACATTCTAAAATCATTTCATTATAAAATTAATTCAACTCAAATTGATGGCAACCATTAGACTAAAGTTCTGTGAAGATTGCCAAAGGAGGGAGTCAGGCTGTGCCCTGACCAAAGGCCTGGTGGAACAGCTCTGTCTTGCAGGCCCTGCGGAAAGATGTCAAGTCCCGCAGGGCCCTAGTCTCTTGTGACAGAGCGTTCCACCAGATCGGAGCCACAGCCGAAAAAGCCCTGGCTCTAGTTGAGGCCAGTCTAACCTCTCTGTGGCCTGGGACCTTCAGGATGTTTTTGTTTGAAGACTAGGAACAACAGGAGCCACCCAACTCTCAACAAACTATGAATATGCATACAAAGGGCCACACTCTTAGAAGCTGTAGAGTAAAGCAATGGAAAGAGGTGCAAGCATTTTCATATCAGGAAAACATTTGGATAGAAAATAGAAAAAAAGCTGCAGGAGTTGCTATTTGGAAAGAGCTGAAATACATGTGACAAGCAGAGGCAACGCTACTGTCAGTGTTTTTATTTTCAGAGAGGGGCCCAGGCCCAAACAGCTGCTTAATAGAGGAACAGCTTGTTGTAAAAAGAATAGTCTAGAACAGCAGCATGACCCAGTTGCACACAGTGCCGTGTGATGTCAGTTATGAGAGGGGCTGTTTCCACCAGAGTGTTCAGAGACCTGGGGAGTCAGTGGAATCCTTTGTTAGAGGCCTGTATGAAATAGCAGCACAACAGTTAACTCTGCATCGCAGCTATCATAGGCAAAGTGAGATGGCATCTGTGGGCAGCAGATGTTTAGTGTTCCAAAGGACAGCAGAGTAGGAGGCATACAGGTCAAAACCATAAGGCACAATCCACCAGGACAGTTCCTGCATGAGCCCCATTAAAATGAGCAGGATCTGGAATAGCTCCCATTCATATCCATTAGTAATGCACAAGATGGCTTTCTCTAGACCTGTGAACTAGTTCAAGTGAAGGCAATGCCATTTCCATTTTCCACCCCAGGTACGTAAACGCCTTTGGCTCTCCATAGCTGCAGCTTCAACAACAACAACAACAACAACAACAATTTATTATTTATATCCCTCCCCAGAGATCATCGACCAACGCGACCAAGGCAGTTTCAGTCTCATGGTGAGGCTTGAATCCCGATTGGAAGAGATCTAAATGGTCCGCATCCTCCAGGCGTGCTTGGAGTTGTTCAGCAACCACCCGCTCAATCACCTTGCCCAAGAATGGTAGATCTGAGACGGGGCAATAGTTGGCCATATTGGCCAGGTCTAAAGTTTTTTTTTTTAAGAAGCGGTTTAATGACCACCTCTTTCAGTGGGTCTGGGAAGACTCCCTCACAGAGGGAAGCATTCATCACCCCACAGAGCCCATCGCCCAGCCCTTCCCGGCTCACTTTTATTAGCCAGGATGGGCAAGGATCAAAGAGAAAGGTGGTCGGTTTCACTCGTCCAAGCAATCCTCGGAGGTAACAGATTGGAATTGATCCCATGTAACATGACTAGACAGGACTCTAGCACTCTGCCACCCTGGCCCGACTCCCACGGTGGAGTCTACCTCTTCTGAATCTGAGCGACTTTATCTGCAAAAAACTTTGCAAAAGCATTGCAGGAGATCTTGCAATAACAAGGGTATTAACTGTCTCAGTGACTCAACTGCAGGAAAACACAACCCTAGCAACACCATTAACAGCAGGTCCACCTGCAGCTACATTTCCTTTAGACTGCCATGCCTCTTAACATGACCTGCACCAACCAGAATGGGATGCTTCTTGCCCTAACTATGAAAGGGAATCTACTGTGGGGATTTTTTTTTTTACTTGAGAAACACTTTTTTTTTTAACTAAATTTGAAATCTGGGCTCTTATTAATCATTTTCTGATTCACCTGTAATTATTGATTATATTGTTGCCAGATTTTGTTAATTTTCGTGGGGTGGTATGGTTTTAGTATTATACAGATAAATTATTGGATTTCAATGTTTTATTTTGCACTGTAAATATTTTAGTATTCTTGTTAGTCACCTTGAGTTCTCTGCATCTAAGAAATATTAATAATGATATTAATACATGCCTATTTCATAGACCGATTATGCCAAAATACTTGGAATTTGGGGCTATAAATCCCTAGAGAAGTTGGTGAGTATGCATGGAATTAAGATATATTATTGCTAAAACAGGGAGGGAGAACCTGTGGCCATTTAGAGTTTGTTGAAGTACAACGCCCATCATCCCTAACCGCTGGTCATGCTAGTTGGTGCTGATGAGAGGCAGAGTCCAACAACATCTGGCGGTCCATCCGTTCCCCATCTCCATTCTGAATGAACTAGTGACTGTGTTTTCACATCAGGGAAGTGGGTCTATCTAGCCCAGCATCCTGTTTTCAACAGCCCGCTGCAGGTGCATGAGAACTGGTACTACATCTGACCAATTAAGATGAAAGTTTGATCTTGGCCAAGGAACACTCTGCTAGACATGTCAAATTTGGGATCACAGCCTTCAAAAGTGAATAGTTCTGGACGGCCATTGTGGGCTCCATATTACACTTCTCTCCCACCTGTCCCCCAAATTAACGGCAAAGAAACAGCGAACTGTCAAGCTATAAAGGTATGGAAAAAACAGTAAGACTCACTTCAAATCATATTCATTGGGACTGAAATTCTGCTTTCTACAAACCTCTTCCAGAATCTTAAAAAAGAAAAAAGGCAAGATGTTAATATAAAATAGAGAGTTCTCCCATTCTGTCCCATAACATACTCAGTGCAGATTAGTCATAGAATTATAGAGTTGGAAGGTACCATGAGGGTCATCTAGTCCACCCCCTCCTGCAATGCAGGAAACTTTTGCCCAAAATGGGGCTCAACTCATGACCCCGAGATGAAGAGTCTCATGCTCTAACAGGTGAGCTATCATTTACTTCAGTCAGCATCCTCCCCCCCCCTTCTCAACTCATGCTTATGGTTCAAGTTGTGATTCTAACTTACATTAACAATTCCACCTGCATGAGAGGAAGATTCTCCCCCACAGCCCGACAAGAGAATTTAGGCCAAATGTGAGAGTACAATCAGAGGAAAATTACATTTATTCTGGGGTAACACTGCAAACTATTCCAGGATGTTAACATGATACATTTCTGACAGAAAGTAGCAATCTCCCTCAACATTACATTAATTTGAGGACTAATTTTTCATAATGAAGGCTAAATTGACTGGTTGTTTTTAGGTACCCCATTGATCCTTGTGGGATTTTATAGAGGATAATTATTTACATGAATAAGTGCAAGGAAACCTTATGGAATACTCATTTATGGACCACTGAACATGCAGGTTGGGAAACAAAAGAAAAAAGACCTTACATGAAAGAAGCTTAAATCAAAATCTTTGTGGTCCGATAAAAAAAGAAAACCTCTGATGAAGTCTGATAGAGTGAGAGTGGAAAACCTTTTTAAAGTTATAGATCCACATGCCAGTGGTGGGCTGGGTTAAAAGGAGGCAGAGTAGTGAATGTAAATATTACCTTTATATGGTAGGGTAGTTTCTACAGACACCATTCTCTGTTCTCCATCCAGTTAAGTAAGAGGCATGGTCATATTAAGGGCACATGCCAGCCAGACAAAAACACCTGAAGAGGGTGCAGAACAGGCCTGGGGAAGAGTATGGTCTGGGGAAAAGTCCCAAGGGACAGACAGAGAGGTCTGGAAGGCCACATTCAGCCCCAAGGCCTGAGGTTCCCCACCACTGCGATAGAAGATCTACCCCCAAAAAGATATAAATTACCGGTACATTTCCCTGAGAGGCAAACCCAAAAAAGAATCTTGCAGCAACTTAAAGACTAGCATGTGCCATAATACATTTGGTAGTCTTCAAGGTGCCACAGGACTATGGGTTGGCTTCCCCCCATAAATTACATAAGACTAGAAGAGATACTTTTAACATTTCAAAGGGACTTTCAACTCTCTCATTCGCACCTGCCTGCATCGGAAGGCGTCTATTTTTTTCCGGAAGGGTCTACTAAGGTTTTACAGGAGGAGATCCCTCCTTTCAGTTCTTTTCTCCTACAAAAAATGCATTTCTCGACATAACCCCATTCAGGTTGCAATCCTAAACGCATTTACTAGCGAGTAAGCCCCTGCTGAATGACAGAAGTCAACAGCCAAGATGACTGCGCTGTCAGGGGCCATTTCTTTTCCCCACCAGGGGCAAATATCTACGATCCTCCCCCATTTCAGGAGGCCGGAGTCCTTCCATTATTGCACAACTTCCTTTCAGACACCGAGATAAAGGGAGGAGGAAAAAGCCCGTCACCGGCTTTTATCAGTGTTCAACCCATCCCGTTTCTACCACTCAAGAAACTCTTCCCGGCCCGGCCGGGTCCGAGAGAAAAACCCTTGACAATTATGTGCCCTCTGGTCCAATCAGAACGAGCCTCTTTCCCCCCTTTCCTGCCCCAGGGCCAATCAGAGTGACTGCATCCGCCCAGCCTCCCGGTCCCTGGGCCAGACCCACCTGGAGCAGCGCGGTGCTTGGGCCTACTCGCACCGTCACTCGCCTCCCGTTCGGAGCCAGCACGGAGACCGCGGAAGTGCCGCCGCCAGCTGCCGCCATCGTCCCCCCTCTTCAGCCCCCGGCCGACCCCACCCCTGGCTGGCCCTCGAGCGCCTCAGCCGCCGGGCTCACCCCCCGCGCCCCGGCACTTCTCTATAGCCAGCCTCCTAGGTAGTTCAGCCCAATGGCCCCGGCAAGGGGGCGCGGCCACCACTCCGGCCGCCCCGCCTTACGCTTCGCCTCCCGCTCGCTCGCTCGCTCGCTGCAATAGGGGTTCCTCCTTCTTTAAAGGACTCGCGGCCGGTTCCTGAAAGAAATCTCTTCCGAGTATGCGCGGCTGTGCTTTGCTTTCCGTTCGTTGTCGAGGGGCAGCTGTGCCCTCACTGTTAGTGAAAAGCGGGGCGGGGGACACACACACACACCCAACTTTTGGATTCTTCAACATCAACTTCGTTGGACTGGTCATGTTGTGCGGATGCCTGATTATCGTCTTCCAAAGCAACTACTCTATTCCTAACTTAAAAATAGAAAGCATCATGCTGATGGTCAACAAAAGAGGTCTCAAGGCAAATCTAAAAAATTGTAGTACAGTATAAACACCAACAATTGGGAAACACTGGCCTGCGAGCGCTACAATTGGAGAACAGCCTTTACCAAAGGTGTCATATGGGCTTTGAAGACACTCGAACTCAGGACAACTCAGGACACAAGGCAGAAACGTGTTACGAGGAAGGCACGCTTGGCTGTTCTACACCGTGATCAACTTCTGCCCAGAAACCAATATCCCCAATGTGGAAGGACGTGTGGATCCAGAATTTGCCTCCCCAGTCACTTAACGGACTCATTGTTAAAACCGTGTTTATGGAAGTCAGTCTTACTCGGCTACAAGCGATCGCCAAAGAAGTAGTGAAAAGGGGGGCAACCCAACTTTTCCACCTGGGTTTCTCTCTTGAAAAATACGTGTGTACCACTGCAGCGTTTGCTCAAAGACGGCTACTTTTAATATTGGGAGGGTCCCTGTGCCAGGGTCCCCCAGATCTACATTTCTATCCCAGAGGCATATATGTTTCTGTTGAATTTCTGCCTGCCTGGCACACAGCAGGTGCAATGTACCGGGATCCTGCCAGGGAAGGAGCGGCAGCATCCTGAGTCCTATCTAATCTGCCAACCCATTGGCAGAGAGTAATAGATGGGACGCGGGTGGCGCTGTGGGTTAAACCACAGAGCCTAGGACTTGCCAATCAGAAGGTTGGCAGTTCGAATCCCTATGACGGGGTGAGCTCCTGTTGCTCAGTCCCTGCTCCTGCCAACCTAGCAGTTCAAAAGCACGTCAAAGTGCAAGCAGATAAAAAGGTACCGCTCCGGCGGGAAGGTAAACGGCGTTTCCATGTGCTGCTCTGATTTGCCAGAAGCGGCTTAATCATCCTGGCCACATGACCCGGAAGCTGTACGCAGGCTCCCTCGACCAATAAAGCGAGAGGAGCGCCGCAACCCCAGAGTCAGTCACGACTGGACCTACTGGTCAGGGGTCCCTTTACTTTTACTAGATGAATAGGATTGGATCCATGAACTGGACTCCTGCCATATATAACTGCTCACATGGCCCCTGCCAAATTGTTCAGACTCTGTTCCCCATCTGTAACATGAGAATAGTAATGATCTGCCTCACTCACAAGGATGTCCTAAGGAATAAAGATGGTAAAGGAAACAGGAGGACATGGTAGTGAATTTGATGCTACTGTAAAGCAGTCAATGTTTACTCAGAAGTAGGTCCCGCTCCCAGATAAATGGCATAGGAAAACTGGCATTCTTACCTACCTATTCCAACTACCCCTGTAAGATGCTTCCCCTTTTGCCTATGAGTTATTTACACAAATATTTCAACAATAGAACCTTCCATTAGATTTTGACCCTCACTGCATACAGGACCACAAGAACTGGGAGGGACTCAGGGCATCATGCAGACTGAGCTCCCAAACTTGCAACACTATTCCTTCGCCCAAAAATTTTTTTCTACTGAGGCAGACCCAGATTACACAACATCAGGGGTTCATTCACTGCACTTGTTCCAATGACATTTATGCCATAATCTGTCAACAATTTCCTCTTACATTCTGCTTACAAGAGACAGGCCTTCCTATGCAACGAATAAATTCACACAAATCCAACTTCAGAAATGGTTATATTCATAAACTAGTAGGAAAACGTTTGACTTCCCAGGGCATTCTGTAACTGATCATAAGGCCAGCATTCCAGAAACAATGATCAATTTAAAAAAAATCAGTTTTATTGCTTGTGGATTACATCAAGACAAAGACTGAAGGTTTTAAAAATCCATACTACATGTGTTGATTGGCTTACCATTGACAGAATAGCTGTGTTATCTATTGTGTTTTGTGAATAATTCCCTGCCCATTACAGGTGTTTATAATACAATCACCACAGCAATTCTGAGTAAATTATCACTAATCTACTGCTGTAAAGAGGGATGCAGGTGGCGCTGTGGATTAAACCACTGAGCCTAGGGCTTGCCGATCAGAAGGTCGGCGGTTTGAATCCCCACGACGGGGTGAGTTCCCATTGCTCTGTCCCTGCTCCTGCCAACCTAGCAGTTTGAAAGCACACAGTACAAGTAGATAAATAGGTGCCGCTCCAGCGGGAAGGTAAACGGCGTTTCCATACGCTGCTCTGGTTCACCAGAAGCGGCTTAGTCATGCTGGCCACATGACCTGGAAGCTGTACGCCGGCTCCCTCAGCCAGTAAAGCGAGATGAGCGCTGCAACCCCAGAGTCAGTCATGACTGGACCTAATGGTCAGGGGTCCCTTTACCTTTACTACTGTAAAAGTTAAATGTAAACCTATTTGACATGCATTCAAGGTCCAGTTACTACTGATTGTAACTTTTGATTCCCCTCCCCTTCAACTCCCTCCTTACAAATTTCTCCTTTATATACCTGTCAACAAAGATTTTACTTCAGGCATCTGACATTGTGGGGATTGGTCCATGAACTCATGCCTTAACAAATTTGGTAAGACTTTTCAGTGCTGCAAATCTCTGTTTTTGCTGTGAAACCAACACATATCCCTCTGGAAATCAGAACACATATTAACCCTGCAAGGCCAACACAGAGTTCATTTCATACCACCTTTCCTACAGTCTCTGGGTTGGCTTATTTTATGAAATCATTGGGAGGGATGGGGGGGACCTTTTAAAATTTTTTATCCAGCATTGCAATATAGCCAGAATCAGTCGAAACAAGTCAGTCCAACACATAAGAACTGACAGTCCTGCATAAACAGTTCATGGTCCTGATGTGTTTATCTTTAAGCCTCTGAAAGGTTCTAGATCCAGCTGATAGTGAGGTTGAGACAGATAAGACCAAGGGTAACTGATACCTGTTGCATCTTATCTTTTCCATTTTGTATAAAAGGTATGACATGTAGGTGCTAGCAAATGCTAAATTGACTGGATTAACATCTTCTGTTTATGAGACACGCCAGTTTAAATGGGCGGAAAATGGTTTTAGTACAGAGCAGCTTGTTTCCATCAAGACAAATAAAAGGATAAGAAATTCCAAAGAAAACTACTTTTTTTTTATGCAGTCAGTAGCAAAATAAAAGATACAGTGATCACCTATAATTGACCCCTGATAAATTAAAAAACAAGAAGCTACTACCACTTGACCCAACCTCTTCTCAGATAGATTAGGAAAGCAAGGAGGGGATATAACGTTGAAGTCTGGGCTCCTAATTTTCACATTGCTAGAACAATATGTTTAAGAGAATGCATTGTTAAACTTAAATAAATGTAACATTACAGTGGTACCTCGGGTTACATATGCTTCAGGTTACATACGCTTCAGGTTACAGACTCCGCTAACCCAAAAATAGTACCTCGGGTTAAGAACTTTGCTTCAGGATGAGAACAGAAATTGCGTGGTGGCGGCGCGCGGGAGGCCCCATTAGCTAAAGTGTCCTCCTCCTCATTGCACTTTCTCTGGATTTCAAGGCTCAAGGTCATCTTGGAAGTATTTTCTGAGAATAAAGGGTCAAGTATGGCTTCTTTATTTCTCCAACTAGTTTATTAGCTAGGACTATATAACTTTTCAATTGTGAATGTACTAGGCATGGAAAAGTAGGCATTTAGACTGGATGTAGGTTTAACTGTTTTGTAAACATTGATTAAACATATGTAAACATTGATTAAAAAAATTATTGAAGGCAACTTTTTGTTGAAGTTCAGCAAACTGTGTATTGGGCACCAAATGCAAAATTAATGTCCTACCATAGCTCTTGTCTGACAGCAGGAATGCTTAGTCTGTGGCCTCTGTTGTTGGATTCCAATGCCAATTAGCTTAGCCAACATGGCCAATGGTCAAAGGTTCTAAGAGTTGCAGTCCAATATCTGGAGAACCTCAGCTTTCCCATTCCTGTCTTGTAAGTGATGAACATGGGTATAATTAATGCTGATCATATAGGAGACACCCTGGGCAAGACACTAGAAAGATATATATAGGGAGGAAGGGAGGAAAGGAAGATGCAATAGCTCAGGGATGGGCAACCTATGTCCCTCCAAATGTTTTGTTAGACCACAACTCCCATCGTCCTCAACCATTGGCAATGAAGGCTGTTGGTTATGGGTGTTGGAGAGCCAGAGGTTCCTAATTCCTGCCATAGCTAAGTTGTAGTGCACATGGGAACTCCCAGGTTCCATTGCTGATGTAATCGATTAAAGCAGAGGTGAGCAACTTGCAGTCCTTGGCCTAATTTCATGCAGGTGGGGGTGGGGGGCAGACCCAGAAGGAAATGAAGGGAGGAGTTGAAATGGATGCAGCAATGGAAGGAGGAGGAGGAGGGGGGATGTATTCTGCAAGGGAGGAGAGAGAAGGGGATGTCCGAAAGAAAGAATGGCCCTTTCTACTATTGGCTGTAATGTCACTAATCATTGGTTTTGACCTCACCCAGTACCAGCACAAACACACACACTTACCCCACAAGGAAAGTGGTGGGGAGCCTACCATGCAAGAGTTGAACACCTCAACTGCTGCTGTCCATCAGAATATGCAACAATGAACTAGATGAATCAGTGGTCTGATTCAGCATAAGGTAATCCGTACATTAACAGAACACAGAACTTGCCAATGGAGGACTTGTCTTCTGATTACATCTTACATTATACTGTAAGATGTCACCATAAGACTATTATACAGAAAAAAGGAAACATTTGGTTCTTCTAATAAACTGAAAGAGGACTGGTTGCTTGCATAAAAAAGGCCTGCACAGTCAGAGCTTGTTTCCTCATCCACTTTGAATTTGGGATGGCCCCCATCTTCTGTCGAAGCATACAGCTGTTTTCTATTTTGCATCAGAAAGTGGCACATCCTTATAAGAACTGTATTACTTCTGTTAGAACAGCACTCTTTGAAGTAACTTGAGTCGAATTATCCATGTTGCAGGATTCAAGAAATGCCTCCAATTTCCAAGAGCATGTAATAATCAGAACTGTTATAAAGAGGTTAAAGGTCACATTTCATATCCAGCACCACTTCTAATTTGAAATAGTTGTATAAAATTAGAAGCATCGGGGCACAGAGGAGGGGGAAGGGGACTACAACCTGGAGCTTATTACAGTTCTGAAGAGAGATGAATTCATCAGGGAAAAGATGAATACACCCTACATAATTCATTTTTGGTCTTATTTTGTACACTCCACTGATATCTAATTGATGAGGAACTGGTAAAAAATCTTTAGATAGATAGATTCTTCAGAGCCACCTTTAGGGGTATGTCACCTTTAGGGGATATTTAGTTGCATTGACCCTCAAATAAAATAGGTTGTGCTATGGCTGACCCCTACGCCCACCAAACCTAACTTATTCATATACACACTCCCTGCATATTCCAGTCGTCACCCAAGGCTGTACTCATTTATGTGAGCTCAGACTTAGTATCACATTCATGACTGAATGGGAGGATAAGTGGCTACTACAGTGATGGGTTGGGTATGATTTGACAAGAACATTTTGGCCACTCCATCACTGATCTTCACTGGTGAGGTTTTCCACTGGTGTTTTTGGGAGGAGTTCTTCCAGTATCTTAAGTTCCACCAGTGTTGCAGGGCTTCTGCCAGATTCTGGAGCCCCTCGGCTGACAAAACTCAAGCAGAGGATAATTGCAGCCTTAATATATTAGTCAGATTGATCAGATGAAAGTCTTTTGATTGACTAAAAATATTGATTGATTGACTCTGATTAATTGGATAGACCGGTTTCTGAAAAAAAGTATTGTCAATACAAGTATTTATAAAAACTGCAGATAGCAAATGCTGTCTTCTAAGACATTCCCTCCCTTTTCCCATGCACAGAAGGCAATGCTTCTACTAAAATACACTTCTCCATCAACCTAAAAGATGCTTCTGCTTCAGATCTATTCCTTTTACCAATATGAGAATATGTGCACATTTCAGCAAACAACTGATTGACAAGAACCCATAAAATTAAGATTTCTCTAACTGGGTATCAGTTAGCAACACCCAGATTATGTTAAGCAGACTTATTCCATCCTGCTTCTCCAAACCCAGACCTGCAGTTCTTCCTAAGCGCCAGAATTTGAACAGCTCCACTCTCCAGCATCAGGGACAGCCTAGGCCTGGCTCCTTAAACAAGTAAGTAGGCTGCCTGACCAGCAGTCCAGCACTTGAGAAACGAACAAGCCTTTAGCAGAGCTTAGAGGACTCCCTTCCAGGGCAGGGAGTTTAGCCATCACCAGCAGCTCTTATTTATTAATGTTACATTTATATCCCCACTTTTTCCTTACACTATTCTCTCCCTTCCCATCCTCACAGCAGCCCTGTGAGGTAGGCTGGTCTGGCAGGCTGCGACTGGCCCAAGATCAGGCAGTGAGCTTCTTGGCTGAGTGGGGATTTGAACTTTGGTCTTCCAGGCCCTAGTCCAACATTTTAGTCGGTGCACCACAGCGGCTTTCTTAGGAGGCAGATTATTAGCCATAAGCCCAACGAAACCTGCAAGTTTTGAGGCAAATACTTCTGAATGCCAGTGGCATGAGAAGCCTTGCTCTGAACACCAGATACTGAGGACAAACAAGGAGGGTGGGCTGGGCCTCCAAAGAGGCCTCCAGTTCGCCATTGCTGGAAGGCGCGGGAAAGGCTGTGGAACTCTATAGGGACACTCATCTAACCGCAGTAGGCCGCTTCTTGTGCCCTCGTGTTGGGGAAGGGAGTCCTGGAAGCAGCTAGGCCTGGACGGTCACCCATTCCCAGCCCCTACTCTCCTTCCGTGGTTCACGCAAGCAAAGTTTTGCTCGCTCCTCCTCACAAACACGGTAGCACGTGAAAGCCGACCGGGCCGCCTGGCGCAGCACGTGGCTGGGGAACCCCGGGAAAGGAAGCGAGCGGGCCACACAGCGCTGGGGAACCCGATCTGTGTGGGGAGTCCCCGGGGGAGGCTCCCCAGTGCGCGGGGGGGGGGGTCAGAGCCGGATCCCCGCTGGGGGGGGTATCCCCAGGCGAGGGAGGTTGGGTTGTGGCCGTCCAGCCCCAGTGGCAATGCCCCAGGCCGCGAGGGCTCCTTGTTCTGCCTCGGCGCCCCCCCCCACCTCCAATACCACAGCACAGCCCTCCGCCTGCAGCCAACAAGAGGCAGCCAGTCTTTTCATCCCTGTACGCACACCGCAGCTGGGGCGCGGGGGGCCTCGCAGGAGGATGGAGGGGGGGCGGACGGAGGGGAGGACTTCAAAGCCCCGCTTGCCTCATCCCTCTTCCATCCTCGGCGGCAGCCAGCCCCTTGGAGCGGCGCCCCGCGATGCTGGGCGGGAGGTGGCGAAGGTGTTTTTGGCACTCGCCGGGCGTCTCTTCAGACGGGATGGGGGGGGGTGTGGGGAGAGAAAGGAGGGCGGCCGGCAGAGCGACGTCTGTCGGCTGGGAAATGAAAGTCAAGCCTCGGGACGCCCCCCACCCCTCCGCCCCCCGTTTCTGGTCCTCCTCGTGCGGTGGGGTGGGGGCGGAGAGGAGGGGGCGGGGACTGGCCGGCTGCTGCCACCGCCCCACGCGGCGCCGGGGCTGGCGGCGCCCCCGGCGGGCTCCCCGTGCACTCCGTGCCCCTCTTGTCATGTTTGTGGTTTGGGACGAGGCGGCGAGTCCGTGCACCAAGAAAAGCCGCGCGCCCTCCAGCCCCGCCGCAGACCTCGGACAGCGCGGGCCCCGAGCACCGGCTCCCGCTCCCCGCGCCGCTTTGCTCGCCGCTCCTTGGAGCCAGGGAGACGGGCCCAGAGCTGCCAGACCCTCGGCGAGGCGAGGAGCAGGCACAGGCCGGAGCCCCCCAACCGAAAGCCCGCCAAGCGCCGCCCGCCAAGCGCCGCCAGGGGCAGAGCGCGCACCCCTCCGCTGCCTCTGCCGTCGCAGCAGCAGCAGCCGCCCGAGGCCAGGCGAGCAAGCGCCGATCGGCCGTCCAGCAAAGCGGCGGGCTGCGCTCACCGGCTCCCTCTCCTCCTTCCCAACAGGTGGCTCCGCGTCGCCATGGGCAGAGGGGCCGTGCAGATGCTGCTGCTCTTGGGGCTGCTGCACTGGGGCCCCGGCGGGGAGGGCAGGAAAAGCTGGAGGCGGCGTGGGCAGCAGCAGCAACAACAACAACAACCGGCGGCGGCGGGTCGGGAGCGGAGCGAGGCGGCTGGGCAGCCGGTGGAGAGCTTCCCATTGGACTTTACCGCTGTGGAGGGCAACATGGACAGTTTCATGGCTCAGATCAAGAGCCTGGCGCAGTCGCTGTACCCTTGCTCGGCGCAGAATCTGCACCAGGAGCTGAGGCTGCACATGCTGCTCAACAGCTCGGTCACCTGCAACGACGGCAGCCCCGCCGGGTGAGTGCACATGCCAAGCCTGACCCTTCTGCGATCTCCTTGCTTCGTCCCTGGCCCTTCAGGCACCTCCCCTTAGCCCATCTTCGTGGCTCCTGTGCTTAGTAGGAAGCGAAGAAACGTCTAAGAAAATAGAGCCCTTCTCCATCCTCTCTGCTTCTTTGCTGTCTCTTTTAATTTGTGCGCACAAACCCACGGCCACTTCCATCGGCGTGTGCTTTTGTGCTCTCCCGTTCCGTGCCCAACAGTTTTTCTTTTCTCAAGTTCATACCACTAAGAGTAAGAATCGGAGATGAACTTACTCTTAAATCTGTGCCTGAGGGCAGACAGAGCAAAAGTAGAAGTGGGTAGTAGGAAGAGAAAACTTTTTTGAATGCACCTATTATTTTTTTCTTATTGTCCCTCATCACTTTAGTTCCTTGTATTTGCTAGATTTCCTTATACAGTAGTCTCAAGTTAGTAGCTCTCCCTTATTCCGAGGAATATGCTCTAGTCCAGAAAACAGGGACTTTGCAAAGCAGAGTAGATAAAAAAAGTTATCTCCCAGCAGTATAGTTCCTTGGGACTCTGTAGAATAGTCATTGAAGCTCTGCGGTGCCCCTGTTTCTTTTAGATCTCAGTTCAGCTACCACAGCCCCTCTAGTACGAGCTGCTTTCTGAAACAAGAACTCTGTGAGTTCTCAAACTAGCTCCACGCAGACTCTCTGTGTATGTACTGAGCAAACATGGATAACATCACCCGCTTCTTTGTAAAGCACCATTTATGCGGAGGGGATGCTTGACAGAGCACGCACACGACTGTTTACTATTAATACCATTTGCTGGTCCCTCTCTGCTCCTTAGTACTTCAAAAGTGCTGAAACAATCCTTCCTAGTGTTCAAGCTCTGCTTCCACCATGTGGCCTTTGCTAAGAACGCAGCCAGTAACAGGTGGAATAACTCTTTCCTGCCTGGAAATACTTAGGAATGCTAGGAATTTGTTTAATGCATTTATTTTGGAGCAAGATGAAAGCCTGGCTCAGGGTCCCCGAGAAGGCCCTTTGATCAGACTTCGTTTGGAGCTCCTCTGACAGCCATCCTGTTTCTTTCTCTTGTTCTTTAACCAAGTATTTTATGTAACCCTCTTGATATTATAATGAGTTGGTGTATCAAAGGGCTTGTGGCTGAGTGAGCCAGTCTCCCTAATTAAGTTCACGCTGCCTTCTGTTTGTTTTTATTTTAGCTACTACCTCAAAGAATCGAAAGGCAGTAGAAGGTGGCTGCTTTTCCTGGAAGGTGAGCTTGAGTTTTCTTTTAATTTATTTAAGCAAAGTTCAATCATTTTAGGCTCTTTTTGTAAAAAGTCGAGCGATGGCGGAAGAGCTTCCCAGCTGCTTTCTTCAAAGACTTATAGCGAGTGCTGGCTGCCTTCACTATAACCAATGTCTCCATCCTTTCCCCCCTTTTACGGTTTCATATGCCATGCCACCTGGAGGTTTGCTGGCAGCCTAACTACTCACCAAACTTTAATCAAAGCTACTTAGTCAATCTACTTCTTGCTGTTGTTTGCTTGCAATGTTACTTTTGGCGTTGTATTTCCTAGGTTTCAATGCATAGATGCAGTAAGTCTCCAAACAGATTTTGGTCTACACATATATGCTGTTTTCTCTAATTTTCTTCTGTGTAATATGAAATAAATTAACTGGTACTTACATTCCGGTCCTGAACTCATCATCTGTTTGGAAATGTCCCATTGCTTTTGATGGTACTGTGCTCCAAGAAATAGTGTTTTCAAAATTTTGCAAGTGACCGTATGAAACTGTGGCTAAGATTTATCGTTATTAATATAGTTACTTTTCACTACAGTATTTGTTACTAAAAAAAACAACAAAAAACAATTTTGCATGCTTTTGCCATGCAAACATCTCAGCTAGAGAATTCTCTGCAGTTTACAGAAGTAGTGTTCTTTGGGTAATCGGTACTAAACACATGTGAGGTAGATGGATCCACATAGAGAAACAAGCATTTTTGGGTGCTTCTGCATAATAGTGCAAATCCAGGCCTGGTTGAAAGGTTGGACGTGCCTTTTCAGGCTCCTCAGAATATTAAATATAAGTTTGGCTAGATCTAAAACCGGAAGGCATCAGATTAATTCTCAGGAAAGTCAGATGTTGCTGAAAAGGCTTGTGGAAGTTAGCAAAATGTTCATAGGAGCACTTCAAGGCAGATCATGCTTTGGAAATGATGGCAACCTACCTTTTGAACAGCCTTATGCTGTAAGTGGCTTTTTATTTTACAGCACATCCTGCTTTAAAATTTTACTATATTCAGAGATAGCACTGTGCAATGCAATCCTGCGCATGCTTACTCAGAAGTAAGGAACACTGTGTTCAGTTGGGGTTTCTTGGAGGGAAGCGTGCATAGTATCACAGTCTTAAAGTCACAACAGGATCCCACTATCACATTATGCTGGATATTATGTAAGTGTTATTATGCTTTTTAAAAATCCCACTGCATTATAAACCCTACTCTGTGGACCTAGGATGAGTAAAAAAATCAATTCCTTCAATTAATTTAATGACACTAATAGTTTCTTATGCAAACTACAGTCTAAAAAGATGTAATAAGTGAAACAGGAAGAAATGGACACTATCCGATTCTTGCTTTGTTTCTTTTCTGAATCAGGAGGCTGGTACTGCTTCAACAGAGAGAACTGCAACACTCGGTATGAAACAATGAGGAGACTTATGAGCTCCAAGGAGTGGCCCACTACCAGAACTGGTAAATTCTTTATTCTCACCAACCTGGGATTTACTCTATTAATTATATATTGCTTCTACTTTCTACGTTTTAGTTTACTGGAGCGCCTTCCTGCTCCATTAAGTCCAAACCATGACAGCAGTGAAGCAGCATTCCATAATGCCATTTTAAATCAAACAGAGGAGACACTTCATGGTGCAGTTGCCACTGTGGAGAAAGTCCAGCCCTGTGCCCTAGCATTGCTGACTTATCTACAGTTAAGGAAGGATCATGGAACAGAGCTTTCTCTGCAGATCTGAGGGTGCGCTTATCAGAGAGTATACTGCCCAGACCCAATATAAGGGCAGTTAACATATTGTAATGAGATGTTGTTACAGTGTGAGTATTTTTGAAATGAAGTGTTTTATCTGGAATGCTATGTCGCATTTTGAAATCGTTTTTAGTAGGCTTTTACGGTGATGCTTTGATAAGTGTTCCTTTCATTGTCTTCCTATTCTTGGTTTGGATACCTCTGTGGAAAATGGCTTTAAAAATTCAAATTGTTGGAAAAATGGACTTATACTATTTCTAGAAATCAGGAATGCTAATTTATATTGCATCTGACAGCAGAGCAGTACATATTCAAACAATGTGAATGAGAACTAAGGATAATTTCTTTTTTCTTTTTAAGTCCTGCATCAGTTTTCTCCCCCTCTTTTAGTTTTGATTCTTTCTGTTTTTCTCTGTATTGTCCTTTTATAAATAGTTATCATTATTTTTAATGGTGAAAAGCCACCTGATTGGAAGTGTATTGGACACCTGGGGGAAGAGCACACCTGGGAATAGCGACCCATGAACACTTTCTGTGTCTGTACCTTCAGTAAAGTGGGCAGCGATGATAGTGACTCCCTCATCAGTGGCCTGTAGGGATTGCAATGAGTTGTAAATATCATAAATAAGTCATAAATCTTCAAGATATGCAGAGAGACCTGTTAAGCAAATTCTACCAGAGGCTTGTTCAAGACTGCATTCATCTTTACAGCTCCAGGAAACACAAACATCCCATAGGGTGTTATTCAGGGAGGATGAAGTAGATGCCACATTGTGAGCAGACATACAGGAGGGCTAAAGCCATCTGTTACTTTCCTTGCTTAGCACATTTACATCATCACAGGAATAAGCACTAGTTCAGAAAAACAGCTGGCAGCCATGGGGGCTGGGATCAGGTATTGGTTTTTGGCCAGCACTTACAGTTGGTGTTGGGACCTCACTGCCTAATTCAGTCTTCCACATCCTGTTATCTTCCAGATGTGTGGAACTCCAATTTCCCATCAGCCCCAACCAGCAAGGCCAATGGACAGGGATTATCAGATACAGCCTTTCTCAACCTTGGGTCCCCATATGTTTTTGGCCTACAACTCCCATGATCCCTAGCTCACAGGACCAGTGGTCAGGGATGATGAGAGTTGTAGGCCAAAAACATCTGGGGACCCAAGGTTGAGAAAGGCTGCATAGAATCATAGAATTGTAGAGTTGGAAGGGACTCTGAGGATCATCTGGTCCAACCTCCTGCAATGCAGGAATATGCAGCTGTCCCATACGGGGATTGAACCTGCAACCTTGGCACTATCAACACCATGCTCTAACCAGCTGAGCTATCCAGGCTGATAAGCATTGTAGTTCAACAATTTCCAGAGGATCACAAGTTCCCATTCCTGTTTTTTTTTTTAAAAATCTGTTGTCTCTTTGGGTGGAGAGATTTGAAAAGAAGATAGGGATCCTACATCTTTAATTCTTGTGTACTTCAGACTCTAGTGAAATATCCAACTCTATGATTCTACGTGTATGCATCTGCTTATTTGCCTGGAATAGGAATTGGCTTCTTATTTGAAATTTTAGAGTTTCAGTTTCGGAAGTGTATAATTTGTATCATTTTACCTCAGCCTCTCTTTCTTGATTCCCTTCCTCTTCTCTATTCCTTTGGCACAAAAATGGATACATTAGGGGATGATTTATTGGATACACTGTATTCTTTTAAATTCTGAGAAACTAGGAAATAATTTATTGTCTGCACTTTATTCTTGCAAATGCTGAGACCCACATACATAAGGCATTGGCCAGACTAAAGGCCTGTCCTTGGAGATATGTGTACAAAGTCCTTGCCTCTTTAGCATCTTTTGCTATTCTGTTACTTTCAAATGTTCTCCACACATTGCTGATTTGATATCTGACAGATGTTTTTCTTTTTGAATATATTTTTTATTCTCCCATTTACAGGAACTGGTATTCTGTCATCGCAACCGGAGGAAAATCCACACTGGTGGAATGCAAACATGGTGTAAGTAGGGGAATGATTGTGTGAGTTGGGAGGAACACAGCGGATGTGATGAAGCAAGCAATATACAGGGAGTGGAATCAAAGTCCTTTGTGGCTGTAAAATGTCAAAATGGGTAGGATAGCATAATTGACAACTTCAGTTTGTTTATTTGAGGGTATTTGTACCCCACCTACTAACCAAAGTTTTCAAGGCGGCTTACAGTATATTTCAAACACAGTAAAAGAGATGGTGATACAAATAGTCACTACAGCAAAGCAAAAAACCCACCATCCCTTTGTTCTCTGATGTTCCAGCAAATGCCATCCTATATAGTCAAATCTCCTGGCTGTTGAAGCAGCTAGAGTTCTATATAGTCCAGGAAGTCTTCACTGGGTGGCTGGTGCTGATGTCTCTCACAGCCCCAGCCATAGTGGTAGACACAGGAGGTACTGGGTGGAGCAAAGATGTTACTATGCCTTCATTTGCATTATATTCAGGAAGAGAAACTAAATGGAGAAAACAAGAATACCCCAAAAAGCTTCTCCATCGATGTAGGAACATGGCAGGCGGATAAGGGTTTGGGACTACTTAAAAGTATGACATGGTTGCCGTAGCAAACACTGGTAATATGTAAGGGGCTGGCACATGTCTCCATGCGTGCTGTGGACATGCACCAAACTGCGGGCAGTGACATATATCTGCATTTGGGCATGTGTGTTTCCTTTTCAGGCTTTATGCCTTTATCATGACAGTGGTGCACAGGGATATGTGCCTGTTTTGCAAAGTGTAAAATACACTGTTAATGTCCGTTAAACAAACACCGTGCTCCTTGAGTGAGTTCTTTCTGGGAGTATCCAGCTGGTACCATGAGATTTGAATGGGCATGAAATTGGTCTCTTTCCGACTCCCTTTGGGTTTAATTTGCTTGACCCCTGCTTCACCCCTCCCTGCATGTAAGAGGAATAATGGCGCTCACATATCTCTTGTCTCTTGCAGTTTCATCCCCTATTGCTCAAGCGATGTCTGGAGCGGAGCCTCTGCCAGGATTGAGAAAAGTGAGTGCTTCTGATAGGCTCCTGCTGCCAGACAGACATTATGCATTAAAGGGGATATGGCCCAACTTCTCTACAGTTATGCAAATGAAGAAATGGTTCTTGCCAATGGGCAGGAAGGAATAATAAATATTCTCCGGATAAAACATCCGCTTGCTAACTCTGCTTTGTCATGGTTCAGAGCCCCATCACGCAGCAGTAGCCTGAAGGGAATAGCTGCATCCTGAATGTCTGAGGCCCAGCCAGTCTGTTTAGCTAAATGTCCCCCACTCCTCCCCACTCCCCCCGCAGCAGCCAGGATTTGGTAGGGAAGAACTAAACAATGCCAGGATTCACAGACTGAATCATGAATGCTCCCAAGTATGGGTTTGAGGGACTTGATCACCTAAACCTATCACCAAAAAATGACACAGAGAGGCCAGAAGAAAACTTTATTTTCATGGATGTTGACCTAAATGCAGTTCAAAAGTTTGGGGCTACCAGCATCGTTGGCTCAGTAGGTCAAGTTTGGGGAAGCTTTGACTCTTCAGATGTTACTAATCTGCAACTCCCATCAGCTCCTGCAAGCGTAGTCAATGGCCATGGATAATGGGAGCAGCAGTTAAGAAACATCTGGAAGGGCAATGGTTTCCCCACAGCTGCAGCAGTTCAAATCTGAATCCTATTATAGTCCTTTCCTCTCATTAATTCACTGGTCTCTTCAGGATGACTCTTTTCCTCTTGGTGGCAACTGCTGATACCTTGGCTTGTCGGGTGCCTCTGGTAAAAAGATAGGGCTCCCTCATGAACTTTTAATACTCTTGCAGGAGAGGGAGCTTCAGAAGCTGGCATGACAAGGTCCACCTGCTGAAATTCCCTCTTCTACAAGGTTGTTTAGAGCAGTGTTTCCCAACCTTTTTCCGACCGTGGCCCTTTTCCAATCCTGTTTCCTTCCTGTGCCCCCCTCTGGTGTAGCCAAGGAGGGGGACGGGGGGTAGCTACCCCCCCAAATAAATAAAAATCATTACAAATCTAAGGTTCTCTCTCCCAACTTAAACCCTGGCTACACCCATGCCCCTCCATCCTACCAGTAGAAAGGTAGCTATTTAAATGTTTTGTTTGTAAACAGAATATGCTTTATTTATAATTTATACAAAATACAATTACCAGTACAGTGGTACCTCAGGTTACATATGCTTCAGGTTACATATGCTTCAGGTTACAGACTCTGCTAACCCAGAAATAGTACTTCAGGTTAAGAACTTTGCTTCAGGATGAGAACAGAAATCGTGCTCTGGTGGCGCGGCAGCAGCATGAGGCCCCATTAGCTAAAGTGGTGCTTCAGGTTAAGAACAGTTTCAGGTCACAGTACAGACCTCTGGGACGAATTAAGTACTTAACCCGAGGTACCACTGTACATAAAATGATAAGAACATAATGAAATATTGTTGAAGCAGAAAAACATAGAATCATAGAGCTAGAAGGGACCCCAAGGGCCATCTTTCTAGTGCAACCCCTTCAACGTAGGAAACTCAGCTGAAGCATCCATGACAGATGGTCACCCAACCTCTGCTTAGAAACCTCCAAGGAAAGACAGTTCAGAACCTCCCAAAGGAGATCCATCTTCCATGTGTTATAAAACGTAAACAACATTTATTTGACCCCAGTCATCTGACACAGAAGGGGAAACCTAAAGATACAGCCCAAAAGGTGCAAAGGGAGTTCTATATATATATGGGAGAATTTTAAAAAGCAAGTGGTCCTCACTGATCTGGTGCAAAAAGATCTTGTCACCTGGAGGAGCTCTGGCTGCCTAGATAAAGCACTATAGTCCCACACACCCTTACCTGGGCATAAGGCCCACTGAACTCTGTGCGGTTTTCTTCTGAGTAGACACTTAGTTATTTACTAGATGCTAGTCAGCAGCACCAGACGATCCCGCTTGGCTAGGCACTGGGATGGATTTCACCCCGTGCCTTGCAGAGCTGGGCTGACACTGCTGACGAGCCCTGCGCCCCTAGGCAACATCCAAAGGTCCCGATCTGGCTAGACCCTGGGGTGGATTGCATCCTGTGCCTCATAGAGCCTGGCCCAGCACTGGCAACAGCAACAAGCAGCTCTGGCTCGCCCAGACTTACCCATTTCCACCCCACCACCGTACTTACCTGACCTGCTTGTGATTGGCCAAGTGGATAGCTAGCCAATCAGGATTTAAAAAAAAATTCTTTCTTTCTTTACTTCTCACTTCCCTCTGTGGCCGGCTAGCCTGGTACATATTTTTCACCTGTGGCCCCTGTAGACTATCCTGGGGGGGGCCAGGAGGCCATATGGCCCACCGGTTGGGAAACACTGGTTTAGAGGCACAGGGGTGCTGTCTCTTTTACCCTACTAATAACATATCACAACGTAATGGTCCTGCATGAGAATACTTAACATTTCACAATCCTGCCTCTTATAACAGTACAAGATTAACATCTGGTTCAATGAAGCATTTCTGACATAAAAAAGGACAGAGAAGAGAAGAGAGAAAAAAAACAATATCCTTTATTCCAACAGACTATTTCAGTCAGTCAGCATTTTTGAAGTGGTTTGAGCAGATCTACTGCCTTGACTTCAGAGACATCGATAGAGGAAGTTATTTGAGCCACCAGTTTTGAGAGGGTGAGCAGATTCAACTGCCTTATCTGTATTTCCTTAAGAAAGAGTTTCTTGAAATACTTCAGGAACAAAGGATATTGTTTTTCCCCCCTTACACTGCTGATCTTGGCGTTTCCCAAGTAGCATTGGTCCTCAGGTGAGCACCATGGTAGCCATAAATTTGAACTGCAGGTGCATCTAGTGCTTCCACTGGCCTTGTGTGTAACTTCAGAGAGCCAGGATTGGTTGCCACCGTTTTAGGCTGTGTGTGTATCTTTTCTCTTTGCCGTAAAGACAACAAAGGGATTTCTGATACATTAAAAACTTGACAGTTCCCCTAGGGCATAAGCTTTCACCACATAGGTAAATCAAAAACCAATAATAATGGATCTTCACTTGTTATGTTGTGGAAGGTTGTTGAGCTGCTGTTCTGTCTTTTGCCTAGAGGTGGTAGCATTTCAGAGATGGGAGATATAACCTTCTGCAAAATTACGTTCTAGTGATTTTAGGGCTGAGACATCAGGTAACGAAAGATACTGAGTTCTTCTAGCAGAAACCCACACAAGAGCCTCTGCTTGTGAAGTGGGACTTTCCTCTCTCCCACGGAATTGCCTTGGCGGAGACGTATCAGAAGGACAAGCCGGGACAGTGTGCAGGAGAAAGAGAGGGGAAGATGGTTCTGTCTGGCAAGCTGAAATGCTCATGCTGATGGAACAATTGCTGTGGTACTTTGTTAATTCCTCTCAGTACACCTGAGGTACATGGCTAGACCCACAAGCACCAGCCAGGTTCCCACAGAATTTTGTTTGCAACAGACCTATTTTTAAAAAACCAAAATCTAATTACATTTAAATTCTGCCTCCCCTTCAAGGAGTTCAAGGCAGCACCCACGGTTCTCCCCACTCCATTTCAGCCTTGCAACAAGGTTAGGCTGAGAGATACTGCGTGGCCCAAGGTTACCCAGAGAGCTTCATGTCTGAGTGGCGGCCCTGCTCTCCCAGGTCCTAGTCTGAGACTCTATAAAGATGTTGTCTGTTCTTCCAATTCATATAGGCCACAAGCCTTCAGTAGAGAGGAATGGGAAAATGTTTTAATTAATCTGCAGCTTAAGCAGTTTTGTTTACTGTGAACTTTTTTCTTTTCCTCCTCCCCACAGATGAATTTGTCTTCATGGGTGCCCTTATCATTCAAGAGGTTGTAAAAGAGTTGGTGGGAAAAGGTCTTGGGAATGCCAAAGTCCTCCTACTAGCAGGTAGCAGGTGCGTGTTTACAAGGACTGTCTAGAAAGTGTCTGGGGGGGGGGGGGGAAGATTGCCGATTGACTTGTTGGTGATGGGCATGACTTTTATACCACAGGCCCCCTTGCCCTCTTGATGGAAAAAAGTGCTGAAGTTAACAAAGGCTACCATTATCTTGATTTCTGCATATTTGTGATTGTCTTACTTTGTGGTGTTAGAAGATGCATTTCAATATGCTTCTTGAACAGTAGCAGCACTTTTGGGTGAGGAAGAAGGGAGATTCTGTGTGAGATTCCAGTAATGTCCACAACCGATGCCGTAATACTGGGGGGGGGGGCGGTTATCTGAACTGGTTATTACATTTGGGTAGTGGAATATTTTGATGTCAAGGTGCTTGAGTTTATTCTCCTCAAATTAACCTTCCAGCAGGTGATACAGCTCACTAGCTTAAAGTGGTAGATCTCTGGGTTGAATGGCAGTAGATCAGCAAGGATTTTAGACTTTCAATTGTTTAACAGCAGCAAGCACCAAATGAGCCCCGCCCCCTTCCCCCATCAAATTAGAATGCTGAAATAAAACTTGGGAGAACCAGCAACAGATTTTTATATGGGGGAACTGTGAGCCCAGATCAGTTATGATACCTAGGATAGAATCTTGTACTCATAAGCAGTTCAGTGACAAAATGTCCAAGTGAGTATCTTTTGCACCTGTCTCCAGTGATAGCAGGATTTTATTGAAATCCAAAGTAGATCCCACAAGCAGCCACTGTCTCTTAGGTTAGGTCAGGGGTAGGCAGCCTAAGGCCCAGGGACCGGATCCGGCCCAGTCACCTTCTGAATCTGGCCCACGGACGGTCCAGGAATCAGCGTGTTTTTAAATTAGTAGAATCTCTGGGTTATTTGGGGGGCCTGTCTGGTGTTTTTACACGAGTAGAATGTGTGCTTTTATTCAAAATGCATCTCTGGGTTATTTGTGGGGCATAGGAATTTGTTCATATATTTTTTCCAAAATATAGTCTGGCCCACCACATGGTCTGAGGGACGGCGGACTAGCCCACAGCTGAAAAAGGTTGCTAACCCCTCGGTTAGGTTTTCCAAGCACCCACCACTCTTTTAATGTCTAGAAAATGGGATTCTAGAGTTGGAAGGTGCATTAAGGTTGCAATTCTGCACCCTTTTACATGGGAGCAAGCTGCATGCATAGGATTGCACTGTCAAGATAATGCAACCCTCTAAGGCAGGATTGGCACCATCCCAATTCTTTTATTCAGTAGCTTCCTATCTTGCCACATTCCTTAACAAATCAAAATGGTCATAGTTATCTGTGCAGTTTTATTTGTCTGAAGCATCTTTGGAATATAGCCAATATATAAGGTTAAAGGTTTAATTACAATCAAGCAGTAATTTTTGTTAAATAAAAAAATGCAAATGAGCACAATTTACAAAAAGCACACTAGAAGAGCACCCTATGAATTCAGATGCGGATGACAGGTGTTTAGAGAGGCATGGCCCTTCTGTAAGCAATCCTGAATATGTCTGTGGTTGTGTTACAGTCTCATTTGAAAGACTGATGCTGTCATTGCAGTGCTGGTGGAACGGGGGTGCTCCTGAATGTAGATCGAGTAGCTGAGCAGCTGGAAGAGATGGGGTATCCTGGGATTCAGGTCCGTGGCCTTGCAGACTCTGGATGGTTCTTGGACAATAAACAGTATCGTAGAACAGACTGCATTGATACCATAACCTGCGCCCCTACAGAAGCCATCAGGAGAGGAATTAGGTATTGAATTATTCTAAAGTATCCTTTTCAAGACTGGGCAGAGACACCTAGTCTTCCTTTCTTTTTGTAATTATAAGAAGTATCTATTACCTTTAGCTGATGAAGTTCTATTTGGAAAAGAAATAATATTAATGAAATGTGGCTGAGTAGAAGGTGCCCCCCCCCATAGTAATCTGGCACGAAAGTAAGACAAGTATAGTTTTCTTCTTGCTGAAATGTATGATTTGTTCAGTTTGCAGCTCTGCTGCCCTCTGCTGTCTGTAATTTTTGTAACTTGCACATTTTTGGATCTCCGCTGCAGAACAAGCTGCTGTAATTAACTCTTGTTATCATGTCATCTTTCAGGTATTGGAACGGACTTGTTCCTGAACGCTGCAAGATGCAGTTTAAAGAGGGAGAGGAATGGAATTGTTTCTTTGGTTATAAAATTTATCCCACACTGCGATGTAAGTATGAAACGGAGAGTTTTCTGCTTTCTGTTTGCTGATCTGAAATGCGCTTCAGAAGATTCCTCATTATCAGTATTAGCAAGGGCCAGCAGTGTCAACGCATTGAAGACTTTAATGGATAGTCATGTGCCTTTTAACAGAAAGAATTTCTGACTCCCAGTTGCTTAGCAGTAGCAATGGCTAAGTGAATTGTTGGATTTGAATAAATATTACCACTCAGAATAGATGTTCCTTGAGATGCTGAAGGAATGCTGACAACTTAGTTTTATAAACAAAACCTACTACATTGTTAAGAAATGATTCCATTCCCTATTGCAGTAACACACCAGAATCAAAATAACCTTGAAAGATAAGAAAGTGTATTCTTAAATTTCTGCCTCACTGACTAAAATTGTGCATTTTAAGCTTTAGCTGATTAAACCAATGGAAGTTTGCATCCCTGATAATGGGGAAACCTTTCCTCAATTCTTCTTGCTGCAGGTCCTGTGTTTATAGTACAGTGGCTCTTCGATGAAGCCCAGCTCACCGTGGACAATGTACATTTGACTGGCCAGCCAGTGCAGGAGGGGCAGTGGCTATACATCCAGAATTTGGGTCGTGAACTTAGGAACACCCTTAAAGATGTGACGTTAGTCTTGCCTCTTCTCTTTTCCTAAATACTTTCCAATATGTTCTTCTAAATATGTGGTCTGGAAACCACATTCTTTTTAAGATCACTGTGTGGTTTTTGTTTTGTTTTTAAATTGAGAACCTCCAATATCCTAACAATAAGGCTACATATACGCTATACATTTAAATCACCTTTCCCTGCCTTAAAGAATTCTGGGCACTGTAGTTGGTTAAGGGCTGCTGGGAATTGTAACTCTGTGAGGGGTAAACTACGGTGCCCAGAATACTTTGTGGGAAATAATGTTTTTTGGATGCACTTTAAAGGTATAGTGTGGACTTAGCCTAAGACACTTTGTCAGATAAATTCTCGAATTACTGTCTACATTCATTCTGTGTTAGGAATCTGGTTTGTTTTGTAAGCCACCAAAAACAATTGGAGGAAATTTTGCTTGAAATTCGCTGCCGATCTTGTAGCAGCCACTGTGTCCAGTCACAGTTGTCTCTACAAATAAAGCACAAGGATACCCAAAGCCGTATTGTGAGGAATGACCAAACACTGGGTTGCTGGGAAGGAAATGTATCAATATTTTGCATTGCTCCTATCACACCTATTCTATATCTTGTTCTTTTCTGCTTCAGTGCCAGCTTTGCTCCCGCTTGTTTGTCTCATGAGATCATCACACGCAAGTAAGTACCTAGGTTGGGGAGATGAAGTCTCCCTCTTGCTTTGTACTTTCTCCTATTTGTGGGGGCTACGGTGCAGCCCTAGCCATGTCTACTGAGAAGTAAGTCCTATTGAATTCAGTGAGATGTACTCCCAGGGAAGTAGGGTTAGGATTATAGCCTTGGTCCCGAAGAGAGCACCAGGGAAGACCGTTCCCCAGCCGCCCACTTGGGAAGGCTCACTAGAAAATGGCAAAAGGTCCTGATAAGCAGAAGTAATTGCTCCTACATCTTGAGGAACTTCTTTAACCCTCTAGGAGCCAATGTAAGTTGACGCAGAGACTTCAGCGGCATTGCAGAACGCCCACATTCTCACCGATACTATTTCTGTGCTGCATCTGTCAAGAGCTTACTCTGCCCCCTTCCTTGCAGACACATCACGATGGCATAATGCCTGCATGTGACTTAGGTCCATGTTCTTGGTGGCCAGTGGGAGGAAATCAGTGTAGCGCTGTGGCAATTGTTCCATCAGCGCAAGCATTTCAGCTTGCCAGGTGGAACAACCCCCCATCCCTCTCCCCATGTGTTGTTCGGGGGGGGGTGTTCTCCTGAACTTCCCCAATCCAATTGTGTGGGGCACCTGGGAAGGGAGGAACCCCATTAGTGGAAGTCTTTTTGCGAGCTTCCACTAGCAGAACTTGTCGACGGAATCCCATTTTGAGCAGCTGTTCTTCTGATCACAGCCTTTCTATTTTGGAGCGTGCAAAAGGTTAAGCACTAATGAACATGAACAATAATAGTGATGCAACTTGTGTGGTTTGTGTCTGCAGTCATTGGACAGACATCCAAGTGAAAGGGACCTCTTTACCCCGCGCCCTGCACTGCTGGGATCGCAGCCTCCACGACAGCAACAAGAATGGGAAAACTCCACTGAAAGGCTGCCCTGTCCATCTGATTGACAGCTGTCCCTGGCCACACTGCAACCCCTCATGCCCTACCATCCGGGACCAGTACACAGGACAAGAGATGAACGTGATCCAGTTTCTCATGCATATGGGGTTTGATGTGCAGAAGATGGCGCAGCAGCAGGGTCTGGAGCCCAGTAAACTGCTGGGGATGCTGAGTAGTGGTAGCTAGGAGAGTTTTCCACTAAGGAGGACTGCATGACTGCGTATAGAGCAGGAGCCTTTTAGCTCCCCTCTCAAACTTCCTGCCCTCCTTGCTCACTTTCATAACATAAGCATCTACACAGACACATACAGGCACAAGTCATGCACGCACACTCTGGCACAGTTAGTATTATCAGGATAAAATGAACACCAGTTGATTGAAATGTTACCTCTACTTCAGGGGACAGTCTCAGCTAAGCGTCACCTCTGTCTGCAATAATTCACTAATGGTCTGCAGGGAATGCATAGAAAATCACGAACCCTCTCCAGTGTTAAAAGGACTGTATACTTTTTGCCTTTTCCAAGAACTTTTCACACCATGAGACTGACAACAAAAGGTGCTTTGGGGGGGGGAAAAAAAGAAAAGCACTGGATTATTTGTCCAATTAGAAATGATGAAGGTATAGCTGATTATATGACTTCCTGGAGGCCAGCATCTCACGATGTAACATAATAATGTACAAACCGAGCACACAGGCTAGAAAAGGACTTATCTTGTACTCAATTTACTTTTGTATTATTTTATAAAATGATTTTTATTAATTTTTAAAGAAATAAGCAAGAAATATAAGATTAATGATATTGTTTTGTAACATATTTTTTTAAATAATGAAGAAAAAACACCTTGTGCTATTTTTTGGCAATGTGAAAATATTTATTTTAATATGTAAATGCTATTTATAAGGGCTGACCCAAGATATCCTCACATGTTGTTGTAAAGTTGTAAATACTTCTCCTTTGGAAAGGTTTTCCTTCTGATCACATATGTGTGAGAAAGGGCAAGGGTCAGCAGTGGCATTATTATTATTATTATTATTATTATTATTCAAATTGTTTATTAGATCCCCATGACTCTTTTGAAGTATGTTTCTTGTTGTTTGTGAAAGGGGGAAAGATTACCAACCACAGCCTCAGTAAAGAGCTTTTATCCTTCCTGCTCACCTACGTTCTCTCCATCTTTTGTTCAGAGAGGACTGTGTCCTTACCTGTGAATCAGATCCTGGAGATATCCCAGATAATTTCTGCCCTTAACAGTGGAGTAGCTGATTTTGAAGTATATGGATGTTACTGCTCAGAAATAGCCCATCACTTTTCTTCTGTGCTGTTAAATTTCAGTTGCAGCATTATGTCATTAAAAGCTTCCATACTTGTCAGGGTTGAGAGCTAATGCAAATTCCAGACTCCTTCCAACACCAAGCAAGGACTTGGCAGATATTCTGCAGTCAACTCTGGCTTGATTTCCAGGAACCAACTCACATCTGGTTGAGCCTTTTCTCTCTGGACTTTAAGGATGTAATAATAATAATGGAAATGAAAGGAATAGAAAGGTGCCCAGACATATTTTTTTCCAGTTGCGGGGCACCCTCATATTATCAAATGAGTACATTATTGTCACCTCCCTCTAATTTACTTCAGATGGTCGGAAACAGAATCACATCACCATTGGTTAGTACAGGTAAGCAATTTTGGTTTTGAGTCTCATAGGTCTTGCAAGCCCTTAATCTCCTGTACTCCTACCCTAGCTAGGAAGCCCTAGTAGGTTAAAAGACAGGAGAAGATCAAGCTGTTGCAATGCACTAGACTATTTACAATCATAAGGATTGTTTATTTAAGACCAAATGCAAGAACTTAATCCATAAAGTTTTTTGTTTTAAAGGTAATGTATAAAATACGTGCCCTAGGCAGACAAATGGCAGAAAAAGGATGCAGGAGTTGTTGCCATTCCAGCTGATCACAATGAAAGTAAATGCTGGGTTGGATTCTCCCAGTCAGATAGTGGGAGGAGATGCAGCAAAAAAGGGCAGGGGAAAAAGCAGCCTTCAATGATGCATAGTTAGCTGAGAGAGGCCATGAGCCTTGAAATGAACTGCCCCAGATCTTAGCTCAGTGATAGAGCCCAAGAGGTCCAAGGATTTCCAGATAGGACTAGGAGAGACCCTTGTCTAACATCAGGGGTCAGCAACCTTTTTCAGCCGTGGGCCGGTCCACCGTCCCTCAGACCATGTGGTGGGCCGGACTATATTTTGGGGAAAAAATAGGAACGAATTCCTATGCCCCACAAATAACCCAGAGATGCATTTTAAATAAAAGGACAATTCTACTCATGTAAAAACACGCTGATTCCCGGGCCAGATTGAGAAGCCAATTGGGCCGCATCTGGCCCACGGGCCTTAGTTTGCCTACCCCTGTCTAACACCTTGACTACCATGGCCAGGCAATATTGACCATGCTGGAGCTAGTGGAAGCAAGGGACTGACTCTGTAAGGCACCTCTCATCATGTTCCTAGGGCAAAAGATGAGAATCGGTACTCCAGATTGTTTGAGTGGCAAGAAGGTCTGGCATCAAACAACAGAGGAAGGAAAGAAGCTATTTGATCCATCACAAAAATCTGACACAGAAGGATGCTGTTACTCTCTCTAGGACCTGACATCACAAGGCAGTGTGGGAAAGAGTAAAATAGGGGTGTTCCTGGGTGTGATGAGATGACAGAAATTGACTTGGGTGTCTTGTCTCAAGAAGGGAGAGAGCTAATTGCCTAAGGCAGGGATGGGTGACCTGCAGTCCCCCCAGATGTTATTGGACTCCAACTCCCATCAGCCACAGCCAGCAGGGCTGGTAGTCAGGGATGATGGGAGTTGTAGTCCAGTTACAGCTGCAAGTTCTTGGGTCCTGGCCTAAAAGCATCAATTAAAGTGTCACTGATGACACTGCCTCTTTTCTCTCTGATTACCCCCATTTCTTATTTCTCCCTTTTTTATTCTCTTTATGAGTTCAAATATCAGCATTTAAAATCACACAAGGAGCTAACATGAGCTTGATGTAAAAATTGGGGTTTGGATTTTGCTGCCCAACTCCCCAGGAGACTCTTGAGTCCCCATAGTCCATGATTGGTCAGAGAAGAATGGATGAAGACAGAACCCAGTGGAAAGCAAGGCAGATACTTATTTTTCTATCATACATCATAGGAGGCGGTTTACAGCAGAAATCCTGTCTGCCAGGATACCTGATAATGGTCGCTGATTGCATTACATGGGTAGCCTGGCCATTCTTTTGTGATGGTTTATACTTTAGTTCCTGAAACCAGGTCATAGGCTCACCCTATTCATACACAAATACTCCCTTAAAACAGGATTTGTAAGCGAAAAGACAATGGGAAGTCTTTCCCTATTTGCCTCCCTTACTGCAGAGGAATATTTGAGGTCATTGGGAGTCAAAATGGCTTAAGGATTGCTCTTCTGTACTATTTCAGAAACATGGTTTATATATTTAGATATGTGTGTATTTGTGAATATTATATATTTGAGACCTTAAAATTCTTATAGCAAGCTAAAAAGGCCCCCTGGTGCAGATGTCCACCTCTCATTACACACTGAGGTCTGTATATGCAACCAGCGACAGACGAGACAGAAAGATAGTACTAAGGTGCTCCCCTCTTATGTAATGGTCTTGCAATATCTGGCAGCTGGGACAGGTGGCCTCATCGAATGGCACTGATGGTCTGGCTTACTGTGAAAATTAGAATATTAAGGAGATGGGTGAATGAATGACAGCCTTCCAACAAACACTTGTGAGTTAAATATTTGGAGGGCTCCTGCAATTAATGGGTTGTTTGGTGTTCAAGCTTGGCCTAAACTTGAATGAATGAAATCCTTCCTCCTTTTTTCTCTAGCTCGTTATTCAACAAGTTACCTGAAACCAGAACAAGTAGAGTTAGGGCAAACCTGGGACACTGACATGTTGAATATAAAAAGAAATGAAGGGCTTGTAACACAAAGCAAAAGTAATCGGAAGTAGAAAGTGTTTGTATTATCTTGGTCCTCTCTATTCTGATGTGAACATTTCCTGTCTAAAATGTTGGACAAAATCTGGTGTGGGCTGCTCATTGCTAACAGCGTTCCTGTTAGATATTCAGTTTATTTTTGTTTTTTTAAGGTAAACAAAAAAGAATATGATATCATATTTTCCCTATGTCAAAAGACATGAGTTTGAAAGAACATTAATTTCAGTCTTTGCTTCAATGTTTTGGAGTGGAAGACCATAACACTACAGAACAATCCAACCATACTCCAGCAATGGATTTCTATATAAGCAGCTGTCGTTAGCACTCTAAGGATAGATAGCTGAGGGTTAAACAATAACCAGGAAATCCGGCCTGCAAGCAAACTGCTTTCTTTGGCATTGTAAGGTCACCGTGCAGTCTACTATCCCTAGCCATGCTTGACTGAGAATACTGCTCCAAACTATGAGAGGAGAAAAGAGAGTGCCCTGCCAGATTGCTCTGCAAAATTACCTCCTGACCTCACAGCTCAGAGTATCATTTCAGGCCTCCACCTACTTACCCAGAGCAGAAGTAAACTGGCATTGTCATCTGCCCACATCTACCCCAAGCAGAGTGCTGGTGTGCGCCATTAAGTGTGAGCAGCAGCTTCAGGGACCAGTTTCTATGGAGGTGCCTCTGAAGCTACAGCTGCCACTTGCCTGTAGGGGCAGGAGGTAAGCTAACTTCCAACTTCTGCAACCTCAAATCTGCAGACATCTCAGGGCTCATAGCTCAGTGGTAGAGCACACGCTTTGCATGCAGAAATCCCAGCTTCAATTCCTGGCATTTCAACTTTTTACAACAAAGATTAGAAAAGATGGTAATCCACTGCTTCAGGCCCTGGAAAACCCACTGCCAGTCAACAGTTGATAAGAGCGAGCCAATAATAATAATAATAATAATAATAATAAAAATAAAGTTTTATTTATATCCTGCCCTCCCCAGACAAAGCCGGGCTCAGAGCGGCTAACAACAGTAAAAATAACACAGTTTACATAAAATCATAATCATTTAATTGAAATACATACGAAAATCAATTCATTCTAAAATCAAATTAATGGCAACCATTGGGCTAGTGTTCTATGAGGATTACAAAAGGAGAGGGTCAGACTGTGCCTCAGCCAAAGGCCTGGTGGAACAGCTCTGTCTTGCAGGCCCTGGGGAAAAATGTCTCTTGTGACAGAGCGTTCGAGGCCAGCCTAACCTCCCTGTGGCCTGGGATCTCCAATATGTTTTTATTTGAAGACCGTAAGGTCCTCCGTGGGACATACCAGGAGAGGTGGTCCTGTAGGTACGAGGGTCTTAGGCCGTATAGGGCTTTAAAGGGCTTTAAATAACTTAAGAGGATCAGGGCCCATCTAGCTCCAGAGCCTGTTGCCACAGTGGACAACCAGATGCCTGTGGGTGAAGGAGCATATTACAATATAATTGTTCTATTACTGAAGGACATGCTTAAATGTTACATTGCAAATGGGCCTCTCGGAATGTCTAGCTTGGGCAGATAGAGATAAGGAACAAGGATTTCTTGTAATACCAGGATGAGGGAGGTTGCAGGAAGGAGGGAGAGAAGACCAAGACCTTATATGGTAATAGGAACTTATTATAAGTTTCAATTTCCCAGAAATCAGGTGACTTACAAGAGATCAGGTGGTATTCTATTTTGCAAATCTATATAAAGGGGCGCACCCTGACTACTGTGTGCAGATTGCAAACTTATTGCTCTGTACCTTTGTTCTGCATATGCACTTCAAATAAAAATCCTGTTAATAACCTGCAAGGACGTTTTGCCGCTTTGTGTGAATCTGTGCTGCAGGGACCCAATAGCAGATATGTGTGGTCCTTAAAGGGCTTTAAATAACTTAAGAGGATCAGGGCCCATCTAGCTCCAGAGCCTGTTGCCACAGTGGACAACCAGAATGCCTGTGGGGAGCCTAAAAGCAGGACCTTAGTGCCAGAGCACTCTGCCCATTAGTGATTGCCAACAGTCAGAGGCATACCACCTCTGGATATAGTATATAGCTATCATGGCTACAGGCCATTTCCTCCTTGAATTTGTCTAATCCTCTTTTAAAGCCATCCAAGTTGGTGGCCATCACTACATATAGAGCAATAGAATTTGCGTAAGCCAGCTTCAGTACAAATGGCAACAACAAAAGTGACTAGCTCTCTTGAGGTCACTCTTGTGGTCAAATAGTCAGTTTCAGCGAATCCCTGAAAGGAGATGGAATGTCTCCCCGCAACCACCATCAACCATGCAGAAAAAGTTCAACATGACAAGACAAATGATATATTTGAGGTGGACTCCTTGCTTCCCCGTGCTTTCTTCTGGGACTCTAGTCCAGGCGTCAGCAAACTTTTTCAGCCGGTCCACTGTCCCTCAGACCTTGTGGGAGGCTGGATTATATTTTGAAGGGGAAAAAATGAACGAATTCCTATGCCCCACAAAAAACCCAGAGATGCATTTAAAATAAAAGGGCACATTCTACTCATGTAAAAACACAATGATTCCCAGACCGTCCGCGGGCCAGATTGAGAAGGCAATTGGGCCAGATCTGGCCCCTGGGCCTTAGTTTGCCTACCCATGCTCTAATCTTAGGCAATTCAAATTACTTTCACTTGGTTTTTGACACAGAGCTTAAAAAGTAACATGCAAAGCAGCACTGGGTGAAACTAAAACCCTCTTGTTATTTTGCACAGACCGCGCAGTTCATTCCATTCCAGATAAGTCTATTAATACACCTTCCTATTTATATTCTGGCTCCTTGCAGCAACATAGTAGAGAGCTACAGCTGCATAACCGAGACGGAATAGGCGTCCTGCTAGCCACTTGGGAGAAACTGATCAGCTGAGGTGGAGTGAGAGTGACAGGGATGCCTACAGACTACTCAACACACAGACCCCGGAAGAGCAGGGCTGATGGATCATAACTGCAGCGTACCAGAAGGGCAGGTCAATATTCTTACTGCAGAGGCAACGCTATCTCAAAAAGCTGCCAGAAATGTATGCTCTGCGGCATAAATAGCAGCCAGCAAAGGTTTTTGGCGGAGGGATATGGGGCTTATTCACTCTGCAGCTCCCGCTTAGTCATTCAGCATCGGGTAGAAACTCAAGGACAAGCAGCCGACATCCGAACACAAAAGAAACATTCTGGGGAGTCCTGATCTGGAGATGGAGAGCTCAAGAGGGACACACCTCAACATGGCTGCCGTGGCATCTCGTGTTGGAGCTGCCCGGTTGCTGCAGGCAGCCTTTGGATGTACCACGTTCAGCCTTGTGGCCCACCGAGGAGGGTTCAGTGCGGCCTATGGCACCTTCTGCATGTCTGTCTGGTGCTTCTGCTTCGCAGTCACCGTCTTTATCGTCACCTGCGAGTTCACGCGCCTCCACAGCTGCCTGAGCATCTCTTGGGGGAATTTCACCGCCGCCTTCGCCATGCTTGCCACCCTCATGTCCATCACAGCTGCTGTGATCTATCCGCTTTACGTCGAGTTTGGCTGCCATTCCAACGGGTGCGAGGCGAGAGACTTCCGCATCTCGGCCAGTGTTTTCGCAGGGCTTCTGTTTTTCGCCTACGCCGCGGAAGTATTCCTCACGAGGGCCAAGCCGGGACAGGTGACCAGCTACATGGCCACCGTTTCTGGCCTCCTGAAAATTGTCCAGGCTTTCGTAGCTTGCATCATATTTGGAGCTCTGGTGAACGGCAGCCAATATGACCGGTACGTGGCAACCCAGTGGTGCGTGGCTGTCTACAGCTTTTGCTTTGTGGTGACAGTGGTGGTAGTGGCCCTCAGTGTCACGGGAAAGACAGCCATGCTGAAGTGCCCCTTTGAGCGCTTTGTGGTTGTTTATACCTTTGTGGCTGTCCTGATGTACTTGAGCGCCGCAGTGATCTGGCCAGTGTTCTGCTTTGACCGTAAGTACGGCTCCCCACACCGCCCTTACCAGTGCTCCAGAGGCAAGTGCCCCTGGGACAGCCAGGTGGTCATTGCAGTGTTCACGTGTGTGAACCTGGTGCTTTACATTGTGGACTTAGCCTACTCACAACGCATCCGCTTCGTCTCACACCCCTAGTAGCCACAAAAAAAGCCATAAATGACTCAGGCAGCAGGAGTTTTGGGACCCGCCTAGAAAGCTGACATCCAGGGCACACCAAAAGAACTTGTCTTGATCGAAAGAGGCCTGATCATGAAAGAAACATAGTGATGCATCTGCAACACCACCCTCATTTCCAGCAGATGTGTACGCTTGATGCATCAGTGACTCTACATGTTAATAGGTTTTGTAAGGCCTAGTACTAAGGGTGGGAAAAACAGGTTTTGGACCCTGAATTGTTCATCCCAAAATTGTTGGGTAAGTTAAAACTGCAAGAAGAATAGAAAAATATCTAGGCCCAAAAGAGCAACTGCCAAAATCCCAGCTCAATCCATGAAATTCTGTTAAAGTGAAAAACGTATAACTAAACCTAATAGATTCTGTCAGAAATTTCAGACGAGGCAGGGGAAAGAGAGGGGAGATTACAACCACCAAGAAGACTGAGACCCTCGTCCACAGCCCAGAGTATGAAAATAACAATTTCCTTATGCATGTACTTGGTTGTTGGTGAGATGCACATTCCTGTTTGGAAGAGTTTGAGAAGTGAAGTGAATACTGTCAAGTTTGTAATTGACAATGGGTGTAGGGAAGGTTGCTGCAAGCTCTAAAATAATTACTTCCAGATTGTTTCCCTCAGTTATTCCTTCAAGAAGCATCTGGGGATATTGCTATGCCTGCGGAAACTGTGGCTACACACAAGACATTAGCGTTTTGAACCAAAGCCAGACTTTTGAACCAAAACCACACTTTGAACCAAAGTATATTAATTTAGACAAAATAAAACTGTGTTGTTTTCGTTTTGCAAGAGTTAGGCAACAGACATTGTTTAATTCCGCAAACGCTTGGCACCGTGCAAACTGCAGATTACTTAATGATCTAGAACATGACCTGGATTCGCTGGTCTTTCACAATGCTGAAAGGACATGAGTAACATTTAAATACATCCAACCAAGTGCCTATTGTCCAACTCCTGGAGGTGCTGATTCTTGATTCCCAGCTGAGAAAACATGTCTGTATAAATGCATCATGGTGCAAAGAAGTGTGCTGGTCTCCTTTGGTGTGGATCAGGATCATCACCTGAATTCAGAGACATTTTCAAATATAAGAAGCCAAAGCAAGTAGTTTATTCCAATAGTTTATATTAAATGTGTGTGAATTAGGTAGGAAGGCTTTATTCCAATCTAGAATAAAAATAGCAAGTTGGCAAAAGTATTCTGTGTTTTCCTTAATTGGCAGAGCACCCTAGTCTTGCATTTATTCTCCTCCCTCAACCAACTCACTGTATATCCTCTCCTCCTCCTAAACATAAATGCACAGAAACACAGACCAAGTTTCTTCCCGTCTGGAAATACACAGTGATTTATGGTGTTTGAATGCCACTATCTTGTCTAAGCGTATGCTCACATTGGTATCTTATAATGCAGTAAGGTCACAAACACACACACCCAGCCTGCTGCAGTTGAATCCACATTGGCACAGTAATGTTCACATTGGAGAGGGGCCAAGGATGTCTTCACCTGTTTCATGGCCCTGCTCATGACTGCCTCCCATCAGCTCATCAAGCTGTCATCTGCACATGCGTGGTGGCTGTTAGGGTATGTTCACATTACCACTTAACTCTGCATCCAGTTCTCTAGTCAGATTGAAGCTGATTTGAGAGGGGCAAGGAAGCATCAAGCAACAGCATTTGTCCAGAGACTGCAGGACTGGTATGAATTGTGGACTGGTATGAATTGTGCATGCTGCTTCAAAAACTAGCAGCTGGATGAGGAATAAGCACTAATGTCAACACACCCTAATATAGCTCAGATGCATATTAAAATGAAACAGAGCTAAAGTTACAGGGTGTGTGTGTGTGTCCTAAAGGTCTCGTCTTCTCAGAGGGGATGCTGTATTGGTCTTTTGCAGCAAAACAACAGTTTTGTGGCACATTTATTATGGCATAAGGTTTCATGGACTACAGTCCATCAGATGCGTAAAGTGCTACCCTGAGTTGATTGGAGAGAATGTGGGATTGCAAACAGTTAGGTAAGAAGGGAATAGAATGCAGAGAAGTACAGAGTGTGTTAATTATGTTATTAAGTGCACATTCACACACAAAAATTATTTGAAAACACAGACATTCTGGCACTGGTAAGAAACCTAATACAGATAGTGTGCTTTTTAAAAAACCCACCAGGGGTGCCACAATGAATAGACACATGCTCTGAGGCACCTTGTAGTCTCCTTCTGGCAACTCCTGCAGCCAAGTTGGTGCCAAACTTAGTGCTCTGCATTCCTTTGAGAACCACTGTGGTGTAGGGTTAAGAGTGGCAGACTCGTAATCTGGTGAACCGGGTTCGTGTCTCTGCTCCTCCACATGCAGCTGCTGGGCTAGTCACACTTCTCTGAAGTCTCTCAGCCCCACTCACCTCACAGAGTGTTTGTTGTGGGGGAGGAAGGGAAAAGAGAATGTTAGCCGCTTTTACCTTCGGGTAGTGATGAAGTGGGATATCAAATCCAAACTCTTCTTCTTCTTTGGCATCAGCGAGGCCAAGGGGGGGGGGTCTTGTCATCTGAGCAGCCCAGGACCTGCATACACACTGCCCAGGCTTGCGCTCTGGAAAGGTCACTTCGTTGCTGCTAATGCAGTGGTTTGACTTTACGTTCGGAAGAGACACTCCATTGTCTCATGAGATGGACATATACCAACAACAACATTTTCAGTGTGACTTAAAGGGCCGGCCCAGGATATTTTCCACCTAAGGCAGTGCAGCAGTGGCACTCCCCGACCTCCATCAACATGCATGGTACCTAGAGCCAGTCAAGTTATTCTGGTACCTGAGACAGAAAATCCCACAAAGGTCTCACTCCTTCCCTAGCAGTAAAAATACTCCAATAATAAATTAAACAACTTGCTGTTGTTTCATGGCACCTAGCAACAGCCTCTTTCTGCCTAACAATAGCACTAGCAGAGTGGCATATGAAACAAAATCTAGCTGGACAATAAGACTCAGCTATACAGCTGCAAAAGGGATGCAGGTAGCACTGTGGTCTAAACCACTGAGCCTAGGGCTTGCTGATCAGAAGGTCGGTGGTTCGAATCCCCACGACGGGGTGAGCTCCCGTTGCTCGGTCCCTGTTCCTGCCAACCTAGCAGTTCAAAAGCATGTCAAAATGCAAGTAGATAAATAGGTACCACTCCGGCAGGAAGGTAAACGGCGTTTCCATGCGCTGCTCTGGTTCGCCAGAAGCGGCTTAGTCATGCTAGCCACATGACCCGGAAGCTGTACGCCGGCTCCCTCGGCCAGTAAAGCGAGATGAGCGCCACAACCCCAGAGTCATCCGCAACTGGACTTAACGATCAGAGGTCCCTTTACCTTTATACAGCTGTAAATATTTTTTTTAAGTGTGTTGTAAAGTGTGTTATACAAATGTGACACTAGATGGTAATGGTGAGCTATGGCAAATTCAATAGTTTTTCAAAACATTTTTTAAAAAGCTTTTTCACAACTTTTTTTTATATATCTAGATTCCACCTATGTCTCCAATTGATTCTGAATAACAACTTGAGCCTGTCTTTCTGGGAGCCCCCTTACATTGAGCAGACTTAACGGGGGGAAAGCAGACAGCAGTTAACTGCTCTGGCTCCTGTGCAAAGCGGAACGATTGGTGGCTGAAGTATGCAAGCTGTAGCAGTAAGCCTTTTAAATATTACTAGCCATTAGTGACCTAGTTTTTTCAATTCTGTATTTCATAATTTAAATGATGAGCTACTTTTGCCCACTGAATGGCTAGATTGACTACTGTGAATTTACCAGGTTAAAAGGTGGCCATCCCAGCTGTAATGCGGGAAAGGGAGCACCCTCATAATACCAGAAGGAATTCTAGAAATCTGCAAAATAGATTTCTGATTGCAATCCTGTTGTTTCTGAATGCAGAATAGGATTGTTTCTTTTTAATGCTGACATTTACAGCTTTGATTGGGGGGGAACGGAACCCAATTTTCTAGTTCTGCTTACTCTGAAGTAAGAGAGAGAGAGAGAGAGAGAGAGAGGTTTGAGGCTAACACCAGCCAAAATATGAGACCCAAGTCAGGATCTGAATGCATGATAAAATGTTTCTGGAGGTGAGGAACATTTCATTGCAGAGCATCCCGTCCTTCCATTAATTTCCATCTCCCCAAATTGAATGTGTCAAGTTTCCTTCCTTCCACAATTATAAACCTTGCCAAAAAAATAATATCTCTGCGTGTGCCTTCTATAGCTGGCAAATGGCTACTTTGCCAGAAGCTAACTTCACCCCTGCTTCCAGTTACTCTCCTCTTGCCACAAAACCTTGTGGTTCTTCTCCCACACTTCTTCTTTTCCCTATCAGCTACAGTTGACAAACACCAAAACAATTTATTAATAAACAGAATAAACCAATAGAGCATAAAGTAACACTACTTCAGCAGTCTGAAAGCAGCATAAGGTGGAACATTAATACTGAACTTGTGGTTCCACAACATTACAAAAAAATACCCAACTGGAAGTCAAAACCATCCATAGAAAATGACAGCAAGGACGTTGAATGTCACCTAGCCCGAACCCCTGCTCAGCACAGGATAGCCTCAAGTGAATAATTCCTCATTCTTCCTGCACATTTTTTACACAGGATTTTGGTTAGTTTTGTGATCCTGTAGCAAACATCCTGAACACAGTTCAGGCAGGCTAGCAATATAGTTGGGATAGAGGTCAAAGGATGATGAAATGTTTGCTGTGTTGTCTCAATTTGTGTAGCATAAGTGGCCATTGGGGGCATAGATCAGGTACATAAAATATGGGATGGGGAACTCTCCTTGGTGCTAACCCCTGTTTCCCAAGTTTTAATTAAGTTTCTATTAATTAGCATTAATTAGTTGTTAATTAGGTTTCTAATTAAATCAAGAACTAAGGACAAATAAATTCCTAGGGCTTTCCTCTGCTCCTGCAGAAAGAGTGAGAATCACTGTGAATCACTTCTGCAGAGAGTGAGAAGGATGGAGCTAAGCAGTTCCATTGTGTACAATCAGCAAAAATAAAACAAAAATTTGCTCTGGGATTTAATCCAATTACTTCCCCATAGTTTTCCATATTTGCTAGGTACATTAGTACCAAACAGGAAGGTGGTGGAAAATGCTCATATTAGAATTACAGGCAGACCCCCGTTTACAGGGGTTACATTCCAAGGCACCTTGCGTGTCGGTGAAATCACATATAATTGAAACCCATTGAAAAAACCTGCAAACATCCAGTTCTTCCCCCATTCCATCCTTTTAGTGACATCTTTATGACACTTCCAGGTCACTTCTGGGTTCAGTGCAATGTACGTATACATGGTCACACACATATTGGACACGTGTAAGTGGGGGGCTGCCTGTACTGGCTTATTTAATACAAAGAACATTAGAAAGGAGCACTATTTCTGTAAAGGAACTACTGAGGAAACTGCAATAGAGCAATGGCATTTTGCTGATTTTCAGAGTCATAGCTATCTGGGTGGCACTGGAAGCTGTATAATGCTCAAGAGGATGCCCCACTGCTGTTGCCACTATTCAATTCAGTGTGTCAGCCACAGAACCATAGAACTGGAACTGGACAAGAGTCATCTAGTCCAATCCCCTGCAATGCAGGAATCCATTTTCTGCTTGGATGCTCCAATCCTCCACATATTCACTGTGTTAGAAACCAGCCAGGTCATCTGCCAGCTCCCCATGGAAGGTGTTCAGCTGCTCATAGGATGCATCCTGCAGGAGGCTTCCAGCTGAGTTGCACCACCAGCTATTTGATGTGCACCTGTGTCCAGGTCTTAGGGATGGGTGGTGCTGTGGGCCCATTTACCCTGCATAAAGAGATGAGAAACCCCCTTTGCTTGGTGGAGTTGAGCTTCCTGCTGTGGATGAGGGCTGTGGACTCTAGGTACGCAAACCACACTGTTCTGTTGTTGCCCATGAAGACACAGAGGCCCTGAGAGTCCAGGCTGCAGTTGATTCTAAGGGTCATTTAGTTTGGCCGTGGTGCTAGGGATACTGGTAGTGGTGCTGGCAGAGGAAGTGTATGGAGCTGCCTGCCTTTTTTGCTGGTGTTCCCAGTGCCCTAAGGGTTTTGCATAACTATGGAACCACAGGGTGGTAGCAACACTTTCAGTATAGCACTGCAAGTAGAGCAGGGAGGACTGTAAGAAACCTAGAGGAGGATGTAGCAAAATGATCTGAGTCAGCAGCAAAAGCAGAAGGGCAAATAAAATCCCAGGTTTTGATACAATGAAAGATAAATATTTCTATCAGCAGAACAACAGGAGCTGGATTTTCTCACTTCTTGAAATCTGTTTAAACGCACATCTCCACAGGAACTTCCTGTGATTTCTGGAAATAAGTTAATATTAGGTCTGAGCAATTTGAGCACAAAGACAATAGCTTCCCTCCATGTGTGTTATGGTCCATTATTTTCTGCATCTGCCCATGTGAATTGGCAACGGATGAATGTAGGTTATGAGTTTTGTTTAGAATTGGATGCACCTAGAATTGGATGCACCATGTTACTAGAGAGTAGTTCTCATCTGGTCCTTCCAAACATGTAGTCATGCTTGCCCTGGACAGAATCTCTTTATAGCGTACCTTTTCCTGCCTCTGCTCCACATCCTTAGCTGTCATTGATGGGGACAGAGAAGCACCAGGTATGATGATGATGATGATGATATTTCACAGACCTTAATGAGATGTATCTGAACTGCCATAGAAAGCTGGGTGGGGATGTCTATGTGAATTATTGTATAGGCATGAAAATGTGATCTGTAAATATAAAACTGGTAAAACCCTTAAACAATAAAAGATTATATTTCACAGACCAAGCATTACAATGACATATTAGAGGGGTCTGGGGATGCCATTTTCAGAACTGCTTCCATGTCTCCAATACCTTACAGTGAGTGTGCTAGAAACCGATAGAAACTGCTGTGTGCCTGTAGAAAGTCAACTTCTGCAATTAATAGTTGCAGGTATGTGGTTTTCCAGGCCTCTTGAACATAAAAGATAATTTTAAAAGATACCATTGCTCAAGGAGGAAGCTGATTGAAGATGCCAATATCTCCAAAATGGGAATTGTCATAACATAACCTCTCTACCTGTATATTAACTGTGAAGAGGTTTTGATTATGAAACAGTATATAATTCCTATTAAATAAATACCTATAAAGACATTAAATGCAAAATGCTGAATGTGGTTTTTTAATATTAGATTATGCACAAGTTATAAATAAAACCACAACTTTAACAGTAGCCTTTCCTCACACCTGCTATCCACTTTAAATCTTCTTTCCACCCTTTAAAAGTGTCATTGACAGTTGGAGCTATGCCACATGCATTCCTCAAAGTGTATACTGTTTAACACCAGCAGGATTCCAAGGCAATTTAAAATAAAAATCAAACAAAACGCAGAAGAAGAACGTCAGGAATGTTATGAATCAACAGCTGGAAAAGGCCCGTCTCAAATGAGCTTAAATTCAAACTACAGTTGTAGCTTATGTGCCCTGAAAGTAGAACTGAACTGCTCATAGTACAGTGGTGCCCCGCAAGACGAATGCCTCGCAAGACGAAAAACTCGCTAGACGAAAGAGTTTTCCGTTTTTTGAGTCGTTCCACAAGACGAATTTCCCTATGGGCTTGCTTCGCAAGACGAAACGTCTTGCGAGTTTGTTTCCTTTTTCTTAAAGCCGCTAAGCCGCTAATAGCCACTAAGCCGTTAGTAGCCGCTAAGCCGCTAATAGCCGCTAAGCCGCTAATAGCTGTGCTTCGCAAGACGAAAAAACCGCAAGACGAAGAGACTCGCGGAACGGATTAATTTCATCTTGCGAGGCACCACTGTACCTCCTCACTGGTTGGGTGTCAGTACTCCTCCAAGTGTGGTTAATGAATCTTAGATTGGTTTGTACTGTTAGGAACTTACTCTGCAAGGATTCATTTTGCAACACACAACAGTATATTTGCACGTCGTAAAAGAATTTGACTATTAACACATTTGGCAGCACATATTAAAATAAGCTACCTGTTTACAATGATTACGGTATATCAGGACAGTGGACCCTACTATTCAAACACTGGTGGTGACCATTTGCAGGGAATTTGCAGTCGTTGCTTGCTTCCCTCATTTTGATTTCCTACATGGATATAATTTCCATGTAAGAAAACCACATGTGTGCGATAATGTGCTATGAACTCACCCCTCTCTGTTCATCTTTGTGAATATTAATTTTAGTATGTATATATATATATATACACACATACATACTAAAATTAATATTCACAAAGATTTGAAATGTACCAAAATATGAAATTATATCATATAAATTTTGATGGCAGAATTTTGACTTATAAATTCAAATTAGAAAATTGGATATGCCTTTTGATTTCAAAAGTAGACATTTGAGCACTTAGGACTTGCTATCTATTGATTGCTTTGATTTTGGCAGTTGTCAAATGCGAAATCTTTTTTTAGTTGTCAGCTGTCAAATAATAAACATTGTTGCATATGATTCAGCAAATATAATCAAATGTAATTTTACCATGTTGACAGGATAAGTAAATGTATTTGTTTGGCAGTAAACAGTAACAGTACAAAATAAAATCCAGAATTCAATACTTGCACATGCACATCATTTACAAATTTGTTTCAGTTATTGGTGACGTTAGAAAAACCTAATTTGATAAACAGATGTTAAAATCTATACAGTCATTAACATTGAAACTATATACAGTAAGTGATCTTCCCAACAAACAAACCCTGGTATCAGTTCTCTGCTATTAATGCATATAAAGTCAGCTATCAAATATCAAATATTAAATTCCATTGCATCCAAACTATGAAATGCAGTTAAATACAAAATGCCATTGGATGGCAGTCATCAAATACTGTTGATTATTTGAATAACCTTATCTCTTTTTGATAGCACTTCTAGCCTGGTAGATCAGGGGAAATACTGTGGACACAATACTATATTGATTTCAGCAAGAATTTTGACAATTCATGTGGGTTAGACAATGCAAGTGTTAAGTGGATTTGCAGTATTCATCAATGTTACAAGTGGAGTAGCACAAGGTTCTGTTGTTTAACATGTTTATACACTATTTGGACTGAGTGGAGGGGACCCTAACCACGTTTGCAGACAACATGAAAGTGGGTAGGGTAGCTTCGAAGACAGAAACAGGATTCAATATTTATTTATTTAATGCATTTCAAGCTGCCTCTTCAGCTAACAAATGCCACCAATAAGAAATGTTCAGGCTTACAATCCAAACTGAAATACAGGAGGAAAAGGAAAATGTTTTGAGAGGGAGAAGGAAAAAAGAAAGCTGAGATACGATTTCTTAGGTACAGAGTTCTTGTAACAACCAGCTGGAATGGAAATGTTTCAAGAAGAGGAGCTAATAGGAGGAGTTTTTTGGCACAATGGACAGAAAGGCCCTGCAGTCCAATATCTGTCTGTCTGTCTCTCTCCTACAGACTGATGAAATGGCTGCTGATGACTATTGAGCTTGGTGAAGCTGGTCTTTAAGCAGAGTAGATGGAAGAGACACTCCTGAGGGGATAGCAGCTAATGACAGTTGAGGGAGAAGCCAGATTATCTTGGATTATTGGATTGTCTGTCATTAGTAGGAGCTAATAACATGAAAGAGTTTCCCTAGTGCTCTTATCTACTATATATTTTGGGGAATTGTTCACTATGCATTTGCACACCTTTTAAAACATCGTAACCAATTTTTGCACGATGGTTCCTGAGATCAAGGAGCAGGTGGTTTTGTTTGTTTGTTTGTTTGTTTATTAAAGAACAGTTTAATTGAACAAAATAAAATAAAAAGGAAAAGGAAAGGTATGCTCTATAGTTATGAAAGTTAATACAGTGGTGCCTCGCAAGACGAAATTAATTCGTTCTGCGAGTTTTTTCGTCTTGCGATTTTTTTCATCTTGCGAAGCACGGTTTTAACGGTATTAACACTTTTAAGAAAAAGGAAACAAACGTCTTGCGAAGCAAGCCCATAGGGAAATGCGTCTTGCGAAGCAACTCAAAAAACGAAAAACTCTTTCGTCTTGCGCGTTTTTCGTCTTGCAAGGCATTCGTCTTGCGAGGTACCACTGTAATTGCAAGGAGCAAGTTGTCATCTATGTTTGGATACCATTTTGAATCAAGATGGTGGAATCAGCCTTTCAAAACTGCACTGATAATAACCAAATCTTGCATTTTGCAGAGCAAGGAACAGGATTTTTTTGTCTGTATTTATATACAATTAGATGTAATTTTCAATAAAGATGGCAGACTAAACCTTTCAAAACTGAAATGATTTCTTAGATTCTTAGAATTCCCAAGCAACACCTGGTATGTGACTGCTAATGTAAAATAAAATAAATCCTGAAATACCATCCCTGGAATTTCTCGCCTGCATATAACAGAGGAAAGGAATCCAGAGCAGTCTGACAAGAGATTTGTGTTCATGCATTTAGTTCACAATAAATATCTCCATTGATGTATGTATTTGTACCTACAATTTTAACTACAGTCAGTCATGAGCAGAGTAAAACTGATTTCACGAAACACCTAAAATAATTATTTATTGCTTCAAATCATTGCCTAAGTTTGGAAGTAGTGTGCTCTGGGGGACTGGAAGACTGGATGAGCAGCACAAAGCATGAATACGTGTGACTTTCACAGCTGAGAGCTGCCCCATTTAAAAGGTCTCATCAACCTTAGTGCATGGAACTGCATTAGAAGATACTGACATTCAACTCAGAAGATTCCAGGAGATTAAATGAGGAGAAGCACTGATGGAATTTGAGGCATGTGAACACATGGAGAGCTGAGTCTCAAACTGGCACTACTCAACTGGTAAATCCAATGAAAGGTACAGAGGGTTTCTTTGGAGGCGGTATTGCCTTCACTGCATAACTCCAAATATCTACAATTGCCAAGCTCTTAAGCTCCCAGACCTGAATCACAAATGGAATCTATTTTCAATCTCAGGGTTGGGTTTTTTTTAGGCAACACAATAAGCTGGCCAATTAAAAAACAAACCCCAGCTTCTTTGGATAGGCCATTCCATTCATATTGTTGCACGTCACCCCAGCCTCTGAGCAGTATGAGATTCCTGGGGTTCCAGGCACTTACCCAGGGTTTGTATTTCCTTTTGGAAATGAGGCACAGCGGAGACTGTAGTGTCTTTAGGATACATGGTTTATTTGTACATGTATACAACCTGAGTCTACGATGGACGGATTCATAGCATTAACACCCTCAAAGTGTATTGTTTCTCCCATAGCCACAGCAGTGATCTGGCATGGCTCTTTCTCTCTGCTTGCTGTTTTGCTGCTAGGCCATATTACTGCAAACACAACTCTAAACTCTTGCTTTGTCCTTCTAACAAACTGTGAGCTGGGGGAGTTGGGGAGGGGCCCCACCCATTTACCATCTCACACAGAGCCGCTTCCCTTTGCTTCCCTTTATGACCCATCACTCAGGCTATCACATCAACACAGGAAGCTAGCCTGACTTAAATTTTAACACTTGCAGGATCCAAGGGTTAGAAGGATCTTACATACAGCCTACTTCCTTCACCAACAAACCCACACAAATACATTTGTTTATGAGAAATTAATTCCTTAGTTCCTGCCATTAACGACAATTTTGATATCATGCAAAATAAGAGCTAGGCCTGGCGAATGATTGAAGGAATTAGCAGAAGCAAATAACATTTCTCACAGCACTTGTGAATGAAAGCAATGGGATTGTAATGTTTATTTAAAACATTTATACCTCATCATTCAGTTTGCCAGGATAGCTTCTAATAGCACAAGACACAGTATTAGGACATCTATTTTTAAAACAAGCAAAATAGAATGCAACTAGGGGATTTACAATCACATTAAATGCTTGACGCAATGTTTCAGTCACCTGTGAATCTATTTAGCTCTATCTCTGTTTTAGCCCAATATAAAGAGTAGGCTTTTCATTTGTTTGTATATGTAATAGTTTTGACAACTACAGCTTCTGACAGCTCTGCAGCAGTATGACGGGATGTATCTGTCAACTTCTGTGTTCTACGAGAACTATGTATATTTAACATAGCAACCACAATATTGCGTATGTCACTGTGCTCCATACATTGGTAACTGCATGACTGGACTACTGTAATGCACTGCATGTGGGGCTAGTCTTGTGTTTGGTTCAGAAGCTGCAGCTAGTGCCAAGTTCAGCTGCTAAGGTGCTTAATGGAACACCCACTTTTACACATATTACAGTGGTGTTGAAAGATCTGCAATGACTGCCTATTAGTTATCAATACAAGAAATGAACAAAGTACAAAACGAGCTGCTTGCCCCTTTGGTATTACATGTTATAGTATCAGAGTTGGAAGGGTCATCTGGTCCATCCACCGCAATGTCATGCAACACAGCCCTATCTCCAGTTACTTTTTGACATTTTGTGCTTTCCTCTGTGTATGTGTGCATGTGTGTGTTGTGTGTATACTAAAGCACGTATGCAAACCAAACAGAAAAATAAGGAAAGGTTTTAAAAAAAAAAATCGCTTGGGATTTCTATGTCAAATGCGGTAAAGATTTGCTCCAGTTTGGCTTTTCTGTGCAGTTGTGCATTAGATGAAGGGCATACACAAGACATTTCGCTGCCTGAAGCAAAAGAGAACCCGTCCCCCACGCCTCATTCCAAGCACAAAAAATGACTTGACTAGGAACAGATATTACTTCAACACTGTCCTTCAGGACACCTGAAAGCATGGGGGGCGAGGGAGAGAGGGGCAAGCGCACCACCCTCCAAGGAGCTTGCACCCTCTCCCCATTGCTGGACACCTGTTATTAATCTAGTTATTTTTCTTCACAGATCTTAACATGTGGGACAAAACTCACTCACCTAAAATGTACTGTGCCCCTTCTGTCCCCTCACCCAATGGTTGTCCTATGGTAGGACCTACATGATTCCTTCAGGATTATACAGGATAAAGCAACACTACAGTACTGTTTTTCAAATGCTGCATGGAACCAACCAGTTATAGACCTGCTTCCAGCTGGTTGTGGAAAAGCAGTGCATCGGTAGTTCTAAAGGGCTCTAGTGTGGAAGGACCAAGTAGCTTACTGATTTCAGGGCACCTCTGAGCATATACGAAGTGAACTTCACTAATCACAGCTGAATAATTACAGTTAGAAAGCAAAGTTTCTAACTCAAATAATCTGATCTCTAAATAATTTTCAGTGCAGACACTTGTTTTAGAAATCGCGAACTCATACCCTCCAACATTTCTCCAATGGAAATAGGGACGTCCCATTCCCTAATGATACTTTTACTATTTATACCTCGCACATCTTACTGTGTTGCCCCAGCCACTCTGGGCAGTTTCCAACATATATAAAAACATAATAAAACATTAAACATTTTTAAAAAGCTTCCCTATACAGGACTGCCTTCAGACGCCTCCGGGGTTGGATAACTCCAACATTTCTCCAATGAAAATAGGGACATCCTAAGGAAAAGTAGGACTTTCTGGGATCAAATCAGAAACCGGGACGGCTTCTCTAAATCAGGGACGCCCCTAGAAAATAGGGGACACTTGGAGGGTCTGCGAATACCGCACTTGAAAGATGCAACTATATTATCACACAACGTCGTTTAATCTGCTCCCCCAAGACTACGATTCCCAGGGGTCAGCGAGGCCTCAAGTTGTACGTATTGCTTGCCATCGGAAACGCCCAGATGGGCCGCAGCAGCCATTACCTGCTGCCGAAAACCAAGCCGTGGAATAGGTCTCTCACGGCTTCCGTTAAAGCATCGAATGATGCAACCGCAAACAAAGGTTGCTCCAATAGGCAGCGGGTGACCCGCCTCCTCAGCATTTGATTGAACAGGATGCCAGCGACGCCGCACCCCCTTCCCTCGGATTGGACGAGGTGTTATCGCTCTGTTCCCTTTGCCACGCGACGCCGCGTCCGCTCTTTTTTTCCTCCCACCCGAGGGGCCACGTGGGCGCTATCAGGTTTGTGCTCTGGGGAGCAGGTTGAGCGCAAGTAGAGGCAGGGGATGGATGGGGCGAGGGCTGCGAGTAACGCGGAACGGATCAAACCGAGACTTGGAGCGGGCGGAAGGAGGGGAAAGGGGCTTGGCGAGACAAAGGGGGGCAAGTGGGAAGCGAAGTGGAGCCGAAGGGAAGGAACGAATTGGGTGAACTGAGTTGTGAAGGGCGAGTGATATAGAAGAGAAATCGCCTGGCATTTTTGTATATCTGATATACGGTGAGCCCCACCTGGTCTGGCCAAGTTCCCTGAATCAGCGCAGGATCTGAAGACAGTCGGGTCGCTGGCAGGGAAACTTCTAATTTGTCGCGTTCTTATTCACTCCCAAGAATCCATTAGGTCACCTCCAAGCAACTGACACCATGAGTGTGGGATTCATCGGCGCGGGGCAGCTTGCCTTCTCCCTGGCTAGGGGTTTCACCGCAGCAGGTAGGCAGGCCCCAGTGCTTCCTGAAACAAGATGTAACATGAAATAAACAGTCAAAACTGCTGTCTGCATGGGATTCTTGGTATCAAAGTTCCTTATTTATATAACTTTATAGTTCTGATTAAAAAAATGGAAATGATGTTAAATCCCCAATATGCATATTTCTCCTCCTGTCAGATGGCACAACCCTTATCTGGAGTGAGGTGTTGCGTTCAAGAGAAGTGTCTGGCCTGGGTGTGGGGTGTGTGCTTTTATTTATTATTTGCTTTGTTTATTAACTCTCTATAACACCCGTCATCCACATGATCACAAGGTGCTTTACAATGTAAAAACACAAAATAATAGTATAGTAACAAACAACAACAACCCCTTCCACAGTTTAAAAGGCCATGGATTTGTTACTTAAACAAAGTCCTGGGAGATGAGGAATGTTTTTGCTTCACACCTAAAAGTATGTAATGAAGGTAGCAGGTGAGCCTCCCTGGGGAGAGCAGTCAACAAGCAGGGAGCCACCGCAGAAAAGACCGATTCTCGTTTTGCTGCCTTTTGGATCTCTCATGAAAGAGGCACCTGAAGAAGGGCCTCAGATGACGATTGCAGGGATCTGGGTCAGTTCATAGAGAGATGGTCCTTGAGTTATTGCAGTCCTGAGCTGTTTAAGGCTTTATAGGCCAAAACAAGCACATTGAATTGGGCCTGAAAATTAATTGGCAGCCAGTGCAGTCGGGCCAGCATTGGCATTATGTGCTCAGACCTTCTTGTTTTTGTTAGTATATTGCAAAAGTCGGGTACACACCCAACTTTAATCTTATGCTTCATTTTTGGAATGGTAAGCTAATTAATGAAATTCTGCCCATAATGGTGTTCCTGATAAATATCAGCCTCTCTGGAATAACCTGTTCTGCACTAAAGGATGTGCATTGTTTAAAAAATGCTAGCTGCTTAGAAACAAGAGTGGGTGGTGTGTACTGTCAGTTTTCCTTGCATTTATTCCTTTCATTAAAAATGTTCAGGTTGCAGCAACCATTGCCTGCAATCAAAACCTACAATGGGGATTCTCAAAGGCCTCCAAAGGATTAACATGGAGAAGAAAAATTCTGTCTCCTTTTGCCAAGTGTCATTAGGAATGAAGTAATAAGACTGGTTACCAAAAAAAAAGGCCAACTATGCAAAAGTAGGCTTGGTTCATCTCACAGATCTGGGAAGCATAAAGGTCTTAAGGGTGGTGATTCAATGTGCAAATTATCTAGGCATTCGCCTATTGGTATGCCACCTTCTAGAAATATATGTATCCATTCTTTAGGTGGGGGGAGGATATAAGACCCCACAACTAACGGTTGCATAATGTGAAGGGTAATGCTGTTCATGCTAACAGTCTTAATGGAAGGGATATGCTGAAGAGGGAGAAAATGCTCAATAGCTGTTGGCAGAAGGCTGTGTTAAAGCTAAAATTGACCATTTTTCTTTCTTTCTAGGAGTTTTGGCTGCTCACAAGATAACAGCAAGTTCACCAGACACTGATCTCCCTACTGTATCAGGGTTGAGGGTAAGTGTCAGGAACTAAAAAATCTAATATTTCTTAACCCCACACCCTGTCCTCTCTGCATGAGGCCACCCTAGCTTTAAAATCAATACCAGCACTTTGAGCTGCTATGCCCATGCATTTAATAGTATTGGTGTGATTTGTTCTGATTGTCACAGCAACCAAAATTCTGCTGGATATTTTTTGCTGACTGCAGATTCTGAACTCTTCACATAGAGAACATTGCAGCTCTTGGTCTTGATGTAATTAGGCATAAGTAACTGAGGCCATGTTCATTTATCCAGGCATGGCTGCAGTAGGTGAACCAGATGAAGCTAATACAATGTACTGGACACCAATGTTGCCTGAGTATTTAAGGATAAAGCAAAGTCCAGGAGCATCTCCTAATTGTGTACCTGATCTTCTATGGGGAGTGCAACCCCATCTAGGAGAGGCTATTTAGGACACTTCATTCATATTGGCACAAAAACCCAAGCAGTAGTGCAGTTTAGTCTCTGCCTCCCACATTCACAGTCTGTTTGATATGTAAAGGACAAAGTCCTGTGACCTTGATGGTGACTGTCAGAATTTTCAGTAAACTAGATCCTGCCTAATTCTAGGCTGACCCTGCATGTCTAAATCCTGTTGTTATTCTTGTTACACTTCACCTGTTCCAACTCCTGTATTCCAGAAAATGGGTGTGAATTTCACTCTAAGCAACAAAGAGACGGTTAAAAACAGTGATGTCCTGTTTCTGGCAGTGAAACCTCCCATAATTCCATTCATCCTGGATGAGATTGGCTCAGATATAGAGGATCGACACATTGTGGTCTCATGCGCTGCTGGGGTCACGATCAGCTCTATTGAAAAGGTAAAAGACTCACAGCCCTTCTTTTCTGGCAAGTCTTTTCAGGTGAGGCTGAGTGTAGGAACAGGGTAGCCTCTGGACTCTTTTCTGAAGACCAGACTAGAAACTGATGGTAACAATCCTGTGACTTGCTCCAGTCAACTAGAAGGCAGGGTGAGGATCAACCTGTGCTTTACTTTCTTACAGCCCCTCTGCCAGAGCACTTTCCTGCTAGCCAGAGTCACTCCTTAGTAGGTAGCTTAGCTGAATTATTATTTTGTCATGATTTTAAAAGCAAGGTTTAGATGCCCTTTATTGAAGAATTCTGGGGTGGTGTATAGAAATGTGAATAAACCTATTCCATACGTCATAGGTGTTACCAAACTAAGTTGTACTCAGAGTAGACCCACTGAAGTTAATCAATGTAAGTTTAAAAGTCAATATCAGTGGATCTACTCTGAGCAGTGCCAGTGTGGGGGGGTAGGGGAAGGGGATCATTTGATCTGGGACCTCAAGCTGAAAGGGGACTTTAAATTTAGACACCTGCTAATTTTTTTGGCGTCCGTTAAGTTTTGCAACTTGTTTTTATGTTCATTGGATCAAATTATGACACAATTTCTCAGTTTAGAACGACAAATTTAAGCAAATGGGAGATGTGATTTGGTAAAAGACATGCAACTTTTTTGTTAACTGATACAGATTTTGTCATATGCTTAGCATCAGCATTGAGATTGCATGAAAGTGAGATTTTTTTAAATCTTTCACTCTTCTTTTTTTCTTTTGCTGCCTTATTTTGTTATCACGTGTCATCATTATTCCTGTGGCTGCGTTTATTATGGCTGAGGGGCTTCAAAAGCTGGAAGTGTTCCAGGCCTCCCCAGGCTTCTTAGAGAGCCTGACTCTGTGTATCATTGCTTGTATCCCCATATGAATACAATAATAAAAACCACCAGTGAATATAAGGCAAACCACAGAATAAAAAAAGCAGACTAAAACACCTCCATTGTACTATTGGCTGCAGAGGTTTCTTTCCCGGACAAGCTCAGTTGCAGAGCACTTTGTTGCCACATCACAGACACATTCTTCATTTTTCACAGGATGGTGTCAGTGATGTATAGCCTCTCGATGTGATCTAGAACCCTGAAAATGGTTATCTCTGCCCTTTGCTAGAAGAGCTCATTTTGAATGCAAGCTGTATGTTAAATATGCTCACTTGTCTCTCCTATTTCTCTTTTTCTCTAAGAAACTTTCTGCCTTCTGCCCCACCCCAAAAGTGATCAGGTGCATGACCAACACACCTGTGATTGTAAGAGAAGGAGCTACTGTCTACGCTACGGGGACCCATGCTGACGTAGAGGATGGAAAGCTCTTGGAACAACTGATGGCTAGTGTGGGCTTCTGCACTGAAGTGGAAGAAGACTTGATAGATGCTGTCACTGGACTCAGTGGCAGTGGACCTGCTTATGTAAGCACCATCTCTTCCCTGTATGAAGCAAAAAGAACTTATTAGGCAAGGGGGGATTTTAAGTGCAGAAACGATGTTTGCGGCATACTTACATTTTCACAGAAGGCAGATCAGCCTGCAGTACTTTTTTTGATTAGGTACGCGGGTGGCACTGTGGTTTACACCACGGAGCCTCTTGGGCTTGCCAGTCATAAGGTCGGCAGTTCGAATCCGCGTGACGGGGTGAGCTCCCATTGCTCTGTCCCAGCTCGTGCCAAGGTAGCAGTTTGAAAGCATACAAGCACAAGTAGATAAAATAGGTACTACTGTGGTGGGAAGGTAAATGTTTCCATGTGCTCAGGCTTCCGTCATTATGTCCCGTTGTGCCAGAAGCGGCCACATGAACCAGAAAAACTGTCTGCAGACGAATGCCGGCTCCCTTGGCCTGAAAGTGGAGATTTTGACTGGACTTAACTGTCCAGGGGTCCTTTACCTTTACCTTTTTTTGATTAGGCATTTATAGCAGCATGTTGAACCTCTAGAACATCGTCTGAGCTATGGACTTTTCAGTTGCTTAATGGATTTGAAGATAAACCAAGACCAAGAATCAGTTAACATTTGGGAGTGCCTGGTGGATAAATAGTCTCAATAGTCATAGGCACAGTTTGGATGGGAGCTGCCTCCAAAATAAACTTGTTTATGCAGAGGTAACTTTCAGGAATATGAGGTCTGCCTTCCTTAGAGTGTCTATCCTGGCTTCTTCCTTTTTTCTGGCAGAGGAAAGATGACACTTAAGAAACAATCTGTGTTTGTGGGTGGACAAAATTTTGGCCACTTTGGGGGCCATACTATGATGGTAGGTGGGTGGTCATGGACCAGATCAGATGCTCCCACATACTCATTCTCACACACATGCTCAGTTTATATGAGGAGGATGTCCCTCCCTGTGGCTTCCTCCTCGTAGAATTTGTACTCCCTCTGCCAATCTTCCTATCAGCTGCTGGGGGAGCACAGTTGTTGTATTAGGGCAGCATAGGGTAGGATATCCCTGCACACCTTTCTTCCCAAGCAAATCACATTCCACAGCCAGTCAGGCAGTGGGGAATTTGGCAGTGGAGGGGCAGCTTGGGCACCCAAGGCAGCACTCCAGGCCTCTGAGGGTTGCATGCAGCCTGTGGATTGTCTACCTGTAAGCTAGATGGTAAAGTCTGTCTCTTCGCCCTGTCCCCCTTGGTTGCATTTCATATCTTTATTTTCTTGTGATAACTTCTGTCCTCCTAGGCATTCACAGCCCTGGATGCCCTGGCAGATGGAGGCGTGAAGATGGGCCTTCCTCGCAGGCTAGCCGTCCGGCTGGGAGCTCAAGCTTTGCTGGTCAGTATTTCACCTTGTTTGCTGCTTCTTCAAGCTATGTCCACTCAGCGCTTCTATTCCATTTACCTCAAAAGGCAGTATTTATGAAAGCACCCTGCACCATGTTGCTTTCTTCTCTTCTTGTTGCAATCGCAAGAAGGAAACAAAGGCACTCTGGGAAAGGGCCAGCAGATGTCTGTGATGGCGTTGGCTTCAGTCCTGCACAATGCAGGTCAGGCTTTTTTTGCAATCTTTTCAGAATTTTCCAGTTTTTTTTTTGGTTTTATTTTAATAACCATCACTTTATTAATGCAGCAAAATGAGTACTCCCAAGACATGTGCAAATGGATCTGCATTGCCTGAGAAAATAGTCCTCTCTGTTGAGGGCATGCACCTCTGTTTTGCAAGAGGAGCTCTGAAGAGAGGCAATAACCTTTCACCAAGGAGGAGACATGGGTTGTGGGTTTTGCAGATAGGACATCACTACAGCCGAGATAGACAACATGAAGCTGCTCATCATCTGTTTGGTATCTTCTGAACTCCGAGAATTGGCAAAGCTGATGAATGAACAGTAGACAGCAATCCAGGCACACCACTTTAGCTTCAGCATCAAGCCACACATACTGAAAATCATTCCCAGTAGATTCATGTAGTCTGGTGTGGGGTCTTCCAGGGTAGGGTTATTCTCTGTGGATGGAGGTTTGTATCTGAGAACGCGATTTGGCCGCCGCGGGTCCATTACGTTGTTACCGGCCATCCTGCACCGCCTCTGGCTAACTCCGAGCAGCGCCCCCACCCCTCGGCCGCCGCCGCTACACCAACTTCCGCTCAGAATTTTCCAGTTTTGAGGCAGGTGTTGCAATTCTTCTGGTTTGTATACTTGTGAATAGTTTTTGAAATCGCCTTGAGTATTTCCTTAGAGAGGCTGTGTGTGTGTGTAGCTGCCGCTTCTGATGAGCTTTTCGACTCATCTTCTCAATGCTGCAGGGAGCTGCCAAGATGCTGTTGGATTCAGAGCAGCACCCCGGACAGCTGAAGGACAATGTTTGCTCACCTGGGGGTGCTACCATCTACGCCCTGCACTTCTTGGAGAGTGGTGGCTTCCGTTCACTCCTCATCAATGCTGTGGAGGCGTCTTGCATCAGGACAAGGTACATGCCGGCATGGAGTCTTAAGAGCTGCCCTGCCTTAGCTGAGCCTCCTGAGCAGCTCACAAGCTTTTCCCTCTTCCCCCAACAGGGAACTACAATGCTTGGCTGACCAGGAGAAGGTCTCCCCGGCCGCTGTTAAGAAGACCTTAATGGATAAAGTGAAACTAGAGTCTTCCTCTGCCAACAAGGTCAGCTTATTCAGCAAAAAGAATCCTGGCAGCAAGAAGCAATGAGGAGGCCTGGGCCTTGCCCAGCCAACACTTTCCTTTCCCTTTCAGGGGAAGCAGTAGCTTAAGCCATTTTTTTGTGGTGGGGCCTAGCCTGGTTTCGCGGCTGCAGGAGAACGGGGTTTTAGCTTCCAGATGTGATTAATTAAAGAGTAGCAGGGACCAGCATTTCTGGGGGCTGAGCAGGAGGCAGACTGTCACCAGCACCACTTTCCATTGGGTAGGTGACTGTGTGTACTTCTGACCCTGAGGGATTTTGCTCCTGTAGTTGTGATTACGGTGTTTTGTTATTTACATCCTCCTCCCTTCCTCCGGGGCACACCCTTTTTGTTAATCTTTTCATCAACTTCGTGAACAGTGCTATTTTTCTAGAAAAAGAGGTTCCAGGACTCACCATGAACCCCTCCCTCATTCTTTTAGAATGGCAATGGTGCCTACCTGAGAGGTGCCAGAACTGAGTTTCAGAGGGTTTTGGCTGAAAAAAAGCCTTGCTTGTGAGGTACATTGCCCTGAGAGACAATGGCTGGCCCAAAGTAACCTGGGGAGCACCATGTCTAAGCAGAGATTTTAACCTGGTCTCTCCCAGTCTTTGTCTGTCTTCTGTGGCCGTATCAGGCTGGTAGACATTCACTGGTATGGGCACACTTCTTATTTAATAGGCCAGGGACTTGACCCCAGGCAGGCCCTTCAAGTCCTGGCAGTTGTTGTGTATCCCATTCTCATGAAATAGTGGCTGCTGTACAGTCTGCAATGCACTCTGGACTTCGGGCTATGGCGGCCTTATTTTTTTTTTTGCTCCTCACTGCAAACTGGATTGCCACTGTTCCCCACACACTGTTTATCTCACTTTGTATAGAGGACCCCAAATTTCCTTGGCAGCTCCACCTGGACAGCCCCTACCATGCTGCCCACAATAGTAGTAAAATAAAATCTCTCACAATTTTTCTGTTTCTGCCTCCTTCCAACTTCTCCTATTCTTGCTAGGACTTTTGCATTGGCTACATATATGCCGTTCTCCTGTTACCAGCAGAAGTACTGTAGATGTCCATATAGATTAAAAGTCTGGTGTAGCTCAGCTACTAGAGAAACTTAGGAAACTGCCTTATGCCAGGCCAGACTCCTTGCCCATCTACCTCTGTATTACTTCCAACACTGACTGACAGCAACTCTCCAGGGCAGAGGAAGGGCTTTCACATTGTCCGCTACCCAGCCCTTTTTAACTGGACATGCCAGGGAGTTCACCATGCTCCCCCTGGCTGTTGGGAGTTGTAATCCTGCAACATTTAGAGGTCCTCAGGTTCTCCATCCCTGCTCTAGCTCTATGAGTATGGTTTAGTAATGACAAGCTAGAATCAAACCGTGGTTTCCAGATGTGTCAGAACTGGCCTGCTGTTTCACCTACATTTGCTTGCTTTTTATCTTCCTTCAAAGGTGCTGTCTTCATATATAGAGAAGAGGTTTTAAAAATGTGTTTGGGGTTGTTGGTGGTCTTGGGTTTTGTTTTTGTTTTTTTGTTTTGTTTTGCTAATGACACTTGCTCTAGAAACAAACACTTAACCCCTCTGGGAAGCTTTATGTAGAATACCTCATGATCCTTTCAAAATATGCTGGTTGTTATTTGTAACTTGTTTACTTCAAGGTGCTCAGGAGCTAACTCCTCAGACATTCTCTATTCCTCCTCCTCCTCCTCCCCAGCTCCAACAGAAAGCCTTTGTCCTTCAAGGCTCTGCCCTGCCAGCCTCTTCATATGGTAATGATTGGAATAACGAATCTGGTGGGTGGGTGAAAGAAATACAGTGGACCAGGGTCACACTTGGAGATATGATAAGACAATCACCTAAGGATACAGTATTATTTCCTAGATACTTGCTGGGGTTCCTGCTTCTTGCTTATTGGAAAGTGTGGAGATGGGGAGCATTATGCTCAGTCTCTCTAGGGGCGTATTCCACTCCCCACCCCTATTTTTCTCTGGAGAATAAACTCTGTGCTTCTCAGCCTGAGACTTGGTGTGTGGGCTGTGTGTTTTATTACATGTGTTCCTTGCTCAGAGAGGCCAGAACATGATAACTTCTCTCAAGGATGGGTGTGTGTGTGTGTGTGTCAATGATTTATTTATGAAAGTGGGGAGACATGGATGTTCCACTTAAAATGAAAAAATGGTCAGCCTGCCAAGACCACACATAACACTGAGCAATACTTCTGTCAACTTCTGATAATTTGAATGGGCAATAGATGCATCAAGATTAGTACACTTAATTATCTCTTTTAATGTGTGTGGATATAGATATGCTGTATACATACTTTTTCATTTCACCTGATGAAGATCGCTGTGTAATTGGTAACTTTTAAAAATACTTCCAATAGAGACTGCCTCCTCACTTACTGTATATTTTTTAAAGATACAAGTCTTTGGGGAAGTCTGAAGGCTTAACAAGGGACAGGATCCTGAATAAAACTTCTGAGTAGATCCATTCAAATAATGAACTGCAGTTACTTCAGTCCATTGTTTAGCCTGCAACTGCTTCCTGTTGGTGGAAGTTGTTTTCTTAAAAGTGGAGGAATTATAATCTGTACAGAATTGCTTTTCGGTGGAAATTCTTGAAAAACATTTATTCTTAACCAGCTCTCTCTGCCTGTTGTTGATATTGCTGCTCCTGCGTGCATGTGGCGCAGGGTTCCATAACTTCACCAGGACAACTGTGATCCTGCAGAATTGTTTGCAACCATACACAGAAAAACATAAGAGATACATTTCTGTGTGCATAATTACTGTTTGTGTGCACAGTTATTGGTGCCAGAATCCCAAAAACTGCTGATGCTGAAACAACTCTGTATACTAATCTTAAGCAGGAAATGCTGAACTTTTTCCTGTCTGGGTTTAAACATGCTATACAAGATATTCCACCAGAGGGAGGGCTTACATAATTTTAAAGGTCCAGTACCTTATTGATAAATTGCTGTAATGCTGCGATTCTAAACACGCTTAACTATGGCTCACTTCTGAGTGAGCATGCTAAAGATTGTGCTACATAAGCCTCAGTCCAATCCCTGAAGATATTGCAGGGTTTGTGGGTTTGTTTGTTTTCTTGCCAGGGTATGGTTTGGGAAGAGTTGTGTGCTCTTGCAAAAGCTGTATCTCCTAAACCTGTCATTTTTCTAAATAATTGAAAGTAATCATTTTTACATTCCTTCTGCCATGGATGGAGCCTCTGCTCCTGCAGTTGCTTCTTATTCTTATTCTTATTTGGAGTCATCAGTGCTTTTTTTCTAAAAAAAAATGTTTTGCCGTACTCTCATTTTCCTACTTCTATTGAAATACTGCCCCTCAGTGAGGCCAAACCTAGATTCACAAAATGTTTGGGGGTATGTGTACTCCTGCATCCCCCCAGAAAAAAGCACTGGGAGTCATTATGCATAAATGACATTTTGTTTTTTTCTTTGAATAATCAGTACTGGTAATACAAACAGAGGAATATGGTTGCTTAGGTTTGAACATACCATGCATCTGTTTTGTGTTTTTTTTTTCCTGCCTGAAGCCATAGCTAATATAGTTTTCACCAGACCTATAACATTTGTTTTTGCATCTTGCTTTACTTTTATGGTTTTCATTTTGAAACCTGTGGGGCTTGCACCATCCTTGCACCACAAATGTCAGATTACTGTGTAACATGACCGGAATTCAGACATGGTTTGCTGATGTCAACAAGCACAGCAGACCTAGAAGCTTACAAAGAAGCTTCTTGCATAAAAGTTTGGAAAAAATAGCACAGAATGAGTTCTCTTCAGCCTTGCAGTTGGAGTAATGTATAATGCATGTGAGAGTAAGTGAATGAATGATGGGGAGAGGATGAAAATCAGGGTAGGCTTTAGAGCAGGTGTTGCTTACCTGGTGTACGAAATAATTTATGGTGCGCATGTGTGTAGAAAGAGTAGAGTATATTGTATATCTAATTTTAACAAAATGTATATACTGCTTAATTATGAAAAAAGCTTATAAGAGGTTTACAACAATATAAAATAAAACATTTAATATTGTTGCAGAAAAGATATATTCAAAAGATTACAATCAGCAGTAGGTAAAAAGATGAAAACATTTCAACATTTTTGTGGATGCTTATTCGACAGAATTGTATACATTTGAAAGCAATAATAGAATCATAGAATTGTAGAGTTGGTAGGGGCCCTGAGGATCATCTGGCCCAACCCCCTGCAATGCAGGAATGTGCAGCTGTCCCATATGGGGATCAAACCTGCAACCTTGGCGTTATCAGCACCATGCTCTAACCAGCCAAGCTATCCAGTATATGGAAAAGTGATATACAAATGAGTAAAGTGACTATATATGTGAAAAATATATTGTATGTAAGAAGGGGAGAGAATTTTGGTGGAGAGGTATATATGCAAAATGGCAGGGATAGAGAACCTGTGGACCTTCTGATGTTGGGTTACACCTTCCCATCATCCCTTCTCACTGTGTAGGTTGGGCGAGATGGAGTCCAACAACATCTAGAGGGCCATAGAATAATGAAATTGTAGAGCTGGAAGGGTCCCCAAGGGACATCTAGTGCAACCCACAGCAATGCAGGAATCTCAGCATGTATATATTGAGCATTTCCTATACCTGCCTATGGGGTGGATCAGTGTACAAGAGGAGATGCTATATCTGACACCTTTGTCCTTTTGGGGGGCTGTTCTGTAGAGTTATCCATTTCCCCTCTCATTTTGCTCATGGATAAGCTAACACTTCTCCATCTGGGTAGGCAACCATTTTCTGTGATGGGAGTCTTTAAAGAGGCAAATAGAAGCAGCTTACTTTCCTCAGTTGTCAATGTTACTGAAGTGTGTCCTGTCAGAACTCCCAAGGTTCTGGATTGCTGTTTCATTTTTAAAAATGCCACACAGTTCAGTGAAAGCGCTTGGCAAGGTCTGTCCTGTACATAAAGGAAGCCACAGTTTTAAAGGCCTTCTAAGCACCTTCCCCATGCCTGTCGCATCTGCCCAACCCAATTTTAACTGATGTTCAACTTTTCCTGGCGGAACTTTGCTATCTCCTCAGTCTTGGTATGCGCTACGTTTTATGGATGGTCCTTCGATTGCTTGTCTGTGGGAAATGGCTGCTCATTAGCAGTTCAACAAACAGATCACCAAACCGTTGTACCATCAGGTGAAACACGAGGTAAAAGTTACAACAGGATAAGAAGAGAGGATAAGATTTGAGACCAAGTTTTTCTGCTCTATACCCCAATAAGGGAAAGGGGGAAGATGGTTTTATGTGAGTTTGTTCAAAGTTTCCCATTGATAATAATTTGTGCCTGATCTGCAGGGGAAGAATGGTCAGTGGTAGTTAGGTACCCTGACACCACATCTGTAAAGGGGTGTGATGAATGTGTATAATAGAGTGATACCCCAACTTGTGAGTGCCTGGCCCTGTAAGGCAAACCTCTTAAGAGAGCCATGCTTCTTAACTTCCTTATGATATGGTGTGTTCCTGAAGTTTGTATACCCATGAGGATGTCCAGCTGCCACAAAAGGGAGAGAAATGGCCTTGTAGATTTTGCTCACTGCACTGAAGCTTCTGTCGCGGTTATGGCCTCCATTTCTGTGGCACGAGGCCTGGAGTGGGTAGTATTTGCACTAGGCCCACAGTGTGCGATCACAGTCTGAATCCAACCTTGAAAGTGAATGACCCACCCAAGCATGAAGAATAACCCAAGCACCTACCTTTGTGATGAAGGAAGCCTCTGTTTGCTGCGGGACAAATACCATATTCGTCATGTACATTGGGCCACCTTGTCCCTTCTTCATAATGCCTAGCAGCTGCTGAGCAAAGGGCAGTTGTTCTTCCAGTTCAAGGGCAAAGTCCTCTTTGCCACCCAACTGTGGGTATGGCTGGAGGAGGAGCTACCCCACAAGGAACGCTGATCTGTACACATTGCCTTGAGGAGCAGTTTGTGCCCTGAAGCTGCAGATTTGCTGAGCGGCTCTTTTCTCTGAAGGCTACTGGTTGCATCCTCAGTAATTGCAAGGGCTGAATATAGTTGGTCTCTCCATTTCACAGGATGTTGCTGTTACGAGAGGCTTGCTCCCAAAGAAGAGTACTTTGAGGCAAGACATGGTTCTCCAAGATTCTTTCTGTGCTATTTTTCTATAAAAAGAGGTTTCACCATGATCACCTCCCTTGTTCTCTTACAATGGCAATGGCGCCCACCTGAGAGGTACCAGAACTGAGTTACGGAAAGTTCTGGATGGAAAAAAAAGCCCTGTTCTTTCTCCACCTGCATACGTGGAGCTGTTTCCCTAACCTATCTGTTCCTTTTACAGTGGTACCTCGGGTTAAGTACTTAATTCGTTCCGGAGGTCTGTTCTTAACCTGAAACTGTTCTTAACCTGAAGCACCACTTTGGCTAATGGGGCCTCCCGCTGCTGCCGCACCGCCGGAGCACAATTTCTGTTCTCATCCTGAAGCAAAGTTCTTAACCTGAAGCACTATTTCTGGGTTAGTGGCATATGTAACCTGAAGCGTATGTAACCCGAGGTACCACTGGATAGTCCTTGTAAATGGTCTGGGGATCCTCAGGCCCAGGGACCCAATGCACTCAGTCAGGCCTATCTAGCCTTCAAATGCCTACTGAGGCCACACGCCTCACTGACTCTTGCTTCACACCCTGAGTTTTTGCCTGGCTGGAATGTATCCTCTTACTTGTCTGGATGAAGGATAGGTGGCATAGCTGTCCACTTTTCCCTTTTTAAAGGGAAATTCCCTTATTCCGAATAGGATTCCTCACAAGAAAAGTGAAAAGTTGACAGCTGGAGAAAGTAGCCCACTATACAAAGTTGATATGTGCATACGTCCTTCCAACCATATTTGCCTCTGGATCCGCCCAGCACTGGTATGTGGCCCTCAGAAGATTCAGAAGATAATTTGGCCCTCAGGCCGAAAAAGGTTCCCTGACTCGTATGTATATGTCATAATAAGCCTTGTAGGGGTAGAAACTTTGTTCATTTGGAACAGAAAGAACGCTAGAATGATGATGGATCAATCTAGAATTCTGTGGGTACTTTTCCACTTTGGCATTAGCTCTCATGCCTGCCTGTGGCATTAGCTTTCATGTCTGCTTGCTGCTATTAAACCATTTATGTATGGCTTCTCAGTTACTTCCACAAACACTCCATACGCTTGCTGGAACTTAGGTCAAGGTGACATGGCATGACACCCTATTCCATATTTACTTCTGAATGAGCACAAGTGGAATAGTTCTGGGAGGTGGGGAGAGGACTGTCACATTCTTTCTTATGTCTGAATGGGGGCTGCTGATTTTGGACTATTGATTTACATTGTTGCTGGTGGGTGATTATAATGGTCCATTGCAGAAACAACTAATGAATACCTGACAGCATGAGCACACTAGGGTTGTCCTAGGAATGTTTAATGGCTTAAGCATCTGTGGTTTTTAAAATCAGTTTATTACATTTTTAAATAATTTGCTTATAAACCTAACTGTACAGGTGTCTATATTATAACAATTCAATTCAATACATGTATGTAATACAACAAATGATTGTACAGTATAGGTGTGTTTTGAGATACTGGAGGAAGCATAACATAACTTACAATGTGGTTTTAAAGGGGGGGGGAGGAACGACCATCTTTTCCTTTCTCATTCCCTATTGTAAAGTACAGTGGTACCTCGAGTTAAGAACTTAATCCGTTCTGGAGGTCTGTTCTTAACCTGAAGCACCACTTTAGCTAATGGGGCCTCCTGCTGCCGCTGTGCCACCGCTGCACGATTTCTGTTCTCATTCTGAAGCAAAGTTCTTAACCCAAGGTACTATTTCTGGGTTAGCGGAGTCTGTAACCTGAAGCGTCTGTAACCCGAGGTACCACTGTACACCAGAACCAGCAACGACTAAAATAATAATAATTTGTGAGTACTGTGTGCCCTTTACCATTTGCCCCATGGATTAAGCAGCAATGGCTGCAGTCCTCAGCACACTTTCAGGGCCGAACTAAATGGGATGAGAAATGTGGCTCTTCCTGCCCTTCTGATACAATGATAACATTGTGAATGGAAAGAAGTTCCCATGCACTAGCCTCTCTGAACAAGGAATGCATGTAATAAACACACAATCCACACACCAAATCTCAGGTTGAGAATCACAGGATTTATTTTCCAGAGGACAGGAAGAAAATCTGTCTAGAGAGACTGAGCATATGCTTCCCATCTCCACGCATCTGAACAAGTAGGAACTAGGAAACACAGCAAGTGTGTAGGAAAGAATATTGTGTCCTTGGATGTCTTATCACAATCCAAGAAATATGAGCATGCAATAAGGGGAATGATTTTGAGAAGGCAATCTGTTGCCCCACCTGCTGAGGGAAAGATACTGGGACTTTCCTGACAGGTAAAGAAAGAGTAAAGGGGGCTCTTATCCTTTCCCCTTCCTGCTTAACTCTCAGTGCCTGAAGGGTGTTTGGTTACTTCACAAAAAAACAGTCAAAGGAAAAAGAAACACAGCCACATGTGTGATGTAGCCTTTAGCCATAAGCTTAATTTGCCAAAGCATAGGCTCAGGCTGTGCACATTTTGTTGATTTAAAAAAAAAATCATTAAATTTAAATGACATTTTAAAAGCTTTAAATAATTTGTTTTTATTATTTTCGTGAATAAATATAACCAGAACAATTTCTATTCAGTGTACGTTAGAAGTGTGACATGTCAGAATGCAGTTTGTTGTTTACTATTACATCTATGGATTCTGTATGTTTAACAAGTACAACTACCAGTTTTACTCAGGTATAGGTGTATCTCCCCCCCAAAAGATGTTTGTTACTTTGGTGGTTGTAAACTCTGCACCCCCTTATCTACATTATGGGAGGAGTTTTCAAAAGGGCTTTATAGCAAATAATCTATGTAAACCTTCACCCAACAATCCTGTTCTTCCTAGGCCCTATATCCTTGCCTAGAAAGAAGGAAAATGTGAAAAGTGAAAGGAAAGAGAAATAAAAAGGCAGAAGAGAATGACGTAGCTAACATAATGGATTATATACCCAGACCTATCACTACATAGAACCTGCAGCAGCAGCAAGGCTGATTCATAATTTCAAAGATTGAATTGCCAGTACCAAATTACATTTCAAAGAGTTACAGAGCAACTGACAACCTAGACTGGAATTTCTTGAGTGCTTAATTTCACTTAAAGACACTCCATTTCCACTCTTTATTTGTAATAATATCTTCAAACCCAAGTGTCTGGAGCAACAATTCAGCATCCAGAATGGGGAGACCCTGCACACAAATGGCTTTTCTTTTTGGCGCTAGCTGTTAAGAGTAATGTCTGATATGGGTCAGAGCTTCTTTTGTACCATCTACCCTTCAATCCTCCTCTTCCTGCTCCTCCTTTAATCTGGCCATCGGATCTCATCAGGCTTTTCAGTACCACCATCATTTAACACATCTCCTGCTCCTCACAGAATTACAGACTCAGCACATTTAGGCAGACAACTTTATTGCTAAAACTCTGTGGGTGGGAAAAGGGAAGTGTCAGCAAGCTGCTGCATTGTGTCAGGCATTGTGTAAGGTGGTCTTTTCTTCAAGAATCAGGTTCAGCTTCCTCTCACTTTTGCATGAGATCTTGTATCAATAGAGTGTGCGTGTGAAACAAAAAGGGGGGTGTGTGCCTTGTCTCCTGTTGGAACTCCGGAGGGGAAAACGGATCTGGCTCAGGCTTTTCTCCATTGCTACAGTAGTTTATGCAGTGCCTCATCTCTGGGCTTGGAACATGCCGCAGCATTCCTGTCCCAGGCACCTAAGCAAGAAACAGCTGTGAGCGCTGCTTCCCTACATCAGCACTTTCAGTCCAGACCTCGCTGCTCCCTGCAATTTCCGCAGTTTTGAGAAAGTGTAGACACAGCAAAGACTGAACAGAAGCGTGGGGAGGGGGAGCATTCCTAAGGGAGGGGGGGACAGCATTGCAGAGTGGGCATTAGAAACATGGGCCGAGATTTGGGGCTGGCTGCGCAGGAAGGTGAAGAGAGGAAAGGAAGAAATGTGCTCAGTGTTCATCCTTCCCAGCTCCACCTTTCTCTCTCATGCAGTATGTAAAACAGTGCAATTAGATAACAATTACCAATTCAATTCCTACAGCAGGTGCCAACTGACACCTGCATCAGACAGTGGGTTTCTAGTATTTCCAAACAGAAGCCAAAAGCCAGCGGAGCTTTTATTCCTGGAGCACACTTGCCCTGCTGCTTTTTCCGCATGTAGATAAACGGCGCATGCTGCTCAATGAGAAGACTGGTCCTAATCCAGCTCAGGCATTTCTGGAGAAATGGTGTGCTTGCCAGGAGTCCTGCCCATGGCTGAGCATGTATCACTGGGTCTCTGTGTATTTTGGGATATGAGGGCTTGTCTTCAATCAGCTAGCTTCTGGGCAAGTGAACCAAAATGCCTTATGACAGTTCAGGCAAGCACCTGCAGGCTGAAAGGCCCCTGCTGCACAATCATCTTCTGGCTCTGAGCAAACTTTATATATCAGCAGTAAATCTGGAGCCGGAGGGGTCTTTTAACAGGGGTTAGTTGCAGAGCAGCTGGGTGGATGATCTCTTCACTCATGAGGCAAGCACTGCTGGGCAAAATACAATGATGGGCAGAATTGGTTTGGAAAACTTTCCAGTAAGCAAGTCTCCCTGGCTTGAGAAAATCAATTGCAAAAGTGCTGGCTCAGGCACACTCCTTGTGGTAAAGTTGCAGAACAGGTACAGTACCAACTACGAGCAAGAGAATAAGAAATGCCAGTCATCCTACAAGGTGTCTAGAAGGGCATTCTAAGCCTTACAGATCTGGATGGGTCAGCCACAGAATTGCTGTTTTGGAAACTTAAATACTAAAGAACACTTTGGCAAAAAGAATCCCCCACTGGACAGCTTTTCAAACAGCAACTCTGTCTCCTCACTTTTTTATCCCTATGCCAGCCAGTCTGCACATCACCAATTTATATATGGAGCAGTGACCAGTATACTTTTTTTAGAAGCAAGGCTTAATGAGAGCCAATGCTGAGACCCACAGTCTACCTGGCTCTATCCTGGAACATGCAGAATATTGGAGAGCAGTGCCTCTAAAAATATGCCAAATTGCTCCCCCTCACTGCTGAATAATCACAGCATCTTAAGGGCAGGGAGTAATACTTTCATGTATCTCTTTCTGAATAAATTAACAAAGGTTCATAGACTGGTTATACCAAATCTATCTAGGCAAGGGGGATGTCAGTGTTTTCTTCAGTTAAAAATATATTTGTGTGCTGAAGATGCATTTTAAAAAAACATCAATTCAATGTGCCTGCCTGATGCAGCCTTCCCTCAGAATCTGACCATTTCTATGCCAGTAAGGGAAATGGAAGGCAAAAATGTAAATATTGCTGATTGAACAAGAATATCTAACTTGTTGCTAATATCAGCCGGAGGACTTGACAGTGGTCAACGCAACACCATTTATAAAAGGGATCCAGAGAGGAGCTGAGAAAGTACAGTTTGGTTAACATAACATCTGTTCTTGGAAAATTAATGGAAAACATCATTAAAGAATGTCCAAGCATGAAGAACAAGCCTCGATGAAATGGAACCAGTATGGCTTCTGTAAAGGTAAGCCCTTTCACTAAACCTTTAGAGTGTTTTTTTTGAGAGTCAACAACCATAAAATAGGGGTGATTCAGTTGACATGTGGAAAGTCCCACAGCAAAGACTCCTGAGTAAGCTTAGAAGTCATGGAATAAGAGGACGGGTCATTTTATGGATCAGTTAGTGCTTAAGGAACAGGAAGCTGAGAGTAGAATAAAAGGGCAGTTCTCCCAGTGGAGGAATATGGGAAATGAGTCTCCTGGGAAGTGGTATGGGACCCTTGCTTTATAGCTTGTTCATAAACAACCAGGAGTTAAGGGTGAGAGCAATGAGGTTGCCAGGTTTGCTGATGATAGCAAACTGTTCATGGGGTTTAAAATAAAAGGATTTGCAATGAGTTAAAAAGGGATCGTTCCAAACAGAGAAGACTGGGCATTAAAATGTCAAATGCAGTTCAATGTAAGCAAGTATAAATGATGCACATTGGCTTAATGGAACTGCTACTGGGGTCTGAACTGATGGTGACTGACAAAAGAGTAAGACCTTGGGGTTGTGGTGAATAGCTCAAAATGTTAACCCAGTGTAGCAGCTGTGAAAAAGGCAAGTTCCATGTTGAGGATAATAAGGAAAGGGGTTGAAATCCAACAACACAATAATTATTATATTATACTAATCTTTCATGTGGCCAAATTTGAAATGTTGTGTACAGTTCTGGTTGCCTCACCTCAAGGGATATTGTAGAACTGGAATGGTTCAGGAAAGGGCAACCAAAATGATCAACAGTCTTGAGGAACCCTCCTTTAAGGGAAAGGCTACCACAAATGGAGCTTTATGGTTGAGAAAACATGACATGATATGTGCAAACACATATCTGCTGTGGAGAAGATGGACAGTGAGAAGTTTGTCTCCCACATTCAACTATAACTTGGGGCCATCCATTGAAACTGAATGTTGGAAGATGCAGGATTGAAAAAAGTACTTCACAAAGTGCATTTAAGTTGCTTCCACAAGATTCTAGTGATGGCCACCAGCAGTGGATGACTTTAAAAAAGGTTTAGGCAAATTCATTGAGAATACGGCTGCCAGTGACCACTAACCATGGTGGCCACATTCTAGCTCTACGCTTGGAGGCAGAATACCTCTGAATACCAGTTGCTGCGAATCAGAAATGGGGAGACTGCTATTGCACTAGGGTCTTGCTTGTGGGCCCTCTAGAGGCATCCAGTTGACCACTATACGAGGGCAGGATGCTGGACTGGATGGGTCATTTGTCTGCTCCTTCAGAGCTCCTCTTACCTTAGGATCCGTGGTTAGCAAACTTTTAATCTGTGAACCAGGGCTAGGGTGCGCTCTCTGCCACACAAAGGCATGCATGCCTACACGACATGCACATGGTGCCCTGGGTTTCCCACACAGCTCTTCTGCTGCCCCCTCTCAAAAGTTTCTTCGACAAGGAGGCAACAGAAGAAGGAAGGAATAAACGGGGGGCTCCCTGAGTTCCCAGTCCTTCACCCACCCCGCAGAAATCGCTCGTCTGTGAAAGCCCTTCTCGAAGCTGGATCTCTGTTTATATTAGACTCCAAGCCTCGGCCTTGATTTCATTCCTTTTGTTCAAATCCCAGAAGCCCAACGGGGCTCCGTCGGATTTGTCCCCAAATGGCTTAAGCAGCGGGGGCCTACCCACGAGACGGTGCCCCCCCAACCCACTCCCTGTAGGAGCTCCAGGCGCGATCCGCGCTTAGCTGCCCAGCCTTGGCTCTGTCCTCGCCCGCCAGGCGAGCCACTTGTTTCCCCACCGGCTCCGCAGCCCCACTCCTGCCTTCCGGCTCCTCTTTATTTCCGCCTTCCACCTATTTCCACCCCCCCTCCCCCCGCTTGAATATAGCCGATATTCAGAACGTCTATCTTGAACCGTCGGAGGGGGAAACCTCCGGGCACCTCCCCTTTAAGGCTCGGGGCGGTTGCACCGAACGGCTTCATGAATGGAGGCACGTGACCCAAACATCACGTGACGTGTCCGTGAGCGGCGGCAGCGGCGGACCCCGGACTCTCGGTCCCTCTCTGCGTGGCGGCCTCCCCCCCTCCCCGCCCCGGCTCCCCCCCTCCCCCGGCGGCACCGAGCGGAGAGGGTGAGAGACTGCGCGGGCGGCCTGGAGCCCCGGGTTCCACCTTTGGGGGAAGAGGGAGGAAGGCAAGCCAGCGCCGCCGCCGCCACCCCCTCCTTCTCCACGAGGGAGGGAGCGAGCGAGCGAGCATTAATAAGCGCGGGGGGGGGGGGCGCGTCTGACATAGAAGCGGGGAGGGGGGTCTTTTTTAGGGGAGCCCTGCCTCTCGCTCTCCCAATTGCGCCCGGGAATTTCGGGCGCCGTGGAGTTCAGCGTTTCTCTCTCCACGGTGTTTATTTATTTTCATGATTATTATCTGAAGAAGCGACTCTTGCAATGTAGGTGGAGACTTCTGTTGACAGGAGCATGGGCCCCCCTCCCCAATTTCCACCCGGGAATGTTCTGGCGCGCTCGGGTGGGGGGGTGCGCTCGGGTGTGTGCGCGTGTGTGTGAGAGAGATAATGATAATATAGTGTGGGGGGAGGGATAGGTGGGTCTAGGTGAGCGGGCTTCCGTATTTCAGCAGCCGATCTTCGTTTCCCCACCTCCTTTCTTCTCCTCTGCTCGTTGACTTCATTTTCTGTTGCTGACAGATGGGTGGGTGGCTTCCCCCCTTTCTTTCCTTCTGAGGGGTTTCTGCGGCGTGGGTGGCCGTATTTATTTCCCCACCGCTGTCGTTAGGAGGAGAGAAATGCCATTGCCACCTCACCCCCGTTTTGCCTCGATCCTTATTGTTGTTGAGTTTGCTTCTCAAGTAGTGGGGATGAAAAAGTAGTTGGGCACCTTATTATTCCGTTTCTTCGGGCAGGTGCGCCCTCTCCCCTGCCTAGAGTGGGGGGGGGGAGCTGCTCCCTACACACTTGTGTGTGTCTCCAGGGATGTGCAGCCATGTCTGCTAATGTTAAAGGGCTTGCCGTGCTGACTCATCAGGTGTCTGGGTGGGGGAAAGAGTGAGTCTATGTGGGGTGGGGCACAAGAAGGGGAATATGTAGAGAGTATTCGGGATTGGAGGGGGGGGTGATCTAAATCACCCCATTGCATCCCCTGGCACAGCCTACTGTGTGCAGAGCCCAGACACTGCTGACTCATCAACATGAGGTCACCACTAGGTATATGCTGCACAAAGGGAGGTAGGGGCTGACCGGCTGATGGGACCTGTCAAAAGGGTTAGCTGGGGGAGAGAGGGTGACTTGCTGACTCACTTTCTCACTTGGCGATAAGGCAGAGAAGGGTGCAAGTTCAGGAGATGGTTGGGAAGGGAATTCACCTGAGATTCTTCCTCTCTGCTACTTGTCTGTATTTTGCCTGCATTCAAAACGTTGTGACAACTGTAGCTTTCTGAGCATATGTCATACAGTGTATATCCATGTGCAGTTTATGTGCATTAGGACAGAAGTAACTGTATGTGGGGAGTGTGTGAGGGAGAGAGAGAGAAAAAAAAAGGGTTACTTGGCAGAACTTTTGTAAGAGACCTATTCCTAAGTGCTTGTAGATTTATGCGAGTATGTATGTTTGCCCTGTCTGCTCGCGTGTCCTCAGTGCTCGCTCTCTCTGTACATGTAGGTCTTAACTTTACTGTTTTGGCTAGCTTTATAGACTTTGTAAAATGGTAGTTCCTGAATACCTTTATGGAAATTGCTGCTACTTGTCTATGCCGTCTTTGTCAGACAGGCACGATGTCCTCAAGGACTCTGTGAAGGTGCTTGGCATGCTGTCACACTGAAGTGGGAAGGGCACAGAGATGCAGATTCCCTTGTTTGTGCCTGCACAGCTCTGCTTGATTTGTATAATGGAGCACGTCTGTGCAACAAGTGCATGCTGTCCTACCCTGAGTCCCTTGTGTGAAGTTCCCACAGTGAAGCTAGCTGAAGCATGCTATCGTCTACAGCCACAACTCTGGAGGGCAATCTGTCCTCTGCCAGTTTGAGAGCGGCTTGGCTACTGGGGACTGGGCAACTTAATCAGTATGTCATAGATATTTAGATTGTGATTATATGGAGATGGTTTGTGTGACAATAGCTAGCTGCGGTTTGATGTCCTTTTGACGGAGATCTCCACAAACTGATTCTAATTCTAAAACGGTAATGTTAGAAGGACAGAGAAAGTTAATCTAGTCTGATTCCATTCTCTGTAAAAGGATACTTCAAACCTAGTGTTCCTAACAGACTGATGCGTAGCATGTCTCTTTCCTGGTCTCATTGTAGCAGGATAGGAGATGATGAACAGCTGTCTTGATTCTCATTCTGGGTGTTTGACATGGCAACCTGGACAATGTATTATCCCTTGGATATTTAGATAATTGCAGTTACTTACAAAGCTTGTGGCAAATAGGAAGCAAAATAGATGTGCCTTGTCTAGAAGCATTGTACAGTACTTGAAAATAATGATTCAAAGGTGTGGAGAGAGATGAGCAAGCTCAGTTTTAAGTATAAATATGATGAGCTCCTCAGTGATCATAACTAAGGAGTCTGGCAGTCTGGTAGGAAGAGGTCAGGTTACTGATTTTTGGTCCCCTTTACTTCAGTTCTGCTGAGTAAGAAGAAAACTTGTGTAAACAGCAGTTCTGAGGCACTTTCTAAGCATAGCAGGGATCTTGCTGGGGCCAGTCAGGTCTGCTTTGAGGAGACAGAATTCTCTGGTGACTCTATGTTTCTTGAAGTCTTAACTGGGTAAGCATCTACTTTCAGGTTAAATATTCCATAATTGAGAAGTTATATATAGACAAGCCCTCATAAAACACATGAAAGTCATATACTTGCAGATATGTACAGTGTAGTGTTGAAACTACTGTTCCTACTTCACCTGTTGAAAAGCCTCCCGTTGCTGTTCTCGTCATGCCCATCTCCTTTCTCATCCCTTGCAGCTGGGCCTCCTCTGATGGGGCTGTCTCTGCTCCTGGAATGGGTGACGTCACCATGTTTACACTAGTTTGATGGCACAGCTCTGTGAATCAGGAATGTTGAGAATGGGGCCTGTGTTGAATCATGCGCTCTGCTGTCAGCTCTGTTGTGAGCGAAGAATTGGCGGTGCTTGTGCTGAGTGCAGGCCTTTTGAGCTTGGCAAAATGTGTCGAGGTTGCACTTTTTCCCTTTGCAGCCGTCGCACTTGGCACTTTCCAGTGTGATCGTTCTTCGGGAAGCTGTCAAAAAGCTGAGAAATCAGCAGTCTGGGGAGTTAGACCAAGTTTGTCTCTGTCTGGATGCCAGTTCTCTCCGGCCGTCCTCCTTGCATGATGTTAATAAGTCCTTCTGTGTCCAGCAAGTCAGGACTGTAGAAGGGTCTGGTGCCATCCCAATTTATGCTGGGTACAGAACACGCTAAGTTTGGTAGGGATTCCACTTCTTGACTGCCCTCTTTTGGCCTTTTAAAATCTTTCTAGTAATGAAGGTTGTGCTTGTCTAGGCACAGACGCAGCACACATTACTCCTTCTGATGAAACTAAGATGCCTAAGTCTCATATACAAAGATGAGTTCAAGTATCTTCATACTTTGACCCATCAGAGTGACTGAGGTTTTTTTTTGCTGTGTCTCATCTTTTTCTCACAACATAGACTTCCCCAATAATTTCCTGTGCAATGAAAGAGAACTATGAGCACTAAAGATTATTTCCAGGCAGCCTTTATATCATCTCTTCTTTTCCCTGATGATAATAAGTAACTTCGCATTCTAAGCATTGATCTCTAGACATTAGAGTCCTGGACTTGCCCTATGAAAGACATTTTTGAGTTGGCTGGGCAGGGCACTAAGCGTATTTTCTCTTCCACTAAGTATCTCTTTCCTGGGATATCTGTGGAACATCACTTATACTTGGCATGGTGAATCTTATTATTTCCGTAATTCTGCTGGATTTACAAACGTATGATGGGTCTTTGCTTAAGCAGTTTCTGTACTTTAGAAATGTTCAGATCATTCTCACATGAATGCTTGCAATGATGCCTAATACATTCTCACATGTCTCAAAAGAAAATCCTATAACAGGAGAAGGAGATTGTGTTTGGAGTATCAGTTCTAGTACTGTGGCTATTCAGTGAGTGGGGGACTTTCGTTTACAGTTCTGCTGCTGGAGACCTATAACTGCACATGGTTTTTAAATGGAGCAAAGTCAGAAAAAGGAAAGCAAAGGGTTACACTGTTGAGAGGCATACTTGTGCATTCTGTAGCATTTATTTTACCAGTATTGAAAGAACATGATTTTTTAAAGCATTACTGTGGTGACAGAGGGAAGCCTTTGCCCTGTTGCAATTGGCGTTTTGGGGGATGGCAATACTGTGTTCCTCGTAGTCTATTCTCTGAATTAAAAAACTTAACTAGCAATTAATGTCTCTTTCCCCCACGTATTTTTAGAATGCTGACTCCCAGATGGCGAGTCCCAATACTGCCTGCAATCAGGTTTTGGATGTTATAGCGCAGCAAGCTAAGTGTATTTTCCTTCGAGATCAGTAATTGTTTGGAACCTACTTGTCAGTTTTAAAGACAAAAATAAGTTGGTAGGTCCCTCTAGTAAGACAGTTGGGACCCACTGTGTTAGTGTGCAGTAAGCCTTTAATCAGTGACCACAGCCATATCCTTTGGGCATAAGCACTTTGCTTGTCAGCAGTTTTCGGTGCTCTAGGAATATCAGAGTTGTTGCTGGCCTATTAGTGATCTTGGAAAGCGCTGAAGCCATCCCTTCTGGGGGTGCTGCTGGGGGACCGTTCCTTGGCTTTTGCTGACACTAGCTTGTCTTAATTCTCTGCTATAAATGTGAACTGATGTTTTATGCATTTAACAAACAAGAACATGGGCTGTGTGGGAGAGGCATTTATTATGCCATGTAAGTGCTGATGATGTGCCTGGTGGGAGGTGGATGTAAAAACATCCCTGTCTGGATGCCCATAGTGACTCCTCTGTCCCTGACACAGTCCTGGCCACACCAGCAGATTTTCTTCTTGCTTAGGGAAAAACCGTGGCTTCTGAACTATTCCAGACAAGTAGCCAAAGGTATAGTATTTATGATGCCTAGTGTGTGTGCATTTTGGGGATGCATGTGACCTGTAAGACACGACTCATCTCTTGCTGCAATCCCAGATCTTTTGCAGGAGAACATTACTAGTGTTGCATAAAGTTCCAGATTAAGCCTTAAGAGTAGCATGACAGGATTCTGCTTTCTTTTTTGTTTGTGGTATGTGGTAGACTGTTCTGGCATATACCGACAGCTACACCAAGGCATGTCTGTATGTGATGTCTTTTTTATGAATCCACTTTTGTCTGCTGGTTTCAAAAAGAACATTCTAATAATGTACTCGGCAGTAAAAATTTGCTTGCAAATGTACTTGCTGTCCCATGTGTCTTGTGAATTCTGGCATTGCAACACTGAATTTTATTCTCGCTAGACTAACACAATGGATGTAAAATTACTAAATGTAAAAGTATAATCAGTGTGGGTTCTTTAATTTGCCTTCTGATTTCCTGAGCTTTAACTATAAAAACCTGATTACACTTCCCAGGCTTATTTCTGAAATCATAATTGCTGGAATCTTGAGAATCTTTAAACTTTTTTTTTTTAAGTTGCATTTGGCATAGATTTCCCTAGTGACACACATTCTGGAAGCTTAGAACATAGTGACATGAAACCAGTAAGCCAGCCTTCCCTAATCTTGCACCCTGTACTACAGTCCCATAATTCCTAAACATTGCCTATGCTGGATGTATCTTATAGAATTTGTAGTCTTATTATTATTTATTTATTTGAACCCCATCTACTAACTGTCCTCTTTCTTTCTTTCTTTCTTTCTTTCTCTCTCTCTCTCTCTCTCTCTCTCTCTCTCTCTCTCTCTCTCTCTTTCTCTCTCCCTCCCCCCCTCTCTCTCACACACACTCTTGTGCATTTCCTCCAACCCAGAAATGGCTCCCAAATGTTGAGTCCCTTAGGTCGCAAATATCTGGAGAGCACTAGGTTGGGGCAGTTTTCTAGGAGCCTGTATGCTCCCTATCATTCCCTCTTCTCCCTGCCCGCCACCCCCTGTGTCTTGCTATTCTGTTTCCCAGACAAAGAAACACTTGAGACAGCTTGGGTCAATTCATATGCACCAGCTTCTGTAATAGGGAGTATTTATGAAGACTGCTCCCACACAAACTCTCTAGTTTATGGGGTGTCATCGTAGCTCGTGTAGCTTTCAGCCCAATCATGGAAAGAGATACAGGCTGGTTCCCTGGCAAGCCTCTTGGGCTACAACTCTCCTGCTTGGTTATACTACGAAGCATGTACTGTAAGCAAGGCTGTTAGTATGCTGAGTCAGCATGACTGGCTCGGCACAGGCGTGCAGGACCCTGGCTGCCAGGCTATTTTTAAATGTGGCTTCATCCTGCTCTGGCTCCTCCCAGGGTTCTTAATACCCCCCCCCGCCATTTGCTTTCAAGTATTAGAGAGAACTGTGGGGCTGGTAGGGACAGAGGTGGCAAGGAGCTGTTGTAAGTCTCTCTGCTTGGTTCATGCTGTGTGGAGCGCATAAGGATTCGTTCCAGCAGGGAGCCCTGCCCACTTCCCTGCCTGGTTCCTGAGCCAGATAAGTAGGGATCTGTAAATGAGGGCTCAGGATCTTGAGTTTGATGGTGACCTCTGGCCGTTCTCTTTTCTTGCAGAATCTGACTGTGAAGGCTTGCGTGTTATGACGACCCCCAACAAAGGAAACAAAGCCTTGAAGGTAATGGGGCACGAGTGGGGCTGAGCCGTCCGTGGACACTACCAGAGCTCCCGTGATACATGTGTTCCCTTCTGTGTCCCCACAGGTGAAGCGGGAGCCAGGTGAGAATGGGACCAGCTTGACAGATGAAGAGCTGGTGACCATGTCTGTGCGGGAGCTGAACCAGCATCTGCGGGGCTTGTCCAAGGAGGAGATCATCCAGCTAAAGCAACGCCGGCGGACCCTGAAGAACAGGGGTTACGCCGCTAGCTGCCGTGTCAAGAGGGTGACACAGAAGGAGGAGCTGGAGAAGCAGAAGGCAGAACTTCAGCAGGAGGTGGAGAAACTGGCCTCGGAGAATGCCAGCATGAAAATGGAACTTGATGCCCTGCGCTCCAAGTACGAGGCGCTGCAGAACTTCGCCCGGACCGTGGCCCGGAGCCCTGTCACCCCTGCCCGGGGCCCCCTTGCCGCCAGCATGGGGCCCCTTGTGCCCGGCAAGGTTGCCACCACCAGCGTCATCACAATAGTGAAATCCAAAACGGACGCCCGGTCTTAGTGAAACGAGCACTGCCTGGGCTTGTGTGTGCAGGGCAGTTAGGCACAAAGCTCATCCGGAATCCCCAAAGCACAACCCTCTCCCAGATGGCCTAGCCCACACAGGCACACGCTGGCCTGCTTGTCACTGCAGTCCCTTTGTTTTTAGCTTTGTTCTGGTTGGTGTGACTGATGGTAATGCAACCCTTCTGTGTGAGCAGAACCTTCCACCCAGAGGTATTCTGGGGACAGAGACTGAAGGACCTCGGTACTCTAGCCAAAGAGATTCTCAGCAGCATGGAATAAATTCTTGGGGAGAGAAATCGCCCAAAGGGGGGAGGGCAGAGGTCATAGAAAGTTGGAAGACCTGCTGTCAGTGATGACTTATACCATTCTTCCAGGGTTGTGTGTCAGCTGTCCAGTCTGCTGCTTGTAAATTGCTTGGTATCAGTGGCTATAATGGGGGTAGTTTGTGTAACCATGTTTATATTAACATCTAGTTGCGCCTTTTATGTTTAAAGGTGGGATTCCTTAGGACTTTTCCTAAAAGGGGAGGGAAGGGGCAAAACTGCAGTTTCCTGGTGTCTGTGCTGCTGAGAAGGGAAAGGAGCCAGGAATGGGCACTGTTGTAGCCTGCCTGTCAGGTAAAAGGCAGGTTCTACCGTGGTGACTACAGGCCGGTTTTGTGCCTAATGTGTTGCACTGAACAAGACCAAAATCACTAGTTGTTTCCTGTGTTTGGAGAGTATCAAGTGTCTCTAGTGTGATGGTTTACACAAGTCTATGTGGTTTTAAATAGCCCTTTATTTAAGAGAGAAACATTCATTTGAAAGAATTCTTAAATGATCTAAGTCTCAAAAGTAAAACTGGATGAACAACTTGGATTTAATAGTCTCCTTTTTAACCTGAGAAGGGTGAGAATATTTGACTGTCATATTCCTGGAGACTTTGCTAATTTAAAAGAAAAGAAAAAGAAAAGCAAATTTTAAAAGTTTCTCGCTAAGTCTTTGTGGCTCCAAGGTTGTTTTTTATAAAGAGTTATCAGACTTTTATTTATAAATAATGTAGGGGGGGGGGAGACAAAAAAGGCTAGTCCTGTTTGATATCTTTTTGCAATTGTACCAAAAGTGACTTATTCTTGAACTCCTCACCCGCTTCTTTTGTGCTCCTGTTGTGTTAAGTTGTCTGTGCTCTGAGGTCTTGTGTGGCGCTGTGATGTGATGGTGCCAATGGCCATCTTTGCTGTGTGGATGTCCTGTGAGCATTCTTTTTTTTTTTGCTTTTCCTGGGCTGAGGGCAGGGCTTTCTTGGGCATTTCCCAATGACCTTCTGACGATCCTCTCATTAGAAGGTTTGTCTGTGTATGATGGCCTCACTTCCTCGGCTGCTGAAGTCTGAGGTAAATTGGCTCTTCTAGGGTGTTGCTGAAACTGAATAAATCAGGCATAGGCAAACTCGGCCCTCCAGGTGTTTTGGGACTACAACTCCCATCATCCCTAGCTAACAGGACCAGCGGTCAGGGATGATGGGAGTTGTAGTCCTAAAACATCTGGAGGGCCGTTTGCCTATGCCTGCCATAAATTATAACTGGCAGACACTCTTGCCTTCCCCCATGGCACTTTGCATCACAGAGTTTACTTTCCTGTGGATACTGGGTCTCCAATGGTCAGTCCCAACATGTCAAAAAAGGTTGGGTAGAGGAGGCCACTGCCCATGCTGCAGCAACATGAATCAGTTAGTAGAGCTGGCAATGTAACTAACTCCAGTATTTCCTAGGGTTGGGCCACAGGCTGCATACATCTAGGTTCATTCCTTGGGGAAAATTATTTTGCTGTCAATGCTACCATCAACTTACCTCCTGGCTGTTGTTTTCTACTCTTGGGCATGTTGAGGACTACTTGGGAAGCGCCAATGGAAACTCCATAGAGATTCATGAGTGTGTGATTGTCAGTGTGACCCAGGAAAATCCAGCTTTACTATTTAATCTCTGGATACTCATAAAGTGTTGTTGGAAGCCTGGTCACGAGGTTCTCCAAAGGAGAACCTTCTGGCAGCCTGCTCTTTTCTGAGAGGAGGAGAATAGTTGCCCTGTCTTCTGTGCTGCTACCCAGAAGTGTTTGGTTCACAGGGAGCAGGTGGTCATTCCATTATCAAGAGGAGCATGTTGGGACTTTGGCAGTATATATTTGTCAGGCAATCTCTCTAGGTGTGCACTTAAAACTTGGGGCTTTGCCTAGAAAACAGTGTTCTTCAGAGCAAGCACAGCTAGTGCGTCCTAGTCAAGACCACGTTGAGAAATCTTGACTGAAGCAGCATAAGAATAGCATTATAATTGGCAGACACTAGAACCCTCCAGCTGTTACGATATTGCCAGCAGGATCGACAAACTTGCATAGCTCAGGCTGGGCAGGACAGAATCTGGTGGCTTTTCAAACTGACATTCTACTAGATTTGGCCTTTACGGCTAAAGAGAAAAACTTAATGGCCAATTTTGAAGCAAAGAGATCAAATTCGTATAAGCTGAAGGGCCAAATTCCTACCCAGCAGATACCCAGGGACAGCACTCAACAATTTCAATTGAAAATGTTTTTTCCATCTCAGTTTGCTGAAAATTAATTCCCCGGAGTCATCTTCCGAATAACCCACTCAGTGTGAGAATTTCACTGCCTAGAACATCTCCTAGCTGCAAGAAAGAAAGAAAGCTTTAAATTAGGATTAGTTATCGAAAGTCCTCTTCTTGAGCTCTCTCCAACTGCAAGCTTGCTGTTTGCAATGTAAAGACAGGGCTGCTCTCTACACCAGTGGTTCTTGTAAATATCGCAACCATTCTTTTGACATGGCAACCTGGGGTGCTTTTCTGCTGCCCTTTGAATGTGTGGACTGCAAATATGCAGTTGGCAGTACAGGAACAAGGAAGAGCAAATGGAAAAAGAGCAGGGTGGGGTGGGGTTAAATAACAAAAGAGCTCTGGCGTGGATGTACACTTAGCTTTGCTGGAGATTCCACCAAAAATCATATTGGCTACTCCATCCTGCATATTTAGAAAGAATAGGTAAGAGGCTGCTATTGGCAAGGCAGCACCTTTCCCCTACTAAGGCTGTTAGGTGTCCGACCTGAAAAAGATTGAATTGTATGGAGTATGTTAGGGCTGCTGTGGGTCAGATGTGGGCTTGTAAGGTCTGGTAAAGCCCCAGGGATTTATGTCTTTCACTCCTGGTTTAAAAGGTTTAGAAACCATTGGAGGATTGATTATGTAGGATTGCTGGGTCCAGAGCTGTCCTACCTTTTATTGTTTTTTAATCCTTCTACCTCTCTGTACATCTTTCCCTCCCATCTTCAAGCTGTGCATATTTTCTTCCCCTTATTGCCTTCCATTTTCTAGTCCTTGCCAAAGAAATCCAAATTCTGTGAAAACCAAACAGTTGTAATCTGAGGAAGCAATATTTATGCAAACTTGTCAAACTGAGAAACCACAATAGCATGTAATTTGGGTTTCCTGGTCACCAAACTGACAAGCGAGAGGTGGGGTGTGTGTGTGAAGTGAAATCTTAGGTCACGTCATAGCTGGCTTTTGAGAGTCACGTGAAGGGCAGTACCATGGGCTGCCATGCTCTCTTGATGAGCAACAACTCTTGAATGTCAGCTGTCTGACCTCCGCCTGCCTCTCCATTGGCATTGGTGTGCTTCTCTGTACTGTATACTGCTCCATGGAAAGCAGGGCGACGACACCTTTGGTGGTAACTTTGATATTTAAACACAGCTTGTATGAGAAAGTGATTGAGTGGGGCTGTCTTTCTGGGGTAGAAGTTTCTTTTCAACATACCTTGTTGACTTTTATCATGGACATATTGTCCAGAACAGTTCTTAACAGCTTTCTGGAGTTGGCCGGGCTTCCATTGCTGCTTCCTCTTAATGGGTTGTCTACTGTTTCCATCTAGATCTTGGATAGCAAGAAGGGCTCCTACTGAAAGTCTCTCCTCTAGAGTTGCAACTCGTGCCCTTTCCGAGGCCTAAAGAGGCGAGACGCTGTCCACAGCTGGGTTTGTTGGAAGAAGTTGCAGGTGCATCACCTTGAATACAGCAGGTGTGTTATCAGGCATGTTCTGGCTTTGGAAAGTGGGAAGGATTGAAATGAAAGTGATGAATCTTCCAACACTCAAGGGGCCCTTCAAACCTCCCATCTTCCTTCACCCAGTTTCAGTCCGTCTCCTACTGTTTATGAGTTCTTTCCATCCCGGGTGCCCCTCTCAAGCCCTTCCCCTTGATTTCTCTTTCTGGTATATAGAATTCGGAGTGTGATGGTTCTTGTTTTCGAGGTGCTTGTTTGTTTGGTTTTTCTGCTGTGAAGGGTGTTGTGTGTTTATTTCTCCTTTTTTATTATGGGGCATTTTGTTTGATGCAACAGGTGGGGAGCTTTGCTTTCTACTTAGCTGCAGAGCAAATACGTGAAGTATAATTCCGCCCACATGTGGCTGGCTTGTGGCGGGGAGGGGGAGGGGGGCTTGTTTTATGTCGTGGTGAATTGTGTAAAAGTGATCTCTTTGATTATGGAACAATTATTTTGCTTTGGAAAAAGCAAGCAAGACTGCAGGCTAGGACTAGGGCATTTGACACTTAGGCATGGGTAGGGATTGCTCAGCGTTTGCGCATGGGGAATGTGCCCTCAGGTTGGATAGCTGTGAGTGTGTGAGTGCATAGATACATGGATACACACATCACATGCATTCATGCTTAAAAGTCATGCATTCCTTGTGTCAGGTGTTCCTTTTTGCATCTCTTGTGCCCTTGGCACACTCCAGAGATGTTGCAAGTTGGCCTTGGCAGGGGGTTGGACTAGATGACTTTTGAGGTTCCTTCCAAGGCTATGATTCTACGCTTTCTTCATGTTACCTTTAAACAGGATTGGCATCCTGTGTATTGATGAAGCTGCACTCAGAATTGTAGCTGAGCTCCAGCGGCATCTTGCCTTCCCTTCCACTGGAAAACGCAAGCACTTATTGACAGCCCCCCTTTCTCTCTCTCACACACACACACCTTCCTGATGTCTCAAGCTATATTTTGTCAGAAAAAATGCTAATGCACAGGAAGGTCATTTCCTGTTTGATAACATTGCTGCTTTCTTTGATACCTGCAGTAGCAGGTAGCTGTGGCTGCTAAAACAGAGGTTCTTCCCCATGTTGAGAGACCAGGACAGTATCTCATGGCAGTCTTGCTGTGACCGTCAGGCAGGTTCTTCCAAGAGATGAGGATTTATGTTTTCCTCTCCCGCTATCTGATGTATACAAGCTCCGGACACTTGTGGCTGTCACCTGTATGAACACTGAGCAGTTGAAGTGAATAGTCTCCTCTTTCCCAATGAAGGTATGTTACTGTCTGGCTAAGGCAAGGGGGGTTGTTATCTTCAGAGAGTTCCAAAACAAATCCTACTTGTCGTTGCTCTTGCCCTCACCTGCAGTTTGTTCTGAGTTTATTACACCCTTTGCCAAAATGGAATATTATGGAGAAAAACAATACAAATAAGAATATTCAGAGCACTTAATGAGACGGGCTAAGGACTTTTCCTCCCCAACCTCCAGATGTTGAGGATAGTCCTTACAACATATTGATATAAGAACTACACTGCTGCTTTAAAATGTTTCTTAAAAAGGGGGGAAGAGGAGTATTTTGATAAATAAATAAATAAATAAATAAATCTCAGTCTCCAAAGCTAATAAAACTGGAGATTAATTCTATGTGCCAGGGGTGTAATAGCATATTGTCAAGTCCTGGGGCTCTTCTATACAATGGGAGAGCCCAATGAATTAATCAGTATTTATTGCTAAATTATTGTCCTTTTTCAATCTGTAGATATCTGATAACTGTTGGGGATTTGTTGCCACAGCCCCAGTGGAGGTGTTGTTAATTTATTTATGTATATAGTGTATGTTTGTTGATATGAAGCATTCTTTATTTTGTATATGACCAATAAACATCTTTAAAGAGGCTGGTTCCTATGATATTACTCACTAAATTTAGACTGGCAGATTTGTTTCCTGTTGCTGACTGAATTGACTGAGGCTTGGTTGATTTCATGCAGTGAATGTACCTTTTTTCCCTGCTGTAGAAAAAAAACAAATTTGCTTCCTCTTAGGGACTTCCCAGACAATCCATTTTAGCACAATACTTGTGCAGTTATTACCCATTTGTTGCAAGGAATCCAAGTAACTTCCCTCAAGTTTGCACTTCTGATGCCTTCTTCCCGCACTGGATGGATATTTTCTACCTTTGTAAGTCTTTCTTCAATTAGCATATATGTTGCTGTTCTGCCTGCTGTGTGGAATTGTGTTGTCATCCCTCATGACATCAAATAATTTTTTCATACTTTTTTCCTTTTTTAAAAAAGAACTGCATCCCCAGTTGTGCTGAGCACTTGGAACATTTCACTACTTAGAAAAAGTTTTAAAAGCATGAAGTCTGTTGCTTTCCTCATCCACTACCCTGCTATTAAAAAAAAAACCACTCTTCATAAAAAAGAAACAATTCTTTGCTGATTTTATGCTGTTCAATTGTAAAAAGCCAGTTGTAACTTTTTTTTTAAAGACATTGCAGCAAAGCCATTTCCTTACTAAAGCAGACATAAGGTACTGCACTACTGGAGCTAGTGTTTGACTAGTATTAAGGATGATATTTAATTGCTTAAGAGAGTGGCTAGCTTTTGTATGGACATGCTCAGGTCCTTCAGTCCTATGTACACCTGGAGGTCAATCTAATTCTGTGTGATTGACTTCCATGTAAATGGGCCAAGGATGGGGCCATAAATGTTGTTGACATCAAATTTGTGATTCAGAAACAGATCAAAGCACAAGACAAATGCCCATTTCTGTTCTCTTGTATTGGGTAAAATCAGAGCATCATAAACTTCCTATTTCCCAGACCACTTAAAAATTATTGGTGGTTTTTACTCCACAGTGGATGTTGAGATGATGATGATTAATTCATCTACCACCCTTTGTGAAAGACCAAAGGGTTGTTTACAACGTAAAACATAAACAGTATATGTCAATATGTCACATGATAGTTATTTAAAATACTGTAAAAGAGACATAATGAATTTGTTTTTGTAAATTAGCATGAGAAACAAATCATAATTAACAATGTAATGCATAAAACCTGTGCTATCACACCAGAATTCCATGTATTCTGGTTTAGGCCAGTGCTGCTGGGAGGTACACACTTTCTGTCTGAAGGCAGCAGTCCTTATTAGCCCCCCACTTCCCCATCAACAATTTTCCAGACCTATTCCGCACCCCCCGGCCACTCAATTTTGAAAAATAAACCAAACAGACTAAGACTTATTTTAATGTGTTTATTCTGATAAGTAATCCATGTGCCTGTGATAGGCTACTGACTTTGTGTGGCTTTTGCTTGCTCATGTCACAACGTTGTTTATAGTCATAACAGGACTATAAGTCAGGACTAAGTCAGACATCTGGAATTACAGGGCAGAACTAGCTGCATAAGCTTCTACAGTGCAGTGGTACCTCGGGTTAAGTACTTAATTCGTTCCGGAGGTCGAACCTGAAACTGTTCTTAACCTGAAGCACCACTTTAGCTAATGGGGCCTCCCATTGCCGCTGCGCCGCTGGAGCACGATTTCTGTTCTCATCCTGAAGCAAAGTTCTTAACCTGAGGTAATATTTATGGGTTAGCGGAGTCTGTAACCTGAAGCGTATGTACGGTAACCTGAAGCGTATGTAACCGAGGTACCACTGTATATGGATGGCTCTGTCTCTCTTTGTGTCTCTTCTTTTAACTTGTGATATTCTTCTATGTTTAACTGTAAGTGAAAAAGAGGGGAAATATGCATAAGGGACAAAGGAAACTGTTTTATAGAGTCAGATCATTAGACCATCTATCTCAATACAGTATTGTATACAGTACACTGATGGGCAGCAGCTCTCCAGCATTTCAGAAAGAAACATTAACAGCCCTACCTGAAAATGCAGGGATCAAACCTGCAGGTAGAACTGGGGGCGCTTGCTTTATATATGAAGGACCATGCTGGTAACAGCAAAGTCGCTGACTTACAGCATGGGGCTTTCATTTCTGCTGTAATTAAAAAAGAAAAGCTTGTGTCCCGCTATAGCAGCAAGGATGTGCACGGCTTATGGGGTATAATAAGGAACATTTGACAGCTGTCAAATAAGAGAGGGTCAATTGCTCACTTTCTCTGCCTTCCTTAGATCATTTTCTGAAGCTGCCAATTGTATAGAAATGACCAGAACTGCGCAGTTGCCTCGATTTCTGATTTCCCATTGGGGGAAAAGTAATCACAGAAAACTGGTGCTTCACAGCAGTTATGAATGCCAGCTGTTGACTCCTTTAGCTGTAATTTCTTGCTCGACCGTCAGGACTGTTAGACAAAATGCTCAGATTGTATCAGCCAACAGTTCATGGGCTTAAGACCTCGGTACCCCTTTTCGGGAAAACGGCAGGAGGGGAGGTGAATATCAAATCTGAGAACGACCTGGCTAGAACTAGCGCAGCTCCGGCGCGCCTAAGGTTGGAAAGTGCTCGGCTGCCACCACCCTTTCCACCTCAATGCCAGCGCGGAGCAGCGAGATTCTAGCGGAAAGATCCCGGGAGGAGGCGGGCGTCAGGCTAGCCTGAATGCGGACCGGCGCTTTCGATCTACTGCTCGGAAAGCGAGAGCCTCCGGCGCTTTCTCCAGCCGGAGGAGTGAAAGCCGCCATGGACTGCGAGTCTCTCTTCACAGAAAGAGATGGCTGTAGAGCGTCGTCGTTCTGGCATCTCTATGGCGGAATCCTTGTAGCCATTGGACCGGAAGTTCCGGCGAGCAGCCTCGTTGGCCCTTCTAGCCTCCTTTGTGAGGAGTTCTGACAGCGAGCCTCGTCACCTTCTGTCTCTGAATGGCCGCAAAGTAAGGGCACTCTAGCTTCCTCGGTCGCTGCTCCGGGAGGCCGGAAGCGGAAATAGCGGAAACCACCGGCAGGGCCAGTTGGTACCCGGAAGCCACCGGGACGATGGCGGCGGGTTGGAGTTTGAGCCGCTCGGAACGGAAAGCGGCGGCTCGTGCCGAGTTCCTCCGGCAGGAAGAGCAGCGGGAGCGACGAAGACAGGTACCTGGACCTGCGGTTGGGGCGAGGGGGTTGTGGGTCTCTGAAGCGCTTGTGGGCGCAGGTGTTTCTGCCTTGCGCCCACGCCCCCTCCTTCCCCATCAACCGCCCCCTTCTTTTTCTTTCTCTCCCTCTCCGTCTCTTTCTCCCCCGCCGTTCGGCGCCAGGTGTCGCGGATCCTGCGCAAACCGGCGGCCGAGCGGAGCCCCGACGAGGCTGCGCTGCTCTCCGGCTGTCAGGAGATCGTCCGGGATCTGGAGCGACTTGGCAAGAAGCGCGAGAGGCTGCGGCGGCGGCTGGAGGAGGTGTGTGCGCCTTGCTAGCTGTGCCCCCTCTATGCGTAAACGAGCGCGAGTGAGTACGGAGGAAAGAGGGTTTCTCGGCGGGGCAGCCACGTCAGTCGCTCGCCGGCGGCAGAAGCAACACCGAGTCACGCGTGGGGCACCCTAAGTGGGCGCTAGTCTACAAACGAGCCTGTTAGCCTTTACGGTGCTACGGCGACGCTTCACTTCTGTTGGGATTAGAGTGAACGAGTGAGCTAGTGAGAAGGACGGAGGGGATGAGCGGTATTACCCATGTATACATTTATCTTGCTTGTTCAGCTACTACCTGCAGGTGACAAAACACACAGTGGAAAGTATGTGGCCTCCTTAAGAAATACGTTGTCCAAAGTAAATTCTTTCCAACACTGCTTAGTGTGACTTGCCTAGGCCTCTGATTATTCTATTTTTACTACTTGGCAAAACTTATTCAATTTTTTAAAAAATTTAATATATTTAGGCTGTTTTTCTGGGCAAATGTCCATCCATGGCAGCTTGTGTTCAAAACCTATATACACTTAGAACTATCCTTTAACAGCAGCCCCCACCCATTTTTTAAAGCAGAGCCAGGAAGAACATAGTTCAGTCAGACCATTATCTAGCTGATATATGTCATATTCGGAAGATCAGTTAAAAAGTGAAAAGTGTTTCTGAAAACCCTGCAGTGTAATTTGACTGAGGGCTTTAAGGCAATGGAGCCAGTTGCTGTTAGAGTAGCATTTAAGTTGGCTTTCAGTTGTTACAAAATCAAACTTCTGCTACAGCCCAAAGTTGATTTGGTCCATGTGCTTGAAAGTAAGTTCTGTTACATCAGAACGCCTTCTAAAGAAAAATGTTTAGGGTTAATGCTCTTGTTAGCCATCTCCTTGTTCTTGATGAGCTGGTCCCCCCTCACTTATTCCCACATGTCATTAATGTATCCTGTTTCTGACATGTAAGACGTTTTTACTGAAGCTCTTTCTTCTATTTCATGTCTTCCTTTACAAAGCTTGTAGAGTTGAGGACAAAAGAAAGAGAGCGAAGGGAAGAGACTAAAAGACATGGCTGAGTTTATGTCATGTGATTAGAATTATACAGGGCTTAGCTGAAGTGGTCCTTTGGAAATAATTTCAGTCCCTCATTCATCCACTCTTAGGTTTGTGATGAACCTGAAGAGTTGAAAAGAAAAGTCAGTAAGCTCTCTGCAGCTGTGCAGGGAGCAAAGCATCTCATCATTTACACAGGAGCTGGCATCAGTACGGTAAGACTGTGTGGTTGGCTGTTCTAAAATCACCTGGTACAAGATCCTATAGTGGTTTGTATTTATTAGTGTGTGGCTACACATTATGTTCACCATGCAAGAGCAGTCCAGCTCTGACTGTTGAGAATCCTGTAGGCTCTCTCAGCAACAGATAAATATAGAAGAAACTGTATTCAAACTACTTTTGTTCCCACCTAGGGACAATTATCTGTTAATGAGAGAGGTAAGCAAAAATAAAACCAGCTTTTTCATCCATGCATGTTTGATTGTGATTCCTGTGCAGTGTATTCTGTCTGTTGGTTGGGGAGTTTGCAGAACAAGAAGAGCTAGACTGCTCTCTTGTGGTGAGTATAACATGTAGTGTGACTCTTGATGTGAGTTGGGCCACTTTCACAAGTGAAACAGAACTGTTTTGAACTTATGAAAATAGTTTGTTGTAGTATTGTTAACAGCTTTCTTATTTAGAGGTAGGGAAGAGGCACTCCCAATCAGAAGTATGGGAAATGTGGATACTGAGATGATGGAACAACTGTTTTGAATGTATGCAGGAAAATGGGAAGCTGTCTTATATGCAATCATAGAATTGGTATCTCTAGCTGAGTATTGCCTATTCTTTTTGTAAGCTGCTTTGGGTTTTTTCTACTATCAAATGGTATATAGATTTCATGAAATAAACATATATACTGACTGACAGTGACTTTTCAGCACTTCAGACGAGACTTTTGTAGCCCAATTGAAGCTGTGACCTTTTGCATGCCAGGCACAGGTGGTGGTGACAACGTTGTGGAGTTGCATGAAATACTGATTTCAGCATTTCAGAAGCATTTTTAACTGATTGGGTGGGAATTCTGGCGTCTCAGAATTCATTTGATTTTGCATTGGATAGTTAATTAGTTGCCTGACACCCTTTGAGATAGATTAAGGTTTGGCCATCGAAGAGGTTGTGTTAGAACTACTCTGGATAATAAGTGGGTGACATGCTAAATACATTAAAGGAACGCCAGTTTTAACTGTCATCATGATTCCTTGTGTCTCAGAGAAACAACTAGCATTTTGCATGCCCACCTAAGAACCAGTCTACATAGCCATTCTGCATATTATGTTGCTTCATGTTAAAGAACATGTCTCTTTCAATCTAGAATACAGAAGACTCCTTTCAGAAAGCTGTCCCTAACAGGAAAGCTGCAGAAACATCATGTTCTTGCCTCTGGCTGTCCCATGTTATTGGGAAGAAAAGAGCATTTTATCAGACTTGCCTTTGGCAAAGCAGCTGTTGGACAGTGGGAGATGCTGTTTGGCTGGCTGGGTTTTTCCATTCTGTTATGTTGTGCAACTACCGTATTTTTTCGTGTATAAGACGAGGATTATTTATTTAAAAATTAAGTTAAAATTCGGGGGTCGTCTTATACATGGCAGTGTGGTGACGGGTGATAGGTTGCTGCGGCTTGCAGGAGATTGTCATCTTTGATTGGTGGTTGACTGGTGGATGCGGCAAGATCTGTTGTGGCTTTGCTGCCACTGCGGCAATTTGGCGGGCGATTGGTGAGTGCTGTTGGTGACCGTGCTTACGACTGATGTCATTGGCAATGCGTGAGAATGTCTAACAATACAGTTATTGTTCTAGAAGCTCTGTAACTGGGCAATCCTCCCCCCAAAAAGCTTAACAACTCTTGGCAATCTCCTCCCATTTTCTTAATTTGGAGTCCCCCAAAATAGGAGGCATCTTATACACGGGGGCATATACTGTATATACTTGGAAAAATACGGTAATCTGCCTTAGCAATTTGGGAGGCAGAAGAGCAGGACAGATTAATCACATGTTTGCCATGTGAGCAGCTTAAGTGCCCTAGCTAGGAAGAAGTTTGGAATAAGATTTTTCATGATGGAGGAAAATGTTGAGGCCATTTCTCAGGCAGATTTCAGTATGGTGTTAGTTGACTGATGGGGGCATGTGCTTGTATCATGAAGGGCTTTCAGTTTTGGATGATGGTAGCAGTGGAGAGATGTCTGAGCAGGAGACTATGGGGGTTGGCAGGGCTTTTAGGATGTGGCAGACAAAGTTGCTGATGAGTGTGGCTGTGTATTGCTGAAGGTCCCTTTTCTCTTATGTCTCCTGGTAACACAGGCAGCCTCAATTCCTGACTACAGAGGCCCTAATGGGGTATGGACAATGCTGCAGAAAGGGAGGAGTATCAGGTAACCAAAACTTGACCATTCAGATGCTTGCCTGGTGCTTGGGAAATTTCTTAGAAGATCTTTTCCACCTTCTCAGAGAAGGCTCCACTGGAACATGTGAGATTGACTACCGATATTTAATACAGTTTTTATCTCCACTTGCCAGGGCTGTGGATCTGAGTGAGGCAGAGCCCACACTCACCCACATGAGCATCGCCTGTTTGCACAACCACAAACTGGTAAGGCTGAATATTAGTCAATCCTATACACCCAGGGGCAAAAAGAGATGGCACCAGTGGGGAACGTAGTTGAGGCATTAAATGTGAAACGGATATTATGTCTGGAGAATCTGAGATGCTGGAGAGCCTCTCAGTGCAGAGGATAAGGCCATGCACCCCCTCCCTGCACAAATACTGTATTGTTAGACAAAGTGAATCAGATATGGGGCTTAGAGTAGCAGAGAAATAGACAGTCTTTGTATGTGTGTTGGAGGCTGGCACTTAGGACTCCGAAAATGAACCTCCCTGTTAGGTACTTGGTTCCTGCACAGGATGGAATTATAGGTTGAAGTGATAGCACATAAATAGATATTACTTGCTGTAAAAGGCAGCCAGAATCCACGAAGAATTAACAGGTTTGTGGCATATTGTATGGGAGGTTTATAGGCTGCTTAACACACTCTGTACTTTCTCGGTTACTTTAAAAGACTCCGGTATGACACTGTATATTGACGGCACCATAGAAATGATGCTGCATGTGGGTTACAAATACATAGCGTTAATTTTGGCACACTCCTCCAAGAGCTGTCTGCTTTTGAAAGCAATTTCTTAAATTAGGAAATGATGGATTCTGTACCAGTCTGCGAAACCACCCAACTTGTTGATGATATTCTCTCATTTTGAATACAAGGCTATGTTGTCTTTTATCATTAACTCTGCTACTTTCACTCACTGGCACCTCAAATAGAGGTGAGACCATAGTGCTCACTCCTGGTGAGCAGATATTGTCCACCTATGCTTTATCAGGCAACCACATTTAGCCACTGTCTCTGCGTTCCTGCTAATCAGCTATATCTCCTCCACCTGTTTTGGCAGAGCAATGAGAAAGGGAGGGGAAGGTTGGCTATTTAACATGCAAACTGTGCAGATCATATCTTAACTGCTGATAAAGGGAAACAAGAAGTGACTTGCTTTTAACTCTACTTTCTCCATGCTTAACACTCTAATTTTCCCTGTTTAGGTAAAGCATGTGGTGTCACAAAACTGTGATGGGCTCCACTTGCGCAGTGGGCTCCCTCGAGAAGCCCTATCTGAGCTGCATGGAAACATGTATATAGAGGTGAGCATATGCAGAGAGCGGGGCTTAGTGTACCATAGTACCATAGGGAATAATAACTGAGGTTCTGTGCTTCCATTCAAAATTAGGTTTGCACATCCTGCACACCCAATCGTGAATACGTGCGAGTGTTTGACGTGACGGAGCGCACAGCCTTGCACAGGCATCATACCGGCAGAGTGTGCCACAAATGTGGGGCACAACTAAGAGATACAATTGTACACTTTGGGGAGAAGGGCATCTTGCAGCAGCCCTTGAACTGGGAGGCAGCAATAGAGGCTGCAAGCAAAGCAGATGTGATCCTGTGCTTGGGATCTAGCTTGAAGGTAAGGCAGGAGAAAATGTCATTTGATGTACAATTGCACTATACTCTGTAATGGTTTTATTTTTAAAATTCTAGAATTATATTGAAATCGGCAGGCTGACACCTCAATTTATAGTCTTTAAGGTTTATTGTGAAAGTGTTTGCTGCAACGTAGGCACAAATATGTATGTATTTCCTCCTTTAGAGCTTCTTAGAAATGTAGCAATAGAATCCTTTGAGAATATTTTCCTGTGTCATTGGTTATAGCCAAATATATGCCAGGGGAAGGTTATGGAAACAGATTTCAAATATCTGGTCAAAGATAGGAAGCTTTTTAAAAAAATTAAGTCTGAAAAGGCAAGCGTTTCATAAAGCAATTTGGTTTGTATGAATGTCTTGGCTTGCATCCCCCCCTTTCAATTAGAGATTAAAACAGGAGTGGGAAACCTTTGGCCCTACAGACATTTGTGAACTGCAGTTCCCATCAGCTCTAGCAAGCATGGCTGATGGCCAGGGATGACGAGAGTTGTAGTTCAGCAACATCCGGTGAGCCAAAGGTCCCCAAACCTGGATTAAAGTAAGGATGTATATGGTTAAGTGGTTCATAGCTAAATAACCCAGGATATATATTTTTAAAGTTTCCCAATAAGGCAGTTTGTATTATTTCAACATGTTAGTGTTTGCCTCTCTATGTAAATGAGAAATGTAAGAATGAACTAAAGCATACCTGAATTGGCCTTATACTATATTTGAGTAGTTTGCTATTTTTAAAATATAATCATATAAATCCAGAATATGCATTCCAGTTAAAATACAGTAGACCCATAACTTGTGCTGGTTGTGGGATTGTGTTCCAAGCATAGCACATAAAGCCAAAATTGCATACAGTCAAAACACGTTGGGATTGCCAAAGGTTTCCTAGACACCTCCATAATTATTATTATTATTAAATTGCCAAGGGTGTCGAGCTGAATGCGCACAAATTAAACGTGCATAAATTGCGGGTCTGCTGTATAGCTTTATTGCTGTTAGATCCTGAGACTTGCTAAAGAGTGCTATAAATGCTGTGCAAGATCAAGGAAAGGCCCATCTAGTCCAGCATGCTTTGCAACAATCCCAGCAACCAGCTGTTACTAGATGTTCCATCAGGAATTGGCCAGTGTTTTACAAGAGGATCATCTCCTGCTTACAGTTCTACTTCTCCCCATCCATCTCCATACTTTAGGGTGTTTTGAGGAAGTATTTTTAGTTTATACAGTTTTTCATGTTTCTTGCCAAGTGGGACTGTAGTCCTAAGTACATTTCCCTGGGAGGAAGCCGCATTGGAACTTGACACCTAGGCCTGTTTTACTGTACAACCGTCTACCTGAGGTAATAGCTAGCTGAGGTGACTGCTAGTTATGTGTATTTTAATAGTTGCAATACCTGAAAAAGTGTTTGGTTTGAGTCTTTTGGGCATGCTAGCCATTGGACTATAAATATGATCACTTAAATTTTAGCAAAAGCCTGTGTGTTGCCCATCATCACTCCAGACAGTATACTTGAGATGTTTACTGGGACTGGTCATTTGCATTTGATAGAAATTCTGCTACAGATGTTGAATCCTGCAAAAGCCTTGGCAACCATGTAATCCTGGAAGTTGGTACCAGAAGACTGTTCCTGCTTCCCGCATCCCTTCTAAGTAGTTTGCAGTAGGCATTGGTTAAAGATGAACACAAATGACTAAAGATGAACTGTGTTGCCACGTATCTCAAAGTTTGGGACTCCTTCCCTCTTCTAGCACTGATGAATATTTTGGTTGTGTTGTCCTTCTCACAACAGGTTTTGAAGAAGTATCCACATTTGTGGTGCATGAGCAAACCACCCAGACACCGCCCTAAACTCTACATTGTAAATCTCCAGGTTAGTTTGAGCCTTGTCATTTATGGGCAGAGCAATTTGCTCTGGTGATATATGCAAGTGTATATGATTACTTTAGTTGCTTCCATGTGTTTATAGGGTAGGACCAAAGTTCAAGGTTTATTCCGTCATGCAGCTGGACAAATTTTGTGCATTATCAAAAAATTGCGCAATGTGAAATATGTTTTTGTGCAGTTGGGCATATGGGATTGAATAAGGAGCTAAGTAGTTTCTAAAAGAGAAATAGATAAGAAAAGAAATGTTTAGGTTTAAAGGATATACAAAAAATAAGCAATTGACGTGTCTGAGTAGAATGTATGGTAATGAATGGGACATCCCTATGGACCAAAACTCTCTTCATTGATTGGTCCATGGCTGATAACACACTTGTCCTCCTATTCCATGTTGTCACTGGCAACCCCAGCAGCACCAGCTGGCAAGGGGGCTGCAGGGCGGAGCTCTTCAACTCTGCCCGCTGATATGTTGGAATGAAGGGGCAATAGCTTGGCGACCTTCCTGAGTGGCAGTTGCGGTGCCCCATGAGCATCGAGCATGGCAGAGAGTGGGACTGGGAATTGATCAGGAGCAAGTATCATTGTAAAGCCCATGCAACCAGCCATTGCCCAAATCTGCTCCTCAGTCTGCCCACACGATCATTGGGAGATTTTCTGGGTCAGAAAGGGCTCGTTGTTGTTTTTTTAATCTTGAAATTTTGTGCCCAGGGCAAAGACCCCTGTGGCCCATCCATGCTATGCCACTGTCTAGAAGCCATCTGGTGGATTCCTACTTATCATTGGTTGAAAGTAATTCTGTAACAAGCCACATTGTCAGATTTCAAATAATTTTTTATGTTGTTCACGTGTTTATGTCGAAGTTTCGTTCCTTTGCCATGGGATAAACATGTTACCAACATTTTTACAATAAAAGTGAAAACCTAGTACGTGACGCGTGAAAATCATTGTGAATGTCATGGTAGCAGTGCTAAGTCAGTTCACTTCATTCACAGTATTACTGTTCTGTCTACAGTGGACACCAAAGGATGATCTGGCAGCCCTGAAACTTCATGGGAAATGTGATGATGTGATGAAGCTATTGATGGATGAGCTGGGGCTTCCCATCCCTTGCTATGACAGGTCAGCAAAGATAATGCTCTGCTTGAGCTCTGTGCCCTTATACACTAATACTTCACTCTTGTAGATAGTAGCAGATTTTTGAATGAGCAGATTCTAAATGTAGGTTCTTCTACATTTAATCTAAATGTTGGTTCTTGTCTGCTTATACAATATCATACACAGAGGTTTATAATTAAATATAGCTTCTTGTTTCTTCATAATGTGATGTAATTTAAACATGGCTTGTATCAGGATAGAAATATGCACTGAACATACTTGCACTTGTGAGGACTTGCAGTCCAGCCCTGTTTTACTGGAGTATATCATGCATGGTTCTAAACACACCCTTTCACTTGATACTTGGGCCTTATGGTAATTCTCTGGGTGCTGCAAACTTAATATTACATATTATTGTGTTTGCAGAACAAAGGACCCCATTTTCTCTTTGGCTGTTCCTCTGCAACCTGAAGAAGAAGGCAGTCACAGCAGGAGAGCTGTGGCTCCACCAGTAGGTCTTCATGAAGTGCAGCTGGGAGAGCAACAGCAGACGCCCGTGGGACCCCTTTCTGGCGGCTGGTTTGGCAGGGGCTGTGCAAAAGGCACCAAGAAAAGAAAAGTGTCTTGATAATGGCATTATAAGGGTGTGTTTTTTTTAACCTTGAGGACCAACTGAAGTTGCTAAAATCAGGACAAGACCTTACACCTGCACTGGATTTGACCAGAATTGCTGGGCTAACTGGAAAAACACAGCTGCTATTTTCATAAATGTTTTGTACAACTACTCAGTTTGTAAACAGAGGCTGAAGCCTAGCTTGGTTTCTGCTGTGGCTGAGGAGAGGTTGGTGTTTAATACTCAGGGCTGTCAATTATTAAATATTATTAATAAAATAAAACAATAAAAGGCAATGACCGTGGTTTTTGTAGCACACAGCTTATATTCCCACATTTGTGTTGGTGTCAGCAACGCTGATAACTACCACATTTGGGTGTGCATGTTTTATCTAAACATGGGTCTGTTACAGCAAGGGTTACATCCACAGAAGATGTGCAGTACAATGGTGCCAGATTGTTGCAAGTGGTCTTAAGGGTAGGGTAGCCACCTGTCCTGTATAATACAGGATCACCCTCTATTTCAGTGTAAAATGCTACGCCCTGCATTCAATACAGGAGACAGCTTGTCCTGTATTTCCTCAGCGCTCTTTTTTTCTGCCAAGTTAGGGATCCTCTCCAAATGCATGTGTGCGAAAGGCCATGTATTTAAGCCCTGGGTAGCGAACCAGAGACAGATTTACAAATTCATGCGTATGTGTGTGTGAGTTTGAGATTTCAGAGGGGCCATCCTGTTAGGCTGCAATCGATTGTAATGGATTGTTTTGAAATCACTCAAGCAACACCGTATTTTGCCAGAACATGGGTGGCAACCCTAGCGTGTATCTCAGACGTATACGGGTGGGTGCCAGGGGAAACAGAATCACAAGGGCTTTGGTCTCCCTTCAGCAAGGCAGTCTTACAAAATACCATGTACAGCGGTACCTCGGGTTACGTACGCTTCAGATTACAGACTCTGCTAACCCAGAAATAGTACCTCCGGTTAAGAACTTTGCTTCAGGATGAGAACAGAAATCATGCTCCGGCGGCACGGCAGCAACAGGAGGTCCCATTAGCTAAAGTGGTGCTTCAGGTTAAGAACAGTTTCAGGTTAAGAACGGACCACCTGAACGAATTACTTAACCTGAGGTACCACTGTACAGTATTTGAGGGTCCTGGGGTAGGGAATAGGCGCCACTTTGCTTATTATGATGCAAAGGCTGACATCTGGCGTGGAAGAGAGCTCAAATGTCTCCAGCAGCGGAGGAAGGCAGGTGAGCGTCCGGCACAAGGGAGATGGTGCAGCAATGAAGGACCGAGAGAACGGGGCGCCCAGTCCCCACTCAAGGAGAGGGTGCCTGTGAAGGGGGCGGGGCGACGCGCGCGCCGTAAGGCAGCGCGGGGGGGGGGGGCGCGCCGCCTGTTGGTCAGGTGACGGCCACCGAAGATGGCTGCGCGCTCGAGAGCTGCGGCTCCTCCCAGACCACGTGACGAGGGAGGTCCCAGCGAGTGACAGCGCCGGGGTCAGGCCAGCCGCCCAAGAGCCCGGCACTCGCTGGTCGGAGATGCTGCGGAACGGAGCTGCCGGGGCCTCCTCCCCTTCTGGCAAAGGCGCCAACCGGCCCGTGCGCGTGTGGTGCGACGGATGGTGAGCGCTTGGGTGGGTGGGCGGGGGAGGCAGCCAAGCCCGTTTCCGAGGGGGACGGGACGGGGCCCACCTGCAGCAGCAGCAGCAGCAGCAGCAGAAGAGACGCTTCCCCGGGTATTTCTATGGCAACCGCTCGCTTTGCCGCGGTTGCCGCCGTGGCTCCGAAGCGGCTGCCCCTTGTCCCCATAGCAACGCCCGTCCGCGCTGCTTTCGGCTGGGCTGCGCTCGCGTCCGCGACGGCGGCGCTCCTGTCACCCGCCGTGGGGCATTTCCACGGCAGGTGGCTTCTCGGGTGGCGCTTTCTGTGCGCCGCTGCCAAAGCCCCTCCGGGGGACGCGGGTAGCGCGGGATCCAGAGCAGGAGGCTGCTGCTGCTGCTGTCCTGCGCGCTTAGCGGAGGGAGTCCATAAGCTCGGTGGGGCGGGCAGGCTTGCTTCCGGGTAGAGCAGGCGCCGAATCGCGTCGTGCGTCCGCTCGCGGGGAGAACGCGCGTTGTGTGTGTCGTGTGTGTGTGCCGCATGCACGTGGAGGGAGGGCTTCCTGCATCATGCTCGCCTGGTACCGAAGCTGCTGCCCGTTAACAGGGCAGGCTCCGACCTTCTTGTTTGCTTTTCTCTCTTGGCGGACACTCTTTGGCTCCCCCTTCTCTGCGTTTCGACGGGGCTTCTGTCTCTACGGTACCCGCTGCTAGCGCAGGGTTTGCAACGGGTTGCTCTGAATGTGGGTGGAAGAGATCGGCGGGCCAGTTCGCATCAGCTGAGCGCTCGCGGTTGGAGAGCGCCAATGGCAGAGCCCCGGCTCTTGGCTGCGATCCCGCTGGTAAGTGGGCAGCGAAGCTTCTGTGGGTGGCGCCATCGCTCCTGATTGGCTCGATCCCGAAGCTGGCTGGTTCCTGTGGCCCTACGAAACTTATCCTATTGAAGGGACTGGATGTTCTCGTCTCGGGGTTACGTAGCAGGGACTTTGGAGCTTGAATACGGTTGTAAACATAAATTTCCACGTTGAGACGCGCTTTTGGATTATCCTGTGCCCTGAATTCCCCTCGTTCTGAGAGGTGTGTACGGTTCATGGCTGCAAAATGATGTTTGCTCATAGCTATCTTTTGACTACCCTATGGCCTAAATTGTACCTTCTAGTCATGGGTTGGGTTTATTGGGCCTCAATGAAATTTCCCCCTTGGCCTGTTCACCGTGATTGTAAATGGGCCAGGAGATTGTAACTGGCATAAACGTCACCTCAGCAGGAAATGATACAAAGTCACACTGCTCTCTACAAAGTTCTGATATGCCAAATAGCCCACCCTTATTATTGCCTCCTTTGGTCACCACCTGGTGTGGGAAGTCAAGTGCATTAACTTTTGAGTTCAGTATCTCCCCTGTTATCCTTGTCTCCCCAACTTGGTGCTGCAGGGAGGGTTCTGGAGCAATTTATAAAGTGCTACCTGTTTGCCTCTCCCTTTCCTTACTGTCACCCCCCCCGTCTGTCTATTAGCTTCTAAACCATGGGTAAGGTAAAGGTAAAGGGACCCCTGACCATTAGGTCCAGTCGTGACCGACTCTGGGGTTGCAGCGCTCATCTCGCTTTATTGGCCGAGGGAGCCGGCGTACAGCTTCCGGGTCATGTGGCCAGCATGACTAAGCCGCTTCTGGTGAACCAGAGCAAAGCAGGAAACACTGTTTACCTTCCCGCTGGAGCGGTACCTATTTATCTACTTGCACTTTGACGTGCTTTCGAACTGCTAGGTTGGCAGGAGCAGGGACCGAGCAACGGGAGCTCACCCCATCGTGGGGATTCGAACCGCCGACCTTCTGATCAGCAAGTCTAGGCTCTGTGGTTTAACCCACAGCGCCACCCATGTCCTAAACCATGGGTAGGACCTGTCTGTTGTACTATTTTTGTATACTGCTTAGATGTAGGTTCTCTATCATAGAATCACAGAATCTTAGACTCTTAGAGTTGGAAGGGACCCAAGGGTCATCTAGTCCAACCTCCTGCAATGCAGGAATCCCAGCTAAAGCATCCATGATAGATGGCCATCCAACCTCTGCTTAAAAACCTCCAAGGAAGGAGAGTCCACCACCTCTTGTGGGAGTCTGTTCCACTGCCGAACAGCTCTTACTGTCAGAAAGTTTTTCTGAATGTTAAATCGGAATCTCCTTTCACGTAACTTGAAGCCATTGGTTCAAGTCCTACCCTCCAGAGCAGGAGAAAACAAGCTTGCTCCATCTTTCATGTGAAAGCCCTTAAGATATTTGAATATGGCTATCATATCTCCTCTCAGTCTCCTCTTTTCCAGGCTAAACATACCCAGCTCCTTCAAGTGCTCCTTGTAAGGCCTAGTTTCCAGACCCTTCGATAATCTTGGTTGCCCCCCACTGCACATGTTCCAGCTTGTCAACATCCTTCTTAAGTTGTGGTGTCCAGAATTGAACACAGTATTCCAGGTGTGGTCTGACCAAGGCAGAACAGAGTGGTACTATTACTTTCCTTGATCTAGACACCATACGTCTGTTAATGCGACCTAGAATAGGCTTTTTTTTTGCTGCTACATCACACTGTTGATTCATGTTAAACTTGTGGTCCACCAAGACCCCTAGGTCCTTTTCACATGTACTGCTAGTAAGCCAGATGTCCCCTATCTTATATTTGTACATCTGGTTCTTTCTCCTAAGTGCAGAACCTTGCATTTGTCCCTATTAAAATTTATTTTGTTAGCCCAGGCCCAGTTCTCCGATCTGTTAGGGTCATTTTGAATTCTGATTCTGTCTTCTGTGTCATTAGCTACCCCCCCCCCTCCACAAGGCAGCTATCCCACTTTTTCTCCCTCTCAGCAACTGTGTAAATTAAGTTAGGTCAACCCTCCAAGAAGAAATATAAGACGGGCAGATGAGTGATTGATGGAAGGAAGTTCTGAGGTAGAGAGAAACAGCTGGATGTCCTCTTAGTGTATAGGTGATACTGAATTCATGAGATTTAATGAGGTCACCTGGGGACAGTGTGTAGAAAGAATAGTAGAGGCTCAAAAACATATCTTCAAGGGAGAGAAGGAAAGGTTCTACTCACAGAAACATTCAAAGATTGTTTAGACAGGTAGGAGAATCACTGGACAGTCACAAAGGAAGTCAAGTAATAGAAAGTAATTAAGTGCATCGAAGGTGACAGGTCAAGAAAGATGAGAAATGAGTAGAAGCCTTTGGGTTTAACTTTCTGTGCTGAGGGTGTTTTCAGCGGAAAACAGAGGGGTTCCACTCTCCTTTTGGGGTTCAGGAGAGGAATTGGAGTAGAGAGCCAATATAGTGGAGTTAAGCAGCACCAGGGAGTTTAGATGCAATGGGCAGAAACTACATTTGGGGGTGGTTGAGGAGGGATCAAACTCTTGGGGAGAGATTGATTAACAAATAGTTTACTGTGCTTTCTGTGCTTACTCCGGCATTCAGAAATATTTGTGTATGCAGTCATAATTAATGCAAGATTCCTTGCCATCTGGTTTGCAGTTTGTTCATAGCATTCTGCTTTAAGAAGTGGGACTAAAATTTCCTGCATAATCTGAGTGGGAGGGTGCATTCCATGTGAGAGCAGGCAAGGTCAGTTTTCATTAAGAGTCTCAATTGCCTTGTTAGCAATAGATATTATCTGGTATTACAGCAGTCTAATATTTTAATAGTACGATAAGCCTTGAGAAGGAATTCCATGGGGGAACAGCATGTCCTTATTGAAATGGAGTAAGCCTAGGACCTTAAGGGAAGGTCCCAGGAATATTTCCAGTGACTGAGCAAAGGGTTTATGTTACCAGGAAATTCTTTGGAGCTGTGGGGCACAATGAGTCCAACATCTTGCATGCGATCTCTTCTCTTGGTGTGTTCTGAAGCGTAGAAGCTGCTTGTATCAATTACCTCCGTGACTCCAATGAGGGTTACCAAGGAAGGGGGCAAATGGCACCTGGAACCCTTCCAGGTGTTGTCATGGTAACTAGGTTTGAAGCCATGTGGCTTCTGGAAGATAACCCCTGGGACTGCTGGCACCAAGACACATTCTAAATTGCAAAATCATAACTAAGAGCCCTATTAGTAACTGCTTGCCTTTAGTCTAATTATGTAGTTGCTACCTTCTGGACCAGAGTTAGATTAAACCTGAAGAATTCATGCTCTCCTCAGGCTTTGCTGTCTTTTTCATTCATTTGTAACCCATATTAGCATAATTTTGCTCTCATTACACCTTTGATTTTCTCCAAGTTATAAGCAAAAGTGGTCTATGAATGCTTTCCTGTGTCATTTTAGCAAAACATGTGTGACCATCGCTGCCCTCACAGGCCTCCCTCTCTATTGAAAATGGTAACTGAAGGCAGGCAAACCCTTCACCTTATTGCCAGTTATCTGTCCAGATTGGAGATTCCTGCAATATTAAAATCAAGTTGGGATTTTCCACTTGTGGTTGTCTTCAGGATGAATAATTTAATCATGCACATTTGTGGTTTTCCATTCATCAAGCAATACAGTGGGTCTCTCAGTGCAGATGATGTAACAATGAGCAAAAATGAGATGCAGAGATATGAGCAGATCTGTGTTTAACAGAAGAGCATAAATGTAACTAGGACTAAAATCTTTTGCTGCTTGTGAGCACCTTTCCATCATCAGTAACTGGTATTAGTAGTATAGCTGGCTGAAATGATGTATTGACTGGTGTACTATGAGCGTTACAAGAGGAGAGTCTTGTGATAACAGTCAGTACCAGGGCAAGTTCTTCACAAAAGCCCCTTTGTCTTTTCTATTCTTTTTCGTAGCTATGATATGGTGCATTATGGGCACTCCAACCAGCTGCGGCAAGCTCGTGCGATGGGTGATTATCTGATCGTAGGAGTCCACACAGATGGTAAGGAAACTGGCCCACTTTTCTCCTTGTTACAGAAGCACCCCTGGAAAGAAACCCAGAAAGTGAAATTGTGAGCAGCAAATTCCTTTCAGTCAGAATATGTAACAATATGGCTAGATTCTCCCCCTACCATCTGCATGATTTCACAGTCCACAATTTGGGGGTTGCTAGCCTGATGCCACTGAGATGCTCACAGCCTAAGCATGACAGTAGTGTTGATTTTCTCCAGCATCCAGTAGTCAGAGGTGTATTGCGAGAGAGGAGAGGGATGAATTACTGCCTTTCTGTCCGCTTAAAGCCATGTCTAGCCTTTTGAGACTTCACCTTCTACTGCCCATATTTTTCCAAAGTTTATTCTGAACTGATTAGGACTAGGAACTCTTTAGGATGTGAGATGCCAGTTTGCTTAGGAAACGTATGGACCTGTTGAACACACGCAGACCTGGTATTAACAAACTTCTCTCTCTCTGTCTGTCTTAAATCTCAGAGGAGATCTCCAAGCATAAAGGACCCCCTGTCTTCACTCAAGAGGAGAGATACAAAATGGTGAAGGCCATCAAGTGGGTGGACGAGATTGTACCAGGAGCTCCTTATGTCACAACCTTGGAAACGCTGGATAAATACAACTGTGACTTCTGTGTACATGGGAGTGAGTACCTGATACTCTTCTAGCTGGTTATCTGTGAATGATCGGCCCAGTTGCATCTAACTGTGGCTCTCAGGCTAAAATAAATGGTTTTCTGTCTTTGCCAGTAAATCTCAAGCTCATTCACTATCCTGGACTTTATCCATTCCGCAGCATAGACTAAAGCCATAGAGGTGTGCTCCAAAAAGCAGTAGGGTGCTTTTGGGAACAGAAATAAAACGGAGACCAATACCGTCTGCAGAACAACACTCAAGTTATCTAAAATTACTACATCCGTGTTCCCAAAGGATTCTGTTTGATCCACAGTGCTCTTTCTCATCTAGTCTGGGAAGGGCAGCAGACTAAAGCTTCCCCCAGCTTTAGAGAAGGCAGGCCTGCTCATATACACAAGTTCACCATAACTTAACTGTGGTGTGTGGTTTTAGGCTTTCGCCGATTAGTCTTCCTAAGCAGCTTCTCTAATTTGCCAGCAATGATCTGTTTCCCCCCCTTCCCTTCACAGATGATATCACACTTACTGTGGATGGCAAGGACACCTATGAGGAAGTAAAGAATGCTGGGAGATACAGGTGATGCCCTGCTTAGGACTGTTGTTGCCCTGCTCAAAATCCGTCCCCATATCAGAATAGCGAAACATTGCCGAGCGGATCGGTTAATTTTATTCATTGCGTTTGTAGCTTGCTTTCCTTCCATACAGTTTGAAATGTGTACATGTCAATTCCCAGGTGGCCTCCTGCAGAAATGCTGGTCATGCCTGAGCCCATTTAGCTTCAGTGTCAATATTACATTAGGCTTCTTGGTGCCATTCCCTTGTCCCCATATAAATGTGGTGTGCTTCAGGGATAATCTTGGGGCAGGAAGGAAATGTGAATGTGAGTGTAGTGTGAACATGGTGAGTAGCCATTGCCAAGGGACCCTATCTCACTCTGAGCTTGTCTTATTGCAGGGAATGTAAGCGCACTCAGGGAGTATCCACCACAGATCTGGTTGGCCGCATGCTGCTCATGACCAAGGCTCACCACAGCAACATTGTGAGTCAATGAAAGAGTTTGAGAGTTTGAGGTGGGGAACGGGGCTTCTTGGCTACACTGACTTACCAAGGCAATCCGGGCTTTCTGATCTGAGATTGCTTCCTGGACAGATTGTAGCAAGCTCTGCTGCTTGCGTGCGCCAGGACTAGAAGCTGTTTGGCAGAAGCCTTTGAGGCAGCAGGTGCCAAAAGCAAAGAGAAAAAACATATGTTTGATGAAGTGGCCTTTGCAATCTGCACAGAATTATCACTCTTAGTGTTTAGACCATGTGTACTGTGTTGATGGACTGGCAAGGAGGGAAGAAAAGGATTCAGAAGCTGTTCATGTAGGTCATCAGATGGCAGCGATGGGATTAGGGAGCAGGGTTTTCAGGTGGATTGCCTGGAGAATGGTACAGGACATCACAGGTCAGGAGTGTGTACATGTATATTTGTGTGTCGGTGTCAGATTGTTGCCGTTTGCCTTGTGGGCAAGATGGCTTGTCCTGAAGATATACATGGGGTTGTGGAATTGAAGCATTTGATCTTGAGTTTCACTTTGCATCTTGATGTGCGTGGGCTGAAGACGGAAACCAAACACTGTCCCATTAAGTGTCTGTTTTAGTTTGAACTGAGAGATTGTCTTCTTTACATGGATGTGAAATGCTTGTACTACCTCCAGTGTCAAGGGGCAGTATGCTTCCAAATATCAATTGCTGGCAATCACAGGTGGGGAGAGGGCTGCTGCACTTGCAGGTTTCCCACAGGTATCTGGCTGGCCACTGTGAAAAACGGACGCTGTACTAGAAGGGCCTTTGGTCTCATCCAGCAGGACTCCTTTTATGTACTTAGGGTGGGAAAACTTGAGTGATGGCAGCTATTTCCTATCACAAGGGTGGAGAACCTGTGGCTGGCCTGGTGTTGCTGGGCCATAATTCCCATCATCTCTTGTCCATTGGCCTTGCTGGATGGGGCTGATGGGAGTTGGAGTCCAACAACCTCTGGAGGGCAATAAACTTCCCACCCTTGCCATTTCTGATCCCTAGCACCCTGTGTTTCCTTCCTTAACTAGAAAGTCGTATAGGCATTTTTCCACATTTCATTGACATGCTTGCTTTCTCTCTTAGGATGAAGACATGGATTATCGGAAGCACACAGATAACTTTGGGAAAGTGAGTACCATTTCCAGTGACTGCAAATGAAGCCTGGGATGTGATTCCTGCATGCTGTGTGGTTTTGCATTTTTTACTGTGGCTTTTCCCTGCCTGGTTTTACCCTGAGCAGACCTGACTTCAGCAGTGGAGGGTGTGATGGGAACAGGCAGAATCTGGGACAATGTCATGGTTAAGTAACTACTAGATACGCAACACACTATTCACAACAGGGTAAAATGAAGATGAAAAAGCCACAGAGAGAATGGGTGGGACAAGCTGTAGTGGTTTTATCTCCCAATCTAGTGAAGGATTAAAAGACATGAATTGCAGCTTTCATCCTTGTGGGAATGTTCTGGGGTGCAGGAGAGGATATATTGACTAATTATATCCTTATCCAACTTGTGCTAACAAGTTCCCAAAATATCAGCAGAGTTTATAAACATTCCCCTTTAAGTTCGCAACGGTAACGTGTGCACAGGTTCGCTAGAACCTCTATAATAATTACTCTGGTAATTTCCCCTTTGTTCCCTCTTAAAATACAAGACACGACACAGTCTTTATAAAAGTATAAAAGAGTTTACTCACGTTCTGTTCACAATATGATCCCAGAAGGCAGACAGCTTAAAAGGTTACATACATTCAGAATCTATCTTGTAGCAAGATAGTCCTTATCTCCTCTCTTGGCTGGGAGCCAAGAGAGCACCCTTAGATGTTTCCTCATTGAAAGAAAATGGCAGAGAGAGAGAGATGGCTGCCTGCCCTGTGCTTTTATCATTTACCTGCACAGGTGAGGCCACACCCACCTCTGGTGACTTGCGGAGGAAGTCCGTCCCCAGGAAGTTTACCTGCTTGCTGGACTGACATCCCTCCCCATGTTCTAACATGTACACTCTAGGAATGTTGTCATTGACTGCTCCTGTGTTTACATCCCACAATCCTGACAATCGTAGCAGACATGCAGCTTCATCTGGTGTGAACTGTTAATATGGCCAAGAAAGTATCTGCTTGTTCATGCCACTTTATTTCCTGTTGTTTTGTTGAGAGTTACTTGTGAAAAGATAAGCTTGTTGGTGTGAACATCAGCTCAGTGATCAAGGAGATTGTTTGGGGTTTTTTGCAGCTGATTTCTAGTCTCACCAGGACTTCAATGGAATATCTATTTCAGCCAACTGAAATACCTTTAGTATCCGCCAAGTTATACAGTAGAGTCACGTGGAAGCTTATTGTGTCTTGGAAAAACTTTGTGCTTTTTTTTCTGGCCTCAGGAATGTGTGCTTTGGCACCAGCGTTGTAATGTGTGTATATCAGATTGGTTGACTAAACTAGCTGTAGAAGCAGTACTTATTGCTGCCGCGTGGTGGAGCTAAACTCTACAAATAGGTTGTTGAGATATCTCAAATGAGTCATCGAAGTTTTCTTTTTTACTTTCCAGATTTCTCCCAGAAAGGGGAAATCCAGATCAAATGGGGTAAAAATATGGGCTGGTATTTTGTCCACAATATCACATGGACACTGAAAAAAACCAAAAACTTTTGTGCATTGATCTGGCAGTAAACATCTGTCTGCAAGCACCTATTGATAAAGCTGGGATGTTGTGTTGACTGTGTGGCATGCCTGTGCTAGGAGTGTGTTCTCAATGACATTTCAGTCTGCTTCTTTCACAACTCATCCCAACTGAAGCCTGCCAAGGTATTAAGGTTGTGCTCTTTTCTCCAGTGCCCTAAAAGTCACAGCCCCTGGACCGGAGTTTCCCAGTTTCTGCAGACATCCCAGAAGATCATCCAGTTTGCATCTGGCAAGGAGCCACAACCAGGAGATACTATAATCTACGTGGCTGGTGCTTTTGACCTCTTTCGTATCCTGTTTCCTTTTGGGCCGGGTGGAAGGAGGTGTCTGTGAGGCAAATTACGGGTTCCTGCCACCTTGTGTTTGGTCTTACTGTACCCCAGGTCTCAAATGGCCCTGCTGTGTTTTGCTTTTGTTTTGTTTTGTTGAAAGTTGTTAAGAAACCCCTATTCCCCTCCCAGAGTGGTTTAACAATCAATCGCTCTTCCCATGGAACTCTGTGGATTGTACCACTCTGAGGAGAACAAGTCAGCTATAGTTGTTCTTGTTTGACTTAGACCTTGCAAGGCATTGCCACCCCTTCTACAGTTTCTACTGTAGTAGAGAGTGCATTTTGGGCCCAGGTTCCTTACTGATGTGCCAGAAATACAGTCAGCTCAAAACATAGGCTTTTGCACTTCCTCTTTAAAACCATATGTGTTAAGAATTTTCTGCTGTGATAGCCAAACTAGCCCAGGAGTCTTTGAGTTATAAACTCTAACAACCATCTTCGAAGAAGCTGAACTCTGCCTGGGTCATCCTGTATCACGCATTCCAATGCATCCCAGTCTGTTACATTTCAGCTGCTGCCGCTACAATGGCTGAGTGAAAGGCACATGAACAATAAAGGATGTGTACAGACATGCCTTAAACAGGGCTTTCCATGTTTCCCCCTCCCATAAAGGAAACCCACCTTTCCCTGACCTTCACTTTGCATTTGATAGACCTACGCATCCATGATTCATCTGCTGGTCTCAGCCACCTGTCTTTGCTTGTCAGTCTTCAGTCATTGCAGGCAACATTTGTTGCTTTATTAGTATTTTTTAAAGGAAAAACACATTTTAAAAGAGTTACAAGGTCACTCTGAAGTTATAGGTCACAAGTGCCAAACCACCAGTGCTGTGCCGGAAGATTTTTTATGTCAACTGTAGAATTGGTTTCCCTTGCGCTTGACCCTGATATAGCGTATTGGAAGTCTGTAAACAATGTGGTAAGTTCACTTCCACAGCTACTCAGTTGCTCCAGCGCTGAGTGTCTGTGTGCATCCAAACCATAGTAACTCAGATTGTCACAGCGGTTGCTGAGACTACCAGGAAAAGAAGCATAGAGTCTATGAGAAGCAAACAGAAAGTCGCTACTTCTCATTCTGTGCCACAGGCTTTTATCCTTAATACATACACTCTCCAGATGTTGGTCATGTGGACTTCCTGGAGAAAGCGCACCAGATAGCAAAGCGACCTTATATAATTGTGGGGCTACATTTTGACCAGGTGGGTATCAGCATCACACTGCCCAGGCAGGGTTGGTCATTTGTTCCTTCTCATCTCAGCTGGGAGGGAGGGAGGGGTGGGAATGCAAAACTTCCACTTGTGCTGATTGTCATATTTTAATCGTAGGAGGTGAATCTGTACAAAGGCAAGAACTATCCAATCATGAATGTGCATGAACGAACCCTCAGTGTTCTAGCCTGCAGGGTGAGTGTTAGATGAAATCTTCCTCTTACAACTAGGACATGGTCAGAATGAGCCAGATAAAGCCGAGCACATCTGGCTGTGGTAGACCACCTGGTAAGCTTAAAAATGTCACTGGAAGGTGCCTGATACACAGAGTTCAGTAACTGAAACAGCCATTGGCAGATGTGGGAATCCAGAGTGACTGTTGTCTTCTCTCCCTCCCCCCTCCTCTTAGTATGTTTCTGAGGTGGTGATTGGAGCCCCCTATTCCATCACTGCTGATCTGCTGGATCATTTTAAGGTGAGTATAGTTCCATTGATTGATTGATTGTGTTTGTGTGATTTCTACTAACTGGGGCAGGGAGTGTATGCTCTTGGGAACCTGTTGTTAAAAGGAAGTATCTATACACACCTGTAAATTAGTTTGGCCGGAGAACATGCTGGGGCACATGGGGAAAGGGGAACGAATGCATGTATTTCTAGCAGCAATTACTCTGTAGCATCTCCTCTGGTTCTGAAAAGCTATCATCTGTACCCAGCCTGACTATTGTTCCCTATTTGATGAGGGGTGGGCTGCACTACCAGGATGCTTGTGAGGAAGAGAACACATTAACGATTGTACCAATATGTTTTGGATCAGCCATGGAGGTAACTGCCTATATTTTTGTGGGTGAGTTGCTGGCAGTTGTCTCCCTTCATACTGTACCTGTGGTAGACAAGCGCTTGAGAGATATGTCCCTTTGCTTCTGAAGTTTCACAGGTAGCCACATCATACTGTAGGGGAGCCTGCGAGCGAAGGCGATAGTGACTATTGCTGTTTCTCTGCAGGTAGACTTTGTGTGCCATGGAATGACAGAGGTGGTACCAGACAAGAATGGGTCAGATCCATATGAGGTAAGCAGAAAACTCCTTCCTGGTTAGTGCTGATTTCATGCCATCTATTGCCCAAACCACAGTGCATGGCAGAGAATTGGGTTCCCTTCTGGAGGGCAGTTTTTGAAAAATGAGTATGTGGGTAACTGGGTAATAAGGCTTGTCCTGTCATTTGTGTGACCAAGTGGCAAGCCTCTCCTTGCTGTGGGAAAGTTCAGTTCTGTTCCTTCCTTGAATGCACTTGAGTTGTCAGCTTTTCCTGCAGCTGTGGCGCATATTGGGCATTCAGAAACTATTTTGGCAAATGCCTGTTGTTAACTTCTTTGGAATGCCTCTAAAGAGCCATTGCCTTGTGTCCTCTCATCTCTCTTCCCCATATTTGCAGGAACCCAAGAAGCGTAATATCTTCCGGCTGGTCGACAGTGGCAACAATCTCACAACAGATCTGATAGTGAAAAGAATAATCAAAAACAGGTTGGCTGACCTTGACTTTGGTTCACTTGGGCACAATAAGGCCTAGATTCTACTGTGCTGTAACTCCTTGCTTATCTTTCTTTTATTTTGAAGTCCCGTACAGTGCTAGTCATATTACAGACTAAACACAAATTCACAGATGGGAATAGCTAAAATACTTTCCAACATCCCTGAAGATGAAATTTCAACAGTTTCATTTCAATGTTCAAAACCTACAAGAAGTGTGGTGCTTGGAACAAAGATTTTGTGCTCTGCACTCTTGTTGCCTCCCCATAGTTTCAAGTCTACAACTATCCACTGCCTGATATTCTAGTTGCTGTGCCCTCTGTCAGTTTTGACAGTACTAGCACATTCTGAATTCTTTGAAAACAGATATGGCAACCAGAATTTATTATGCAAGTATGAGTAAGCCATTGGTGTGTGCATAATAGTTACCTGGAGCACTGCATTTGCTGTTTTAAGGACTGTCTTGGCAAGGGAGAGCTTTTGTACCAAGCAGTCTGCTGCGATACTGGATTCTGTCTGATGCTGCTGCCATGCCGTTTGAAGAAGCATGAGCGAATCCGTTGTCCTTGCCCACACAATTCTCATAGTGGTTAGACTATGTCTGTTCCCATGATGGTTCCTGAGCTCTGAACAGACTTTTCCGGGCACCTTTAATTAAGAATGTTGAATCCCTGAAGCCATTGGGTCCTCAGCTAGAGTCTTCCACATGGCTGCCTTAGATGGTTTACTTGTCCAGAGCCTCTCCTAGGAGGGATCAGTGTTGAAGCAGCAGAAGTGAGTGGCTTAGCAGAGTAGTATTTTTTCTGTCTCGGCTGTTTGGAGCGTCTCCACCCCCATCGTTCAGCCTGGACACAGAGATCCAGCACTGAGGGTCTTCTGGCAGTTCCCTCACTGTGAGAAGTGAAGCTACAGGGAGCCAGGCAGAGGGCATTCTTGGTGGTGGCAACCTGGAACGCCCTCCCATCAGATGTCAAAGAGATGAGTAACTATATAACCTTTAGAAGACATCTGAAGGCAGCCCTGTATAGGGGAGCTTTTTAATGTGCAATGTTTTATTATGTTTTTATACATGTTGGAAGCCACCCGGTGTGGCTGGGGCAACCCAGTCAGATGGGTGGGGGTACAAATAATAAAATCATTGTCCTTACAATTGAAAGAGCACAGTGGACTTAAACATTCCATGCTGATACAGATTTCTCGATTGTTGCAGGTTGGAGTTTGAAGCCCGGAACCAAAAGAAAGAAGCAAAAGAATTGGCTGTGCTGGAGGCCATGAAGAGAAGAGAGGAGGAAGGGGCCCTGGGGAAGGCAGGCCAGGAAGATCATGAGAGCTAGCATGGGGAACGGTGTAGCAGAATCCTTCCCTCCTGGAGCGGCAATATTTTCCTGGAGGATAGGATACTGCTGCCAGCCTTAGGAAGGCCTGCGGTAACAATTCTCCCGTGTGTGGGGAAGATCCCGGATGCTGCTATCTAGTTAGCCCAGGCCCACTCCCATGGGAAGATTTTAACATTGCCCTCTCAATAGCAGGTTTCAATTCTAATGAATGTTTGCAACATGGTGTGATTTCACCTGACATATTGGAGCTGGGGAGTCAGGGTTATCTCTGCTCAACTTCTTATTGAGTCTCTGCATGTCGGAGCATCTCTCTGATTTCTGCCTGCCAGAGACAATTTTTTAATCTTTAAAACCGTCCTTTCTGGTCTGGCTCATTGCTTACAGCATTAATAGGATCCCAGAGCATTCGCTCAACAGCAGTGCTTGCTGGAGTTGGGCTCCAAGCCAGACTGACCACTACATTTCCTAGCTTGGGCACAAAGGGTTCTCTAAGTGGCCTGTTGCTGCTTGCACACACTGCCTTGCATCTGGTACCTACAAAATACTTCCAAGCTGTAACAGTGGATGGAGCTTAGGCAAGTCCCAGAGTTCCCCGGTGGTAGACAGTGGCCCTCACTGCTCTGTACTCAGACATGTGTGTTTAGGCCTATGGCCAAGCAAGAGATTGGTGGCACTGCAATTCTCAATGTTCCCACAAAACACAAATACCGCATAGATCTTCAGAATGTGCTTGGAGCTCCATCCTAAAGCCCCAGTGCGTTGCTTCACAACCAGGGCTTCATTCTCATCCATATGGGCCTTGTGGTTCTTGTGCAGAGAGATGGAGACATCAGATACATTGAGCCCAGTATACTGTGTATTGTATTTAAAATGCTTTGTGCTGCTAAAGTTGAATGCTTTGTGGTGAGATCTAAGTGCAGATCACTGTCTGAGGCATCTTTTCATGCGTAGTGGGAAACACATGTGACCATGGGGCTCTTCCCTGTCCAGGCAGGCTCTGTGTCTTTTCTATCTCTCTTGTACAATTTCAGCAGTGGAAATTAATAAAATGTTGATGACTTACTTGTGTGGCAGTGATTACTTTATTTTATTTATTAAATTTCTATCCCACCCTTCATCTGAAGATCACAGTGTAAAAGTACAAAATACATACCATAATAACAAACAAAAAAACAATAGCCCCCATATTATTGTTATTAGCCCTGCTTTTGGGCTTCCTGAGAAGCATGTGGTTGGTTATTGTGAGTACTGGGGCAACCCATTAAATGTGTGTGGGGTATAAATAGTAAAATTAACATTATGGAATGGGACATCCCTATCTTCATCAGAGAAATGTTGGTGGGTATGGGACTGCGTATTGTGTTACATTTCCCAGAAACTTCTGTAGTGGGAAATTCACGTCTGAAGATGGGAGGAGCGGCAACACGATGTACACATACAGTTGCACCACCTGGCAATTTGTTAGTTTTCATTTTGTTTATAAAGCCTAAAACATAATCTCTCATAACCACTATTTCCCTCAGTTCCTTGGACTCCCTTTCCAATGAAAGTCAGTTTAGGCATAGGGATCTGCTCTTTATCTTCTGCTGTAAGGCCCTTCCTGTGACATTTTGCCACTTTGCTTCTTCCTTCCCACTCCCCCTGTGCCCCCCCCTCCTGCTTCTAGTTGCCACTAGCTTGTCCCTGCCACTCACCACTCACAGACACTCGCCACTCCTGGATACTTGATCCCCCTCTGCTGTAGCTGTGCCCCCCTGCCACAACCAATCCATGGCCACACACACCACAGCCCACACACCCCAACTGCCAGTCCATCAGGCCTTCCCCAGGAGGAGAAGGCACAGCAGTGGGTAGGCCGCAGCAGTGGGGTGGCATGGGCACAGCGAAGGAGGAGCAGGATGAAGCAATGACCACCAGGCAGCAGCAGCAGCAGCAGCAAGCAGCAGGTGGTGTCTGCAGCAGCAAGTGGCAAGAGCCCACTGCCCTGTGGCAATGCACACTGGGTGTGCAGTGGCAGCACTGCCCCAGGAGCCTGGCACCAAGGCAGCTGCCTCACTGTGCCTCATGAGCAGGCAGGCCCTGTCTGCTGTGAAGCCAAAGTCGTTCAGCTTCTCTGCAATCTCCTTAACCTCCTTTGCCCTACTGTTGACTCCCTTGGCATGCAAAGGTCCAACCGCCTCCCTAGCCAATCTCCTGTTGCTAACATATTTAGAGATTTTTGTTGACTGTCTTTAAGGTTGGCCTTCATTGTTTAAGCAACGTACTCCTCAAATTCTTTTTTAAGTATCCCTTATTAAACCTGCTTCTTGGGTGAAAAGCAATGACAAACCTAGACAGCATCTTAAAAAGCAGAGGCATCACCTTGCCAACAAAGGTCCATATAGTAAAAGCTATGGTTTTCCCAGTAGTGATGTATGGAAGTGAAAGCTGGACCATAAAGAAGGCTGATCGCCGAAGAATTGATGCTTTTGAATTATGGTGCTGGAGGAGACTCTTGAGAGTCCCATGGACTGCAAGAAGATCAAACCTCTCCATTCTGAAGCAAATCAGCCCTGAGTGCTCACTGGAACGACAGATCCTGAAGCTGAGGCTCCAATACTTTGGCCACCTCATGAGAAGAGAAAAGACCCTGATGTTGGGAAAGATGGAGGGCACAAGGAGAAGGGGACGACAGAGGACGAGATGGTTGGACAGTGTTCTTGAAGCTGCCAGCATGAGTTTGACCGAACTGCGGGAGGCAGTGGAAGACAGAAGTGCCTGGCGTGCTCTGGTCCATGGGCTCATGAAGAGTTGGACACGACTAAACAACAACATTAAACCTTTTTTTTTTTTTTTTTTGGCCAAAGGTTGTGTTCCCTTTTTTGTTCTCATTTGGACAAGGCTTCCATTAGAAAATGGAATTCCCTCTGTTAGCTTCTTTGGCTCTGCTGTTAACTACACTTGGCCCATTGATTTCTAGGGGTAGCTTTCGTTTCCTAGGGAAGAAGTGGTGGGAAGTGGCCTTGAAGGATCAGTTGAAGGGTAGGTGAGAAGAAGACCAGTAGTGGGGTTGGGGGGAGAGGAAATTGTTGTGCTCATCCTAAGAGCTGTAATATTAATAATGTTGTGGTTTCTGCAGAGAGTGGCTGGCAGATTCAAGACCCTGCCACCAAACATGTAATATTTGGTGAGGAAGATTGTCTTTGGGGAGCATGGAGTAGTTTCACAGCACTTCCAGACTTCCATCTCCTTTGCCACACTCTGACTGCCCACCTGGACAAGAGGGGCTGCTGTGGCCTAGGCACCTCCTCTGCTCCTTTCCTTGCCAAGTGCCACCTGGCTATGGGCCGTTGACTGAGCTCTTTGCCCCGTTCCCACCTCTCGCTGGAACCTTAACAAAGTGGCATTCATGCCCTGAAACTCCTCTCCTTCTGAGCATCTCATGTTTGTTTTTAATCTTCGCCTTGTTACCATTTTTGAATTAATTTCTCTGAAACTTGAAACTCCTCTGGGCCCGGCCGCTTCTGCAGAGTGCGAGATTTGGAAAGGATTTGTCATTAAATGCAAACAGCTCAGCCCAAAGTGGCAAATCTACCGCGGGCTGTGCATTTCCATAGGAAGAAGGTGCCGCTGGCTTCCAACTGTTTGGAAATTGTTATTAAAAATGTCAGACTTATTTAATTTTTGCCTTCCCTGCTGCTTCGCAGCCTGAATCTGAAACTTCAGGTCTACTCAATCAAATGCAATGAGCAGTGCCTGGCGGAGCTGGAGTTACTCACAACACCTTATTGTTCTTTCTGATCACAAACCCTTTTGCATTTTACATTTCCCCTGCTCTTAAAGTGCCTGTGGGTCCCTGCCTTTCTGTGCTGGCATTTGCTGATGGGTTGTTTCCCCCTTGGGGAATGGGAGATGGTAACGAACTTGGAGTTAGATTATGGGGAAGGTTCATGAATTTCAAATGGAGGCTGTTTACTGTTGCCTGTCTCAATAAAAGCTCTGGGACCTGGCAGTCATTGCTCGCTCACTTTTAGGAGCAATCTTGTTCCATTAAACTAGTAGTGAGGAGCCTGCAGCTCTCCAGATGATCCTGGACTACAGCAGGGCCATTGGTGAGGCTGGATGGGGCTGATGCGAGTTGGAGCCTAATAACATCTGGAGGACTGAAGATTCTTCCAATGCCACTGCCTACATTAACCCAATGGTCCACTTTCTAGTCCAGTATTCTGTTCCTGTGGCCAGTTTTTAGAATCAGTAAACAGTAAAGTTTAACACAGAGTACTTCATCCCTATGCTTCTACTGGCCTGACCTACAGGGATACAGTGGTACCTTGGTTCTCGACCTTAATTCATTCCAGGAATCTGTTCAACTCCTGAAACCGTTCGACAACTAAGGCACAGCTTCTGATTGGCTGCAGGAGAGTTGGATGTTTGGCTTCCGAAAAATGTTTGCAAAACAGTTCACTACACATCTTGGGGGATTTTGCATTCATCTCGGAGCCTAGACTGATGTGCTTATGTACAAAGGTCAGGAAGGAATAAGGGAAACTGAATCTTAACTAGTCCTTAATTCTGGCTTGGTGGTGGTTGTTTTTTAAAAGCTTCCATCTGCCTACCCATTGCTTAATATTAAGGAGGGGAGGCACTGCTATTTGTATCAAGAGCACGTTGCAGAAAACTTCCGCAACGAAACACCAGTTTGGAGGGGCCAGCGTTTTCTTGTCAGTATTAGCAGAGCAGCAAGTGTGAATTTTGGGGGTCAAGTGCATCAGCAGACCAATACAGAGCCTGCGGTGTAAGATAGGCTTCATACAGGTGAGTTGCATGCAGAAGGACAGTTTGTATGCAAGGGCCCTCAGAAGATGTAACACACCATTATGGATGAGGGCAGGTTGGTCTCACTGTAATAGTGTTGCCATGCACTTTCCTTTGTGAATGGGTACTATATATTTGTGAATGGGTACACATGTGAATGGGTAAAGGTAAAGGGACCCCTAACCATTAGGTCCAGTTGCGGATGACTCTGGGGTTGCGGTGCTCATCTCGCTTTATTGGCCGAGGGAGCCAGCGTACAGCTTCCGGGCCATGTGACCAGCATGACTAAGCCGCTTCTGGCAAACCAGAGCAGTGCATGGAAACACCGTTTACCTTCCCGCCGGAGTAGTACCTATTTATCTACTTGCACTTTGACATGCTTTCAAACTGCTAGGTTGACAGGAGCAGGGACCGAGCAACAGGAGCTCACCCTGTTGTGGGGATTCGAACTGCCGACCTTCTGATCGGCAAGTCCTAGGCTCTGTGGTTTAACCCACAGCGTCACCCGCGTCCCGGGTGAATGGGTACTATTGTGAATAGGTACTATTCATTAAAAAGGGGAGGGAGTGAAAGAATGATTTAGGAACACTGTGGAAGTAAGTGCTAAACCTTTCCCACCTTTCTAGTGATTCTAGCCACTGAGAATCAAACCTGTTCTTACTTGGATTCTGTTCTGTTAATCACTAGAATATGAAGCAGTGGCAGAACTGGGTATATGTTAGACAATTCCCCCCCCAAACTTGGATCTCCAGCTGTTTCTGGACTACAATTCTCATCATCCCTGACCACTAGTTCTGCTAGCTAGGGATGATGGGAGTTGTAGTCCAAAAACTACAAAGTTTGGGAAACACTGTGTTAGATTATAATAGGAATGAAAACTTTGCCCGCACAATAACATACATCAGCCTTCCCTAACCTCATGTCCTCCAGATACTTTGGGCTACAGCTCTCAGCAACCAATCAGCATGGCTGTGTTGGCTGTGGCTGATGGGAGTTGTAGTCCAAAACATTTTGACAGTATGGGATACTTGCTATACAGTCATACCTTGATTGTCAAATGCCTTGGTACTCTGATGTTTTGGCTTCCGAAAGCAGCAAACCTGGAAGTGAGTGTTTTGGTTTGCCAACTTTTTTGGAAGCTGAACATCCAACGCGGCTTCCACGGCTTCCAGTTGAGTGCAGGAAGCTCCTGCAACCAATCGGAAGCCACACCTTGGTTTTCGAACCGCTCCGGGAGTTGAACGGACTCCCAGAACGGATTAAGTTCA